CCCCTATCGGCCAGTGCTGATGGCAAGTAACCCGACACCATGGCCGTGCCTAAGTCGATCAGACATAGATCAATTAGACTCTCGAATCCTGTTTCCCCACTCTCGAGGCATACAAGATGATGGACTATTGACCATTCGATCACTTGCAGCATCGAACAGCACTACTGCTGCCAGACATCGGTGGCGGCTGTCAGCTGGCGATCATACCACTCGGCATGACCAGCACAATTATCTCGGTTCACGAACTCCTTAATCCCAAGGCCACCGTTACCAGCTTCTCAATGTCCGGGAGACGTGCGATAGGGACAATGGATGAACACTGGTCAGCGTGGGCGCCGCGCAAGCCTCCTGCACGACCTGCCATTTGCGACATGTATACTCGCACAGCCGATCTGGTGAAACTGTTGAATCTTCCACCCCACACTAAAGCAGTGGAAGGCCTTTGATGTCTTTGAGGCATTCTACTTCGTGGAATTATTGGCGAGTGCTTAGCTCGACAGCACTGGCTGCCATGTCAGACACGTCTCATGGCATTTTTGAGGGATCTGTGGTCGTGATGCGCTCCAGTTCGTATCCTCGTCCTGTACGGCGCTCTAAACGCATGTCGCTGAAGGCCAGCCTCGGATTTTCACGTTTTCTTTGATCAACCTGCCTTTCATTTTTCCTCCTTTGTGAATCTCGGTACCGAAACAACAGTGTAGTACAGCGCGGCCGATGACATCCGAATAATTTCTGGACAGATTGGTTCGTCACGCAGCTCGTACCACGGATCGCCCACCAACCATGTCAGGCATCACGCTACCCATATACCTAACCTAACAAAGGAGTTAGCGAAGAGCTCGACGTCCTTTGTTCATGCACTTCACTCTCACAAGACGCCTTCTTATCGGCGCCGAAGGTACTCAACATGACCGTACCTGTCCTGTCATACTGACCAAAATCTCGGCAAGAGTTTCTCCTATGTGTGGCTCGCTTGTTCGAGGCTCACTCGTGCGTTGAACACCTCGTGCCTTACCTTTAACCATCGCGTGCAACTGAACTTATGCAAATGGCCCCTCGGCTGTGCACTCGGCGGCTTCCCGAGAAGAGCGGACACAATGTTGGCGTTGTAGAACCAGCGGCCGCTCTGTTCAGGTCATGAACGATTGGTCCGTGCGATCGTAGAAGACGCAAACTTCAAAGATATTCCACAGCACAAGTTCCCGCTGGCCGGTTCTGGTCAAGCAGGTTACAAGTTTGTTTCAGGCGTTAGATGGAGGAACATTCCTATTACAGGATTTTGCTCAAGCTCTCTAGTGGTTCTCTGTCGGGTGTACAGCACGAGCGTCGTCACAAGCTACGCCCATCGCCTATTAGAATGGCACAAACCTGCAGGACATAATGTGGGGACAGGCAATCAACAACGCCACAGTTCCGCAACATGCAGGTGCCGTATTGATTCAAAGCGCCATTATGGTTTGCCTCTGCCGGCAAGCGTATGGACAACGGCTGATCTCAGAATCCTTCTGCGTCGTCAACTTCTGTCGAGGTCAATGCTCTCATCACCACTTTGCCGCTTATTATTCGGGGTCCAATTATTTGCTCTATCAACAAGATATGAACGGTGCGCGCTATGACCGCCCATGAGCGCTGCATAATATTTGTGGTTCGTGTCAGCTGGGCACGGCAGTCTGCGCTAGAGCGAGGCTGTGGTGAGCTGTTGTTCACTTTCGCGCTGGCTGGGCGAACCACCATTCTTACCTAAGATAGACTCACGATCCCATTGCTAATACCTATCAGGCGATTTATTTCTCATGAGCAATCTTTCGACACCTCGTTGAGTGGTCCGTTTGGATCACAATGTCCCTCGCGAACAATCAATTGGAGGCTTTTCCAAGCGCGTTCGACTAGCACTGCTCAAAGAGAGATCCGCGCTCGAGCACCGCACTTCACGACCAATCACTTATCGAAAGTCTAGATTGGAGTGATCCCGTGGAGCCCCTTGATGCCTGAATCGCCTCGATATCAGAAACTTGACAAGCGTCTGCCAGGGCTTGGATATCTCCACAATGAAGCTCGAATCATTCCTTCACGGCGTGTTGCAAATTGTTCTCAACAACCGGCAACCACTGCCCTCCCGCAATGCTGACTAGAACCCGCCAATCAACAATGAAGCCTACAGTTTCGCGGAGACTCCAACATCGGAGCGAATGCCCAGTCTCCACCCGGTGGCCACGATCAAACAGTCTGCAATATGGCCCGGCCACGACCACAATATGACCGCATGACACTTGATTTCTCGTAGCACGGCTTAGAACCTCTCCACCGCGCCTCACTTCGACCTGATGAGTCCGATGGCTGACTGCAAGGCTCGTGCTCGTTGACCGGTGTCGTGTCTTGCTTGCCCTAGCGCAGTAAAGCTGCAGGGTCGGAAGATCCTCTGTCGGGCGGCAATGGCGCTGCTTGCCCAGCCTTTGTTGTCGGAGAAAAAATGGAATGATGAGCCCAGGGTTCCGCGCGGTGGGTGCGCGCTTGGGCTATTTGGGTAGGTCGTTGGGTGAGTGAGGAGAGTAGTGTGACGAGACGGGCGAGGTGTGGAATCTCAGGGTTCGAGGGGGCCCCGTGGTTGAGGGGGAATGTCTGGAGCTCAGGTTCCTTTCCGGCTGGATGTATGGAGGAGGCCGTTCTTGTCACGAGTATGAATAGGTGTGAGTTTAGTAGACAATAGAACTGAGTCGGCCTGGTAAGCGCTTATTTACTGTGTGATGCGGTTTCGAGGTTGCAAGTGCCCCTCGTTGCGTGCGAGGTTGGACGCGCGACGGAGGCGCGGAAGTCGCGAGACGGTGCTTGAGACATTGTCAACAGCAACTATCATGAACCTTTGTTCATATAAGATTATAGATATCCTCATTGAATAGACTTCTTCTGTGCCTCTCACCGAGCCGCTGGGATGTCGTTTCCTCATTGTGCGTGCCCTTTCGACCGCTTCTCGTCCACCACTCCCTGACGCGATTCCAAATCACTCTCCTATTCTGCACCTCATGCTGCAAGAGCAACCCGGGTACTGATTAAGCGGATGTTCTCATGATCTTGACTCACTTCTACCCAGAAACGCTCTCGTCGTTCGAAAGGAGCATACACCCGCACTTCCAGCGCCCAGACGTCACAGACAAACGCCGATACGTGAATCAAAACGTCTTCGAAACCTTCATACATTGCCCTTAATCAAGAGCACGGCGGCGGAGTGACAGCCCACAGAGAAGGATTGGATACGGTGATAATGTTGCGAAGCGGAGATCAAGATGAGCCGCGTGGGGGGGAGAAGATCTTTTTGCATTGATCATGTCCTCGTGCAAAACGAAGTCAACATAGTCGAGATTGCCTGGTGGGTTTGGAAGAAGGTCAGGATGGTAAATGATCAACAGAAGGGAGGGGTCTTATGCTGTGATGTTGGCAGTGCGCGATTGTTTGGCCCTGGATGGGTTGAGGAAAACGAAGGTGCCTGGAAGTGGAACCTTGAAGCGGGCTGGAGACACAAACCCATTCAGATTGAGCTTAGGATATTGCGCATCAAGATGGATAGATTGTAAGGCGCGTAATTGTATGCGTTGCCCTTCTTCTAGGTTGTTTTGGACTCTGGGCTTTGGTCAGACCAGCCGGGCAATGGCAGATGAAGGATGAGAGACGTATAACAACAAGGAGTGTCCTATTTCCGCTCGCAAACTTGTACAAGTGGTGTTGCATAATTTCATGAGGGGTTTCACCCATCCCACACGTACAAGTCTTCTCCTTATACTAGAGTCTCCCGACTCTTACCATCGGTCGTTCCGTGCAAAGAAGGCATCGACATGCACATAAAATGCTGTTCGGGAGAAAACGTATGCACCTAGATCCGATGGGCTGATATTCTACAATTGTTGTTAAAGGTTAAACCGTTGGTAAGCTGGAGTAGGGCGAGAATCTACCCATGCCTGGGCTCTATAGCCCTCTTCAGATTTCTTTCCCACTTCGACTCCATATCAATCTCTCACTCGTTTGCCGAATCACGCGCTGTTGCGTCTCGATATCTATCCTATCGCCTCTGCTTACCTTTCCATCCCCGGGCTGCTGCTGCTTCACAAGGTCCGATAGCTGCTCACTATGGCCTTCCTCACAGTTAACCAGCAGTACGATTTCACCTTCTGCTCAAATGCAAGACATACCCACACCGGTTGACCCTTTCTGACTAGACCGCAATAGCATGCCAAAGGCTGAATTCACTTGCCTGGGTGGGTACTTTCGTAGATGGAACGATGGTGATACTTACTGGTGCTATCACTGAAGGCGTGTTTTGCTGAATAGTATACCTAGGGCAACCGTGACAAGGATTCATACAAGAATCTCGAAGCGCTGACCTCTCCAATATGTTGTAGATGCTACTTCCGAAAGTACCAGATATTCTGTAGTGGAATGGACGCAAGGATCAGCCAAATTTAACATCCCATGCGGTGGAATCACCGATGAATTGACTTATGGTAGGCTTTTTGCAAGGACGCTGATATCAAACCGATCCGCAAGCTATGTCCGAATACAAGGAGGTTATGCATGACACATCTAAGTATCGTTCGTTGCTGACATCGGTGGGTGCTTCAAGCTCTTTCTGGCACTGTCGAATACTCTGGAAGCTGCACTTCGATCATATTTGGGCAACTGAGTGTATCGCTGAGAAATTTATGTGGAAGTGCATATGAAAGTGTAGAGATCACTGAATATGTAGAGTCGATCAGGTGTCAACAGTAATTAGGAACATGTGGTCTTGTAGTTCAGGCAATAGAGGTGCATTTTATAGCCATGGAAAGAATAGTAATGAACTCGTTCTCACGGCGCGGCCTGCGTTCGAAACCTCCTATTCCTACTGTGTGCTGATTATCCCTTGTACGATGATCGGGCGTTTGCTCGGACATATTGAAGTGCCCATTAGAACACCTCGATTTGTGCAATGGTTATTGATTTCCATTGAAAATCTGTCTGCGGCATCACCATCATTTCTTCGATCCAGCCATAATCAACTCTCCAATTCTCTCCATCGCCGCCCCGTCCACAAACTCCACCGCCTTCTCCACCCTTTTCCCACCCTCCTCCATCCACAACCACCAAACCAGATCGTTTTCCACCGGCTCTTCAGCCCCGTAGGGCTTCATAAAGTAACTCACTCTGACAACACACATCTTCCTCGTCTCGTCAACCACAATATCCGAGATGCGCGCATTCCAGGTATCGAGCTTGGGAACCATCTTGTTTACGTGAGTGAGAAAGCCATCGACGCTGAGTTCACCTTGGAGTGCGGGCTTGGTGGAGACAAGAACGTTATGGCCGAAGGAGTGTATGAAGTTGGTTGAACGGATTGCGCGGACGCGATTCAGGTTCATGCGTGTAGGCTGGGAGTCGTCGCGATCTTGGCAGTGAATGAATTCTGTGGCCGTTGCAAGGAGGATTTGGTAGATCTGGCTAGCATTGGAAGGAGCTTCTGGGTCGGAGGCGGTCATTTTTAGAGCAATCTCGTGATCTGGGCTCTCGAGTAGCGGTCGAACGCCGATCGATTAGTGCCAGCAGAGTCGATCCAGAGCCTCGAATCTAGAATTGAGGGGACTTGTGCGGTTGTTTGATGAGCGCGATGGGTGTGGGAGATTATTTTCGACGACACAGCAAGCTTCTTGTACTATGGAGCATTGCGTTGTTCGGACACGGCATTACGATAGTAAAGAGCGACCCAGTGATTTTGTCGTGCGTTCCGGTCCAATCGGCACGCAGTATTTGGGATGCGCCTCCTTACGGCGTCATGTGCATTTCTGTGTGATACCCTTGGCGGAATCGCGCCACGTTTTTGCGACACTGTAGCACTCGGAGACCCAAGGCCGTGATACCAGTCCGATTATGGGATAAGAATGCCGTTCAAGATCGTTGCAAAATCCCAGCAACTTTGGGATCCTGTACAGCATCAAACATGCAGTGTACGAGCACAATGCCCAGATATTTGCACAAAGGCGCTTCTTATACAATTCTGCGGCGTCCTGGGGCCAATGAGTACAACTATTCGCACCAAGAACGACGCTGCAGGGCTGAGTAAGAACGAAAGGAGAAGTTGATTGCAGCGCGGCTGGGTTTACGGAAGTCGCGAGCAGCGACCGATAGCGCTATGCAACAGTTTGCCGAGCATATGACGTTTGACATTTCAAAGGAACGATCGAGGCTCGTACTCTCGATGAAGTGGCAGTGGTCTTCAACAGAAGATCATGTGTCTGTCCATGAGTGTCTTTCTCATTGCGGCGTTTTGCCCCGTAGGCATCGCCCTTCACCAATGACAGGCAATTAAAATGGACTCTTCCTAAAGAGGTTGAGCTATAGATCAGATCCTTCACGCGTACTCCGAAGCTCGACTGTACTTTGGCTTGTAGATGTTTAGGCGCTCTACAATAGATTATGCGTAATTTTGATCGCGCGTGTATTTACAAGGCTTTACCGTGCGACACGGAGGATATCTATTCGATAGAAGTTGGAGCGGATTTCTAGTGGCTAGGACAAATTATGATGCTCCGGCGTGCTTCCTCGATCGGATGCAGTGCAAAAATGAGCATACTTGGGTACATTTGTACACTAAAAAGCATCTTGCAAGATGCTACCTCGGCTTGTTCATGCTGAGCCTTTCTTGGCCGCACGCAATCCAAGAATCTGTCCTGGTGCTCTTGATATGATCTTTCCAATCTTAGTAATGTTTTATTGTGGGTTCAACGTATTATCAAGTGGTTATCGCATACTATCTTGTTTCGAGTGAAAGCGCGGAAATTTCAGTTGAACATCTGCACACTTTGAGGCTACCCCGCAAGACCTCTTGCAAGTAATTCCTCCAATATCGACAGCCAAGGTTATCCCCACAATCTAAAAGAGGTTATTCGCCAAATCGTTGTGCATATTAGCCGATCGGTTTAGTCAATCCCCGCGACTCTCTTGACAGCCGGGCATCGGCACATTCGACAAAAAGGGCCTTTTCGCGGCACTTGTCCTTCCAGCAGTAGCGCTACTCGTCATGGGGTGTTTATTGTCGCGTGGACCATAACAGGGGCCTCAAATGTCCGTCAATCAATTCCAGGAACAACGGAGTGACCGCCGCGGCGATGCCCGGTTTGCATTCTATTCTAGATTAGCATCTGAATAGCATTTGTTACCTCAGATTTATAAAGGGTAGATCATGTCGGCTCAACCTGACGCTGTGGAAAGTAAAATCTTGCGCTCTTGAAAACATGCGTTCCCTTCAATTACTCTTCGCGGCCGCTGTGGCGCTTCCAGCAGTCTTAGCAGCTGCTCTCCCCTCAGTTTCTGCACTCGCTCTCAATACCCCATTCAAGACCAACAAACAATGGATACAGGACTCCACAGGCAAGAACTTCACCTATGTTGGTGTCAATTGGCCAGGTGCCGCCGACGTGATGATCCCGGAGGGTCTGCAGTACGCTTCAATTGAATCGATAGTGTCCAAGATCAAGAGCCTCAAGATGAACGTCGTGCGACTGACCTTCGCAATCGAAATGATTGATAACATCAAGGACAACGGGGGCGATGTTACTATCCAGAATGCGTTCAATAAGGCTCTCGGGACAACGAATGGACCGAAGGTATACCAGCAGGTTCTTGAGAACAACCCGCAATTCAACGAGAAAACGACCAGAATCCAGGTAGATATACATGCCTATGGGTCTTGCTGCCTCCTTGACTTATTGATTTTCATAGGTTTTCGATGCTGTCGCGGCCGAGTTGAACAAGCAAGGCATCTACGTCCATTTGGACAATCATATGTCGAAGGGTGCATGGTGCTGCGGTAGTGGAGACGGAAACACCTGGTTCGGAGACACCTACTTCAACGTCAACAACTGGAAGCGGGGTTTACAGTACATGGCGGATCATGCGAGTCCGCCAACACGCTAGTGATGACGAAGCGCTGACAACTACCACAGGGCAAGTCATGGCCAAACCTCATATCCATTGGTCTTCGCAACGAACTTCGAAGCGGAGCCACGAATGGTCTTCCGTACAATTGGGCGACCTGGTACGACCAAGTGATCCCAGCCGCCGACCTCGTGAACCAAGCCAACCCAAACATCCTCATCTTTCTCTCTGGTCTTGACTACGACACCAAATTGGAGCCCATCGCGACCGGCGCAGATCTGGGCAGCGGCAAGAAGTTCTTGCTGACGAACTTCAAATACGCCAACAAACTGGTCCTCGAGCTGCACAACTACCAGAATGATGCCACAGATTGTGGAAGCATGGAGAGCGGCCTGTGGAACAATGGTTTCAGAGCCACAGGCACGATTGCCGCAAATATAATGCCTGTAGTGCTCACTGAATTTGGGTTCTCGCAGGCGGGCACCGACTACACCAAGACGTACGCGACGTGCATTAAGAAATTGATGCCACAATGGAAGACAGGATGGATCGTATGGGTACTCTCCGGAAGCTATTATATTCGATCTGGCACACAAGATTACGAGGAGACTTGGGGATTGCTCAATCACAATTGGTCCGGTTGGCGAAACACAGCCGCGATAAGTGCGCTCCAGGGAATGATTGACGCGTCTTTGAAGGGATGAAATACTTTCTAGAGGGTTTCGTAGGCAACAATGTTAACTTCGTGAGCGAAAGTGCTGACGCAAGTCACGCTTTTGAGAAGTGGCGCTTGTGGACATGTCGCTTCAAGCTTCGAACTTAGCAGCAAATGGTCACTTCCGACCGTAAATCCTCCGTGAAACCGTGAAACGGGAATATCCACAGATGCAAAAACATGTTTGAACTTCTCCGCTGTTGCTTTCACCAAGAATATTTGATCGACACCCCCTTGCTTCGCACTGCCCGGACGTCTCAGTCACGTGACTATTCTTCCAGCCATCGCGTGTTCATGGTATCCAAGTACTCGAAGCCAACTCGTCTTTTCATCTCCGCGCATTAAAAAAAATGCTTCTCGTGAGCATCGTCTATCTCTCAACACTGTCACAAGCGCATGTGAATGTTATCCTTAATCAAGCTGAGTTAGCGTCTTCCCGAATTAGGTCATGATGTAATCCGCTACACTACCCGCTCATGATCTCTCAGCTGTGATCCACTTTGAAACTAGGCCTGCATATCCCTCAGGAACCCGAAGGTAGTGCCCCGGATTTTCGAATGGGGAACCGAGAGTCGGGCGTCCGTGGCGTGAGAGGCACGGTTGCGGCCTCTCGGAGGTGTAAATGAGCTGAGCTCAGGTTCGCAGCTCCAATTCTCCGATCGGAGCAAGCTCCTCGGGAACCCTGGGCGTTCGCATTAATGTTGTTTGTTTGGCCTGCTGCTGGTACTTGATCAAGCTTTCCATTTCACTTTTTTGGGTACTTCTTCGACAGCGAACTTTGATTCTTCAATATCATTCCCATGACTGACAACTACATCGTCAAGACCGTAGCAGGCACCTGCGTCGGCTTTTCCTTTATTCTCGTCGGTACGTAATATTAAGAGGCTGCTGTGGTTTCTTTATTGACTTTGAACAGGGAATGCAATCACCCAGTCATTCATGACCGTGCCAGCCCTTCTGGTCGACTTTCCCAAGCCAGGCACACCAGACCATACCGCGCGTGCACGTCTTCTTGGACGGCAGTGGCCCCTCTGCTGGTCGGTCGGCAACCAGTTCTTCCGCCCTATCTCCACCCTCGGCTTCCTTGGGTACGCCTACGCAGGCTACGCAGTATACAAGGAGTACAAGGATCACGTTGTCGCGAAAGGCGACTGGAAGATGTTCGCTGTGGCGGCCATCCTGCATCTCACGACTATTGTACACTCAGCGGTCAACATGCAGCCGTTGAATGACAAGTTGGAGGCGCTTGCCGATAGAACGAGCGAGAAGGAGTTGGGCGAGGCGGAGGGCATTGCCAGGAAGTGGGGTAGTTGGAACAGGGTCAGGCTCGTTACGCCTCTGATCGCAGGAAGTTTGGCGTTGTTCCAGCTTGCTCAGTAGATGTGATATGCTTGGACACCATTTATTACAATGGGAAACTGGACCGGAGCGAAGCATGTTGGGAACTAATAGAATTTAATAAGCATCCATGTTCGTCAATATGAGTGTACGTTAGACGTGTATCAATGAGCGAATGTAAAGCTGAGCTGTTACCGGGCACAGGTTACATGCATAATCACTTCTCTGCACGCTCCGTCGTAACGGCAATATTCTGTAGGCTTTATTGTCCGGCAGATATCCTCAAGATCTTTACGAGCCTCGGGTTGGAACTCTTGTGACTCGGCATTTTTGGACGAAGCTCATGTGGAATATACTGAAAAAGCTGAATTCCGATAGTAGACTTTGGCTTCGTACATTATCTACTGATTAGTCCCACTTTCTGTAACGAGCACGCCTCAACGCCATCGTCATCAAATCGCATGCAAATCAATCTCTCTACTCAACATCTACTGCGTCTTCCAACCGCTCCTCTCCCGCAGCCACCTTTCGAAACCGCACAGCTGCGGCTCCTCCTTCTTCAACTTAGCGATGTCCGCTCCGTATCCATCAGTTGCGAACCAAGTAATCATGACGTTCAGCTCTCCAACAGCCCACATAAGCGCACTGCCAAGGAAGCCGTACGTTGCAATATTCGATGATCCAGTGACGCGCTCGAAACATCCAGCCATCTCGTCCAGAGTCAACTCATCGCCGGCAAGAGCCTCGGCTCGCGAGTTCCAGCCTTGAGGATCGCGGAATGCCTTGGCGGCAAAGAGCCCAATATCTTCAGTAGAGACCCACTGCAGCGGCTTTCCCTGTAGAGTATCTCGGAGAGCTGCGAGGAAGACCTTGGTCTTGAAGCCCGGCTCGAGGTTGTCCATGAAAGCGACTGGGCGAAGAATAGTCCATCCCATGTTCTCGCCCTTCTGTCCAGCCTTCTCGAGTAAGTGGTTTTCGATCTGGAACTTGGATTTGAAATGTGGGATTGGTGTCTCGTTCTCGAAGCTCTTCGCATTGCCTCCACGATCGACGGAGGAATAAACGAAGTGCGTGACACCGTGGGCCACAGACTCGTCGACCAATGCCTTGCCTTGATTGATCTCGCCCTCGAAAGTGACGCCTGGACCCAGCGAGATCTGCACAGAGTACACACCCCAGATGTTGCTCGGCTTTCCGGCGCTCTTCAGTGTGTTCTGTGCAGATTGGAACATGTCGGGTACATCGTTTAGGTCGCCTTGAACGAGGAGGACATCGGGAAAGCGCTTGATAATTTTCTGGGCGCTGGCGGAAGCGGTGTTGCGAGTCACGGCAAGGAGGACAAATTGAGACGATGACGGGTGCGAGGCAAGTTGCTCGAGGACAGCGCCGCCCTGTTTACCTGTTGCGCCAGTAACGAGGATTGGTTTCGTGGAAGCCATGATTGACGTCTGAAGGGTGGGAGAATGAGATGAAAGGCGGTCAAGTGGAAAATATGCCTGTAGACAGGTGGAAGTTAAGGTGAAGATGAGATAGCTCGAGTGGTAATTCACTGCTAGCACCGGGCCCGGACCCCCGTTTTCCGCCAGACAGGTACGGGCGTGCAGTATCGCCGGGAAGCTACGGCCATGGCCAGACAGCCCGCTTGAGGTAAGATAGCGCTGTCGTCATTACAGAACCGGTCCACTGTGATCCAATTCAGCCAATTACATGGTTCCCGTACGACTTGCGCTTGCTGCCACCACCGCACCGGCGTTGCCGAGCACGCGACTTGTACGGCATCGGAGCTCTCCATTCTCCCCTCACCCTGGGCCGACCTCCGATGCCACTAAGGGCTTCCCGTGACAATCACGAGTATGCCCTTGTTATCGAGGTTCGCGAGTTGAAACGTTGAGGCGTAGAATCGCACTGTTGTGTAATTTTGAGCAGACAGTCGAGAATGGATGCAGGTTGAGATCTGCCTAGACGTCCGCGGAGGCACTAGTGATAGATTTCCTTTTTCGTCTACAGTGGGACGAGATGTACCCCAGGATAAGACTACTGTGGCGCATATAGCACAGATACCAGACCGCATGTGTACGGTATCGGACCCCAACTTCTTCGCTTGCCAGCCGCAATTGCGCACGGCTTAAATGCAAATTCTTGCCTTGGAAAGCGAGACGACAGCAATATCCAATGCCCACGATCAATGTCCTGCCAGATCACTTGCTCAGGATCCCACTCAATCTGTGCTGCAGCTCCTGTGCCTTCGCGCTGTTCACAAACTCCTTCAATTCGGTTATCTTGGTGCCGTCCGGGGTCATCTTCACAAAGAGAACACATTCTGTCCACCACTCGGTGATACCATTATCAATGAGTACTTTTCCCTTCTCGCTAGCAGCAACCCTACCACCCATCCTGCAATGCGCAATGACCGTGTTCGTCTCCCGCGAGAAGTGCACCTCTCCATGCGGTGCCATTTTGAAATCCTCAAACAGCGAGAAGATCATGACAGCATGTTGTTGAAAATTATCAAGACTTCGGGGAGGAAGGTTGAGAGATAACGGCAGAACTGTGTGCGAGAAGTCTTTGGATGCGTTCGCGCCGAGGGCTGCGGGTCGCAGGGTCGTATATGCTTTGAGGAGCTTGCGGAAGGTTTGCAGGTGAGCCGTTTCTTCCTGAGGCTTGTCGCCGCGCAGATAGTAGACTGTTGGGACGAGGACTGCGAGCGCCGTGAGTGTCGCTGTTGCGAGCCGTAGCTCGGAATTCGAGATGTGGAGGTTGGACATTGTCTGTGATAAAGTGGTATCTTTGCTTCTACCGACTTCGTATCTCGGTCGTAGAGCAAAGAGCAAGGACGTGCTTTCTTCAGCTCCGAGTGTCAAGCAAGAGTTCTCGATAGCTCTAACAAGTGGTGCAGGGTTCAGCACGTGTTTGCAGACTCCCCGGGGCCCCGGCGCTGTTGATACCGGCGCAGGAGAAGCACGCAGCCACTCGCCTCGGTGACGACGATGCCGATTCGAGCAAACGGTACTCCTCCGAAGTCCGCCTGTCTCCAAATGCAGCATCGTCATCGAAATAGCGTAGCTCTTTCCTCGCACCATCATCCCCAGCCTCCGACCTTTTCCCTGTCATCTCACCGATGCCCACTTCATCACTCAGCCCCCGATAACGGCAGTGCTGAGCTTGCATATCCGCACTGCGCCATCCTCACAGCATCCTGGGTATGCTCACACCCCCTTATTGTGTTGACACGCATACCCGTTGGAGAGCCGTAAGCAAAAACTCTTGGATCTGTACCTCGCATATCGCGAGCTTGTCCACTAGCGTACCACATATTGCGCGGGAGTCCGTCGGCATATCGGAGGCTGAAGGTGCGAGACAATGACGTCTACACTTCACTTTCGATGTGACACTGCATCTATCCACGATAACGCATTTGCAAGCTCACATCAATGCAGAAAAACCGAGAGATGAGAATTCGACATCTCTCACGCGTTGCTCGGGGCTTTTGTGAAGTTGACCGGGAATTTCAAGCACCAGATCCGCTTGGCTGCTGCCACTGCCTCGCGCCGACACAGCATGGGAATGCAATGCGCACATCTCGAAGACAGATACTCTGATAGTGCAAAGTTGGTTAACTATCTGTAAAGAAACCGGAAGGTGAATAATTTGGACGTGTAGACAGATCATCGCTTTCGGTGGATTAATGCCATTATGCACATGGAAGGAGACAACACCGTATTTAGAATGCCCGCGAAGACAGCGACAACAAGAACAACAATTGAGCCGCAACGGCCATCTACTCCCAGTCACCCGGGCCCAGGTCAATCGGCTTTCCTGCCCTCATGTCCTCCATAATCTTCTCAATGGTCCATGGTACATACTTGTAACCCTTGGGATAGTTCGGCTCGAAGCTTGTCTCATCCTCCATCTTAATGCCCTTCTTCATGCTGGCAGCAGCCTTGTCATAGTTCTCGTAGGCATATGCTTCCGGGTCGTGAGACCACACCCATTTGGGTAGCTTGGGTGCAGCGCGGCGCGGGTCGAGTTTGACCTTGTCCCAGTCGGTGTCCTGGAGAAGCTCGGCGTTGGAGAAGCCCAGCTTCTGTGCGCACGAGTTTCGGATGAACCTGAAGCGAATGTGTGTGCGCACCGACTGTGGAATCTTCTCTCGACCACCGATTTGTAGGCAAGATGCTATTGAGACGGCATCCTCGATGGCCTGGGTGGCTCCGTTACCCGAGGCGGGGAGATAGGAATGTGCAGCGTCGCCAATCTGGATAACGCGGGCTCCAGGCGAGGTCCAGGTGGGCTGAGGGTTACGCCACAGAAGCTCGAAGTTAACAATGGTGTCTGGGGGTGTGACCTTGACGAGATCTTTGAAGATGGGTGCCCATTTGTTCACCTCCATACCAGGCATCTCGTCCATGCCCTGCAGCACTTCCTCGGCATCGATGGTGTTGCTCCAACTTTCCTTCTCGGACCCAGTAACCTGCAACTGTAAGCACTCACTCTAGGTAGGATTTTGGATCTTGCCTGCTCACATCGTGGTTCATGATCCAGACCATGACATCCTCACGCGTCAGGGTCAATGCGTACGTCGAAGGCCCCAGCCATGTCCTTACGATTGGCTCCTTGTTGGGCATCATCTTGAAGGCTTCCTTAACCTCTAGGTTCTTGTCCAAATGCTCAATCGGAAACGCTGCGCGCCACATGGCTCTACCTGACGGCTTTGCGCGGACCTGTCCGCCCACTAATTTTTGGCTCTTGGATCCGACACCATCAGCCGCGATAACAACATCGGCTTCATACGATGTGCCATCGTCGGTCACGCAGCCAGCCTTGCCAGTCTTTTCGTTCTCGAAATAATCTACAATCTTGCGGTTGAACTCTACACTCACACCGTGTCTCTCTACTGCGCTTACAAACATCTTGTAAACAAGCGGGCGCATCTGAAACTCGCCCGGCGGCGTATCAGGGTCAAGGCCCTGAGCGCGCAAACGGTCTGCGACCTTCTTTGGTGTGATGATGACCTCGCCGCTGTGCTTAAATGTCTCGATCCACGCATTGTGCAGTGAGATATCGTGATACTCCTTCAACAAATCCGGCCAGTGTTTGAGGAAACGCGTCGCACTAAGGCCCATAAAATACATATCACCTAAGAACTGCGTAAGTGCGTTGTATCAAGCTGACTGTGTGCGCCAAAGAACTAACCATTTGTGTTGATGCTGTCACTCTTCTCTAGAACGCGAACGTTATGTCCCTTTCTAATACATTCGAGGGCGGCGACGAGACCTGCCAGGCCGGTTCCGATGATCAAGACGTCTATCCCACTTGGTTCGTATGAACCAAGCGGTCTCGCCTCCATCGCGGAATCGCGAGAAGTAAGCGCGTGAGGCATGTTGAATGTGTAGAGTGTTGTTGCAAAAAGAAAAAAACGCGAAGGTGTATAGTGTTAGTGATCACTCTGGCAAGTGCTGCCAAGTGTCTTTATACTACTGGGCCAGCCAGTCCATTGACTAGAGTTTATGTATGTGATCATAGTCGTGAGCGTTGGTCGAGGGTGCTCCGCCAGGTGGCGTAGTTTCTGCCGGCGGGCTTCCGAATGCCGACCGCTGACAGCCTTCGAAAAACAGAAGTGTATACTTCGCACGAAAATCGCTTCCCCTGCCACCAATTGCCGCGGATGCATCTAGGGTGCATATATCTCCCTTTAGGGCAGTGATGCGAAGAGGAAAGGATATGACGGCGATGTGTATGCTAGCGCAGCGCTAAGCGGAAGCGAGCTCATGTATGGCTGTCAATGACGGTTAAGCGTGGACTTCATGGTTCCCCACAAACTCCGAAGCTAAGCAAGACGCGGGACGGGTACACTAGGGCCCAGATACTGCAATCTTCCGCGTAGAGCCTAGTCAGTAGTGTTGAGGTTGGCTGAACTTAGCTTAGCAGTGCCACAACAGCGCCTGAGAAAAAGGTCTTACCGTAGGAATCATGGGCTGAGACAGCATCGAGCCAGATCGATCGCCCTTCCCGATGTGAACCTCACCGCGTTGATCATGCTTTCAACCTTCCTTCGCAAGCCAACGCGGCTGTACCAGTACCAGGGGCAACCGCGGATACAACAACTATGCTCATGGCAACACGTTGAAGCAAGGGTTGATCCAGAGCAAGATGATCGGTGCGGATGTCTTTGTTGCCGCGCCGATGGCGAAGTACCCAAGGCTGTGGTCCTGCATTGAAGACCACACAACCGAATCGATGGCTGTCAGCCACACAACGTGGCTCGGAATCCAGCGAATTTTGGACTGATGCTTTAGCTCTTGGATACCTCAGCTTCTGTTATCGCTGTTGCCTGGGCTTCTTTGCTTTTTTCTGTAGATTGACCACAGTGATTCAAAGGCCCTTACATCCGTCGCTAAGACTCATCCCCCGGGGCGTACCTTCGAATAATTACGCCCCAGGAAGGCGGTGGAGACGAAAATCTCACTCGATACAGCTCAAACTTCGTAGAGACTGCAGTCGGTGCTTCGAAGATGTGGTTCATGAGCGCGGGAGAGTGTTCGTTTATCGGTCTCTCTTGCAGAGCTGAGGACATGTCATGGTCGGTGCCGTTTAGTACCGATATTGACGTGAGCATTTAGTGGAACACACATGTGCTAGATCACCATCAGCGAACCCGACTGGATGGTGCTCATGGCATCTTGTTCCGGCCCACGGTCCGAAACCTCGTGCTCACCCTTTCATTGGATCAAGATGCTCACTTTGTCCATTCAAGGTTGCCATCGGTTTTCTCGCACAGCCCTATCGAGCGGAGGCCCAGCCCCCGACCTGCTCCCTTCCTGTGACATTCAGTGCTAGTATGATCCTTGGTCCCGGATTGATATAAGAACTCGTTGGAGAGCCGACCAAGGCGAGCTGCGACATACGCAGGCTGTCACTTGTAGCGTTGGTATCCTATACGTGGTACAAGAGCCGGCTCGCGTGGTTCTTCCCTCTACAACATACCTTCACGGTCGCTTTCATAGCAAGCAGTCCTCCTACGCCTGTTGCCAACGACACAAACGCCCCTAGGCAGACGCCTCAGCGCGGGCATCCCAATAGTAACGCTACGCATCGAACCGTCCGCACACGATTATGCATCCCTTAACACTGTATGCCGTGGGCTTCGCGGCCTTCGGTTGGGTACTCTACCGTTTCAGTCAGGCTCTTGGAAAACGTAACGCCAAATACAATCCGCAGGGCCTTCCTGGACCGACCCTGATCCCCTGGATTGGACGTATCCATGACCTGCCCATCGACTACATGTGGTTGAAGTTCTACGAATGGGGGCAGAAGTTTGGACCGATCTATCGTACGAAGATGCTGGGAGCGAACTTTATTATCATCTCCGACGAAGACGTGTGCGAGGAGATCCTGACGAAAAAAGCCAAGATCTATTCAGACAGGCCCCAGATCAAATCCCTGTTTGATGCCAAGAGCACGTACGGATCTATGGAATACCTACCTCTCATGGGTAGGAACAGTAAGTCGTCGACGCCATCGGTCCGCTTCGTTTCTAACATACTATCAGAGTACTGGGCGCGACAGAGAAAGTTCACTCACGCGTACTTGATGGAATCCACCAACAACCGCTACTACGGTATCATGGAGCTCGAAGCAAAGCGCTGGATGTACAGGCTATTGAATGAGCCGGACAACTTCGGATTCTCCCTCGAGGACATGGCATCCAAGGTTATGTGCCAGCTTACCTGGGATGACCACACCGTTAGCGAGCAACTCACCCCTAGCGCTTGGGGTCTGTTGACACAGATGTCCCCGGCCGGTCCGATTACGAACGTCCTGACGCCTCTTTGGGACTGGGTGCCTCACATGATCAACCCGTGGAAGATTGCTGAACGAAAACGCCACGACGACCAGCAAGCATGGTGGATGGACCGTCTGGTGGCCACACGCAAGCGACTTGAGAAGGGCAAGCAGAGACTCTGCTACACACGCACATACTTGGAAACCGCCGGGAAAACCGCCATTTCGGGCGACTATGAGGCTTCTTCTGTGATTGGTATGATGGCCTTGGTTGGTATCTTCACTGTCGCTGGACCGTTGTACTACTTCCTCGTGTCAATGATTCATCATCCAGAATGGCAGAAGAAGTGCCAGGAGGAGATTGACAAGGTCTGCGGGCATCGGCCACCTACTCTTGCGGACATGCCATACCTTCCTGTCCTTCGCGCTTGCATCAAGGAAACCATGCGATGGAGGCCCAACGTACCGACAGGTAAGCGTACAGGATCCGTGAATGACCGAGCATTAGACTGACTACTCTCAGGTGTTGCGCATGAGCTCGAGGAAGATGACTGGCACAAAGGCTACTTCATCCCGAAGGGAACTCGCATCCTTCCGCTCGATTACGCGTTCCTTCACAATCCGGTGAAGTACCCCGACCCGTGGAATTTCCGACCGGAGCGCTGGCTCGAGCCGGGCTGGCCTACATATAACCCCGACCTCACGAGGTTCCCCACCATCATGGGTATGACCTCATTCGGTTGGGGCCAGCGCCAGTGCCTTGGCCAGTCCATCACTCGGGACGAGACTGTCGTCGCTTGTGGTGCTCTCGTGTGGGCATTTATCATGAAGCGAAAGATCGATGGAGCCACCGGAAAGGAAATCGAAGTTTCTACGGAGAAGTCGAACTCGCTCCTCATCGTCAAGCCCGATCCGTTCCAGATGGCCTTCGAGCCTAGGAGTGAAGAGCGAAAGCAACAGATAATTGACGAGTGGAAGGTTGCTGAGGCAAAGGATGCCGAGGAGAGGGCCGAATTCTTGAGGGCCGCAGAGAAGAAGGAGGTTATTGCATGATTTGTCAGATCACTAATGAAAAATGTTCGATTTCGAAAGATATTTGTTGCTCACATCGTTGCGGCACTTGGGCGGGCCTTCCCACAAGTGATCGCTGTAAATATCTCATTCTAGTGTCCCATTGGGACCTGGTCTTCTCAATGAAAGTTCCATCATCTCGATGTCAGTTTCGATAATTTTCGTGCGATCCACTGCTCCAAGCCCCGTTGGCCCAAGAGACTCATCGTGACTTGTCCTGGTTTCGTTGCCTCTTAGCACGGATGTTTTTCAGAGCACCCGAGTATACTACATGCGATAGTGCTGTTGTTCTTGCGCGCGTGGTCATTGAGGGGCAATCGTTTCCGACATCCGAAGGTGCCGTAGCCTGAGGTGATTACCGCAGCAAGTGGTTGTCCGTACTAGTTATTTGATGCAGAACTCCTTGCGTTGGTATATTTCTGTAGTCACTTATCGAAGTGTGTCCGATGTAGACGTGGATTATTGGTGGCACCGTCTTCACCGTAGGCAGTACGATCAAGAGAGATTTGTCTATAAGTGGCTAGCGTCAAAATAGCTTTGCGCTACGCTATCTTGGTCACAAGCTTTCCAAACTTCGAAAGTTCCGTTTCTACATTCGCGACCAGATGTCAAAAAGATGTTCTTCGATCACTGATTGAACTTATTTTGACACGTTCGCACGCTGAACGCTTGAACTCTTGTGCGAGCCGAGCCGCCGCTGATCCGCGAAGCTCATGGGGCGCGTCATCAGTTCTAGGGAACACCCTTTGCTATAGCTGAACAGCACCAGAGTCACAGCGCTCTAGTATAAGTTGCACATGCCCCTAGATCAAGGAAAGAACACTTCTATGTATCTTACAAGGGGCACAAAATGATGCAGTGAAACTCTGCCCTCGCAGTCTTACGCCCTGTGACGACAAGTATGTGCTTTTCGCATTACGGCGCCGGCAGCTTCACTTGTTTCTTTTGTGGGTGCACCCTAACATGGTCAAATATCGCGAAGAAAATTCTTCACGCACAATGGCGTCACCTTTGTGGAAACCGAAAATAAGCAAAGGATAATTTGATGCCACTTTCCGTATGCTGACGCTCAACTCTTTGCAAGATAAGGATAGAAGCCTGAAGACGCTCTCAACATGAAGGCCTCACGTGGGTCAGCGATTGTCTTACGCTGTGAACAAGTGTGTTTTATCAAGAGCAACATTCAATTGAGCGTACGTTGTAGAAGAATCATAGTGTATACATGCTGGAGAACGAGCGGTAACATAGACTACATGTCAACACCTTCTATTGCACTTGGGATCCCCACACAAGGACCCAACAATCAAAAGATTTAAAGCCCAGATGAGCGAAAATCTTTGCTTGAAAGAGAATGTGAACGCATGAAGCATGCGATGCGGCACGGGATGTCGGGAGCGGTGTCGGCAATCCCGCGCTGCACGTAACGAGCGAGGAAGACAACGGCATCCTTGCAAGTGAGAACCGGGCAGCTTTCAAAATATCACTTAGACTACATTGATCCAAATATCCTCAGTCAGCTTATGAGATCTTCGTACCTGCCTTGTTCTCTCGCGAGACTGAACGCAACTCCAGTAGTGATCCATCATAGCTGTGATCCTGATACGAATGATATTCAGCCGGTACAGCTTTGGAGTAACGATGTGACAAGCCAGAAAGTGTGAGTAATCCCACCATCGACAGAGCACATTGTCCTTTCTCACGAATGCTTGGCCATGCGCATCATGGTCAAACGGAACTCTTTTATACAATGTCTTGTGAGGTACGCACAGATGATGGATATTGTATGATATGAACCAGCAGTATCTGGAAGATGGCGATATATTGCAGAAGATCTAGAGACTACCAGTACCACGGTATGATGAAGCACTGACTCGTGTGAAGTGGTGGACGTTTCTACCAGGTCAGGGCTGGGGAAGAGGCGATCCACTCGTGAGACTTTTCCAAATCTCATTGAGTAAGAAACACAGAGACGGAGCACATGAGTCCCACGTTGTTATCGACCCCATCTGTTCTGTGGGGCTTTGGAGCAATCATGGTGGTAGGACATGATGCAATCGCCCATGTACCCGTGTGATGGGACACTACACGGCTGCCTATTGCCGGTGCATTTGGTCCAACGCAGTTATCTGACCGAACAAAGCCAGGTTGTGTGTGGGGTCGTGGGGACGAGCCAGGCGCATGTGGTGGGTCAACGTAGCATGGAGGGCGCCCGCATTGGAAGCTCATGCACGAACAACGTATGACGAGTCGGGATATCTTCAAGGTGCTCTAGCTTCCCACAACGCATTGTGACGCATAAACGGAAGTGAAGGTAAGAGGCAGCTATTTTGTTAACATGAGGGCCGCGGAGCGCTCTGGTAGCGATGTTGGCAGAATATGACCCAAACACGTTGTGAGATTTGATTGGCCCGATGCGTTCTGCGCAGCTGCTGGGACGGGGGATCCTCATCTTCGCTAGGGGCGACGGAACAAGGCCTGCAGTCTTCAAGGAACTCGGGAAGCTTTGGTAGACTTGTCAGGTTCGCCATGAGAGGCAGTGTCTGCGATGGCCCCGGGTGTGAGTGGGTCACGTGGCATAACGAATGCGGGGTGTTTCTGACTTTGCGCTTGCAATGCACTCGACCGATCGGAGCACCAATGGGACAATGTGTGAAATTTCCGCGTCATTTACGTCGATGAGAGGTGTGCAGTGGCTTGCTGGCAGAGGACCAGGTGTCGACCAAGCAATGGCGAGGCGCACGAATACGGCGGTGGCACCGGGGAGTACAGATGGGTGCCTTGGGACAGTCGACTCCCAGGTCGCAAGTGACGCAGCGTCTGCTGATGATGGAGAGACAGAAGCCGCAGGTCGAGACTTTGTCCGGTGCAGCACGTGGAGCTGGTGATCAGCGCGGCTCAGGCGGACGCCAGCGGCGGGAGGGAGGCTCGCCTCCTTCCACGTCGGGCGAGGGTCATCCCAGCAGCCTCCAGCCCACCGTCTTGCTGTGTCCGGCGTCTTGTTGCAGGGCGGACGCGGTCAGCCCTGTGGAGCAAGCCCCAACATGGCCGTCGAAGAGGTCCTCCTGGTATCCAAGTCCCTCGGTCGCAGGCTGCAAAAGGGAGGGGCGGGGGCTCGCATCGATTCGCCAACGAGGCGCTGCGCTGCGCACCTGGACAGCATCGGGGATCGCTATGCCGTCGCGGTCTAGCGCTGAGTCGTGAACAGCTCCCATTTGACCGTGTGCACTCGACGACCGAGCCCATGTCTTACCGCTCTCCAACGGTCGAAGGCAGGCCTTCATCCCACGCAGCTGCTGCGCCCTCGGAGACACCAGCATCCTTCACCGACCCCTGCGTGCCGAACAGCCTGCCACCCTGCCTATAGGGTATATCCTTGGTCCGCCTCGTGTACGTGCCGCCCAGCTCACTCCACCCGTCGTCCTTCGCGAAGGCACCCGACCACCTCGACCACCGCGGCCTGCACTCGGAGAATCATTCTACTTATACGCCGCGAGCACCTCCGCATGCCGGCTCCACCTAAAACAATTGCAATTGCACCGCAGTGGATCCTGACTCCATAAACTCCGCGCTGTCGGTGTCTTTCTGTTATTCCTACCATGGCACGGACTTGCGATTCCAGCCGAAGTCACTCCAGCAGAAGTACCACAATCAGCTCTCGACGCTCCAACGACACTGCACCCACCGAATACAGTGCCCGCCCCGCAGTGCCACGTACGGGGACCTGCCTCGGCCGCGTAGAGGGGCATTCACGCGACTACTTCGCGACTGAAGCCACCCTCGACCGACGCACATCGGTCGACACATACGCCTCCACGTCCGAGGAAGACCTCGCCCATGACTTCGACCATGTCCCCGAATACCATGTCCCACAGTATACCCACGATCCGCTTCCCGTCGATGCCATTCCCACCACCCCTCGTGACTTTGCAGACCTCTTCCCCACATCGAAGCGCATATCCATCCGTCACGATGACGCTACAATCGACGGGAACATGAATCTGCGCGTCGATACCCAAGTGGAGGAACATAATCGGAACAAGCAAAGTTACACTCTGTTCCATTTGCGCATGCACGACTTGCGCACTCGCGAATTCTCCTTGCGTCGCTACTGCAGAGACTCCGGCCGCGAGGTCTGCCACTCCATCCGGAAGTACCAGAAGCCGCCGTCAGAAAAGCGCCCGGTCTTGCAACGTGCGAGCACTGCCCTCGCCAATTTTCGCCACAAGCCAGATTCCCGTCCCTCGACGGCGGCAGGCCTCAAGCGCTCCGATTCTGGTTACGAATCCGAACATGGCCTGCATGTAGATGAGAATGAGTCACGGCCCCAATCGGCAGGCTACGCCAAAGGCCGCGCACTGCTGCCTACCAACACACTCAAATTGGAATTCTCAAACTACGCCCACATCGATGTGAAGCGCAGAGGTGCCCATGGTGGCAAACGGTACGTCTTCGAGTACTGGGGTCACAATTATGCGTGGAAACGGGTCGTTAAGCAGGAGAATGATCACGAGAGCGTCTCCTACTACCTAGTTCGTTCGGACAATGAATCGGAACCTTTGGCCCATATCAGTCCCGTCCGGTTGACGCATGACCAAGCACGCGAGGAGGCAGCAAGAGGGGGCTGGATTCCGCCTTGTTATATGCGCATAACCGACGAATATATCCTAAAGTCGAACAGTGATATCTCCGAGTGAGTACGAGAGCGGCAAGACGCATTTATACAACTAACATGCTCTAGTGTCGTGGTTGCAACCGGCCTGATGGCACTCGTCGACGACTGTATAAAGCGACGTTTCCATCAGAAACAGTCCACTCAATTGCACATACCCCTTATTCGGAATAAACTGCATCTGGATTACATTGGCCCAAAGCGGTTGATCGATGAGATGTTCAATCGTGCCAGCCGCAACGGCCCGCCAACCAGACAGCCGTCTGCGTTACGCCGACCCGCCACGCAGACTTAGTGTTTTGCATCGAGCCTCAGATTGAATTGTTAGAGATCCATTCCACTGGAGTGGTACCCTTAGCGGTTGCACGCGTTTCTCGTACATATCTCCTCGCCGTCTGCCGTATTGTTTGTTGTTGCGTTGGGAACCGCATGTGCATCGGAACTTGGCGTCTAGCGTCTAGCGTTTGGGTATGCATAGCGGCCACAGAAGACGAGTCGATGTCATTGTTGCTTTTCCCGGATCAGGATGATGATCGGATATTCTTCGCAGCATGGCGACAGGGCATAACTGAGTTTACGAGTCCCTGGGCTATCATCCAGGTTTTTATACGAGTTGATGACTCCTATGATAATGCAAAATTCGAGCAGCGCGCTCACTCCTCACCTCTTGCGTTTTACACTGTCGCCTTCATTGCCCAGGAAGCTATGAAGATCGACGAGACACCCGGCATACACACTAAACGGTTCTAGATTTGGCATATACTGAGGATTTTGTCTCATGATATTTCGCATGACAGCCAAGTAGGTACCCGTGAAGATTAACCCTCGTAGCATCTATACCCGTTCAAGATCGCAAAGATCGCACATGCCATTGAAACGACGCCAACGAACTCCCTCCCAGTAACGATCTCGCAGCTTTCGCGGTTTGCTGCAGTGGTCTCTTCCAACCCCGTCCTACCAGGCAATGCTGACTGTTGACAGATGTGCAGCCTTACGCCGTGAGAACGTTGATGCCAACACATAGTGCATAGATCGGCTCCATGCAGAGTATCATGGCTGCCACCGACCGTCTGGGTTGAGTCTATCCTAATTCAATTGGACTTGCCTAGAGGTTCACAGCTCGGGCCGTCCGCACGGCAATCTGCCATGGGTCGGCGCCCAAGATGCTCCCGTAACGACTTCGATACCGGACCTTCCAGCTGACTACGGAAGAAGGAATATGCATGAAGCCTATAGACACATGTGCCAGTATCTTCTGATGTACTTATAAGTGGAGCGCATCCTCTCGCAAGTTTCCAGCCTCATCAGAAGCAGTACGTCTCCTCGCTTCCGTTCTCGTTCTGGTTCTACGAGCTTCAACATCCCTATCAGTTCCAGCCTTCCTTTCCCAAAACAGTTATCACTATGCCTGCCCCCATTGTTCCCCAATCTGCATCGGCTGTCCAAGGACATTGGGCTCAGCGCCTTCGAGGTATGTGCAGCTGGGTCTGCGATGGACTACAAGATTTGCCAACTAATCACCTACTGTAGATCATTGCAGCGTTCGAAACTTAGGAGAGCCTACCTGGCAAGACGTTAGCGATCGTCGCGGTGAGTTTTCGCTTTGATGTTCCCTTCCTCGCTATATGATCGTGTCCGGCATATCTTGGCCATCCACGTCAAATTGAACCTGACTCTCCTCTAGGAGGTCGCACGGCTTGGAGCAGTATTGTTTTGATTCAAGGCGCTTCTTATTCTGCTCGTTTTTGGTACTCTGGCGAGCGTCTCGAGCAGGCACGAGAAGATGCCGCCGAGGTAGCCCTGCGCCAGATGACAGGATACACCAAGCCTAATCAGCAACCACCACCGGCTAAGTGAGTTCTTCTTTCTCGAGACGATATTTTACTCACTCCGGGTCAGTTACTACGCCCAAAACGCGTAGAAGAACTTCACAGGAAGGTTCAGTCGCAAGGCAAGAGGTGTGCCAGCAGGCGATCAGGATGATCGATGGAGGTGCCGGACTCGAAGAAAACAGGCCAATTCTGATGTGGCTGGGGGACACGTAGTTTCTCAAACGAATTTCGGTTATTGTTCCAGTGTGCTAATAGCTTGTATGTCCACTCATAGTCGATTCCAATAGCTATGAGCTTGACGGAAGCCTACACGAACACCGTTGATCTGCTTCCTGGATATGATGTGCGTCCTACAATCTGCACAATTTGGCCACGTACTACCATTGACGACTTAGCGTGACTAGCTGCATGCAACTGACAATAGCCTTGCGTTACAAGGAGGTTGGATGTGCAGCTCATCAAGATGAACGTCTGCAGCCTCGAACTTAGCGTGGCGCTAGGCCAGCTAGGGCTCAAGGTACCACAGAGAGTAGCTGACACTACCTTCTATTTCCCTCCATGCTTTACTTCAATCTCTCATATCCGTACAAGCACTTTTTCTTTTCCATTCTCCTTGCGTACTTTCGTAAGGAATGCGGGGTAAACTCCGGACCGATCGGCTGGTTCAGTCGACTGTACGGTGCACAAGGCTGGCGGCCATACTTTGCCGCAACTTGGCAGCATGGCCACGACATAAAAAATGTACTATAACCTTACGGACGGAATCAGGTGTTCATTAAGATGGGCGTATCGCGCGGGATCCAGCTGTATTCGGGCCGCTGGCTAATGGTTCGGTTTGACTCGGGGCCCGAACGTATCACCCATCGTCCAGGGGTACATCCTCCGAGGGATGCTTGGGTTGAAGGTACTACGTAGTTGCGCCTAGGGGCCGGAGAGTCATCTACATTCTAGTGCGTGCGCTCTGTTACGATATCAATTTTCTCGTATACTCGTATATACCATCGTTAGCACATTCGTCTTGCTCATGATGATCGCTACATCCCGAGATCTATATTCGCAATTTTCTGGTGCCTCGACATGGCCGGCTACCAATCTCGTGCCGCCCCTTACCGGTCAACTCCACCCTATCGACCGCAGGACTTACTTCACTCACCAAACCAGGCAAGTCCTCCACTGTCCATACTATGCATAGAGATCCTGGTTATTGTTTATCGAGGCTTCGCTTGCGGAACTGGCTTCTCCCCCGAAACGATCCCAAGTTACGCGTCTTGTGTAGTCCTTCGAAACATAGACAGGCATGCTGCATATACAGATTGCTTTGTTGGCGTGGGATAAAGCCAATGGCTCTGCACACCTCAAGGCTACGAGCCAACCGCCGTGGATGCTGTCTGCCTGATTTGTCGGTTTGCCAAACAGCTCGTTTCGTGGCTCGAACATCATTCGATTAACGGTTGGAGCACCTTCGCTGATCACTGCCCTGCAGGAGTTGAGGGGGCCAGGGTTAAGCTTCTTTGTGTATAGGATGTGTGCTTCACGTGGGGGGCTGCAGAAGGCTCTGACCGGCAGCAGTGGGGCAAGCACAATGCAGCTTTGCTCCTTCCAAGCTGCTGCGTAATTAGGAGGCCCACTCGGCACACCTGAGTTGTAGGCTCTGTAGTAGTAGAGACCTTCCACCACAAGGCAGGCTGTCAAAAGCAACATCAATTGCCTTCGACCTAGACACCCAATCGCGGCAGTGCCGAAGCTCGTAGGCGCTACTGCTCCCAAGCATCACCCTTACGTACTGTCTCTGGGGCCAACTGCAAACAAACAGCACGGTATGGCCAGCCGAGCAACACCGAAAGCGCTGCAAGAGGATGTGCAGTCCTTCTCAGCTCGCGGCTGATAGTTCCGTGAACAAGGCCACGATTCGTGATCCTCACAATCAGCAGGCTAGTGACCCCTAAACCGGTTGTGCGCAAGTGCAGGACCACTGCCAAAGCATATCTATTCCAGGAGCATACTGAATGTTATTCACGGCTCAATCGAGATGAGAGGGGGGCGACGGGCAACGTGTGTTCAAGCAATGATGCGCCACTTCTGAACAACGCTCGCCAGATCCAAAGGCACAAATGTTGCGACCACTGTGAGGACAGATCAGTGCTTGCACAAAGTCAGCTCAATTCTTTGACTCGGAAGACTGGTAGCATGAGTGCAAGAAAACGAGTAGACTGTTCTACGGCTGCAAGTGTCCGTGCAAAGCTCGCAGCTGGTACGTCCTGCGGCGGATAGGGCTTGATGCGTCCTGTACGAAAATCAACTGCAGTCACACAAGTCTTGAGTCAGTGCTAGTGCTAGTTAAATAGAACATAAAGATTCCAGATACACTATGAATAGAATGTCACGGAGATCTGAGAAGAGCGGACGGTACATTGTAAGACGCATTCGTGATCGGGCCGATGCTTGTCCTGTGGGAATGCTCAGGCGCAGGGGCACTTCGTTGGTTTTCACCCCTTCTGCCCTAGGCGCCTCTCGTCTGCAGGCCTACACCTCGCCTCATCGGGGCATATGCTGTCTCATTGACGCAGTTGACCTTTACTCTTCCTGCTCGGCTACTTGACTGCATCACGAATCCTCGGAGCGCATAGTCATCATCGATTCCTACGAGCTTCAAATCTCCAACGGTTCCGAGAGGCGCAGAGTAACACACGACAAACGAAAGCAGACCATGGCCATTTGAATGCACTGCAGCGAATGCCACAGTTAGCCTGGGCCTCAGACTTCAGATATTGAGACGCTGGTAAACGACAACGTGTTCTGGGCTACAACGCTCAGTGGAAATTGGGCGGCATCGACAAGCTGTTTACGTCCCCCGTCTTGCTGTCATACGTTGAACATCGCAGCTGTGCGCAACGGATCACTATCTGGATCTACTGGCATCTAAGCACCTAAAAGCTCACAGTCACAGTCCGATTAGAACTATCGAAGTACCATCGTCCGCTGTCCACAGTCGCAAACGTTCCCATCGTCGCACCGCGCCTACCTCTCACCGAAAGCTCATACCTTCACCATCACAATACTCTGGGGATCAGTCACACTACAAGGAGGACGGTACTGTGCACTGTGGCGCAGCTTCAGGTGTTCATCGTCGCCAACGTAGCCCTCAGAAAGCCCTTGAAAAGCACCGCTACATTGAAGTGTATTACTGTAGCTTCACTTTGTGTTATGACACCTTCGTGCTCAGGTAATCTTGGATATCCAAGGCTCATCGGCTGACTACGGCTCGACCATCAAATGGTCGTAAGAGCACAGGAACGACCGAACTTCCAAAGTTTTCGAAGACGCTAGGGGCTGTACGAAGACTCCCCCATTCCGCCCTCGCCACGCCAACGCAGCTCAAACTTTATCGAATGCCGCTAGGCCCCCACGATTTATACTATAATACCTCCGATTCGATGTGTATGGGCTGAGCAGTTGCGTTCTTCGAACTATGAACACGACTGACAGTATAGGCCGTACAACTATGATCGGTCGTCTGTAGCGTGCTGTCGAAGCAACGTCGACTTGGCCATCGGAGGGTTGCGAAATCGAGCGTGGGAAGTCTTCGAGACAGAAACGTACGGCAGAAGCAATCGCAGATAATCGCGCTCTTGCTCATTCAAGGTTTGCTAGAACAGAGGCGATGAGACTGCGGCAAGTGAACCAGACTCAAACATGAGGAGCGAATGGCACCGAAAAGAGAGATCCTTCCTCGCTACGTCGAAGATACCAATAAGACGAAATCTCGAATACCGGCACGCATAATCGGGCACGAAGCCATATCCGTCCATCGCTCTTCATAAGGCTTTCTCGATCCGTGTACAACTTCTCGAAGCTTGTCACCTGCAGTACTACGCACACACATAAGGAAGCAAGTAACCGAATGATTCACCAGTCGACAGTCGCATATCGGATCGTTAGCCATGGACGAACGAATCCGTGCGTAAACATTATGCGAAACGCTAGTACAAGAACGCGTCCAAACATCTCCCATCGCCAATCCTCCCAGCATCCGAAATTCGGTCTTTGACGAAGATTCTGTGACACACATAGTTTCGTTTGCCTACAGACGTGAAATATCTCGGCGGAACGGACATGTTCAATACTCATAGACCGTGCCAGTGAAGCGTTGAAAGTCAGAAAGCTTGAGTCGAACCACCAACTTGATGATGTTGAAGTTTTCCGCGCCGTGTTCAAGCTAGGGCAGATAAACAGCACTGGTCGTCCCGGTTCAGTCACTGAATCGTATCCATCTACGTCTGTTCCGATGCCCGGAATATGAGCTGAACGGTGGTGACACCCGCGAACAGAGCGTTGGTACATATGTGTGGGAAGGCGATACGGTGTGACTACCAAGTGCTCAAGCTGGCCACATCAGTTACGCATTCGATGGACAGACTTGATGGCAACAGTCTGCGTATGCATCATTCTCTTGTCGAGTATTTTCAGCAACGCATACGAGGCAACTGTCGACATCCCGATAGCATGTTTGCGCAAGTATCTACCTTTCCACCCAATGCTCTGCATTATTCATGATATTATAATAGCTCCGCCTCATAGCTTATCTTTAATGACGAATGAATGCATAAATGCACAAACATTCCACATGCCACGATATAGAAATTATTCTGATGCCTTGTCAGGAATCGCAGAGACACATGTCGCGTCGACGACCCCACGCAAGAGCACCGACAGTGATTCCGTGGAATCCAATGAGCAGTCGCAGGGAGACCTTCCGCAAGTCGCCACGTCGAAGGGTCGCGTCCAAGACGAGGCTGCATACCGTACATTGGTCCCTGTGCTCTGGGTGCAGATGGCTCGGGCCGACTTGGCGAAAATGCACACTCGTACAACATCATTGCTTTGTGCTATGTATACATGTGCTCACTAATCAGCTCGCTCAGAAGGAATCCGCATACGAGAAGTTTATCATACGCATTTTCTTCGGTATAATTTTGTAAAATCAATCTATCACGAAGAGACTGGCTAGTCAAACTTCAAGGAAGTGCAATGAAGATGTTTACATGAAGTCCGACGGACTCACCTGTATGCAAGCGGATTAACGCCGTATGCACTGTTTCCACATTACGAACCGACCCACTGGCGCTCACCGCTTGACGGTTGTGCCCGCCAACGTGCAGGATCGATCCCCATCTGGGCGGTTCATGTGTTTGACTCAGTATCTAGAACATCTCCACGGGTTCCCAGGTGACTACTCTACTCGAAGCAATCGCTCTTATTACAAACGGTCTATCACTCATTGCTCATGAGGGTAAGCTCAAGCTCAGTATCACTGAATCATCCAGAGTAGGACCGTATTAGAAGGTTTCAAACGCACAAGGAAACTTTTGACAGTGGTAATCACTTTGCCGAATAGTAAGTCTAGGTCTTTCTGTGTTTTAGTCATGCGTACAAATGCTAGTTATCCACCATCCCTTATACGAGACCCACACAATGCTACTAATACATGTTTAAGGCGGAAACAAGTACCGAAATATGCCTGACATTGTCACTTCGTCCACTTGCCGTAGCTGCTACCCAGAAGCGGCCTCCAAGAACGCGACATGTAACCCTCGCTGGTACTACCACAATATGTATACTCTTTCCTCTTATGAATGATCAATGGCAGGGAAGAGAGCGACAAGCTGGTTCTCTCAAAAGCCTCTCGCATCAGAAGATTTTAGACAGAACTCCAAAAAACCCATAGAGGACAAATGGCGCAGTAGTCCCGCGCGTTCATCAAGATACATAGCTAAATTGAATCCTAGTTGTATTTCATCTAGTTCATTGATAAATCCACATCTTAACGATGATGACAATGACATCTACAAATCTGATCAATTGAAGTGCATAGACGCCGCTTTCCACAACACGGCCTACCGCTGACACCCTACGCAATTCTCTTCGAACCTCCCAGGCAGTTTGTGCCTCCACCTATTCTGCAAAACACACCTGCGCTTGATCTTAGAGGTTTTCACTCATCCTCGCAACGATCTTCCCCTCTTGAATGCTATGCTGGCCTCCCCGTTACCTCCCAAGAGAGATACTTCCTCGCCCACCCTGCAATTTCACGGCTACTTCATCACCATCCATATCTCGAAAACCGCTTATGTTCACAGATCTTCCCATTTACCTCCGCGCGCCAGCCTTTCCCTCCCTTACTCAGGCGCCCCTCTTCCCACGAACGAGATAAATACTTTTCACCCCCAACCCAACACAATCCACCCGGTCCGCCAAGCGCACGCCAACTTTTTGAAGCAGTGCTCACCACCTAGCCCATCATGAACCGTACTACGCATATACTGAACGCCCTCTTTTCGATCAATTTCACTACCACCTGCACCGCCCGCAGCGCAGAAATCACTCTACAGCTTCTCCACACCTCTACTTCCGTACCGCACTTCAACGTGAAAGCCTCGGTTCTGCTCATCAATTCTCTCTCAGTACGCGGCAGCGTAACCTTCACAGACTCCATCACACATGAGACCACTCTGCACAAAGTGAAATGACCAATGCGATCTCTAGGCTGAACAAGTAAATGCTAATAAAAACAATGTGGGTATTTTGCAAAATGTACAGTAAAAGAAACAACCCTCCACAGGCAGATAGGGGTATAAATGTACAGTGGGAATGTGCTGTATCAAGATGTAGCCATATCTGTGAAGACATAGCCGCACCTGTTCAAACAAGCCTTTACGATGAAACAGTCGCTGCCACACCCTCATCTAAGCATGTCCGCCGTGATGCACATCTAGAACCGTCCACTCTCCCTCCTCATGTTCCCCGCACCCCCATTCCACCTCGCAAATCTATCCGCCGCACTAATTGTGCCATCACTGCCCGACGCCTTCAACCCCGCACCAGGCATACTGATCCTCTTCAACGGGCTGCCCTCTCTCCGCACAGGCGTCCCCGTTCTTCGTTCAACACCATGACCACCAAGACTTTCCCGCCCTCGATCCTCGCGATCACGCACGAAGTTTGTAGAAGCCGACTTACGCAGCGGCGAGTTCGCGTGCGAAAAGACACCGAGGCTGCCTCCATCGCTGCCGGTGGCTGAGGGCCGGTATTGAGGCTGTGCTTGCGACTGGCGGAAAGGGTTGGGTGTGTGGGAGGGGCGTATGGGCGAGGAGAAATCTGCACCGGTTGCGGTGGAAGTTGTGGAGTAGTTTGCGTTCGAGTTCGAGTACAGTCTACCGGACGGTGTCTGGGTTGCCGAGCGGAGATTATCAGGGTCGTATTGCGAGGCGTATGCAGGGTTTGGATTCGTCCGGAAGGTACGATTAATGATGGTGGTCGGGGTGTATGTGGTGATTTGGGATGCGAGGTCATCGCTGCTGCCGCGGACGCCTACGCTGGAGTCTCGAGACCGGTTCTTCGAGATAGCTTGGATGCCGACGTCGCGGTATAATTTTTGTGTCGATGGGTGTACGAACTTGTTGTCGTACTCGTGGAGGACTTCGCGCTGAATGACGGCGTTGTCGCGGATCTGGCTCGCAAAGGAGGAACGTATGAGCCACAGTGAAAGGGAAAGGAAAGCGCCGATGGCGATGGTGGTGACGACCCTGATGCTCGGTTGCTGGTCCATGGGTGGCACCGGGAGGTTCAACCAGTAGATGGCGACATGTAGCGGACTGAAGAGACAAAACATATCCAGACAAAACGGGTTCGGGTCCCAGACAGAAATTTCCCATACATCTCTGCCAGCGTCTGGGTGAGCGCGCGAGTCTGCGGAACCAGGACTCAGGAGGGTCTGGAAATATCGCAGTGGTGTTACGGCGGCGGGCGAAGAATCTACTCGCACTCTGTGCGCAGATGGCGTAGACGGAGCGGTCTCGATAGGCTGCTCGAACAGGCGGTAGTGCCGCTTCTTGTAGAAGGTGACGAAGCTGTTGAAGACGGCGATGATCGAAAGAGTCGTCACAGCGAGCTTAGAGAACCATGTAAACCAACCTGGACCATTGTTTGAGCCTAGTAGTATGTCGTCGTTGCGGGGACCGCTAGCTGTGTTGGCCTGCGCAATGATATAGACCAAGTTGAAGACGAAGCCAATGATGAATGCGTAGTCTTTGGCGAAGTCTTCCCAGTCATTTGTGTTCAGCTCTTCGTAAATCCACAGTAGCCAGTCGTGGACGTCGAGGTAGGCCTTGACACGCTCCATGAGCGGCGCCTTGCGGACGAGGCGTTCGCGGGGTGGCATCTTGTTGAGGTGCGGTTCAAACGGCGGGTGTACAGCGAAGAAACCGGGCGATTAAAGTTCGAGGTGGTTATATTGAGGTATTCAGTACAAGAAAGCAAACCTGGACTCACGGCATCGCGCGCCGCGATGTCTGAGGGAGCAGTGAAAGAAAGAGCAAAGGCCGTAAACAAGCAGGCACGGAACATTGTTGTTCCGGGGGAGCTGCTGCCCGCCCATGACGACGGTAGCTGCCCTCCGAGCCTAGGCGTCTCCAAGCTGCCCATACGCAGCGTGTACCAACCTACACCACCATGTCAGCTTCTACAGCCCAATACAAGGACCGCCAGTTCCTCGCTGTCATTGGCGATGAGGTATGCCATTGGATTGCCGTGCCACTACTCCGTTAACAGCTCCCAGGACACGGTAACGGGCATGTTGCTCGCCGGCGTCGGGGTATGCTTGTCCTCAGAATCGCGTAAAAGCGAGTACTAAGAACCCTTGCAGCACGTAACGCAGCCTCCGGATTCGCAGAAGAACTTTCTTGTAGTGGATGCGAAAACGCAGAACGCCGACATCGAAGCCGCATTCGATCGCTTCACGCAGGAGCGCAAGGATATTGCTATCCTTCTCATAAACCAGCATGTACGACACTCGAAAAACAAGAAGAGGCAAAGGGTGTGCAGCTGACTTGCGCAGATTGCGGAGCGAATAAGGCACCGAGTCGAGACTTACACCGCCGCTTTCCCGTCCCTTCTTGAGATACCCTCGAAAGACCACCCCTACGACCCCGACAAGGACAGTGTGCTCAAGCGGGTGCGAAGACTGTTTGGAGAGTAGGCTAATGTACAAAGAGAGGCGAAGGTCTTGGGTGGTGGGCATATATGGCACTGCATCTGTACACAAGTCTTATCACGATTTGAAGATATCCAGTTCAGCACGAACGAAAACAAGTCCATTATTTCATGACAACATGACTCATGCGTAGCAATTACAGAACCCAGCTTTACTTAAGATTGACAGACAATGGATATCTCGCTCAACTTGAATGCAAGAGCCAGCACGTCGACCTTTGACAACTCGACCCACCAGAACAACCCGACAAATGTTCACTTAAAGCTCGTTCCTCAACCGATTCTGCATGATATTCACACCCAGCCCGGACATTGAAAAGTGCCGCTTCCCTACTTTCACAGATCTGGAACGCGTTCAGATACCCCTCGTTCGCGTCAAGGGCAGCCGCCGTGGAGTGTTTACCGATGGAAGGTGATCTCAGCCGTGAGGCAGGTGATGTCGTCTCCGTCCTTGGTCTTGACTTCCGCCTTGACATTGTACTTGCCCTAATGTAGCTATTAGCATAGGGGATCTCTTGTGCAGATATGATTAGGGAATGTACCGGAGGGATCTGCTGAGGAAGATCAACATCCTTGGTGAGCTTCATCTCGCCCTTCTTCAATGGGCATTCCAAGTCTGCCTTTTTCACCGTCTCGCATGTGTCGGCGTCCTGGTTGATCAGGGTAATCAGATTGTTGTATCGGACCGTGAGGTGCATTTTTGAGCCCTCCTCGACCTGCTTCTGGAAGTCGCCCTTGGCTGTGATGCTGAGAGTCTGGCCCCTGCAAGATTTGTGTTAGTTCAGACGTCCCAGGCCTGAAGTTTGGAAAAGCAACACTGTTGCTCACGATCGCAAGACGTACGGTAGAGGTGGGTTAGGGTCCAGATCCACGTTTTCAATGTCTAGGATGTAGTCCTTGGGGTCTGCGCAGAAGTACAGAGGATTGTCGCCCGGAACCTTTAAGTCCTCGTTGATCACGGCCTGGTTGCCTTGAATCCATGACGGGCTCGCTGAGACGGATACAGCGCTGGTGGCGGCGAGAAGGACGGTAGAGACCTTCATGACAGTGGTGGTATCCTCGACGATGCGCGAATTCGGGAGAAGAGATCGAAAGCTGCAAGTATGGATTGCGCAGCTGTGGAGGACTTGAGGTCAAGGTCTGGAGTTGCCGCAGCGATAGCGCAGTCGTGATGCTGGGGCTGGGCTGGGGCGAGTGGCCCGTGCAGCCCGCTAACTGCGTCATTTGGGGTCAGGTGCGAACGGGCGCCTACGCCGAGCCGCCTCGGCATTCACCGCCGCACCGTGCATTCCAGAGGTCTTTATGTATAGTCGTCTTCCAACGAACCCCAATGACCTCTAGCAGCTATAGTATTGGACAGTACGAAAGATCTGGGCCACCTTCCCGAATGATGAAATGGGTAGGTTGGCGACAAGCCCGATCGTAATCACCCTCAGAAACGAATTGAATGGCGCGAAGAGAAGTGATGTCTTGACCTGGTTTTGAGACTCTACGTAGGCGTCTCAAATAGAAGCTGCGGTCCGACCATGAAAAACGATCTACAAAGTTCGGCAGTGTTGCCTGGAATGCTTTCCAACGAGTAGACAGTGGGCGTCAATAATCGGTACTATCAACGCCGGTGGAGCACTTCCACGCAAAAGATTCACGGGTGCGGATTATCGACCAGCTGAGGATCTAAGTGAAACGGCACTCGAGCTACTGATTCAGAATGTATCAGGTCCGACAACGAGACTTAACAGACGAGGGAGTCGGCCACGAGGTCACGCAAGCATTCAAATCGATGAAGGTGCATAAAGCAAGGCCAATGAGTATGGAGAATGAATCGTTGCTTTTGGCGGCGTGAAGCGCCTCGATCCAACCGATAGTACCCAATGCGGAGTGAACTCAATGCTTGTCGGAGGACTCGCCATGCCACTCACCTTCGAACCATTTCCGGCCAGTTTGGCCAGTAGCGACTGATGCCACAGTTTTTGATGATGCGAGCGCTGGAGCGGAAGTAGCCGTGCCAGCCAGAGTAAGCGTAATCAACCCATGAGTGACCACGGCAACCTTGGAATGGCCGGACCCATGGTTGAAGAAGAAACCACTGTAGGAGCTGTCGCGAAAGACACGGTCTCGACTTAGAGCGCTGATTCTAGTGAGGCCTGTGAAAGTCGGTATGGGAATTGTCGAAGACGATAGAGGAGTCACAAGACAAGTTTGATATTGAATCCTTTGGACCACAAAGTCGAGAGACTTGGCTTTCTAGAAGAATGATTATTTGAAGTCTAACCTGCTCTATGTTGCATGGAAAAGAGATGATGACAGCGCCCATGCTATTACGCGTCCTTAAAATTTTGGGATGGGAGGCACCTACTTCCTGGCCGTGTTGCAAGAGGCGAGCAAAGTGCTGATTCATTTAGACTCCTGCAAGACGAGTTTGAACAGTTTCTACCAGGCGTCACTCTGGACACCACTAACGTGCCTCATTCATCTGGGGGATTGGGTACCAGAGTGTTAGAGGCTTGGGGTTTGCATCACTAAGGTCTGACGCTCAATGCTCGCATAGTTCGTATATCGTGGACGGTGCAGAAGCTTTCGGTACCAGTGATAATGGGCTTTGGACAAACATCGACTATCCTACACAAAACCCTCTGCGCAGTACCTAGGTAGTTTTAAACTTTATGCAAGAAATCGTCCAAAGATGTCGCAGGCTCTGTGAAGTTGAGTCAAATTCATCTGCCTGACGATGGTCACGCATATTATCCCGTCGAGACATACAACAACACCATACGCTTCATAGAATTATACAAGTAATCACGGTGCGGGTGCTTTTTCGAGTTCGTCGGACAGCATCACGCAGACCTCTTCACAGGCCCCGTTCACAGACTCCCATCTCAAACCGCGGCTACACACAGTCCTAGCACGGAGCCAGATCACCAACAACTGACCAGCTCACCGCGTACTTTGTTGTACAAAATTCATGACTACAGCCCAGTACCAGAATGCAGTATAACACCCGATGTCCCTTCTTTTCATTCTTTTCAAAAGGGCAAAGTGAGCAAATCTCCCTAACCTAGCATCGTCGTTTCCCAACGATATCAAACGAGCAGAGCATCGCAAAGAAAGATGTACGTGCCTAACACCACGGCGCCATTCCCCACCAATTTCGCTCTCACGCATCTGACCACTCTCACGAGCGTCTACCCCGCCATCATCGGTTGTGTGATTGGAGGAGATATCTTCGCTTGCTGTCTATGCTGTCGATGTTTGTGTTGTCAGAATGAGGGGTTGTTAGGATTACGAGGCCGAGACAGGCTAAGGATTGTTGGGCCGAAAAAATCGTGTATTTCATAAGCTGCAGACTACTTTCATGATCTTAAGTAGCTCATACGTTTCATATGATTGTGGACTGGGGTAATGGTCACATATGATGGACAAGCACGAATGAAGGACTGGTGTGAACCAAGGACCACTTTCACGTTGTCCAATACATTACCAGGACTACATAACGTCGTTCGCTGTATCCTCACGACTCAGCGATAGCCGGCCAGAAACCTTGCTCCCCCCTTCCCCTTACCCTTCCCAACATACAAAAGCCGCGTGTGACAAGCACGCGCGCGCATATACAGGTATCCCATCGTCAAGGTATCAATCATCCCAACGCCAACGCTCATCAAGTCGTAAAACAGAATGCTCGCCTAAGCGCGCTTTTACTTCCCCAAACTACTTCCACTCCAGGAGCTCGGCGCCCAACTACTGACCTTACTCGAGATAGCACTCCCGCTCCACCAACTACTTCCTCCATTACCCCAGCCCTTTCCAAATTTCTTCTTCCCGCCGCCTAATCCCGTCTTCGACTCCATTCTATCCTCCCACTTGAGCTTCGTCTCCATAATCGAGTGGATGCTATTGATGATGAGAAAGCTCGTCGACCCCATAGCGCGGAAGAAGGCCAAGCCCGCAACAGCCCACAAGATGAACTTGAGATAGAAGTTACTCGAAATGTGCTGACCACCGTACGCCTCGGACACGGCCATAGCGAGGATAGCGTTGGAGATGAGCCACACGACGACCATGTACGTGCGCACAGCGCGGTAGTAGTCTTCCTGTGCCTGGGCTTCGTTGAGACCAGGTTCGGGCACTTCGATGCGGTCGCGAAGGTTGCGGAGGGCTTCGTCGTAGCCTGAGTCGATGTCGAGTTGCTCGGATGGCATCTCAAGCTCGACGACGTTCCCCTTCTTGGCTTTGGCATCTCCGAGGTCGGTCTTTGCGACGTTGTCACCTTTCGTGCCCCATGTGATATCGTGCGTGTTGCAGAAGGCGTAGACTTGCAGGGTGCAGATATAACTAGGCAGGAGCGCGAAGTACTGGGCTGAGGAGGTGAACATGTGCCAGGGATCCAGGTACATGAAGGACATTAGGAAGTACAAGCCAACTGTTGTTGCGGTCGAAATGATCAAGTTGGTGAAGACATTGTTTCCGAGTGTCTTTGGCTGTTTGGGATCTCGCAGCTGTTTGACGACGATGAGGATCGAGGCAAACGTAGTATATGCCATGATGACACAGTACGCAATCATACTCCACAAGAACATCTTCTTCGCTCCTTGCGGACGGTTACCCATGGATAAAATGAACTGCATGCAGATCAAGAGCACACATGTGTACCGCAGGAAGATGAAGATGTATTTGGCAATGTTGTGGCCGAAGGGGTCGTAGTTCTTATCGCTGAGCGAACCGGCGATGAAGAAAAATGTGAGATAAAAATTGGCTAGGGAGAAGAAAGTGAACATGAGCTGAACGAACTGGTAGATAAACTCGATGTGGAGCAGTATCTTGCGCCAAATGGTGTGGTCTGTTGCCCAAACTTGCTTGAAATGCAGTAGCGAGTAGACAGCCGCGAAGAAGGCACCATTGAGCCAACGACGACGTTGTGAGATAAATTCGGGCACGGCATCTAGACAAGTTAGCTATGCAATTTTCGTTCCCATTAGATCATTTGTGCGGCTTACCAGGCACATCAGTCTCGCCCGTAGCTGCCTTGACATACTTCAAGACCCACTGCTCGCTGCGCTTCGCCACCAACTCCCAACATAGAATACGATCTTCGGCGAGATACATATTGGCTGTGAAGACATCTGCATCTTGACCATGCAGTGTCTCACCCTTGAAATACTGGCTCAAAGGACCGTGGCCGGTATGGTCATTCTGTAAGGCGATGTACCGATATGCCGACAGCGCACCTGGCAAGACAGTGATGTATCCAAACACGGATTCCAGTGGTTTATCGAGGATATTCGACATCTTGTACTCGAAGTTTTGCGACGCAACTAACGGATTGAGCAATCCCAGCCAGCCTTTGCCCTTTCCGGCTTTGATCTCGCCAGCAGCACCAGCGACAGAAGAGTCGTTGTCGAAGGTCTTCCAGAGATGATACAGTGCCTTTGGTCCAGGCTTGGTTCCAACGTCAAGCAGAATACAGACATTAGGGTTAAGTGCTCGTCCGAAGGCGTTGAAGAACCATCGATGTGAGTTGAGTTTCTTCTGGTTGCGCTCCTTCATGCAGAAGATCATCTGCACGGGAACAATGCCTTTCTCAGCCCCCTTAAACTTGAGATCGGAGTCTAGAGAGACCTGGGTAGTGTACTCGTAGACGTGCGCAGAGACCTCACGCTGGTTGACGTGGTTTTTTGCGATGCCCTTTTGGAAGCAGCCCATGGCAGCGAGAGCATCCAGTGTGCGGGGATGTACTTTCTGACGACCGTCTGAGATGATGCAGACGACAATTTTCTGCCACCCATCTTTGCCCCAGGTACGTGACTTTGTTCGAGAGCAGAAGTGGCTGATGTTGCGCATGACTCCGTGCATTGTTCGGGTGAAGTCGATCTCATTTTCGTTGTACATGGTGATACATATGAAGAGCTCCGTCTCACGGGGGGTGCCAATGTTCTGTCGTAGCTTGTAACCTCTATCGACAAAGTCATCGGGATCGCATGTTACGGCCGTGTATCGCATGTGTGTAAACTCAATGTCATCGCGCCGCGGCAAGAAACTGTACAGGATGGTCGGGATCTTGCACTCCAGGATGAGCTCTCCGTTAATGAGACGGACTTCCTTCTTCGTCATGACTGCATCACGTGCGCCGCGTCTCGGCTGCGCAGCCTCTGGCGCTGGACCGTAGTGGTCAATCTTCTCGTCCATGTCCGTGTACTCGTCTGCGATGGTATCCTCAGTCATGTATGAGTCTCTCGAGTTTAGTTCAGGCCGGTCATCACCGTATTCGGTGAACGGGTCATCGGGGTCAATGGGTATCGAGCTCATGTCGAGGGTTGCATTTGAGTCGCGCGAGATGGGCCTGCCACCGGCGAATAGAGGTGCTGGGGGCAGTGGCCGCTTAGGACTACCCGGTCGCTCGCCGCCGTACCTGGAGGATGGCGTGCCGGGCCGTGGACTTCCGTTGAGGTCTACTGGCTCGTACATGTTTGAGGACGCTGGCGGTCGCGCGTAGTCTGTGGATGTGCGTGTGGGCGAGTATGGCCGTCCGGGAACGGCGCGGTGGGGTGAGAGTGGGCGGCGGTAGGGTATGTAGGAGGGGGAGTCCTCGCCGGGAGGAGGCATGTTCGGCGCAGTATCAAGCACTGAGGGCGCCCTAGAGAGTGGTAAAGAGGACATGGAGGGCTGATAGGATCGAGCCACGGGCGATGGCGGCCTGCGGGTGTCATACAACGGTAAGCCTGGTTCCTGCGTCTTTGTGGGAGAGAGGCGGTCCACGAGCCGCGTCTTGATCGACTTGCGTTTCAGCGTCTGCGGCACCGGGTTCGAGGTCGCATTTGCGGTCGAATTCAGTGCCGCGTCGGCTTCACGCAAGAGGTCGACGATGTCCGCTTCAACGTATGCTTGTGCGCCTACTTCGGAGCGCGTGAGCTTGTCGCCCAGCGTGCCGGCGGTGCTGCCCATGGTCGATGACAGCGAAGCTGATTCTCGTTTCTGGGGTTTTCTGCGTGCGCAGTATGGAATGAGTTTTGGGATGAGAAGAGATAGGTAGGAAAGAGTGATACTCACGACACATAGCTCTGTGTATCGTCGGCGTGGGTCAACAAGCGCATCGTCGACCCTCCTTGCAGATGGCCCGGCGACGGCTCCTCGTCGTCGTATGCAGGCGGGCGCCCGTACGACGCATGTCCGCCTGGTGTGTCCATCGGCTCCACAGTGTTGTCTTGCGCGGTTCTTGCGCCAATGCACCCCACAACTGGTCTTTTGTCGTCAACGGAGCGATGGGATAGTGTATATGATAGGGTATGATAGTGTATGATTTGGAGAAGAATGCGAATTGTATGCTTGCAGTACTAGCCGTAGTTCTGGAGCGAACGTTGCGGCGGGAGCTCCGGCAGCGCGGGCGCGTGTTTGGAGGTGCTCGTTTCCACAGCAACGACCGACCTACGCCGCACGGCCTTCGTTGGCTGCATGCGCCTCAACGGCATCTCCAGTTTTCAGCGCAGCGCAGGAGAACTCCCGGGGAACATGATTCGGTTCCGTGACCTGTTCCTGAATTAGTCTTCAGCCGCGTCTGACCAGCTCCGACGTTGCTGGGCACTTACCGAGGGTGTCTTCCGCATCGTTGCACCCCCGTAAACCGTGTCATGAGCAAACATTGTCAGCGCTCTCGGAAAAGACGACCACAAGACTACCTACAAGATGCTGTCAGTGCAGACGACGCGTCACCCGCTGTTCATAGTGGGAGTCCGAATGTCGTGAGGCGAGCTTTCCTGCCAAGCTGCTTATACTGCATGGGAAGACTGGTCTACCTACGGTACTTTGCGCTAGACAGTTTGATCGATACCGGATTAATTCCTACCAAACGTAAAACGAAGGGGAGCAGGAACCATACTAAGGCACGCGAGCGTCCCTATAGATTCCAAGTCCAAAGACCGCGTCTGCGGGGTGTGTGTGTTGTTCTTCGCGTCTGGGCGAGTGAAGGGTGTTGCTGTCAAAGTGTCATGGACGAAGGTAGGACGTAAAGGAAGGAGCCGGCGCCATTGTGCGGAGAAAGAGCATCCACTATGCACAAGAACCGTGGCATGACAGGGCCTATGACGCACCCCTCTCACTCCACGATCGTTGCGCCCGCCTCGGACGCTTTCTCACATTTTCAGCTCCAGCATCGCTATCACCATTGCTTCCACACTGCTCTTTACGGGGTTGCTTCCCCCAATGAACAGGCCAACCGAGTATCGCTCACCTCGGCGTTCGAGAGAGGACTTTCTCTCGCCGCATGGTTCAACAAGAAGTCTCCGAAGCGTGACTTCCCATCGCTCCCAGAGGTCGGCAGTATCTCGACGTCCGGGCAACCAACTTTCCACCATCCACTCACGATCCAACCTCTCAGCTGAATCCTTCCGACCTACCTCCCCACCGCTCGGCTCTCTTATCCACCCGCACCCCCTATCGTCTTCTCACGTCTTAGCCCACAGTCCATATACTCACAATCATCCTCACCTACATTCTCACTGCACTGTAGATACCGTCCCAACCCTTGATCGTTTCCCTCGCGGTCCATATCAGACAACGTGCGCCTACTGCGGCGTCGATCCCGCCGTTCTCTTCCCCACACATCCCTGGGACCATCGGCAACCTTGGTGGACGCACCTCAAGCAGGAATACATACTTGTGAAGCCTTATCTCGAGTGGCAGCGCAAGGAAAAGTATCGCAGGAAAGAACGCAGGCGTAGCGAAGGCAAATTGAAACGTCAGCGCTTCCAACCAAGGAAATTGAAGAAGAATTGGAAAGTGGAACTGAAGCGGTTCGCTTGGAGACTCACAGGCTGGAACCACTGGGAACCTTCGAACAAGACCTCGCAGCCGCCTCAACCGGAGTACCAGATTGTTATCACAGGCGGTGAAGAGCCTATAGCAGCACAAGATGATCGAGACGTTCATGGACATGAAACACGGGAAGAGCTCCTACGAGGGTTTGAAGCTCGAAAGGACGGCGAGCCAGCTGATACATCGAATGCAAGAGACGGCGTCAGAAGACCCATTGGAAAGCACGAAAACAAGAGTCCTAGGTGTGTTACCAGTCGCCGTCATGGCGTGAGGCTATGCTGACCATTCGTAGCAAACGCTAGAGCAATTTACGGTCCCGCCCGCGTCCTAGATGTCATCACGTACGGGAACACCTCTTCTCGCAAGATTGCCGCTGCCATCGTCGAACACAATCCTACTGGTCGCTCTTACGTCCATTGCTGCTCCGCCAAGGAACATACACGGCTGGCCGCGCTGGAGCATTTGTTGGTCATCCAAGAAGATATTATGCAGCGTTTAATGGATCGAGAGGGAATCACCAGCAGTGGCTGGCTCCCTGCAACTGCGCAAGCGCAGCACGCACGCGCATTCAACAGCATGTCGGACTTGGCGACATCGACTCACGGCTTACGTTCGCACGCCCCTTCCAGTGTTCCTTCCAAAGCGCCCAGTCCAAGTTTCTCCTCTGTCCCATCGTCTGTGCCTTCTCAACCCCAGCCACATCGCCCTGGGCGCGTGCAATGGATCATGGGATCAGAGAGCTAGCCAGTACAGGGTAGGCTCTAGGAATTAGCTGGCGGCAAGGAGTCATGCTTGTCAGCGTAATGATATTACTTCCTATTATACTCTCTTTACTTTTGGATATCACGTTGCTCTAGATCTTCTCGCCCTCGAGGATCGGTCTCGCCTCTTCGCTCTTCCACCAGCTGACATTTTCCTTTCCGGGATAAGAATACCTATCCATGCTTTCGGGCTTCATCTCCACGCTGTACCCAGGGCTCATTGGTGTGACATAGTATCCATCCTTAATCTCGGATGGGTGGTGAAAGTGCTCGTGCAGGTGGTCAACGTACTCGAGGACGGACTTCTTCGCAGAGACGCAAATGTAATCGATGGTCGAGAGATGCTGAGTGTACTCGGGAAGCCCAACACCACCGCTGTGGGGAACGATGGGTACGTTGAACTGGAGTTCCTTAGCTGAAGCTTCGAGGGAGGAAAATGCTGGAATGCTTACCTTTGCAGCCATCAGCAAGACGGCAATGACCTCGTTCACACCACCGAGACGGCACGCATCGATTTGGCATACGTCGATGGCACCCGCGGCGAGGAATTGCTTAAACATAACACGGTTCTGGCACATCTCGCCAGTTGCGACTCCAATACCGTATGGCTTCAGGGCTTCCCTGACAGCCTTGTGTCCGAGAACTATGCACTCGTTAGCTCCTTCAATTTCCATTTGGTTCCTCGCCCGCTTCCCCTTCCTCGACCCAAAATCCCCACTCAAGAGGAACCGGAAAACATACCATCATCAGGACTTGTCGGCTCCTCAATGAACCACGGCTTGAACTCAGCCAACTGCTTCATATACTCGATCGCCTCGGGCACACTCCACACCTGATTCGCGTCAACCATAAGCACATTTCCCTTGTCAAACCCAATAATCTCCCTCGCGATCCCCAACCTCGTCCTATCCTCTGCAACATCCCCTCCAACCTTGAGCTTAAAGTGCCTATACCCCTTCTCCAACGTCTCTCTCAGCAGGCCCCTCATCTTATCCTGCCCGTAGCCCAACCAGCCCGCGGAAGTCGTATACGCCGGAACGGCTTTGGACTCGAGGGCTTCTTGGAGACGTTCCTTCTTACCGGCTTCGGCTTTGGTGAGGATCTCGAGGGCTTCTTCGGGTGTCAAAGCGTCAGTGATGTAGCGGAAGTCGATGAGGGAGACGATTTGAGAGGGCGTCATGTCGGCGACGATGCGCCAGACGGGCTTGTTGAGGGTTTTGGCCCATAGGTCCCAGATGGCGTTTACAACGGCGCCGAGGGCGAGGTGGATGACGCCTTTTTCGGGCCCGATCCAGCGGAGTTGGGAGTCGTTCACCTAGTTCTGGGTGTTAGGATGGGGTGGTTTGGAAGAGGCTAGAAGGCGGATATTTTTCGAGTGGACGAAGGGTGTTTTATCTCGGAAGGGAGGGTAGGGGATACGGACCAGATGACGCCATGTCTTCCCCCAATTCTCGACGAGGGAGTCGAGCGTGCGGCCTTTTATGCGGTCGGCGAGGTGCTCGATGGCGGCGCAGACGATTTCGTTGCCACGGCCGATTGTGAAGGTCTGGTTATGTATAAGTAACCTTGTAACACAATAATCTCCATTCAAGCGAAGATGTAAGATCCGAAGATCCGAAGATAAGGTAAAGGGAGGCTCAGAGGGTTGGTACATCCACAGAATCGAGATGTGAACTGCAACATCCTCGGTGCCCTCCCCACAACAGCAGCTAACCCAATTATACCAGAAAACCGCGCAATAACCGCGCAAGCCCGAGCTCATCATTCCACAAGCCCTGACAACTACAGATCTGTTGGAAACTGGAAAAGAAACCACTCACCATGCCATGTCCCTGGTACTCCGAATCCGTTTTCAGAATCGCATACGCAGCAGAGTAGTCACCCGCCGCATTCATAGCATCCGATCCCGTCTTGTCGAGGGACGTCTGCACTTATCAGCCTTCTCTTCTCCCGCAAGTATCGAAAGGGAAACTGGGACAGAGATAAATGACTTACGGGAAACCGCACATCCCTCGTCTCAACACCTGTGATGGTAACCATATTGGAATATATATAGCAATGTGTTCGTAAGAATGAGGTATCAATAGAGACGCAGCTGGAGGGAATGTAAAGGAGAAAGACAGATCACACGGAGAAATTCAATTGCTTGCACCAAAAAAGTTCAGCCAGTGCACCTATATACGTCCAGCCGGTCGTCCACTGGACCCCAAATGCCCCTCAACGCGCCCGCGCGTCCAGATTCAGTGCCCCGCGCTACGCTTGTCATCGGTGGAGAATTGCTCCCATAGGTGGAGAATCATATTCCGAGGGGAATAAGTGTGGAAAGTGGTGCGCCGCTCGGCAACTCAAGGGCCGATGTGCGGCTATAGTTCCAACTTGCACTAGGCTAGTCTCCGCACGTGAGCAGATGGTGGGGGTAGCGCACTCAATGTGGCTGGATTTCTACGAAAGCTGGGGATTGGAGATTGTCCGATTGAGCCGCAAAGCTTGTTGTACTGCACGTGCCTTGAAGTCTAGGTCCAGGCTGACTGATTTACAGCTGATGTAGTCTGTCTACTACTTCAGAGCTGGTCAAGGTGTTGGGAGTGGTTGTGTGGGAGCTGGTTGATCACAACATTAGGACTACAATGACTTGGACACATACGTACCGCATCGAGCACGATACTTTGGTTTTGCTTTTGGTTTTGGTCGCATGAAGACTCTGACAGTTAGTATATTGCCATAGACAGTAACACACCTAATGCCCAGAATCCCGCATCCAAGCCACCAAAATCTGGCTACCTGCTATAATACACTCTGGCGGAGAAGAAGATCCAGAGAAGCTGCGCCCGATCAATATCTCCATGAAATAACGCCCTTTCGCCATACTCACTGCTCTTCACGGTCTGGATGATCTGCACCTTGCGGTAAAATGGCTCACTAAGAGTCTTCGGATTGTGGTCACAGTGCTGTGCTCGCATGGGCCGACCTAGGCAGGCGTGAAAACATGTCCAGCTCTTTTCGAAAAACGCAGAAATGGAGCACTCAGCGCTTATTTGATGCCCCTCCTCTCCGTCTCGCTGTAGTAGATGACCATACGCCAGAGCTTCTTGACCAGGCTTTCGGCTTCGTCTTCGAGGACCTATATGACGATTAGTGAATACTGTATGATGATAGAAAGCAGGTTTACTGACAGGTTCAAGATTGTCCACCAAAGCCTCGGCACTACCATGGCTCCTCAGGTGGTCTACGATGGTATCGACAATCATGTCCTCCTGAACACCAAGCAGGTCAAGCACCTTATTTGCGGCCCATTTCTTGATATCCTCATCGATGTTCTTGTCAGGTAGGTGCTCCCAAGAGACAGACCACTTCCAAAGGCCATTTTTGTCAGCGGGAATATCGCGGGCGAGTTGTTTCTGCGCATCTTCGACTTCTTCTTGGGTGAGGTTGGCACGGACTGCTGCATCGAAGTTGATGGGGATGAGGGTCCGCTTCTTGGAATCGGCAGGATCAACTGTTTCTTCGTCTTCGAGCAAATTCTCGACATCGGCAGCGCTACGGCGAGGAGCAGACTTCTGGTCGAGCTTCTTAGTTGCAGCACCGAGAGAAATCTTGAAGCCTTTCTCTGGCTCGCGAGGTGTCCGGGCACGAAGCATCTCTTCAGCCTGCTCGTTGAGGAAAGCATCCGCCTGATGCCGCGCTTCTGCCTTCTGTTTTTGCCTCGTGGCCATCTCGCCCTCTTCTTGCTCTCTGTCAACGGCATCTTCCCTCTCTTCGCGCTCACGGAACCTCTGCCGTTCTCGCATGTACGCACCATGATCGCGATAGTAAAGTTCGTGTTTGCGGGCCTCTTCCTGGTCATCGTCGAAATTCTTGAGGAAGGCCCCCATTGCTTCACGAGCCTTCTGCTCTTCGGCCTCTTTGTTCTTCATAGTGTTATGTGTCCGCTCAAGGGCCGAAACGCTGCGGCTTTCCTGTTTGAGCCAGCGACTGAGCTCCCTCTCATAGGCCGCATCAAGCTCGGCATTGCGCTTTTTTTTGCGACGCTCTTCAAGCTCGGAGTCGCTCGCGGAATCATCGTCGTCTTCTCGGTTAATGAAGCCGCCATTGATCATGGCTTCGCCATTGACGAACTTCATGTTGCCCTGGTAGTCCCGGGGAAATTGTGAGCCCTTTGGTCCGCTGGGTGCGCCTTGGACACCTCTATCGGCACGTGGCCCGACGGGAACTCCATTGGCACCTCCAGCTACACTACCGCGTCCTTCGCCTGCGGAAGCTTCCTCTTCCTTGCGTAATCGCTCTAGATCACGTTGGTTTGAGCGATCACGGAAGGCAGCAATTTCGGCTGCCACGGTCTCGCGCATCTCAGCTGGGATATCTGAAAGATCATCCTCGCCGCTAGCTGTGATGTCGATTTGAACAATGTCAGGGTTATCCTCGTTTTGTGTGTCCATCATCATGGCATCCCCAGCGAGGTCTGTCTGCGGATCATCAGGCGGATTGAACAGCTGCGCAATTACTTGGTCTAGGGCTTCCTTGGCGGAATCCAGTCGAAATTGCATATGCTCCTCGTCTTCGTTCTTCGTCCAATCTTCAGCGTACTTGACTGATGCGTCGTCAATCACTATCTGCAGCTTTGTTGTCTCGACCTCATCTCGATCCTTCTTCTCGCCTGGAGTCTGTCGCTTCGTCGGGACTTGAACGTCTTGAAAAAGCTCCGTAGCAACTTTCAAGCTCTGCGCATCCCCATATTCCGCGAAACCAAATGTCTGGACCTTGTCGTTCGCATCCTTCGCGCGCGTAAACCTTGTGAAAGCCCCAGCCGTTTCCAGTATCCTTTCGATGCCTGTATCGCCGAGGGCGGCTGGAATGTTGCCAACGAAGATGGTACGCGCAATCTCTTCGCGTGTAGGAGGATGCAGAGGCCGCGCGTCTTCACGCCTACCATCTCGGTCGTCCATTCCCAGTCCGCGTCGCGCAAGAGGAGTTCCGCCATCGCGCCGACCACCTGCAAGGCTGTCAAGATTGCCGCGTTGCGACCCGGAGGTGCCTAGACGTATGACGGGCGCACTGAAGTTAATGTTCGGCATGCCCGCGGGCGGCTGGAAATTGGGAGGCAGCGTGCGCGGACCGCCGAGCTGGGGAGGGCCATTGAACTGGACACCAGGTGGTGCTACGCCGGGAGGTGCTGCAGCACTGCCAGGGGGGCCTATACGATATTCTCAGTACAAGATGATTCAAATGCGATCCATTACCATAGACTTTGAACTTACCCATTCCCGGAGGCGCCGCCATACCTGGAGGGGCTCCATAGCCCGGAGGGCGGTTGTAGCCTGTTACCAAAGTTAACTTTGATCGAGTCGCGACGGGTGAAGTACTTACCACCATAGCTGTTGTACATCTCGAATTGGCGCGTCTACGTTTACTGTCGCGGTGTCAAGTTATGTCTGTCGAAAGTGTATCAGCAAGTGTTCAGGCAGGCGCGCTGCGGGTAAAATGGTATGGAAGCATGAAATCTGTAAACGGCAAGCTCCACCCGCGCAAACGCCAAGAATAGCCCGGCCGAGGTGGAGCCGACGAATTTGGAGAGCGCGTTGGAACGACTCCATCACCATTCGTTTACCTTTCCTACCCAAGTCCGGGCGAACCATTATTTCCCTTCTGTCTGATAGCTCATACTACCTAAAGAGAATACACAGAATGGGCTCCCGCCAGCTTGGCGAGCTCCTGCTCCGCCCAACTTCGCTATCACGCATGTCCTGCACCCAAAACATTCGAAGGGCAGCAGCACCATCATGGAACCGCATGATCACCACCTCGAATAACAACCAAGCCGCGCAACCACAGCCCGAGGAGGTTGATACGCACGACTCCTACGCGCCTCCGAAGCCCAATGCCCCTTCACCAACCCAGAACCCGACGAGCGCCGAGCAAACCAGCGAGGCCATCGATAGCCTCTTTAGCTCCATGCCCGCCTTTTCTCGCCAGTCGTCATCCACATACACCCGCACATCGCAAGAACAAGCAGCTGAACGGGCCCGCAATGTCTTCGGCAGCAACTTCAGCAACGCCAGGGAAGGCTCCGCTTTCCAGAGGCGCGGCCTCGACTTCGAAAGCATGAGCATGGATGGCTTGCCGCTCAGTTTACCGAACCAGCCATCGTCTGTTGCTCCGCTCGAGCCAGAGAAACAAATCTTCCCGCGCTTGAATCCTGCGTTCGGTCGTAGTGTTGAGCTGAAGCCGGAAACGGGCCGCGATCTGGTGCGAGGAATCAACATGCTTGGAAGCCTGATGGCGAGGAATAAGGTGCGGGCGGACTTCAACAAGCAAAAGTTTCACGAGCGACCAGGTCTGAAGAGAAAGAGACTCAAGAGTCAGCGGTGGAGAGCGAGGTTCAAGCAGGGCTTCCAGGATGTAACGGCGCGCGTAAGTGAGTTGACCAGGAAGGGATGGTAATTCAGGATGCAGCATACCATTGAGAGAGAGGCAACTTGTACGATAGATATCTGTTACTGTGGATGTAGGGTCAGCGTACATGTTCTGTACATTATTGATGTATCAGTGGGAGTATTTCCTGGCACATAGAACGGTGGAAACCTCGATTGCGCAAATTTACTATACTCGTTGTCAATTGTTCGTTTCATTGGAGTGCTCACGCCATTGCGCAGGGAAGATAGAGTTCGGAGAGCACGTAAGGAATACATTAGATTCTACGATCGCTTTGGTATAAGCCCAGTTCATGAGGCATGTCAGGGTGTCAGCAGCCTTGGACTCCTACATACCGTCCGAAACCAAGGTCGACATATTATCAGCTTTCGACGTTTTATATATGCCGCTGCAACGCAATCGATATAGGATTTTTTTATACATTTTATGCCGAAGCTAAACATTTACAACCGTTGTATATCACTCCTTCAGCTATAGAATCCATTCTTCCTCCTTCCCCTTCTAGAGCTGTTCCATCTTTAATCCCTTTTCCCAGTCCCAGTCCCAATGCCATACCCATAGCCTCCATATCCATTACTTCTGCCGTTCGTAACGGGAAGAGCGTACCCTCCGCCCCTTCCCACACCCATCCTATCCCCCGCATATCTTTTTAGTCTCCTAGGTAGCTCCACGCCTCTGAAGTATGCCACACATATGGCTGCACTCGCACCTGCGCTTAGCAAGCAATACAGGAACGTGCTCTTATACACATGACCACCATACCCGCTCCACCCCGGCGGCAGCGTCGTACTCGGATACCACCTGACGCTGAAGTGCAGACTTAAGCTATCCCCAATCGTCACCCTCGCATTCCGCGCATGGCTGGCTATAGAATACGCGGTAGCGGCGTCAATAGTCCCCACCTCCTCACTCTTCGGCTTCGCATGCACCAACAAATTCAAATCATTCCCAATATGCAGATGACTCAACTGCAGCGTCCCGCTAAGCGCCACAACCAGCGGTGTATACAAGCTTGACTGGCTCCCCAGCGCGCCCTCCTGCGTACTTTCATCTACCGCTCTAAACTCATTTTCTAAGACGCTCGGGGGTAGGGGTTTGGAAGGAATACGGCAGGACAGCGGCGCGTCGTTATGGATGTAAAACTCGAGGAGGTGGAAAAACGGGTCCGAGATGAAGTCCAGCGTGCAATTTAGGGATTGCTCGACGCCGAAGAAGAGTTCGAGGGGGCGGCCGGTTTCGTTGCACGTCGGGAAGGGAATGTATTGGAGTTGGCCGGAGGCATCGGTTATGTGCTCGCCTGTTTCGCTGCTGTCATATCAGCCTGGCGGCCTTCGGTTTTTGTGATGCTGCCAGCCATCGTGTGGGGATCGAACGTGACCTACACCGTCCTGTTCAAACAGCTGACAGGAATGGGTTCTCCGAGATTATATCCCCTACTTTCTGCAGCACCTTTCAGTGGCTCTTGTCCAGACACTGCATCCGCCAGCGAGATCCAAAAGGAGTAGACTGCGAAGATCGCAAGCCATAGCGAGGGTATGGAGCGTGACATTATATGTACAAAATGCGAGAATCAAGATTATGTTCAGGAAAACGACATGCCACGCAGGTCTGGAGAGATCGCGCTGGGCAATGCCTGGTGTTGTATGCGATCTGTCAACTCGGGAGTCCAGATAATTCAAAGTGCACGGACCCAACACTTCCGCCTTGACTCCGCAACTGTTGTTCAGTGCTTGAGGACTGTACACGTCACATATGATCTAAGCCGTTTATTCTTATTTTTGGAATCTCGTTAGAGCTTAAACATTCTATGAGTCCTGCTAGATGCTCGCCAGTAGTTTTCCTGTTCATTTGTTCATCATGATCATTACCGGATTGTCATTCCTGCCGCTTCAAGTGCTCCCAGGATCTTCACCTACAAAGATGCCTTGCTCTTGAAAGCATTGATGAGGCCGCTCGTGCTGGCGTCGTGCGACGTGGACTCGCTCTTGTCATCGAGCTCCGTCAAGATCTTCTTGGCCAGGCTCTTGCCCAGCTCGACACCCCACTGATCAAAGCTGTTGATGTTCCAGATGGCACCCTCGGTGAAGGTGAGGTGCTCATAGTAGACGATGAGTGCACCAAGAGTTGCTGGGGTGATCTTGTCGGCAAGAATAGAGGTCGTTGGTCGGTTGCCTAAGAAAGTCTTGTGGGGCACGAGATTGTCGGCAGCGCCCTCAGTCTTGACTTCCTCGGGGGTCTTGCCGACCATCAGAGCTTCTGCTTGAGCGAAGAAGTTGGAAGCAAGCATCTTCTGGTGCTTGTTGTTCTCGACGGGGTTGTGGCTCTGGGCAGCCAAGATGAAATCGGTCGGAATGAGCTTAGTGCCCTGGTGGAGCAGCTGGTAGAAGGAGTGCTGAGCATTTGTGGCGGGCTCGCCGAACAAGATTGGGCCAGTTGTATACTTAACATAGTCTCCGCTGCGAGTGATAGCCTTACCGTTCGACTCCATGGAAAGCTGCTGGAGGTAGGCAGGGAACCTATGTAGGTACTGGTCGAAGGGAGATACGAGATGAGTCTGCGCACCGAAGAAGTCGGAATACCAGACACTCAACAAACCACCAATGACAGGAATATTCTTCTCAAGAGGGGTGTTCTTGAAGTGGTTGTCCATGGCATGGGCACCAGCGAGGAACTGGTGGAAGTTGTCGTAGCCAATGTAGAGCGCAACGCTCAGACCGATGGCACTCCATACACTGTAGCGTCCACCGACCCAATCGGAGAAGCCAAACATGTTCTTCTTGTCAATACCGAACTTGGTGACCTCAGCCTCGTTGGTGGAGAGGGCAACAAAGTGCTTGGCAATGTCCTCCTGTTTTGCGCTCTTGAGGAACCATGCCTTGGCAGTGTTGGCGTTGGTGACGGTCTCGGCGGTCGTAAAGGTCTTGGATGCGATGAGGAACAGAGTGGTCTCGGGATCAGACTCCTTGAGAGCCTCGGCTATGTGTGTACCGTCAATGTTGGAAACGAAGTGGAGCTTGAGGCTTCGGTCGCCATATGGCTTCAAAGCTTCAGAGACCATGACTGGGCCGCTGGAAGCTGTCAGTTGATGGATTCACGCGATGCATACTGGTCACGACTGCAATGACGTACAGATCTGAGCCGCCGATACCGACGTTGACGATGGTCTTGATCTTCTTGCCGGTGTATCCCTTCCATTCACCACTGCGAACCTGCTCGGTGAATTCCTTCATGTGCTCCAGCACCTCGTTGACACCCTCCACGACGCTCTCGCCATCTACCTTGATGGGCTGGTTGGAGGTGTTGCGGAGCGCAACGTGCAGCACAGCGCGGTTCTCGGTGAAGTTGACCTTCTCGCCTGCGAACATGTCATCGCGGAGCTTCTCGAGGCCAGCCTCCTTTGCGAGCTCGACGAGAAGCTTCAACGTCTCGTCTGTGATGAAGTTCTTCGAGAAGTCGAAGAGCGTCTCAGAGTTGTCGGCATCGTTCTTGAAGGCGAATGAGAACTTCTCGAACCGTTTCGGGTCCTTCTTGAAATACTCCTTCAGTACAATGTCCTTTCCAAGCTTTGAGTGGTGGTCTTGGAGGGCATTCCAAGCCGAGAGATCCGACGCCTGGGAGAAGCCGGGCATTATGCGGTTTGGATTTGTTGTTGCGGTACAGGCAGGGCTAGTGGGGCGTTATCAGTGACGTTCAACAAAACTGTGACGAGGAATGGCAGTGGCCGCAAGGCTGGCTATTGAACCAGCAATTGAGCTACTTACAGCTATTTAATCTGAGAACCAGAGGAGTGGGGTGAGTGTTTGTAATTCCGCGGTCAGGTGTAGGTAAAAGAACCTTGGAAAGCAGTCGTTGGCCGGATGCTGGTGGGGTTGGAAGGCGGCACCGGACGTCACAGGGAGGGGCAGGAGCAGGGGTCAAGCTCTGGCCTCAGTTCTGGAAGTAGACGTCGGACTTGTCACGCAAGCAATACAATGCGGTCGCTAAGCATCGCTTCCAGTTGTAGTTGACTGATGCATGCATGCAATGGGGTCTTCAAGATGTGCTAATAGTTCTGAATTGCTTCTCAGCGTGTGTTCCGCGCAAGTGCTGTCTGCCTCATGCGCCTGATTCGTGGTGCCGTCCCACGCCTCCCCACGCTCGCAAAGTCTCAAACGGTCCGGGGCTAAACACCTGCTCGGGTGTTTGCAAGGCGAGGTCCAGAGCCACGGTGAACTGGACCTGGGCTCGCTAAGCGAAATTTATGCGTACTGCGGGAGGCCAACAACAACCAACAACGCCCAAGTCTAAATCGTCCCGCGCTAAACCTTCACAGCTCCTCCCTCCTTGCAAAACTCTACCGTGTTGCATCTTCAAACGAGGGATCTTTGACTGAGCCACCCGCATCGCCGAGACCTGCAACTGGGCGGTTGTACGACCAACCGGCAAACTGCTGCTGCATCGTCTGAGAAAGCATTGGCCCATCCACATACGAGTCGGTGGGGGCTTCGCGGGTGAACTCCGCATCAAAGTTGTCCGTGTCCTTAGCATCAGCCTGTGCTTGTCAGCATGACTTCCAAAATGGCGCTGTGTTGGGAATCTACGTACCACGTTGGGCTTGAAGCTAGGCTCGTACTTCCGCTCCAGCAGCTTCCGCCAATCTATGCTGTGGAAGAAGTAGTGTGCCTTGATCTCCGCCGCACCCTTAGCACCAAGACGCTTCTCGGCATTGCGGTCAAGGAGACGGGTTAGCAAGTCTCGCGCCGCCGGTGGCACAATCTCGGGTCCAGGGAAGTGCAGAGGCTCTGTGAGAATCTTTCTGTACATGTCGTTGGTATTCTCGTCGTAGAATGGCGGCAGACCTGTCAGCATCTCGTACAAAAGAACACCAAGTGTCCACCAATCGACAGTCTTAGTGTAGCCGGCTCCAGTGAGTAGTTCAGGAGCGAGGTACTCTGGAGTTCCACAGAATGCTGGTTGATGTTAGCGAAATAATGAGAATCAGGGTGCGTGTGCTTACTATTAGTCCGGTCTTCGTCTTTCATGTCCAGTTTGCAAAGGCCAAAATCACACAAAGCAATGTGTCCAGTGTAATCGAGAAGGATGTTCTCGGGTTTCAGGTCACGATAGATGACATTGAAACCATGCAAGCACTCCAAGGCGCACAGAAGTTCTGCTGCGTAAAATCGAGCACGATTAATGTCGAAACGCTGTTCCTTCTGCAGGTGGTGGAAGAGCTCGCCGCCATTTACGAAGGCGAGAACAAAGTACAGCTTCTCAGGCGACTGGAAGGAGAACTTGAGTGGTACGATGAACGGGTTGTTGATCTGCGCCAGAACGGAACGCTCTGCTAAGGTGTGCGCGACTTCCGAACGAGAGATAATGTGCGCCTTGCGGATAGTCTTTAGGGCATAGATCCGGTGTGTGTCCTTTTTCCTGCAAGGGGTTAGCATATGCGAAAACTTGCTTTCAAATCGACACATACATAACCTGCATGACCTTGCCAAAGCTGCCTTTACCGACGACCTTGAGCAATTCGAAGTCGTCGATGGAAAGCTTGTCTTTTTGGGTTTCCACAAAGTTCACGCCAACTTTCATGGAACCAGAACCATATTGCAGCTCCAGCCATTCGGCACCAATCTGCCCTTGGCCAGTTTCCTTCTTCGCAGCCGCATCGGCAGCCTGTGACTCTTCGAACCTTGGACGGACATGGCACTTTCCAATGAAGATATCGTCTGTTCGGCCTGCGTTCGGTGGGGCAGATGGGTTGCGGATGTATAGTGACAAGCTAATATCGGTAGTTCGAGAAACATCGAACTTATACTGCGTGTTCCCTCCAGCCCAAAGCGGGTTCTCGGGAGTTCCCGAGACCGCATTGATGAATACCTGCTGCTTATCGAAATCGACAAGTGCGTATGGGAGGTATTTGGAAGAGTAGCGTCCATGAATAGTGGGAACCGCGTTGATGCTGCCAGCAGCGGACTGTGGTCGGTTTGCAGAGTAAGAGCCGGCCACCTGATTTCGTGATGATGAGCCAGGCCGCATAGACCCCGCCACAGAGAAACCACCTCCTTGCGATAGCGAACCCTGATGATGTCCACCACCTTGGAAATGCTGTTCTGCGCCTGGTGGGAGCGAAAAGCCTTTGCCCTCATGGAGAGTCACTATGAGGATACCAGGGTGGAGGGGCGGTGGAGGAGGGGCAGCATTTGCTTCGGAGGCGGCTGTGCCTGGTCAGCAGTGCAGTCAACATGGAGCGTTCCCGGTACACACCGATGCCATTGGGGTCTTTTGAGTCTGAGAGGGCGGTGCTGCTCGTGCCCTTCGGCGTCTGCTCACCGCCGACTATGGTTGATGTGGAGGACGAGCGACTAAAGGTATTGGCGAGCGGCGCAAGGTGGGTCTCCTTGAGTTCTACGCATTATTAGAGAAGTATCAAGAGACCAGAGCGGCGGGACACACTCTTGGTCAATTTCCAACTCATGGTTGCGGCGGCGAGTTGGTTCGCTCCTCAAGTGCGGGTGTAAGAGAAGAGGATCCTCAGAGACGAGGGACGAGGCAAGCACGAAGGAGGCGGAGTGGTTGCCGGTTGGGGTGAGGTCGAAAATAAGGGGGAGCAGCGTCGGCGCCGCTGAGTTTATGTGCGTGCAGTGGCGAAGGGTGACTCCTTTTATAGAGAATGTGGTCCTACGATGTGTTTGGGGAGGGCAGTGGGGATCAATCTCCAGCGTCTCAGGCTCGCGCCAAGCAGTGGCTGTCTGTCTCTCCTTCAGCAACGCACAGGCTCACAGCTGGTCCTTCGACGCAGCTAGCCGTTTGACAGCAATTCGTGCCCGCGGTGCCGACGCCTCTCCTCGGGACGCCTGTAGCGATTCCGTGATGCGACTACCTGTCTATCGCGACATTACCAACCGCCCGCCCGTCCGCACGCGCCGCCACCCCCGACACAGTGTTACATTGCCAGCTTGCGACAGCACGCCCGCCTCTGCGACGTCATACCCACTCATTGCGCTGCATTCACCAGTCTGCGCCGCAGCCGTGAACTGCTTTGCGTACGCGCAAACGCGTTGAAACCGACACAGCCACGCTCCAGATCGTGCTCTAGCGGACTGCCCGGCGTGGCAACTGCAGCCGCTCCCTCACTACTTCGTATATGCGCAAAGCGTTAAACACCCATTATGGGTCTTATTAAGAAGAAGACTGGATCGAGGGGCACCGAGGGTGGTGTCAAGTACGTGTGTGACGTGTGCTCGTCGGACATAACATCGACGGTAAGCCCCCGGGCGTATACTGCAATTGATGCATCTTGGGCATATACTATGTCGGCGGTTACGTAAAAGCACAGTATTGACTTTTGTAGGTGCGTATACGCTGCGCCAGCGACGTCTGCCACGAGTATGACCTCTGTGTGCCCTGCTTCTCTGATGCAAAGCACTCCCGCGACCACGACCCCAAGACACATCCATATCAAGTAATTGAGCAGCACTCAATACCAATATTCACAGAAGACTGGGGTGCAGATGAAGAGCTCGCCCTTCTCGAAGGAGCAGAAACGTACGGCTTAGGATCATGGGCAGACATAGCAGATCACATTGGCGGGTTCAGGTCCAAAGACGAAGTACGGGACCATTACATAAACACGTACATAAACAGCTCCAAGTTTCCTCTACCGGAAAGAGCCAGCCCCGAGGATACCGAACTCAGCGACCGGATACCACGAGATGTGTTCCAGGCCAATAAAAAGCGGAGGATAGAGAAGAAGAAGGATGACGCCCAGAATGCGCCACCTGCAACGCCGAAGCAGAAGCCAACTGCCAGTGTACCGGCATGTCACGAAGTCCAAGGCTACATGCCTGGTCGATTAGAATTTGAGACCGAATACTTCAACGAGGCAGAAGAAGCTGTGCAGCACATGCAGTTCGATCCCGGCGATGGTGTCAACCCCAGGACAGGCGAGATTGAGCCAGAGATGGAATTGAAGATGACAGTGATGGAGATATATAATTCTAAATTAGATGCGCGAGTCGAGCGGAAGAAGGTTATCTTCGAACACAAGCTCCTGGACTACCGGAAGAATGCCGCTGCCGACAAGAAGCGGACGAAAGAGGAACGTGATCTTCTCAACAAAGCAAAGCCTTTCGCCCGGATGATGAAGCATGATGACTTTGAGAAGTTCAGCGAGGGGCTCATCTACGAACACAGCTTGCGACAAGCCATAAACCAGCTCCAGGATTGGAGAAACCACCAGATCACGGACCTAAAACAAGGCGAAAAATATGAGCAGGAAAAGCAGCAACGACAGTCTCGAGGCCCTCCACTGGGACAGTTCGATCGCCTTGCATCAAACCGAATAAGCAAGCCCACGCCTCCTTTCGAGACACCTTCAGCCACACAAGCACTGACGGCGGCTGAACTGCCTCTACACCTACGCCAGAAGAACGGACTTTCGACGCCGCCTCCTGACCAGCCGAACGGTACCAATGGCGTGCTGACACCGCAGCAGTCCAAGACCAAATTCGTAGCAAAAGCATTACCCAATACAGTACCCTTGAAATTTGCCAAAGAAGCAGCCTCGGACCTACAGCTTCTCACGCCGGAGGAACAAGAGATTTGTCGAGTTCTACGCATCTTGCCGAAACCCTACTTTGTGATCAAAGAGAACTTGATTCGAGAAGCGATGAAGCAGGGCGGTTCTCTTAAGAAACGGACTGCGATCGAGATAGCGAAGATTGACGAACGCAAGACGAAGCAGATATTCGACTATTTTGTACACAGTGGATGGATTGCACGCGCGTAAAGGTTGTAGACATGTTTGGAAGCATAGCACGGCGTTAATTCCTATGTTGCGGCGGTGTCTTTCCGATACCCGGATGGTTCTCAGGTTCGGTCGGCGTTGGAGATATTTGACAGATACGATTCAATGAACATTGACACTGTTGTTACGTTGCAGACAACATTTGAATTGACCGCCATTTGAGATCTAACCCTAGCGTTTTTGAGCACACGTGATTGGTCGTTTACCGTCGCCGGGGCAAGTGCAACCCAAACAAATGCTCTCTTACCTCTCAACGTTTTCCGCACAGAGCCTCTAACTTTGAACGCCATCATGTATCTCTAATCGTGCGACTGCTGCACCTTTTCGTCCGCCCACTTCCTCGACCCTCCGCAATCCTAAAAACGTGAGGCGAGCGCTTCCGCGGATTAAGCCGAAGGGACCCTTTCGAACAGTCGCATGGCATCAACACCTCGACAACAGAGCAACATGCCAGGCTTCTTCACCTCACCCTCGCTTCAGCGATGCGACTCGCGACCCCACCTCTACGAGCCGGTAACCCGATTCCCGCCCGTCTCTTCTGAAACCTCCGGCCTTCAGGTGACCGAAGGCGACGACCACGCGACCCGGAAACGCTCTCGCTACGAGAACCCCGACCTGCAAAATAATGCATTCACCTTCAGAGCCCCATCGCCCAACACAAACCCTTGGTCGCACCCGCTAAGCAACTCTCGGTCGTCAGTCAGGAGTCCACCGCCGCTGGCAAACGACCGATACGAGCTAGCTGGAGGCATGGAGGTTACGGATAAGTTCGCAAGGCAGAACGGGAACTTGGACGATTATTTTCACCTGGAGAAACAACGCGGAATGTGGTCAACACCTATAAGCCCAAACTCTGGCATACCTCCGCACCTTCAGCCCACGGAGCTTCAGGTTACACCAGCCAGCGCCAAACCGTGGATGTTGAACCAGTTGATGAATATCGTGGGTGGAGTGGCTGGCAAGTTGTATCAATTCTGCTCTGTTCCTTTCCGTGGATTTCAAGCTGGAGGTGGCCAAGCATATGCCTTCGAAAACCAAGAAGTGGCGGCCAAACTGGGATTACAGGATGATTACAGCTTACCGAAAGGTCCTACGCCGCAAACCCGTCCGATCGACTACCGCGACAACGATTTCGGTGTCGAGTCGATAGAATCCCTAAAAGCCGAGCGACCCGGAGCAAAGCGACAGCGTACGGCGGAGAGTTGGGTGGTCGTAGACAATCAAGGCGATATTGTATCGAGGCCTTCGACACCGCGCATGGCTGCGCGAAGAGTACCTAGTCAAACAAGGTCACCTTCGCACATCCCACGGCCTGTTTCCAGAGCGAGTATGACAACGCCGGTGCACAAGCGACCATCGTTAATACCGGTCTCCCGACGTTCCACCCTGGACAAAACAACGTTTTACGGGTCGGTCAAAACGAACTCTCAATCGCCAGGCCATGTGCGATCATACAGTCGCCAAAGCTACGGCTCGCCTCTCTTGTTCAATGACAAGCCGTCTAAGAAAAAGAGTCCATTGCCCCCGGAAAGTCAGCGACTCATCAGCAAGATGCGACGGGAGGAGGACGAAGACGATGCCCGCATGAGAAGGATGAGCTCCCAGATGAGCGCCATGCTACGGGAAGCTCGCGAGGCGTTGGGTAGCAAATTCGAGACCGAAGATGAATACATGGAGGAGGACGACGACGACGTAAATGACAGTTTCAACTCGAGCAGTATGCCGTTATTCTCACGGTAATGGTAGGCCAACGTTTGCATCGATCGCTCCGAATCCACGCCATGCTCGAGTCTCATGCATGGAGTTGAAGACCCTTGGTTTGTTCTTAGTCCATCCTGTTGACAGTACGTACTGTCGTCTGGGGGAAGGGGCTAAACCTCGCGATCCAGGTCGCATTGTACATGTAACCACACACGGCCTACTTTCTTTTGGGAGGGATGTCGACTTTCACAATTAGAGGATACCGTCGTTTGTTTACCGGCGTTGGCGCACTTATACCCCTTGGCCATGGCGCCAGAATTCCTTTGTAGTTCGAACACAGGCGTCTCAGCCATGATTAGCGCCGCGAGATGAAGACTGTCTTTTGCATCACGATGAGTGGACGTGTCTAATTAGCGATCTCGGGAAAAGTAATCATTGCATTATATGTTGTCATTTCTGGGAGCTGTTCTTATCGATAATGGGGATTGCTACCTGGGAAGTTGACTGCATCTCTCACGGGAACGTGAACTCCGGATCTAAGCCATATCTTGGCACTACTTTTAACACCCTCCACCAAGTAAACACTGCATATAAGCTCTTCTATAAAAATCTACAACTTTATGCGATCACAAAGAACTAAAAAAGAACAAAATCTGATGAAATATACAGTCGCTATACAAGAAGGTATTTTGTTGGGGTCTGTGCTTAGATCCGAAGAATTCGTTCCCGTGAGAGCTGCATGACGGTCATCACGAATGCGGGGCATCCGGTACAGCGGCACCCAATGCTTGTTACAGTGGCCTCCACCACGTAGTCGTCGTCATGCAAGCCTCGCTGGGTCCGCGGACGGGCGTAGCCATGCAGGTGCACCCCGAAGCTGCTGACCCAAGACCATGGCTAGTACCTGGGCGGCGCAGGCGCGGTGCGCGACATTTAACAGAATGCGCCGCCATGTTAGAGGCCCCGTTGCCCTGTTTCTACCGTTCTAGTGTTTAGCCCGCCATGCTGGCCACCTCATATGCATTGAGGCTTTTGAACGACTTGACGGTCACTTTCAGATTCTAACTGGGCTCAATCTTCGAACTCTACAACTTGTGGTACCCTGCGACTGCCCGCAACTACGCAATAACACCCCCCCCACAATGTCAACGCTCCTCGACGTCCGACCCCTCGACTCAGAACCCCTCCCATTATACTCCCGTCAAGACCCCGACACCGCTTCCATCCGCAGCGCAGCCCCCTCCTATGTCTCTGATACACCCACGTACCGCTCCTACCGCACACCCACCTCCCTCCTCCCACCTTTATCACCAGGACAAGAAAGTATTGGCCTCCCCGCACCGCGCATATATGCCCCCGGCTTCGCGCCCGAACTGCGAAACCGCGCCTCCGGGTCGAATTCAGACTTCAACATCACGCGTACAGTCAATTCAAAACAATACAGCGCCGTTGCGCGCGTCGCACCGCACAGGCACGCGCAGACACAGAAGCGATGCTAAATGCGCTTTCCGCCGTCCCCTGTCGCCGTCCCCAGAAACCTCCCCGAACCCACCTTCCCCAGATATCTCCCCATATCCGGTTCAAATCTCACCACTAAGTCCACTCGAGGACCCATACCTCGTTGGGGAGGAAGCAGCAGGCCGAGCGAGGAGGTCGAGGGTGTAGGGAAATGTGTGCGAGGGACACGGAGATGAGGGGGCATGAGGGGCGGAGTTGGGATTTTATGGTCGGGCAGATGAGCGATTGGGATGAGAGGAGACATAGCTGGAATAGTTTTAAGAACAATCTGCCGCGGAAGAAGGGGTGGGGAGGGGAGGGGTGGAGGTCGTAATCGGGTATTCGAGGAGGATTGAACACATGACGGTGGAGGTGGTGAGACGAATGGGATGGTGGTCTGTATATTGGAACTGCTGACGATGTCGGCGTATTGGATATAACTACGACTACGACCGGGTGGCTTTGGTCTGGCGTATGTTCGGCATTGCAGGCGTCGCATGTCCAACCCTTGTTCCTGTTATGTTTTTCGGCGTTCAAGCTAATGATCACGGGAAAATCCTTTCTCACCTTTACGTTTTACTTCGGGAGGCTATCTACTTTCGGCTCGGCTTTTCATGTCTTTCGACTCTGGCAGGTCCCGCAAATTGAAAAGCTTCTGGAAGCTATACAATCTACGCGGCGCGGAACATTATCGAACGGATCTTTGGTCATGTTGTCAGCTTCATAGTATCTACTTATACTTTAGGTGCAGTGTGTACTTTACCAGGAATTCTTGGATATGAGGAATAGCATTAGCAGTACCTCATCAACTCTTGTGTTGGCTCGAAGAATAGCTCGGGTCTTCCTCAAGGCAAACTCTGGGTAATGAATGGAGTAATCGGGTGATGTTCGAACATACCACAGACCTACATTTCTGTGGTGGAGGAGTAGGGGAGAAGAGCCTCGAGCCAAGCCTGAGGGGATTGTCAGTAGAGTGAGCGCCAGATTCGTGGACGTCTCGAGAGGAGATGACTACGCATGCGACTTGTGCATATGCATCAAGTATCAAGTATTCTTTGCACCAAAATAAAAGTGTATATCTGTACCGGAAGTGGGAATATACCATTGAGAAAGGGTGTAGATTTGTACATATTAGTATAATGCTCATCGTGAAGATTAGTTAAGTTGAACATTCCTAGGGTAAAATGGTATCTTCGGGTTTGGTAAGATGACTTTGTTCTGATGTCGGCCTACGAAGAAAAAGTTGGAAAATGTGAAGATCGCAATGTTTCTTCTGTATGCCGCTGGAAACCACAGTTGTGTGATGGCGACAGGCTAAGTTTTAGAAATAGTATTTTCTGCAATAGGACACAACTACAAAGCCCGGAGCCGGAGTAATGCGGTCCGGATCGGTCCTTTAGATTCTAGGGCTGGCTTAAGCATGGAACAGCGCTCTGAGAGATATCTCGACTATGATCCTCTAGACTTATATACGTGTATGCGGAATAAGCTTGCCTGTGGTTTGCCTTGGGCCTCGGGCCACGTCTTTGTAGAGAACACTGATAATAATAAGATGAAAGAAAAAAATTCATACGATTGTGTTGAGGTACGCATGCACTTAGCATTCAGAGCGCCTCTCCTTCTCGAAATTTCCCTATCATCAAACCTCTCCAACCTCGTTATGTTACAAAAGTCTTTTACCCGCATCATCGCAGCCCTATCTTATTCATATGTCCATTTGAGGACAATTTACAACAGATGTACTTTCACATAAGAAGAAACCAACCATCACTTTTGACGAGCTCTTCGAAAGAATAATAGTACAAGGCTTCCGAGGCTTTTACCCAATCCAGAAGAGTTCTTCATAGTGGGCTAGGGTCCCTTTGGTATAATTGCGCAACTTTCAGCTTGTTCTGCACGTCAAGACGCTCGTCTTCTTGCAGGCCTTTGATTAACTTCAGATTTTGTACTCCCAAGCCACCGTTCACTAAGAAACGCAAACATTTAAGCCGGCGATTCTTCAGTTTGCCACGGCCGCTACGCAATATGTCATTACAGGCGAAGTCCCTATGCTAGATTACCTTACCAAGCCCGATCATCGCGCGGGTACATGAGTCTGCGCTCAATTACGAGCAGCACTCACCACGTCAAACGCACAGCCGCTCACAACAAGGCCAACACAGCCAGTGCAACAACTTCCCGAACGCTCCTATTCACCACCCCAAGCACGATATATTTGAACCGCAATGTATCGCTTCGACTCTTTTGAATTTCTACATACTATCCTCCCTCCACTTACTTTTAACTCTTTGCCACCCATCTTTCTCTCCCTTTCCTCCTTCCCCTCCATCCCCAGCCCCTCTCGACCCACTCCACACTTCCCATCTCACTCAGCCGTGACAGCGCGCGTGCAAACGCAAACCTCTCTTCATCGCCAGTGAAAAGGTTGCTGTTCTTCAACATGCTCATGTTCATCCCGAGGTCATCCATCAGGCTTCGCATCACGTCGGAGACATCTGCGCCGTCATCGGCAGAGCGAGGGGTACCCTGGGGGTGGTCGGTGGCCATGGCGTCTTGGAGTTCGGAGGCGGAGAGGAAGAGGGAAGTTAGAGGGACAGCGGTGGTCATTACGAGTTTGGCCTGTTCCTAGTTAATCAAACATGCTGTAGATCGGTCGAGAGTGTTGGGGGAGGACTTACGCGGCTTTCGTAAATAGCATCAATGAACGTAATAAATCTTCTCGCCAAATCCCGACTCCTATGATTCATCCCCGGCACGTCTGTGATGACGAAAGCGTCGTAATTTCGCATGAGTTCTAGGTAATCCGCCGCGCCCGTCGCCCGTCCTATAATCTCATTGAAGCTGAACCACGCGCATCGTCCACTGGCTTTCGGGACTTCAATCTCACGTCCCCAGACATGGTGGATGGCTTTGTGCGGCGGATCGTTCTCCGGATCACCCAGGAACTTGAACCACCGCTCAGCATGGCTCTTCGCAGCTTCATCGAGCGGATGATGATACACGCCCGACGGCGGCCTTGGGATCTTCCTATAATCTGTTTGCGAATCAAGATTAATGACTGAGAGTTTTGTCTTGAGGAGGTTGATGGCGGGAATAAATGATTCGCGCTGAATGCCGTTCTTGTAGAGGTCGTCTGGGTGCCGGTTGGAGGTGGTGACGATAACGGTGCCGTGGGCCATTAGAGATTCTATAAGCCGTCGCAGGATCATGGCGTCTGCGACGTCGGTGCATTGGAACTCGTCGAAGCAGAGTACGCTGCTACGCTCGGCGATGCCGGCGGCTACGTAGGGGATGGCGTCGACTTCGTTGCCATGTTGCATCTTCATTTTGTGGAGGTTTTTGTGCACGCTTTGCATGAAGGCGTGGAAGTGGATACGCGTCTTCTTCGTAATATTAGGTGGAAGGGTGTCGTAAAAGAGATCCATGAGCATTGTTTTTCCAGAGCCAACATCGCCGTACATGTATAATCCTTTAGGTAAAGAGTCTGGAATCGGAGAGAGCGGGGGTTTTGAAGCTTCCGCGGACGAGAAGAATGAAAAGAAACTCTTCTTGGGCTTCAGGTCTTCTATTGCTGGCGGTTGTACAGGCGGTTGCTCGTAACGTGACAGCATAATATGAAGGTCGTCGAGGTACTGGATGAGTCCGCGCTGGTGCTCGTCGTTTCTAAGACGGCCACTCTCCACCCGCGCATCGTATTCTGCTAACGGAGTATGTCCTGATGTTGTCCTAGTTTCCTGTTCTCTTTCTAGTAGAGTAGCTTGCACTTCTTGCGCGTGCCCTCTGTATGCCCCAGCCCTCAATCTAAGCGTGCCATGTCCAGCTACTGTAGCTACTCTCGGCGCAAGCGCGCCACTCCATCGGCTTCTCTGCAACCGTTGCGTCCGCAAACAGTCCGTACATATCGATCTTCTCGTCGTGGCGCCTATCGGAAGACTAAAGCGAGTAGAGGTGGTAGTCCGAAGGAGCCCTCTGAGGGCATCGGATGATGTCATGGTGGGAGACGCGTGAAATCTGTAATTGGTTTCCTATGCATAAGGGACAAATGCTAATAGACTTCTAAAGAATAGCGCCCAGGGTATCATAATTGCATATACAGGAAAGGCTGGGAAAATGGCGTTCGAAATCGGCCACTGATGTCGGGCGTCGGAACCAATTGCGTTCCTAGCGGGATTTTGCGCGTGGGTCATGGCTTCACCTCGGATGTACGGCAAGATCACGTGGCGCTTGTATTCAAGGTCATATAGAATATATATGGTACTTGTTGTAGTATCTTAAAGGACCTTTCTAGTCTGCTCATCTATACTAAAAACCGGATTGACCCCTTGATTTCCTCACCCAGCCCCAATCTGTACAATGCAAGGCATGCCAAGCCAAGTTATGGCGAAGACGTCTCATTGGTACTTGATCCTGTTGATGCTGTGCATTTCCTTTCGCTATCGTTCTTCTGCGTCCGTGTGACTGCTTCAGGCCCCCAAACACTTGATGTACGCCCACCCAAGATCCATTCCACAACACCTGCACACCGACAAATACCCATTGGGGAATAATTTGACAACGAACGTTTGCTTTACAGGCTTTCATCCCTCGGTTCACACTGGCGTTGAGGGGCTATTATTTCTCACAGTAGATAACGAGATGTCCTGATACAGAATGCATTAGAATCCCCATGGCATGGAATAATGTACCGACATCGGATGAGAACATCCGACCCAGCCTGCATGATATGCGCAACCGGTGTTTTGTCTACACTTCAACCAACCCAATCTGCCGTATAACGCCATGCAAGTCATACAGTAACCGTGAATTTCAATTCAAGCCTCGAAGCATCTAAGACCGCTTTTGGACTTGAACAGTATGGTCCAACCGTTCGCTTAAACAACTGCCACTTTCCCAGGCTCCGAGCGCTAACGTCGATGTGGTTCCTACTTACGCCTGGTCTCTTCCTAGTTGCCGGGTTTCTTGGCAAACTCAACGCGCAGGATAAGATGGCCGTAACCGACTGAAATGATGTCAGCATCATACACAAAACGGACAAGGAAATAAACTTACATCCATCCATCTTCTCGCAAGCCTTTGCAGCATCTGACCGGTCTGCGTAGCTGACGAAAGCGAAACCCTTTGCTCTGCCCGTTTCCCTGTCCTTCGCGAGGAACACTCTGGTGACATGGCCGTATCTTGAAAACATATCGCGAAGGTCCTGCTCTTCTGCGAATTCGGAAACGTTCGTGACTCGGAGTGTGGCCAGGTCGTCGCGCTCGAATTTGCCGCCCATCTTCTCGCCGGCGCCAGCGCCGCGGCCTCGCAGGTGAGGGGGAACGTAACTGCCGGACCCGGTGCCAGCTGCGCCTGCCTGGGGAGCATCGTCGGGCATGTCTGCCGGTGTGACCTCGCTCTCACCCATGGTGTCCTTGAAGGGACATTTGGTAGTGAAATGATCACCCTGGCAAATACGACACTTGATCTTTGCTGATTTGAGCGCATCTGCCTTCTTCTGGTCCTCCTGGCTCTTCTCTTCGGTGTTGGCCTTCCAGCCTGCGACGGGTCGGAAGACGATGTTCTCGGCAACACTGACGGTATCCGTTTGGGGCCCAAGAGGCTTGCCCTTCTCCTGTCCAAACTTCTCCCAGTGCTTGCGCTCGGCGACGCGCGGGTTCACGACGATCTTGTTGACGGTCTTCTTGATGCGGCGGGTTGTCTTGACTTTCTTGCCGTCCTCGCGGATGGAGTAGGTAATAATGGTTTCGGTTCCATCTTTGTTCTTGATAATCTGCTGCTGCGGGAGCGTGAGGGAGTCCTCGTCCTCCTCTTCGGCCCAGTCTGTTCGTCTGCGGGGGTCAGTAAGCGAATACAATGCGCGCACAAGAAGGCGGGCACATACCCTGCTACCCGGGACATGGTTGCGGTGTATTGTGTAGTGAGCCTCGTGCTACCCGTGCTTGTCTTGCTATAATCGATTACGTGTGTGCTTGTTCGAGGGGTGGTGAGGCGTGCGTCTGCGAAACTTCAAGTAGTGGCGGCGTGGGGCCAGGCACCGTGGGCGAAATTCATTTGTGAGAAAGCGCGCTGGCCAGGATAGGAATAGCGTGCGTCTGAGTCATGCGGATCCTCCCATCAATCGTGGACTGAAGCAGCGGCAACATCACGACTGTAAGTGCGACTCACAAAGGATGCTATCCTTTGAAGTTTTATGACTGTATGACAAAGTAAAGCGACCTCGTCGCCGTCTCAGTGTGACTGGAAGGCTCTCGCCGTGCAATGAGATCGAACCATATCCACGAGTTCGACATTGACTGTTCCAATAAAAGCTGTCTCTCTCTAGGAAGAACAAACCTTGCTCACAGAATCTTTGTCCACAGTAGGATCGTTGTCTCTACGCCAGGATCAAGGTCGGTTGTGGCTTCAGTGAGCGCTCGGCCGTCACCATGCATATCCGACGGATATGATGCGACCTCCGATAGCCTCCGGCCTTCTCCAGCCTTGGCGCCGCAGCCCCCAATGCTTCACCGAAGGCGGCCGTACGCGCACATCTTTCCGCCGATGGAGATCTACGAGCCTAAGCTTTGCTTGGCTACTCTTCCCAGTGCTCACTGGGCGGACGAAGCGGCGGTGTTGATCCGCTAAATAATGCTGCAGGTGTAGTAGCTGTGCTACCGTGCGAAAGATTGTCTCTAGGTATCTACATATAAGTGGTACAGTATGGCGGCTTTGAAAGATCATCACAACAAGCATCTCATTCCATCAACACTCCTCAACTACATCTGCTCCTCTTTCTCATATTGACGAAGACAATTTCCAACCGCAACCCGTCTCTACCATCCATCTACCACTTCCTAAACCCACTCTCCACCATGGCAAGAACCATCCTCGTAACAGGTGCAACCGGCCGCCAAGGTGGAGCGGTCATCAAAGCCCTTCAAGGCACCGACTTCGAAATTCTCGCCCTCACACGCAACACCTCATCACCCTCCGCTCAGAAACTCGCCAGTTCATCCCCAAATATCAAGCTCATAGAAGGCGACCTCGACAACACCTCTGTCGTCTTCAAGAACGCAGCGGCCGCCACGAACAACCCCATCTGGGGCGTGTACAGCGTCCAAGGCAAGCCGGCAGGCGATATCACCATCGAAGAAACCTGGGGCAAGAACCTCATTGACTCATCCATCTCCGCACGCGTAGAATTCTTCATCTACAGCTCTGTCGACCGTGGAGGCGAGAAGTCATCTTCCACGCCGACTGATGTACCCCACTGGATGACGAAGCACAACATCGAGAAGTACCTCGAGGAGAAGGCCGCGGGGACGCAGATGAAGTACGCTGTGCTTCGGCCGGTAGCTTTCATGGAGAACATCACGAACGACTTCGCTGGCAAGGCTATGGCGTCGATGTGGCAGTCTGCACTAAAGGATAAGCCGCTGCAGCTCGTTGCTACGAAAGACATTGGAGCTTTTGCTGCTCAGGCTTTCAATCACCCGGAGGAGTACGAGGGGCGGTATCTCTCAATAGCTGGTGCGGAGCTTACTTTCGATCAGGCGAATGCGATATTCAAAGAGAAGATTGGGACGGATATGCCGGAAACATTTGGCTTTGTGGCGTGTATTGCGCTAGCTGCGGTGAAGTCTGTTGGCAACATGTTCAACTATTTGAAGAAGCAGGGTACTGGGGCGAATCTTGAAGAGTGTAGTAAGATATACCCGGGCTTGATGGACTTTGGCACGTGGTTAGAGAAGGAAAGTCAATTTCGCAAGCAGTAATTTTAGGGAGGCAAGAGCTGCGCTAAGATACATGTTGCATCTGTAGGAGTTTTTATCTCGTCCGCGATTGCTTTTTGGGTTGGGGCTGCGCCTCAAATGGCAGGATAGAACTTAGTCTGAATGCGAACATCTTCAAAGTTCAGTTGATTCTCATCGAGAAATTGATCCACTTTGCCAAGCGCCCAATTAAAGTAATCAGTAAGGGATTATCTGGTCGCGTTAGTCTTACTATCTCTTCGATCCTGTATCATCTTCTGCCACCTCTTTTCCTTCGCTAACCCGTAGATTCCCTGGGGATGCTGGGAGTACCGATCCGCGCCCTCGTCCCCCGTTATCTCAAGCTCCTTCCATCCCTCCGTGACATCAGGTCCAGCGGAAATTCCTCGCTCTCGTTCCAGCTCGACCCACGTAATCCCACTTCCTTTTAATCCCTGAAACTCTAGAATCATCATACGCGATTGTACTGCAAAAAATCAACCTAGCCAGTTACTGTCGCCCCACTCACAGTAGTGCATTTGCTTGGCTAAGACAGCGCGGACTTGTTCAATGGGCTCTTTCATCTCTTCGTGTAGTGTGGAACAAGAGGCGTGAAGAGTGAAGAAGACACGTTTCGATTCTGGGAGGATATCAGAATAGACGTCCTCGTACCAGCGCCGGCTGCGGGACCCATAGTCGGTGTCTTTGTGTGAAATGGCTGGTGCGGTGAGGTGGTCGTAGATGATTAGGCGGAGTTCGAGGGGCAGGGTCAGAAGGGCAGGTGCGCCAGGTGCAGGAGTATTTGCCATCATCGGAAGCAGTAGGCAGTCCGACTTCAAGTGCTCCGTACCCAAGTCAACATATAATCGGCCCCCCTCGCCGTTGTGCTTGGCCAGCGATCTGCGACCGGCACAACGGTACTGTGTAGACTAGCGCCGCACCGCCACGCAATCACCCATGCGCATGCAGGGGTGCACTTGCTGCTTATTTCGAAGATTGAGCATGCCGCTTTCCCCGAAGCCTGTTCAGATTCAAGCCCTTTCACTGACTTCAATCCTGCAAGCGTCGTCCTACCTCCAGCGTTCTCGCCCCAGCATGCGCGACTTTTGGTGAAGAATACCGACCAAACATCACCCGAAAAACGCCACACCTCACCTCCGCAGTTCCGCAATCATGGCTTCAGGGAGCCCAGAGAACAACGGTCAGCCCACTGGCGAACACGAGCTCGAAGAGATGGGAGACAAGAAGGCGAATGTGCCGCTTGAGGAGGATATCATGCAGCTGGCACGGTTGGGGGAGATATCGGCGATACAGAAGCTATTTGATAGCGGCAAGTACGATGCAACGTACAAGGACGAACAGGGCATTACGCCGCTTCATGTGCGCATCCTCCAACGCATGCGCAAAAAACAGGCTAACGGATATAGTGGGCTGCAATCAACAATCATTACGCCTTATGCCATTTCCTAACACAAAGCGGCGCGAACATCAACGCAAAAGGCGGAGACGCTGTTGCGACGCCGGTGCTGTGGGCTGCGAAGCGGTGCCACTACTACATCGTCAACCTCCTCCTCGAGCACGGTGCAGACCCGCTGCTTACCGACGATCAAGGCTTCAATCTCCTGCACTCCGCTACCCTCGATGGCAACGTCTACCAACTCGTCCTCCTGCTACACCAAGATATCCCGGTCGATATACCAGATGCGCAAGCGCATACGGCGCTCATGTGGGCGGCATACAAAGGATACCCTTCGTGTGTGGACCTTTTCCTGCGATGGGGCGCAAATGTCTATGCGACAGACGACCAGGGCTTCACAGCTCTGCATTGGGCGCTGGTCAAAGGCTCACAAGGCTCCATCCAGAAGCTCCTCGAGTATGGCGCAGACCGATTCGCGAAAAACAATGACGGGAAGACGCCAGCCGTCACCGCTGAGGAGATGAACACAGTCCGACAATGGCATGCAGCCCTATCGCAAGCAGGCTACAACAAGGACGGGACTTCCAAGGAGTTCCCGATACCCAGGATCAAAGACACACGATGGTTCATTTCTAGATTTATGTTCTTCTGGCCTTTTCTAATCATTCCGATTGCATTGTATTTGATCAGCCAATACCCGGTCTATGTTGGGCTTCCATTGGCGTTTGGCATCGCATACGGCATGCAGTGGGCAGCGCAGAAACTTCTGAGTTGGGCTCCTGCCAACATGCGGAACATACAACATACCGCAAGTATATATAGTTTCGCTTGTGGCAGTCTTCTAACAGCATGCGCAGCCCTTCTTAGCCGGTATTTTCGCCGGTACGTTGTTCTGGGTCGGTGCACGTTGGGTAACGACCGTTTTGCCTTGTGAGTAACTTTACGAACGACCAAAACAACCCAGACTCACGGCAGCAGGGACGTTCCGAACAAATTTCTTCCTTAATGTGTTATTCGCAGCATTTTACGCATCGACAACATATTTCTACTTCTTCACCATGTCTTCAGACCCCGGTTTTGTGCCAAAGTCAGCGAGCAGGAGCGCGTCTAAGGCAGTCATTGATGAGCTTATGGAACTACGGAGATTCGACGAAAATCATTTCTGTGTCAACTGTATGGTGCGGAAGCCACTTCGGAGCAAGCATTGCAAGCGATGCGAACGTTGTGTGGCAAAGACGGACCAGTAAGTGGTTGCGATGATATGGATAACAGCTAACGTTTGCAGCCATTGTCCGTGGGTCAACAACTGCGTTGCGAACAACAATCACCGTCATTTCGTGTTCTACGTGCTTTCTATGGAACTAGGCGTGCTTGCCTGGATCCGCTTGGTCCTTGCTTGTGAGTCCATAATCCTGATTGAGAAGTACTGCTGACAGCGAGTCAGATCTGGAAAATGAACGCCTCGAATCACCAAAAGACGTCACCTGCAATGTCCTGTCCGACGACCTCTGCAGAATACTTCACAAAGATCCCTTCACCATCGTCCTGAGCATATGGGCCGCATTTCAGCTAACCTGGGTGACAATGCTCCTCTGCGTCCAACTCCTCCAAGTTGCCCGCAACCTCACCACCTACGAAAGCATGCGCGGTCATCTCCACAGCAACACCGCCGCCGACGCACTGAACTCTTTTGTCACCACCGGTGACACCTCGCAAGACGTCGCAGGCGGCAACGCGCCTGCTCCCGGCTTCGGCTCCGGCCAGGACACAGACGATGCACCGCGACCCCGCCACCAACCACACTCCATCTGGGACCAATGGAAGCGTCTTTTGGGAATCGACTCTTTCTGGGCCACGGCGCTACAGGGTTCGCAGGCGGATCAGCGCAGGCGTGTGGGAGGGAATCCCTGGTCAAGAGGTATTATCACGAATTGTAAGGACTTTTGGTGCGATGGCGCCCCGGTATTTAAGAAGAAGGAAAGTGGGTTCGCGAGGTTGGCGGGGGATAGGGTTGATTATACAAGGTTGTATGAGGTGCCGAAGATGAGGTATACAAGGGGTGGGGGGAGTTACGAGCAGGTTAGCGCGCAGGAAGAACAGGTTTAGAAAGTCGTTGGGTGAGCGCTGACCGAGGCGCGAGTAACTGTAGCTTTGATATGCATATAAGTGCAACGGTGTACTCTTGTTCGCTTTGCTGAGTGCCTTATGTTTGATGCTGTGATTGGATTTCGACATTATAGTTTTAGGATAGACAATGCTGGACACCTTGATGCGAATTTCGAATTGTGAGCAACGGTCTGCGCACTATCAAAGAGGAGAAAGCGTCTTTTGCGACAACGCATTCCCTGCCAAAGTTACACTAGACGTTGTCCCGCATGCCCAACCGCTGATGTCCCTCATAACGCACACTTCCTACGCTACGGAGCGTGCTCAATGGTCTTGGAGGCCAACATTCTATACCGCATAGTTGTAACATCGATCGAATACAGAACCCGTTGGACAGTTGGGCTCGTTGTCAGTAACTATGAAGTATTGCAGCATTGAGAAGAAGTAGAATCGACCTGCTTAGAACTTGGCAAGCCAGACTCTTATGGAGGACGGGTAGTTGTGAAGTATGCTGTAGAATGGGGCGTGTGCGTAGGGTTCAATGGGTATGTATGTATCATTTTCGATAGGGGGTGGTCTTTTGGATGTGGAAGCGAGCGTTTCGCTTTAGACATAAAACTAATTGCAGACACGTGTAGAACATTTTGATATCTGCTGTGGATCCAGATATTCTTGATGTATCCTCTGATGCAGAGGGTGTGGCTGACCTTGTTGCATTGAGCATTGATGTATCATTCGTACGGTAATATGTCGACGCTTGACAGCAGTTGAACAGTTAGCATGCATGAATTGGATGAGTTGATCACCTCGTGACGTCAGAGGAATTTCGTCGAACATAGAGTATGAAGGCGAGCCAAAGTAGGGAGCCACCTATTGCTGATGCTTGCCTACCTCAGCGAGCACCACATCGACAGGCTCTCCGCTCACCTCTACATTTAATGTCACGGTGTCGTCTTTCGGTGACACCTCCACCATGCGTACAAGCTCTCCGTCAATGTACGCTCCCCAAGTCGCACTAGGGAGACCCCTCATAAGAATGTTTACGATCCGCTTTTCTCCATCCCATGCCCTTAGGCTCACAACCATAGCGCGCTCATCCTCATCCCACACGCCTCTCAGGCAGTCAATTCCGCTTTCAAGAGCCACTCCGTCGACCCAGGGTCTTCTTTCCACATCTGCTTTCGACCAAGGCTTTTCCCACATCTTCCTCTGTCCCTCTTTGACATTTAGTCGTGCGTAGCCAATGCCCGCGTTCCCTGTATACGCCTCTCCGTAGGTGAAGTTTCCATCGGTATCCCATCCCTGTTCATTGCGCTCGTAGTAAAGCCCGCCCTTTTCCCACCTTGGCCGCAGATACGCATCTGCATGGCGCAAGAGTGCAGCCAAATCATCACCATTCTCTACCTCAGAGAGCCACTGCGCTATGTAGCCGAATGTGGGCGACATATACGGCAAGGTCGACGGGGGTTTGCCTGCGACGAGCGCTTTAGCACGTTCTACTGTTGCGGGTGACTCAGGATCGGCACCCTCCGTCTGATTTAATTCGCGGATCTTGTTAGCAAGAGTCTGCGAGTTGAGGTTAAGCCGGTCCCCCTTTCGTTGAAGATATCCGTGTCCAGTCTGTGGGTATAACGACTTGACAAACTCATGGTTCCAGGACATGAATGCCATGGCCCAGACCGTGTGTGCAATATTGTTTGAGTCGATGGTCCGGTCCTGCCCTGTGGCATAAAACAGCCTGAACAAGCCATTATCGCCCACAAAACCGTTCTTCTTGGTCCACGCCGCTTGATACTTCGGCAGCACTTCGTCGAACACCTTCGTTCCATCCGTAACGTCATTGTACCGCATAGCAAGCAGTGGAAACTGGTTACACACGATGAACACGAGATTCGGCTCGCAGCACACTCCAATCCACTTCTCGCGCTCCATCTCATTGACAATAGCCTGCTGCAGCGATCTTCTCGTGTAGCTGAACTTTTCCGGGCCCATGCCCCAGAACATGGGATTCCAGTCAAAGACGATGCTATCGTCCTTGTCAAAACGGTCGTCTGCGAAGAGCATCGTATACAAGGAGATCATCAATAGTAGATGGCCCGAGTACATGATGTTCTCCTTGCATACTGGGTCCGCCCACGGCTTCCTCAGCTCTTTGAGATCCGGGTTCAATCGAATTCCTGACTGGCTGGTGAGGTACCAATATCCCCAAACTTCTCTCCTCAACATTTTGCCGATTAACTTCACCAGCAGCTCCTTGAACATGCCGCGCATGGCTGGTAGCCGGTGATAATGTGCTGCGCCAGCCGCATACGCCATCGTGGCAATCTGGTACCGATACGCGGTGTCCCATTCTTGACCGGGCTCTTGGCTACCCATGTGTGCCCATTCTCCGGGTGGAAGAGACGCGATGTTGTGGAAATGGCGAATATGTCCGCATTGCTCGCGGGTCAGCTTAGCATGTTTCTCAAACCTAGACAAGTCGAGCTTTTGGGCAACATTAGTCGATAAGGTTAGTGGAGCAGCCGTTTTGGTCGTGGTGAGAGTGCTTGTTTGGCTCATTGTGTCTGCGATGTGGCTTTGGGGAAGATTGCGGAGTGGGCGTTGTTCCAGATCAAAAAATTGGCTGTCCGGGCATTTCGCTCGGCTTTATGTTAGATCTCACGCAGGACGCTTATCCCAGCCTCTTCGCAACCGACTCCTAATGCCGCACGTTGGCAGCCTGCGGGGCATTGGGATGTCATGCGCAGACTTGCGACATCCTTTGGTACTAGATCTTACTCCCCCGCAGACCCTATACCCAAGTAGGTAAACATTCGAAGGTTGGCTGAAATCCATGGATGCGGGCGATGCGGGCGATACGTTGCTGCACTCACCCCGGTCTTTGTACAAGACAAGGTAGGACCGTAACTTGGGTCTATGTTTAGTGATAGCGTACCTCGGATTTGGGAAAGTTGAGGAGCGGTGCCCGACATCGCCGTACGATGGGTACGAAGACGGCTCGTACGAGGATGACGAAAGACACCCCTAACAGTAGTGGATGGTAAGTGCAGCTGCAAAACATTGGAAGAGACTTTCACTGTTTGACAGATTGCAATTTGGGGTCTGCATGGGAGATCGGCGTCCTAATTCGGACACTGTATACACAGTACGTACAGTAGCAGAAAAACATTGAACTAGCATCCTGTACGAGGACCCTCTTCAAACCTTGTTGAAACAGCACTCCCTCGCTAACGCGCTTGGGGCCCACATTCACCCACACGACGCCTCGGTGCAATGGGAAACATTTGGAGGGGAAAAAAAGAGCTAAAACATACAACAGCGGGTATTCGCTGCTGGTCACCCACGCAACTACTAATCCGCCGGTACACTGCTTATATATGGCTGAGCGGACGGGAAGCCTAGTTCTCAGTGTCCTATGGTCGTATGTGCATATTCTATCAACGGTTAATTATACATAGCATACGATTACATATTCTCAATGCAATCGATCCTTCTCTGCGATGCAAGGAACAATTCGCTTTGTAATATAATGCGCTCGTACTTTAGTTTGAATCAAATCCTCATCAATTCTTCTACCTCTCACTGCGTTCCCATTATCGCAGACGCTGCCGTGCAAATCAATGCTTGAGCTTTACGACAACGACGCGCAAGCACTAGACCAGGAGATGCTCCCCGGTAATCGAGTCTTGGGAGTTCATCTTCTATGCTTTCCTTACCGAGTTCAGATCGTCTCTGACCGCGTAATATTATGTACAAGCTTGACCGGAAGGTATTCATCACCGCTCAGTCGATGACGTAGTCCGAGTCAGCGAACATGAAATGGTTGCGGGGAAGCTGCGTGTTTTAATATTCTATTGAGCATTCGCACGTTACTCACTTGATGTCTTTCTGCATTGCGCTTTCTTTGAAACGCGCTTTGATTTGCCCTTCCGGCAGCGTTGTAGAAGTACAATGTCCGAAATCGGCTGGGACGAGCGAGGGGCTACAAATTGGGTGAGAACTTTATGGTATGAAAGTATTTGGTTGGCTCTAAGATAAGGATTCCGATGGAGTCTCAAGTCAAAAGCGAAATCTTGCTGACATATATACCTATAACACGCGTAAAGCAAACTCTAGGATGTTTACCTGATACCCCTATGCCATTCTCATAGACAAAGGCTGGCTGAAACATGATATGCTCACTATGAGTCGATGCCTTCTTGAAAATGGCGGCTGGTTGACTATGGGCCTCGCATCGTGACATACACTCTGAACCCCCATGGGATGACTTTGGGTTCATCCTGCTGATACTTTGAATATTAGAAGATAGGTGCTTGGTGTTGTGTACACTTGGTGCAGATATTGGCAATGATTGAGGCAACTGGAGTATTAATTATCTAGGTTGCATTCACGATTGAAGTCTCACCTTTAGTTTCCTTTGACACGCTTCACTACCTGGGCGCATTTACCCTTTTAGGAAATCTTTGATATTGGTGCTTTCTAATAGTTCTTCCCCCACCTTCATATGGCTCTAGGTCAAACTTGGATTGATTTTATTGGATTGTTAACTCTATGATTGACCAATTCTTGGTGAATAGCTAAACTTGGCGATGGTAGACTTTAAATTAGGGTATAAAGCTGTTAAACTAGGTGGTGTACTAAAGTTATGTAGCTTATTATGGAAGGACATGTCATAGAAACTGACTTAAGTCAAACAATATTATGCCTAGAGCTATAAGAAAGGGAGGAAAAACATTTGCAATCGACTATAAGAGAACCCCTACTGTCCACCGACATTGGTACTGGCTCACTGCCTCATCAAAACGGCCTTGGACTTGAATTGCTATGACAATCAACAATGGTCCCTGTGGCTCGTGTGAGACGTTTCAACAGGGTTTTTTCCCATTGGAGCGGATGCGGCCGAATATGTTGCTGCAACGCACAACTTCTCCACCGTAATACCGGATAAGCGATGTTTTGACCAATTTCTCCAATGTAAAGCTAGAAAAACAATCTTTGATCTATAAGGACTGAGGCTCGAACCACCGTGATCTGAACCAATTCCTGTACGCTCGGTGCTGACGCCACAATTTTAATCCTTTGTGTTGACCGCATTGCGGCAATGATGTTCTAGTGTGGACGTGCTCGTAATCAGGCATACTAAAGGTTCGAGATCTCTCAATACGCTAGAATTTAAAGCTTGAAGTTACCTATAGGCTGTTATTTGCGGTAGCTGAAAGTGGATCATACTAATCTTTCTGAATGGGTGCATCTCCCCGATATGACATCTGCATGGAATGGAGAGTTCTTCCATAACGATCCATTATCACCGTCGGATGTTCGCCCGAGCGGTAGTATCTGGAAGCGTCCACCTTGCATACATGCACACCGTTCTTATTGGTTTGATTCGCCCCTCTTGATTAGTATCTCTTGTGCACTTTTGATTGGGAAGCATCAGGAACTTCTCATTGTAACAAATATATGCGATCAGACAGCACGTCAATTGATGAATGTCCGTCTTCAGCCGTTCCTGGCTGAAGAACCTAGACTTACGTATGCGGTAGATCTTGCGCCGGTTTCTTCGAGCTGTGTCTCGAAGTCTTCAGCGGCATCCCAGGCGCGCACTTCACCGCAGGACCAGTCAGAACCTTCCATTCTTCATCATAGAAGTGCACGCAGTTTAAACATATGTATAGAGGGCAAATCCTTCCGTCCGCCATCAAGTATAGCTCAAACCCAAGTTCTTCCCGCCTCCCCCATACTAAAGCCCCGCTGGATCAGATGATGCGTTCCTTTGATTCTCTGCAATTGCCTCCGGCGTCGCAAAGTTTAGAAGATAGTCTCTCGCGTCTGTGTTCAAGTCCAAAGCATTCCCCGTAACATCGTGGCACAAACACGGTTCTTTCTCGATGATGCCTTTCTCAAATATGAGTCGTCGACCCTTGTCGATGGCGGTCTGTGCTCTTCTGACCAGAGCATACACCGGAAAACAATTATTTGTGGCGAGAATGGAGATGATGCACCTAGGAGCACCATGAAACCACTGCATATGCTTGTGCTTGTGCTTGCGATCCGTCGTGCTATCCCAAATTCCATCTTCTTGTTGTAGATCCAGAAAGGCAGATAGCCGATCGGCCATCGTAGAAAGGCCACCAGAGAGACAAACCTGCGTGATGATGTCGATGTTGCCGTGAGCTGCACTCCTGTATTCTCTGCCATGGACGAGCCATGATGGTTCGTTGATGTGGTCGATGACTGCCTTAATTGCTTCATCGATCCTCCATATAGCACTAGCTACGAAGGTCCTCATGAAGCGGAGAAGTACTAGTAGACCCGCACTTCCGAGCAGGAGTTTCTGAACGTGATTTGATTTTGATGGCCTCTGCCGCGTCTAAGAAAGGTACAGCACCCAGAGTATGTGCTGCCTCCAATGCTAAGCGACAGCAGTATTTATCCGCGATCACGAGCGATGCTTTGTCAACGGCGGGTTCAGGTGTATGATAAAGTAGTCTTCAAATCATGCCAGTGGCGTCTTGCCCTGGACTTCGAGCTGTGGATGGCTTCTTGGTAGATGGAAGAACAGATACACAGTCGATGCGGGTCCTTGGAAAAAGCCCATGCGAGTCTCTTGCAATCCTTTCTCTGGCGGTCATGATGTGACCAGGTTCTTGAGACTTTGTAGTAGAACTCTCGAGGTGTTTCTTCCAATGTGCTCAGTGTCGTATGCTGGTGAGACGTAAAGATATTCAATAGCGGCATCCATTTCGAGTGACTTTACATACTGCAGGCTGCCTCTAGAAGCAATCCCACTTTTAACAACATAACCGGGATACTATAAGAGGTTTCCCTAAATTGGTCGTCACAGCCTAATTTGCGTGCTAAAGGAGTCCCCTAACTTCAATAATATCGCGCTCTTGCACACCGACTCGCGAAGGGAAGGAGCACAACTCCACAAGATCAAACAGTGGTGGGTATTGCTGTTGATCGCAAGCGTGATTACCAGGCAATTAGAGTCCTCATAGCAGATTGACCTGCCATCCAAGCAACTTATCAGGTATGTCTGCCTCCGCAATCAATGCTACCTAGGTAGGCACCATTCAGAGATACGACTTACTGCCAATTCTAGATGTAAGGAATAGGAGTGAACTACCTACCCAGGTGCAGATAATCTCCTCTGTCCTGCTCACTGATAAATCGTCTTTTGATTGGACTTGTCCATTATCTACTGCCTGTACCGTGTGACGTATGATCGCTGGTAAACTTGTATTCACCAAAATTGTTGGCAAGGTTGCCAGTCTTCTTGGAGTGGCAAGGATCAATAGCAACCGATATCTGACTAGCCACCTGCGCGATTGAGCAATCACTACGCCCTGCACGACTATGCTAATCTATTGGACATGCAAAGTCATGTTTATTCACATTGTAGATCCATTAATTATTGTCACTGAATCAAGCCCATATCTGAAAATAGTCTCTTCTCGATATTCAAAATTCTACATCCTCCCTACCCCTAGTAATCATACCTATAACACAAGAACCCACCCAACGTATTCATGATATCCCTGATCCTTAAATCCGGCTTCAAACCATTCAAATAAATCATTGTATCCATCGTCAACGCCTTCCCATCCGGTCCCGGTCCATTAACATAATTAACTCGATTACTGTCATCATTTTGCCAAATCCTAAAGTGGCGATCGACCATGCCATGGTGCAGCCAGAAGACCGGATCGTTAGGACTGGCAAAGAAATCAGCCATTTCGCCACCAGTGCCGATATGGCCGTAAGCGTGGATACCGGATTCTTCGCAGCTTGCGAAGACTTGGTAGTCGTTTGCGACTTGGCATGTCTCTACGTTGGCGGAGGTGCAGAGACCTGTGACGGAAGCGTCGCCGTTCCGCGTGAGGCAATGGTACTGATTGCCTGAGCCAGGTCCGATATTCAGAGCGAGATTAGCGAATTGGCCGTCCGCAACACATGCGCCATTCAAATTAATAGCGCCGAACCACTTGCTGCTGAAAATGGTGGACTGCGAGAAGTGCCCAGGGTACTTCGTCTCGTCGAACCAGGGGAGGCTCTCGGTGTACCCGCATTCTCCACGGAGCGATTCCTCGAAAGCCCATAAGTACGCGCGATGCCAGACGACGAACTTCGCGTTGAACTGGTTGTCATGACTGTGCACGTTAAGAGCGACTGTCTGGTGCACTTGGACGAAATCTTCGTAGCGGTTGCGAGACCCGGGATAATTTCCTTTGCTCGGGGAGGTGAACAAGCACTTTATTGCGTCGACGAACTTCTGTTTGAAGGCGTCGGAGGTGCTGTGCCATTCTGGTCGTGTACGTGGGCTGCTGCATGTCGCCTGAATACTCTGGAAGTCACCTCCAGGACCGTGCTGTGTCCCGTTATCGACGAGGGTCACCAGTTCCTCTGGAGTGAGCATCTGGTGGGGCATAGTGTTGAAAGCCGAGAGAGGGAGGGCTGGTGCACCCGTGGGGATATCGGCTCGTGGTAGCACGACAGCCGATGCGCCTGCGAGGCAGGTCGCGAGGAAGCTGAATTTCGTCATGATGTTTTGGGAAATGAATATTACTGGGACTAGAAATCAGATGTATCAGGTCACTTCAGTAGCGAACGATTGGCTGCAAGAAAGGTGCCGCCACGATGGATAGCGAGTTCTATTACGGAGACACTGGCTATTTATTTTACGGTTCAAGAAAGCATCGAGACGTCAGCGTAGGATTATGACAGTAGCAGAAGTCTTCTTCATCCTGGTTTATTGACACCGCGTGCGTCGAGGATCAATACGAGAAGATCATTCCACAGGGACTGCATAGCTCGGCGACGCTAACCTTGCGTAGGCAATGTGGCTGCTCGTATGCCCTAGGGCTCGACCACCCCCGGCACTAAACTGGCCCAACAGCCGTTGCTACCGAGTTCTTTTCGCAGAGAATTGCATGTAGAGATCTTTGACCTGTTCGTTCATATTCCCGTTAACGTCTCGTTGATGGGTGCATCGGTCGAATGACATAGTCAAAGCAAGCCTTCCATCACGCCTCAATTATGATGTTTAATTTAACTTACTGAATACCATTGCCCAAACGCTAAAGGTAGGTAAACCTGTGCCTCACCTATCTCCAACACTGCACCTTCGCGTCTTGGAAAAAAGTAAGCTTACAATCCGTTTTAGCTAACGCCAATATCCAAGCAGTACAAGTGTCCAAGATTTGCCTTTACCGACCCCAGCTGTGCTGACAGTTACTCCACGTTGTGGTGGACCGGGGTAGCATTTGCTCGGTTGAAACCTTGCAATCCTATTTTTGGCGTGGAGGCCGCATCCATCACGCCTAAAATTTTCTGTATGCAGTATTATCTGGGCGGGACCTCTGTTTAATTTCGATATCGGCTCTCACGTAAAGGCTTTGCTGAGTAATCCCGCTTTCCTGGAAATTGCACGGGACATGCGAACAACCTGACCTGTCAGCCAAGATCGAAGCTCTCGGGAAGGTAACACTACGGCCGAGTATATTTGGAAAAGTGATTGGCACAACTCGGACTCCAACATACATGCCATTGATAAGTCGTATAGCCTAATCATGTACCGTAAGCGCAATTGAAGGCTACCGATGCACCCCTATGAATGTCCTGTCGCCTCCAAACATACTGATACTTTGAGAGAATTGATCATCTTCCTCAGGCTCGTTCTTGATGAAGATACCGTCTACGAACCTGCCACGCACCATGCGCACCTCGTCAGCAGGGACGATTGTTTCGATCCCCGCGGGAGAAAGTTCTTCATCTCCATAGGGCAATGCGTCGATGTCGATCTCTTTCTCCCTTCCAAGCAGACACATAATAACCACCAACGCGCCAGCCTTGCTCATAACCTGGTTCGCCTGCTTACACGCCTCGTCGCAGCAGCATTCCAGACATCCTTCCAAACAGTGACAGGCCTCCACCCTTTTGCAAGCCTGTTCCAAAAGTGTGTCTATGAATTCAAACGCTTTGGTTGATATGCCAGACCCCGAGGCGCCACCCTTCGCATCGTAGAAGGTAAGGCGCGCAGGTCGCTTCCGCTGCGTTTCCTTCTTGGCAAACTCCTTTATGGCGACTTTACATTCGGTGCGCACATCACCCGGCATGCTGATGACAAAATTAGGCATCAGGGAGAGGATGGCGTGTTCAGCAGCATGAATCGCAGCTGCTACATTCAACCGTCTGTCGTTCAAGATCTCCAGCGCGACCTTCGGCACATCGAGCCACATACCCTTGCTGTACAATATGATGGGCGGATTATCAACTTCGACAGCGTCTAGAATGCGTCTTTTCCTGTCAACTTTGAAAAACCCAAAAACAACCTGCTTGATCTTGATAGGGCCGTAGAACGCCCGGGACAGGGAATTTGGGATGCGCCGGATGGCGTGGGTTTCCACGGGGTCGATGTCCGTGAAATCTCGTTGCTGGGTAGTCCAGTCTACTTTCACAAATTCTACCTTTGCGATCATGCGCTCTTGGCTAAATTCTTTGATGAGGTAAGTGTTTCCCTGGTGAAGGAAGATGCCGCCTTCGTAAATAGTGAAGAAAGCGCGTGAGGCTTCCAGCTCTTCAAGGACGGTGTTCTTGCCATACGTTGTGTCGATGATGGCAAAGTGTGTGTCTTCTGTGTCGCGAATGGCCACGTGACGAGAGGGCTGCGGGAGGAAGCGGGAATTGCAATGGAAGAAGCCGTCAGCATCCTCGCGCATACGTTCTCGCGCAATTTTTGGGAGCAGTGGACCAAAATACACTTGATCGGCTTCCGTATTGATGGGCATCTCGTAGGCCGCGCACTGGATGTGGCCTTCAAGAACGAGGATGTTTTCCAAGTCGACTTGTAGCTCGCAATTCGGCTTCGTGAAGATCTCATCAGGATTTGACATGTAAAACTGATCCGTCGGAAAGCAGTCCCCAATTAATACTGAAAGAGAGTCTTTGTTTCGTCGACCAGCGCGACCGCTCTGCTGGCGGAGGTTTGCGATGGTGTACGGGAAGCCAACTGTTATGACAGCGTCCAGCGAGCCGATGTCCACACCGAGTTCCAAAGCACTCGTCGCGACGATTCCGACCAGCTTTCCATCGAACATCTCGCGCTCTATTTGACGTCGATCTTGAGGCGTATAGCCACCTCGGTACGACATGACCCTCCCTACGACCTCTGGTCGCTCCAGCTCTTGCAACTCTGTCTTTATTGCTGCTTGGAGCACTTCGCATTGCTTCCTGATACGACAAAACGCAATGACTCGGACGCCTCGCAGTATAAGTTGGCAGAAAAGTTTTGCCGACTCCGCCATGGTGTTACCACGTCCAGATGTAGGATCACCAGGGTCTCTGAAAGGTGTGTTCCAGCACAAGAACTCTTTCCTACCAGAAGGCGAACCATCGAAGTCAGTCAATCTAACCTTTTCGACGCCGAAGATCGTTTTCATATGTGCTTCCGGATTGGCTACAGTGGCCGAGCAGGAGATGAATCTCACGTGTCGGTTTCCGACTGCAGCGCATATTCTTCGAAGCCTCCTCATGATCAGTGCAACATGTGCACCGAATAGGCCATTGTACACATGGAGCTCGTCTACAACGACAAACTTTAGGTTTTGCAAAAAAGATCGCCAGGCTTCTTCTTGGGGCAGAATGGTTATGTGGAGCATGTCCGGGTTCGTGAAGATGATGCGAGCCTCGTCCCGAATGTAGTTGCGATCCGGCATGGGAGTGTCGCCGTCGAAGGTCTCGACTACCAGGTCTTGCAGGCCGTCCACAAAGCGCAGCATCTCTTTCAGGCTGCGTCTTTGGTCTTGGGCTAACGCTTTGGTGGGAAATATGTACATTGCTCGAGTATTGATGTCTTGTTCTAGCTGGTGCAAAACTGGAATTTGGTATATTAGGGACTTTCCGGAACTCGTTGACGTTGACACGATCACGTTATGTCCTTCGTAGAGGTTGTTGATCGCTTCGGCTTGGTGCGCATACAGCTGCTCGATGTTTCGCGTATTGTAAAGGGCATTGACAAGGCTCTGCGACATCTGAAAGTTCAGTTCGCCGTGTATGGGTGGTTGAGGATCAAAAACTCGATGTCCGTCCGGGACGATCTGCCCAGTATACCAATCTAGCGTTTTAATCTCTTCGATGATTTCTGGGATGGCTTTACGCGCCGCAGGTATTGTGCGTGGCAACGAAGACCTCTCCGGTTCTGGTGTGCCTGCCCTGCTCTCTGAGGGCATTGGGATGTAAGCCAATGAGATCTGTTGCAGGTGAGTCACTGCGTCACGTCCTTCTTCGGCGCATTGATTGAGAAAAGCGTTGACCGCCGAGGTGAACTTAATATTCCGTTTCTCGATGAGTCTCATCATCTGTTTTTGGCTGAAAACTGGCATCTTCAAGTCTTCGTTCCTCAAGCGTTGAAATGCCCTAGTAGGCTCGCCGGTCTTCGCGTGCTGCACCTGTCGCTTTAATTCACCATCAATAAACTCAAACAGCAACACCTCCTTGTGGTCGTGCTTATCCAACTCCGGATTCGGAACGAAGAATTCTCTAGCCCTTTTGCCCTTGCCCTTCTCTTCTTCGCCCATCAAGTTGACCTGCAGCATCGCTTCGTCAACGTATGCGAAGGTGATGGCCTTCGGAATCAATGCCGTTATTTGCGCCACATCCTCGACCACCAGACCGCGCTCAATGTTGGCCTCAACGGTACTTTTAAGGTTATCCAGAGTTGTCGCGAAGTGCTTCCGTGTGCAGCAGAAGGTGTAGACGAGGTTCAGCGCGCGATGCACCTGACCAAGCTTGGTAAAATGCTCTGGCCATGGCATTGTTGTCTCCACAATCGTCGACGAACCGGCGCGATTCAACGCAGGCTTTCCCGTCCCATCCTTCTTCGGTGTTCTTCGGGGCTTCTTTCCGCCATCGTGCGTCTTCGTGGGAACGGTCGTCGTCGTAGTTTCTACTACCACTCCGCCCGGTTGCGTGTCGCCCTGATGCATCTCGCCCTCATGCGCCTCGTTCGGTAACGGTTCATCCTCGCGGATTTTTCGTTTGCGTTTTCGTATGACTTGGTTTGTTACAGTCGCTGCCTTCAATTGCGGCATCGTTGGCGCATGGTGCAGTTGAACGAGCGCGCGGAACGAATGTCAAGGGTGGCGTCGGTCGATGACGCAACTCGACACGAACGTCAAGTGGAATGGGCTGTTCGTGGCCGAAAGAACGTGTGGCGTGCACCAGACATCTTCTTTAAAAGAGCGGAAATTAGAAAGCATATATGACGTCTCAAAGTGAAAGGCGAGAGTGGCAACGGCAGGTACGTTCAAGGCGCGGCTTGACGTGTTCACGTGCAGGGGTCCGTGCTGTCCACTTCTTCCCCTTCTTCCTCGCTCATTTCGGTCAGTCAACCTTGCCCATGTCCTATGAAACTAGATTTAATGCTACAGAGATCAACCATAGACTAGATTCACCTGTATCGAGGATCCATAACTGGCGAGGGAGGCAAGATCATGCTAAATTAGTATCTGCATGTGCGTTAAGGGATAGACATTCTTCATCGTGGAAGCTCTACTACCTTTATTGATGTTTATACAACTTTTTGATGCTCTTCTGACTATGATAGGTAGAGTTCTTCTTCTTTTATACAGATGTCCCTTGCATGTAGCTGGAGGTGAAGAAGCACGTTGTTGCACAAGTTTTGGTGACTCCTCAGTAGCTATGGTTCCTTGGTACAGGTGGGCGTAGTCAAAAGTTCTACAGTCGTGCAACGCAGGGTTCAAAGGAGTACTCTGCCGTGCCACAAGTCGGCCCCCGGAGAAACTACATCCTCTAGGGCCGAAAATTCAATCACGCCGCCGGAGTGCTGGTTTCCTTCATTAGTGCATATACACCACCGATTTAGGAAAGGCATAACAAGCGGCACAGTCGTGTGTTCCATTTCAAGCTGTTATGTATCGTAAAGTTCTCCATATTCTACCAATCATAGCCCGATGACCGATGCCCGTTGTGCTTCAGCGAGTCATCTATTCAACGGATGACTACTTCTAGCTCCTCACCAGCCCTACTTATAGACCTTAACCTATGCCCAACAACATGCAACACATCCTCCCTTATATTGTCCACTCTTGCTAGCACACTCGATTTGTCAAAAGCCCACTCCACACTCGATCACTCCATTACGACTTCATGGCGCGGTCTAGAATCATTGCCACCCTTCTCGCCCTGTTTATTTCCGCTTCTTCTGTTCTCGCCGCACCGGTTCCTGGTAGCTACATTAATCAATCTTCCGCGACCCTCTTCATTGCATTGACTTTGTCTAGGTTGCATCATGAACAACGGCACATTGTACTGTGGAACAAAGAACGTACCGCCCGGTTATAAGGGATGGACCGATGAAGATAAGAAGGATGGGCATGATCACCATGATTAGCGAGTGGTCTTTGGGCTGGTCTTTTCCAAAGAGTCATTTGTAAATCTAGCTTCTTGCGAATACATCTGTTTAAGTATTGGAGAGACGTTTTTGTTGGCAGTCTATCTTAGCAATCTGTACCTTTTATGTCAAGATCGTTCATGGCCATGATCGAGTGTAACTGCATAGTCGGATAATTGTCGGATGTGGAATCCTCGCACAATGGGTCTAACCTAATTAGGAAACAACAGGTGAGCACTAGTGTCTTGGCATATGAGCTGTCTGTATAGAGACCTCCACCCACTCTGTGCGTAGAACAGGTTAGAATGCTCAAGTCAAGTTTATCACCCTATCAGTGCCAAGTATAATCGCTACCTATGGCAACATCCTCAATAGGTAGCCGAGCAGTGGCCCCTCCTCTGTCTCTCAAAGGCCACCCATCGCAGCACTCACAAAGCCACTTATTTCCTTTATTACTCGAGTTACCCTTAAATTACCCCAATCTAAGTGTGACGGGAGTCCGCTTCAGCGTCGTCCCCATAGAACATCTAGACATACGACACTTATTATCACTTACAAGGCTACCTATCCAAAAACATGCATTCCACGTCTCGTCGCTGTTATTACTTTCCTCTTCTTTACTACCACACTGGGTACTCCGATAATTAGTAGTAGTGATCTAGGCCGGCTCACATGAAAGCAGGGATTCTTGAATTGATGGTTTAAAGAGTGCGTGAAAGGCGAATTCAGATTTGATTTTCGGCGTATGAACTGCAGGGGTGGACGTATTCAAGCACATCCGAATGTAGGGAGGGTGGAGCAGCATGGAAAAAGCAATCCTTTGCCGAAGCGGCGCATTGTTTAGGTCACATCAATATATCGTATGCTATCGAGTCACGAACAATTTTCATCGCCAAACCCCTGAAGCAACGAGGAAGACATGCCGTTTGATAGTGCTATGGGAAATTTTCCGAAATTCTCTGTATTACATATCCGTGTTGTTGCAAAGCAATCTTTGACTGACAAAGATTGCGCGTGTTCACTTTGCACTCCATGTCCGACGGTTATGAAAGCCTGCAGCACGCAAATTTTGGCCTCTACCCTAGGTTAGCTCACTAGAGTTCGAACTAACGGAACGCCTTACCTCGCATATATTAGGATCAATACGTAGTAACGCTGAAACAAGCATGTGAGCCACATTCATCAACGCCTCAATGGTAGCAGCGAAACCTTCTGTAGCATCTGCTGTCCTCGCGCCTTTGAGTACTCAGCCTTCTCATGCAGCTCGACAATGTGACGCTAATTTGGATTTAGCATACTTCTGCCAAAAGCTCTCGGACTTAGCGAAGAAAAGCAGTGTGTACATTCAATGGTAAGATGCTTACGAACTGGGAGAAGGCTTTTTTAGGTACTCAAACTGAAAGCCGGCTGGTTACACCTACCTATGGTAAAATCAGTGATAGTCTACAACTGGATGATTGGACGTGCTACACACCTTACAGGGCAGACCAGGCTACCCCTGGTCTTCCGACGATCCTCCATGTCAGGCTGTATCGTATGCAAAGGACTGTGTACCCCCTAAACACGGAAGACATCTTTGATAGCATAGAAACGAGGCATTGCAGCCATAATAGTATAGGAGCTTGCCTATCTACAATAGCATAAGCTGTCTCTATACTATCAAAGATACGAAGGTATAGTAAAGGTCTTTGTTATATTATATAGCTATAGTAAATGACCTCTATCATAAGATTAGGTAATGGTGAAGGATAAGATAATGTTCTGCTCTCGCGTAGTACTTAGTGATAAAGCACCTGCTCAACTACCTACAGTATCTACTTAAGGACCTTTAAATTGACAATATCAGGCAAATCTTATACGTGTACAACCGTGTCTTGTCTTTTTAGCAGTGAATTGCCTGTGTGGTGGCTTAGTAGAGGAGGTGGATTAATTTAATAGTAAATACTAGTGCAAGACTTCTTCCAAAGCTCCAATTCACCTAGCTATTTACGGAGATCTCTCTACAGATAATCTGACCCCTTAGCGAGCTGCGTAATCTGTCTACAGTAGTTTTTATCAAGATTGCTAGATAACCATTTTCTATAATATTATAGACAGCTCGAAATTATGCTATTATAGTACATGACTTAGTCTACAAGACCATGTGATCGGACGATCCCTCAACAAGTTCTAGAGCAACGTCAGCATTATCAAGTTACATACAGAGGACAGAATAGGATACCCACCAACGTAGGCAATGACTATACGCGCCTTGACGACTATAGTATGAAACCTTTCATCTTTCACTTTACATGAAGGTCCTTAGTAAGGCAAATCATAGATCAATATCATGTTGCACCACCAAGTCAATTTGCCCAAGTCATTACTTGAATACACTTGCAGATCAGTGTAGGAGCCCCGGTTTTGAGAAGCTAATTAAACTATACCGTTGCCCACCAATGCTTCTCTGACAGTCAATGGCGTAATGCTGGGGAAAATCTCATTGAGCAATGGCCCTTCATACACCATCTGGCCTTCTGCCATGTAGACTGCTACTCCAGCCATGACCTTTTGGAAAAGGCTCTTTGCCTCCTCGCTGCCAAAGAATTGCTCGTATACAGCCTTATGACCAGGAAGCTCGGTTATCTCTCCACGTTTCAACATCTCGACAGAGTCGTATGCTACGTTGAACTTGACACCTTTTGCCGCTTCGGCGACTGCGATGATCTCGTTCCATGTCATCTTGTCGGCATAAACGAAATACTTCTTCCCCCAGTGGTCAAGTCCTAGTAGAGCGGTCGTGTATGTGGCGAGGTCGGCTGTGTGGGTGAAGTAGACTGGGTAGGTTCCATCACCTGGAATGGCGGCGGCGTTACCCTCGATGTCTAAAGGTAGGGGTACTAAGTCAGTGTAATGTTAAGAAATCAGGGAAATGGGTGAATTAGGTGTTCTAGCCAGCTCGTAATGTCCGAAAATGCCAGGCTTAGAGGTGTAAGGCCTGGAGTCTCTAGGTATCCGGCCAGCCTGAACACCCACTTTGTACCCCAAACATGACGTACCAAGTGCTAGCGCAGATTTCTTCGTGTACGACGGAACTGACAACGTGTAGAAGTCGAGGAATATCCCAGGGAAGATAGCTGTCCACTCTAGTCTCGTTTGGTTCAAGGCGTCGAGAAGAGCGAGTCTCGACGCTGCAAAAGGGCTCTCTTTTCCTTGCCTGTGTTCTCTAGTTACAAGATGGTATGCAAAAATTGCTATGAGTTTCGTACCCAGTAGTATAGTCAAACCCCGACCAAATGCTTGGGATGTAGCGATGCGTGACGCTGGCTCGCTCCGCCGCTTCGATGAGATTAATCTCAGTGGATTGACTGTTGTCGTAGTTTGAGATACAGGAAATGACAGTGTCGATCTTGTGACTTTCGAGGAGTTGGACAAGAGAATCTTGATCGGAGTAATCAGCCTGCAGCACAGGGACACCAATGGCGTTCTCCAGCGACGGATTGACCTTGCATGGGTCAGTAACGGTTCAATGTTGAAATCGGATTGAAGGAATACCTGACGAGCCAGAATAATGGACTTGTATGTGCTCTTCTTGAGTGCATCGACGAGAGCTCGGCCCAGTCCACCCGAACCACCAGCAACTGCGACGACGTGAGACATAGGCAAGATGAAAGTTAGTGTTGATTTGAGGAGATAGAATGTAATGAGAGGGTTGTTTGGCAATTTGAGTACTTCAACAGTGGACGGCGTATTTATAATAAAAGGGCAGTCCTTGATTTGTCTGCCTCTTTCGTCGCTATTTCTGGAAGCCTTTCCAGGAGATACACACACTCCGCTGCTCGTCCGGACATACAGTGTCTGTGTAGCTACCAGTGGCCCAATCATTGCGCAGGGCGTAAGTCAAGCCACAGCGTGCCCCCATGCGGCAGCAATTCTCTCGATCCAGCTTTTCTTTGCTCTATTTAATCGTGGGAATCAATAGCGCACATTATGTATGAGGCAATGAGCAATGCTCATTGTTAGGATTATTTATCCTGTGTCTAAACCATGACATACTGTTCATTCTACCCTGTATGGTAGTTATGCAAGGGCAATCTCATCTAATTCCATCTTTAGATATGTAGACCTGGCGAAGCGGGCTGGAATAGGATCATGCCATATGCCACTAGTTGTGTGTGGGAAACCAACATGAGCTTTTGATGCAGCTCTATGTAAGGTTTTCTAACCCAGCACCCAATAGCAGGTGAATCAGCACGTAAAGTCAATAATTGGGGGCCAGCTGTTTTCGAGCGTCAGGCTAAGACAGAGTCCGGACGAAAACGGGGTCCGGTCTGCTGCTCGCAAAGCCTTACTGCTCGCAAAGCCTTGCTATAGCACACGACTGGTTGAGCCGGATGCCACAGCTCACAGATAGCTGGTAGTTAGAGCTACCAGCGGTAAAGTTCGGCTCGCCTTGATCTTCTTGGTACTATCATTCCAGATGGTACGCCAGCCGCTTTGATTGAAGAATGGGTCGGGTTTTCGCATTCATTCGAACTAGCTTCGGATACTTGCCTGAGCTGTCTGATCCCTGGCTATCGCGAGATAGCATATGGTACATGCTCGCGAATTGCGTTCTACTCAGGAAGACTTCCCACTTCAGTCCGCGTACACAGTGCCTTCCATGATTCTCCTCGCAGTGCGGAAAACGGTGACATCCTTCACTGCGCCTGAATTGTCGAAGTTCGCACCGACTAGAAGCTTTCCGCTATTGTGACCGATTGTTACTCCGTCCGCATCGACGGGGCTCGAGCTCGTTACTTCCCTGACAACAGCTCCCTCCAGTCGCGACGCAACAGCAAGTGCCATTGCCACGGTTATTGGTACCGCACGATGTGGTTGCCCAACACTGATCGCTCTTACCAGCAAATCACAACTCGTTTCTTCGACTGTCTCGCCAGAGATCAGCTCATGCGTATATGGCGCAGCCACCATTGCTACCTTGGGGATCGACCCCGGAACAGATTCCAGTGTCTGAGAAATACCCATCGCGACAGCGGCTTGTCTACGTATTGAGTCCAATCGGGGCAGGAGGTCTGGATGTGCATCGATCGCGTCCGCAAGGATGCCGCCTTCAACACCAAGGCTAGAAGCACGGACAAAAACGCAAGGATTGCCGACATCGATACATGTCACGCGTATATCGTCAAACGTGTCGACAACGTTCCCCGTAGGAAGAGTCTTTCCCGTCTTAGAGCCAGCAGGGTCGATGAATGCAAGCTCGATCTTTGCGCCTGTTCCGACGACGCCATCGATTGCGAACGAGCCTCCAACTTTTGCTTCATTTTCTTCGACAGGGAATTTGGAGTGAATGATTTTGCCAGTGTTGGTGTTGTGTATGCGTACCGTGCAGGGACCATCTTCTTTCTTTACTAAACCCGCGTTCACAGCGAAAGGTCCGATCGCAGAGATCATATTTCCACAGTTACTTGAGAAGTCCACTTCTGGCTTTTTGACACCTATCGCTGCAAACGTGTAGTCGACATCTGCATCATCCCTTGCTGAAAAACCTACGACACAGACTTTGGAGAGGGAAGAGACACCGCCACCCATGCCGTCGAGTTGGCGGCCATTGGGATCCGGAGAATTGATGACGCCACGGAATATAGAAGGCCATTTACCTTCGGAAGGAAGATCTTGCGTTCTGAAGATGACTGCACGTGATGTTCCACCACGATAGTATGCAGCTGGGAATGACAGTTGCTTTGCGGGACATGGCGATGCATGAAAGGGTCGCGCATGATTTCGAAGAAGAGGTGCACACCTGCATTGCATCCGGCGCGCGCAGTAACCGAGGGAATGCATTTTGTGCTTATCGCATGCTCCAATGTAGAAGATCGCTCAATGGAAGATTATCGATGGAGATGAAGTGGATCGCAAATTGAGCCCGAAAGCGTTCTTTACCCGCCGGGCGAAACAGGCACCACTTGTCGTGCACCAATCATATCAGCCACTCCTAGCAGCTTATTCCCCACTCATCGATACACCTTGCCGGCGTCTCGACCGTTATCTTATTCCACACACACTTTCCAACACAATCTCTGATAATATTCACAGCCGTTACATCCTCAAATTAGTCGGAGACATCGAGGCGTCGACGTTACGTCGCCTTCGCTTGTCGATCAGGTGGTACAATTAATGTGAAGAGCGGAAGAGGATCGATGAGAAGATGATAACCCATCTGGAAGCTGGTCATGAATTGGAACCGATAACCAGGAAATATAGGAAGTGATGCAATATGGTGTTCCGGAGCGCTGGAAGTCACTATTATAAAATTGAGCATGCGCGGAGCTTCAAGTAAGCTGTTATCCCCGTTTCTGACTGGTGACCTTCACTCTTTCTGACATGTAGAGAGACCTGAAGCCTTTACTAGTTGATTAACATCTGCAAAGACGCAGGGTTGCTTGCCCACCATTCGGCGATGCATTGCACGTGATCAGTTCACTTCCGCCGTTGCGGCGGAACAACCTTTAACTTGCGGTTTGATTTAGTATTTGGCCTGCATTCCATCATCAGGCCATCAAGGTATATAAAGAACCTCCACATGGCTCCCACAAAGACCACAGACCCCCTACAAGATGTCTCGCATTCGCATTGCCATAATCGGTCTCTCTGCCTCAGCCATCACGGCTTGGGCCGCCTCCGCCCACCTCCCTTACCTACTTTCATCTCACGGTCGGAAACATTTTGAAATTGTCGCCCTGCTCAATTCTAGCGTTTCGTCCGCCGAAGCAGCACGCACAACCTTTAACCTCCCACCCACGGTCAAAGCCTACGGCGACCCCAGCGCCCTCGCCCAAATGTCAGATATTGATCTGGTAGTTTGCTGCACGCGTGTAGACGTCCATTTTCGCACCATAGAGCCTAGCATACGGGCAGGGAAAGCAGTCTTCGTGGAGTGGCCGTTAGCTGAAAATCTGTCCCGCGCTCTCGAACTCACGGGCGATAGGCCGATGTCAAATAGCATCATTGGATTGCAAGGACGCGTCTCACCTGTCACGCTGCGCCTCAAGGCACTGCTCGCGGAAGGGGTTATAGGGAAAGTGGTCAGCAGCCATGTGTCATCTTACGGCGCATTGCTCCCACGCGATGCACTACCGGAGGATATGGAGTATTTCGCCGAGCGGAAGTATGGTGGCAACCCCATTATCATTGAAAATGGCCACAGCCTCGACTGGTTACATGAGGTCCTTGGTGAGTTCGAGGAGTTTGAGAGTAGGATGCAGATTCAGCGTTCGGAAGTGAAGGTTCTAGGCAAGGATGGGAAGGTGAAAGAGACAATCGGGACGGATGTTCCAGATCTTCTTAGCATCCAAGGAACACTCAAAGCAAGAGAAGGTGAAAGTGGAGTTGTACAGGGCGCGTTATTCACACATATCTTTCGTCATGGGACGCCGTTTAAAGGGCGGGCTGGGTTGACGTGGACCATAAATGGAGAGAAGGGGGAATTGCAGATCACAATGGGCGAAAGGTTCCTGTTCTTAGAAGATCCGATCACCATTCAGCTGCATGACCACGCTACAGACGATGTAATGGAGTTGACCTGGGATTGGGCTGATTGGCAAAAGGAGTTGCCTATCAAGGCGAGAGGTGTTGCAGAGTTGTACGAGAGGTATGCGCAATGGAAGAAGTCTGGGCAAGGACGCGTCACGAAGGGCAGGGAGTGGCCTACTCTGGCCGATGCCATGCTGAGGACAAGGCAGCTCGATAAGATTTTCCGCCAGTTCGATCAGGCCGAGGGCAGGCGAGCAAATGGAAAGGCTTGTGGCTGAAATCATGGTGGACTGTAAGTCAACCAGGTCCCACTGGGTAAGACTGCGGTGGTATGAGGGACTAATGATTACTGAAGGTTGCTGAGGGTCTGTTCACGCACGTTGTGAAGTTTGCAAAATTATGTAGTCTGACATCTTGGATTGTCTTTTGGCAACTTGTAAGCATGACTCCACTCAGCGATTGCCTTACCTCTCCGTAGAGATAGAGGGTGGTGAATGGTAATGGGGCTACAAAAGAGACACGAAAATGATCATGATACGGCAAATTAACAAAAGCAATCTAGATCAGTCGCCCAACATTCAATAGTCAGCCTCATGGCGCGAGGATGCAGGCAATTAAAGCCTAAAAATTTAGTCACCTCATGTAAATCACCCTGATTAGACATGAGACCATAGAGAGATACATCCAAAACTCTAGACTCAACGCGATACATACGACTCCTAGTCCACTTATAGCGCAAAGACTCTCCTACGATAGCACTTTAACCCACATTAATCAACGACACGATAGAGACTAAGATACTAACTCCCGCTTCCACTTGCCTTAGCAATCTACAAAGGTCGCCAGCCTGTTGGTTGCGAACTTTCTTCTACTTGTTACCTAAGGACATCCATACATTTCCTGATGCTGTTCAGAGCTTGAGCGATACGGACGATGAGCAGTAGCACGATTCGGTGGGTTAGGAGATTCGTAGATACTATAGTGATGTTAACGAGCAGTTCCAGAACTTGACACTTCGCACTAGATTTCTATATTGAAGGCCAAGGTCTGGTCACCTGGCTGCTCCGGTGATTAGGTGGTATCAAATGTAATGTCCGTTCATCCTGACCCAAGCCTCCGCAGGTGTCTGACAAGACAAGGCTGTGGCGATAAGCTTGATATCCCGTTTTAAACTCCCAGATTGGACGAGCTGCCGTGTGGCACAACTGCACTCTTGCCCGCATCCACATTATGGGACAGACCTCACATGTACTTCAGCGCTGCTGGGGTTTGTCCGGGGGTTGTGTCGGCAGATCCTCGCTATACGGTCGCGGGTTTGGCCGACGACATTAGGCATGCTCGTATCGGCCAACTGCTAGTCAATGGCTCGTGCCATGACGCAGCAGGGTGTTGAAGAAGAAGAAGAAGAAGAAGAAGAAGAAGAAGACACGACCTGGGTCTGACCTCTCGCCAATAGCGTTAATTGTTTGGGACGTTGAACATTTCGCACATAAGCCTTTACTCCCCAAACGCCACATGCATGCTAATCTTCTCTTCAAAGCGACACCAACGTATACGATTGCAAAAGCAGACGGTAATTACAAGTAATGACGAGCAATTACAGGCCGAAGCCCGACCAAAAGAGACCTTGTCCTAATACATTCCCGCAAAACACCCACCAACGGCCAGCTTAGCATTACACTTGTACCCAGACAGACCTGAACGAACCTCTCTCTAATCCTAACGTCGTAATTATAACTACCGAGTTCCTCCCCGCTAAAACCAATAACTATCCCCACTTTTCGCAACCTCAAAACTGCAACCCAAGCCCTTGCCCTTCTCAGCCGCTAGCTTTTCTCCTTCTCGAAGCTCCTGTAGAATGAGATCGCCAACAGAAGGCCCATCGCTCATTGTATCTTTAACATGCATGACCACAACCTTCAACCCCTTAAGTGGAGCTTCAAGCCCAGCCGCCAGCAATGCTCTGCTATGCTCCGCGCTCACGCTGGAGACATTCAGTGCCGCGGGCGCAGACGGGTGCGCAGGTGTATGCGTGCCTGTCGCTACGCGGGGACTTTGTGCATAGTCTGTCATGACTTCGTCGTCGACGACATGCGCACCGGTACCTCCACGGGAATCAGCATTATACGCCCTTGTACGAGAGGACTTGCGCGCATCGGGTGTACTCGAGCCACCATCAACGTTTAGCCCATTACTGGCGCGCTTCCTTTTCCGCGCACTCCTCGCCTCCTCCTTTTCCTTCTCGTGCTCCCTTCGCGCTTCCTTGACCATCTCAGCGAGATTCTGCAGCTCGGCAAGGAGGTGCCGCGGCGCGAGGTGACCATATAGTACCGGGTCGCCTTGCGCGTTTGTGTAGCTGCACTCGATAAAGATGCCTGTTAAAATACCAGCTGCAATCTTGGGTGCGGCTTCGGTCCAGATGTGGGCGGTGCGCGGGGAGAGAGATATGGAGTCTGGTTCGACGTCGCCGAACATAAGGATTTCTCTCGTGGGAGTTATGGGCGTGGATTCAGTGCGGATGAAGTATGCCGTTGAGTCGATGACGCATTGGTCGGCAGGATGCGAAGCGGTAGCAGTGTTGTTGCGGCCAGTGTCTGCAGCAGTGGTGCCAGAGAAGAGGGGAGTGCCTGGAGCGCTCTGAGTAGGGTGGGAGAAGCTGAGCGAACGGACTTCTCGACCGTCTGGCACTGAATCGGGATGCTGTGACGTGATGTGGTGTGTGGACGTTCGATGAAGACCACTGCTAGAGGGCTCCAGTTGGTTCGCGTTTGAGCCGCGGTGGATGTGGCCCGGACCTCGCATGCAGTGTCCATGACTGACTTTGAAGCCTCGGACGCCGAGACCGTCGCATACTTCGATGTAGCCCCGGCCACTTCCTTCCCCAAGGGCAATGTTGCCGCCTTCTTGAAGCCGTTGGAATGTGACTAGGCCTACGCCGCCATCTTCGTCTGTAAGGTTCGGCCATAATATATTGTTGAAAATGTGCGTTTTGATCGCGTTGACAGTGAATGGTAGCGCCGCCAATCTTTTCGGACGTGAGGTGTTGTGGAAAGCTGCTGTGTTTATGATAAAGCCGGATACATGATCTAAGTGGGGATGTGTGATAAGGTAGGTTGAGACGTGTTCCCGTACCACATGAAGCGCATTTGCTCTTGCAGTTTCGTTCGGGAATGGAATTCCAGCAAATGGACCTTTATCCAACGTTGTATACGCGGGCAATGGATCGATATCTGAACTTGGCGTATCGACCTCAGACTCTTCGTCAGTGACCGATAAAGGTGCTGTTCGTGGCGAAGGAGAGTCCTGCTCTCGAGCATTTCCATGCCCGTTCCGTGGTTTAGGTGGCGGCCTTGATGCAGGTTCTGATGCTAGTGGAAAGTCATTGGCTAGTATGCGGGTTATGGCTGCAAGATGGGACCCTGCATCCACAGCTAAGACTGAGTTCTTTGCCCACTTCGCGGCTGTCGAGCGGACGAGGAAGCCCGTGACATTGTCTTCGCTTGGCCCACCGCCAGAGCCCTATTGTTGTCAATGAAGGTATACATTAACCCAGTTGTCCCGATCATGGTGGTGCGATAGTGTGATATGCGCCCTGTGGTCATCCAATACCGAGACATGTCCAGCCATATCATGGACCCATAGACTGGAGGAATTGAAGAGACATACCAAGGAGATGACCTGTAGCGCAGGTTCGTTCGAATGTCCCGCCGTCCGCCTCGTCTGCCCATGCCCATCGCTCTCCTTCATCCCAAAATCGTGGTCAACTGATATTCTACCGGTAGATGACCGAGCACTGTCTCAGCCTTATCCAAACGTTGGCAACCCAGATCTTCCCTAGTCTCGATCCGAGACCTTTTGCTTTTATCGTGGACCGCTGTCTCAGCGCCACGCCTCCCTAACACCAGCGCTCAAGAGATACTTAGCCAAACAGTTCCTCGCAAAGATGGTCGATTCTCACGTTTTTGGGCAATCGTGAATTTAGGGCGTTATCGTCGTATTTCCACTGTCGTCGCAAAATGCGCGCACTGGAGATATTGGAAGCGCAACTCTGGAGGAATAGTAGAACTCAAGCTCTTCGACGGCGGTGAATGATTCGAAGCTCTCCGCGTACAGACAGATGACGGAATGATCGGGGCCGATATGTTGTGCAGAAACGGTGTCGCGATGCCGCAGCAAGCCGTCGAGTGCTGCAGGCGAGCGGAGCAGCGCGCTTCAGCCTCCTCTTCCCCAGACGATCGCCCTCAGCCTCGCCGAAGCCAGAACCCGGTGCAAAGACGTTCAATCCCGCGAGTCGGTCGAAACGCCCTCGAAATATTCTCTTTCTTCTTGTGCGCTGGGCACCTACTTGGCCCACGTGCCAACGACTTGTCCACGGTTGCTGTGCGCGCGGTATCCTGGAAGTCGCAACACCTCGAGTCCGTCCTCTTTCTTATACTTGTACGCGCAGCTTGCAGTAATGTGTCGCTCGGACGCAGCACGCTCGAGGTCGCAAGAAGGCCGCATTCAAGACCAGACCAGACCCGAGCCCCAGGCCCCGGCCTTTGTGTGGCTGCGCTCCCTCTTAGACCCTCGGCCCAATCACGCCTCACAACACCCACGAGCCGCAGCTGCGCCGCGCCGGACTCGACTCAATCCTGGGTCCTCCCAGCCTCTCTTGGCCGCATTCCTTTCAGAGACGTCTCTGTGCCTGCACGTTGTCTCTGTCTCCCAATTAAAAAGGTAATGTGACGCTGTGCTGCGACTGCTCCCTCGGACGCAGGTTGGTAGTACGAACTCTGCTGTCGCAGACGCAGAGCTTCCGTGCTTCACCAACGCATGTCAACGACGACCCGGGTCCCAGGCCTGAGAAGCGGGGTCTGCATGCTTGCTTGTCTTTGGGACGTGCAACGAGAATACCATCTCAGGTAAGCTGCATGGGCGCTGTTGTCATTGGTCAACGCCATGCGCTCTGTTACATGGATAGTCGTGGCACAATTCTAGTCCAGGTTGCAGTATAGCATGTAGTGTCAAGATGTCAAATCCGCCCTGTGAGCGGTTGTTGTCCCAGAGTATATACATCCATCCTACTATCGTCCGGTCCGCATTCAGGCATAATCGAGGCTGGCTATATGCGGTAAGCCATGGTAGCGCTGCGACCATCAACACACCTGAGCTTACACGCGAACAGATGAGGTCACTATTGGACAATCATAGGTTTGGGCTTGAAGCTCTTTCCATTTGGCTTTTGCGCCCATCTAGGCAAGCAAGAGTGACTGGTATATCTCTACTAAAAGCTGCCCCACACACACTCTCGCGTCCACCCCTCATCTCTCATATGCATAGTGTCCCATCACGAAGTCGTAATATTCGTCCCATCATAACCGAATCCCTGAGTCCCTCCTTTTAAAGAAAATGTTTACTTGAAGATCTTGCCGTCGGCGTACTTGTACTCCTTGCCCTCAAGAGTGATGGCTGGAGGTTCGTCAGCCCACTGCTGCTCGACGAAAGTGCGGTCCTCGGGCTTCTGGGGGTCGAGCTTGGTGAACTCGTAGCTCTCAACATCGGGAGCAACATCGAAAGCGGGGAGGGCATCCTGGCCACGGATGACAAAGGCACCCTGGATGACGTTGTCGTTGTTCTCGCCGTACACCGAGGCAGCACCGAAGATGAACTTGCGGGAAGCCTCGAGACGGGCGAAGAAACCACCTGCAGATCGTCAGTATCTACTTTCTATCAATCGGATATGGGGTCTGACGTACCAATCAAGTTCGAGGTCATGAAGACGAGCTTGTTCTCCTTATTGTACTTGTAGTCAACCTTCCAGATGGAGTACTCGTCGAACTTGACGTTCTCCCAGAACCACGGCAGGGAAACATTGACATCGTTGTTGGAGTACTGGCGCTTCCACTCGTCGAGATCGAAAGTGGGGCGGTCAAGCAGAGCAAGCGGGTGCTTGGGCTTGGGCTTAGGAGCCTCCTCCTCCTCCTCAGCTGGGGTCTCCTTGGGTTTAGCAGCAGCCTTGGGCTGCTCCTTCTTCGGCTTCTCCTCCTTCTTCGGGGGGACGTTCTTGATCGCCTCCTCGATGAACTCGAGCTTGCCTGCTACTGCAGAGTAGCTAGGGACGTTGTAAACGGTCTCGTACCAACGGGTGACGTTGGGGTTCTCCGCACGCCAGGCCTTGTCGTAGAAGTACTGGAAGCCGCGGGCGAGGATGGAGGCAGTGAAGAAATCAGCGAGGGTGAGGCGCTCGCCGACGAGGTAGGTGTGGGTAAGGAGGTACTCTTCAAGGACGTGGACGGCCTTGGTAGCGGCAGCCTTGGAGTCCTCAATGTTCTTCTTGTTGTAGGGGTCACGGCCGACGAGCGGGCGGAACCAGCCACCGAGAGGAGTGAGGATCTCAGTGTTGGCGTATGACATCCATCGCAGGATCGAAGCGTAGTCCTGCTTGGTCTTGCCAAGAAGGGCGGTCTTCTCGTTCTGGGAGGTGACTGTGATGGTCAGCTTGAGTCACATTATAATGTAGTGATATTTTGCAATGTACGCGGGAAAAAATCAGAGTCGAAGATTCTCAACAAATAAGTTCAGACAGGGATAACTGAATGATAATATGCCTCATCCTTTGCGCAACTAGACGGGTGGAAAAGACGTACGGTAAACGGCGATGGCGATGGTCTCGCTGAGGACGAAGCCGTCAGCGCCCTCGAAGGTGGGAACCTTGCCGAGCTTGTTGAGCTTCAAGTATTCGGTGGAGACACCATTGGCGGGCACAGTCTCGACAAACTCGAGGTCAAGACCATTCTCCTTCGCAACGGCGAGCAGCGAAGTGGTACGCGGGTTGCCCTGCGGACACGTTAGTCATTCTCGCTCAACAGACAGCTGTACCACGGTAGCACGAACCGAGTAGGAGTAAAGCTTGCCGAAAGACATGATTGCGATGTTCGTGGAATACAAGCAGCACAATCAGTGGTTGACAAGACGGTGATCGAGAAAATTGGAAGTACGAGGGGAGGCGGGGCAAGAACGAGGGAAGAGCTTTTTGTGCCGGAGAAATTGCGCGCCGACGACGCCTTCCCTGAACAAGCAACGAAGGACGGCGCTTGGGCCGCGCCTGCCCAAGAATTTACGAACCACAGCTCGCCAGAAAGCCATCACAACTCACGACGAAGTATTGCGACAATTGCAGCCGCCATGGTGCGCGGCGAGCTCTCACGATCCATATGGTCAGCCACGGAAGGCCTGTTTAGCGGAGCGCGACCACAGTGCACGCGGACGATGCGATTACCGTACAGGAGTCTGCAGCCGGCAGCGCGCTTCATCTCGACTACCCCGTCGCGGAGCGCTGAAATCACAAGCGAGAACCCCGAATTGACGCCAGATTCGTTCACTGCTGCACCTGAGTTCGAATTTGATATGGAAGGGGAGGGTGAGAGCGAAGTGAAGGTAATGAGGAATGTTGACAAGGGGAAGAGCAACAACCAACTACTCCGCACCCTGCGTGTCGTCCCGGCGTCTCGATCGTACTTCAGCGCAAAACCGACCTTCAACGATGATTTCATCCATGTCTCCGCTCTCCTCCGCAGTGTTGCTACACTACCTACCATACCGAACTCCGAGGCTCCCAGAGTGGCATGGAAGACTGTTGACCAATACCGCATCATGACAAACGAACCTGTCAAGACGCAGCGATTCCATAGGATGATGCACCTGGTCAAGAGACTAAACTGCGTACATCCTTCTCTAATGCCAGAGCACGTCCGGACCGCAATGCGACGATTCATGAAAGACAGCCAGCCTGGTGACATCGTGCCTGTTCCTCAGGTTGTAGATGAGTGGGGCCGAGCCAGAGGAGTTGGTCGCCGGAAGACTTCTTCTGCTGTTGTGTGGCTAGTCGAGGGAGAAGGAGAAGTTCTGGTCAATGGCAAATCCTTGTCGCAATTCTTTGGACGTTTACATCACCGGGAGAGCGCTGTCTGGGCTCTGAAGGCCACGCAGAGACTGGACAAATACAACATGTTTGGATTAGTTCAAGGCGGAGGATCCACAGGCCAAGCGGAGGCGTTGACACTGGCTGTTGCAAAGGCATTGATGGTCCACGAGCCAGCCCTGAAGCCAGCTTTGCGACGCGGTAAGTGCTACTGTTATGATGCTGATAAAGACTCCGAACAAATTGCTAACACTATGCAGCTGGCTGCGTTACTCGAGATCCAAGGAAGGTGGAGAGGAAGAAGACGGGTCATATCAAGGCGCGCAAGATGCCCACCTGGGTCAAGCGTTAAGCCTTCCGCGCAGTGTATATTATCCTTGTGCATTAGCATAGATACTTGTTGTAACATACTCGCATGCAGGGCGACCATCTTGTTAGCACCTTGCAGCTTTGTGTTCGCATCATCTTTATTGATACTAATTCAGTCCGCGCAGTGGCACGAAGTAGTAGTCAACCCAGTGCCGTCGAGTTGCCGACCATTCTGCATTGCTTGAAAGAGACCGGCTGACAAGAGGCGTGGCAGGGAGTCCGACAGCAGTGGCATAATGGGAGGGACTGAGGAACAAAGTCGAAGACAGTGTCCCGTACCCTCATGCACATTCTACAGACCTCGACCATGCATGCTATAACGAAGCATTATATCGTTCGGCTGATCCGGAAAAACTTTCAGTCGATCGGCATCCGCTACTGAGCCCGTGGGGTTCGCATTCTGGATCAATCGAAAATCTTGATTGCCGTAAGCAAAACGGGCCGCTCCTCCCACTTGGCATTGGAGGATGGTATGTAGGTGAGAGACGGCAGAGCAAGGTATGCTTGGCTATGCCTCGGTCCAAGGTTTCGAAGCGTTCAGGCCTGGCCAGTCTGACGAACGGAGCATTCTTCCGCCAACCACTCACGGCTCATTGTTTCTCCGATTCCCTGTCACTTCTCTTACACTTGAGATTCATTGACACACATGTACCCGAGGCTTGCTGTAGAGATCGCGTGTTTTTCAATTTGCTCGCCCAACCCTTCTGCTAGCACTCATCTGGTGGCTTGTTCTCAGCTGGGTCGCTGGTTCTCCTGTCTTGTGCAGCTCGACGTTGACGTTGCAACGACTCGCAACGCGCTAAGCATGGCATCCCTGTGTCGATGGCCAGGTGCGTCATGCTCTCCAAAATAGTCCTCCTAAAGCGGTTGGCGGGCCGCTATTCGGAGAGGACCGCAACTGTTCAGAAAAAAATAAGTGCAAATGGATCTTGACCGGAGGGTGGCTGATACCTCGGTCGCAACACGCACGAACAGTTTGCGTTGGTCATTTTGTCCTGACTCGCCGAATTACAGGCCCATGGGCGATTGTTCAATCTGACCAATCAACGTACCCGCCCTGTCGCTTCCCCGAATGTTCGCTTCTGATCTCAACGGCGGCAATCATGACGGGAGCAGCCCTAACGGCTAAAAGGCCAGACGTGAGGCTTGCAACGGCATATGGTCGGAAGCAGGACAACAGCCGAACAGCTTCTGTCTGACAACGTCAAATGCGCGCAGCATCAGACCAGATTCCGGAAGGTCGCCGAAGCTGTGTGATTGCTTTTTAGGCGGCCTGCCAGGTGCATATTTGGCAGCACAGGCCTCGCTGCTGTTCTAGAAAGAAACGAAGGAAACATGACGATGACGGCCTTCTGGAAAGCTGTTCGTGGGACCTGCAATTTCGGTTGTGTGGTGGACGGTGGGCGAGTGCCGGATGGCTGCTGTTGGTCTAGAAGATGCACCAATGCCCTCTTCAGACAGAGATGCAACGTGGACGCCGCCTGTTTCAAGACGCGGCTACGCAACATAGGTGAGGGCGAGTGAGATCGGGAGTTCTGCGCGGCTTCCAGAAGGCTGATACGAGCAGAAATGCCGGGGGCCTGCAGGAGAGCACGTGAGGGTAGCATTCACGGCGACGGCGACAGTCACATGGAACTAGACGGGTGCGCGTGGCGGCGCGTGTTGGAGCAGCGTTTTCTTGGTGTAAGTAGTGTACCACAATCCGCTCGCGACCAGCGTCAGAAAGCGTTGGCCGTGCGCCGGAAGGAAGTTTCGCGGTGCATTAGAGCATGCTGCAGAGGGCCAGTCAGACGTGCAGGAGCGGTGCCGACGTTCGCGGCGTGTTCTGCTGCCAGCCTGCTCCTGCCGTCATGTTTGGGAGCGTTGGCGACGGCGAAACCACATGTGCAGTTGCCCGGAAGGCGCTGGCGTGCGGCGGGATCGACGAGTGAGGCTGTGTGCGTGCGGATCGGGCTGCGCGCACATCCCTGCGGCTCAGAGTCAGAGATGAGATGAGCGAGTCTTGGGCGAACCCCCTGACGGCACCGCGAGCGAGCGTGCACGGGCGCCGTGCTGGACGGAATGTCAGCGCCTCGAGCAACACCACATGACGACGCTGCAGACGTCTGGAGAAGCGTCGGATGCTTTGGCCAGCAGCGAAACGAATCAGCACCGTGCCTCCTGCCAACGCGTCTTTGTTCTTCGCCGGCATGAAACGCCTCTGCGACGCTCCTCGCGCTCTTGCGGACCTCGCAATGCTCGGTGAACCGCGCAGTTGGTGGCTCCTCGACGGCCCCCTTTGCTCAGCTCAGCGCGGCCAGCACTGGGCAGGTATGCACTCCCCATGCCTGCCAGCTGTGGCGCCGTCGCCGTCAGTTTGGCCGTGGCCGCCAAGCGCGTGAGCGACCAGTTCCTGGCCATGGCCCTCCGGCGACCGCGTCGTTCGCGGATCCGCTAGGCCTCGCTGCTCCATACGCGTGCTTGTCCGCGCGCATCCAGCAAGCTGCCGACAGCTGCTGTGCTCCCTTCTGCGGAAGGATGCTGACAGGAGCCCTGTATGCGCCCACCCGCCAAACAGCGCCGATGCCCTGCAGAAATGCCTGTCCAGCCCTCTGCAGATCGTCGACGGCGATCTGTAACCATGGCGGCAGGGCCTCATGCTAGCTCAAGCCCCACCATATCATGGTCGGATATCGGAGACCTTGGCCAGGTACGCAGCAGTCATCCACAGTTCGGTGAAAGCCTCTCGTCGTCTCCTCTCTCCCTCACTCCACCCCCCGGCGCAGCGCCACACCCACCCACTCCTCAGGTACCTCGTACCCCAAACCCGGCCTGGCTCCTTCTCCCATACCCTTCCTCGCCCGGCCGGCCCTATTATTACACTGTCTGGCCGCCGTCGTGGCGCGTTGGCCCTTTCTTTGCTTCCTTCCGCTTGATGCTCGCCCACCCCAATGTGGCTGTTCCCACCCTCACTTCGTCCCTTTCAACCCAACCGACATCACACGCCTTCCTTAGCACTCCCGTCTGCACACACCCCCCCACTTGCACCCCAAGGCTATTATTGCATCCGACGCCGTCCACGGTAGCGGCGAGCTTTGTCACGCACATCTGCCCGAGCGTCTGCTCGTGACGCAACCTGCCTTAAAGTCCTTCCCACCCACTGCCCAATGAGACCACGCCCGCACGACTCCTCGACTTGAAAGGCTTTTCCACCGGACCCAATTTGAACGTGTGGGCCAGTGCGAACGTTGTCGAGCAAAGCAAGACTGTCGCACTGTCGTCCTGACGCAGAACCATCGCTTCATCTTTCACTGCACCTGCTCCCTATCGTCCTGTGCGTCCTCGAGCCACCATCGTGACGGACGCCAACGCATCGTAGGGCTGGCCAGCTGCCGAAACGTAGGCGTGGGCTTGTTTGAGACGATCCAGTAGCCTGGCTTTCTAGCCCGTTGCGTTCGGGCTTTTTGGTCGTGTGCAAGGAGAGCCCTACTTTCGACCAGCTGCGTTCCTGGGGGAGCATTGCACCAAGCCCAACTCTGTCAGGGTTCTCCCCGTTGCTTTTGCGCGCCACGGTCCTGTCACGGTTTGGCTACGTGCCCAAGAGTTCCACTCTCGCCTTCGTCATTCTCCAACGTTGCCAGATCGGGACGCCGTCTTCCGCGTCTTGACAGAGACATCCTCGTCGCAACGGGCCGAGGATATCCTTGCCACAGTTCCAGTCCGGTGAGGCGTTGCGCCGGCTTCTTTTCCTTCTGTCGGGCTCCATTGGCTGCACAAGTGATGCGCAAAGGCGCTGTTTATATCCATATCCACCCGTCTGAAGCCTCGAGCATCCCGCTCTTATTCGCACCGCGGACGTCACCTCTCAAGACCACCACCCGGGTTCCCGTACCCCTCTCTCACCGCATCTCTTCCTCGTTTGCGAAGGCTGTTTGCTGCTCCTTCTCTTGCCCGGACGCCGCGCCCGACTGCAGCAGCCTCGCGCCCGCCCTCCTCTCGTCCGCCGACACGTCTCCAAGCTGGCAAATTACGCGACCCCGCCAGTGTCGCCCTCGGCGTATAGGGCCCTCGAACCGCCCTTTAACGTGCAGCTCAAGAGCCGGCCGGGTGGGATGGACAATGACCGCCGGCCACGGCAGAGTACCGCAGGTTACGCGAGCCAGCAAGGCACGCTGCTCCAACCACAAGCATCCTATCCTGTGGTAAGCGCATCCGACCGCTTCAGGCAGGCGCCTTTGGCCGCCCAACCGCCCACTTCTGCGCCAGCAGCTGCGGCCAGTCGCGCGGGCTCAGGCACCAGCGCACAAAGTTACGGTTACGCTTACGAAGGAGGTTCACAGTTTGTCGGCTCGTCGATCCAGCAGCCCGCCGTGGCCTACGGTACCCAGGACTATGCCGACCAGCAGCAGGCGCCCCAGCGCGCGTCACAGCAGTACTCGCAGTACCCCCAGAACGTCATGTACAATGTGCCCGCCCAGCCCTCGCAGCCGGGCTCGTCACAGTACGAGCCCGTGGCACAGTATCAGCAGAATAGGGACTCGGCTATAGAGGTCCTGGGCACCAACTTTGGCGTTGCACAACCGCAATACTACAGTGGTGTGCCCAGTGAGGGTGGCCCAACAAGCGCGCCGTCCTCTGCCATTGCGCCGCAGAACGTCCCCTCTCAGTACCCATCCATAGGATATACACCGCAGCAGTCCGCGCCCGCCTACTCGACCGCCGCCATGACAGACCCGCACCCGCCCACCTCCCACGGCGGAGGTTACTCCCAGCCCGCTGCATATCCCCAGCCGCAGCCGCAGCCGCAGCAGGACGGCAGCAGCAACGAGTACGATGACTTTTACAACACCTACCAGACAGAGCTCAAGAAGACGTTTGAGCAGGTCCGCGACGGGCGGCTGAACGAAGCCGCGCCATCATTGGATCGGCTCTCAGAATGGCTGCTGCACTGGGCCGAGACCTTGGGTGAGTCTGTCCGCATCGTGTGGCGCGAACGAGCAGCTGAATTGACTATAGGCCTAGTACGCGACGATGAAACGCATTACCAGATGCGCCTCAAGCTGTGGGAAGAATTCAATAACTGCTGGCTGGGACTATTCCAAAAGCAATTCGAGTTGGTGGAAGACATGCGGACTACAGGCCAGCGGCCACAGGCGCCGCAGTCGATAATCGAACATGACTTCATCGAGAAGATGGGCACCAAGCTCGTAAAGAACTGCGACAACATGGAGAAGCACGGGCTTGTCGACTACCAGATGGGGGTGTGGGAAGAGGAGATTACTGCCAGTGCGTGCAAATGACCTCTCCTTCCCTTTCAGAGCTGACCATTCCCAGTGTTGATGAAGTGCCTCGAACAACTCGAAAACCTAGGCGCTGGCTCTTCCTCTGCGCAGCGTCCCTCGGCCTCGGGCTCACGACGGCGATAATACAAGCTTTCTGCGACGACGATCCTCTCCGTGGCTACGAATGGCGCTCGTGGTCGTTAACGCTAACGACGCATCGAGCGAAGCCACTTCGCCTATTCTTCCCTTACCTTGTGTGATACTCGTGTACCATATGCACAAGTCGAGGAACAGCGCCCTGCTTTTCAGCTATTTCCTTGTCATTGTCTTTTTCTCGTTGTACATGATTGTCTCATTGTCATTTCGCATGGTCGCTGTCTCACTGGGTCACTCTTCTCACATGGTTCTTGATGTTTCCGCCTCGGCATACGATGGCTCGAGGAGAATAGCGCGGACTGTAAGCTCGCCGAGGTACGGCATACTCTGGACGCTGGACACGATGTTTCCTTTTCACGCCATGGGACGTATCGATTCTCGTATTAGGGTATTCTGCATTAGATGGACGGCACGGCGAAAGGATTAGGCATTGGGTTCTCATGAGCCCCGCGACGTGCAAGGACGCGGGGATTGGGCGGGGATTCGGGTGGACATCTGGACTTTTGGGCTTTTGGTTGTTTTTCTGGCTGGGGGCGGTAATAAAAGAGATGGCCGGTGCTGGCGTCGGTCGGTGTTTGGCATGGTTCCTAATGACGAAGAGATGCGGTGTGAGGGAGTTGTTGGCACAGGCTGGGCACGGGTGAAGCCAGCTTGGGAGATGGGGTTCAAGCCCCAACGATGCGACGTGTCCGGTGAAGATGGGGACGCAGCAAGGGGAAACAGCCCAGAGACGGAAGAGGCAGGTAGCTGTGCATGCAGATGGGCAGCGACAGCGACAGCTGTGCAGGTACGCTCTGAGAGAGTTGGGCTGCGTGGTCGGGCAGCAACCGAGCCCGCAGTGTATTAGCCATGACTCCCAATTCCTTGGTAGACTAGCATCGCAACTGTTTGCAGGATTCACTCGACCGTGAGGAAGCTTCCCAGTGTGGTCGTGGTCGTATTGGTTGAGCGTGGATGCTACTTGGCTGTGCGACATTGACTCGCAGTGGCCGGGGTCCATGCGCGCCTCATTTACGCCCACGCGTCCTTTACGGACCGCCTCACGCATCACGACGCCGCCACCACGCCTCTGCGCCGTCGTCGATGCGCGGGCTTCAGCTCGTTCCTCTGGCCCGGACGGAGGCGGCGAATCGCGAGCGTGGCAGCTGCAGAGGGCCGCTCCTGACGTGCATCTCTCTCCACATCCTGGCGACGCAGACTCGTTTCGGGCCAAAAAGAAACCCGAGAACCACGGCCGCGGTAACGTGATCGACAGGCGCTATGCCCCATGCTGGGCGCCATGCAAAGTGACGAGATGTGCGGAATCGTCACGCTGCAGCGCGCAGCTCTGGCACTTGACGCGGCGTCGATCATGCAAGGCTGCGCTTCCTTCGCTTCCTGCATCTCCGCCACGGAAACATCGTGGCGACGTCCGCCTCACCATGGGGGACCGACAGCGCGCTCGACGAGAGGTGCGCACCTGTTCGCCTTGCCGCCTGGGCCACGCGCACCAACGTCAGCTCTGCGCATTCCTGCGAGCTGAGAACTGCCACGCAGGGCTGCCGCCTGCTTCCAACTCCACCAATCATCCGAGATCCTGCGCTTGGGAGACGAAGTCCACAGCCGGTCGTCTCCGCCGTCTGGGGAGCAGGCATCGGAGCTTTTGCGACCTGATAGCGCCAGCGCCGGCGAACTACGCCTCACACTGCCATCTGCTGCAAAGTGCGCGGCCAGCTCGTGCCGAGACCGAAACACGCCGCACTGCCCAAGGCACAGCCGTTCCGACGCAGCCGTGGAAACCACCCCCTGCGTTGGCTCGCTTTTGCATGCGAGAGATCTTTGCGGCGACGCGGCCGAGTGGGTACAGCCCCGCCCAAGGGCCTATGGGGCCGACTATCGACTTCCAACCTCAACACCACATCGGCTGCCTGATTCGCTCTCTACGAAATTGCGTCCATTCTGAATGCACACCTTCTCTTGTCACAACGCGCATTGTGGCTTCGCCGAACAAGAGAGGCCTGTACCATCGGACCTTGCCGAACTACAGTAGCACGATAATTTCAAGCGTGGCAGCCACCACATCAACAAGGGTACAAGACACGACGTCAATAAAACTAACGTAGACCGACCGACTAGCACGTGCTACACATAGGCGTCTCAACTGAGACGCTACGTTTGAAAACGCTTACAGGCTGACAGCATGCCATCACATGTCTTACCACGGTACTTTGAGATACGAGCTTCAGCATGCGGGTGAGGTTGGTGTAGCGTACTGCATACCTGAAAATGAACCCACCCGAAGAGCATGTGAGAGAAACATATTACTTTTTCAGATCTGGCTCTGAACTTCCCGATTCGGTCCATCAGCCTCGTGGCAGCCTCGTCTTTCCGGCTGACTGGCCTAGTACTTACTGACTTCTGTTCCTGGACTTTCCAGACGCTACTATTCTTACGCATCTGTGGGATCGGTATTGCCTTAATGCAGCCTGAACGTCTCCTACAAGGACCTTCCTTCCCCACCTAGCGTCTACGCTGTGCCATCTCTACTAGAAATAGTCGTGCTTTCAGCGTTGCCGGTCTGACATCTATTCCTGCGCTCTCCGTCTGTTGCTTGGCTTTCATGTTGTGAATTCCATTGTTATTAATTTGCTGGCCACTATCACTAACGCTCCTCTACCGTGCCGTCCCGTATGCGCACGTACTCGGGGGAACCGCTGCCGCACGGGAGATATGCGACAGCTCGGACCGTGCCGTAGACTATGTCGCTGCCTCGTGGGGCCGCCTGGTCTCGGGCACGTTTCTGCATAGATGCCCAAGACCGCCGGTGGGGACTAAGCGATCGACGACGAAGACTGGCCTAGACGTGTTGTATACGACCCTGATGAGGTGGTATCATGGCTTGGACGGATTGATCGTGACGTAAACGATGTAGGAAGAGATCCTACATTCTATTCCTAAACTACCTGGTTGGTGTGGTATCTACCAGCCGGTCGACATATTTTGCGCTGATATGGGCTGCGGTACAACAATGAAAGAGATACGTTGGAAGGTGTAGGTTTATCAATGGAGGCATGCTTCCGTCAACGATTTCAAGCTCTTTATCAGAAGAAGCTGATCAACCTGTGCACCTCGGGAGCTCAAGACGTGGTGGTGGAGGTTTCGGTGTACGCTTGACCGATGCCCACATACCGACTTGATCAAGCTATAGCATGTCCATATTTGCCCACAATTCTCGACATGACTCGTGCAAGCTCCACTCCCATTCTTAGTCCACCGGGCACTCTGCAATGTGTTTTAGTTCCCCATTCACCCGCTCCTTCAACTTCCCATCCCACTCGCACACCAGATGATTGACCAGATGATTACTCCAATGACCCTCATCCGCACGTCCCAAAACGGCCCGCATAGCATCCAAACTACCTCTGGCCACCTTACAATCTACTCTTTAAACCTCACAAACACAAGCCAGTGCCCATCCTGCATCCACCCCTGCAAACCCTGCACATGCTGCACCATCTGCTCGGGCATCCTTCAATTTTCCCGTAGGCTTCGCACTGCGCAGTCATTGAACTTGTTCTCAGGGGTCCAGGTCTCGCAGTTCATTATACAAAGAGCTAGACGCGCAGATTCAGCTGCTTTGTGTTGCATCGAAGAGAGACGGTCTCTAGGCACGCCTATTAGAATTAATCGATCACGGGCTGGTGAGGAGGTCGTCAGGAGGTGAAAGAGTGAAGAGCCGGGTGGCAATGATGGGTCAGAGAGGATGGCTATACGGATTGAGCGCAGAAACAGATTTGTCCCATCATGACATTGTCTACTGGAAATGATTCGGGGGGGCTTAACATAACCAAGCCTCAACGTTGCGGCTACTCCTGACCACAAGAGCCGCGACACTGCAGCTTCCTGTCTTACCTAACGATCTGCGAAGCCTTCAACTGCTACAATCTCATCTCTTGATCGCCAGTTCACTCAATACTCGCCCACTTCTGTCGCTAGGTAGCGATTACCTCGTCCTCTGCTGAAATCTTACTTTCACCGTCCATCCAATCCAGTCTCATCCTCATCGCCCTTCAAGATTCCCCCACGATCACAATTACCACCAACAGTACTTTCCTGCTTGTACAAATTAGCCTCCCCTCCCGAGTTCTTACAACCAAACAACAAACGTACCTTACCCGGCGCCGCAACAAGCACCCCAAACCTTCGCCTCCCCTCCGGACTCCGGAAGTACAACCGCACAACCCGCGTCCTGATGAGGCGAGGATACCAGTACAGGCAGTTTCTGCATGTGTGCCTGAGGCAAGGCGGTTTGTATAGCACGGAGGTGTGGTTGGTGGAATGGTAGTCCAAGACGCCGCGGCCGGGCTTGTAGGTGCAGTCTTTGCGCTTGCGTGTACGCTTGCGAGGTTTAGCAGTGGGAAGAGGGGTGGCTGCCAAAAAGGGTGCGTAGCCGTTCCAGAAGTGTGCTGGGAAGGTGAGAAAGGTAGGGTGCTGCGATGGGAGATAGGCGTTCCATATGCGTGACGGGAGGCGGAGACGGATAGCTGATTGAGGAGGCGGTGTGGAATTCATAGTTGACGGATGTATAGGTATGAAAGGAGCGTAACATTCTAGGTGGATTTTGGCTGGAAAAGAAAGGGTGTGTTTGCGGGTTTGTTAGAGAAAGCTGTTGTTTCTTGGGGTTTGGCGACCAGATGGGGTCGATGGTACCACAGGAACCGACAAGATTCCATTGTGGCTGACCAGCTTGGTAGAGATGAGGTAGGCGCGCATATGGACCTACCTCGTGCCATGTCGCTTGACGGTCGCTTGGAACGTTTTGCGGCGGCTTGGTTTGGGTTGGTGTTTCACGATTCACATTGGTTCTCTATTGTAGAGATGATGGAATTAAAATACATACTACATTGCACTTGAAGCACATCGTTCGCTTGTCTGGGGTTAGTGGTATCATACATCTATTCAGAAAAGATCTTTCCCGAACTCTTGCTGTTTCCTTTGACCTTTCGAACGCCGGTAATGCAAGTCCCACGTCTTCCTGCCAGACTTCTAAGCACCTTCAGTCTCCTCTGTACTTAATAAGTGGTATTTTCACACAATACTGCACCCCACGAGACATAACCCTTCATTCCTCATCCCCCTCTCTTACTTGCGCTTCGTCAATGGCATGTTGCCACTTCCACAATTTGCAGTACACGCCCTCAATCATCCAGATCAAACAACTTCCCACCAAACATCCGGTCCACAAGCCATACAACTCCAACTTCAGCGGCCCAAAGCAAAGAGCAAACGCGACTGGGATGGCCACGAGATAATACACACCGAGATTGACATAGCCACCGATGTCCTGGCGGCCCAGGCCGCGCAAGATGGCATTTGCTAGTGCGCATCCCGCGTCGGAGAGCTGGAAAAGCGCAAGAATGGGCATCACGGAAGCGGCGATTCGAATGACTTCGGGATCGGAGGTAAATGCTCGAGGTAGGATATGTCGGAGAAGGGTCAAGAGCGCAGCGTCTACAACCCCGATGATGAGGAAGATGACAATGTATGTACGTGTTGCGATGCGAGCCGCCGGGAGCGCACCGGCCCCAATGAGGTTGCCCAAGCGAGTGGATACGGCGACGCTGGTACTGAAGGGGATGTGGTATATCATAACTGCGGTGGTCATGACGACGCTCTGGGCAGCGAGATGTTCTGTCGAGAGGTAAGAAGCGGAGAAGGTTAGAATGTCAAACGCCAGCCATTCTGCTTCTACCATAACAACTCCGGGGAGGCTCAGCTTGGTCATGGGACCCCAGTTGGTGAGTGCTGCGCGTGTGAAGCCATTCCAGCATTCCAGACTTGATGGCGCGATGAAATAGACGTATATGCAAAGAAGAATTGGCAGAAGCGTATTCGAGACGACTGTTGCCAGCGCAGATCCAGTAAGGCCCCAGTCCAAAACGAAAACGAAGAGGTAGTTCAGGACGATGTTGACGGGTGTCGCAACCATAAGCACAAAAAGTGAAGCATTGAACAAGCCCTGTGCCTGCGTGAACCGCTTTCCTGCCTCGAAGATGGCATATCCCGGAGCGCCTGCGAGGAGTATCTGCAAATAGTGGCCTGCCATGTACGCCAGCTCTCTTTCGGGGACTAGTGCGGCCAAAATCCATCCTGAGAACAACCACACAGCGGCAATGGGAACTGTGACTAGCAGCATGAACAGCACCATGCGTTGCAAATGCAGACCAACCTGTTCTTTCCTTCCACTTCCATACGCCTGCGCACACAGCGTATCCAAGCTCGTAGCAAGGCCTTCATACACCGCCAAGCCCGTGATATTGGCCGTCATGGTAGCTAGGGACACAGCGCCAAGCTCATCTGTTCCAATGTGCCCGACCACAAATATGGTGATCAAACTGAAGCTGTATTGCAGAACGTAGGTCAGACACAGTGGTACCGAATACTTGATCAGAAGTCTCGTCTCCTTCCCTGGGCTGGTCCTGACCTCTCCTCCATCTCTTTCTATCAGCGTTTCTTCCTCACTCGCGTCCGCGACTATTGCACCGTAGTTGGTGTTCTTCTTGACATTGACACCATCATCCAGTATGGGACGAACGAGCGCGCTGTTACCAGAGAACCGGCGCGGTCCCTGTTGCGCCTCCATGGCCTCACAGTCACTGGATAACCACCTCAGTACAGAGGCTCTATTCGGACAGTTGCAGCGTACCTGAACTCTTGTCCTAGTTTGGTATTCAAATCACCGAAAGACGTAAGTGTCGTCGATGAGGTCGTGGTGTAAACATCGTCGCTGGATGTTATTTGCGGTCGACGAGAAGTTCGCCGCGCCTGCGCTTGTGGACCGTAAAGTGGGGCGGCGGCCTGCATTGGGGCGACGGCCTGCATTGGGGCGACGGCCTGCATTGGGGCGACGGCCGGCGGCTAGGACGGATGCGGGAAAAGAGAATGCGGGTGTGGCGGCCGCTCAAGCGTACGCACCGAGATGACCAGCAGCAATAAAGGGCCTCGAGATTGGTGTTATTCAAGTGATGCATGTAGTGTTCCCCTCTATGGTAGGCGCTCCTGTATCTGATTGAACGCATGGGCGATAGCCGCTTCGGGCAGCAGCGATGAAGCTAGCGTGGAATGCAATCATCGCCTACGTATAGTAGCTCAAGGAATGTGAATCAGTGGCCGTGGCGTATACGTACCTGTGAACATCATGTCTGCACCTATTTCCGATCGTGTCGAGCTGTATCTCCACTGAGTATCTCGACGTGAACGGATGTCAGCCTGCCAGACTTCATTATATTGGCTTCCATGCTTCAATCCCTTTAAATTGGGCAGTATTGATTAGCTGGTTGCAAAAGTCTAACGAGGAACATGTCCCTCGCTATCTCAGCTCTTCTTGCCCATCCAAGGACCACACGCCTCGTATACCTCTTTGTACCCTGGATACTGCATGCATCTATCAAACACCCCCTCATCTACGACCCTCGCATTCTGCAACGCTCCGGCAATAAAGAAATCCGTGAAACTCGGGCTTGCCCCTAGCACAAACGGGCCCTCATCCTTATTCGTACGCATCAACTCACCCGCCGCACGTGCATCCTCTTCAATCGCTTTCCAAGTTTTCTCCTCCTTGTTTCCAGCAATAAGCTCTCCAATCGGATGCCCTAACGTTTCCTCTCTCGTGCGCCGGAAGTATTCTTGCGACCGCGGAGACAGAATGAGGATCTCGCGGGGGACGAGAGAGGTGTAGAACGCCGGTCCTACGACAGCGCGCGCTTTTACCTCGATTTGGCGGCCCAGTTCAGAAGTTAGGGGGAGTGGTGGGGATGGGTATTTGGATTCGAGGACCCGGGCGATGGTGGGGGAGTCCATGGTGTACGTATTGGTGGGGATGTGGTGGATGGTTGGGACGGTATATTTGTGTTTGGCTTGCTCGTTAGGAGGGATACCGCTACAATGTAGGTCAGCTATATGTACTGGGTTCAACGGTTGTGTTACGTGATTGTGCAGGGACGTTTGCAAGGCGGAGTTGGCAAAGGAGAATGCACGCACAGCTCTTTGAGGGTAGGCTCGATGTCTGGAAATTCGAGGAAGACTGTCTTGTAGGGGATTTGCTTGTAATTGAGGATGAGCCGGATGCGCCAGACGGCGGGTGAGAAACATATGTTCTTCGTGCAGGCTAGGTCGTACAGGACGATCTGGGCTTCGGCTTCAGTAACCATGGTGTGGATTACGATGCTGACGATTTTGTTGAATTCGCAATTGATTGCTCCTTTTGAACGATATCCTGTGCTGATTTCGGACGGTATTTCTACGAGTGCCGTGGTATATGTCGTACGGTAGTTTTAAAAAAGGTGATGGTTAGAAGAATACGCTAGGCAGCAAGAACCTTATTTCCAAGGTTGGACCACGAACACGTGGCTCCATCAGCATAGATTTGTGGAAACATCGCAACTAAATTCGTATTGTGCGGTATACCTGGGTAGTTGTAACTGCGCCTTCGCGGGTGAGTCTCACCTTTTAGAAGTTGTAGAAAGTACGGGTCGGTCCAAGAAGGCAAGAGAATTAGAGAATGGTGTTTACGCGCCAGAATAGTGACGGCCAAAATGTGTTACATGTATCTATCTATCCCCTACGTAGGGCTGCGGTGCGATGCTAACAGGTCTTCCCGAAGCGCAAAGCAACAAGAAGTGAAGTTTCTCGACCATATAAATTTGGAAATCCACTCTTATCCACCATCACCATTTTCCGTCCATGACAACACTCGTTTTCGTACAGTCTCCTTCTCCATCGTTCCTTACTACAAAACTAGTACACAGGAGGCGTAGGCACTGCTGTCGGACTCCCAAAACCACCTGTTCCAGTAGGGAACGGGATATGACTCGGCATTCCAGTGCCATGTGGCCATCCGGTCCCATGAGGGTATCCCGTGCCATGAGGACGGTACGGGTGCGGCAGCTCACCCTGTCCACTAAATCCGCCGTCGCCAAGGCGCGGCGCAAGCTTGTAGTCGATCTCCAAGCCGCGCCGGTCAACGACAGGTGTGGGGTAGTAAGGGAGGATGCTGTAGGTGTCTGTTGGGTTCGGAATGGGGATGCCGGTTCCGGAGGGGAGACCTGTGCCGCTGGGGATACTTGGGGTGCTGATGCTTGGAAGACCTGTGGGAAGACCAGTCCCAGTAGGACCCGGTATCACAGGACTGCCAGTGGGGTATGAAGGCCAACCGCCAGGTGGGTAAGGCTTGCTTGGACGAGTCTGAGAGCGTTCGTACTTGGCGTTGAAGTATTTCTCAAAGTGGAACGGTGCTGGCTTGGGTTAGCACGGCCTTGTGGAACAATGGTGGTATTCGATCGTACCAGCGAGGGATGAGCCCACAAGGGCAAGGACAACGAATGAGCGCATGTTGGCTGTTCTGGTAAGTCGAATCCGGTGCTGGCTAACCAAAGCTATGAAGAAACAAAAAGACCAGCGCAGCCCTGTGGGTAGATATGGTTGAGATCGTACTCAAATGATGGCCAGGCAACCAGCGTATGACCAAAGGGAATGAATGTCTAGCCGTACGAAAAGGCGACTGAAGAACTTGCAGTAGTTGGTAGATGGCCTCGTCACTGGAACCACAAGCTTATATACTCGCCTCCCCTCAGCCGCGAACTCAGTCTAAAACAGACCCACCGTCTAATCTCTAGCAAACGGAACGACATCCCAGCAGTCGGAAGCTAGCATTGCCTACGGGTAGTTACGATCGGCCGCGCAATTCCCGTGTTTAGCTTCATGTCAGTGTAGGCCAAGCGCTGTCGACACCCTAGGACTTGAGCACGCCAGTAACACGACGTCAGATAAGCACTCTGAGGAGTGAGCTGAGGCTTCATTTGGAGAACGTGTTCGCAAAACGTGGGCTTTCGCTAATGGATTTTCGTTTCCGTCCGTGCTTGCATGCGTATATGTATGAGTTAGAGCCAGGTAAGCTTTCGGAAAGGCACAGCTGCCACACTCGGAAGGACTAGCTTCATGTCCGAGTTTGTGTTACCCATTCTCGTTTATGCTCGCTGTATGTCAGATGAGTATTCGCCTAACACGATAGCTAAGCGGCCGCACGGAATTTGGCGAGGATCATGATGTATATGAGGTAAAGGATAGTCGTATGTCAACGGACTTCGAGATGAAAGGATGTCTTGGTGTAAATCGTAATACACGCCGTGTAGTTGCTGTTGTCGACTATTGGTGCATCGCACATCGGCTACCTGAAACACCGTGTTGTTTGGGGAGCTAATAGACGGGAGAACGATTACGAACCATGCGTTGATCGACAGGTCCCTCTTCGTGTTTCAGGCGGCATCTCGCCGTGTAGACTGCCTAGTGGGGGTCAATACGTCCGAGACTAATTTAGAGACCTTGGCGAGATAACAGTTGGGATGTAGGGTACTCAATGCGACACGTAGGAAGGACTAGGGCTACAGCCGGCGATTGATGGAAAAGCTGAATCTGTACCTAGGTTGTGTAGCCATAATTGTGCGTACCCGCTCAGTAATTATGCCGAGGCTCAATTGCACCACCAAGTAAAAACATACAGCTCTTTTCCAGCGGGGACAAATCTCAGAGTCATCGCCTAAGCCCCTTGGACAACACGAGAAGTTTAGCGATGGTCGATCGAGGAAGAGCTATCTTTCGTATGCCGTGATGTTGTGGCGTCGACTATTGCGCGTACCTGCGCGAACATGGCGAATACCGCTCCCGACGTCCGGATGCAACGCGAAGAAACCTTCGGAACCCTTCAGCTTCGCGAGATGACGGCTTCCAAGGTCGCCCTGATATGCACGACGAAGGAAATTGATAACGGGTCTCAAAACCAGCCGATCTTCTTAGCAGCGTAGCTCCATCCGGAGAGCAGTGCAGTTGCGCCGGTAAAAGCGATGAGCGCCCCGAATCCACTGCCATATGCGAATCCGGCTCTCCACGAGTCCGCGTGCAGTAACGCTTCAGATAACGGTCCGCTACATAAGTTCGCAACGCCCTTCCCGGCCGATAGGCAGGCAAATATCATACCTAGATGTGCGAGAACAGAGTTAGTGTCGTCGCTCTATGATAAGGCAATCGCCGGGTGGTGTCTCAGCCCGCTGCTACTGCGCGGGGAATCCTACCATTCACAGTCGAACGTTTCGCGAACTCGCAGCATCAAGCTGTTCATGGAGCACCCGAATAGGCTTGGACTTACGTACCTGTGTCAGCTCCATTGCGCTTCTCCTTCGTATCTCGCATGATGGCGCTCCAGCTGCTGGAATTGCTACCTGCAAACGCTCCGTAAAGCAGGCAGAAAGCGTAGAGAGGGGCGAGAGAAGTCGAGAACCCCCATAGTAAGAATACGGTAAGGGTAGAGCCGAGGGCTGTGAGTCCAATACAGTTGACGACTGCGAATCTATCAACCGCCGCGCCCATGCAGAAAGATCCTATACATGCAGCACCATTCAGTAGAATTATAGTGGCGGTACTTTGGTTACTTGAGGCGCCTAGTGACCTTGCGAAGGTGGGCAGGTAGATAGTCGGGAGGAAGTACCCTAAGCCCTGAAGTATGCTGCCTGACTGGAAGATGAGGAAACTCGAAGTTTTCCAGAAGGTCATGTCAAAACTTCGCGACTGCGTTGTTTGGGATATTGGTAGCCGGGGCTTGAAGAAGAATAAGATAGGAAGGTTCAGAGCAACGACGGACAATGCGCACACACGTAGCGTAGTCCTGAACCCATAGCTGTCTAACAGCCACTGAAGGACAATGGGTAAAACCGCCCCTGACAAACCAAGACCGGCCATGGTTGCGCCGTAAGCAAAGCCGCGGCGGAGAACCCACCATTCTTCGATGTAGAATAGGATAGGCGTCCAGGCGAGGCCACCACCAATTGCATACATGATGCCTTGGCTCATGATCAAATGCGTAACATTGGTCGCGAGAGATCCCAAGCCGAGAGATAGGCACATGATAGTTAGACCGACTGGGGCTGCCCATATGCGTAGTCTTGGATAGAGCTTAAGAAGCACAAACATGGGGATGATCCACATGTACATGATACCCTGTCTTCCATCAGTTCCACCTGGATGACGTGTGTGGGTGGTGTTACCATCGCGCAGGCGCCCACAACGGCAATATTGCTTGATCCGGCAAAGGGCTCATGCGTGCTGTAGTATTCCTGAAAGACGCCATATGATGAGCCGAATCCTATCTTGGTCAAACAGCAGTCAATTGCGTTGGCACATGCAGAACGCACCCCAGATCATGCCCTCGAGCATGAAACAAGCGAAGAGCAATAGCCAGGCATGCTTCCCGCCGTCAGTAGGTGGCAGGGAGAAGCCTCCTTCGAGCTCCTGGGTGACTTGTTCGTATGTGGGTAGTTCGTCTGCGGGCCGTTCGACACCTGTAGCAACAGGTTGGGGATAGCGGATTAATTCGGTTTCGGTGGTTTGCGCTGAAGCCATTGTGACGGATGCTCACCTTGTGTCTTCAGCCGCGCATTGGAAGCTTTTTATGGTGGCAAGTGAGTCCATGGTAGACATGGATTAGCCCTTTTGGTCATCATTCGTAGGGCGCGCCGACAACGGAGCCAACCGAAAAAAGTGGGGAGGACGGCAGCTGTGGCTAGTCATGCCCTTAGTCAGCAAACATGTGGCTGTGCTTGAGAGAGTGAGACAACGCGACGAGGCCAATTCGAGACAAAGAATACGCGCAGCTTTTACGGCGAGCATCGATCACGAACGACCACTGTACTATAATGCCTCAATAATCTCGCTGATCCCTCACGTCGCTCCAACTCCTCATGGCTGATACCCCGAGAGCCTCTAAAAGGAGGAAGCTCGATACGGCCACTCGTAATGCGCCCAGTCCGCTCGCGAAACCTTCGACTGTGCGGGAATCTACGCGGCCGACCTCCCGAACGGCTTATAAAGCGGATGGCTCACCTAAGGAGCAAGACATACCGTTGAAGAACGCTTCGAAGCCGTTGTTGAGAAAAGTCCATGGCACAGTACGCCAACGGGAAGCGGGCGAGGATGCTGATGTATGGGACGATATAGAGGGCGCATTGGGCGAGAGTCCGACCAAGCGATTGCCACCAAGGTCGTTGCCATCCACGAAGAAGCGAGTGACTAGGAATACGGCGGTGGCAGACGCTACGAACGAGAGGACCAGCACCGACGAGCTACCAAAGGCGACACCGAGCAGAAGGAAAGGGAAGGCTACATTCAATGAGTACCAGGGTGATCTCGCTGAAGAAGTTACAACACCCGCGCGACGCGCATCTGCACGAGCTGCCCCAATCAGTTTGAGGCGCACGCCGAAAGACAGCGAAGCAGCGAATGGTGTCAGCACCAAGCCAGGGTCGCTCCGAAAACCACTCAGCAGTGCGAAAGCGGAACGGAAGTTCGAGTTTGAAGATACTATGCTCGTGTCAACATCTTCTTCCCGGCACAAGCGAGCACGACAGCTACGCTTTCGAGACAACGATACAATTCCAGAGACGGATGATGAGCCTGAAAAGAATGGTATATCTGCTCCTCGAATTGCAAGTGCAAGGCGACAAATACTACGACCAGACAACGTGATCACCCAAAGCGAGGAAGCCGGAGATGCTGACGAGGATGAGGACATAATGAGTGTGGACGGCAACAGCGTTTTGGAGAGTGTTCTCGATCCTACTGAACCGAGTCCTTTCAATAAGCCTTCTTCTGCCCAAAAACAGAAACCAGATGTTCCTCTACTATCGGGTTTCATCGAAACTGGACGCGAGCTTGATCTTCTCAAGAACATTATACTGGAACGCATCTCCGGCAAACGACCTGTGCCTCTGGTTGGACTCGATGATGCATATAAGTCTGTCCACCAGCTCATCGAGAACACAGTCACCGCCGGCGAAGGCAACTCGATGCTTCTGATCGGAACACGGGGCAGTGGAAAGACAGCACTCGTGAACAAGGCACTTATAGAGGTGTCCAAGGACAACAGCCACGATTATCACGTGGTTCGTCTCAACGGCTTTATACATACAGACGATAAGATTGCTCTACGTGAGATCTGGCGCCAGCTCGGCAAAGAGATGGAACTTGAGGAAGAAAGTGGAGGGGTAGGTAAAAGTTATGCCGACGCTTTACAGACTTTGCTCGCTTTACTATCCCACCCTTCTGAGCACACAGGAGAGTACACAGAAAAAGTCGCAAATGCAGTGGTTTTCGTGATGGACGAGTTCGACTTGTTTGCTCAACACCCCCGACAAACGCTTCTGTACAATCTCTTCGACATTGCTCAGTCCCGCAAAGCTCCAATTGCTGTTCTGGGTCTTACCACGCACATTGATGTAGCCAACAGCCTGGAAAAGCGCGTCAAGAGTCGCTTCAGCCATCGCTACGTGCACATCTCCTTGGCAAAGACCTTCACCGCTTTCCAAGAGATATGCAAGGCCAATTTGCTGGTCCAGCCGGAGTTCCTTAGTGTCGAAGAGCGAGGCGTTCTCGAGTCTGCCGTCAAGAAGAAGGCTAGCAAGCAAGCAAAGAAGAGTGCAACGGAGAACGTCTTGTCGCAGTGGAACTCTAATATCAACGTAAGCAAACCTTCACAGCTTCATACACCCACTAACAAATATTGTCTAGACCCTTTTTTCCTCCAAAGCATTCCTTACAACTCACTTGGCCCGATTGTTCTACCGCTCAAAGTCGGTCCCAACAACCTTGACCACCTTTCTCCTCCCCACCGCTAACCTCACGACCTCCCTTTCGGTCCCGTCTCTGTCTCTGAGCAATCCTCCCGACTCAAAACTTAATTTGATACGACACCTCTCAACTCTGGGATTGTCGTTGCTAATAGCCGCCTGCAGATTGGATATTATCCATGACAGCGATACATGCAACTTTCACATGGCTTACGATGAATACGTGACACTCGCCAGCAAAGCACGCATCCAGAGTGCGGCAGGCGGTAACAGTGCAAGTGGCGGCGTGAGTAAGGTGTGGGGCAAGGAGGTAGCGCGACGAGAATGGGAAGGTCTGCTCGAATTGGAACTGGTGATGCCGGCTGTGGGCGGCGGACTGACGGGAGGCTTCAGCATGGTGAAGTGCGATGTTAGCCTTGAGGAGGTAGGGGCGGTCTTAGCAGGGGAGAAGGGCATTGAGAAGGGATTGGAGAGGTGGTGTAGGCAGATCTAATCGCTGGCTAGCGTGGTTCTTGGGATGTTCAGGCGTACGAAAAGAACACGCCCGCAGAACTCTACGACAAGAAAGCTTTGAGAGGAGATTGATATCCCGCACAAACCTGATCAGTGGTCGAGATACTGCAGATAGAACGAATCATGAATCCTCGTGCTCTCCATAGCCGAATGCAACCCGCTGAATGATCATAGCACTTGATCGCAAGTCAACCCTCCGGCAATCGGTGACCATAAGTCGCGACTTCCAATTGTTCATTGTTGGCTGTCATGTATCATCTCACTTGTGCAGGATCAAATTCGTCGTATTATCGTGTTATCTCATAGTCAGCAATATTGAAGGCAAAACACAAAAAAGCCATACACTCGCGTTCTTCCCTGCATTGTTTGTTTCACAACACTACCACAAACTGCCTTTTGGCTCGAAGAATAAGTTCAACAGTGCGCTTTCATTCAGGAAATATTTTACAAACGCCCAATCATGACAACTATAGCTTACTTCCTCCACCCAAAAGCTCCGCGCCCGCCCCCGAGATGCACAGTTTACCCGTCTCCTTGACTCTAGTCTGGAACACTACCGTGTTCCCAACCTTCCACATCTCTGTCTGAAGAGTCTGTCCAGGTAGTACCGTACCTGCAAACCTGACCTTGATGTTCTTATACTGTCCGTACGTTTGGAGCACATGCTTGCCCGAAATGCCAAAGAAGCACAATCCGTGCAAGATAGGCACTTCGAACCCGCCGACTTTGCTGAACTCGGGGTCGATGTGCAGCGGATTTCTGTCGCCAGAGAGACGGTAGATAGCGGCTTGTTCCTCGGTCGTCTTCTCCTCGACGACAGCGTCAGGCGCGCGCTGCGGAGGCTTATGTATAGCGGTTGCGGCACCACGGTTTCCGCCCTTGGGGTTACCGCCGAATTTGCCAGAGCCGCGGATGAATACAGTGCTCTCGTTGTAGAAAATATCCTCGCCGGTGTTTGCGTCGACGGTGGTGGTGCCCTGGACGACAACGCCGGCGGCGCCCTTATCCATAACCTCAATGAGCTTGGGGTATGTGATGAGCTTAGCCTCGGTGGGAATGGGGTATTTCCTTATTTCGAGGAACTGTTCGCCGTGCAGAAGCATCATGGGGGAGAAGTTGGGGACAATGTCGTCCAAATTGTAGGGGGGGACGGCGTTGAATGGCGGGATAACGCCGAAGGTTGGGTATACTTGGAAATTTTCGTTGTTTTCGAAGACGAAGGGGAGGTCGGTGCGTTTGGCGCCGATTCCGAGGTCTGGTCAGATGTTAGATCATGCAGGTTGCTGGGACGTAGTAGGTGGGGACTTACTATAGAGAATGACATCCTTATCGTCGTACTGGAACACAGAGCCTTGGGCCTTCGCGGCCTTCGCCTTCTCGATCGCCTTGAGGTAGTCGACTTTCTCATCATCATCCTTCTTGCCCTTGCTTGTGTTCTCCATATTCGCCATGATGCTCTTGAGTCCGCTGGCGTTATCGAAGGGGTTGTCTGCACGGCCGTCCTCGAAGTTATTTATTCTATCCCACTTCTCCAGCACAGCTTCAGGCGTGAGCTTAACATCGATAGGGAAGCCGTTACCACCGGTGCGCTGCCACCTCGTAGCAGCAACCCAGCCTTGGCCAGTCTCATAGAGACCACCAGTTGGCTCGGGTGCGTTGTCGGAGCACAGCAGCACAACGAGAGGAGCGACGTAGTCAGGCTTGAGCGCTTGGACCATTTCCTCGGGCATAATTGTGCGGGTCATGCCCGTACCGGCGTTGGGTGCGATAGTGTTGACGAAGATATTGTTCTTCTTGCCTTCAAGCGCAAGAGACTTGGAGAAACCGAGGATACCACACTTCGCCGAAGCATAATTGGCTTGACCGAAGTTTCCGTAGATGCCACTGGTCGATGTAGTGTTTAGCACACGGCCGTACTTTTGCTTGAGGAAATACGGCCAAGCAGCCTTGCTGCAGGCATACGTGCCGAAGAGGTGCACCTGGTGGATGACCTCCCACTGCTCGTCGGTCATGTTGGCAAAGGCCTTGTCCCGCAAGATACCCGCATTGTTGACGAGTACGTCGATGCGGCCGTAGGTGTCGATGGCGGTTTTGATTACTGCCTCGCCGTCAACGACGTTGGCCTTGTTTCCAACAGCCTGTCCACCGAGCTTCTGGATCTCTTGTACGACAGCATCAGGGTTTACGAGATCGTTGACGACAATCTTTGCACCAAGCTTGGCGAAGAGGAGGGCGTATGCCCGGCCGAGACTAGGGATATCAGTAGACATTCTTGTTACGAGCTTGTGTGACACTTACCCGGCACCAGCGCCAGTGACCAGCACCACCTTTTCCTTGAAGTTGGGTTGCTCGGTCTTCGGGCTGGGAGACAACTGCGTCGCAGCCTCAAGAAGCCCCAGAGCATCGGCCGGACCATCGGGGTGGTCCGGTTGCGAGAAGTCCACTACATCCTTCCACTTCGCCGCGATGGCGCCGGGTGTGAATGAGTCGTCGGGCTTGAAGAGCGCGCCCTTTGACCGCTCCCACCGCAATTTCGCAATGTGACCACCACCTGCTTCGAATATTGCGCCGGTCTCGGTATTCGACTTATGTGTAAGGACGGCAACAAGCGGCACAATCCACTCGGGCTTGAGCTTCTCAAGCACATCCGGCGGCATGACCGTCTCTGTCATGCGGCTTGCAGCAATAGGCGCAATGACATTGCACAGAATGTTGTACTTCAGGCCCTCCTTGGCGAGCGTCTCGGTGAAGCCAACAAGTGCAAGTTTAGCAGCCGAGTAGTTTGTCTGGCCGAAGGAGCCGAACAGACCAGCCGCAGAGGCGGTGCTAATCAAGCGTCCGTACTTCTGCTTTCTGAAGTACGGCCACGCTGCGTGCGCACACTTGTATGCTCCCCTGACGTGGACCTTGTATATAAGTTCCCAGTCGGCCTGCTTCATGTTTTTGAACGAAACATCGCGCAGGATGCCTGCGTTGTTGACGAGCACATCGATGCGCCCGAAGTTGTCGATGGCCGTCTTGATGATGGCATCGCCGTTCTCGACGGAATCGTAGTTGGCAACGGCCTTGCCGCCGGCGGCGCGGATCTCATTGACGACCTTGTCTGCGGCCTGTGGCTGTCAGTATCGTGTGCGGAGCGATGATGGGTGGTGGTGTCGCAAGACGTGGGGCCCAGTCGGAGCTCCACCACAACTTGGTGTAGCAAGCTGTTTGTTTCGGAGTCAACAAAAGAACAGGTAACGTACCGCTGATCCAGCTCCCTCCCCCTTGAAGCTTCCTCCAAGGTCGTTGACCACAACGCTGGCACCGCGGCTGCCGAAGAAGACGGCGTACTCGCGACCCAGACCACCACCTGCACCCGTCACCACCACTGTCTGACCGTCGTACCGCAATTCTGCAGGTGCCATATTGTAGGAGATGCTGCGACTCAGCCCAGGTACCATGCAAAAATGTAAGAAGTCGAGGAGAAGATTGCAACGCTACAAAGCAATGTCACAAGCTGTGCGACGCAAACGGTGTTTTGCGAGGTTCGTTGGGACGTCCACCCAGAGTGCAACCAAATGGGGAATATACAAGACGCTGGAGAGAAAAGAGAAGTGATCGAGCGGTACCGTCGTGGACGACAGGCGGCGTGGTTTTGTGTCGTCCTCGATGCTCCGGGCATCGAGGTCATCGCTCACGCCGACTTGCCGAGGTCCATGGCAACGGCCGAATCTGGGGCTGGCAATTGTGGGGTGTACACGTGACAGCTCGTTTTCACATGCGAGGTCCCCGGCAAACCAGAGCAGAGCCTCGACATCACCTGCCGGACCATGACGCCGCTACCGAGCTGTCGCGTCAGCGAAACCATTCTGAAGACTGCGCCGCGCTGTTCCTGTCTGCTTGTGATAGTGCGCGAACGTTCTGGTGCGCTGTACGAAGAGAGGCCCGCGATGTGGGGCATTCAGGTACCGCGCAGTTTTGGGTCCTGAAATGCGAATAATCATCATCAGGGAACAAACCTTCCTATGTCTGCGTGCAACAAGATGAAAGATGGTTTGGTCACGCCAGCGAGTATCCGTGGGTTCGTCCGTTCTATTGGCCTCTGCCTTCACTCTTGACGCTTACAATTACCATCATTATGGTGGTGCATCCGCCATCTCGAGCACGACGCGACTAGAGAGCGCGGAACCAGGTTCCCTCCTTGATCGCTACGAGACCTGATTGTAGAATTTGTAGTAGAACATTGACTGCTCGCGAAAAGACGAGGGAGGCTTTTACATAAGCCGAACTTGGAGCCACACAGGCTGTGCCGATCGCCCTAAGCGTTTCGTGAACAAAAACTCTTACCAAGATGCGTTCGCTGCGTTGGCAACGTTCCATAAAACCCTTTGACACTGTTGCTTCCGTAATGCACGCCAGTGCGAACAATTGACAGCTCTAGGCCAACCAGTACCCCGACCTGCCTCGTCTTCATCCCACCCTCGCGCTACAAAACCCACCGACGCTGAACTGAACACCATGCGCTCAGCTGAATGCTTAGACAAATCGTGTATGCGATTAGTAGTCCTCCACTGTCAAGTACGACGTGGCGTAGAGCTGAGGCCATCATGTCATATTCAATAGCAACGAGCACGGGATAATAGCGCACATTGTCTTCCTGAATACGCCCGACGACACCTGGTATAACGCGTCCGAAGACTCTTCATAAGGGTCAGCGATGACGGGTACGCATGAGGAAGTCGTGAGGGACTTCGTACACTGCGATGGTACTACGCTGGGACGTACGTCCTTTGCACAATCGAACACAATCGGAGCAGGGTGTCATGCTCAATTTATCATGGTGGTTTGAGCGCCGAATGCCTCCCATAGTCCGGTCAGACATTGGCAATTGCGGAGCACCGCGATACCGATAACTTCGTTCTGTAAAGATGCTGTGACACTCGGGGGTCAGTCCCCCTGTTTCCGCGATGACCTGTGTGACATTCGCTTCGCTGCAAATGCATGTCTTCAATAATATCCCAACGTGGCGGCGCTCCTATCGCGTTGTACAGCATAGGAGCCGAGAAGGTGCAGATCAGCGTCGAGTATTGAGCGCCCTCGAAACTACGAGCAGAGGCTCATACGCCTTTCCATGCTACCCTTGCCATTTATGACATGATGCACAGCTTGGGTTTGGTGTGGTCACGGGAAGCATCGTGACAACTCTGATCTCTAGCAGAATGTTGAAGGACCGATGGCTGTTCGAGGTTGCGGTATTCCGTGCAGGACGTACTAGCAAACTTTGACAGCTGGTTATCTCGCAGCCGACGGCCCCGCTCACGATGCTCGTCATGCATAGTTTCTCCCTCCATGGCGGGTAAATCGAAAACCCCGTGCAGACGTTTTGTGCCCGAATCGGTCCGCGGTGTTACGTGGCGCTGTCTAGGATTGTATGCGCTTTGGAAGATGCCGGACAGGTTGCAGGCGACCGCTAGCAAGCGTAGGAGGCAGCTGCGTTCTACCATCCATTGGCCCAAGAACCAGTATCGCTCGCTTGTTATGAGCGAGAGCCGTTCCACTTTCCGCTTTGGCATAGGTCTACCGATGGTCTCAGCCGTGCGTGCAGAGACAAAGACGGAGGCCGTGGTGCAATCTGTATGGCGATAATGCTGCCGCAACATAAACGGGAGAGGTAGAGCAGAGAAGCTGGATTCGCGAGCTACCAGCTAGGCCATTTAGAGTGCACCTGGTTGTGCCAGTACGCGACTCGGTAGGCACCGTGAGATCAGGTAGCGATCGGAGCAACGAACCCGGGAAATTGGCGTTCTTAGTGAACTTTGCAGGATGTTAGCAGTGGCCCGTGGACGTGTTGTTGTGCGAGAAACCTATGTGAGCCGTGTGCATGCAAGAAACCTTGGCCGGTGCTTAGGCTCAGGCAGACCCGTCGAGTCGTTTCTCCTGGGAATCCGCCCGATGATGTACGACAGTCCATCCACTACCAGCCTCGGGCGTGCTGATCGACAGACTATGATCGTTTTGCGGCCAAAGTGAAGCAACAAGAAGTAGAATGACTACCACTTGGCTTGCATCTATGCGGGTATGTAGCTGCAGCTAGTACACGGAATTGGGCCGCAATGCGGCAGAAAGAATGCCCATACGTTGTCTTCTTGGGTATCCGGCACATATGCGCTTTTTGAGACGAGCAATGGCGCCCCATATGTAGAGCTTCCGACAATTCTGGACGTGCGGCTGTCCTAGGCTCCGACGGAGAAGGATCTGCGTGTGAAGTATGTCCAGACCGCATCCCAATGTAGGAACCCGTGACCATTTAACGCAGAGAACAAGGTTGTTTGACGCATGTTTCTCTTTCAAATGGAGTTTGTGCAATATTGTAGTGGTAGAGGCTCCCGTGGCCGTGGTGCCCTAGTCCTGGCTGCCTCAGAAGGCGGTCGTGGCCTTTGCAACATACCAGAGCCATGTCAACGGTAGTGTGGGCAATGTGTGCCTTATCTCTGGCATTCGGTGTTGCTCAGAACGCCTGTCAAAGGTTCATGCGCACCGTTTAGCTGGCTAGCGCTTCGGGACAAGGCCTTGTTCGGATTTTGCTCCTACAGACATTTCCGCGACCAAAGCAACCTTTTTCGACGTCCCGTCTGCTATTTGTGGACCACGTTGGACTCCTCAATGCGGCTAGTCGATTTCCCGTAGCATAGCGCGCACGTTCTCAATATCGCCATCACGCTGTGTCTGTGTATGGCGGAGTCATTGTCTTGACCCCACTAGCTCTGAGGCTAATGCATTCACGATTCTTTGATGACGATCGACGAACTCATTGGTCGGCAGAGTGCTGGATAGCTCCGCGTTCGGGAGAGCGATGTTCTTTATGCAGCGAATGTTCTGTTCCAGGGTGGGGAGCATGACCTTGCCGGATCCATGCATGTTGTGTTTCTGCCAGGCCTCTTCCCGCCAATTTCCCTAGGGCTTGGTTATCGCGGCTATGGCCAGCTCATCACCGCCCGCCGCCGTTACCAGTGGTTGCGGGCCAGGAACTCCCAGTAGCATCAGTCGATACCTCAGGAATCCAGTAGTCCCGGTTACTCAAGGTCATGTGGCCCTGATCTCCATTCAGTCTAGGATAGCCGCAATCAGACTCTTTTGCCGAGTCCTTGATTGGTCTCCAGCAAAGGTCGCAATATGGCCCTTCGATTTGCAACAGCTGGTCTATTGACAAGTACGATCTTTTTCCTCCATCCATCACTTAACTGGACGGATTCTACCATTGTTGCGACCAACTTTCAATCGACGTGTTCATATCTTTCCGGAGGTGAGATCCCCTTGTGGCTTAGCTATCCTAGATCGCTAAGGAGTGCGAAGAACTGTGCAAGCTCAACCGAGGGCATGCTGTCTCCCTTGTAGAATCACAGAAAGACCGTGGACTAGGGCAAGATCCGCGCAAATGGCGAATGTACGAGACCTGGTGTGGATACATGAGCGCCAGTTTCAGAAGTATTCGGTCGATAGGAGGATTTATTGTGTTCCAGTGTGCGTATTCTCTCAATGAAGTGCGGTTCCCTTCGAGCAGGGCAGCCAAAAGCTCATCAGTCGCTACACCGCGACCTCATCGATTTCTCTGTGTGTCCTGTGTTGGATTACGCTGACGTTGTTTCATGGATGCAGAGACGAGGTGCGAATCCACTCATTACATGTCTCCCAGCTTGTCCAGCTCGGACTTGGCTGACGCAAAAAAGCGCGAAGAAGATCGGTTAGAAGCACAGCATGACATGATTTACGAACTCTTCGGGGAGAGGCTCTTCTTTCCCAATATCCCCAACCCTCGATCAATCCTCGAATGCGGGTATGGAAGGGGACAATGGGCCGTCCAGCTTGCCGAAGAGTATGGACAGTGCGAGGTAAGTCGGCAGGAAGGTCACACTTTCTGTGGACCCGTTCGTCTCATTGTCGTGGTATCTTGGCTTCTAACTGGAGTAGGTGACCGGCCTTGACAGTACGTAACACTGGAACACGGGAGTGAGTAAACTCCCTACTGACTCTGTATGTGCGATTAGTCTACACGGAGTTCCTTCCAGATCAGCCGGACAACCTCACCCTACACGGCTACAATCTCAATGACCGACTCGACGACCCAGTCGTATTCGAACAAAAGCCTTACGATTTGATTCATTCCCGTTTCGTCGGTATGCATAACGAATTGAACGATGGTTCGGTCTGTCTGCTGACACCTGTTAGCACAAGGAATAAAAAACACCAGATGGCCGAGCTACGTGCAAGACATGAAGAGGCTTTTGAAGCCGGGCGGTTGGGTCCAGATGGTAGAGTATTATCTCAATATCCAATCAAATACTGGACGGATAGACTCAAGTTCTGCCCTGCGAACTTGGTGGATCAGATATACCGAAGCAATGGAGAGTTCGAGACGGGATCCACGTGTTGGACCGCATCGACTCGGGCGGTTGCTTTCCGATGCTGGGTATAGACACATCAATGTCAACACATTCCAGTTGCCCATAGGCGGATGGCATCCAGGTAGGTCTGACTCCTCCTTTAGTTTTTTGCTTGCGGAGATGGAATTGTACCGCGCCGCTAGCATGTAGAACGAGTATTGACTGTGCGACAGAGCCACACATGGCCAGGATTGGACGGGACAGCGTGGAAATGGTGAGTGAATTGATAGAGTCGGCAAGCCTCTGGTTGTTCACAGAGCGTCTCGGCATGTCTGCTGCGCAGGTGGAGACGCTCAACAACGACGCCCGGCTGGAGTTACGAAACACGAGTCTGCAACTGTACCTTCCCGTGTGAGTCACCTTGTTGCGCGACTCGGTTGAACGTACTAACGGCAGGACAGCTATGTGGCCTGGGGTCGCAGGAGCTGATAAAGGTGTTCTGCAAGTGTTTGTTTGCCATGGGTTCGTAAGGGCGATACGGTTGTAGTGTGCATCAATGTCAATACCAAAGCGGCGTCGTTACCGTGTTCCCTCGCAATCATGACGAACTCATCGGAATCGTGCTTTTGTGGCAGTGACGATGAGCAGTGATCTGTCCGTGGAGGGACGCGCTGATGGCGAGAGAGCCATGATGGAGTTCGTGCACCGCAACGATGGACTCAAAGGGCGCACTCGAGTCGTAGTGGTAGAAGGAGGGATTCTCAGACACGCAGTAGAAGTGCTAAGATTCATCAGAGGTTACAAGGTGAGTGGGAATATTGGAGAGGACAACTCGGGCTCAAGACTAATTTAGGGTTCCAGGGAATCGAGCGTGCACCGTCTGTAATGGTTGAACACCAGCATAATGAAACACCATGCCACTTCAACATGCACCAAACGTTATTTTTTGCACAGGGAACCGCATGCACACCCTTGATTGGCCGCCACAGGCGTCTTGCACGCCTTCGTCACCGACTGAATGGAAGCGAAGGACCAGCGCAGAGCAATGGGCCCCGTAGCGTGTCGCCTGAGCCTGGCCTTGTCCAGGTGGAACCTTGTTGACCGAGCCCAACGGCCATCGCAATCACGGTTCCTGTGCGGCACAACCCCATGCCGCCGTGGTTCCCAGCGCTGGATGCGCACCTGGCCCCCTACAAGAGCAGCAACCACCACCACCACGCCCCCCGAGCGAGCATACGCCTCTCGCAGCTCTCGCTGGACCGTCGGCGCCCGTCTCCGATGCGGACGAGCCTGCATAAAGCACACGCGCGGATGGTGATAACGATCCACAAACCGACACCATCCGACATCGTGCTAAAACAACAATGCGTACCGCGGGGAAGCGGGAACAGCCCTACGCCCGCATGCTGCGGCAGGCACGTGAGCGTCGCCCGTGATACGTGGCACCATCGCTTGACGCACTGCGCCTTCGGTACGCCAGCTTCCAGTCACTTCGTCGAGCGTCGGCCCATCGTGTCGACCTTCTCCAAGCTCTGGGAGAAACCTCGGGCACTCGAATCTTGAAATCCAGGTTACCTACTCTCGGACGATTCCCCAAGACTGAGAGCCCGTGCACATCCACACATCACCCGACCTTGGAAGGGCCCAACAACGCAGGTGGACGTGATCGAAAACACATGCATCGCATCTCAGGAACAGGATCCATCTTTCTAACCGTTCCTCAGCTTCATACTCGTGTTGATCGCCTTGCAGACGTACTTCGTGGCCTTCACAAAGCATCGACCAAGGTATGAGTCTCAACAACATGCGTGTTCGCTCATCTCCCCGGCCCCATGTCGACGACTCGTCGCGATTGTACTACCTGTAACACTTTGTGCTTTGTGGTCAATCGGCCCCGCAGCCCTGTTCCTGTCCGTGAGCTCCTGATTGGCCCGCTTTCTCAAAGATAGCTCTTGACATGCACAGTCTCGGAGAATCCACGTGCCCGACCTCATAGCAACCATGTCGCCGTGTTCCAACAACAGTCGCTCAACATTGTGGGTAATGTCTTGTCCGAGAGCATGACGTTCGATTGCCTCGGAAACAAGCAGTTTAGGCTGATACCGCATCCGACCAGGCTAGATCGCGTTAAGCAAGTACATCTAGCCATGCAACCCCGCTGCTGCTCTGCAAGATCCTGACCTCAATATGTCAATGCGGAGATTTCGGAGCGACAAATTGACTTGTGCGCCTTAGAATGACGGGAGGCGGAATGAGATATATAATGCTTGGACGTACCGCCGACCCGGTTGCGACCTGACTCTAAAGTGCCGGACGCGACTACAACTTTTCTGCCTTTGTGCAATCACCGGAAAGGAGAAGCCAACGACAACATGCGTTGTCTTCTACTATTTAGCATCGTGCTCGGTGTCGTATGCGCAGATTACACCACGAACAGCTGGCAGTCGCAAAGTTTCAAGACGCTGGTAACTTTTGGTGACAGCTATACGGATGAAAACCGCCTGGGATATTTTGGAAGCCACAATGGGTCTGCGCCGCCCGTTGGCTGGGATGCAGGAGTGGTACGTGTGATCTTTGTTCATCGTTTCTTGAGATTGAGAGACAAGACACCATAGGTATCTGGAAAACCCGTGTGGCAACAAATCTATCCGCATACATGCACACAGTCAAAAAATCGTTAGATGAACCAGACTAACAATGAATACAGAGCTATAAAGCCTCCACCGGCGGGCTCGTCTGGCCCCGCTATGCCTCCATCTACACAAACAGCACCCTCTACAACTACGCCGTCAGCGGCGCAGTCTGCTCCAACAACATAACCCCCCGCTGGTGGTCCACCATCGACGCGCCCTTCCCCGACATCATCAACTACGAACTCCCCGCCTACATTGCCGACTCGGAATATATCACTCCAAACGGCACAGCCTTTTTCACCGGCACCCCAGACACCACCGTCTACGCAATCTGGATCGGCACGAACGACGTTGGAAACGACGCTTTCTTGACTGACAGCCAAGTCGCCGGCAAAACGCTCTCGGATTATGTTGACTGTGTGTATGATGTAGTAGACGATTTGTATCAGTCTGGCGCTCGATACTTCGTTCTATTGAACCTGGCCCCGTTGAATCTGGTTCCTCAATATGCAACTCCTGAACACGGCGGTCTCAACTCCACACAGTTCTTCCCCGAAAAGCCCTCAGTCGCAGCTGGGAATATCACCGAAATCAGCTACCGCATGCTTGAGACCGTTGATACCGTCAACTCAATTTACGCGTACCGCACGCCATTTGAGACTCGGGTGAACAACACCTGGCCGGGTGTGAGTATTGCAAACTTCGACGTTCACGCACTGATCACGGATATGTATATGAACCCGAAGGAGTATTTGAATGGCACCGCGCCGCTAAATGTTACGGGGTATGTGATTGGTGCTGGTAATATTTCGAGAAGTGATAGGGATAGTTACTTGTGGTATGATGAGCTGCATCCAAGTGAACAAGTGGATCGGATAGTCGCTCGGGAATTTGTTGGCGTTTTAGGTGGGGAGAGCAAGTGGGCGAAGTATTGGTGAAAAGAGATCTGTGGGTATGCTATAGAAGGTGTTGATGTGGAAGTCTCCAGCTAGGGACTTCCCATTGTTCCTGACATCCCACCAGCAAGCTAATGCGAATGCCTCTTCGCAAATACCGATCTCTTCTCCGCATTCACTCCTGGAACCCAACTCCCATTGCCAGCTCTGAGCTTCGCGGTAGTATCACCCATGTTCAATTTCAACACTTTCTCGATGTACTTTGGTAACTCCGTGTTGTCGTGGTTACCTGCCATATCGCCCTTGAACTCCCTCCACTTCTCCCCTACCGCATACCCGTGCAGATTAACATCCGTGGCTGTATGCCCGCCAGTAGACCAGTTCACGCCCGCCTTATCCGCGATCATGACCTTCATCTGCGCCCAGGGACTGGTGGCGGACAGCAGCACGTCGATCTGCGCGTCTGTGACGTCGGCTAGTCCGGCGGCCGGGAGGATGGTAGAGATGAAGTAGCCGCGCTTGTCCGTGCCGTTGTAGGACTCCCACAAGGCCTCGAGATGCTCGAATGAATGTTGTACTTGGAGGAGCGGTGTCGGATCAAATCCGTTGGTCGTCAAGCCACCACACTCGTGGTCCGCGGCGCTCATTAGCAGGGTATTCGGGTGCTCGTCGATCCATTTCTGCACAAAGGCGAGAACATCGTTGTACATAATCGTGTCATGTACGTGGGCTGCTGCGTCGTTGGCATGTCCGGCGTGATCGATGCGCGAGGCTTCGATCATGATGAAGTAGCCCTTCGTGGAATTGCTGGTGGCGCGGTCGAGAGTGCCTAGTGCTGCTTCTGTCATCTCGAGCAGTGAGGGCTCTTTCTCAGGTGCCTTGGAACGGTCGATCTCGTACATCATTTGGTCGTCGTTGAAAAGGCCGATGTACGGCAAGCTAGCGTTGGTGGTGTAGCCACCGCTTCCTAAGAACGAGTCGAATGCGGAACGATCTTGCATCACGTGGTACCCTTTTTCCTGGGCGAAGCCGAAGAGGTCAAGGTCGTCACTGCGGCAAGAGGTTGGGTCAGACTGTGGCTTGAAGTAGCAGCGTCCGCCGCCCATGAGTATGTCGACAATTGAACCGAGTGGATGGCTGTAACCAATTTGTTGAGCAGCGATAGCCTCGTAGGAGTCACGGTTCGCAACGTGCGCAGAGTAGACTGCTGGCGTGGCGTGGTTGATCGTGGACGTGACAACCAGGGCGGTCTTGAATCCAGCGAGTTTGGCTGTCTCGAGGATGGAGCCCACAGGTTGACCATCTGGAGTCACGGAGATGGCGTCATTGTATGTCTTGTGGCCACAGGCGTAGGCTGTTCCGGAAGCTGCTGAGTCGGTCACCAAGTTATCGCTTGCATACGTACGGACTGTTCCAAGAACCTGTCTTTAGTCAGGGTTGCTTTGCTTATGACTTGAACGGTTCTACATGCCAATCGATCTCCAGCAAGCTCCTGGATGATCGGCGCACTTGCGTTCGAACCAGTCTTCTGGAGTGACACATAATCACGTGCCATGGTTTGAGAGGCTTGTCCGTAACCATCAGGCACAATGTAGATGAAGTTCTTGGCCTGTGGTACCGCCCATGTAAGGCCTGTCTGGGCGACAAGGCCTGCCGCGAAAAGAGTGAGCGAGTATCGCATTTTATTGACGAGCGAAAGCACGACTAAAGCGACTTGAAAGAAATGCCTGGATAAACTCGTAGCTCCAGGTCTATTGTACTTATACATAATAAGACCGTACTATTAGCAACGTCACATCCATACCGTATCTGTTAGGTGGTACCACATGAATAGAAAGTGGTTGTAGCACGCGACACGTGCGCCATGCCGATATTGTTGTTCGTATGCTGTCTTCATTGGCAGGATGCAGCCAAGATGCTGCGACCTTGGCACCAAGTATTCTCCGCTCTGTTGTTCTGTTTGATAACACATGCAGTTCTTGGACGTCCTTGGCAGATGGCCCCGCCCACCTCAATCCGCCGGTGGAAGCAGAGATGTCTGAGCATCGTAATTTTGAGAATGATAATCTGGTTGTCGAAGATTACGCCCTGGACGTATTGGAGATATCTTTATTATTCCTCTAACTGTACGGATACCGTTCTGTCTTCTTCTCGTTCTGTATGTTCGTGCTTAATTTTCACTCCATTTTCGTCACAGCGGCCGGTCGAGGCAATATTATGCCATCCCTTCCGCTCCTTTAGAAAGTCGACGATATCCCGCAACATCTCTGTGGAATACCAGTGACCCAAACCTTCATACTCTTTCCACTTGACGTTGACGTCGATTGCCCGCAGAAATTCAGCAGCCTGCTTGCCCTGCTCATGAGGAAGCAGAGTATCCTCCGCTCCGTGACCCATGAAGGTAGGAATCGATTGCATTGGTGGTGGTCCCACACATCTGCGTCCCCCCTCCATCTCTAGCTCTTCACGCAGCCACGACAAAGCTTTTCCGAACTTTGTGTTGTCATCAAACTCTTCACCTTTCCGTTTCAAGACCTCGCCTATTCCGCCCATCGTATCCGTGAATGGATTGTCTTCGTCTTCTTTCTCGTCCATCATCAAATCGGCCATGCCCTTACGAAATGGGAGATACCCGCACATGCCAGCTAAGGCCCCAAATGGCTCACCATCCCATAACAGCGTTGCTACGAGACTGGACGCGCATCCTTGGCTAATCCCAACGAGAGCGACATTTGGCGCGCCCACAACGTTGATCTCCTGTTGCAGGAGACCATGTAGATAAGTGCTTGTCTCGCGTAGGCCTGGCACTTGGAGGTATTGCTTAAGCTCTGGGTGTTGTGGCGACCATTTGTCAAACCATTGGTGCGTGAGGCTACGGTTGAACGCTGCTGCCCTGCGCAGAGGCGCAGTAGGAAAAAGAAACTTGGTGTTGGGGAAGTAATCGCGAAAAATCGTTGTGCTCTCGGAGGCTAGTTCAGATACTTGGCTTCGGGTGACCCGTGTTCTTGGTGCAACGAGACTCGTGAGAAATGGTTCGGCAAATCTCTCAGCAGTAGATCCACGACCGTGGAGGACTATCATGGTTGTCGTGTGAATCTCTGTTGGCTCGAAAACAAGAGGTGCTTTGTGGGTCGGGCTCGTGCGTGCGGTGGACATGGCTGCGAAGTCTACAGCCGGTGAGGAGGTTCTCTTGTCGATGGGCGTGTGCTACCTATATTCTCAGGATAGCGGGCACCCGCCCGTCCGCCAGGCAACAGCGTTGCGCATGGTCCCTGCTGATCCTAGGGAGGATAAGTCCAGCGCTCTCTGCAGCGACATTGATCCGTCTTCTGTCGACGGTGCGCAATGAGTGGTCGTGTAGGAGGTTCGTAGTAGCATGTGAGGAGCGCAGAAGACGCGAGCGATTTCACCAACCGGATAGGGTTTAGCGGGCGTGCCCCAGATGCGTGTCCCACGTACGCAACGACACAGCTTTCCTACGTAAACCCAACAATGTTATTATGTATTCAGCTAGCCTCAGATCATTGCAATCGCACATGCACAATGTGTATCCGTAGATCTATGAGCACCACGACTGCTTACCAAAACAGCTCACTCAAGTTGGGGAAGATTAGCGCTTTGCGCCCTACACGCCGTGATGCATCTCAGGGTAGCGCCTGATCTTTTCAACATACAAGCACGTACGAAACCACAGAGCATTCCTGCCTCTTAGATCGATTTGGCCACCATGTCTGTCTCTACGATCAGCAAAGCCGACTGGACCCAGTGGCAGAACCTCTTTCGCCAATATATCGCCTTCTATCAGACATCCATCCCCGAAACGCAGTATCAGAACACTTTCGACCGTATCATCGACCCAAGTGGCGACTTGCACGCGCTCGCGATCCGCGAAGAAGACGGTTCGCTGAACGGCATTGCGCACTACCTCTTCCATACATCCTCATGGTCGGATAAGCCCGTTTGCTACCTGAACGGTACATGGACTCCCCTCCCTCGCAGAAGCTTTTGCTAAATTGCACAGACTTGTTCGTCAATCCTGACATCCGTGGAAAAGGGTACGGCAGGAAGCTGATCGTCGCGTGCGGTAAGGCTGCCGAGGAGAGAGGCTGCTCCAAGTACTATTGGTTGACGCGGCATGAGAACGCCGTAGCGAGGAAGCTTTACGACACGTTCGGAGACTCTGGGTATGCAGAGTACAGAGTCAAATTGCCAAGCGATAAGTGGTGAAAGCATCGAAGAAACGTTGGCTGTGTCAGTGCCAGAGCTCCTGTGCATTTAGAGAAAACACTTCTTCTGTCAGACCTGCTGCGTCGGTCCACTGCATGCATCGCTCGACGAATGGTCGGACATCGAGCCCATCAAATCGTGTATGTGGCCAGTCTGATGCGAATACGACCCTGTTCCCAGCCTTCTTTAACAGCTCCTGTGCTAGTACTTCAATACCGCGCATTTCCGGGTCCGGGTCAAATCGGTATGCCGCCGAGAACTTGATCCAAGTATTGCCGCGTTGCAACAAGGTGACAAGAGCTTGAAACCCATCTAACTCGTAAGGATCGAAAGGATATGTTCTCTTATTCACCGTGGGCAGTATCGGAGCACCGCAATGCGCAACGACCAAGCGTACTCCGAGGTGCTCAGCAGTGCGTTCCAGGATCGGGATGGCTTCCATGCCAATGAACAATTCTAGAACCCAGCCAAGAGGCCTTATGATATCTGCGTAGCGTCTTAGTTGACCTCGAAGGACTTCTTCCGTAAATTGAACATTTGTCGATTTGAGGTTTAGTCGCACTCCTCGAACGCCTAACTGATGCCATTCTTGGAGCGTGCCCATTTCGATCGTATCAGGATCAATGCCTACAACGCCTCGGCCATTGCTGGGCCCTATATTCTTGAGAGCATCGAGAAGACAAGAATTATCGTTGCCGTAGATAGAAGGCTGCACCAAGACGATTTTGGAGATGCCAATGGTGTTTTCGAACTCTAGCGCGTGTTGCAGGTTGTGTAGTGACGGAGTATATGCTGCATTTGCGGCAAGGGGGTACCCCGGGGATGTAACGTGCATATGGCAATCCCAGGCACCTATTGGCATTCGACGAGAAAGTGTAGACAGGTTTGAGACATCATCGTGGAGTTTAGCTGATTGGTGTAGTGGCTGAATGTAGGTTTTCGCGCGCCTGAAAAACCGAGTAAGGACCTGTTTCATGAAAGATCTGAGGAACTGAAGGAGCCCAATCTTCTGAGAAGGCATTTTGAGACAGAAGTGAGGGTGCGAAGTGACCTACCAAAGTCGCGTGTGGCCCACAGAGCGAGTATATAAGAGGCCTCGAGGAGGCGCTCGGCATATCATTGTGGATATCTGCGGTGCCTGCTGTCTCATACCGAGGATGATCAAGTCCGCCTACAGCGCAACAGTTTTATCCAAAATACCCACTGCATGTCGCATTGTGATAGCGGCTACAGTCAGACTGCTGTTAGTTTACGGAAGTTGACCGAGGGATCGGCGGAAGATGGCCGAGTTTTCCCACACGTGACAAGCTAGTCATTGCAGCGCCTACCCCAGCTCCACTCTCAACAACACTTTTGCGGCGCCCTGGTGGTCCCCATACCCCGGAGTGATTCCCCGGATTCTATGGGGCGCGCATCCTACATATACTGTCGCCTTTTGCCCCAGTAGTTTCAACAGGCTTGATTCCCAGCTCTTGCCAAATTTTCGTCGATTGCCATCAACATGGCGCCGAAGATGCCCCCTTTCTATTTACTTGCTGTCATTATTCTGGCATCTGGCGGTATCCCCAAAGGTATGTGACACTCCCCACAAACGTGATCTGGACTCATACGTGACTATAGGTTACGACGAGGGAGGATTTAGTGCAAGCGTAACCTTGCCAGCTTTCAAGGCTGACTATGGTCTGAACAAAAACCTTTGGGTCGGCAATGCAACAGGACTCGCCAATCGCACCGCCAACATCAGTTCCTTTGGTGTGCTCGGAGCCGCCTTCGGAGCCATAATTGCCTACTTACTGAACGACAAGGTGGGAAGGCTATGGTCCTACAGGATCGCTACTATGGTGTGGGCCAGCGGCATCCTCATGCAAGTCTTTTCATCTGGCGTCTTCGGCTTCCTCCTGTTCGCCAGGATTTGGGGAGGCCTCGGCGCAGGCGGCCTCACGGTCATCTCTCCACTCTTTCTGTCCGAGATCGCACCAACAAAGTCCAGAGGCATGGTGACTAGCATGTATATGGTAGTACTGCTCTCATTCCTGTCTCTGGGCTTCTTCATCAACTACGGTGTCAGTAGGCATATGGCTCAAGCCAGAGCTCAATGGCAGATTGTCCAGATGGTTCCACTGATCCCCATGGGCATCTGCTTCTTCGCCTCTTTCCTGATTCCGGAAAGTCCTCGATGGCTTGCCTCGCGAGGCCGCCGACAGGACTGCATTGCCTCGCTTGCTCGTCTTCGAGGGATCTCTCCCGACGATCAAGCGCTCAGGGGTGAATACGAAAGAACTGAGTTGGAGGCCAATGCACTTATCGAGACATCTAAGACCTCCATGCCTCAAATAGCGAAAGAGTGCTTCACGGATCCTAATCTGCGAAGCCGATACTTCCTTGCCGTTGCTTTGCATACCATCGCTCAGTGGACAGGTGGTAATGGTATTACCTACTATATTTCGGACATCTTCCAGTATGCTGGTGTTAAGGGCTCCGAAACTTCGCTCATCACATCCGGAGCCTACGGTCTGGTCAAACTGTTTGTCACCATGATATTCGCCTGGGGTCTCATTGATAGGCTCGGTCGCAGACGCTGCATGCTAGCCGGTCTGGCTCTCCAAGGCATCACTCATATCTACATGGCCATCTACTTTGGTGCGATTGGGCAAGGGAATCAACACGCATCTGATGCTGCAATCGCATCGGTCTTCATTTACGCGACAGGATGGTCTATTGGGCTGTGCACGATCCCATACATCTACGGAACAGAGATCTTCCCGACCAAGGTCCGCAGTTTCGCGTACGCAACCACCATGGCACTGCACTGGCTCTACCAATTCGCTGTTGTGCGAGTGACACCAGTCATGCTGGCTGCGCTCGACAAGTGGGGCGCATATATATTTTGGGCCATGATCTGTGCAATTGGAATCGTTGTGCTAGGATTATGGGCACCTGAAACGAAGAGTGTGCCTCTTGAGCGTATGCACGAGCTCTTCGACCACTCCTGGTACAAGTGCTGGAAGTCGAAACTGGACCCGCGCATGGATTATGGGGAGTCCTACGAGGGAAAGGCTGATGTCAAATATACAGTCGAGCAACGAGAGGGTGATTCTCGTGCGTAGAAATCGGGCCGGTTAAGGGGGATTAGCTAAAACTTCCGATAGATCTCTCATGTCGTCGGATTTAGTGTCAACATCCGTTTCGAAGACGGTGATGTACTTTGTTATGAATACAGTGGGGGCCAGCCAATTTGATGGTCGATCTTGGGTGCCCTCTGCACCTTGCAGATCTTGCTGAAGGATTTTCAATCTTCACGCCGTACACGGTCAGAATCAGTAGAGCCGGCTTGGTGTAGCTTCAAGCGCTTGAACGAAGACTACCGAGCTTGAGACACTTAGTCAGTGGTGCCTCAACCGAACGCAATAATGTTATAATTGAGACATTGGGGTAAACCGGAGAAAGGCGAAGGTTCGGATGTTAACCGAGGCTAAACTGGCAGTAGCGTTGCTTCTCCGCACGTGCTGCATGGGCCCAATATTCATACACTTGGGCAGCGTTGACCACGGAACATGACCGAGAATTGCTTGCCAGCGATTACAATTCCGAAGAAGAATCTATGAGACATGGAAAGCGGACCCCTCCAGAAGCGCCACCCCAAGAAGAGCGCGTTCTCTTGCGAAGCATGCCGAAAGCGAAAGGCAAGCATTGTGTTGTCAAGATTTGGCTCGTCTCAGTGGCGCTAATGGTCTATGCCAGGTCAAATGCGATGCTACGCATCCAATCTGCAATCGATGCAAAGCTCGTGAGGACACATGCGTCTACAAATTGTAAGAGGAACCGGATTGCTCTTTCATCACTGTTGCGGTCGCGCGTGGTTCCGTAACAGCTGTCGTGACCCTCAATACATGCTGTAGTGGCAATAGACTCATTGGGAACAGATCTCCGACCCTATCTTACACACAACGACTTGAACAACGTGTTGAGCAACTCCAAGCGGCGCTTCTCGACGCGCAAAAGAGCAACTTGAAACCTGTAGTCAACGATACTCCAGTCGATCCAGATCTGGTCTCCAACAGCCAAGCTATCCCCTGTCCTCCTCGAGCCGTAGAAGCCTTGAGAATCGAAACCGATGGAAGGCTGTCATACCACGGCTCTACAAGTCTTTTTCAGCTGCCTGATAGCACACATCAACATACAATAAATCGAGATCACGCAGCTCACGAAACAGCGACCGACAAGGAAAGTCTCGTGAACAACGCATGGCGCGAAAGAGCGTACGAGAGGCTTGCAGATATTCCAGTATGATAGGGATGCTGTTGACCATCCCACAACAGACTAATGAGTTACCATAGGAACCGTTCCGATGGCTGTTAGATTCACACTTCTGCTGGATCCAGCCGCTGTTTAACTTCGTATACAGACCGGCATTCACCCGTGTGTACTTCCAGGTTATGCAGCACTCCCATTGCTGATTCCGGATACAGGTGACATGAAGACAGGAGGCCCTTATTTCTCGCAAGCGCTTTTGAACGCAGTAATATCGCATTCCGTACGATGGTGCCGTAATGAGCCAAGCATGGAAGAGTTGCTCGCTCCCTTTGATAACGGCACAATATTCTCGAGAAACGCTGCTCGGGATTTGTTTGAGGACGTCCAACACGGACAGAGTAAGATTCCAACTGTACAAGCTTTGTTGCTGCTGAGCGCTCAGAATTGCGGCAGCGGTAACAGAACCCAGGCTTGGCTATATAGCGGTATGGCGTTCCGGTTGATTGATGGTACGCAATGTCGGGGTAAAAAGTGGGTGTTCATGCTGGGCGATTGTCTAAGAAGCCGAGCGTTACACCTCTAAGTCTGAGAATGTCAGACATTAGCAGCTGGCCAGAACACCTACTTCACCCACTTCTCTGGTTGGTGAACATTACACTGACTTTGTACCCGCACTTTTAGATATGGGCATCTGCGTCGATGGCAAGAGGTATGCAAGCGCTGGTCATCTGTCAGCCGAGGATATTGAGATTCGCAATCGATTGTTTTGGAGCTGTTACTTCTGGGACAAACTGATATCGCTCTACTTTGGACGCTCGCCCATTCTTCAAAATTCTGAAATAAGCCCTCCAAGAGTCCTGAGTAAAACTTTCAAATTGAATGCTTGATAAACTACTGACTTACCTTAGTGGATGACACCGCTGAGATTGAGCCCTGGACACCCCACGGTCTTTCCACATCCGAGTACCGACCGAAACAAGCTCACTCTATCTCTTGCTTCATCCACATGTGCGCACTTGCAGAGATTCTGAACGAGATTCTTATTCACCTATACAATCCATCCAAGGAACTACCTCGGTCTCAAGCATACAAATGCGCAGACTCACAGAGCTTCAAGCTGCGAAATTGGTGGCGAGACCTCCCAGAACACCTCAAGATCAACATCTCAGATCCAAACCTAGAATGCCCTCCAAGCCACATCGTAACGCTCAAGTACGTACCACTCATCATTTCCAATAGGCAATGTCTAATCAAAATAGTTGTCTCTTTCATACCATCAACATCTTGACAAATCGCGCGAAGCTAAAATTGAGTCGCGAACCAGACTTGGCGGGCCAGATGACCGAGGACAACCCGTTAGTCCAATGTATGTCATCAGCGACTTCGATAATTGCTTTAATCGACTTATATAAGCGCACATTTGGCGATGGACATGTCGTCTTAAGTCTGGCCTACAGTGTCTATACAGCGGCTTCTATCTTTCTCCTGGAAGTGCAGGCGCTAGGCCATGCTGCGCCCAGCACGCTAGAAAGGTTATCATTTTGCGTAGAAGCCCTAGATCGGCTGAGAGTGACCAGTCCAGGTATGTTGACTCGAAGCTTGAAGAAAAGTTTTGTTGACCAGTACCCCAAGTCATCGCCACTGCCTCAGATCTGATCGCAAGAGAGCTCGATGCCCTCGGCATACAAACAACGGTCATGCTTCCTCCCGCATCCAGTCATACTGTAAATCAACCGGTTGCAGACCGTCCGCCTCCGCCACTGCCCACTAATGCTCCAACAATCATGAACAACCCCCAATCTTACGGCCCAGCCAATCAACTTGGAACCACAATAACGCTCGACAATCCTTACCTGGTAGGCGACATGGATGATTCACTGGGCTTCAACCTTCTCGACATGTCGACCGAGATGTACGAAACCTTTTCGCAGGTTGAGCCGATCAGGGTAACGATGAACCCAGGCTTCGATATCTTCTAGTCTACAGGTATGTGGTATACAAGCTGTCAACAAAAAGGTCTACGCAACCAGGAAGCATCCCAAAAATACCTCCATCCATCTTCGACATTACCCCGGACACCTCAAACCGCATGACACCTTCCCCCGATGCAGACTTGGCAGCACACTTCCGTAGTACCAGTGCATACAGCTTCATCACCTTAGCATACATTTATCTAATGCATCCAGCACTTACAATTGATCGTTAAACACCGCCTCTCCAGGAAGACGTTGACGCTCCGTGGCTCCTCAACTGGTGGCATCGCGAGCGCGCCCAGTACAAGAGTCGCAAGAGTGACAAGTGTGGCCTTCATCTTGGTTTTTTGATTCAGTGGGAAAGAGAGAAGGTTAAGATATTGTCAATAGGAATGGCTCGAGGTGACGACGCGCTTTTGTAAGTAAGGACGACGGCTCGCAGTGTGCTACCCCAGATATATGCATCCTACGCGAAGGCTTACCGTTGCTTATGTTGCTTATCCCTCAGTCATCGGCATGAGGCGCTAGTGGCTGAAAAAGATATCAGGATACTGATAACGATCCTGAAGGATGGCTACGACTAAAAAGGGCACGGGACTTATCAGAAGGACACTGTGTAGCAGTGACTCGAATTGTTTATGGTTAACAAGGCATAAAGGGAGCTTCTATAGGTCAAGTGGCGACGTGGAATGTCTCAGACTCGAGACAAGATTGAAGGGAATCAGGGAAAGGGGTCGACTTTAGGTCTGGAAATTAGGCAGTACAAATTGGTCCGAGGTACTATATTTGGCGCTGGGCAGGATGGGAGGTGCGCAACATTGCGACATACGTCTGATTGCTAGGGATACTCGGGTTCACCCCTTCATCACCTTAGTGGTGACGCCGCACTCGCAGAAACACAAACTCTCAAGATCTCCCCACAACGATGTCCCCTCTCCCACCTTCCCTCTCCCCCATTCCCGTCCTCCTCATCCCCATCAATCTCACTCCCCTTTGCCTCTAACATAAAGCTCAAATCCTCCAGCGTCCTTCCATGCGTCTCCGGAAAGCACACCCACACAATCCACGCCTCGACAAGCAGCCAAACACAGTACAGAATGTAATATTTCCAGCCGATAGCATCTATTGCGATAGGATTGACGTACGCGTTGAAGAAGTTTCCGAGACGCCCGACGAGCTGCTTGAAGGCGAGACCTTGCGAGCGCTGCGTGAAGGGGAAGAGCTCGACGATGTAGGTGTATGCGAGGGAGTTGAGGCCGACATTCAGGAATCTGGACAGATGTTCAGGCGGATGGTTGAAAGGAGTGGGTGAGGCAGTGGGGATGAACGGGGAGGAGGGCTTACGGATTGTACAAGAATATGAAAGCGATGCTTGTGGCTGCTGCTGCTTCCGAGCCTGTGATTGCATAGCGTGCGGAGGCGATAGTCCATGCTGTGAAGCAGGCTGCCATACCGAGGGCGCCGAGAACAAACATGTGTCGCCGGGGATACCGGGGAGCGATCAGCGAGAGAGGAACAGAGTTGATGAGGGCCCAGCAATTGTGTGAGAGGATGATTCGTTGTATTGTGCGGTTGGAGGTTACGCCAATGATGCGGAGGACTTTGGCGAAGTAGTAGGTGATCAGCCTGTCGCTCAGCTTAGCAACATTGCCGGTCGTATCACTTTACCGGTATATATCGACGTACCCGTTGCCGGAGACCTGGCCAAAGATGCCAGTGAGACCCGAGACAGCGAATCGGTGAAACATTGCCTTCGAGCGAAATACATCCGCCCACATAAACCTCTTCGCCAACTCTTTCTCAAGCGCAATAGACGCGTGTATCTGCGCAAACTCCCTTTGGACATATTCCTTACCATCCAAACCTTCACCGTGGTACCTCATCAGCACATGGTGCGCCTCGGCCCCTCTCCCATTCGAGATCAACCACCTCGGAGACTCAGGACAAAAAGGAAGGAAGATAATTTGTACCGCGCTAAACGCGACCTGTAGCAGACTCGGGATTCTCCATCCCCAGGTAGAGTCCATAACGAAAGTGGCTGTCGTCACGCCCGAGGCGATGATGCTGCCTATGAAATAATTTGCACTGAAGAGAGACGTCATGGTCGCCCGTTCTTTAGCGTAGGCGAGCTCGCCGATGAGGGCGGAGGCTTCGCATATAACGAACAACACTCCGCTGAACAAACACCACAACCGTTAGCTATCGTCTCATGGGGTTCTCATGACAGGAAAGGGGAGACTGACAAGCCCAAAAGCCACCGCGACGCGATAAACATATCCGTGTTCATCGCTCCAGCCTGAAGTCCCGCCCCAAGCCACATAATGCACGATCCAATGGCGATAGTCCAGCGACGACCACACAAGTGGCTCACGCGCGGTTCGAAAGGGACGGCCATGACCATTCCCAAAGAATGAATGGCATTCAGCAGCCCAAGCTTTGCGCTGGATGGGTTGTCGAAATCTAGTTCCATTAATCTTACAACTACCACAATGAGAACATGGTAGCTCACATGCGAGCCACGAGGGTACCGCTTGGAGGTTGTTCATCATCGACCCGTCGAAGCCTAGAGTCCATTCCGTCCCAATACATGTCGGTATGAGGATGAAGTACAGGAGTCGTAACTTTGGCTTTTGATACCACTTCACTGTATCGGCGCGGACGATGTCCATCAGTCGAGGGTCCAAAGGCTCCCTCATTGTCGTTGAGGCAGGAGCCGTATCCCCGAAACGAATTTACTATCCGGGGATACAGACGCTGAAGCTTGAATCGAGGGAAGGACGACAGCCATTGTCAGCGAAGGAAAGAAAACCACAATCCTTGTAGACTAGAGGGGCACTACTCGTGAACATCTGTCGAAAGATACTGTAATACCAAGAGTCGCCAATGGTGGAGCAGCGTTGAGAACCGTGCTGGTCGGCCAATCAGGTGGTCGCGATAGGTAATACTTGTTTGTACGCCACTATGCGACCTACATAATATCCGTCTTCCTTACGATGGACTACGACATCTTCAGCTGTATTATTTGTTGTTCATTCGCGTCCATCAACGTCGCAATCACCCCTGAGCATGACCCGTTCCACAAAGCAGAAGTTAAGAAGCGTTATAATCTCCCCTGACATCCTCAGCAATCTGGACCGCTCTTGATAATATTAAGCATGTCGTCAATCTCCTTGGGCGCCGGCGTGAGGTTCTCGTGCCCCGACTCTGTGATCAGAACGTTATCTGCCAAACATTAGCTCAGAGCCACCCCATGTAAACGCTCAGCTTACCTTCGATTCTTACTCCACCCACGCTCCAGTACCTGTCCAACACCACCTTGTCAATAAATTTCGCCTGTTCCGCATTCTCCAGAAACGGTTCAATGATGAACCGGCAGAAGTAGCACCCCGGTTCCACTGTGATGACACTCTTCGCCGGCAGCTTGCCCCTTACTCTTAAATACTTGAACATGGGGTCCGTGTCCTTGTAGTTGGCGTTTCCTCCCGTATCATGTACGTCCATACCTAAGTAATGTCCCAGGCCATGAGGCATGAAAGCCACGCTCGTCCTCGCCTGAAAAATCTCATCTGCGGAGCCTTTGAGAATGCCGAGCTTTAGCAAACCGTCAATCAGCACTTTATGGGCTAATTCGTGCACGCCGTCCCAGAGCACGCTTTCTTTGAGGACGGCGACGGTCTGCTTTTGCATCTCTAGCACGATCTTGTAGATGCCTAGCGACTCTTCAGTAAATTCGCCTTTGAGCGGAAACGTGCGGGTGATGTCTGCACAGTAGTTGTTCCATTCAGCTCCAGCGTCCAAGAGCAGCAGATTCTGGTTCGTAATGAGTGCATCGTTGGAAGTGTAGTGTAGGGTAGCACCGTTCTCACCCGCCGCGACGATGGGGTGGTAAGCTGGATTCTTTGCGTTCTGCTCGAGATGAGACTTGACGAAGACGGCTTCCAGCTGTGTTTCGTTCTTTGCTTTTGAGGCTGCTCTCATGACGTCCACATGGCCACCCGTCGAGACCTCATTCGCTTTGCGGAGGAGCGCGACCTCGTAGTCGGATTTGGTGACACGGCATGTTTCTATGGCGACCTTGAGGAGGTCGAAGTCCTTCTCCTTGTACGATAGGAAGGTGATATCATCCGAGACCTGTCCCGGGATGGCAAAGATGGTGGACTGTGCGCTCGTTGACGTAGAAGCCAAGTGCGAGTTGACATCTGCCGTAGTCTTGACTTCATCGACATCATACTTTTCCTTCGCTTCTTCGACGGTCATAGGTAAACCAGACCAGATCACCTCATCGGGCTCGATAGGAGGGATGAACAGAGCGAGCTTGTCGTCGCCGATATCGTAGGTGAGATATGAATCTGCCAGATTGCAGCCGCTCAGATAATAGAAGAACCGTCGTTGTCGAAATGGCACAGGTGCATCGTTATCCTGGGCTGTCTTAGCGGAAAGTCGTCTGTCTTGTGCGCTCATTCACCTCAAGTAAGCGCTGCTTCTGAGCCTCCAGGTAGATGGTTCCTGCTTTGTCGCCCCCTCTTGCAACGATCCAATCTGCAACCTTCTTCGCGTGTGCCTTTGCAGGGTATTTGCCCTTGAGGACGTCTTCGTAGTTCTCGGCTGTGCCCATGGTGGTGTTAAGCTACGAGACTTTTTCGATTAAGATCAGCAACTTAGGCATAGTAAGATGCAGACGTCAAAAGGAGGTGAATGTGCCGAAGCTTTTCAAGTCGGACGATGAGCGTTTGGAAGCTCACGTCGCTGATAGTGGGGTGGTGGGGTATGTTAGCATTTAGCAGCGGCGTCTGGGACCTGTCAAGCCCAAAGAGGAAGGCGAGACTTCTAGAGATTGAATTATGACGTTAATCTCGACAGCTTACAGAATCTGGTCCCTAAGATCCCATGTCGCTAGCTCGTGTTGAGAGCTGGTAGTAATGCGTTCATTGGAATTACCTATCGTATCTAACTCGTTCAAAGCTCCTGCGCCGTGTTGCCATATCTTCGACATGCAGAACCAGCTTCCCTTCATATGCGCGATTGCACAAGTTTCACATCTCGCCAGAAAATCTTCGTCAACGCCGTCACCAGTAACGCCTTGCGACTCCTCTCATATCGATGAAAGCTAATGATGAAACTGATCTAGTCTTCCCAACGCCTCAAAAACTTGGCCATATCGTCTGAAGGCATAGGAGCCGCAGCGACCTGTTTCCGACGTTAGTATAATAATCCAAGAGCCATGAGTTTAACCATGACATAGCCAATTGACTGTCCTTGCTATCACATACCGTATTCTCGATGCTGGTGACCTTGTGTGTCTGACTCTGCGTAATCGTTGTCTGTATGCTCGGAATTGGCAGGTTCGTTGTCGCTATCTTTACGGAGCTCGTCGGGTATTGTGGCTTCGCCGTTTTGGCCGTGATCTTCGTCCCAGGTACAGGCTGCATCGGCGCATATCGAGTGGCGCCGGTCTGCATTGTATATTCCACCTCGTATTCATCATCTGCCACACTCGAGGCATCCGCCGCATCTTTGACGGTTGTGTCGACTGTTGATGGACCATCGGTACCGGTGACATCTTTCATGGCGGCGGTGAAGGCGGCGGAGAACGAGGCGGTCATGCCAGTATAGGAGAAGCGATCCGAGAAGACTGTGTAAGTGCCCCCCTGGGCTCCAGTGGCGACGATTTTGACGTAGCTAGAGCACCCCTGATCAGCAAATGAACAGCGGGAACCTGATCTCAGGATACGTACTATGCATTTGACGGTGAATTTCCACCCACCGTCGCGGGGATCTTGCCCTCTGCCGAACTTCCTCCTTTTGCGAAATTGCCCGATGTCGTTATAGGATAGATCTGGTCATAGAATGAGCACCTCCTGCCACCTAGCTAGCGTATATCTACTGACAACTGTATTGGCGTTCCCAGGATCGTTGGGTCCTGCACACAGAAACGCCTCGTATGTGGTAAGGTCATCGACGCCTGGCCCACTGCCAGCTTCTTTCCACTCCACTTTGAGCGCATCGCCAGCTGTGAGCTTAGCTCCCGCTTTCGGACTCGTGATTTGGAGGCCAGCGCTCGCCAGTGTCGTAAGGGCCGAGAGCACTGCCAGCGGCGCAAGTAACCGGCCCATGGTTGCGACACAAGAAGCGGCAGCGACAGGTAGTGAGAACGATGGAGTTCGCGACGCAATGCTGTGTACGACGTGGGGTAACGAACGAAGGGTATACGAGAGCAGCGGGTATGCGAAAAGATTGCAGATGTTAGCGAGCGTAAAACGGAAAGTTGGCAGGACGTTGAGCTGCGCCTGAGCTTGATTTCACAAGTGGCGCCGTATCGATTGCGCGCCAGGGGCACGAAGGAGCTAACGATCGCCCCTTCCGCCGCTAAGCCTCGATCTAGCCACGAGACATGCATTCTACAACTGGCGATCAACAAGATTCGTATTCGCCTTCTAGTACGCATTTGCACGAGTAATGGGGTATTGGAACTGTGAATTGAGTGAGGAACTCTGAATTGTGCTTTTTCTGCGTGCTACGTGGTATCTCAAAACGGCTCAGAATACCCTCCCTTCTGCAAAGCCATGCCAGCAAACCGCAAACTGGCCCTAAATATCTTACACAAGCCCTGGCCAAGGCCGTATATTTGTTCCGGAACGCCAACCCTAACGTCGATCTTTGATATGCCGAAAAAAGAAACTCGTATGCGCTACTGCTTCCGTAACTTTGGTATTCTCAAATTGAATGACGATGGCAATTTGGCAGTCATTACAGCGGCCTGACCTGCCTTCTGCAGTGCGACCGTGGACTCCTTTAGTCGGCTCTCTGACAGGAATTGCAGGTCAAAGGAAAGCAGGAACTCGACGCAAAGCTCTAAGCGACTGAGAGCTATATCGTTAACGCCGCCTACTGCTGCCAGGCGCTTTTGTGGCCATCGATGGTCTTCAAGCGTCTTCATTGCCGTCGTCAAGCACGCAAGGACTAATCGGTGCATCGTACGGTGTGTGAGTGGAACGTACTTCTCAACGAGACACAGACGGAGTATGTAGGAGCCAGCGGCTAGCCAAACTCCTGTCGACAGGGGACAATACTGCTGTATGCGGTTGCAATAGTCCTCCAGACTGACTTTTGGGACTGACTTTGAGAAGAACTTGCGGGCCATGTTTGCTCGCTGCACCCATTCCGGCTCTGCTCCTGCACCAATATCCGTGATGATAGGTTCATCGTGATGCGCTTCAGACTGCTCCAGAACCGTCGTGGATGTTCGCTCCCTCTCCGCTGGTATGGGCGTTGCTGGTCGAGACGCTGTTCGTTTGTGCAGACGCGTGCCCGGAACATATTCCTTCCCTTGAGGGGTGTGAGGCCGTGACAAGGGTGGTGTCGCGGGAATCTCGCCGGCAGCATTAGCAAGGGCAAGCACCGAGCGAACTACTGTCTTCATGGCGGTTTCGCGAGACATGCTCATGACAACCAACTCTTCCTCCCCTGGTGGTGATGGCGCGTCTTGAATGCTGAGGCTGCTGAACGATGGGAGCACACCAGCGTCCCCTGCGGGATTTGGTGCGGATGGTGGATTCATCGCCTTGGGTGTTCGCCTCACAGGTGCAACTAAGTGCCCAGGAAGGCCTGTTGCTGGAGCGGTTGGGTGACAGATTTGGATCATTGGGGCTGTTTCGGAACCGTAGCCGAGATTGACCGGTGGGTTGACCACGCAAACACAAAGGCAACAAAAGAGGATGGACTGTTGAGTGGATGGCAATGATGGAACCACGGAAGACACACGTCTGGCGTCCTTTCACTGCTGCGAAGTCCAAAGTTGAGAAGTTGCAGGGAGGTCGACGCAACAGAGGTGGAGGGTTTCCTAGAAGGGTATGCCACGAGAATGCTCACGGCCGGGGGATTGCAGCGGGAGACAGAGGCGTGTTGCGTGCGGATTCTGCGGCGTGATGATTGAAATGGATGACTTTGATGTTTGATGGAGGGCGTTGGATCGAGTGAAGTTCTTGTTGACTGAGCAGAACGCTAGCGGGGAACTATGTACTGGGAGCAAAGGACGCCCGGGTTAACCGTCATGTAGCCCGGCTCTACGTGGACCTTTGTGGAGACAGCCGCAGCCAGGGGTAACGCGTGTAGAGGCGTGAGGCGGGTCGCAGAGGGAAATTGCAAATGCGCTGGCAGGTCACGAGCAGGGCAGGTGGGAGCCACTTGAGGCGGAAGAAGGGTCTCGTGCAGTGCAAGATCTGGCTAGAGCGGTGGACCAGCGGGCCGACAGTAGGAGGCGAGCGCCCCTAGGCTTCTGGACGTGGGCGCATTCAGGCGGACAATGTATATGTTCAGAGGACGGTCTGGCGAGGCCTCGCTTTTAACACGCCTCGCAGGCTGCGGGCATGGGAGTCTGACGAGGGTTCGATTGCGAATGCGGGGAAGAGCGCGCTCCGCCGATGCAGGGTGCACAGGAACCAAAGAGCAACAACAGCCGCAGGGTGGCCCGCGCTGGCGACGGGCAGAGCTGATCGTGAGTGGTGGTGAGTCGGATGGCCGAGGGCGTGCCCAGCTGCTATATACTCGTACATGCACACGGTTTCGCATGTGCTGCTGCGGCTGCCAGAGCGGTTGCCAGAGCGCGTGCAGTGGAGTCGTACTTGGCCAGATGTGGGCTGCGGCCGGAGGGGAAGCTGGCACGCTGCATGGCGTCAAATGCCTCAGCCTGGCCTCGAGTCACCTCACGCGTTGCCAGCACCACCGCGATCCAGCCTCTCCCTGCTCTGCTGCGGCCGACGTTGCCCTACACGTCGTGCCGCAGCGTTTCACACGCATTCTGGTTCTCACCTACCGTGTGAGACGCGAAAGGAGCCATCGTGTGCCGCGGCTAGAGACAGGAAGCCCTGTTTCTATAGGGCAGGAGCGACAAACGCACTTGCTCTACACCGGGGTAACACAAACGTAACGTGTACCTACCTAGGTAGGTAGTCTGTCACCTGATCGGACGAGCACGCGAAGGCGCATCCATCAATCGACGCCTAGCCCTTGCGACATCGCAACGTACACGCGCAGTCATGCATCTTTTCGAGCGACATCAGTGCCCGGCCGTGGACTCCACAGAAACACCCCAAGCTAGCACCACGTTCTCGCGGCCCGCCATGTTACTGTTCCAATGTCGCCAGTTCCTGGACCGCTTGACGTCAGCGTGCACCCCGGCGTAGGAGCGAGCGAACATGGATCTGGTCAAGATCGATGGGCTACGCGCATGTGGAAAATGTGACCCAAAGAACCGGGACGAGTACCTAGCTCCAGCTTCAAGCCGGCCGTCAAGCCTCCCGACTCACACTGCCGTCGCGAGAGCTCCTTCGCCATCACGATGCGGTTCGCTTCAGTGGCGTATGCGCTCGGGTCGGTATGCGCAATTACAGCCGCAGCATCAACCCAAGGCCTTTACGACTTGATCGAACGACGACTACCTGGACACGCTCAAGATTTCGCGTTTGATTTGAACGAGACGTTGCAACGCAACGAGACCTCACGTCAGAACGACCATTACACCATCACCGCGGCTTCTAATGGTTCCATCTCCATCTCAGGTAATAGCGTGAGCGCTCTCGCAACAGGCCTGCGGAGATACCTCGTCGATATTGCCCACGTTGATGTGTATTGGTTCATCGGGAGTCGACTTGATCAGGCTTCGCCCACGCTGCCTCGACCGAATAGTACTATTACGGGAGCTAGCATAGTGCCCTGGAGATACTTCTTCAACACCGTGACTTTCTCGTACACGACACCATTCTGGAGCTGGTCTGACTGGGAGACCGAACTGGATTGGCTAGCCCTCCACGGAGTCAATCTGCCCCTTGCCTGGGTCGGTTTCGAGAAGATCCTGCTAGATGCCTTCCAGGAGGTCAACCTGACCACGTCCCAAATCTTGCCTTTCTTCTCCGGACCGGCGTTCCAAGCTTGGAATCGTTTCGGCAACACCCAGGGCTCTTGGGGCGGAGACCTTCCACTACAGTGGATCGACCAGCAATTCGAGCTACAGCAAAGGATCTTGTCACGAATGTTGGAGCTTGGTATGACTCCCATTCTTCCAGCCTTCACCGGGTTCGTGCCAAGGGCGCTAGTAGACGTGCATCCAAATGCCACCGTCGTCAATGGAAGTCAATGGGAGGACTTCCCTTCTGAGTATACTAACACTACTTTCCTTGAGCCCTCCGATCCACTATTCTCCGAGGTACAGAGGATCGTTTTAAACAAGCAACTCGACTACTATGGCAACATAACCCTATTTTACACCCTTGACCAATACAACGAGAACGACCCCTTCTCCGGCGACCTCGACTACCTCCGCAACGTAACCCACGGCACCTGGCAATCCCTCAAGTCCGCGAATCCCGGCGCAGTGTGGGTAATGCAAGGCTGGCTGTTCACTTCGAACGCGGATTTCTGGACCAACGAGCGCATCGAGGCTTATCTTTCTGGCGTGGAGGAAGACCAGGATATGTTAGTGCTGGACCTGTTTTCGGAGAGCCAGCCTCAATGGCAAAGAACAGACTCGTACTACGGCAAGCCGTGGATCTGGAACCAGCTTCATGACTACGGCGGCAACCAGGGGCTTTACGGGCAGATCGATAATGTAACTAGCAATCCCATCGAGGCGCTCGCCAACTCCTCATCCCTTGTGGGCTTTGGACTCACGCCTGAAGGCCAGGAAGGAAACGAAATCATGTATTCCCTCCTTCTAGACCAAGCCTGGTCTTCCACGCCCATCGACACGGCAAGTTATTTTCAGACTTGGGTCCACACGCGGTACACCGGGCGTAATAATAGTATTCCTGAGGGGCTATATACGGCATGGGAACTCCTCCGCACAAGCGCATACAACAACACAAACCTCACCTCCAACGCCGTGTCCAAAGCCATCTTTGAACTCGCGCCGAATATCACGCACATGACGAACCGCACAGGCCACCATCCCACAACAATAAACTACGACTCCAGCGTTGTAGTTGATGCGTGGAAGGAGATGTACAATGCGGCGACCGTGGAGCCGGGGCTGTGGGACAACGCAGCCTACACGCACGACTTCGTGGATGTAACGCGCCAGGTGTATTCCGATGCTTTTGCTTTCGCATATACGGCCCTCATCGCGGCGTGGAACTCCAGCACGAACAGCTCGACTACCTTCCAGGCCCACGCGGATAAGCTGATCCTCCTCCTCCGCACGCTCGATCCTCTCCTCTCCACCCTCCCACAGTTCAACCTCGCGTCCTGGGTCTCCTCCGCACGCTCTCTAGCCCCCAACTCCACCAACTCCTCAGTTATAGCGGACTTCTACGAGTACAACGCCCGCAATCAAATCACCCTCTGGGGTCCCTCCGGCGAGATCAACGATTACGCTTCAAAGTCGTGGGGCGGACTCGTAGGAGATTATTATTTGTCGAGGTGGCTCGTCTTTTTGGAGTATATTGGTAGTGTGACGCCGTCAGATTACAAAGATGAAGTTATCAGAGAAAGGGTGAAAGGTGTGGAGGATGGTTTTCAAGCTGCAGGTAGTGGGCTCGGAATTCGGGAAAGCACGGGAGATGTGAGAGGCGTGGTGGAGAGTGCGGTTGTGCCGGCGTTGAGGGAGGCTGGTGTGCTGTAGCGAAGGGTAGTAGGACGAAGAAACGACAATTGAGTACGAACGTTACGGCGTGATCGTCTGCAACTGTACACTTGCAATGGCTTTGATTTGAGACTCGATCTATTATTGCAGCATGACAATACTGTCAAACGCCTCCAGGCGCCGTAGCTAGCTAAAGTACAAGGGATACACCGTATATTTGGGCCATCCCTGACCTTCCCCCACCGGATATATGGAACAAATTCGAAGTACACGAATTACATGAGTAGATGCAGGTGGCATGCCAGTCACTTGCGATCCTAAACAACGACATAGATCGCCTTCGAAATAGGAGATTCGACTTCGGTGACCAATGCGTTCTTACGCACTCGATTACGAGTTCTCGATCGAATACCTCTCAAAGTTAGGGCGGCGTCTCACAGACTAAATTACGAGTCAAAGAGAAACTAGCAGAGAAATGTAACAGACGCAAGAGGGCAGAGGAGACGACAGGCGTGTGCAATGCGGTGCATCTAGACCTGCTGACTTACTCTAGCCCTCTTGCGACTGCTACCAGGCACGACCGCCGGGCCCCTGTGCGAGCTCTCGCCGTCGCCGCCGCGGTTTCTGCCCCTCTCCTGACTGTCAAGAACCAATTGCAGCACATCATACGAGAATTGCGGGAACTCGAGACACATGGCGCGGAACTCTGGTTCTGCCTCGTGGCGCAGGCTGAAGGAGCGGGTGGCCCAGAAAGCAGCGACCGGTTTGCGGATGGTGTGGTCATCAGGACTGGACTCCTTGTAGACGTAGCGGGCGTAGGAAAGTTCGCCCTTGGCGGTGGAGGCAGTGCGGTGGATCTTGCTATGCGCGAGGGACTTGAGGTTGGGGAGTTGCAGGCGCTCGGCGAGGGTATAGATGCGCGCGTGGACAAGGAGGCCGAGGCCTTCATCGTCGGGCTGGGGTTGACGTGGGTCTTTCTCGAGGGGAGCATCGCGCGATGAAGAGGTCTTCTTGGGGAAGTATTCGTTTGTGTAAAGGTACTCGATGGCAGAGCCCATGGCGTCAACATCAACATCAGGCATGATAATTTGACGTGGCTGTTATGGGCGTTAATGACTGCTGGAGGAGAAGATTTACAGCATGCGACTTACGCCTCCCGGTGCGAACTCCTCGATATTCCTTGCAAATTCTGGCGATTTGACTAGAACTGCTTCGTGGGCAGAGTATGTGGTCTTTGTGCCTCCAGATCCAACGATAACCTCGACGATAGGGCTCTTCATCAAGCTGGTAGCTGGTTAGCAGCTATCCAAAGTTCCCGAATTCTCTAGCACAGCCGAAAACCAATTTGTCTGGCAGAGTGACATCGCAGTCGCATCTTTTCTTCTCGCAATGCTCCCGCCGCGACCGTGTCGCATAGGACCAATTGGCGGCCAGCTATCGTCACATAGCTCTCAAAGTGCCACCAGAGATACTCCCAAGGAGATGAGGCTTACTCTGAGAACAGCACGAGCTTGGGCGTCTCCGGCTCCAGCTCGGTAAGGTTGGCTTCCTCACCCGCGCCCGCACCTGCGTCAGCGCCCTCCTCCATGTCGACATCGTCGGCCGGAGTCCCCTCAACAGGTGTCTGGTTCTCAATATCCGCCATAGCTAAAAAAACTGTTTGGTAACCATGCGATCGAAACGGGGGTGGTGCGAATCGAAGACGAGAGCTATTAACGAAGCTCAGAAACGGAGGCTACGAAGCGTAAGCAATTGCGATCGCAGACGAGAAAGAAGCTGCGTGGAGCTCGAACGAATAGGAACCAAGTGGAAGGAAGCTGTAGCGGACGCGCGGAGTGTGTAAGTGTCTACTTACGTTGAGCTATGGGGGAAGGCTGGCGTGGTGGTGGTGGCTGGTCTCTTGGATGGCTGTCTGTGCTTGCTCCTGCCCCAAAAGTCCGGGACGTTCCTGCGTTAGCGCCGGAACCTCGTACCAGCACTGTAACCGCCGAAAGAGGCATCGCACGTCAATTGATGTTATCCCTATGTGCCTGTTCTCTCTAAGATGCACGACGCCTTTGCCCTCCCTTACTAAAGCCTATTATGAGCCTGGCTACTCGTATTAAGCTCATACACATTGTACGAAGGAAAGTCACTTGTCAACACGAGTACGCATCAATTCTTGTAGAGTACTAGCGCAGACTGTGTGTCCCTATAACTTCGAAGACAGAGTCGCTTCGCCTGCCTTCAGGGCATTGTCAATCACCACCATGGCATCAACCAATCGTCTGTCTTCTAATCTCGGCGTGACGACTTGCACGCACAAAGGCGTACCAATGTACACCGATCGATCAACTTCCGTCCCTGATTATCAGTCAGAAACAGTTGGCTCCTCACCATGGGCAAGCTTGAAAGAGACTTACATAATTCTCGGTTCCGCTGATCCCAGCTTCCCAGCGCTTTCGTTCTCGGTATCTCGCCATCCATATCCTTCTCCTCGAATAGTCGAACTGGAACGGTACCCGCTGGATAGTCTAAGAGCACAAAGGAACTTGTGTAGCTCGCAGCATTATACTTGTCGATCTCCGGCACAGGGTGGGGCGCCACGGGGCAGATGAAAGCATCGACCTGCTTCCAGATCTGAAGAGCTTTTGTCTGCAATTGCACCCTCCGCGCATGAAGTTCGCGAAGCTTTTCGAATGCCAAAGGTTCCTTGCGGCGCATGCGAGGTTTCATCCACGGCGAGAGCGGCTCATTGTGTGACTCAAGGAGATCTAACATTGCGTTTCCACCTTCCACGCCCATAAGAGCGTTGACGAGCGACTGGCACTTCGAGAAGATGGGCGTGATGTCGATTTCTATAACTTCGATGCCCGATTTTCGCAATTTGCCCGCCACCTCGTTCAGCAGCCTTAGAATCGGCGGATGCGGCTCCACTACGCCGTCTCGTCTTACGACGCCGATGCGTAGCTTTTCCCCGGCTACCGAAGAGAGGGAACCCCAAGGTCCAGGTATGACATCTGGATCCAGTTCCCATGGCTTCTGTTCTGACACCGCTTGGAAGAATAGCTCGATATCGCGCATAGTGTGTCCCATCGGTCCTGCACTTGCAGCGACCCCCAACTTCGCTACCGCAGGCTTGCTTCCTCCTTCCTGGCCCGCATACGGAACACGTCCATTACTCGGCTTCGCGCCATAGAGACCTTCGCACATGGCTGGGACACGTATCGAGCCGCCAACATCTGTGCCTATGCCCAAGACAGAGCCTCTTAATCCTAAAAGCGCTGCCTCGCCGCCGGAGCTGCCGCCTGCCGTCACAGCTGTATTCAACGGATTGAGTGTGCGCCCGAAGATGTTATTATGCGAATCCAACGCTGCCAGTGTCTGCGGAACATTTGTCTTGCAGTATAGCACAGCGCCGGCATTAAGCAGGATGTCGACCAGAGGGGCATTCTCTGTTGACGGTTTGAAACACAAAGCAGCAACGCCGATGGAAGCATCATATCCTTTGACCTTGAACGTATCTTTTAACGAGATTGGCACACCATGAAGTGGTCCCAAGGGTCGTTTCCCTGACTCCAGATGGTCGTCTAACTCTTTCGCTCTTTGCAATGCATCTTCAAACAATATCTCGGTCAAGCAGTTGGTAAGCTGTTGTGCTATAGCAGCCCTCTACAACCCTAAGTCAATCTACGGTGACATGACTTTCAGGCATATTTCTGTACGAGCCAACATACCTTGCAGAACGCCCGCACTACATCCACACTCTTCACTTTTCGTTCTCTGATCGCCTCTGCCAATGCGGTCGCATCATAACTTTCCGTCAACCTCAATTCTTCTTCACTTAGCACACCACACTCCCTTGGTATGCCCAAGTAGTTCGTCACTTCAGGCGTAGGAAGTCGATCCTGAGGTATTCGCCAGTCAGACGGTATGCGCGCATACTGCTCATCCTTTTTTTGCCAGGCAACGAGCTGCCACTTGGGTGGTGACAGTGCTAGAGAAGCCATCGTGACACAATTGAACCAGAGTGAGATGGTTCGATGGTCGTGGAAGGAGAACAAAGTGATGCCGTGGACTAAAGCTGGGGTAAACGCGGAGCCGAGGTTGGCTAGATGTCGTTAGCGCCGAGGCAGCGCGGAGTACATGTAGACGTTGAGGCGAAGGGCTGGGAAATCGAAAATCTACATATCTCTTCTTACAGCACACTCTTTGTGCTTCCCTTAAGACTTGGTAGAAGCCAATGCGTTCCTCAAACTGATATCGCACCTTCTACATGTAACACTCTGTATGAATTTTATCTAGGTATGCACACCTGTCTTGCAGACGTAAGGGCAACTTCATATACTTTCTTGGCCGTCTACGACACACTGCTCCAGGCGTGCGTAAATTGAGGCTCCATCGCTGCATTGCAAAGACTGCGTCAATACTTCGGAGTTAATTTCTGGAAGCCCGTACAACTGCCGCGCCACTAACAGACGCCCTAACGCCCGTAAGCATCCTAAATGATACTTATCCTGCTGCTGCCTGCCCATTCGAGACGGCTGTGATTCTTCTGGAATCGGTACTAGGTTACCAACCACGATGAAACTCATCATCATCGGCGCAACAGGCTTCGTAGGCACCGAAATCCTGCGCCAGAGCCTCCTCAGGAAAGACATCACCTCCGTCGTCGCGGTCACACGACGCACCCTTCCCTCCTCATCACCCTCTTCCCCAAAACTGAACAACGTGGTTGTGAGAGAGTACGACCAGTACGATCATCATGCGAAGACCGCGTTCAAGGACGCGAATGGGTGTATCTGGACTATCGCCATCACACCCTCCAAGTCCTCGAATTTCCCTTGGGATGAAGTCGTCCGAGTCTGTCAAACATCCACACTAGCTGGCCTCCGCGCAATGCACTCAGCCGGCCTCGCATCACCATTCCGCTTCATCTACATGTCTGGTATCGCGGCGGAGCGCGACCAGACAAAAACGCCAAGTTTCAAGCCCCAATATAGTCTTATGCGGGGCGAGACGGAGAACCAAGTCCTCGCTTTCGCCAAGGAGCATGGATTTGAAGCTGCGGCCGCGAAACCGGGATTGATTACTGATGGGGGAATTGCGAAAAAGGCTTTGGCCACGGCGCTGTATTACGCAATGGGTGTGCCGAGTGTGAAGGTGGAGCAGTGTGCGGCGGCGATGTTGGAGCAGGTTGTGAAGGGAATTGAGAAGGAGCCGTTGATGAACAATGATTTGGTGGAGGTGGCGGAGAGGATGGGTAGGGAGGGAGGATGATATGAGGTGGAAGGCCTGTAGAGGGCGAGAAGGGTGGCTGATCGCGTGTACGTGTGTTGTGCAAGTTGGGGTAGCAAGATGCACGAGCTTCCACCTAATGGATCTTACCCTCATGCTACGACTCTGTATGGGACGTGTCAAGTGATATGTTTCTCATGATGTTGCTAGGGAATGACTCGATTCACAATGTGTTGTCGTCTTTTCGTAGCAATGCCAAAACCTCGTACTACAGGGTCGATTGTTACGCAACCACTGAGGATTACTGTCGGCTGCCCCTTTGTAGTGGACTGGTTTAGGAAACATGTTTCCAATGATGTAGCCAGGAGTACCTCGATCTACATCGTGTTGTCGCGGTTTCATAGCGATGTCGAACCCTTATACAATAATGTTGAGTCGGAAGCTACTGACTATACGATTGATTAAAGCTTCTGGATGGTATGATGCAGTATGTATCTTGCAGACGCTGAGAACATCTGAACTCATGATTTGCTTACATGCAGCATCGACACTTGAATCTTGCCCAATAGCAGTCTGTCACTATGACCCAGAAACTGTTGGTTCCGATCAACAAACAACTATCCCAAGATGGTGCGAATTCTATCAGGATACTCTAAGTCTTACCACCTTTTCCCCATGTGCCTCGTTTGTCTCCGATTTCGAATCCCAGATTTTACCCCCAGTGTAGACCTATGATTCATCTAATCTTTTTCTCTTGGCCTTGCTGCTATGTCCAACGCTTTTTCGCACGACTAGGTGAAGATGGAAACTTGAGCAGTATTATGATTCACCTTCACCACGAGGCGTTGCAGCCGGCAACCAGCAAACGGAAGGAGCAATATACTCCCAGTTGCAACTTGTGGTCGTTTTCCTTTTCCTTTCTCTTCAGGTCGCTTTTCTTCGTTCGTTATAGGAGCGAACCAGCTAACAGTTGACAGATCCAGACAATGACAGTACGAAGCACCATCCGGGGCCAGCAACGCCGCAGGGCCATCGTCCAGCGCCTGATTGGCGGGCAGCGCTTTCGTGGGACGATCGTAGTCGACGAGGAAGAAGCGCACAAGAATGACGATGAGCGATTAAAGGACCTCATTGAAGCAGAGGGTATTGATGCCGCGTTTGTCGAAGGCATCAAGCCTCGTTGGGAGGCATACTTCACGGACGGCAGTGCGAAGAACGACAGACTCGGCGCTTGTGTCGCGGTGTTGAGCGAAGCCAAATCGAAGATTTGGCACCTAGGAACGTATACCGGCAAGTCGATGGATGCTGAGCTGTTTGCCATAGCGGCGGCGCTGGGCATGGCCCTCGATGACTCTAGCTCAAGCAACCGGTTGCGCCGCGTCCGCATCTACACTGATGCTGCGACCATTCTTGCTGGCTTAAGCAACTCTGGTTGCTGGGTCCTTGGGCCCATCATGGACACCAACGAGCCTCTAGCCATCCAGCTCGTTTACGATCGGGCTGAAGCGCTCTACAACTTGGGTGTGGACCTGGAGCTGGTTTGGGTGAAAGCCCACAAAAACAGCTACATGAATCACATCGCAGACATAGGTGCCAAACAAGGTGCAAAGCACGAGCCACCAGACACACAGCCGCCGCAAGGCAAGACCTTTGAGATATGGAAAGCGATACCAAAATCAATTTTGGGCAAGGGCCTTGATGTGGTGCAGGAATGGAGATTGCGGGGCAATCAAGTTGATAGCGAGTCAAAGAAAGAAGCGATACGAAGATGATTGATCTTCAGAAGAAGCTCAACTACCAGTGTACATTTGGTGGTTATGCATCAGGAGACATCTGGAAAGCCGCTTCGGCGCTAGTGATTGATCCACACTAGCGCCTCGCCTAACGATGACGTAACCGGGACTGACCGGACAGCCCAACCCTGTTCTCGTATCGCCCAGAAGGTTCGACGACCAATACCAGAAGTCTCGCGGTGGCTCCAGCGACAACTCGCACCTGCGACCCCACGTACGACCTACTATAAAATCTCCCGTGGCCTCGACCTCGACTCCTCAGACACCAACAACAACCATAATTGCTTTCAGTACTCTCATTCAGCATACTCAACGACACACGAGTCACTGCTCGACCCACTTTCCAACATGACATCCTTTGACGCATACACCGACAAAGCCGCCAAGGCGCTCGCCGACAGTTTCGAGCTTGCCAAAGGCTACGCACATTCACAACTCACTCCCGTCCACCTCGCCGTCTCGCTTATCGACCCGCCGCCGGACGACCAACAAAAAGCAGGCCTGTCCCAGCCTTCAGTACCCTTCTTCCGACAAGTCATCGACCGCGCGAATGGCGATGCACAACAACTCGAGCGATCTCTCAAGAAAGCCCTCGTCCGGCTGCCCAGTCAGGACCCGCCACCAGACCGAACCTCACCTTCACCAGCAATGGCCAAGATACTACGGTCAGCAGAAGAGCTCGCGCGGACACAAAAGGACAGCTACATCGCAGTAGAGCATCTCATCCAGTGCCTCTGCCAGGACCCGTCAATACAGAAATGCCTGGCTGAGTCCAATGTACCAAACACCAAGCTGGTCGACCAGGCTATCCAGGCTATCCGCGGCACGAAGCGGGTCGACTCTAAGACGGCAGACGCAGAGCAAGAGAACGAGAACCTCAAGAAGTTCACCATCGACATGACCGCAATGGCACGGGAAGGCAAGATCGACCCGGTCATTGGTCGCGAGGAGGAGATCCGACGAGTTATTCGCATTCTGTCGCGACGAACCAAGAATAACCCCGTTCTCATCGGAGAGCCAGGTGTGGGTAAGACTACCGTTGTCGAAGGTCTCGCCCGCCGCATTGTCGACGCCGATGTTCCCGCCAATCTCGCAGCTTGCAAGCTACTCTCACTCGACGTTGGGGCCTTGGTCGCCGGCAGCAAGTACCGTGGAGAATTTGAAGAGCGCATGAAAGGTGTGTTGAAAGAGATTGAGGAGTCCAAGGACATGATAGTACTATTCGTGGACGAAATCCATCTTCTCATGGGCGCTGGATCCTCTGGAGAGGGCGGCATGGACGCTGCCAACCTGCTGAAGCCCATGCTGGCCCGTGGACAGCTTCACTGTATCGGCGCAACGACTCTTGGCGAATACAGGAAGTACATCGAGAAGGACCAGGCGTTCGAGCGACGTTTCCAACAGGTACTGGTCAAGGAGCCTAGCATTCCCGAAACCATCTCCATCCTACGTGGACTGAAGGAACGCTACGAGACGCACCATGGTGTCACCATCATGGACGGTGCCATCGTTTCTGCGGCTACCCTTGCTGCACGCTACCTTACACAGCGTCGTCTCCCCGACTCGGCAGTTGACCTGATCGATGAAGCTGCCGCTGCAGTCCGCGTTACTCGAGAATCACAACCCGAAGCTCTTGACAACATGGAGCGTCGCCTTCGCCAACTCGAGATAGAGATTCACGCTCTGAATCGCGAGAAAGACGAAGCGTCCCAGGCCCGTCTAAAGGAAGCTAGGGCTGAAGCTGCAAACATCGAAGAAGAGCTGAAGCCGCTCCGAGAGATGTACGAACGCGAGAAGGGCCGCAGCAAGGAAATTCAGGAAGCTAAGATTAAGCTCGAGAACTTACACAACAAGGTCGCAGAGGCTGAGCGTATTCGCGACCTTCAGACCGCTTCCGATCTGACGTACTACGCCATTCCCGACTTGAAGCAACGCATCGCCGAGCTTGAGGCAGAGAAGAAGAAGGCTGACGCAGAGATGTGGGCTCACCAGGATGGTGAAGGTGCGGCTCTTCTCAGTGACTCCGTTGGACCCGACCAAATCAACGAAATCGTGGCGCGCTGGACCGGCATCCCAGTTACCAGGCTAAAGACTACCGAGAAAGACAAACTTCTCAACATGGAGCGACACCTTGGTCAGATTGTCGTTGGGCAGAAGGAAGCTGTTGGGGCTGTCTCCAACGCAATCCGGCTCCAGCGATCCGGTCTCGCAAACCCAAATCAGCCGCCGAGCTTCCTCTTCTGTGGTCCCTCCGGGACAGGTAAAACATTGCTCACCAAGGCCCTTGCTGAGTTCCTGTTCGACGACCCCAAGTCTATGATCCGGTTTGATATGTCAGAATACCAGGAGCGCCACTCTCTTAGCAGAATGATTGGCGCACCCCCAGGATATGTCGGTCATGACGCAGGAGGCCAGCTTACAGAAGCACTCCGTCGTCGTCCATTCTCCATCCTACTCTTCGACGAGGTCGAGAAGGCTGCAAAGGAAGTTCTCACTGTTCTCTTGCAACTCATGGACGACGGTCGTATCACCGACGGCCAAGGCAGGGTCGTAGACGCGAAGAACTGCATTGTCGTCATGACCTCTAACTTGGGTGCTGAATACCTCTCCCGACCCAACGCACCCGACGGTCGCATCGATCCTACCACCCGCGAGATGGTCATGGGCGCACTCCGCAGCTACTTCCTCCCCGAGTTCCTCAATCGTATTTCCTCCGTTGTCATCTTCAACCGTCTCACTAAGAAGGAGATCCGCAAGATTGTCGACGTGCGCATGGCCGAAATACAGAAACGTCTCCACGCAAATGGTCGCAACGTGCGCATCGAGATGACCAACGAAGTACGCGACTACCTTGGATCAGCTGGTTACTCACCCGCCTACGGTGCCCGTCCTCTTGCACGTCTTATCGAGAAGGAGGTGCTCAACCGTATGGCTGTGATGATCCTGCGCGGTAGCATCAAGGATGGCGAGTCGGCACGCGTGGTACTCGAAGATGGTCACATCTTCGTCTTGCCCAACCACACAGACAGCGAAACAGACTCCGAGATGTATGACGAATCCGATGCTGTGGCAGAGCTGGAGGATGAGGCAGATGGAGGTATGGATCTCTATGAGTAAATCTCTTCTTCTGAGGAAGTCGACCTTTGCTAAGAGGTTTATAGGTAATGGTTGGATGAATATGGACGAGGATGACGTGGACTAGATGAAGTCTAGTACCGGATATAGTCTTCTTATTTCTACGAAAAAGGGCTCTGGGACTTTGGATATACAGCGTGGCGTTTGGCTTGGAGATACCTTTTGTAATGACTTCACGACTAAAGATGTTTACGGCTTTGAAATATCGAGTAAAGGCGCTGGATGGGAGTTTAGGCGACCTTCGTATATAGTCAATAAAAACTCCTGCATACTTCATAAACACCTTCCTAGCATTCAAACCTTGTGATGCCTTCTTGCTCCTCCCGAAACCCCCGTCCGACTTGTCACCTCTCCATTATCGAACACATCTACCCCGTCGGAAGCTCGGATATGTTAACCAAAAACACTAACGAGTACTACTAATTAAACACACGTCGGTCAGCTTCTCACCTTGCCCATATCACTTCAGCTAATGTAGTTTGGAAGAAGTCGAAAACAGTCGGTCAGCGGGAAAGACATATCATGATGGACGACAGGAAAATATCTATATTGGTGAATGTATGTTTTCGTGGGGAGGTGATACTGTGGGAAGCATTCCATAGTTCCGGGTGAAAGTATTAGCGCGAGTAGTTGACCTGAAAACGAGGTTGAGTGTGCGCTCGGTTTCCACATTTAGAAATGCGAGCATTTCCCCTGAATCCAATCGCACAATCGAGGGAGAAGGTAAATCAACAAGCCGGCTGAGTGTAGCATTGTGAAACCTGTCCAGGAGCTTAGCCCAGCATTCCAGGTTGTCCTAATCACATAGATCAGTCTCAATGTTAACGACCGTCACGCTGGCACCATCACGCACTGGCACCAGCTCACACCCTGTCCTTCCGTTCGTGTGGACGTCTATCGTAAAAAGTAAGACTATGCACTGACGTCAACATAAATATAGGCTGGATGATTTAGCCATCTTATTCACTTCAAGTGTACCCTCTTCTTGCAGTAGTGACAGAAATCCAAGCCCAAAAGAGAAACCTCGCGTCGCCCTTAGATGAAAAGCCGATACCGACCAGAGCGAAGGTGATGGCAGCGCCGATGAAGGAGATAGCGGCAGAGCTGCACGCCTTGAGACGCCTGGAGTGAAATGTCCGATCGCATACAGTTCCAATGGTAGAGGAAGGACTGGGAAGCAGAGCTTCGATGTCAGCGACTGTGGACGGCGGAGGCTTGTATAGTGGCGTAGCTGTGGTGATGCCGTCGGACTCGTCCATGAGGGGTCGCACTACCGAGTTTGCTGTTTTGGAAGGCGTAGATGAGGCGACAGCCGAAGTTTCTGTTCCGAAGTTGCCGTCTCCATGTACCTACCCTTGCGCTGTCCATATCGGGGCAAAAAGAAAAATCATGGTTGCCGAAACCCAGAATTGCTGACAATCGTTAGCCTTGATTGATGGAGGCTCGAACGGGCGCAACTCACAACTAGGGATCTTCGCATTTGCTTGTAGTACAAGTGCGACGCGTTACCACTGCGCCATTCCGGCCCGAATGACCCTTCTGAAGCTGAGCTCAGAGTGGATTGTTTGATGCCAAATTTCTGGCCCGTCGGCAATATGAAGCACGCGATGATGGCTTTTCCAGGACGCGCAATGCGCCTTCGGTCTTCTCATAGTGCTAATTGACACGCAGGCAGCGTTGGTGGGGCACTGTGGGCCTCCCCCGCCATACTCTATACAGCCGATGGCGTGCGACCAGCATCGGACGGAACGAGCCTTCGTCCCAAGTTGGGCTCAGCCCGCATTAACGAAATCATCTTGAACGATAGATCTATCAATGAACCATTTGATTTACACATACACCAACGACAACTAAGGGGCTAGCACTTTCGTCACCAGTGCCCTTTCTACAATATGTACGGAGCAAACCTTCGCGGTATCTTCCGTCGTTTACGTAGAGGAGCTCTGCAGTCTACCGAAAAAGCGTCCTAGTCCCACTACTGCACATAGATACGTACGGATGTTCATGCCACGGATCTCAAATACCCAATATCCTTGGTCAGAAGCAGCATCAGAGTCCTGGCCATTGCCTCAAATGCATCTTGCGCGTTGCGAGCAAGAGAAATTGCCAACCACGGAACAGACCCGCATTGGACCACACAAGAATCATATCTTTTGGGCCTAGCAGGCGCTTGGAGACAGGACGTTGGACTCACTACGAGACTTCTGCAACCCTGCTATCGAACCCAGCGAGCACTCAGTTTCCGTACCTACAGTAAGTGGTGGTAAGCCTGATTCTGTAGATAGTCTCTTATGCTTTACCGCAGGTTCATTTGCGCAGGCAACGGCATGTTTGATCCATCATACACATCGGTCAGTTGCATCGCATGTCTAGTGCATGTCCGCTACACAGCTGAACATTCTGCTGTTGATTACTCAATTGAAGCAAGGCAAAGTCGATAACTTCGTTTCCCTAATAGGTGCATAGCACATCGATAACATCATTCGTGCTTTCCTCCACCGATAGCAGGCTTGGAGGGCGGCATGGCGGTGATGAGCTGTCTAGCGCGCGAGGTGAGCGGGACCATTCACCACTAAACCCAAGTTGCCCATCCAACGGCGGAACATCGTGCCGCCGACAACAACAACAACAACAACACCACGCCGCTGTGACGATCGACAAGATGTGCACTACAGATTTAGGGCCCAAATTTGCAGACCCAATCCATCACTCACTGCTAATCGAACTTCGCGAGTGACCCATTATTAATCTTCGCGCTCGCTCGGGGTCCACGAGCGCGGCAATCGAACGTCGCACAGCGACCAACATTCCAGCATGACCACAATCCACCACTCGCCACCACCGGGTGCGACTCCCTTCGCGATCTACGAGGACCCAGAGGACCAAGAGCCGCCTTCGCCGTCCGAAGAAGGCGATGTAGACGTTTCCTTCACGTCTGACATGTCAATGTCTGGGGCCGATGTAGCCATACCTAGCATTGAAACCGAGCGCGACCTGCACGATGAACCAGAGCCATACAATGGCTCGTACACGTCCCGCTCGTCAATACTCTCGTCGTCCCGTCGCGACTCGACTATGACCGACAACAGCTTCGTCTCGTCGCTCCCATCCGAAATATCGGTAGCCTCCAAACCAGTACCGCCAGCCGATGCCCTCGAATCACGATATTCGCCTCGCAAAGAACGTCCACCGTTTCGCAACCCATCATCGGTACGGGCCATGCAAATGGCGTCTCCAGTGCCTTCACTTGCACTAGAAGCGCCTCGAGAGCGCACGAAAGGGAGCTACAAGCTTGCGACGCCTAGTAGAAGTGGTAGATCGGACTCTGTGTCGACTACAGGTACGCGCCGATCACGGTCGCACAGGGACAGCATGCATAGGGAAAACCAGGCCCAGAGGCCTAGTGCAACGCCGCAGCCGTTGCCGCTAGTGCTGCTGCACGTCACAATACTGCCGATGCAGATGCCCTACACGCCTGAGATCATGATTAAGATCATGCCGGAATGGCTTGTGGAGAACTACAAGGTTCTAGAAGAGAAGCTTCAAGATATTGTGCTGATGCGTCGAGGCCTTCTGATTCAGCATCCGCGAGATGAGTACGATGTACTAGAGGAACGGATATTGGAAAGCTTGGAGCTGAAAACGCCGCGACTGCTCAAATGCGGACACTTCGTTGCGCCTGACTCGGACGACGAAGAGTCTGATGAGTTTGATGACGAGCGCAGAAATGCAGCAGACGATGGTACGGGGCGAGGCAGTCGCATGAGCGGAGGCACAGTCACCGCTGAAGAGGATCCCGAGTATAGGTACCCCACACCCAACTCTGACGACGCAGGTGTGTGCCTGGACTGCCATCGACAAGTAAAGAAGCCTGGTCACGGTGTTGGTGCAGGTACAAAGAGATGGGACATCAAAATCTACGCAGCAAATGGCCTGATGCGCGCTGGCGCTTGGATAGCGGCTTGGAGCGAGATGGAGAGATGCGACGTAGAAATTTCGCCTTGGATCCCGCATGAAGTCAGGAAGACTCTAGACAAGCGGCTTCAACAAGAAGAAGAAGCAGTAAGGGACAAGGCACTCTATGCGGCCGAACTACAGCGTCAGATGGAGGCAGAGGCCACCTTGCAGAGAAAGCTAGAAGAGGAGGCGGAAGCGAAGCAAAGAGCAGAAGAGACTGAGCTACAGATCAAGATCGAGGCAGAAACAGTTATCCTCCAGAAGAAGCTGAATGAAGAGGCCGCTGGAAAGAGAAAGCTCGAAGAGACGCTCACTGAAAGAATTGAAGAAGCAAAAGAAGCCATCCGACTTGAATTTGAGGCTCGAGCACTTATGGAGGCGAACGGCGTTGCTGACCGATTTCGTGCCATGGAAGATGCGCTGAAGGCAGCGCGCGATAAAGCTGCAGCGCAAGCACCCAATGTGGTTCAAGTGCCCCACATTCCGTCTCGCTCACGTAGTCGAACTCGACATCGAACTCGCTCACGGTCTCGCAGACCACGCGTTGAAGAGATTCCGCTTGGTACATTACTGAAGAATTACTTTGTTTTACAGCTTCAGGACTCGCGAAACTTCTTCATTCTGATACTGGGAGCTCTCGTTGTCTTTCTGCTGACTAACTCGAACCCTAACTGGAACTTACATCCACCCACACTAGATGTCAGAGCCGCAGTTCCGTTGGATGATGTCGCTGAGCCAATAGTCCCGGCCGTAGTCACTTCTACAGCTACGATGACTGCGACCTCCTTCTCTACGCTAGTAGTCATCGAGGTGCAGACATCAGAGGGTCCCCAAGAAACTTTGTCGCCGGCATCATCCGGTACGACAGTGCTTGAAGAGGCGGAGCCCAGTACCTCGCAACCTTCAATGGAGGAACCGAACATAGTAACGATTTTACCGGCCGAGACTGAGCATGGTGACGAGAGGGCGGACTCCGTAAAAGAGATCTTGGAAGAGCCAGCTGAACAAGCCATCAGTGAGGAAGACGATGTGACGACCAGGGATCAAGCCATCCCTGTCGGGAATGCCTCAGGATACGTAGCATCGTCAGAACCACCTATGTCAACTGCTGAAGCACCCTCTGGCGAGTCCTTCGCGCCATCACAACATGTGTTGTCTTCATATACAGTTGAGGAGCCCGATGTTGAGGAGCCCATTCCTGGAGAGCCCGCCACTTCGCAGGCCATTATTGAGGATCTCATTGCTGAGGAACCTACAGTTGAACCATTTGAGATTGAACAAGCCGATGCATCACTTGGTTCTGCCTTGCCTGAAGCCGAGAGCCTTGACAACGAAGACTTTGCAGAGGCCCCTGCACAGCATGAAGATCAACCAGAAACCGAAGCTGTACCACAAGTCGACGAGGCTCCGAATCTTTCCGGAGAAGACGCCTCGGCAGCTGCGCATGAGATTGACGAACTATGAGTGCCCCGAAGCCACAATATCGTCCGCTGAGGCTGAGCATAAGACATGTCCCTTTCGGACGTGGCGTGAGCTTCACCACACGACACACTCGCACATCACCAAGACTGCCATGTCCGCCTTCTTTCACCGGTTTGCAACCACTTCATTGAGCAATCGATACGCGTAATGCTCCTATTCCCCTATCTCACGACTTACACCCCCTTACGATGTAATGCACACAGGCCACGTTCCGTTCGTCTCTTTCATTTACCATGTAGCGTTGATGCAATGTCATAGCGTGGAGTTCAGGACATCCCAAGGATGGTCAGCATAGCGAAAGTTTAGGAGTAGAAGCTGAGCATTGTAGGACAGAACCAGCTGCCAGTAGACAATATAGTAATACCATCCTCATGGTTCTTGCATTTCCACTTGATAGTCAACCATGAATGAGTGAATAGAGTACCAAGGAATCGTTGATTTCGTAGGCAGAGCCGTGATCCCAATTCTGCCGTGACCTCGTGCAAGATTTCTTTACACATTATGTATCCATCCCCAATTTCATCTTTGCCTCAATCAATACCGTCACTCGCGATCCCCTGCTTCCTCTTATCTTCCATACGCTTCCTCGTCTTCGCCTTACCATCCTCAATCCACTTGTCATACGCGCCCTCACCCTGTGCCAATTTCGCCTTCACAACGCCCTTCATGAGCTCGCCGACAAATCCCACGAAATTGTGCCGCCGCAGCGCATTCTCCCACAGCCACGCACTCCGCTTCTCCTCCTGCTCCTCGAGCGCCTCCTGATCCCCAATCTCGCGCGCGCGAATCCGCTGGTCCTGCACGCAGGCGAGCAGGTTGAAGCGAATTTCTGTGGCGGGGTAGCGGTTGATGCGGCGCTGGAGCACGGGGACGATGGCGTCGGGGAAGTTTTGCGGGGTACAAGGGCCGTGGGAGATGGGGGCGGGTTGAAGACCGTCGAGTTCGTAGAGCGTGTTGTTTATTGAGGTATATCTATCCAGCAAATCAGTATTTCCAAGCGCATGTGAAGAAGGTGGGGTAAACACACGCGATGAAGTGGTAGACGTCGTCGTCTTCTGTGGCGGTGCGCTGCGTCTCGTCTATGAATGGTGAGGATCGCGCGAATGAGTTGTGTACTTCACGAATAACGTCTGAGTTTGAAAGAGTCTCGCCCCGGAACTGCGTGTAAATGTTAGCATTCACCCGTCCAAGGCGCAACCGCCACGCATGCTCACCTCCGGTGGAAATTCCTGTGTGAATTCCTTGAACTCTTTCAAGTCCTTGCCTATTTGCACCTCACCATCCTTGTTTAGTAGTACGCTAAGCAGCGCTTGCGTGCCGCACGCATTTTGTATTGTCTGCGCAGCAAAGAAGATGTCGTTTGCCGCATCGTGATCAAAGCTGCCATCTTTTGGTGTATCAGACCGCGCTTCGCCGGTAGGATATTTGAAGAGAAATATGACGCCGTAGATCTTGCCGAGGCGTTTAAGTTCGTCTGAATCTAGGGTTACGAGCTCTTCAAACTGTACGTCCTTGACGCCGAGCTTCTCGATGAGGTACGTGAACACGCCCTATGGATATGTCAGCTCGTGTTAGGGATGAGGTGGGCGCAAAAGACGTACCGCATCACTCTCGATTGTGTTCCAGCCTCCGGACATGGTTCAGGATGTCTGGATGTTGTGTCGAGGGAACGGTGAGTTGTTGCGGCGGTGGAGTCTGGTTCGCTGGCGCCGGGTTGAGGTCGGCCCGAAGTGCGTTCTCGGAAGAATTCCGAGAGCTCGGAACGGGAGAACCCCTCAAGTGACGCAATGTCTGGCTACTCGACTTTGGACTTCGACATCAAAAGTTCGGTTCTTGCTCGGAACCACTCGGGCTTATATCAACATTATCGTATACATCCGTGAAGCCTCTACTTGTCTATACATGTAACGTCTAGGCGCACATTTGCTTCGTTGTACAAGTCAATCGTTGAAACCATGAATTCAATTTACTACCTTTCTCCCCCGATATCCAACCAAAGTGCTCACATGTTCGACATTGATATTCGGACTTTGGAAAATGCTCGGCGAAGAACCGGCGAACTCTGTGATACACCTACGCCTATATCCTTGTCCAATTTCTCCACCCATCGTGACGTCAAAGGTCCAGCGACAACGCCAATATGAGCAATGCACTCGTATGTTCGCCATGTAAATAAGCTTCCCCGCAAGATGGATGCGAACCATCACGACACTCCTGGCTCATCATCTAAGATGGCATCTAAACCAACAATCGCCATAATTGGCTCCGGATGGGGCGGGTTTACCTTGGCTCATGCTCTATCGCTCGCGAAGTACAATGTCACAGTCGTGTCACCCTTGAGAACAATCCAATATACGCCTCTGCTTGCCAGTGCAGCAGCAGGTATGTTCAACTTCCGCCTGGCGGAAGAACCGGTACGCCGGCGCAACAAGCTACCCGGCCTATCCTACTACAACGCCAAGGTCGAAGACATCGACTTCAACTCTCGAACGCTCGACTGCAAGGCGACCGATAGCGACATTACCGAGGAACATCTAAAAGGCGTAGACTCTTTTAAGCTCAAATACGACAAGCTCATTCTCGCGCCAGGATGCGATGTGCAGACATTCGGGACACCGGGAGCGCTGGAGCACGCTATATTCCTGAGGACCACAGATGATGCGCGGAGGATTCAGAAGCGTATACTAGATATGCTGGATGCGGCGTCAATTCCTGGCTTGACGGACACCCAGCAACGTAACATGCTTCGTATCGTCATTGTTGGCGGCGGCGCCATCGGCATTGAAGCGACGGCTGAGCTCTTCGATTTATGGGATCATGAAATGAGGCATGTGTATCCGCACTTGGATGGAAAAGTAACCATTGAGATCCACGATGTTGCGCCCGCGCTTTTGGGTACCTTCGACAAACGGCTCGGAGAATACGCAGCGCAGAAGCTTGAAGGACGAGGCATCGAAGTCAAGACGAGCAGCCATATCGAAAAGGTCGATGCCGGTGCTATATGGACGAAGGAGCAGGGCGAATTGCGATATGGCATGCTTATCTGGGCAACCGGGAACGGCACCAATCCACTGGTTTCGAAGCTGGATGTCAAGAAGGACGGGAAATTGCAGCGCATCGTGACAGATCGACGGCTCAGAGTGTTTGACGCCAAGGACCAGCTCATCGACAATGTGTATGCTCTTGGCGACTCGGCTGATATTGAGGGGTATACGCTGCCAACCCTTGCCGAAGTGGCAGTGCAGAAGGCGAAGTATCTTGCCGAGGAACTCAACAAGGCCGACATGCCAGCGCAGGCTTTTGAATACAAACAACGAGCCAACATCGCCTACCTAGGTCAGCATGATGGTGTCATTGGTGGTAAGGACGAATGGACGGGGCAATCGGCGTGGCTGGCGTGGAGGAGTGGCAGTATATACCATTGGCCCAGAAGTTGGAGAAGAACGCTCATGATTGGCATTAGCTGGTTCTTTAACAAGATTGGGGGAAGAGATATTGCCAGAAAGTGGTGAGGGTATTGAGAAATGCTATGGCTGACGATAGTATGCTAACCGACAAGTCTACCGTGGATATTGCGCCGTTCAAACACTTCTATGTCTCGTCGAAACGCGTTAGTACACACTCTTTTCATACTATGACGTTATGATGGTGTTCTTCTCTTTTCGTTTTGTAGGGTAGGATCATGGAGAAGAGATACTGGAGGTGCAGCGGAATTGTGATAGCAGAATCTTTCCAACTTCGTCGGAAGCTTGTAACATTCTCCGAGAATATTGCGTGTTGGCAACATATCGTTTCTCTCGCCAGCGTGAAGTTTCGGCCGTGGGCTCGCTAGATAAAACGTGCACGAGTCCAGGCTCTTGGCTACTCTATCCCAGAGTGACTCAAGCTGTCATAAGTCTCCTAATCTATGACTCAATGCTGGACAGCCGACCGTCACAGTTTCTTTGAATCGCGCTGTTACAACTCGGCGCGGAGATTGCTTTTTTCAAACGTGTAATTTTCGCTCGTTCTGGTGCCAAGGATGGTGGAAAGGAAAGTTCCATGGATATTGCAAATCGCAGACGATCAAGCCTTCGGGATTGAACAAGTTTCCGAGCTTTTCGCATCTTGAATGGAGATAGCCCACCAGTGATACTCCTTCACATTCGAAGTCAGTGGGATGCGAATGCAGAGCTCCCGTAGTCGTGCATGATGAAATCGAGAAGGCACAATCAAGCAGAGCATCATGACCGCACCGTACCCACTTGGACATGCGCAATAACCGCTCTCTTCGACCGTTCCAAGCCGATGTCCATGCAGCAACTCGGTCTAAACCTCGGCGCCTTGCCCAGCCTCCCTCTCCACAGTCCCTGAGCAGGGGCAAGCGAAAATCATCTGTCGCTAAGACGCCGCCCACACGGCTCCCGAAGTGCCCGTGCACGCACCAGCATTTAGAACTGTTAGCCTCGCATCATCTGTTCGAGCTAGGAAGGTTCATAGTGTCGGGACGGGGTTCAGCACCCGTACTTGGCAGTCAGCGGAGCAGCGGAGGGTTCGATAAGAGGGATGGTTGGAGCGATGAGACAGCGGACCGTGACTAACACTTTTGCTCAGGAGATGTGTGGCTGCGGAAAATCGAACGATGATCTGATGGTGGATGCACATATAGCACCTTGTGGAGCCATGCATTGGAATGCCTTGCTGTATACCTCGTGCGATGCCTTGCCAGCGCACACAGTAGAGACAGCTGTCACTGCGCAGCCTCCTGAAGGTGCAAGCTTTTGGTACTTTGTACACCGCGCGCCCAAGACAGCAATCCTCGCGGCGATCGCGTTCCTCACCGGTTTGCACCGCCACACGTCCCATTCGGTGCGGAATTGCACGCATCCCGTCGATCACCCTTTCGCACTTGTTTCCCTACGTCGCCTAGCGCCGCTGCTATTTCAAGCCTTTCCAAGCCTCCGCACGCTAGCCGAGCACGTGCTACGCCCTCACTACCAGACACTAATGCACACTGCACGTGTGCTGAGAAAGGGAAAGCGTAGCAGAGGGCAAGTGTACGCGGGATCGCGGGCTCGTAGACTACCCATGAAGGCATGGTGCCGGAGGCTAGAAGATACTAAGGACTAAGAGTTAGATGATCAGTCAGAATTGCGGGTTAATAGTACCGTCTGGCGGCAGTGGAGCGTAGCCCAAAGGGGACAATAAGACGTAGCTACAGGATCTGATTCATTAGTATTTCATCGACAATTGACGAGGAGCATCAGATAGGCCATGCGGGGGTCACCGCTATTGTGTCCTTGCAAGGTCCAACACAACACGCAACTCCGATACCAACCACTGTCGCATTCGCATCCAAATCCATAACGTAACAGGTCTGGCCAGCGGGCGCCCAACCACCCATCGAAACCGTTCCTTCCCACCCAAGCGACTGCATCGCGCCGCCCGTTGATTGGCCCCAGGTCGTGCACACTGCGCTGCTATTTTCAGCAACGGAGCCAGGAACAGTATCTCGATCGAGGAAAACGTGCCATCCCCGTACCGTGTGTGGAAAGCGTGCGCTGCACGATACCGGTATGGGGGAGGCATACATGCGAGGGCCAGGGTCGTGCAGAGCGCACCCGTCCGCCTGTAGCCATCTAGACCAGTCCGGAAGCAAGATAACCTCAAGTGGCCCTGTCTCTGCTGTGCTTCCCCTGCCACATGGCCTGGTTGATGTCACTGTTGCTTCGGTGCATGACGCATGCATGGCCCGACCAAGTGGATGGACAGGGCAAAAGTCTGCCATTTCCCTTCCCGATACCTGCCGGACAGACTGCACAACGCTCACATGACGGGCTTACTTGTCCACGTGCTTTCATCGGTGGCAGTGCCAAGGTCTGTAATCAAGAAAGTAGGTACTTGTTGCACAAGATCACGTTGCTTGATTCGTCCATGGCGACGCATTCGCATTCAGCCTTTTGAGCTGCCTCATCTAACCCTTCAGCTATCGCTACGCAGGCCTCTAAGAATAGCAGTTGAGACCGAGACATCCGTACATCTACCGCCTTCAACCTCAGAAACCCCACGCGCGTCATCGCGTCTGCCGATTGTAACGTCTGCCAAAGGGTATGCAACATCGTGAATTTCTAAAGCCACCAGACCCGTTCAGAGCACCACAGGGCGACGGTCGACATTCAATTCGTCCGACCGTTCCTTCACAGGTATATCATACATGGTGAGAAAGATAGAAAGAACGAAAGAGAAGTAATGAAAACAAAAGTGACGCCATTGTAGCCAATCGGCTACGTGATGCTGCCTTCGGTCATATCCAGTCCCAGGAAGCGAACAGCCAAAACGTGTACAAGGCTGCAGCAGGGGTATAGGGGAACGTGGTCACCGATCATGAATCGTGATATCCAAGGTTGACGCGATTCATCAATAAACTGACATCAAGACATTCAACGTCTTGCGTTGCGGCGCGGAAAGCAAATAATGTCAAATGCTATGCGTAAATCGGAAAGGTCGTTCATGTCGTAATGGTGTGGTGTGCAAAGTTCGAGATGTCGAGCAGGTGTGGTCATTCGCTTGTTGTTCACAGCCCAGACTAGCGTAGGTGACATGCATCGACTGCGCCTCACTTCACTCAAGGCTCCTTGAGCTAGCCACGACTGAAATGGATAGGAGGCAGTTGCGGTCCTCGGCTATGATACGAGCCATATGCTTGAGTAGATACAGGTGGGAGAGTTGGTGCCGGCCCCGGGACGGGTTGAGGGGTGTGTCCAACGATGGGCGGGGGCTGCGACTTCAACTGGTTGGGGTCCCTGGACGATCGTTCAGCCTCGTGTCTTTACGTCCAGATCTGAGTAGGAGCCGTCACGAACCCGCTGGGGTGGTATCCCATAGGAGGCATACCAAAACTGAATGGATGTGGTTGCTCCGGTACCGAATAAGGACCGGTCGCAGGAGACCCCAGCGGAGTTGTGTAGGACGGACTACTATACGAAAGGTCGACGCTCGTGCGTGGTACATGTGGTACTTCGAGGTACGGCGAAGTTGGACCGGACGCCAATCCGGGCAACGTGGACGCCGGGAAGAAGTTGAGGGGCGATGGCGCGAACGCTGGACTCAGGCTCTGACCATAGCTGTATTGTGCCAAGTTTTGCAAATCCATATTCAACGCCTCCAAGCCGTACGGCGTTTGCGGCAATGGCGAACCTTCTCCAGCCTGTTGGCGCATCCAGTCTCGACGAGCCTTATAGGAGGTTGCAACATCGGTAGGGTATTGGATCAGATACGACACAGACTGCGTGCGATCATCGTAGGATGGGTTCTGATAACCTTGAGCAATAGCTACGATCTCTTCCAGAGGACCTAGAGAGCGGTTGGCGCAAAAGGCCGCACCGATCTCGGGAAACATTGGTTCCAATGCTAGGGCAGTGGCGTAGAAGTGTGCGAGAACAACCATGACGGTGGCATCAGTGTGCTTCGCAGCTAGTAGAGATATCGGCACCCAGAAGAGCCACTTCCGTAGGGCATAGAGCTGTCCAAATTGCTCCTCAGCCGTTTGCGCGGCGCCAGATGCTCGTAGTCGTTCGATGTAATTGCGAAGCTGCTCGACCCACTTTCCTTCCTGCTCGTGGCGGGTGAGACTGAGATAGGGTTGAAGTCGTGCCAGTGAATTTTGAATGTCTGCAAGAATAGTGAGATGCTCCCTTCTGGTCTCTGATGAGATCGGTGAGTAGTTCTGGTTCATAAAACTCCTCCCTGGAAGTGGTGTCTGCTCAGCGATGTAGTCGGCGAACATGGACTCATGCCGCCATGAATGCATTGCTTGAATGACCTGTATCCAATTAGTACGTAGTGTTGTTGCTGGTGAACTGCAACTCACCGTCTTCGTACCCGTCACCAAAGAAGCCCAACCTCGCCTATGATTGTTAGTCAGGCCATTGCAGATTGAGAGCATCAACAAGTAGCCTACCAATCAGTTGCTTGCCATGCCAGGAGAAGCGAAGACGCAAGCACCGCATCTGAGTTGACTTTGGTGAAGTTCGCAATGCCTTCATGCAAGCCCTTCAAGGCGATGCCCGCGTGATGAAACGCGAGATTTCGCGTTTCACTCGACTGACTGATCCACGCCAAATGCGACGCAGAAAATGCGAGAATAGAGTGCATCACGAACGGATGCGATGCGGCGATGCTCAGAAACCTGTGGTCGTTAGTACGGCTCGCTTGCACAAAGTACCGAATACGATAGTGTAGTAATACGAAATGCTTACTTTGGCATCATGTCTGTCCAGAGAGTGAGTTTAGACGTTTGATGTGAAAACATTTCGTTAGAGATGGTCGCTACGTGGTGGACCAGACGCAAGTCAGTCTTTGGGAAGATTCGCCATTGCGGTTGAGGATAAACTTGTAGGTGGTCGAATGGCCATACTCCCGTCTGCCGCCATTGCTCAATGGTTGCATCTATCTCAGGCGTCCAAAGAAGGTTCGGTTGCTGTGGAGACCTTGGGGATTCCGGCGGCATCAACGCAGCTGGACTGTCCATATAATCGCAGCGGACTTGATGTTTCGTGCAGTTACGACTGCTTCTATTAGAGTGTTGCTAACACGACCTACTTGCTTGGACTTACCATTGCGGAAACGTTTCATCACATCGGATGTGCCTCTTCTTGCATGTTTTGCATCCTTTTCTGGACTTTGTGTGGCTGCGCCTGGAGGGTCCTCCGCCAGGTCCTGCCATTGAAACACAGGACGATCAATGCCGTCGAAGCTTGACGGAGAAAGGAAGCTAGGCCACCAAGTTGATTGCGTGTTGAACAAGAAGTGTTCAAGTACGCTGTCGACTGGTAATAGACCGGTTGAATAGGAGAGTAGAGGCTGGCGGGGGCGGAGCAGATGCAGGCTGCAGATCTCCACGGCGGTTGATAACAGGACGATGAGTGCGGAAGCCGATGACGGAGTGAGACAGATTATGGAGGCTGAAGCTGGATGTTCGAGGATATGTATAAACGCCGGGGGCCGGCTGGGAGATTGACGTTAGGGCTGAAGAGTGATATGGATGTGGAGGGGTGCGAAGTGTTTCCGGCACAGTGACAGGCACGAGGGTATGGGCGACAATGAGAGCGGATGTGGACAAGGTCTATGGGAAGTGGCCCCTGCAGCTGGTCTAAGCGAGTCCCGGACAAGGCTGCAGGTCTAGAGGTGGAGGCTAGAGACACACGGCCGGCATGGGAGCGGACTCGCACAGTGACTTGTGCTTCTGTGCAGAGCAACAGACGTCAGGGAGGGGCCCTGTCATTGATGCGGGAGGGTCGACGCCCACAATTAGCAGTGTGGCCTCGAGAAGGGGTTGGCAGCCGGTAAACGGCGAGACGGGACGGGCTAGTAGGGGGGTGGGGTGAATGTGTAGCGGGAGCTACAAGCAGGCGATAGAGCGATTCACAGACGGCATTCTTGCGCATGCTCGTATGACATAGCCCCCGGTGTGATTCCCGTGGGGAGCAAGCTCTATCCAGGGCCGTGGACTGTCCGTGTCGAGGACGGCTGCCTGGCTCCAGCAGAGCGTCTCCCGCCAGTCCCCTGCTGGTAAGGTGTCTCATCGGATTGCAGTTAGCACACTCGGCGCGCAAAAACATCGTGGCCTGAGCCACCCTGGCACTACCATGATTTGGTTGCTCCAGGCCTGGGGTGCTCTGCGAACGACCAGGCCACTGGCCGTCGGCCTTTCGTCTGCTGGACGAGCCACGAGCCGTCTCTCGGTGGGCCCCTCGTCGCGACGCCACGTCCGGGATATGTTGCAACGTTTGGGCGTCGATGTGCAGCAGCCGCCACAAAGCGCTGGCTTGGTGTCGGCCAGCTCGCCGCCCACAACTTTGACGCTGGCAACGCAAAACGGCTGGCTAGCCCTTGGTGACCCGATAGCCGGCGAGCGCGCCCTCGACGGGCCGTGCGGTGGAGACCGGCGTCGATTACTGAGACCATTATTCAGGGCGTAGGAGCTACTACCGTCGAGGGACACAAGAGAGGTCAGCTCTTGGGCCGGGGCACACAGCGAGAGAGGCCAGACTGGGACCTGAGCCGGCCGGAGTCGCAAGAGCAAAGTAGCAACCCCCAACTTTGGTCACTGAGGCCGCGTCTGGGGCGAGCCAGTAGCATGGCTCGAAGAAAGAGGGTCGCTGATGCGAGGCAGCGATGGCAGCGATCGCTTAGGCCTGGCAGGACGGGGTCCAATATGTGCATCGCCCCAAAAATAGCGCCCGCGCGGTCTTGGCTGCAGCACGCAGAATGTGAGCACCAGCGTCACCAGACTGGCAAGACGAGGGATGCAGTGATGGGGCGATAGTGCTGGAGACAAGCGTGCGAGACTGCGCGGGCGGGCGCAACGGCAGTGTGTGAGCTCCATGACCGCGCAGTCGGCCAGCGCTGGTGGACTGTACGCAGGCCCGGCCGCCTGCCAGCGCCGTGGCTAAATGGACGCCAGCCATGCCAGTGGACGGGTGTTAATTGTTGCAGGTAAACCAGCGGCTTCTACGCGAGCCCCAGGCGACGGGCTGGCCACGGCGCGCCGCAAGGTCCCGTTCAGGCATGTCGACAGCGACACGGCGCACGACGAGAGCTCCAGCGCGGTAGGGCTGCTGCTGTGGCCGCCGCGAGCGCGTGGCGGACTCCATGCCATGCGAGGCGGGAGAAAGAAGCAAAGGAAACGAGGTACGAAGAGGGTCGACGCCAATGAGCGCGCTGTGGTCCGGCCGAGGCAGCGTGGGCGACGAGCTCCGGGTCGACCTGAGCAACATCAAGCGAAGAAAACCAGTCGCTGCCGGTGGTGGACGGCTAGATATGGGAGCCACAGGCACAAGCGGATAGGTGAGGTTCGCCGGCGGAGCAGCTTGCGCGCCAAAAATAGAGATAAACTCATTTAAGCGTGCGCGCGCAGCCAGGGCCCCCTTGCGCCTGTGGGGACCGCCCAGGGTCGACGAGCCTTGGACCATGTGCACAACCGCCGCCTCCAGGTCGCCGACCAACTCAAAATAAGTGCGTCACACAGAGGGACCCGTTCGACGGACACATGTCTCCACCGCCGGGCCACGGACCTCCGACCTCCCAGCTCATGGCTGCCGTCTCGCTGTGCTTCCGTACAGCGGCCAGCGAGCATTCAATACTTCCTGCCCTTCTGCCCATGCTGCATACCCGGCTCCGCGATGCGTCCGAAAGAGGTCTCGCCTTGAGCCGTGGACCTCGTTAGGCTAAGTACTTCGACTTCCACACCTCGTCTGGTTGTATACAGGACAGGACTTGCGATTGCGAGCATTAGCCACATTCAGACTCGACTCAATGGGGAAAGTGGGCGAGGAGACATGTACCACAGTACGGCCGAACACCTTATCCACCACCTCGCCGCCACCACTGCCGTGGACGTCAACGTACCTGCTCCGGCATGACCAAGTAATCAATTCCTCGCATCTCTCCTTCCCCATGTAACGAACGAACCGCCACCTCTTCGCATACCCACACTCGGAGTCACTCCTCCGCCTCTTTGCTTCCCGCTGCACATGTACCTTCGCCTTCTACTGTTCATGACGCTTATCTCGCTTCCTTGGTATTCACTGCACATTCGCTTCCTCAAGTCTACACCGCCCGTTTCGCACTATTGTCGCTTTCGTTCATTACATCCGTCTCGCCCCCTTTCTCAGGTCGACCGGACTACTCGTTCCTCAATTTCCCCATGTCACATCTGCCTCTCCCCTCCTCGTCCGCTGCACAGACCCGCCTCACACTTGCCCACACCTCCATCCCTCCATTCACCCCACACTATTCAGCTCCGCGCCCTCAAATTAGCAACCTCGTCCCAATGACCTGGAAACCCCCTACCCGCTATATATAGCCATTGTCTGTGTTTGACCACGGACCCGACCGCCATTAAGCCCTGTCTGTCTATCAGTCCTCATCCATGACCCTGTCGCCATCGCGTGGTCTGCAATTTGCACCTGGAACATGCAGATGGCGGCCAGGTCCCTTGCACCTGTCTGTATCACTTCCACTATGACGGGCGTGGCTAAGCTATGACGGGATCCTGCACCTCCCCTCCGCCGTCACGGATGGGGCACAACAAGCCAATCTATGTGGCGAGCTGTTGTGCATCTCTTGGCTCCCACTTCAACATTGGGGCAGCCGTCTATCCATTTGTGGCTTCCGCCGAAAGCCATCTCCATGCGAGACCAGACCATCGCCTACACAGGCTCAGACAACGGCTCGTATGCTCATCGCAAGGTCCTTCGTCCTGACACCTCCAACCGGAGTGGCGCTGGTCATGCGTCCGAATCTGCCACCTCAACGGCAAAGGCAGCCAGTCATCGACGCGGCACATCGCCACACGGTACGAGCAGTATGGTAGCCAACAACGCCGTCCCGCGCTTCTATCGGTCGGATGGGAATCCTTCACCTCTCGTTATGCTTTGCTAGCAACAACAGCTAGCTGTGCAGATGCATGAGTGCATCCATTCGGCTCGCCCAGAGCACCAGGAGACGCAGGAACATGTAGTGAATGACACTGCTTGAAAAATTTATGTGATCGTCCACGTGCCCATTACGTTGATCGATGCAAGACTAGCCAAGACAAGAAAAAAATGACAGATCATACTGTATCTTTTGATATCACTGACTGACTTGGAACGCTGGAGGACGCTACCTACTGCTATGTAAAGTGTGCTGGCCCTCGCTATCCGCGGCTCAACATCGAATTGTAACGAAAAAAGGACGAACGCCGGGAAATGTCGAGTCAGTCGCAGTTGGTCGTTCGTTTGAGGATAACACACGACTTCGCTAGCATCGAGTGGGGAAAGCCAAAGGAGGCACCCCTTGGTGATCATCGCCGTATGTAGAGTGAAAAGCAGTCGCTGAAATGTCTATAGATGCCGCAGCCCATGTCGCTTTCTCCTAAGTCGTCATGCACATCCCTTTTCTCATGCAGCTGCCTTCCCTTCTCTTTCTTCTTGCCCGTACATTTCCGTCTCTTTTGCCCCTGCTCCTGCGGGGTCCGTTCACCGCCCATCGTTATCGAAACGTTTCTCATAGCTCGTCTCCAGCTTCGCAAGCCGTTGTGGGTCTCCCTCGCGAAGATCTCACGCCTGCAGCCCGTCTAAGAATAAACACCGTTCAGACACCGTACAAGTCCCTGAACTTCTGGCGATGTTGCGCCGGCAGCCCCGCAAGGAAGGCGTCAAAGTCTGGAATCATGGCCTTGTACGTCTCAATGACCTGTCTAATATTAGCCCAACATTCTAATTCGGTAAAGACGTAAGAATAACTCGCCTTCTGAAACGTGTCCCATAGCGCCGTATGGCCGGGCGTAGGGCCGTTAAACAGACTCCGTTCGGCTTTCGACATTTCGTTGAAGAATTGTAGGAGAGATTGCTCCATCGCGCCAGGGTTCGCGAGCACGATCTGCATGAAGCCCGTGAGGGCGTGGCCCTTCTCGTCGGTCCACATCACATTTTCGATGCTGCGGATGAAGGGGGGAGCAATCTGTGCGAGATGCGGCGCCAAGAACTGCGAGCAGCCCAGGCCCAGACGTCCGAGAGCGATGGCGGCGTTTTCGTTGAGCGAGTCTGGGACGTTAGGGGTAAACAGGATGGTTGCGATCTTTTGGAGGAGTCGGTCGATGTAGCGTTGCATTCCTTCCTTTTCCCGCATTGCGATCTCTCCGACTGACCAGCAGGCATTGTTGATGACGGAGAACCCGGTCTCCTCGCCATCGATCATGACCTGGGAAAGCTCGAGCTGTCCGATCAAGACCTCCAGAAGCTCCGGCAGCTGCGATCGTAGCTGGTCGAATACGTAGATGGCGCAGTCTCCGAGAAGCGCGTATGCGGATTGTCGTACATCGTTGTTGTCATCCTTCATGCATAGGCAGAGAAGCTGGAAGAAGTTCTCAGAGCGGGCGACCAGTTCTGAGCTCGAGGATGGGTCGAGGGCTTGTATGATTGCGCTGACTACGTCCAGGCTCGTCACCAGGAAGTCCTTATCGGGCGCCTCCAGTGTAGGATTGGTAGCAGCCAGGAGGGCCTCTTGGAGGTTCCGGTGTATGATGTTCACACACCTAGAAAATATGCCAGCGGCATAGCGTTCGAACGCCCCTCCGAGTGCAGTAGCGACGTACGAGAGACATTCGAGCAATGGGAACATCTCCCTTGATTGATCGGAGACTTTGTTCCATCGTTGGATGAGCGCAGGCATGAGAATGCTGACAAGGTCGTCTTGTGCAAGAGCTGGGCCGACATGTTCAGCGAGCGTCTGAACACAGTCGTAGAGGATGAACATGTTCCGGTACTTGTAATTGGCAAAACATTGGACGAATTGCCGTACGATGATTGGACAGTACGGAGCCAGTTCGCTGTTGGCCTTCTCCTCCAGGTTTGCAAATGCGGAAGCAGCTGCTTCCTGGACTCGCTTGTTGCCGTCCAGCATCCTCTGTAATATACCGTCCATCATAGGCACGAAGAATTGCTGCTTGCCGTTCTGGTCCAGGTGTGAGGCCCAGCCAGAGTACCTTCCCAGCGACCAGCAAGTGATTTGACGAACAACAGGTTCAGGGTCGGACAAAAGCGTAATCATGTAAGGCGTCAGCATGGGTAGGTGAGGCTGGACGACTTCCATGCAGCCGTCTGCAATAGCACCAAGCGCTAGAACAGCCGCTTCTCGCTGTGGCCATTCTGCGTGGCTGAGGTTGGTTGTAAGGTACGGAAGTGGCCTGGAAGACGGGCTCATGGAAAACCGATGCAAGTACATCCAGGGCAGCAGCGGAGCACTTTCTAAGGTTCCATTGCTCTTCGGGATCGCCCACTGAATCATCGTCATCGAAATCATCGATCTCTCCTTCGCTCAAGTCGTCATCATCCATGCCAGGTGCAGCTTGGTTCGTCGTACCGTTGACGTTGGTTGCTTCACTGCCATTGGCGCCCGTCGTCAGACGAGCCGACTTGCTGGTGGCGAAGGCAGGCTTGATGTCCTCGTCGCGATCTTCGAGTTCCGCATCCTCCTTTTCTCCCTCTAACCTTAAGATGTCGTCCTCGCCGTAGACCATGCTCTCTAATAATACCGGGACGATCTTGGCAAGGTATGGCCCAAGGTGTTCACGCATCTTTTCATCTTCGGCGGCGCACAGCCAGAATTCTGCGGCGTCCAGCGCCAGATCCGCATCGTCTGAATTGCGTTGTTGTGTGACCATGTACTCGACTAATCCCTCCATGTAAGGTGTGATTTTCTGGGGGGGCGATGTCGGCGATATGCACGAACGAGCGGCAGACGTGCTTTCGCACTTCGTTGCTGGGATCCGCAGACAAGTTGAAGAGTTGCTGTAATAATGTGTCTATGTTTTCCTGGACTGCGGGGGGGTTGTCGGGTATGAATACGTTCGCAGCCGAAAGCGCATCGGCACGCACTTTGGCCAGCGGGCTGGTGGTGAATTCGAGCAGTTTGGGAAATAGAAATGTCAAGGCGCGCTGTCCTCCAGCATGTTCATGGTTCAGGGCTTTCTTGTTGTCCTCGCATATCTTCAGCAAGGCACTCATTCCACCCTCCTGTGCTTGCTGTGGGACGTTGGCGTTGGCATTGCCGATCATGGCAACAAGCTCGGAGAGCACTTGCGACCATCCCAGGAGACCACCGGAGCGTACAATCTCGGTGATGACGTTTCCTGCGTAGCCTCGCATTTGCGAGTTCGGGTCCTGAAGGCCGTTCAATATAATGGACTTTATGTACGACTTGGAATCTTCGGGCATGGTCTTGTAGCTGGCTTTGATGTCATTCTTGAGCATGACGGCGGCGGCAGCTCGGGCTTTGAAGTAGCTCGGGGCATCCATGTCGACGACGGGCGGTGGCTGGCCATTCGAGAAGACATATGCTAGGTATTTGTCGATATCAGGGGAGGCCTTGGCCTGTTTGAGCAGCTGTACAGAGGCCAGAAGTTAGCCGAGTTGGGGGAATGGATTGTGCAAGACTCACGTTTTCGGCGTTTTTTTGGACGGAAGGGTCCTGGCCGCTGAGGGAGTCTCGTAGGCACTCTGCGAGTTGCCGCAGAGGCCCCTCCTCTGGCTGCCACGCCATGGCAGGGTGTGTCCCCGATGCGCAGTGCGGGGGAGGTGGAGAGGGTCGCTGTGAGGATTTGCGGCTCGTAACAAGCGGCGGAGGGGTGTATGGGGCACGGGAAGCTGCGATGAGGAGGCACAAGGCGGTCGAGCCGTGGCGAGGGCTTTCGCGCTGGGTCTGCTGGTGCAGGGCATTGTTAGCTCAAGCGTGCAGGGCAGCAAAGCCATAGGTGAAGGGGCAATGGCGAGGCTACGTACCAGAAGGCGTTGTCGGTGCGTCCTACAGGTCGTCCATATTTCGATTGTCCTACAGCGTGCAGTCGTTTAATTTTTTGCGAGTGCCGCAACAAGTTTGCTTTCGAATGACGCGGGGCGCGGCAGGTTGCAGGCGAAGGGTTACGGGCCCTGGATCTACGACTTCCAGCAGGGCGAAGCGGCCACACAGCGGAGAGGGCGCGGCTGCAGTGCGACAGAAGGCAGACGGGCGGGCAGCGCGTCGGCTGGAGCACAATGGGCGGCGGCGTTGACAGCGCGGTGTAGGCGGGGGGCAGAAATATCAGGCCGGGCAACGCAGCAGTGTGTCTCTGCGGCCCGCTCCCAATCGCTTGACGCCTCACAAGCCCACCGCTTGCACGAGCGCCGCCCCCACATTGCATCTCTTCACCGCGCTCTGATGGCGACGTCGACCTTCGTCGGCCGTTACCCAAGGCCTGCGCCGACGCAGCTGTCAGGCCCTTCACGTGCACTGCAGCTGCGCGTCGCACCGCGTCTGCACCTCTGTCACCGCCTCTCCACCAGGAGCCCGCACGCTTCGACTTGTCGCTGCGCCGGGAAACACGTTACTGTTGCATCGCTGCCCACCTCGCATCTCCTCTCCAGTTGCACATGCGCCACAGACGGCCGCACCCCTATACTTCGGGCGCTATCTACTGCTCTTCGAGGCGTTGCCGGGGCCAAGTGGAGCTCGTGCTCTCGATCACCTCCTCTTGGGCGATACGCTCATAGTGACATATGTGCAGACCTTGCTGAAAGACCGCAAATCACTTTCTCGAATCTTGATGATACGATAGACGTCCCATTCGGCGAGAAGAACAAGAAATGAGGTGGCCTGGTCCCACTTGGAGAAAACTCACTCTCATCACAAGAAGCTGTACGCGTCGAGGACCGTGAAATTCTTTGCTTACAAGTCATCCTGCATACTGTGCTGCGTTCGACCGATATTGCTGTTACACCTACCAGATTCACCCCTGGCAGATTCGACGTGACCCGCACGTACTCTGCCTGCTGCTCAGAGCGTCAACGTAGCACTGGCTCTCAGAAATATTGCGTCTTGGAAATTTTGAACGTTGACAATGGAGCATCAGGCCAGGACTCGGACACTCATTGTAGCCCGAAGTACCTTATGGTGGGTATTCTACACTTCGTTTCGTGAACGGTCAAGCTATTCGGCCATTGATTTGACAACAAGGACTTCGTACACAGCAGCCTTTGAGATGGACTAACATGAACTGCTGACCAGGTGTAGGAATTCATGCTTTAGAAGAAGAAGTCGACAGAATGGAACGATGCGCCCATGGCTCATCGTCTCAAAGCAAAGCAGCAACTGCCACTACCAAAGCCAAACTAAGGCACGCTGCATTGGACACCCGCGTCTGCCCTGCATGGCCTTTTTTGGCGTCTGTTACGACCTCCTTCGCATCTACGTACGCCCCTGTCGTCCCATTGAAAACCAAGCACTGTCCGTCTACGTCCGAGAACGTCCCGTTGGCGAACGGGTGATCGAAGTCACTGTGAGCCACCAAGAAGCTTAACTCGCCTGCAATTCCTACACCCCAGTCCACAGTAGGCTCGATACTCAAAACTTCTTTGAGGACCTTTTGCGCCACGTCTTTGTCTTTAGAGTCGCTGGTCGCCAACGCACCGCATTCCTCGTCAACCCCCCGACTTCTTCGCAAATTCTGCACCGAATTTGGGTAGATCCAGATAGACACCGACCTCGACGCCAACTTGGTTGACGAATTCAAAACCGATCTGTATCTGGTGGCGCAATGCCACCGAGAGCTGCACAAATTGCACGTCCACGCTCGCTTGGAAAGGAATCGGGGTGACAGCTGTCGCATCAAACCCCGATGTGCTGGAATTGTTGGGCTCTGTCATATCGATGAGGATCTTTGACTCGTCAGGGACGGCAATTTCGAAGCCGGTAGTGAAGTTGAGGGTGCCGTTGAGTGTATATGCGAAGCGGAGTGCTGGCGCGTATAGCAGACCCGCACTACCTATACCTCGGATCTGATATGGCATCAGCAAGCGTCGTATGTCGGCGCCAACGGTCTTGTTAACTTACCGCAAGTGCATATAGTAACGGGACTTCGAAAAGAGGGATGTCGAAGCCACCGTCATTACTGAGACCGATCTCCAATTCGACCCTTGCGCCCAGCCCTTTCGCCACTACGCTCGCCTCTCCACCTTCGAAGAAATCTCCTAGTTGCAAGCCGGTCTCATTATTATCTCCAAAATTCTCAATGTCCCGCAGATTGAATGAGGCGAAAGCGAAGTCAATCTCGCCAAACGTGGAGCAGTTCTTGCATTTGATATGTATGTTGGCGCCCGCGTCGCCTGGCAGTGGTAGTTCCTTGTCGATGAACGGATGATTTACATCCAGAGACGTACCATTCGCCGTCTGCGTGGCGGTCGGAGCAGGTATTGATGGTGTAGGAAATCCACTGGTCATGGTCGACACGACTTGCTGTCGTCGAACGCGAGGCATCTGGTGACGGCGATGCATGTGTGGCTCTGTGGTGCGATGTATCTGCACGTCGAGGCTCTTAAACGACGTAGACCAATCGGCGTGCTTAGTATTCATGAAGACGAACAACCCGTCTTCGCCGACGGTGACGTTCCCAACACTAATAGTATTTGGTAAGTCATACAAGGGGAATTTTGTTGACTAACTCTACCTGAATAATTTCCTCTCGCCATGCGCATTGCAGCCATGATGCGATGTTACAATCATACCGCCGTAGGCCAAATCCAACCAAGTTGTATGTCCCGCGCTCCTCAATACGTGCGGCAACGAACGAATAGAAATCGACTCTGGTCGACAGTCAACAGACTCTATAAGATGCTCTACTTCTTCGAGGATCATGATGAATGTGTCGGACTCCGCATGAATAGTGGCTGCAACAACATTTTCACCCTCGCTGTTCTCGTCTCCCGCTCGTTAGCTTCATTTGATCTCCGTACTTGGCGGAAGGAAGGTCCTTACTCTCCGAGTAATCCAAGTCAAGGGATCTCCTTATTACAAAGCCTTCCGACCGTTTCGCAAGCTTCGCAGCGCTGGTTGACGCGCGAAGGTCGCGCCCTAGCAGCGCTCCATTGCGTTCGGCAAATGCCTTGGCCAGTGGAGAGACGGGCGACCTTGAAGGTAAGGCTGTAGCCGAGAGAACAAGGCTGGAAACTACAGCTACGAAAACAATGTTGAAAAGCATAGTGAGCATTTACACCTTAAATGTTGCGGTTTGGACTTCCTTGCTATTAAGCAGCAACCGGGCTCATCTTATACACTCCTCTTCAGGACTCCATCGTATGTCTGCGGCATTGACCCCATCCTCGCGTTCGTATGCAGTGTTTCTCTTCGAACGCCCGTTCACGCTTACTGAGCAAGAATATACCAGGCTGGCCCCCGCACCGCATGCACAAACCAAAATGGAAATAACTAACAAGGCTGCAACGACAATCGTTCTCGATCTAGGAAGCCTACATGGCGTAAATAGGCGGGTATCGCACGTATCCACGCAGCAGAATCCCTCAGCCTGGCGCCTCGCTCCTGGAAGCTCGCCGGATGTGAGATAGCGCAAGGTTCGAGAGGCTTTATTAGGGGGCGTCGTGGTTTTGCCTTTTTCTAGAAGGGAAGATGCTTTGGAAGGATGAGACAAGGCAATGAAGGGGCTGCTTAGTGATATGTTGGTGGAGAGGTGTCAAGTGGAGAAGGATTGATGCAGACCTTGGCTCAGAGGTGTAGAGTCTTCTGATAAGGACGTTGGTAGATTAGTAGCGCGTTGGTTGGAGTGAGTTTCTTAATTTTCAGGGTTCGATTGCTACTGCATTTAGGTCGACGAGAATCGTAAGCATGTTGTGGGAGATCTGCCGATCGACTCGATACAATATCCATTTACGCATTGTCTTCAAGTGTACCCGTAGGGAGAGCCCATTTCCGGTGGATCAGCACGGAAATGTCCTTTAGCGGCAAGTTCATTCTCAGACTAGAACCTCGATGATGCCGACGGATGAGCACAGCTTTCGAAGGCTGGGTAAAAAGCTGTGCTACAACGCGCCCTGAATGACCATAACCACGCAGCAGGCCGTTGGTCTCGGCCTCCAGCTCATCGATATTTTCCGCCAGGCTCTCGAATTTCTCCACGATTGGTTACTTCAGGTGCTCAACCTTGATCTCTAGCCCGGCCAACGTTGGGTCAGCAGCATGAGCTGCGCTTCTGCATTCCAGTCCGCATCGTGTTTGCCATCGTCTGCGTAGAACCTACGAGTTGTGGTAGTGTCACCCATCGGCTTTATGTGGACAACGACAAGACGATGTTCGATGCGCTGGCGGTAGCGAGAAATATCATTGCCGTTCGATTGACGCAAGAAATTTGGCGAATCAAATTTCGTAATCACGTTAGCCTTCCTGAAAGGCTTCTCGTCCACCAAGACCCCAGAAGTAGGAGAAGTCTTGGCAGTCTTCTTCGACTTCAGCTTCCGAGGTGCATCGACCTTGAGTCCAAGCAAAGTTCCAAGTACAATCTCGCTGTTGATCGCCACATGGTAGTATCGCAGGATTAATACTATCTTGCTGAACATATCAAGGTAGTTCATGACAGCAGATTTTGCAACATCAGCTATTGGTGGTAGCTGATCATCAGGTTGCATAGAAACAAGCGTACGAATCGTGGAAGCACGAATGCTCAGTTGTTGGTTAGACTAGAATCACTAATCATCATAGATGTCTGGAGACATGCCGTGCTCGGTCTTCGTGTGCCGGGTTAGACAGGGGCTCTCGTGGAAGAGCTTCCGACCAAGACCCAAATCCGACATTAGTACAAATATACCTACAAAGACAATACAGTATGACTTCGTCTATACTAAGTTTCACTCACGCATCAAGACAATGCTGCAGTACTCTTGGGTATCTTGATAATGTATATATAAGAGATGGTACCATTCCATCTTGCAGAATCGACACCATGCCGACATCATGAACCTTTCCAGTCAGAATACCAAACAGTTTGTGCCAAGTACACCTCAGTGCAATGATGATCCCGAAATAAGACACCCCGTCCGCATTGACCGTTGACGTCCCCAAAAGATGGTGCACTGACGACAACACCTTGCTTTCGCTTCGGGTACGCGACCTATCTTTCGGTACAGTACTAATGGTGCGAAGGCTAAAACGTAGTACGGTCAGAGTGATTGCGGAACTCCAGTCCTTCTAACAGCAGCCTTTGACATCAACGTGGGCGTCTACTACACTCTCCCGATTCTCCTTACCAGAGTCCAGGAATTCGGATTGGTAGGGGTCGTCGACTAGTGTGGAGTTGCAGTCTTCTTCGTTGATCAGCAGCGTTTGGTCTTCGTTGTCGATTCGCGATGCGAGAGAGAAACCGGCTGAGTCGATGGTGCTGTCAATTTGATGTGAAATGGCAGGTGGATTCAGAGTCGCCGAGACAAATGACGGGCGGTTGTCATCACTGGAAGGGAGTGAAGTGATAGCCTCTGACTGGGAGCCATCAATTTCCGCCTCTTCACGCAGTTCTTCCATCTGCGCAGATCGTAACTCCTTGGCCGTGCTGTCAGGCCCGCGCCTACTCTCGAAGACAGCATCCGCATCTGCCATGGCCTGCAGTTGCGCAATCCGAATGTCCTTGAGCTCGATCAGCAGCACCGTGCAATCGATCTCGTGTCTCAGTTCGCTGATGCGCTGGCCAAGATGCTGAAGCTTATCGAGAACCATGTCGCCTCGCAAACCATCGAAGAAGTCACGCTCTAGAACTTGAGCAGGAGCGTCGCCCGATGCTGCACCTTCTAGTTTCGCAATCTGCGCATCCTTCCTAGCGCATTTTTCATTCAAGTACTCTAGCTTGAACGCCAAGTTGATGGTACGTTGGCTTCGTGAGTCGAGTATGCGGTTAAAGAATTGCACTGCGTCGTGAGGCGGAGTTGTCGGGAATCCGAACTCTGGATCCATTACCGTAGTCAATGGGGTAAAGAACGGCGTAAACGGCGTCTGAGGCTGTAGTGGTGATGAAAAGTCGAAGGGGTCAAAAATCGTGGTTGCCGGAGTGGACAATATGCTAAAAGGTGATGCTTGAACGGGCGATATTGGAGCTGGGGCCGTCAGAATTGGTGATGCCCGGTGATTTGCGGCATGTTGATGTACCAAGTTCTTGGATGCTTCGAAGATACTTCTAATGCTCATCCGGTGCGTAGTGAGGGTTTCCGCATACGCCAATTTCGCGAAGGTCTTCAAGAATTGAGTAAAAGCATCCGCGACATGGCCATTGGTCATTGCATTCGTCCATTGCACGGGCACAGAGGCACTGAGATCCACGAGCAGATGACCATAATGTTTGCACATGCTCTTGATGATGAAGGACTTTTGCCGATCTGAGTAGTTGGGCGAGAGGAATGTGACTGCTTCTCTGATGAAGTCGCGAGCAGTGTAGAACGAGGCGCCGCCGCGAGGATCTCCAACAGGCGGAAAGAGGGCTTGAGCGGCAGAGGATTGTTCAAGTTGACATACAGTCCAGATATCCTTCTTGAGGGTATTGAGAGGCGAATCAACAGCGATCGAATCTGCGCTGACCGGTGGAGGGCCGACACGATATCTCGTGACTTCGGGGGTTTTGGGAAGCTGCGTAGGGTCAGATGAGGTTAATTACAGGAGGTTATTAGTACTTACGAATCGACTCATCTCGTCTACCGTGGTTCTCTAGGTAAGGATGTAGGTAAAGTAATGAGTAGATAATGTACGCGTTTTACCAAGGGACTGTAGGCTCGCTCCTAATTTCTGACTTGACCTTGCCTTGCATTTCCGCGTTGGTGTAATGCCGAACCGAGCGAAGTGAAGTGAAGTGAAGTGAAGTGAAGTTGAAGGTCGAATGGATAGAATCAAAGTGCGGTTCGTGTTTGATCCGCCTACAGTAATGAAAGACGCGCTGGACCGTATGGAAAGGCTATCTCTTCATCAACCTTTAGGACCGTGCATCACGTGCGGATCAAAGTGCTGCAACATGGCATGAGCCACACGGTTTCACTGTCACCCACCAAAGTGCCAGTATAACTGCTGTCGGCTGCCGCAGTTCTTCATCGCGACGCTTGGTTCTCCTCGCAGACGCTCAAGCTGAGTCTTGTTGTAGTTGGAGTTGAAATCGTATGTCGGAACTGGGGCGAACTAAGATATGTCTTGATATTGTACTAAAACGTTGTTAGTCTATTTCTCTGGATGTTCTTCAACTTCAAAGATGCACCCACCAAATCGCCGTCGCAATAGTATCGACTTGTACCTTTCTAAGGGTCCAGCAATTGTACCCTACGCCAATCCACTAGCTCCCTTCTGTTATTAATGTTCGGGTCTCCTGACCTGACATCGTTTGCAGGTCAAACATTGTCAACAACCGTAATATCCTCAAGAGGCAGAGCCGCGAACCTAAGTACAGAATTCATCGCGTCCTTTCTGCACGTCATGTCTCCGATCGGAGCAGCGAGCCCAGTCCCAGGTCTGGGCCGGTGAGATGAATGCCAGAGGTTGACATGCAACGCCCGAAGATTGGGGAAACTGTCTTAGACGTTGATCGGGATCGTTGTTCTCCAAGCGAAACCATGTTAGATGATGGATAAGTCGTGGTTCGGGAAGATTGCCATCGCCAGCGTTTGAAGATGCGCCGCTTCAAGACCATAGTAATTGTGAGTCGGTATGACGGCCGCAGTGCGCGAATGTGCCATCTTGTTTGAGACAGCAAGACTGCGGTAAAGGCATCAAAAAGGCGCCGCCTCTGCGAAGCTGAAGCGGAAGACTAGTCTCGGATACAACCTTGCGCGTACTTCATCCGCTATTCATTGACTTGCAAGGAGCAATAAATGAACCCTAGACCGCTCCTTGCAGCATGCATTGCCTTACTCTGTAGGCGCGCACCATGTTGGGTTCACTATCACCTCTTCTTTTGTTCTTTCGGGCGTGGAGTGGATAAGAATGAATGATTGGTGCCATATTCTGTAATCATCGAACCGTATTTCTGTACGGGATCTATCATTTGGTGCATCAAGTGCTCGTACACGTCTTTCGGTGAGGCACTGGTTTTGCAGTAGCAATGGAGTAGCTTTTTTGTCTCAGGACGGGAAATCTCGATGGTTGGTGATTCGGGAGGCTCTGGTGCATCGAAGACGACATAGGAATACATCACATGGCGTAGCTCAATAGGTAGCGAGCAGAAAGACATGTTGACAATGCAGGTGTACGTTAGCACGCAAGAAGGCTGTGAGAACGATCTGTCAGTATTAAGAAGCAACAAGGTTCTGGTATGTAGTAAGTTCGAGTCAAGGTGCTGGTATTTGTATCATAAAGTGCAGGTGTGCATGTGCACAGCGTTCCGCCTGGGCCGCGCTAACCCCGATTAGGACGCAAGATCTGCATCCACAAGACGTGGATGCGAACGAAAAAGGAAGTGCCTAATCAGGGAACAGTAAGAAAGTGATTAAGCTCTGCGCATCAAGGACGACGTCTTGTAGTCGGGTGTATCATTAGGTAGCTGCGTATACATACGTAGTTTCTTGTTGCTCACGCCGTACACTCATGAATACATCAGCAAAGACATGCGGACATTGTGTGTTCGATGATTATGTCCATTAACCCCCCCTAAACACTGATGATTTTAGAATACACTACGAGACGAAGAGTGAGCTAGGAAAAACGACTTGTCCAATTCAAAGACGCAAGAGTCCGGGAAAACCAAGGGTATACACCGCCATTAATGCCGAGCCGAGACGCACTGTCCGGACTACTAACCCACCATCGAACGCCTGCTCCTTCTTCCCATGCCGCATAAACAGAAGGACGAAAGGAGAACCTGTGCGTAAAGCAGTTGCGCGTATATCGCGCTGTAGATGAAAAAGACAGAGCGAAGGAAAGATGTGTGCTCGTGTTCAGACAGAGAAGGAGAAAAGACGTAGAATGTGTCCGAGTCAAGCGCATCGAAAGGAAGCATGGAGCATAAGTGGCGGTTGTTCTCCATCGTGCTCATATCCCACTCATGCGGACTTCCCGTCCAGTACCCCACGGCTGCAGAAATTCAGCCTCGTCGAAGTCGCCAGGGCTTCCGACAACCACTCGATCTTCAGTCTGATCGGCGTTCTCGAGATCCATATCCATATCCATCTCCTTGACGACAATGCCATCAACGTCCATTGCTCTCAACCCCGATCTTCTTGCCTTGGGCTGCGCGAACGGCCGCATTGGTGCTTGCGGGAAGCCATTAGAAGGAGTTGCTGACAACGGTGAGATAGGCACCTCGTCCTCTGACACCTTCATGGGTATCTTGAACAGAAAATTTGAGCTCAGGCGAGCGGGGGCTTCTTCTTCATCCTGCCAGGAGCGCTTGTGCAGGTTGGCAGGGTTGGGTGCGTGCAGTGAGGCATTCGAGATAGATGAGGAGGTTGAAGACTGGGAGCTAAAGGGTTGCGAGAATGCTTCGGCGGGCAAAGGAAAGATGTTTAGCGCACGCTCCCCCGAAGCATCGGCTCCGCCATAAAGATGCACATTGGTGACAGGCTGTTCGGCATATCCACCGATCTTTTGCAGGCCGCAGAAGGGCAGTAGCTCGCGCTGATGCTGGACGTGCGCAGGTACGGGTTCGCGAGGCGGCTTGACGCTGTATTCCTTGATGGTGGTCATAGTGGTGGTCGAGGCGCCGTTCGGGGACATTGTCAGGGTGGTCTGGATGGAGGGGAGCGACAGGGTCTTGTGTGTCTTGTAGCCCTCAGGCACGCTTTTCCGCACACGCATTCCGACGCTCAGCAGATCAGACTGTACGCTCCCTGGGAGCTGGTGGGGGTGTTGTTGATGTTGATGTTGATGCTTTGCTCCACTAGCGCTGATCCGCTTTCGGGTGTTCGGGCCAGGCCCCCGCTCGCTGTCGCTATCTGAAGAGTGCCCAAAGTCGTAGGACGTGAAGAAGCTGGTGATGGGCGGTTGGTATGGCCGCTTGCTCCTGTGCTGGGCGGACGAGGCGTAGGCGTTGCTGCCGGGTGGCATTGTCGTGAGGGGGCAGGTGGGAGATGAGACGATGTCGAGTGTTTGAGGGGCTCGCGAACTGTGCGCTGGTTGGTTCGCGCAGAACAGCCCTGGCCTCGAGCTTCGGGAGCTGAAAGGGGAATCGCCTGGGCACAGGGCAGAGGGAGTTGCCGGGGGTGTGCGCTGTTGGCGTAATCAATAAGATGGGGACGGTATGCGGCGGTGGTGGGCGGGTAGAAGAAGACAAGGGCGAGATGGCGACGTCGAGCGAAGCAGCAGTTCTCGGCCCAGGTATCATCAAAGTGAGCACCTAATGACGGCGTCGGGCGGTCCGCAAGAGGGGAAGAGACGCGTTGATCTGTCGCGTCGCCTCCGGGGTTGGTGATGGGCCGGCAAGACGCGTCTTGTGCTTGCTAGGCGAGCAGATCCGGGTCATCAACGTGAATCAGCGTCCAGCGCACAGATGGCGTCGGGGTTGAAAGCCCACAGTGGGCAGCCTTAAAATAAACTTGACGTCGGCTTTGCGAGATGCAAGTGTTGGCGGATTCAGTTGCGCTCGGGATTGGGTCGTGCACGCTGTTTCGTGAAGCTATGGAGGCTGCACTGATAGCCACAGCAAGACGTCATGCAGCGGCCTTGCTTTCGCAGAATCCGGGGTAACTTACGTCGCGATTGGGTCGCAGTTAACCTTGCATTGCAGTGTTCAACAAGAAGTGTGTGATGTCGTTGAATTAATACACACGAAGACTAACAAATGCTCCTATGCGATCCTGACTTCCGTTGCGCCCCGTACCCATACTGATGCGTGCGCATCTTCATTATCGTCTTCTTTCGTCTCGTCAACGTCGCTTCTGTGATACACAACCATGCTGATCACACCATCCATGGGTGGATTGCACCTCTCTTCATGCAGTCGCTTTCACCGCGCCTGCATCAAGCCTGGTACTGCACCTCTCCTCACGACTGCTGCATCTCCAACTCCTTTCGCTCCTGCCTCTCAGTCCACTTGTCCGCCATCCATCCCACGACGCTCAATCCCATGCTGGCGCACAACAACACGAAGACGACCAACGTCCCGTAGAGCGCAAACTTGCTCTGGTGGCACAGCGACGTGAAGTTGCCGTTACCCATGTTGCTTGCGAGTGCCATGTCCTGCTGCATGGGCGCACTGTTCTTGTATTTGCACGTCCACGTCTGGATGGTGTCGAGTTCAGACTTGGCATTCAGGATGTGCACATAGATGACAGTGACGACAGTAAGGAGGGAGGAGGGGCCTGCAGACCCGAGGGCGAGGAGCGCACGGAGAGTGTGCTTGTTGGCAAGATTGACCTATCGTCTTCTTAACACATATCTTGCAGATTAGTTGGGACGCTTACCTGAGGAATGAGCGACATGACGAGGAAGACACCAGACAGAGCGAGAGTCACTGTCGCGGACGCGATCAGCGCATTTGTGCCGTGCACATCAAAGTGCTGAGGCCAGAGTGGAAGCCACCATGGGTTAGACGTCTGAAGCAGACCCGGTCAGTAATCATTCCCACCGACACCCGGACATGAGGCTGCTTACCTGCTGCTTGTTGAAGACGTCAAGAGTATGCGCAGCGGTTCCCAGAATCGCAACGCTGAACGCGACTACAAGGCCAGTGATGACTGTCTGAGCAAGGTGAAGCGGTGCGGGGTTGATCTTCATCTTGTCTTTGTAGCTTCTCCTTGCAATTGTCCCAAACTTTTGCTTCGTAAAGTGACTGACGATTCGTAATACCGTAGTGAAATATAAAAGAGAGACTGAGAAGTCGGGCACACAACCAGGTACACCCAAACCCAAAGAGCGACTTTAAAAGACCAACGAAATAGAGAAATACAACGTATGCGACCAACGTTGATATCACTCGAGGTAGCTTGCTTGCCTGAGTAGAACAGAGTCTCAAGACGAGGGATGTCCCAGCTTTTAAAACAGACCCATAGCCGTCGCCGTTTCAAGCGTCTGGCGCCCCGCCAGCCCTCCCCCTACCACGATCCCAGGCATGTTTTACCCGCATTACCCAAAAATAAGCAACTGTCGCTAGGGCGCGTCGATCTACTGTCATTGACGTTCGAAGGGGCCTACAATAGCAAGGGCGCAACGACGCTGCAGGGTGCGCGCGTAGCCTGCACCTCATCGTCGAAAATAGAGCCCTACTTTAACCTACCACAGTTCCCCTCTTGACCGTTCTCTGCGGTGCGATCTCCACTTCTCCACATCTTTGACTCTTGAAAGAGAGGGCATTGGCCTCACAAACGGCCAATACCCGTCTGTTAAGCACCGTGGCTTGCCATTCATGTTCAGTTCGGCGCGTGGCATGAAGTGTTTGGTACAGTGGAGGTGCAGCGCGGCGAATGAGACGCTGCAGAAGACCCTATGCGGGTGCCCAGACGTTTGAAACGGGGTTTGCATGTCGACGGGCGCTTCGAGAGGTGCAGGTGCAGAAGATGATTCGGGGGAGGTTTGGCGCTTAGGCGAATGCGGCGTTGTGATAGGTCGGCTTGGAAACGATGGCGACGACTCAGGAACAGGGGATGCACAACGTTTGTACGCGCTGCGATGTATTGTCGGTTTTAGCGATGATGCGACAGGTCTAGATGGTAGACTTTACAGTCTTGACGGTGATGAGTTTGCGGGGCGTCTCAACGGTTCAAAATTGCCAGATGCCTCGTCACCGCCTCCGTCCGCGATTGAACAGACCGCAAATGGATGTCCGCTCAATCTGTTATCCGATGGTATTCTTGATTGACATGCATTGTCAGCTGGGAATTTTTTTTTTATCACTGAGCAGCATCTGATAACTAATCCTTACCCAGGTTCAATGATGCAGCAAGCAATGGACATCATAATTGCCTGACACTGGTAGATGATCTGCGCTCATGTCAGCCATCATAGATTGGTACCGTATCTATCTCTGTCCCGGAAACTCTCGAACCCGGAGTCCAGCTGTCGTCGACGCTATTCAAAGTGCTTGATCGTCGGAACATCTTTCAACACATGTGCAGAAGTGGTTTGTCCTATTTGTAGGGCCTGGACACTGAATTGATTTACTTGGTACTGTATGCCTTCATGTACTCGCTACGTCAGGATATCTGGCCAGTGAGCCCTCCTCCGCTGCCGCCGGAGCTCCACTTCCGTCTACCGGAACCTTGGGAAGCCTTAGCTTTCCCTTTCCTCGCAGCCTCCAACGGATGCTCTCTTTCCCACCGCTCGTCGGCCTTGAAGGCCGTTATCGCTTCCTCAAGGTTGTATTGTGCTTGTTGCAAATATAGTAAGGCGACATCATATCTATAACAGGGAGCAATGCTCCTTCTGATTAGTCTGACCCCGTCGAAAAATTGATGCCATAGGCATGCTTACTCGGCGACCTTGCATCCCACCATGAACTTTCTCACCTTACCCTTCCTTATCTCCTCTTCTTCTCCTTCAAGAGGCCTAGGACTCAAACTCACGCCACCTTTGTAGTACTCGCCAGGTACCAGAATCGTTCTCCGTGCCGCTAGAAGATGGTCGGCGAACAACCCATTTGTACGTCGCAGTGCATCCGCAGGCACACCATATCGTAACGACAGGGAAGAGATCGTGTCGTTGTTCGAATCTACGAAGTGTAGCGCATCAGCCGCGCTTTCTGCCAGCGCAGCCTTTGACTTCTCTGCCGGTGGTTGTAATGTATCGTGCGTGGAATATGGCGGGGGCTCGTCTTCCAACGACTCTCCTGCCGGTGGCGAATATGCTGGAGGATCTCGTAGGTTTTGCGGAAGTGGTGAAGGTACTACGGACACTTGGCAGAAAGGACAATACGTTGCGAATCGAGGGTTATCCGTTATACATCGAGCGCATATCGCTCGGCGGCAGCATTCGAGGCGGCGCTCGTACTGTGCAGGTTTCTCGGTCTTCTCGTCGTAGGTGAGTGGTATCGAAGAAAGCAACGCAGCGCAAGTACAGCAGGCTTCTGACATGACGAAGTTATGCTAGGTGGAAGATACAAGAGAAGGTGGATTGCTGAGATGGCGGAGGGGCAAATGTAGGTGCCGGAGATAACTCTGGTACGTCATGATAAGTCCATCGGTGCAAACGCGGCTCACGTGCGCGGCTAGGGAGATGAAAGCAGTTTGCGCTCCTGTATGCAATAGCATTGCGTGTCTATCAGCGCGGCTAGTTTGCAAGTGCACGTTGTGGAGAGAGATGCTGCAGAGACATGGTGCGTGATGGAGAGGGTGACGGCGCGCACGAGCCAATTCGGCCCGCTCGTTTTGCCGAGACTCCCACACCAGTCGAAAATCTGCAACTTCGAACTTTCGCTTCGCCCGTCAATCCGTCGCCAACATCGACACCACCACCACGACCCCTCGAGGTATGTCCACCGTCCATCGAGTGCCCTTCAGATGGCCAGGAGATGCAATCGCATTGTGCCTATGCGCGAGCGCGCCACTGCTTTCCTCTGCGACAGAGCTGAAGACCCCTCATGTTGCAGACTGTGGGCACTCTTTTAGCTTGGGCGTCTGAAGGCTAACCCTTCAACATACAGATACCTTGATCGCCCTCAGCCATTGAGAATCTCTGCATACCGCCAACATGGTCAAAACCTCCGTTCTCAACGATGCGCTCAACGCCATCAACAACGCCGAGAAGTCTGGCAAGCGCCAGGTTCTCATCCGCCCGTCGTCCAAGGTCATGTGAGTATCAACCTACCCGTTTAATCAATCTGCTAATGTTCGGAAAGCATCAAGTTCTTGACTGTTATGCAGAAGCATGGTATGCACGCCCTAGCTTCATTTAATCTCTTATCCTGCGCGTTGATAACTAGGCATTGGTTTTGCTCGCTCCATCGACCATCTGCCCTTTAAGTGCGCGCTATATCAACATGCGAAGAACTTACACGTCTTCGGACTCATTCATGACGTTTGATGTTTATTTCTTCGCAACATGCTGACACTTCATAGGCTACATTGGCGAGTTCGAGGAGGTTGACGATCACCGCAACGGCAAGATCGTTATCCAGCTCAACGGCCGCATCAACAAGACCGGTGTCATCTCCCCCCGCTACAACGTCCAGCTCCGTGACCTCGAGAAGTGGGTCGTCAAGCTGCTTCCCTCGCGTCAATTTGGTTACATCGTCCTCACCACCTCCGCTGGTATCATGGACCACGAGGAGGCCAGAAGGAAGCACGTTGCGGGCAAGATCCTTGGTTTCTTCTACTAGATATGTGCATCGCGTGCGGGGAGGTATACCCTGGATTTAGAGTCATGCTACGTACCATAGGTCGAGCATCTCTGTCATGATTATGGATATCAAAAGTTTCATGATGATAGCATGATCATTTCATCCTGATTTTGGTGCACGTGCAATTGTGTGATACATCATTGACCTCTGCATGCTTGAAGACAACGCTATGTTTTGCCCCTACATAGTTTTGACCTGTCGCTCAGTCATTCTTTTCGCGCCACCCAGAAAGAAGCTCGATACGTGCTTTGAAGCATACTCCTCGGGTTAGTAATATACCCAGTCTCGACAGCGCCTGGCTCGTGCTTCTCGATATTGAACCCAAAATGCTGCACCAAAGCGACAACCTCCTCGTCCGTAATCTCGACAGACCCTGGGTCGGCAATGCCTATGTCCTCGCTCTTGTACGCGTTCTTCCGGTCGTCCGCATCTTCTTCGTGCGGATCCTGTATCCGCGACGTGTGATGCCATAGGAGCGGACCAAGATTGATCCAGATACCGCCAGGCTTGAGACAGTTCTGCACCGCCTCAATGTATCGTATAACATTGGGCGCAGTGTCAATGAAGAACACGGTTGCAATAGCGTTGAATGCGTGCTTGTACTCCGGCTTACTGTACAGTACAATGAAGTCGCCCGTCGACATACTCATATTGCCATTGTCGCCTTCCGATAGCTCTGACGCCGGATGCACGTCCGGGATTTTGTAGGTACGGAACTGGTCTGTGCGACTGAGGTGATTCGAGCAGTTCAGCGCAAAAGGCGCAATCCTAAACTGTCCTGTTTTGGACATGTGGTTGAGAGCCAGTGAGGAGGCCATAATCTCGTGATAGGAGATTTCGTTGCCTTCGACGCTGTAGCCGGCCTTGCAGATGTCGAAGATGAGTCGGCCTAGCCCAGCGCCTGGGACAAGCACTTTGATATCCTTTTTTTGCAGCTCTTTATCCTTGGCTCTTCGTGACGAATATTCCGAGACAAGTGTGGAGAGAACAGGAACGAAGCATTTCTCTCGTTCTGCGCTTCCTTCTGCGCTCCATTCCCGGTAAAATTGATTCACGCAGCTCCGCGCCTTTTCCGAATCATTTGCAGTGCCCTTCGCACCTAGGTGATCCATGACCGCACTGAAAATCTGGAAAGGGCCGTGGGCGTACTTGTCGGGCACGATGCTGGCGACTTGCTCGCTGTCAAGACCAGGCGCGACAAAGGCTTGGAATCCCGCGCAGAAGATGGCTTCCGCAAGCTCAGCATTGGAGTCGATCAAGTCATCGAGGTGGGAAAGAGAATCGAGCACGGAGAAAGGAGGCTGGCTGAGGAGTGTCCAATGTGCAGATGGCAGGGAGTAGAAGGCCCGGCGCCGAAGGTGCGTAGTGTTGTAGTGGGCGAGGCGGCGGTAGGAGCTAATGATGGTTCAGCAAGTCATTTTCAATTTGGACGATGGATCGATGTTGCTTACGAAGGGAACATGAACATATACGTACCGGAAGGAGTCTAGTACCGAAAGAAGATGTTTGCGTTCTTCTGGGTCAGCCATGGGATTGAACTCGCCTGTCCATTCGTCCTCCTCCATCGTGTATAGTGATGTTGCCTTTTTCTCGACCCAAACCCTTTTTATTGATTTCCTGTCTTTCAATCGATATCCTTGTGAATAGATTTTAACGATTGCTTGACCGGTTGTGTCTTAGTTGCTTCGTTGGTGAATCACTTAGTCGTAACCAGCCATCGTGTCATACGTCAATAATGAGTAGGCCCAGATGAGGCTATTATGCGGAAATCGTGAACGCACTGTAGGTTATGAGACGCAATTCGCCAAGACGTTAACCCCGCTAAGTCCGCCCCCACTGCCTCCCAGCCGGTGCAGCTCTTCTGCACCGTTACCACAACTACTACATCAATAACCCGAGATGGCCGCCACTTTCGCCAAAGGAATAGGGGTGCTGGGATTGACGAACGGTGATGCCTCTACCTCCCCAATATCCGTCTCGTTTCCCCTGCCACGTGCCCCGCAAACAAACATCCATCTCCAACTTCACGACAACGGGCTAAATATCCTGCTTTTCCTCGCAACTTGTACGCCAGAATCATCGAATGCCGCGCCGCTGGGTAGTTTTGTCTATGCCATGCCCAACGTGAGCTTTCTCGCCTGACTGACTGATACATAGCTAAGCTGACCCGCATCGTGCAGAGAACCAATCCTTCCGATCCGCTGAGCACACCACTATTTACGCCTCCGACTACACTTGATTCGACGACAAGAATGGCAAAAGTACTGGCGAAGAAGCTGAATAAGCCGGTGTATGTGGGCAATTCAATGAGCTTTGCCACTGCGGGGATGGGTGGGACAGTTGAGGAGGAGATGGAGGGCTTCAAAAGGGTGGTTGAGGTGGTTACGGAATTATTGAATGAAGATAAAGATGCAGCGGCATCATGAACTCTCAATTGACATTCCATCTGAAATGCGCCTGACGACAACTCATCTGGAAATGGTCAAGGAGGTTGTCATCAAGGCAATGATGATGCGCACGCGGTAGGGTTGAGTCGTATATGTGATGAATGAGGTGGGTTTGTGGGACACCCACCAGTCTCTGGTAACACACGTTAAGTTTAGCCCTCTCCTTGAATAGGGTACAGGATTTGGAATAAAGGCTGTGAGAAGAATGTTAATCCGGACAGTCAAGCAATTATCAAAGCAACATCGCCAGTCGCCTATGGAAAAGGTCATTAATGCCTTAAGTTGGGTCACTTGCTATCAAGAGTCAACGTTTTGACATTGAAGACGTCGCTTTTACATGTTGTTCAAGCGTTCCTTAGCGCCCTCCTTCACCTCGTCCGAGATCTAGGGATTATTGATGGTCGCCTTCAATCCTCCTGCGACATTATTGGGTTTCTTGCCCGCGTCAAAGCCCGTGTCGCTGTTCCCACCGTTGTACTCGTTATCGAGAACTTCACGGGAGTGCTGCTTGGACTCTTCAGACGTGTCTAAGATGGTGTCAGCACAAATGCCAGATCGTAGCAGGGTAATCATCCCAAGAAAGACTCACTGGGATTGTTGAGGTTAGCCTTGTGGCCGCCGACAACGTTTCCTGCGTTCATTTTGATAACGGAAAATACCGGCGTGGTAAAGATCGGAAAGTTTGTTGAGAAGAGGCTGTTGACTGTTACGGATCGGATAGATGATGGTGGAGTTTCTGGGGTGCAGGATGCCCTCTTTTATACTTCGAGATCTCCCAGTTCTGTCGCCCAACCTCCTGCCTTAGCATTTAATTCCCTCGTCAACGATTTTCCCTCTTACCGGCAATCCGAGTCCTGTCGCCCAAGAAACGCTCTCTTATCGTCTGTTTCCTACGTCAACGATATCCCCTTAACGCGTCCTCGCGTGTCCCCGTGACGCAGTCGGTGAGACGCGCCTTGTCTGATGCGCTTAAGCGGTAGTGGGTTGACTGCGCTGGTACCTTGCCTTGCTCCAGTTTTTCTTTGTCAACAAGATGGCATCGTCATGATCCTGCATCGAAGAGTTGTCACTTCGTCTTATTGTAGCTTCCAGCCTCTATTCGGGTAGTGTACCAGACTAGAGCAAGGTACAATCTGATAACAATCGGACGGCGCGAGCGACCCGCTGGAAGCTAGCCACTGTGGAGGCCTAAGTCAGTGAGGAAGAGACTAATAAAAGATGGGCAAATCTGAATAGCGCATGATGTAGATATGGGGATTTGCATGGGCGGATCGTATTCTTTGATGCACTATGCTAGTCGGACCGCTAGTCGGACCGCAGTCAAATCTCACCTGTGGGGTATCCGATCGATCTGATGCTGCACACGGGCGGGAAGCAGGCTAAATTAACGAGGTGAAAACCTGTACACCATAATGAAATAGTAGATGACGTTAAACTGACGAGATTAGAAGCATTGGGCATGCCGACTACGGTATACCCATAACCCAGGAATCGTGGCCAATCAGGATCATTCTTCTAATCCATCTACATCTCGTCATATCTGTACCATTCAACCACACTGTGCGCATGCGACGATGCGTATTCCTGCAGAACTCTCACCGCGGCTCAACCGACGTCCCGACTGACGTGAGCATGCAACGTGTCTCACGCGAGCGTTGGTCAAGCAGCTGGTCATCAGGACCTTATTCCATATCGACATCGGTCGAACCAAGCTTCGAACGACAGCACGCTTCCCACACGAGTCTGCGTTTAACGTCTACAAAGAGGTAAAATTCAGCCGGGAGTGACTCGGAGGGTGATGCGCTGGCAGGGGTTCCCCGAAAATCTGCAATTAACGCAGACTTCGCTCACATGATGTACTAGGCGTTATCGGGCTACAGATGTATTTTCGCAACGTCCCAACCTTTTCCTTACTGTTTTGGTTCAGGTGCTTTGGTCCCACAGATGCGTTTGCATGAATACCTGCAAAGGAGAGAACTCATGAAACATACTCGCCGTACCAATCAACCGATCAGCTTTGCACCTACTGGTCTTGGAATAAGTATCTATACCACCAATTCCGCCATTCGAAATGTTTATCGAACTGGGCAGTTTGAAAGAAAGGCTTGCACACCCTTTCCAATATTGGTAGGTAGGACGACCCCACCGCCGAGAACACTGGCGAAGCGTCCTTTTTCTGGCAACAGTGACGCCAGCACCTTTTGAGAGACAGGATCTCCAGATGCTGAAAAGACGAACTTGTAAAGTCCAAGTTGGCGAAGTTGTTCCACGGCATCGGCAGCTTTATAATCAATCACAGCTGAGGGACCTAACCGCGTTTGTCTTGCGATATCCTTTGGAGATGCAGTGGCAAGCACGGTATACCAAATCTGGGAAAGGTTAAGTCAGTCATGCATCTTGCTCAGCCGGCAGCTCGACTTACGCTTTTTGCATGCTGGGAGCATAATTGCCTACCGCGCCTCCAGCACCCCATACTAGTACCTTCTCATCACTTGCCCCCTTTACAGGTTTCTCCATCCCTAAGTATAAATGCAGAGCCGCGACCGCTGTCTGCAATGGAAAGTCGACCAACACCGCTTGTTCGAAAGATACGTCGCCAATCTGTCATATTTGTCAAAGGAAGCGTAAAGCAATGCAACAGACGTACTCGCCTTTATGACCGTCTGCGATCTCACAATCACTAGCTTCTGCCAGGTGCCCTCGCGTTTGTTCTTCTCTGGCTTCACAAGAGCCCTTGTATTGAAGACGACTCCATCGCCAATCGTGAGCTCAGACACGCCCTCTCCAACCTCCTGAACCGTCCCTGCTCCAGCTTTTCCCAGTACAGCCGGACAACTTTTAAAACACCCCAGCACCACCGTAGCCGGCGTGCAGCGTCCTCGCAACGAGCGGTTAACTTGCGGCTGTCTCGCTCTTTATCAAGACTTCCCTGGATCTGGGTGACAGACCTCGATATCAAGAACTTCCAAAGCTTTTGCTGGTCCTGAGACGAGAGCGACGCGATTCATGGGGGCTTCAGATAGAAATTCCAATCAGATATTAGCGCATACAGGGTTGATGAATGCTGCAGAGATGCAAGCTCGTCAATAAAATGCATCGAAGGTATGTCGACCTTTAAACCGGTTGCGTATATCGTGTTAGTGATAGCGTACGCTAAGCTATCGAAGATCCACAGGGAATACTTTCTGTATTTGTTTATTCTATGCGTCACAAGGTCGTATAAGCCTTTCACACCGTTTCGTAAGCCGTGGGTTGGTGGCGCCCTCCTTCATTGAGCGCGGAACCACCTTGTACCGTGACGGATGGCCATGAGTTGGGTTGTGTAAGCGTGGGTTAATCAGGTTGGGATTTGATATCAGAGTCCGTTAATTAGCCTTGATTTTGCGAGCTAATAGAGCTAATTTAGTATCTCAGCCCATCATCGCATGGCCACTTCACCCACGAGGCGTCTGCTTGTCCTTCAATTTCGCGGTTACTTCTCACCATTTCGGGCAATTATGGGCGTGGTAGATGTCCTTCCGGGCAATAAGCGTGCCTTGAAGTCGTCCAATCCGTCCAAACTCGCTTACTTTTGCACCGCCTCCACCATGACCACAATAGAGTGCATAGTGGCGTCTGATTGGTAGTCCGCAGTCCTGGAGATGGATCCGAGCGTCAACTACAAGGAAATTATATAGGACCGCCCCATGTGGGATCAGAGCATGGGTAAGTCCCAAAATGGCAAGCTTCTAGAAGAAGTTCGCACGTTGCACATATTGATGACTACGGACCCTTGCTAGTCTACTCACTAATCGCTCAAGCGAGAGTTGTGCGCTTACAAAGTTCCGAGCGGTGACGCTATACCCATCATTGCAAGTACAATGGCACCAAATTTGGGACGATGAGGCCTGTTTGAGTATACGCGTCCGCCCTATGACCTCATAGGATAGCTGATGGAGATGGTTGATGCGAACCGGCATGGCCGTTGTGAAGAAAATATGCTCGGACCAGCCTAGGATATTCGCGATAGCTGAGTAACACCCTAGATCACAACTTCGTCTCGTGTTCATTCAAGCTAATATTAGCTAGTTCTAGTTGTAGATGAATCGTGCACGTTGAACGTCCGGATGTTGTAGTAATGGATTGTAAACACGGACATTCCAAAACTGATTGGCGTACGCTAATTGTCACCCCTCTACGATTCGGTCAAGACCGAAGACTGATCGTGCGAAAATGATCGAACCTTTTGGGCCGACGACGGGTAAGGCGTCACTAGCGAGTCTAATCGAGCCTGATGCGTCTACCAAGATCCCGCTGCCGATTTGATGTGCTGACCACGTTCGCGACAAATCGTTGTCCTAGTAGAAGGAATATCGTGGAATGATAATGTGGCCGTATAATACCCGCCTGGCGATGTCGCTGAGGCTTCAACCCAGAAAAGATCCGCTCTCAATCGAGCGTGTCCAGTCGTGTGCATCAGCGAGCATCATCTTACTGGAGCATTTGGCCTTGCACAGGTATCATTGCGCCAGCAACTGGTCATTTGCATGCGGCTCAAAAGAAGCATCTGACGACAGCCGCCTTCCTGCAGCCCACAGCTACCCGCAAGCTAGGATTCACTCCCGCACGGATCTTTTTGGCCCTAACAGCTACACCGAAAGCCAGACTCTCAAAATAGGTATCCTCGCACATCGTCCATCCAACCTGCCGGAATCTCCGCATCCCAAAACGGTCGCAAACCAATTTGCGCCTCTTCATCATTCGTCGAGAATTGGACAACGGAACTCTTTTTGGCTAACGGCCCGCTCCATCGTTGCACAACGTGGTTCCAAGCCTCCGTATCTCACGATTACTTTCAACGGAGAAGCTCACGCGACTGCAATCTACTCAGAATCAGAGTCTTGTTTTGTTACCAGTCATCAGATTCGTGATCTTAGAATCTGGAACATTCATCCTAACACCGGGGCCGCTCCAGGGAATGGATGTATATAATATCTGTTCAGCATCAGCCTTTAATTCCTCATCAAACAACAATAATCACACCAACACAGCAATCTCCCTCTCATCGGCTCATCAAGCTCCAACCCGAACACCACAGTCAGGGCTAATCGCTTATGAGCAGTAGGCCTTCCAACAATCCCAGCCCATCAAATTCCCAGGCCGATCGTGCTATTTTAGCAGTCACAGAAGCTCTTCCACAGCAATATAGGACTACTAGCACCATCGAATCTGCGGAAACTCCTCAAATTCTTGCTGGACGACGCTCTCAGTCGACTCCCAACCTCACCCTAGACACACAATCATTCACTTCAAATCCAAGACCGGCACTCCCTGAGGTATCTATTCACGACCCTCGCACTTCTCCAGCAACCTCTCACGCGGAGCCTACCCCTCGACAGGACCGCTCCCTCGTCGCTCGGAGCATCCCACGAACTAGCTCTTCGCAGTTACCACGTAGATTCGGTAATCCTTACGCCCAACCACTACCTCCACTCCCCAGAGCACGCTCCCAGCCTCCCACAGCAACAATGTCCTCCGCTTCCACGCCCTCCAATACCTCCACCGCTGGCGCTTCCTCCGGCTCCAATCCTTCCTACCAGCTTCCCTACGCCCCATTCCCATATCCGATGCCTGCCAATGGCGGCTCTGGGCAGCAGAGCGGCTCTGGGCAAGGCAAATAAGTAGTGCCTTTCGTCATTAGTTTCCTAGGTTCATATTCGATGCATTAACGAGGCGCAAAATGTTTCCTTTTCCCGTCAATTGGTCACGGCCTCTATGAACGAACAGCATGGCACGACATAAGCTTATACAACACGATGAGTCTCGTATGATTCAAGCATGATATCTCACGATGTACACGAATGGTCCTTTTCTCCTCTTTCTCACTTTTATTGAAGCATTTGCATGGTTTCTATTTCCAGCGGCATTCTTGGAGTCATTTTTTCTTGTCTTTCTTCTGGTTTATCTTCACTTCACTGCCCTCTCTCTTGGTCAGTCTTTCAGCATTACGAATCTCTTTCTGTCCTTGGGTAGCATCGGTTTCTGCATTTCTTGGCGTTCTTCATTAGACTGTGGCATTAGCATTAGTATCAAGTAGCTTGTATCACCATCAACATTACGTCTCCACGCGGAACATTTCCAAGAATAGTTTTAGATATGCAAGTGACGTCTACCCTGTAAAGACCACCGAACGATCTGCTGATCGGAGAATTGATCACGGAAATGAAGCTGGCACTGGGACGTAGTACCGAAGCGCTCGCCGAGTCCCAAGATCCTCGGCTGCATGCAAGCAAGTAAGAACTCTGATGTGCTTGTTATTTCGGAGGATTTGCAGAGTGAGACATGTGCTGGTAGGGTGGCATGGAGGGGTGTCTGAGCGTTTCGCACAATTGAGGGACACAGGTGGGCAATCTCCGGCGAGGCTAGGTGTGGGGTAGTGAGATATATTTAAACCATGAAGTTGAGATTTGAGAGCGGAAAGCTAAGGATGGATGCTAATCGGTCGTCGCCAAGCGTCCTCTGGCGCTGGACGAAGGATGATGCGCTGGAATGTTGTTCGGTTGCGGTGTGACCTTGAGACGGAGTGGGGTCGATTCGATGTGCGTGGGCGTGGCTAGACCACATTAGATAAGTATGGCTGCATTCTTGGCGTCTGCGCCACGTGCGCGACCTTTCGAGAACGCTGATGACGGAACCGGTCAAACCGCTTACTCGTCCAGCGCCGTGCCGTGAGGCCAACACCATCCACCCCCACGAGGCCTGTTCTGTCTACCTTCGTAGGTACGCGCCATTATCACGCTTGCCAGGCCAGCTTGTGTCTTCTTTCTTTCGTTAACACACCCTAGCGTTGCTGTGGCGTGGGTCGACCAGCTGCTCGTATGCCTCCTTTCCCCATCTGCAATTAGCCGTCGACGACAGTGACCGAACTTCTTCATCGTCAAGCCGGCAACCACGACAGCCTCAAACGCGACTTCCGCGTCATCCTGCCTCCTTTTCCTCTCAAATAACAACTACTACAACCTCGACGAACGACCGTCTCCCGAACGCTGCCATTTTCGCCCAAGCACGACCACATATGCATCATGTATCCTCCTCGGACAACACAGCTTCTCCTCGCCGTAACGGCAGTTCTCCCCACTTCGCTAGCATCATTTGCATGCAATGATATCCTCACCAAAGGCCAGCACTTCAACTTCGAAAAGCTGGGCGGACCGCGCGTGGTGCATTGGACACATTCACTACCAGATGAAGAGATGGAAGCTCGGTGGAACTTCACGTTAGACATTTGCAACAGATTGCAGCGGGACAAAGGCGTAGAAAAGCAGAATTGGTGCCATGACGGTGCAAGAGGTACGATTTTCTATTTGTAATATGCCGATGCTAGGTTATTTCGCCTTCTTCTATGCTTTCATAATATCTCTCCTGTTTTTTTTACAAAAAGGGTACTAAAATGTCCGTAGTATGCGGGGTCCGCTCATTTCACGACGTCTACGATGTGAAGAATGACACGATTCAAGCCATCGACATTGCCGGTACCTACACGACGCAAGGCGGTCGCAACATGGTCCTCGATCCCACATTCAAGCTTCTGCGAGACTCAGAATCAAACTCTGATGCGTCGCGAGAGGGTGTACGGGTTGAGCTGCACGGAGGTCGCTATCCCTTCGAGTCCAAAACAAAAGGAATAGACCAGCGTGCTATCATCGAATTTGTATGCGACCTGGAACGTGAAGGTGACGAGGGCGCCGAAAAAGATACCAATGAGCGCGCGGAGGAGCCCAAGAAAGATGAGGGCACGGATAAGGGCAATGACGGCGACAAGAAGGAAGAGAAGAAGCTGAGCCGGCGAGACGGAGAGAAGGGCAAGTGTGAAGACAGCGATGCGAGTCTGCGCTTCTGCGGATACGAAGATGAGAAGGCCGAGAAGGATAAGCAGGTGAAGACGCTGCGGCTGGAATGGCGGACAAAGTACGCATGCGAGAATGCGCCTGCGCCGGATGGCGGAAAAGGCTGGGGCTTCTTCACCTGGTTCATCATCATGTGAGATGCTCGTGCCAGCTCTGGTCAAGGAATACACATGCTAACATAGGCAATAGTCTCTTCCTCGCTACCGCCGCATACCTCATCTTTGGCTCCTGGCTTAATTACAACCGCTATGGCGCCCGCGGTTGGGACCTTCTTCCACATGGCGACACTATACGCGACATCCCGTACATAGTAAAGGATTTGGGACGCAAGGTCGTGAATGCAGTACAAAGTCCGGGCAGCAGGGGTGGGTACAGTGCTGTCTGAAAGCCTGGTCGGGCAAAGGTTATCCATAAGGAAGTCAGCAACATTGTTCTTGTACAAGATACATTGTGGGGGCGTTGGAGCCTTGGTCAATCTCAATTCAGGATGCATAGGGCGTTCGAGGGTAGAAAGAATAGCTTTCTAGGTATTCGACATGTACATTTGACAGAATCAGCTATGAATGATCCCCGAGCGCTTTCCTTGTGTGACTGTGAAGACCGGGAACATAGTGTCAATTTTCTAGTTTGTAGACTTGTCATTGTCTGTGTTACCCCAGGATACATTGCTCATACGCATGGTTCGAACGCTTTGACATTCAGCCATTGACTCGCCAGCCAATGTCCTAACACGAAAAAGTTCTCCGCAGTCCCATGATAGTGACCATTGTTCTACCATTTGCTGTGAGCTCGACCCGAAAGAATATTTTTATATATATATCTTCTTCTGCACCCCACACACTTGTCTCGGCGCGTGAGCCTCTAAATGAAGCTCCTACTATAGCTCCTATGCTTGAGGGAGATGGTTTGAAACGATATGGTCGGGAAAGGGACATCTAAGAATTATATTCATGTCCGGCGATGGGGCATGGAAGCTGGAGGCAAAGACTGGTTGCTCGAGACCCGAGATGACTAAAAGCAACGACACTCGATATTGATGTCTGAAGCTTAGGAGCTAGAGGGCATCTAAGACGACTCCAACCAGTCCAAATGTGTTCTTCGACGCTCAGAAATTCCAAGGAAAATATTCATGTCCGGAGGCGGAGAGTAACAGCGACATTTCTGAATGCATGTCCCCTCTCAGGTCCAAGCCAGTCAAAAGAACTTGATGCGTTCTCAACAAACTACACAGGGTATCGCCGCTACGAACGACTAAGCCGACGAACGATACTTACTGGAGACAGACCGATGACACGCCACGACAATGACCAAAGAAGGCGACTGACTAGAAAATGAAGGGCTTGAAGATGACCATCAACGCCATACAGATATGAAGATCGCTCAGTCAAACTACTCGGAGTCGAAGAACCACAGGAGCCCGGGGCACACTACCAGTCAGGTAAGTCTCGATCTCCTCATCCTTTTTCTTCCACGCATCCAGCACCATTTCGCTTCAACGAAAGACCAAGGCAGCCCCTCACAGCAACTGCCGAGTGGGCTTTGTTATGTACCATCGACGTGGTACAAATGCGCACCACGTGAATTTATTCACGCGCCTCACGCGGCACATCCGGCCCATCCCTCAGCAACGGCGCGCGTTCACGATCCTCAGACACTACCTCACCGCCATCGAACGGCGTTCTACCACTCGACACACCAAGGCTCAGGATGAACAGCAGTGCACCAATAGTGAAAGCAAATATCCACTGCAGCTGGAAGATAGGGATCTTGGTCATGAACTGGCCGACACCGGTAGCTGTTTGTTGTCAGTGACTAATTCCATGACACTCGCGCTAGGCTAGGGGTGAGGGGTGAGGGGAGAAAGGGAGACTTACAGAAAGCCAAGTAGGACAGCGCAAAACCCATGGTGTAGTCCTTGAACGCGACCAAAAAGAAACTTCCATACGCCAAAATCCCCCAAATAAAGATATTCCCGACGATTCTCGCCGGCAGGGCATCGGTATGCGGTACCGCTCTGGCGCCAACCCAATATAGCGCAACAAAATTCCACGCCAGCGGGCCCGCCACCGTGCCAATGTGGATTGGCCGTGGCGTCGTAGAGTGCCGGAAGTACGCGAAGCTCAGGTTGAAGAAGTTGATGATAATGAGGAGTTCTGCGAGCCAGAAGTGGCTGCGCACCCAGAGGTGCAGGAAGCCGAAGAGGAGAAGATTGGATGCGATGTAGTGGGAGCCGATGTTGGCGGCGGCGTTGACGTAGACGAGGTCCTTGGAGTAGAGGGACCAGGCGTAGACGAGCTGTAACAGCAGAAGGACGATCCTAGGTCATTTCATTAACAGGAATCCTATAGCTGACTTGGAGGGCAAAGCGGCAATACCAGTAGATGGAGGTCATAACCTTGTTTTGTGCAAAGGGCGTAGCCGCGTTATTGCCCCATATCGTATGCCACGGATGATGACCTTCATGGGGGGCGCTGAAGGTGTAGTAAATCGCGGTGATCACAAAGATGATGTAGGTGACAAGTGTAGTGATGCGGTGGAGGATGAGTTCTCGAGAGGAGAACTCGTCGCGGCGGGAGAAAGGGTTCACTGTTTCCATTCTGTCAGCCACGTACACGTTGGTGGTCTGATGAAGCTCTCAAGGCGGCAGTGTTTGCACGGCCTACACGGAGGGTTGTACTCACAGCGAGAGCCGCTCGACGCAGCACCGTTCTGGTCAGCCATTGTTTTCCCGAATATCAGACGTCGCGGGAAAGGTACATAGAGTTGGTCAGAGTTAGACGTTGGGTGTTGCGTCTTATTAAACCCGGCCGCGTACTGCAGACCAGGTATAGTCAACGGTACGTCATTCGCACCCTGCAGTAGCAGAAACGCCATGCGGGCCCAGGGGTCAAGCTCCGAATAGCGAAAGCCCCGCACGTCGCGCAATCCTGCACCACACACATCACGCCCCATGACAGCAACCAGACTCACCCACTGGCCAATGCCGGGAACCACATGCACACCTTGTGACAGCCTGCAGACGCGGGCAACTCTGTCTTCGGCGCCGTATCCGCGAGGCTGTTAGAGGGATTGTTACACCGCACTTTAGGCGATGGCGTGGCTACAGGCTTCTGAGACGACATTGGAAGAAGCCGCAGCACTCGTTGGAGGTACATTCAATGGCTTGACACCGGTACTCATGATTCGTACATGGCATGCCACTCACTAGAATATGAGGGGCCGAATCAGCGCGCGGCCAAGCTCAGGTATCGACGCCCCCCTCGTATTCGTTATACCGGATCGTGATCTACACCTTTGTACATACCAAACCGCCCCGCCGCTCGGCTCGCATCCGTCTATTACAGCAGTAGATCCTGATTGCCATCTGCACCCACAGGGCTCATCACAGCTGCCTGGGGCATGTTTTGATTGACCACCCACCCGCCTCCAAGCGAACCCTGCTCCGCCACAATGGGACTTCCACCGAACGTACTTTGCCTACCTACTCCCGCAAAGTAGAGGTCCGCCTCATGTGCCGCAGCTTCAAGTCCGCTGCCGTTGGTGGGACTAAACGAACCATTGCCGTTGGTAGTTGAAGTGTCCAGACGACTCCGCTCGGCTGCTGCGCGGTCTCGCGCTTGCTGTGCAGCCTTGGCCGTAGGCAGTTCGTGCCGCTGCAACGCAGGTGAATCCTGCAGTCTTCTTGGCCGCGCAGAGCGAAACACTTGGTTCACCGGTTTGAGGTAGACGGTGGCGAGGGTACCGACGTTTAGACACATCTCCTCCAGCGTCCCCGGGTCCAGCTTCTCTGACTCTTCGGCTGTGATTGCGGGTTTCTCGCCCATGACGATCCTCTTAGCTTCTTCTGGAGCAGAAGAGAGCAATCGCCAGTACATGTAACCTCGGTCACGTAGGTCGGGATTGTCCGTCTCCTCTGTGGCCCACTTGAGCACCCTGGGGACCAGCTGCGAACCGCGCGTAGGCCTTTGAATGAACAGTTTGACCGTCGCTGTGAGCAGTGCTAATTGCACCTCGTGTGTTTCCTCACTGAATGAATCGAGAAAGTCTTCCAGTAATACATCGCTGTCTTCTATCCGGTCGGCGTACTGGCCAATGACCCAGATCATGGCAGCTTTGGCTTCTGGCTCGTCTAGGGAGTCGAGATTCTCGCACAGGGTGGAAATGATCGACTCGTACTGGTTGGGGTATTTTCGGAAAATATTACGGATGACTACTGTGGCCTCTTGGACAATATACGACACCTTTGTACTGACTAGTGTAAGAAGTGTCGATATGCATAGTTGACTCGCCGGTGGTATCTTGATGGCAAGCTTCCCGATTGCTCGAACTGACTTGCGCACAAAATCGACGTCGATCTCGGTGGCGTACCTGCATAGCTTTTAGCAGATTCTATTGAATATCACAATTGAAATGAACGTACTCAGACAACTCCGTCAAGACCTCCTTGATATTCTTCTCTGTTGCGAGCATGAAGATGAGTTCCAACTTTGTGACTTTGACGTAGATAGGGTCGTTGTATTTACAGAAGAAGACGCGGATATCGTTGCGCAACACCTCCGGCCGCCGTTGCAGGATGAGGAGAGCGTTCCGTAGAGCAAGGTATTGGATCTCAGGTCCTTTCGAAAGGAGTGTGACAAGCGGTGGCGAAAGCTTGTTACATAGAGAGGTGATTACTTTTGGGTCTGAGATATAGTTTAGAAGGTATAGTATGACGCGGATGCAAGTCAAGACAACAGCAGAGTTTGAATGTGAAAGCCGTGGTGCTATGCGCTCAGCAAGAATCGCTGCTTCCTGCGTGTCTTGTGGAACGTAGTTCATCAAGGCTTCGAGAATGTATGTTTGACCCCATTCTGAGCACTGATGCAATATTTGAACGATCTTGGAGGCACTCGCATAGTCGATGGTGAGCTTTATGGTTTCCGATCGCTCCCATATGTCCATCAATGAGGCCAAAGCACAGGACACAACGGTGGGGTTTTCGTCTCGCAGCATAGCATTCAGCTTATCGATGAGGTCGGAGGATTCGACCATAGCCTTGTCATGGTCGTAAAGCTTCGCGACGCAAATGGCGGCGGTTTTGCGTACGTAGGGGTCGTTATCTCGAAGGAGGCTCTTGAGATGCGGTACGGTCGCTTCGACGTATTCGCGGACGTGGATGTAGGACATGGTTCGGAGCGCGAGCGACCGTACGAGTGGGTTGTTGTCGTGCATGTCTTCCTGGATTATAGGCAGAGCCTTCAGGGCAATGTCGGGTTTTATCCTCGCATAGTTGACTAGATACAAGAAGCACCTGTCAAGTCAGCCCGCGCCCAACGAACATGGCAAATGTTCACCCACATCTTCTTGATCTCCAAGCTCGGTATGTGCATGCAGCCTACAATATCAGGAAAGAGAGCTACCATATCGTTGTTGCTCATGGTCATATTCGCTACGATTTTCTTGAGGGCGGTCTTCTTCGCGGTGAAGTTCTTGTCCTTCTTGCCGCCACTGTTGAGCTCAAGACGTAGCTCAGCTACTTTGCCCTGTGGTGTACGAGCATACTGTAAGCGTGCGCTCTCAAATGCGTAAGGGAGGAACATGATGGCGGCATGGTAGGGATAGCGAAGAAGGACGGGCAGAGCTGTCGCGTGGGTGAAGCGACCGCTGTAGGAAGCGAATACAAAAAAGGGAGAGTATGACAAGGCGTATATCGTTGGTTGTGCAGATGGTGACGACAAGGGACGAAGCTTACCCTCGCAAAGAGCTTCGCATCCTGGCCTCCGGCGCTCATGGTGGCTGTTATCTCGTGTCCAGTAGGCGCGCTGTCACTCTATGCATGTGCCTAGCTGTAGCACGATACAAGCAGCTCCCCCTCTCCTTGATCGTCTTAGCCCCTCCTGGATTACGTCGAACGAGCGGATGGGTGGACTGGCGCCTCAGGCCGCGAGAAACGTATGGCGCATGCCGGAGCGCTTATGGCGTGGTTTCGAGGGACTTTCGAAAAGATTGGACGCTGTTGAGTGCGAATTGAACATTCTAAGACATTCACAGGCCATTGCGGAAGGCGGAAGGAACGTGCTTGCCAAGGCCGGGGGTGTGGGCCCGCGACTTCCACAACCACCACTACGCAAAGCAAGCACGACCATCCCACTACATCGCAGCTCAGGGAGCCTGGTACAAACCGACATGTCCGCACAGCCTCCACCGCCCCCGAAATGGGTCCTGGACCTGAACACGCCACCAACCACCAAGCCAAAGACGAACATTGCAGACCCGCCAGGCTACACGGCGTCCCTCACCCGCAGAGACCGAGCTGCTGCGTCGAAGCAGTCCGTGCGGAAGCAGCCGACACCAGAAGAGATGGATACGCTCAAGATGAAAAAGGCATGGGAGGTCGCCATTGCCCCTGCTAAGCAGCTGCCCATGAACGCCATTGGTATGGTTGTTCCTCGCCCCACTGCACTTGCTTCCTGAGCTGACTTCTGCCAGGGATGTATATGACGGGCAACACGCTCCAGATTTTCTCCATATTCATGGTCTTCACCCTGTTCAAGACGCCTCTCATTGCCGCGTTGAATCTACAGAAGACATTCGCCCCGTTTGAAACACCCGGAACCTCGTCCCGCCTCATCATGGTCAAACTTGTATATTTGCTCACGAACGCACTGATGTTGGGCTTGGGCATATGGAAGGTAAATGCCATGGGCTTACTACCGACAACACGATCAGATTGGCTGGCATGGGAAGCGGAGCGGACATGGTCAGAGAGAGCCGTGCCCAGGGAATGGTTGTGAGGCGGATTTTGCATGGCAGGCGCTCACGTTGAAATGCACATAATGGTATTTAATGTCAGTATTACAGTCTAGGGCCTTGTCCACAGTCTAATCGACGTTAGCAAGGTCAACTATGACGCTGCTTCAACGACCAATCCCTTCCTCACGCTTTTCACGCGCGATCTTTATTTCCTTCGAACGCTATTGACTAAGTTCGCGAACTTATCCCTCCGCAACTCGAACTTGATCACCAAAAGCCCGTGCTTCTCGGTGCCACGGTGCCTCGTTTGCCTTTTGCGCAATGCCACAGGCGTTCTCCTCGCTCTATCCCACCGCTTGAACTTCTCGGAGTTCGGCCCAAATGTCAACACCAATGGCGGTCTCGTAGCTTCCTCGAGCTCCTCTGTGATCAAGGGATCATACGCGGCACTCTTGATCCAAAGCGGACAGCACCCGCCCTTCGCCCTCTCAGCGACCGCGATGTTCCTCCACTGTTGCAGATCACCAAGACTGAGTGATTTTCCTTCTGCAGGCGCTTCGGTTAGAGCTTTGAGCGCGGCAGCGAGCTTCATGAGAGAGTCAGACCGCTGTGTACCGATGACAATGAAATGCATCAGCAGACCGGCGTCGCTCCACCGTGTGATCACATCGTTGTACATGATCTTCGCCATCTTCTCCACGTCCTCACTCTTTCCATTGTCAAAGATGTCTAGGTCCGCGGCATGGAATCCAGTTAGTACAACATCGGGCCAATCGTGGTAGCTCTGCCCGCCTGGCGATGAGCACTGGAGCATGAAATTCGCGCCGCTCACAGCACCATGGGAAATCTCAGCTCCATGCACGAACTCCAAAGCCGACATCATGCTTAAAAAGATATGCCACACGAAGTAGGTAGGCATCCGGTTCGTGTCAAGGCAAGCCTGTCCAAAGGCGTCGAGGGTTTTTCCAAAGATCGGGCGCAGGGCAACCCAACTCGATATCGGTGTCCAGGATATCACCTCATGAACTACCCATGCGCCGACGAACGCCTCACTGCGGTCAAGGTCATGCAGTATCTTCAGGATTTCAGACTCGTTCGTTAGAGTGTCGATCCGGGCATGCATCTTGACCACCACAAGCTTCGCGAGAGCTTCTTGGAGTATGTTCCCAGTGAAGGGACCAGTTTCGGGACCGCGGTTGAATTCAGCTACGCTGGAGTTCTCGTCGAAATGGTCATCAGTAGGCAGGACAACCGTGGGTTCCTCTTGCTCCTTAGATGCGGGTCGTCCGTCGTCATGAGGATGCGCCGCCTCGGGATCTGCTGCCAGGGCGGTGTCCATGTGGCGCGGCAGACAAAGCCATTCTCTGCTGGTCGCCGTCTTGTGCGTGTTCTGGACTATGCGGAACTCGGCGGGTGGGGGTACAAGATCGTACGTCTCAGCGGCGCGAGACAGCGATCGACGTTTTCGCTCACCTTATCTTTTCAGTACAGGCAATCACGGTCGCATGCTAGTAAAAGGGAAACTGGAGAAACGGGCAGAGCGAAGGGAGAGGAAGGGGGGAATACTTACTCATGATCAAGTCGGTTGTGGTGATGGCAGTGGAGATTGTTGACGAGGGTGCCGAGGGTGTCGACGAAGATATCGGCAAGGGCGTGGGCGCAGGTGTGCGGCGAGATCTGCCGTGGAGAGAAGTTCTAGAGGTCATAGGCGCTGCGTAGCGAGAAAGTTGATCATATGAAATGGATCTGTGCGCTTTACTGAATCACCGGTGAAGTGAAAAAGCTTGTGAGCTTAGGGAATTCGAGCTGTGAGCCGGAAACCGCGCGTAGAAGCCTGGTACCACCCATCTTCTGGCGAGTGATACTTCTTGCTGATATACATGTACTGGTGTTTGTCTGTACTGTCACAAGATGCGGAGGGAATATTCTGTACAGCTTTAGACTTGCAGTCCTGAGGCTGGACAATGCGATGGTTTACTGAAGAGGCACTTGTGAGGACTCATGATGAGAAGAAGAAAAGCCTGGTACAATGACATGCAAGTGCACTGATATGGAGGTCGCGATGAAACAGAGTTTAGTAGCTACACCTAGGATGGTGAAGGGGAGTACGGTCAAACAAAATTGTTTTATCAGACGAGAAAACATGAGGGAAATCATCATGACAATATTCGCATCTATGGACCTCACCGAATTTCTTATATGCAGAATCCAAGGAACGCTTGTTGCATAAGGGGGCTATAATGTTGGAGCAAGCTAGATTTTGGTTTCTTGGAGTCTGTTTGCGGTTGTCAAGGACGCCGATCAGCCGGCCCTACGAGTAGAAACGGCAGGAACGCTCGGGCCCCAATCCCTGTCAGCTTTCACTTTCCGGTGCCCTATCGAATCCTCGACAACCCACGATTGCATTTTGAATTTGTTTGAGATCCACATTCTTTTGGAATTCGATGATATAGACATAGATGGTTCTTGTCGCACAAGGTACCGGTTCGGCGGAACACGATGACAGGGCGGAGTTCGATGCGGACGAGGAAGCTCAGCTACTGCAGAGGGAAGAGTTGGACTTTGAAGACAATGACTCTGCCGAGGCTGGCTTCAAGCGACCACGCGCATCCGGCGTTTTGGGTCGGCTGAAGGGACCTGATCCACTGGATATCCAAATTATCAGCCCTTTCTTCACTAAAGCTCAGGAATTTCTACCAGCTTGGTTAGACCGATGCTTCCCTGAACGGAGACAGCAGGTCTCCCTCCTGGGTGGAGTCCTTATCCTATGGCTGATCGCTTTCATCATGTCTTTGAGCGCACAACTTCCCATTGCAGATAATTCGGGTCGAGCAGTCACCAACCTAGACTGCGTCGACACGCTGTGGAGACCCAAGAACGAGTGCGGCATAGGTGGCATTGACTGTCATCCCTTCAGCAACACCTCCTTCCCCTTCAAGTGTCCAGCCAAATGTGCTAGCGTCAAAGTCTTGAACCCTCGCGCCGTTGGGCCTTTGGACGTGAACTACCGTTCGCTGGTAGTTGGCAATAATCCATACCGCGGCGACTCCTTCATCTGTGCTTCAGCTATTCATGCTGGCGTCGTCGGTGACAACGGTGGATGTGGGCGAGTCACTCTTCTGGGCCGCCATGACAACTACACTAGCCGGGAAAGCCACGGCATTGAGTCTATACCGTTCGATTCGTACTTCCCCATGGCCTTCGCTGTTACATCCGACCCAGACACGAAATGCCCCTCCGATCCACGGAACGCGTTGTTATACTTGGATGTTTCCGTCACCGCGTTGCTCTCGATCTTTACAGCGGCACCCGCCATCTTCTTCCCAATCTTCATCATCATCTTCGCGCACGTAGCCTTCGGTTCTGACCCTCCTTCAGCTTCATATCACAACACCACCGTTCTTCCTGACCACATCTCCATGTTCGCCAAACGCTTGCTCCCTGCATTGTTTTGTGCTGTTATTATCTACCGCACCACCGTCAGACGTACGCTGCACGGCCTGACTGCACACGTAGAGAAGACAGTGTTGTGGCTTGGGGGCTTCTTTCTTGGTGCCTTGTCCAACTACACCTTCGACTGGATCCCGATCCAACGCCTTACCGCCCACGATCTCGAGCAACAAGCAGGAGCCAAAGTTGCTTTAGCCGCGATTCTCGTGGTGTTAGTCGCGATCATCGCAGGTCAAATCTATTACTTCTGGCTTGAGGGACGCCTGCTGCGATACTTGGCCTTGTACGGACTGTTCATATCTGGCATTCTCGTGTGCCTGGTCATACCCGGGGTCTCACTACGCATACATCATTATATCATCGGTCTGCTGCTTCTACCTGGCACGAGCCTACAAACACGGCCATCGTTGGTGTACCAAGGGATACTGCTTGGCCTCTTTGTCAACGGCATCGCACGCTGGGACTTTGACTCTGTCCTTCAGACGACCGCTGATCTCCGAGGGGATGGCAAGTTCGATTCCGCGCTGCCCAAATTGCTAGAGCCAATCGTATCTAGCACAGCCCAAGGTTTGATGACTACTTTCCGATGGGAAACGCCGCCGACCGCAGTCGATGGAGTCAGCGTCCTTGTCAACGATGTGGAGAAGGCTCGTAGGTTCTACAGTGATGATGCTGACGGTGCCGCGAGCTTCGAATGGCAGCGACCAGTGGAGGAGCAGCTGAATGAGTACTTCCGCTTTGGATATGTCAGAGAAGGTCGAGCGTTGGACTACACGGCGTCTGGAACGTTGTTTGGCAATGGAACCTGGAGCGGACCGGAGCGCGGATAGCTTGAAATGGATATATTTCAACGAGCTCATTAGGTACTTGGCGAAATAGATGCAACCTTGGAAAAGTCCACAATCTATGACAGAGTTGACCGTCGAGTGTCCTTTTCGTACCTCGCGCCGGGGCCTGCGTCACGCAAACTTCTTGCTGCAATCTACACAGATGGCTGCACAACAGTCTACACAGATGATCCCAAACTGGTCGACGCCATTCTCCTCGCGACAGCCGCTGCTCTAGGTGGTCACCAACTACTTGCAGAGTGTTGCAATGAAGCTGAACAAAGCTGGCCAAGCGATGTGTCACGTAGCCAAGCCTCGCCAAGAATGACAAAGAATGTCACACAAGACTTCAAATGTTTATTGTAGGGGAGTATGTCGCTTCTTCTGTCACGCCTTCTGCAGACTGCTGGGCCGCATCCCAGAGCAACGTTGCAGTAGGTCAGCCGGACGACCCACGAACGATCTACAGCATGCTGTGAAGTGTCGCCAGGTCCGCGCTGAAGCTTCACAGTTGGACCCATGCGGTGGGACGGAAGAGCATCCTGGAGTTTCGACGCGTCGACATGTGCAGGCCGACTTTCGTCCATGCACGGCGGGATGACGCAGCAGCCGCGACGACGGTACGGCCAACGGGGCTTTCGGGCTCTCGGGGACCCAAGGACGAATGCAGATGCAGCCGCACGGAGGTGACGCCAAGGGCACCGAGTGGGGCCTCTGCGAGTTTGTGTTGAGCGCAATGTGCACCGAAACGTTATGGCAGACCGCCTTGTGAGATTGATCGACGGCGCTAAGCCCGCCATCCTGCAGCAACACGACCATCAACAATGCCAGACTCGACGTCGCATTGCAAGCATCATTGGCCAAATGCGCTGTGAATGTTTCGAGGCCGGCGCATACATGGACAGCAGCCGTGAGAACTTGCCTCCAAGTCATACATTCTGCGCGCTTACGTCGCCGTTTGAGGCTGCGCACAACATGCATCGTCCCCGGATAGCCCACACCAAGTCTCCGGACCTTCATTCTCTCGGACGGTCGGGGGAACATCAGTCAGCCTTAGCCTCATTGCCACCGGTGCCCCTGCGCTTCCGTTTCCGGGTGGATGTCGTTTCTCACTGCTCGTCCGCTCCTTGGCCGAGCTTATACACTAAAGCGGTAGTGGCTCTGATGACAGCATAATGCAATAGGTACATAACAAAACAACATTTCCCCAATGCTGTGCCAATCCCCTTGGCGCAACCGCAATCGCTTGCCCTCTGTTCACCATGGATAGCTCGCATCCCAACGAGGGCGGCATCATCCGCACGGCCTCAGGACGCGAGACATACGCCCCTGATGGCCACACTTCAAATTATACCGGGACACAACAATATGCGGCCGCAGGAGAGAACCAGGCGTCTCCAGCGACGTCGCGGACGTCAAGCGAATCTTCCGTCTCCGGTCGATTCGCCCCAGTGAAGACCGCAGGAGATCAACAAGATGGCCCTTCAGACTCAGACCTCACAACACCTACGTTGACAAGGCGGAAAACCCAAGGCACAATCAACGATGAAAACCGTAGTGAGCTACGCGAGCTCTACACTACACTTTCGCGGAAGCAGTCGACCATGGCCAATCCCGGCGATCCCTCAGTCGACCCCGGAAACGATGCATTTCAGCTACCCAAATTCCTGAAGATGTTCAGGAATCAGCTCGAGGATGTCGGACACTCCATGATGCAAGTCGGCATCGCATACAAGAACCTGAATGTATACGGCAAGGGCGAAGCACTGCAATTGCAAAAGACAGTCGGCAACAGCTTCATGGTGCAAGACATGTTCAAAGGAGGAAAGAAGCAGCACAAGCACATCCTGCGCAATTTCGATGGCATCGTCAAGAGTGGCGAGCTGCTTATTGTGCTCGGCCGACCTGGCTCGGGATGCAGTACGCTCCTCAAGACCATGTGCGGCGAGTTGCATGGGCTTGAGATGGACGACAAGTCCGTTGTTCACTACAACGGCATACCCCAGAAGGACATGATCAAGGAGTTCAAGGGAGAAGTGGCTTACAATCAGGAGGTTGACAAGCACTTTCCCCATCTCACAGTTGGCCAGACACTTGAATTTGCGGCTGCTACACGGACACCAACTCTGCGTCCCATGGGAATGTCCCGCAAGGAATTTGTTCAGTTCATTGCACGTGTCGTCATGGCCGTTGTCGGGCTTAGCCACACATATAACACCAAAGTTGGCAACGATTTCATTCGGGGTGTTTCTGGTGGTGAACGCAAACGCGTCAGTATCGCAGAGATGATGCTCGCTGGTTCGCCGTTTGCCGCATGGGATAACAGTACCAGGGGTCTAGATTCTGGTGAGTAAGGCTTTCAAATCCTGTGGACCATGAAGTAACACATATCAGCCACCGCTTTCAAGTTCGTTAACACACTGCGACTCGCTTCGGATTTCGGTGACAGTGCCGCTGCTGTGGCTATCTACCAAGCCAGCCAGAGCATCTACGACATTTTCGACAAAGCAACTGTGCTTTATGAGGGCCGTCAGATTTACTTCGGCCCTGCCGATGCCGCCAAAGCGTTCTTCGAACGCCAGGGCTGGTACTGCCCACCACGACAAACTACTGGAGACTTCCTCACCTCCGTGACCAACCCGCAAGAGCGCAAGGCAAGAGAGGGCATGGAGAACAAGGTTCCTCTCGCACGCCCGACGAGTTCGAACGGATCTGGCGGGAATCGCCCGAGTACAAGGAGCTCCTTGCCGAAATCGATCAGCATGAGCAAGAGTACCCCATTGATCACCAAGGTCAGAGCGCGGTACGGTTACGCGAGCAGAAGAATCTCCAGCAAGCGAAGCGCGTCCGGCCTAAGTCGCCGATCCTGATCAGCATCCCCATGCAGGTCAAGCTCTGCACTGTCCGCGCTTATCAGCGCATCTGGGGTGACATCTCGGCCACCGCTACCCAGGCAGGTCTCAATGTCGTCATGGCTCTCATCGTCGGTTCTATCTTCTTTGGTGCTGAAGACTCTTCGGCCAACTTCTTTTCGAAAGGCTCGGTTCTATTCCTCGCTATTCTGTTCAACGCTCTCACTGCTATTGCCGAGATCAACAGCCTCTACGCGCAGAGGCCGATTGTCGAAAAACATGCTAGTTACGCCTTTTACCATCCTTTTGCGGAGGCCATGGCCGGTATCGTGGCTGATATACCCGTAAAGTTCGTCCAGGCTGTCTTCTTTAACATCATCCTCTACTTCATGGCTGGACTACGAAGAGAACCTGCACAGTTCTTCCTGTACTTTCTCATCACGTATATATCGACTTTTGTCATGTCCGCCGTCTTCCGAACGTTAGCAGCCTGCACCAAAACTGTTTCGCAAGCCATGGCTCTTGCGGGAGTCTTGGTTCTCGCACTTGTGGTCTAGTAAGTTAACCACTATTAGATCTATCGCGCTCCGACTGACTTTCTCCTAGTACTGGTTTCGTTATCACAGTCCCATCGATGCATCCATGGTTCAGCTGGATAAGATGGATCAATCCGATTTTCTATGCATTCGAAATCTTGGTTGCCAACGAATTCCACGGACGACAGTTTATATGTGCAGACTACGTCCCATCGTACTTTCCTCTACAGGGCAACTCATGGGTTTGTAACGCGGTGGGAGCTGTGGCGGGTCAGAATACGGTTAGTGGTGATGCATTCATCGCGACAAACTACGAGTACTATTATTCCCATGTGTGGCGAAATTTCGGCATTCTCCTCGGTTTCCTGTTCTTCTTCATGTTCATCTACTTCGCAGCGGTTGAATTGAATTCCGCCACATCGAGCAGCGCGGAAGTCCTTGTGTTCCAACGAGGCCATGTTCCCGCATATATGCAGAACGGCGGTAAGGATTCACAGACCGATGTAGAGAAGGGAACCTCCGGGAATGTGAACGCAACCGCCCCTGAATCGGACGTTAACGCCGTCGAGCCCCAGAAGGACATCTTTACTTGGCGCGACGTGACCTACGATATCCAGATCAAGGGTGGAGAGCGTAGGCTGCTCGACCATGTTTCTGGTTATGTAAGGCCAGGCACGCTCACTGCACTAATGGGTGTCAGTGGTGCCGGAAAGACGACTCTGCTCGATGTGCTCGCGCAACGAACTACCATGGGAGTGGTTACCGGAGACATGTTTGTCAATGGAAAGCCATTGGACGCAAGCTTCCAGCGTTCGACCGGTTACGTTCAACAGCAAGGTTAGTCGTCTTTTATGGGATAACATGATTAAGTCTTACCCTAACACTATCCAGACCTTCACCTGGAAACCGCCACGGTCCGCGAGAGTCTTCGGTTTAGCGCTATGCTCCGTCAACCAAAGACTGTGAGCAAGCAGGAAAAATACGACTACGTGGAAGAGGTTATCAAGATGCTCAACATGGAGGACTTCGCCAACGCAGTTGTCGGTGTACCGGGCCAAGGTTTGAACGTCGAGCAGCGTAAGCTACTTACCATTGGAGTAGAGCTGGCAGCTAAGCCTAAGCTCCTTCTCTTCCTCGATGAACCCACCAGTGGTCTTGACAGTCAGGTGAGTTACTCTGGAGCAATACAATGCAGCCTAGGGACTGATTTCGTTATAGAGTTCATGGGCAATTTGCGCTTTCCTCCGAAAGCTCGCCGATGCCGGTCAAGCCGTCCTTTGCACCATCCATCAGCCTTCCGCCATTTTGTTCCAAGAGTTCGATCGCCTGTTGTTCCTGGCTCGCGGCGGCAAAACGGTCTACTTTGGCGAAATTGGCGAGAACTCCCGCAAGCTGCTGGACTACTATGAGAACAACGGTGCCCGCAAGTGCGGAGACGAGGAGAACCCGGCTGAGTACATGCTCGAGGTTGTCAACGCTGGGAAGAATGACCAAGGCGAAGACTGGCATGACGTATGGAAGCGCAGCGACATGCGACAGATTGTTGAACAAGACATTGAACGCATCCATGAGGACAAGAAGCACGAAGAAGTTGCCGGCTCCGATGATCCTACCGCCAAATCCGAGTTTGCTATGCCGTTCGGACAACAAGTGAGCGAAGTCACTTACCGTGTCTTCCAACAATATTGGCGCATGCCTAGTTACGTTTTCGCCAAGTTCGGCCTCGGTATTGCCGCTGGACTGTTTATTGGTTTCAGTTTCTACAAGGCCAATTCCTCTCAGGCTGGCATGCAGATTGTCCTGTTCTCTGCCTTCATGCTCACAACCATTTTTACCACGCTCGTACAACAGGTAAGCTTCCGGCCGCATCCTCTCAATATGCATACTAACGCTCGTAGATTCAACCGCTTTTTATTACTCAACGAGAGTTGTACGAAGTCCGCGAACGCCCAAGCAAAGCGTACTCCTGGAAGGCTTTCATGATCGCCAACGTCATTGTGGAACTTCCCTACCAGATCATGACCGGTATCTTAATCTGGGCCTGTTTCTACTATCCAGTCGTGGGTGCCAACCAAAGCGGCCAGCGACAAGGTCTCGTGCTACTATTCAGCATGCAGCTACTCATCTACGCCAGCTCCTTCGCCCAGATGACCATAGCGGCACTTCCTGATGCGCAGACCGCCTCCGGAATTGTCACACTGCTCACGTTCATGAGCATCCTGTTTAACGGTGTTCTCCAGCCTCCGTCCGCACTCCCTCGCTTCTGGATCTTCATGTACCGAGTCTCGCCCTTCACATACTGGATAGGCGGGATGTGTTCGACCCTCCTGCACGGCCGCGAGGTCGTCTGCACTTCGACCGAAACCTCGCGCTTCAATCCACCCTCCGGCCAAACCTGCCAAGCCTACCTTGCCGACTACCTCCAGACAGCTCCTGGTCTGCTTCAGAATCCGGATGCCACCAGCGACTGCAGGTACTGTCCTCTGCGCAACGGCGACCAGTTCCTGGCTGGCTCGAATATCTTCTACAGCGAGAGATGGCGAAACTTTGGTATCATTTGGGCTTTTGTACTGTTTAACATTTTCATTGCGGTGCTGACATACTGGGCGTTCCGCGTCGCAAAGTGGGGGGAAGGGAAGTAAGAAGGGCACGAAAAGTAAACCGCAGAAGCATGCGGAGAAGGTTGCGGAACGGCCGGCGCAAGAGGGTGCTGCACCGCCGAATCGGGGGACGTGAGGTATGGCGACTTTGAAGGTCATCTGTTCCCTTTTTGCATTCTGAGGGCAAGCAAAATTTCATGATTGTAACATTTTGTTATCTAGCAGAATATGTAGGGCATGCTATAGATTTCCTTGGTTAGCGCACTGTAGGGGGGTTGATAGATTGGTTTGGCTTGAATAGGGGTTGAGGAGAAACTGTAGTAATTGTAATCTGAGTCTATGGCACTGCTACGGAGTGACAGAGCTACGCGACGATTTCACGTCTTCTTCCAAGCTTTCGGCTCGAACACCCAGTTGAAAGAGATTCTTCCTTGTTGACTATGAGATTAATTCACGAAAGGCTCGCATTTGGAGCGGAAAAGCGCAAATGTCAGTCAACAGTTTGAAATCACTCGTAACTAGGAGTTTGAATGGAAAGCTGCCTCGGAAGAAAAGTATGACTGCACTCAGGATAGTATGACGGCACTATTTATCTTTTCAGCACATCCACCCGATTGTACTCACAGACCTTCGGTATGTTCGGTTATATGGAGAACACATATGTGACGAAGAACATGCGCCGAGTCACTGATACAGTATTTCGAAAAGAGCTCGCCAACGCACAGCTGATGTTCGACAAGGCGGTCCCGCCCGTCAATGCAGCCGCGGCAAGCGTAGTCTCTTCGGGTGTGGACCTCGGAAAAGGATCGAAGGACTATACGAAAACACGTCTCGCTAGTATCGCCACCAAAATGCAGGCGTGGGCCAACACCCAGATCACTCCGGTTTAATCCCATATAGAACCAGCAACACGTTTCCAGCCCGTCTTCTTGGACTCCAGTGGTTCTGGGTGTTTCGCAACTTCATGCAAAGCCTCGCGAATTGGTATGTCCGCCAGATTCATGAACTTCGTGCCCTTGATAAGTTTCCATAGTAAAAAGGGGCGGCAAAAATGAGTGGGATATCCCTTTGTAGCGCGTTGGCAGATTTGGCTCATTGAAGTGATCCATGATAAACTGGTAGCTTACAGATATGATGAGACAACTGACGCCGGATCCCATCCGCCTTAGGCGAACCGCGGTTCCGCGTTCGGAAGGTATATGCGAGGTATCTTCGCACCATCTTTCCGGCATTTGACGTGCAACTGGAAGACATGAATAGCATGAAATCACGAAGAGGCTGCTCGCACGTACAACTAACGCATTTTCCATGGGCAGGATGAAGATAAGGCTTGGGATGGCGAAGCGCACAGCATCGGTAGCTGGGATTTCTAGACCACGAATGTTGGTCATACGATATATGGTCAACGTCTTGGGCTTGCATCATTAGCTGAGTTATACCAGGGTAGACCGACAGGTACCACATTATGAAAGCTCTGGTCAGGGACATAGTCAACGTTTTTCCTGACGCGAGCGACTTGTTTTGCGCGTAACGCTCACGTGGAAGACACCTCGACCTTACAGATTGGTAATAAAGCGAGGCACATATACAGACAACCGAATCGTTTTCTGAACTTCATCCTTTCTGGGGGGTCCGTCATCACCAGAGACATTGTTTCAACGAAGCGTTCGGTTCCTCCTGCCCCCTTCCCTAGTCAGTTACCCCACATTACAACACATACACCTATGCGTCTCCCATCTACCGCCCAACTTGACGTTATCGCAACATGACCAAGACAACTCCCCAGATACTCTCACGCGCGACAACAGATGCGCACCCGAACGACGGCGTCCCCAAAAGAGCTATATGGGACCAATTCATCTTCTTCGGCGACTCCATAACACAGATTGACGGAAACCCAGAGCTAGGCTTCAGCTGCATGTCTGCGCTCCGCTATGGTGGCACATTTTCCTACCCTCCCACTTCCCCCAAACCAATGGTTGGCTCTAACATGTGCGGAAAGATTACGTGCGACGCATCGACATCGTCAACCGCGGTTTCAGCGGCTACAACACTGCCAACGCCCTCTCAGTCCTACCTAGGTTTTTTCCTCCGCCGCAGGAGGCGTGTGTGAGACTCGTTGTACGTCTCTCTCCGGAATGGACCTTCCCTACATTATGTATCGCGATCTAACCATGGTGAAATGAGAAGACCCTCTTCTTCGGCGCAAACGATGCCTCCCTCCCCAACACCACCGGCCAACACGTCCCCCTCGAACAGTACAAGCTCAACTACCACAAACTCCTCTCTCATCCTTCCATCATTGCGCATCCTGACATCAAGGTTTTGTTGATCACGCCACCACCGATTGACGAGTGGCAATTCGACAATTGGGACGAGCCGGGCAGGTCTGCGCGCAAAGCGGTGATTGCGCAGGCGTATGCAAGGGCGGTGCTGGAGGTAGGGTTGGAGAGTGACACGCCGGTGGTCGATTTGTGGGGGGAGTGTATGAGGGCGATAGGTTGGGATGGCGGAGAGAAATTACCTGGGGATAGGGGGGTGAAGAAAAGTGCGTTGAGTCGGCTTCTGTACGATGGTGAGTGACGTGTTGGGAAGTGGGTGTGAGTGGTGAGGGCTAACGGGATGATAGGTTTGCATCTTAGCGGCGAAGGATATAAGGTGCTGTACGATGAGATGAGAAAGGTTGTAGCGAGGGAGTATCCGGAGCTTGTGCCCCACAAGATACCGGTTGCACTTGAGCCGTTCTTCCCGGAATGGTGGCAATGAGTAATGTATCAATGAACCATGTACTTCGAGAGTGGCACTGCTGCCTTGCAAGTTGATACTCTGATTGGATTTTGAAGCATGCCAAACAAGGCATGCCTCTTACACGAACAAGGCACTGTTAGAGTATGGTCGCGGTGGCAGGTAAATTAGACAAGGCGAATAGTATGACTCCTCTCCAAAGCTCACAGCTGTCAGATCCATTCGGGAACCGTGCGACCGCGACTGCAATGCGCGACCAGAAGAGATAGAATCTGTAAAGCTAGACTAGATGTTCGCCATAAGTCGTCTGTGTCTTGTCAGCGAAGACCGATTGACAGTAGCATGCAAGATCCTAGAGTAACTCACTCTATGATGGGTCTGCAGAGTTGTGCATTGAAACTGCATGAGCGTTATTGACGTAAAAGGGAGAGGGGCTGCCTCTAAAAGGTCCGATTTATACTGTCGGCCACTGTGCGCAGCTGGAGGAGATGCTGCAGCAGACAAGCAGTCCAAAGGAAGTAACGTCACAGAGCTTTACCCGCAACATGGGAATACAGAGTGATTAGGGTTCATGCAAGAACATCTGCCAATAGAAACCTATTTCTCGCCTTGGTGTGCCTAACCAGAGGCTGGAGCACTCATTACTGGGCGTCCAGAGAGGAGGCGGACGGGAGTGCGATCATAACGCCGATTTTTTTTTTACATGTGTAGCGCTGCCTTGGGTTCCAACAATGTGTCCCGAACTAATCCATCACAGAGCCTGAAAACTCGCTCTTGTAGTACTGCAACAGGCATCAGCATCTTCCGCAAAACGACACCATCGCATGGGCATCAGACATTCACAAAGGCAGCACTCACCTCCGAAACGTTCTTTGCCAGCTTGTCGTTCTTCATCTTCGAGCCTTCCTCGGGTATCTTCCAGTTGTTCACGTCCCACCACCACCTCCGTAACCGGGCACCGACACCTCGCCCGCTGAACTTGGACGACCGATTTACATGCCTCCAGCCACTCAGTACAAGCGTCCAGAGTAGCCCCTGAGCAAAACACAGAAGAACGTGGTCCTTGAAGGTGATCCACGCCACAGCCTGCCATGACTCTGCGTGCTCGATGCTCTTTAGGTAGGTTTGCTCCAAGCGCAGGTCGGGGAGCGGCGGCATCGCGTGCCGCCGGGGAACAGGTCGTAAGACACTGAGAGGAACCTCATCCTCGTCTACGTCGGAGGCATCGGGGTCCGGGTGTGCATCCAGGTGGACGGGCTGTTTCTCGGATGCGGTTGTTGATGGGTTGAGGTCGTGTCGCGGCGAGGGACTGCGCTTGATGTGTGCGTTTTGGATCAGCGAGGCAATCTCAGAAGTCGCGGCGTTGTCCATGGCGGGCTCGTCGATTGGCACGCCCGTGATGCAGGTAACCGTGGGCAAGCAGTGCGATGATGTCGATTGCAGTGAAGGTTTAGGGTGACTAAGCAACAGATGCGGAGAGGCTAGCGGCGGCGGCAGGAGAATGAAGGGCGACCCTGACGGCGGGGCGAGACCAGCTCAGCTCAACCGACCCCACGAACATACGCCGCCACCCACACAGCGCACCCGCACCCTGACCCCCTCACCTACACGCCGCCAAAATGGGGAACCAGCCGTCGGCGATATTGGACAACATCGCCTCCGGGTCGAATTGTACGCCTTCTCCCCGCAATTCGTGCGCACGCGCGGGGCTGAAAACTGAGGCATCCGCTAATACGTCTTATAGTCGACCGCGAGGAGGTGGACCGCCTACGCAAGCGCTTCATGAAGCTGGACAAGGACAACTCCGGTACTGTTGACCGCGACGAATTCCTCGCTCTACCACAGATATCCTCGAACCCGCTCGCAACACGCATGATTGCCATCTTCGACGAGGACGGCGGCGGCGACGTCGACTTTCAGGAGTTTGTGTCCGGTCTGTCGGCGTTCAGCAGCAAAGGGAACAAGGAGGAGAAGCTGCGGTTTGCGTTCCGTGTCTACGACATCGACCGTGATGGATACATAAGCAATGGCGAGCTTTTCATCGTGCTGAAGATGATGGTGGGCAGCAATTTGAAGGACCAGCAGCTGCAGCAGGTACGCATCTTCAACCTGGATATAAAGTGGAAGTTGTTGGCGCAGAGGAATATACTAACCGGTTGCAGATCGTCGACAAGACCATCATGGAGGCCGACCTGGACCGCGACGGCAAGATCAGCTTCGAGGAGTTCACCAAGATGGTCGAGAGCACCGATGTTACCATGAGCATGACCCTGGACCAGTTTTGATTGTATCATATGGCTTGATCACGATACGGCACGGCATTCCTTGGTTTCTGATCTTTGGCGAGGAGTCTGGGGTTATATGGGTACTACGGCTGGGTGGGCTCAAGTACATGGTATCCACAATACAGGATCAGGATTCTCACTACACGCAATTGCACCTCGCCTCCCGTCTGATTTCGAATACACTGTCTTCCAGACTTACGTGTAGTGCTGCTATGAACCAGGCGCTTCGCAGCTTCCAGAGGCCTAAAGCCACCGGATACAATAGTAGAACTTGAACTTGACTGCCACGGTGCCAGCATGTCGTACGCGTTGTATAGGAGTACAGATCCATCGGTGAAGCAAGTGCACGTGAGTGTGTGGTATGGGAACATGACGATAGGGAGGCGGTCGTCGTCGGAGTGTGATGTCTTCCTTGCACTTGTACTCTGCAGCCAAACCATGAGTCCATAAAACTTCTGTTTGTGCAACACAATCACCATCATGTCCACCTCACGCATTGCTCAGCTAGCCCAGCTGATCGCCTCTGAAACGCAGATGCTCGACAAGCATCTGATCCAGGACGACCTTCCTTAACCATCGTTTGCAATTGGAGCTCCGACCGAGCCATTCCCACAGGCTAATCGGGACGTAGCTAGGGCTAGGACTAGTGTTATAGAGGCCACAATAGAGCTTCGTCAGCTCCTAGAAGGGCCTCTCGAACTAATTTTACCAGAGGTTGGTTCATCGCCGGCTTTCCGACGCCTTAGTCCCAACCACCGACTGACGTACAGTCAAACTTCGCTCCCCTGGCCTCAATCTACCGGTTCGACATTCCACGCCATGTTCCTGTAGGTGGAACCATCTCGGAGAGAAATGCGGACTTCTTGAGCACGACTTGAAACGCATCATTCGCTATACCGCCATCATCATCGTGTTCTCGCAGAGCCAGAAGAGGGCTTAGTTGCACATACTGCAGCATCACGCTTGCTAGTCGACAACGACATCGTAGGAGACCTGATGGGCTTGACCTTTGCAGAACGCTGGCCGGCCCACGTGCGAGTACCTGTCCCCTCCCCTTTCTCCCCTCCCAAAAGTTCCTGACAATCCGATCACAGACTCCAGATGCTATAGCCCTCCGAAGCTCAGAGCCCAATATCCCAGGCTACTCCCTCGCCAATAATACAAAACTCAACACGTTCGAAGACCTCGGACAAGACCCAGACCGCGCCCGCTGCTTCGCAGGCGCCATGTCCTCGACTTCAGAAACCAGCCTCGATGCACTCGCAGAACACTTCGATTGGCCCGCCCTACCCCCCGGCGCTACCGTTGTCGACGTTGGCGGCGCTCAAGTACACGCCTCTCTCCATCTTGCTAAACGCTTCCCCACCGTGACCTCCGCGGTCCAGGACATCGCCGAGGTAATCAACGGCGCGCAGGGAAATCTTCCAGAAGCATTGAAAGACAGGCTGAGGCTGGAAGCGCATGACATGTTCACTCCCCAACCCTTACAAGACCTAGACGTTGATCTCTTGCGGTACGTGCTGCACGACTGGCCAGATAAGTACTTCGTCCGTGTTATTGAGAATGTTGTGAAGGATATGAAGAAGGGTGCAAGAATTGTGCTGCAAGAGCATGTCTTGGCGGAGCGGGGGACGCTGGGCATGGTGGAGGAGATGCAGGAGAGGTAAGTGAAGAAACATTGTAGAGGAAGCTGGCGGTCCTTGTGGTGGCTAATGACGGACAGGTCTACGGATGCTACAATGATGTCGCTGCTTAATTGGAGGGAGAGGGGCGTGGCGGCTTGGGACGATGTATTTCATCGAGCAGGAAAGGGAGGATCCTTCAAACGGGGTCATTGTTGCGGAGTGGCAAGCGAAATGATTGAGCGCATTTCTTTGTAGCCAAGATGCTCCTCGGTCTAAGTTACCCCAGGATATACTATCGAACTACAAACTGACGAATATGCTAACATCCAGAGGTTCTAGTCGGCCGTTAGTCTGACACGGTAGCTAGGTCACTGCTTAGGTTTATTACCAGCTTCCGCACCACATTAGCAGTGGGCAATCTGAAATCACTCACTGCTTGTATCCAAATGGGTTGGCAGCCGAATTCGAGTGATTCGAGTGAATGTCTCCAGAATTCGGTTCATCGTTGAATAACGTCCTCATCGCTCGTGCGATTACGCTCTCTACACTCAACCCTCCTGACAATCCACATTGATAAGTCATTTCGGCACCAAATTCCGTATCGAAATCGCTTCTCAACACGGCATTACTAACAGTACTCACTAAAAATTGCGCTATGGACAAGGTTCATATATGCGAAGACCTCAGTGATCGCATACGCCTTGCTGAAGAAGTTGAAAACGTGGCTCATTCATTACAGCATGGTGCTTCACCATCGGCTCGGGACCAAAACGGCCTTTCCATTCTGGACCTTGTCTCTCAGGACTTCGCCTTCGAGGATATCCATAGTGCAAAGATTCTCGTCAAGCTGCTACAGTCTTGGCAGTTATAGCAGATCCATATACGGGGCTTTCCATAGATAAATGACACGGCACAAACAGAGCGCAGTTGGATTGGTTTCCGGGCACGCTGTGCTCGGGTAGCATTAAATATTCCTTATACGGAAGGCCTACACAGAGAATCGAACAACCACACACGTCGCCAAATGCGAGACCACTTTTCTCATCGGCCGTCACTACATGCCCGAGTGGTAGTCTACCAGTTGCGTACAGCCTTGAGCTTCCTCCACCAGTCGCGGAGCATCCAGGCATCGAATTCGGTGATCTCCAGCGCGCTACCAGCCATCATAACAAAGCTAGTCTGGCCCTCAGGAACCCAGTCGTAGAAATCGAGTAGTCCAAAGCCGTGACCCATCTCATGTTGCATGATTTGAATGTTCTCCTCGTCCAAGTTGTCGAGGACGTAGTCAGGGGCGAGTTCCTGGCCCCAATTGTATCCGTAGCCGGCGTTCTGGCCTTCGAGGGACTTGTCCAGCCAGAGAGAGATGTCGTAGCGACCTTCAGCGCCGTTGGGGCAGCCTGAAAGGTCGCCGTCGAGGTGGGCACCGCGGTAGCAGAGGGGGTCGCACTCTGGGACGCCATCGGTATCGGTGGTGGTGTAGATGTTGATGCCTCCGGCATCACCCTCGATGAGGGACTTGTCCGTGGTCGCGTAGCCGACAACCTTGACGGCGAGCGTGGTGAGCGGGAAACCCTCGAAGCCGATGAGCGTGTCAAACCACTTCTTCAGGTTGCGCTGGAGTCCGGCCTCAATTTTTGTGCGGTCAGACGCAGTGCTCTTGTGTGCTGCGGTGTTCCAACGCACGCAATAGTTGATGGAGCCGTTGTTAGAGACCAGCTGGTCGAGGATCCAATTCTTGTCGTCAGACCAATTGGGGTTTTCCTGGAGGGTGCGCGCCCAGACCTGGTCGAGGCCGGTGGTCATGGAGGAGGGAGGGTCCCAGGTGGTTGCGGCGGGGATGTCAGCACGGGACTGCAGGCCGCGGTCGAATAGTTTGCCTTCATCGATGGAGCAGATGCGCTTGTTGATCTTCTTGATGTCGTCGAGGTGCTTGATGGTAGGGTGTGCCAATGCACCCGCAAGGGCCGAAATGGCCAATAAAACAGAGTCAATCTTGACCATGGTGTAGAAGTGAACGAATGACGGAAAGGTTGTGTGAAAAGGAAATGGGAAAAGAATGTACAACCCAGAGATGGATGCCTCCTACATGAAGTCAGGTACGCACATTATATACTCCGTCCTCAGTTCACGCTCTCTCCACCCTTCTGTCATCGAAACATCCTAAAAGTACTTTCGATGAATGTCGCGGCCTAAAGAATCCTAGAAGCCTCCGTTTGACAGGAAGCGAAATTGTCGATGGGTCCATCAACAACGTTTTCCCGTCTGTGGGAGCGGGAGCTACGAGGAAGCGGTTAGATGTTTCAAACAAGGGCACCTTGGCTTTCATAGCGGCGTAGACCCGCATGCGCCGTGCTTGGTTTGCAGATGCAGAGTGGCGCAATATGTTTTTCCAGGTTGGTGATGCGGGAACCACGTTGTGAACAGTGGTAGTGTCTGCGCTCGGCATGTTTCAAGCGCCAATCGCTGTCTGGACGAGGTGCTTGAGGAGGAATACTGGAATTCCTCCGAGAGCACAATGTTCATGGTAGTATTGCCAATTAACCCTGCTCGGATGGCCCCTTCTCTTGTGCGGCTGCGTTACATACGGCAGCTGCACGTGCCCTAAAAACGGGTTCTCAAGAGTGGCCGCTGGAGTTGTTAGTGACAGGTGAGCCGGAAGCACAGTCTTTAGCCGCGCGGTAGGGTCACGTGCGATGTCCATCGCTAGTCCATATCTGGGTAGACGATCTCCACAGCGCGTGAAGCCAGACTGGTGCATGTTTGGATATCGCGAACATCCCGCCGTCATTGCCCCTCCCCAGCTCCCTGCACGCCGATTCACTCCCCGTTCCTCGCAGACTCTCGCTCGAACGTGTACCTCATAAACCTCACTCGCTCTTTTCTACCTGCATCAGCCCCCGTGCAATATGCCGCGCCCGAAGCGGGCCAAAGTCGCGTCCACAGCGGTACGCGTCGCGAAGCCACCCAAAGCGACCGAACCTCCTGTTGCCCAGAAGCATTCGCAGCCACACAAATCCACAGTAACGAAATCAGTTGAAAGTATCAGTGAGGATAGCGATGGGCTTGTAATAAAAACGACGCGCGGGCGGAGGCGGTCACTGCTGGTGGAGTCGCAAGAGGAGGTGGAATTTACAATGACCGGCGCGCTCCCTGTCGCTAGTGAGACAGACACACCTACAATTTCCAACAAGAACCGCACGCCGGTATCACATGCGTCAAGAAGAACAAGAAAGTCTACAGGCAGCGCACAGGAATTTTTGAGCAAGCAATCGCCGAGGGTGATGGCATCAGCAAAGTCACGGTCGGCGCAAAGAGACACAAGCAATGTGGCGACTGAAGAGGGTGATAGTAGCGGATTTGGGGAACATCTGTTATCTTTCACGTCTTTGGGCTCAGACTCGCCAGCCCACGGAACTCGACCACCGTCTGCTATCAAAGTCGGCGCAACACCCGCGCATGAGAGATCGATTCTCGCTTTGACAAATTTCAAGCGCAGGGCTAGACAACCAAGCCTATTACGCATGGTTCACCAGACAACCGACGTAGAGGACAACGATCTTGACGACCTGACTTTATCTGAACTTGAAGACTGTGAGCAATCACCATTTACATACGCCCACTAGACTTATACTGATGATACTGGTCTATCTAGTTCACCCGAATGCCGAATCCACACCACTACCCAAAACGCAAATTGCTCCAGCAAAGGAAGGCGCCACTGACAGCGGGGTGAACCTATCCAGTTCCAGTTCGCGGGGTACGAAGCGTAAGCTGTCTCCTATAGTTCAGGTACCACGTTCTTCGCCACCTTACGACCCTCCTTCTGGACCTGACATTGAGCCACCGTCACCCTCGCCGAGCCTGCCGGATGTTGTGCAGAGCACTGTAGAAGAAGAGGATCAGGATGAACATGAAGAACGCGCGGAACCGGAGATCTTCAGCGAAACGATGGCCCCGCCAATGTCAAGTAGTGATTACCATGCCGACGACATCGAGAATCCCAAAGGCTCGCCCGTGGCTACAAAGCGGACGAGACGGAAAGCAGCATTAGCGCAACGAGATGAACAAGAATCGGAAGGTGAGGAGATAGATCGTCAGAAGCAGTCAAAAGTGAAGAAGAAGCCGAATCGCGAAAAAGGCATATCTACAGCAAAGCTGCAGGCCCTGCTACCGAAGCGTCGAACAAGGGCCACTCACGAGGATTCCGATTCTGCGAGTCCCCTTGATTCAGATGAAGATGAGCTATCCATGCCACCACGGCGCCATGCGCGACTAGCTCGAAAGACTGCAGCTCCCAAAGCTTCAAAAGCTCCCAAAAAGTCGACTCGCGCTGCAAACAAATCCGCAACAACAAGCAAAGCCGCCAAAGGCTCTAGAACATACGGCCGGCGTATTTCGTCTGATAAGGAGAATGAGGGCAGAGCAGAGGCGGATGATGACAGTGACGCGTCCAACGATACTGCTCAGGGGATGAACGACAAGCCTTCAGCGCATCTGGAAGCTATGGCGAAGAAATTCGCAGACATTGACGATTTCGACTTGGATTTCGAAAGCGTCAGCTACGTGCAGACAAGTTCGAGCCCGTGGCGGTGAGAAGGAGTGCGCGTTTACTTCTATTTCTAGAGGATGCTCCGATTGCTTACATCCCTCCTGTTTGTTGTTTAGTGCTTCCCTGGCAGACGACGCATGACTTTACGATACTGGGCCATGCAAAGGACAGTGTTACTAGTGGGCGCTTACTATATTCTTGCTTCCGAATGTACGAGCTTGTACACTTACAGGCACTTGAAGCAAAGACTTTGAACTTCCATTGATGCGAAATCATCATTGCCGTGAATGTCATAAGAATGACGACTGGTAGCGGGGATCATGTGCAACATGAAGTATTGTTCAAGGGCCATCCTTTGAACATATTGATGCTCACGTACAACGCATGTAGATGGTATGCTTGTATCCTGTGCGTTAACTGCTACGCTCCAATCATAAGCAGATTCGACCGATGGTATAGCGGGCTCGGCAACGAACGGGGCCCTCTGGCCTTTGGGGCTCCGTCATTATACACCAAGTAGGGCTGATAGGCCGGTGTAAATGTCGCCTAAGATAAGGGAATGCCAAGCAGGCGCATGGCTGCGAGCTGTGTTTAGGGGTCCCAAGCCGGGAATGTCGGTCGCTTCGGTCTTGGTTTGGAGGTGCACGGCCATTGAGACGTACGTATGTCGCGGCTCTCAGGGCTCAAGCTGCCTAACACAACCACACCGCACTCGGCTTTTGTCTGCACTCCCTCGAGCATGCCGCACTGATTCGAATGCCATGCGCCTTCGCAGACCTCGCGATCGCATCCTGTCCTATGCTGCTCCTCTCCCACCGACACCGCGCGGCTCTAGAGTGCCATGAACCCCACCAATGGCTCTCCCTCGTCCAAGAGCAGCTCGACGCCTGCAACCTCGACCTTGCGCCCGCGGACACGTCGCCTGATCTCTGTCGAAGATGATCCGAACCCTCCTGCTAGCAGCGCGAATGCCTCTTCATTTGGCTCTCGAGCCGTGTCGCCCGCACCACGGTACAATACCACATCGGCGCCCACGTCCTCGTTCGAGCGTTCAGGCTCACAGTCCTTGCGTGTTGGAAGGGATGCCCAGAAGACGCTGTCTGGGTTATGGGGGAATTCGTGGTCGGCTATTCAAGGCCTGGCAACCAACGTGCTCGGGAATGATGCAGGCGCGAAGGATACATCAACATCTACAAGGAAGCGGAAACCACTACTTGGCTCACACCGTCGCACTTCTACCAGCGCACCGCCGAAGCAATGGGGTCCGTCAATTTCATCGACCCCGTACATCGGTGCCGGCTCACAGGAAGAGAGGGAGAGCATGGTTCGGGCTATGAAACGCAAAGACATGCTCCTTGCTGATAGCCTTTTGATGTCAGACTCGGTCGGCCGCTTGAAGAGAAGGAACTCGGATGACCGTATGAGTACATCGGCACCGCCAGGGGAGAACGAAGATCGCGACGCCCTCATCTACATACACAAAGTGCGCCCGCATGACACGCTCGCGGGCATCACTATCAAGTTCAATTGCCAGCCCGCGGTGCTTCGAAAGGCCAATCGTATGTGGCCCAACGACAGCGTGCAGACGAAGAAGACTATTGTGCTACCCGTCGATGCGTGTGGAGTGAAAGGGCGCCCTGTAGCGGGTCCAGGTGTCCAGGACCATGAGGACCTCCTGATAGGGGACTGGAGTAAGACCCCAGAAGTCAACTCGAACGCTCTGCCGAACGGTTGGGCCTCTTCGAAACCGACAGATACCGATACATCATCCACCCTCTCACCTTCGATATCCAACGCGGACTCCGAGCAACCTTGGAAGCACGACTCTTGGGTCCTTCTGCCCAACGACAAAGAGCCTGTAGAAATAGGTCGTATGCCGCGAAGAAAACTAGCTTTCTTTCCTCCTGCCAGGCGGAAGTCACTCGTATTCTCGGATGCATCTACGCCTAGAGCTTCCGTTGACCTACCACGGTCTTCCACCTCAACAAGCACGCATTCTCCCGCTACCAGTATATCACGACCTCGAGCATCCAGCAATCTATCGACTGTTTCCGCACCATACCCAAGACGTCACCGAAGCACATCTGGGTTTCACCTGCATGGACCGGGAGGTGTAGGAACCATGGGAAAGAACGTGCGGAGTCCCGGTCCAGGCCAGGATCCCCTCAACAAACTGTTTGCTGCGCATCTTCCTAACGTCGAGCCACCACCGGATCAGGAGTATTTTACGCCTTGGGCACCTGGGCTACTGGATGCAGACGCTGGGAGGGTGGTGCACCATAGTGGCTCCGGTGCGCTTACTCCTTCAGGAGGCATGGATCTACAAGAGATTGGTGGTGCCATCGAGGGCTGGATGCGCAAAGTGGGTACGCAAGCATCAAAGCTACTAACGGAACCCACCACACCCGGGCAAGGAAAGCGATCAGCTGTCCCAGTCATCGGAGCAGTCGGTGGCGACCTGGGTGATCTGATCGAGCTGCGGGATGATGCATTTGAGATAGGAGATGGAGAGGAAACCAGAGGAAGGTCAGGAAGAAGCGACTCACGCACGCCAACAAACGAACAATACCGAAGCGCAAGGCCTGATATCAGCCTGGTGCTACGGGCCAGGGGTCCGAAAGGAAACGGCGGCAAGAACGACTGAGAGCATGACCATGCTTGCGGCCAAAATCAACGGAGTTTGGGACACGCATTGAGTTGGGACGATTACCAACGCGGGCTTTGAGCGTTCCGGCGTAGGAGAACGGGACTGATTTTGTTATATACCTTGCAAGAAGCTCGTTACTGTGCTCTAATTTTAGAAGAATCGTATCTCAAGCTGGGATCGTGAGCTTCCCCAGCAATTCGCATCACACCTGTAGACGAGGTCTCGTGACCTTGCCCAATTGGCCGAAAGATGCCCCGTGCTTGCTCTTGAAGTTTCCAATTGAGCTTCCGCATCCAGTAACGAGACATTCCATCTATCTAATTGATGAACGGACAAGCTGTGTGCCGCTCGCGCGCTTTTGCGACGCCGTTGCCGCGGTCCAACTTTGGAAACGGCAGGTCCTTTCCACGGCCAGCGGCGGCTTTCTCTCTCCGGTCCCACTCCACGGCACCTTCACTTGAGCTCCGTCGCACAACCTCAGTCGCCAGCACTACAACCCTCAGAACGTCACAGAGGAATCATATTGCAAGAGCAAGGAACCGCCGCGGGCCACTGTATTCCACCATGCACAAAGCGCCGGCCGCTAAAGTCACGGTGCCAATGACGGAACCAAATGTCACCATCAGAACGCCAAGAGATCCGAACACGCTGTCCAACTATCACAACTTTTTGACGAAACATACGGTCGCTGAGTTTGAGATCGACTTTGAGAAGAAGCTACTCAATGGTGGTGTAGAGTTGACGTTTGAGAGCTTGACGGAGGGTGAGACTAAGGATATTGTATTGGACACGAGGTTAGTACTCCCTTCCTGTTCCGCGCGATTCGAGTGGGCCTAGTGTCAAGGGCACGGTGACAATATGTATGCTCAGGACACTGACATCTTCATACAGTTTTCTGGATATCAAGGATGTTAAGCTTGGTGGCAAGGAAGTCAAGTGGGATGTTGGCGAGCGCATAGAGCCGTATGGCGCTCCGCTGACCGTCACGCTTGACAAAGGCATACCGAAGGGTCAGAGTATCAAGATTGCAGTCAAGCTTTCCACGACGGAAAGATGCACCGCGTTGCAGTGGATGACGCCAGCGCAGACGTCGAACAAGAAACACCCGTACATGTTCTCGCAGTGCCAGGCGATCCATGCGCGCTCCGTATTTCCGTGCCAGGATACGCCCGATGTCAAGTCGACTTTCGAATTCAAGCTTCGATCCCCGCTTCCCGTCCTGGCATCAGGCTTGCCCACGGGGTCTCACCAGTATGAGGCCGGGTCCGACGACAAGGCTGGGACCCTGCTGTACACATTCGAACAGAAGGTTCCTATTCCGAGTTACTTGTTTGCTGTAGCGAGCGGTGACATTGCATCCGCTTCCATTGGGCCCAGAAGTCTTGTCAACACAGGTCCAGAGGAGCTCTTGGACTGTCAGCGTGAGCTTGAAGGCGAACTAGAGCCATTCATGAAGGCAATTCACTCTATCGTCAAGGTACCTTACCAGTGGACCCAATACAACTGCCTGATTTTGCCGCCTTCTTTCCCTTACGGTGGCATGGAGAACCCAGTCTGGACATACGCCACGCCGTCTATCATTTCTGGCGACAAGCAGAACGTCGATGTCATCGCGCACGAACTCTCACACTCTTGGTCCGGCAACCTGGTAAGCGCAGGTAGCTGGGAGCACTTCTGGCTCAACGAGGGTTGGACTACGTATCTCGAGCGGAGAATTGCCGGCTACGTGCATGGAGAAGAGTACCGCCACTTCTCTGCCATCATTGGTTGGAAAGCCCTCGAGGACTCCATCAAGAGCTATGGAGAGGATCACGAATACACAAAGCTCATCGTCGACCTGAAAGGCAAGGATCCGGACGACGCTTTCAGCTCGATCCCCTACGAGAAGGGCTTCCACGCGCTCTACGCATTCGAGCTACTGCTGGGCAAGGAGAAGTGGGATACCTTCATCCCGCACTACTTTGACACATTTATGTTCAAATCTCTGGACAGTTACGATTTCAAAGCATGCCTCCTCGACTTCTTTGCCAAGGACGCAGAGGCCGCGAAGAAGCTTGATGAGTTCGACTGGGACAAGCTCTTCTACACGCCCGGCTTCCCGAAGAAGCCCGAGTTTGACGACACGCTAGTTAAGACATGCTACGCACTCGCGTCGGAATGGGAAGCCCGTATCAACAAGAAGGACACCTCATTCACCCCCAAGCTGTCCGACATCGATGGTTGGGTCGCCAATCAATCCGTCGTGTTCCTCGAGCGCCTGCAAGCCATCTCCGAGTCCTTCACGCCCAGAGACGTCCACCTGCTCGGCGAGACATACGGCTACACGGCCACAAAGAACATCGAAGTCCTGAGTCGTTTCTTGACTGTTGGGCTGCGTGCTAAGGTAGAAGAGACGTACCAGCCGACTGCGGAGCTGCTGGGTAAGATTGGACGGATGAAGTTTGTGAGGCCACTATTCAGGTTGTTGGAAAAGGCGAATCGCGATTTGGCGGTCAGGACATTTGAGAAGAACAGGGACTTTTATCATCCCATCTGCAGACAGATGGTGGAGAAGGATCTATTTGGGGAGGAGAAGAAATAGCGGACTTGCTTGGATGAGGGATATGGGTTGTTCGCCGTGATTGTGAGACACTGAAGAAATCAGTGCCGGATACAATAGAATATGAATAAGCAATTACTTGAAATGGCGGGATTTCTTGATGATCTATACCCCCTCTCAAGCCTTCTCACCATTGGGAATCTTCTCGTACGCCTTCTTCACTTCATTCAAGCCTGCGATCCCATCTAGCCACGCCTTAACCCCGGGATACTCCTCCAGACTCAAACCCGCAAAGTTATACTGGTACACCCACGGATAGAAGTGAACATCGACCACGCTCGGCTTGTCGCCCCCCACAATGTATTTCCCCCCACTCCTCTCTAGCTGCTGTTCGAGTACGCCAAAGCACCGGTACGCTTGCTCTTCGTATCTTTGTAGTGCCCCCTCGATCTTCTCGGGATGATAATGCCTGAACCAATTCACCTGGCCCATCATAGGACCCAGCGTACTGACCAAAAAGAAAACCCACTGGTCGTGTTCCACTCTACTCTTCTCATCATCTTTCGGTCCCATTACATTATTGCCCTTCGGAGCAGCGTCGTACGTGCGCAGAAGGTAGTTCAGACAGGCGCCGCTCTCCCAGGATGTGATGCTGGTGTTCGGATCTTCGAGCGCAGGAACGCGGCCGTTGGGGTTTATCTTTGTGAAGGTCGCGCCTTTGACGCCGTTCGGTGCGTCGCCGAAGTCCCAGAGCTTGACGGTATAGGGGAGGGAGAGGAGCTCGAGGGCGATAGCGACTTTGTAGGGGTTTGGGCCTGTGGAGTGGGCATGGAGGACGAGCGGTTTGAGGGAGGAGGACATTGTGAATGATGATGGAATTTAGTTTACTCCGCAGAATTTTCTGTGGATGTTTTCGTGAGGTGTTGGTGCTATATGAAGAGGAGGAGAAAGATGTGGGGATGATGTCTGAACCCTGAACTCTTTACGTCACAGCGGGGTTCCATTATATGAAGCTATAGTTACAAATGCGGAGGTGAGATCCATGCGATCAACACTCGAAGTGGACAGGGCTAGCAGTGTTTTCGGAGTAATTGGGGTAGATTTGGAGGTGGTTTGCATGTGCTTTTAAGCAATTGGAGTAGTTCGGAAGGTGGGAAAGTAGCTTTGGGGTTGGTGAGAGCACCACCCGGCCCGATTGCTGTCATAAAAGTGCACCAATAACTCGAAAAGTTCCGCGTGCATTTAGTGTCGTGCTTGAATTGGGTTACCAATCGATGTTGGGCAGTTGGTGGATCCTGTGGGTCCTACACACTAAATTTTGGATAGCAAGCGACATCACGACAATAGCAAGATGTAACTGCTTGAAGCTCGGAACCCAACAAATTTTGAACGCCCGTGAGACTCGTTATATATACAATTCAATTCACCTGTGGTGTCATCGACCATGCAAGCGCACGTGTTCAGCATATTCACTACTCATGGTTGTGTAGTGTAGCGGTTATCACTCCGGATTCTGATCACCTGAGGACATTCCGGCAACCCCGGTTCGATTCCGGGCACGACCTGATTTTTGGCGGTTTCCTCACCCGTTACCGAAGATTGAAAGGCTTCTCCTTTTTGCTGTTTCGGAATGGTTTATCATTCGAAAAGAATCGAGTCGAGGGGTCCAAATACTATACTATCATACAAGAAATCGAAGCCTGACACGCTAAGTACCAACGCTTTGTTAGTCGTTCCAATTAGAACGGCGCCTTAGCCACCTCCGCCGCAACACCAACAATGTAGCAAAAGGCTCCCGCCCAGATAGCAGTCTTCACGACACCACCCATGCCAACCCTTCTCCTTTCCTTCTTCTCTGGCTCCTTCGTGCTATTTCTCAATCTGTTTACTTCCCTATGATACTCATCCGCCTTCCTCCTTCTCTCTGCGAAGTCGACCTCCCGGTCCAGATCGGATCTTACACCTACGAAGCCGGTGGGACTCAAAGTGGTCGTGCCGTCGACGGGATTGATGCCCTTCCAGCCCTCTGCTTCATCGGTATCTGCCTTTTGCTCTGCATTTGGTTGGTCTAGGGTGGTTGTGGTCTTCTTCTCTGCTGTTGCGTTGAAAGGTGACGCCGTTCGAACACTGAGCACATCCGGCTTCACGGCAATCACATGGAAGGATTCCGGAAGGTGATCAACAAACTTTGCTGGATGGGAAAGCGTAGCGAGTGCTTCGTACAAGGGTACGGTTGCGATAGGTGAGTTTGGTTGTGGGACTTGCGATGTGGTGATGGAGAGTTTGTCGGTTTCGGCGTTGTAGATGAGCGTCTTGTATACTAAGGGGACGTAGCTGTCGGTTGAGGCGACGTAGCTGTACTTGTTGCTATCAGCGGTTGAGGAGGCTAGGGTATCATGTGTATCTTTAAGGTCGGCAGCAGGAACATTTGACTCAGCCCGGGCGGGGTCTGGAGATGATGTTTCCTGGCGAACAATTCCTTTGTCGCTCGTGCTCGAAGAACGCAAATCTTCAACTACAGCTAGTTTATTGAAAGCAGCTTTCTCTACTGCTGTTTCAACTTCAGCTGCATCCCCCATCGTTGAAACATTCTCCTCGGGTATGAAAGCGGAGTTCATCGCAATCGTCGAACCTTCGCCAGTAATCGAAAGTGAGATCTCATCTTCTTTGAGCATCTGTATCGATGGTTGTCGCTTGGGTGTCTCCTTTTCAGGCACTTCCGTAAGCTCCTCAACGATGGGTGGCGGCCTTACCGTAGGCGGAACCTGCCAGTGGTCTACAGTGATCGCCCCGTATGTGTCCTCGTATGCTTTCCTGACTTCCTTTATCAACTCCTTATCGCCCTTCGCCTTCTTAGCTGCTTTGACTACACCGTCTTTCTCGGCATCCGTATCTTTGCCTAGGCTTGCTAATTGTAAGCCAAACGGCCTAAATAAGCTGTGTGCTAGCGGATTTGGGCCGTCGAAGGGTTTCCTGACAAATGGCTTTGGTGGGTGCTTGTAACCATCATCGGACAGACCACGCATTGCAGCTTTTTGCTTGTTGATTTCAACTTCCAGCTTTTGGTTGACGATAACGGTGTCGACGCCCTGTTTCTTGGAGCTGTCGTTGGCGGCTACGGATGCGAGAGCTTCAACGACCGAAGGGTCCGATAGGACAGCCTTTGACTCCTCGGTCTTCATTGAGACCTCTTCTTGTGCATTAGGGTTGATACCCAGCATTTGCATTGATCTCAACACTAGCTTCGAAAGCGCAAGCTGTGTATCTTGCAGTGCCAGAAGCCTGTGCAGCACCTCCCTGGCCACGAGTCCCCCTGAAGTTCCAGCCTCGACCTCGATACGCCCTTGCAGCCCAAAGACCGCCATACGTGTAAGCTTAGCGTTCTTCCGAAGCACTTCGGAGGCGTATCTGAGGTGTTTTTCTTGAAGGAAAGGAGGCTTGGACGCTCTACCGGTACCGTCAACGGCTTCACAGGCCTTCTTGTACTCCCTGTCAGTGTCTAAAAGCGCCTGCCTAAGTTGTCCGATCCGCTTGTGTGCCGCAGCTTTGGAAGCATCCGCATCCAGTGTATCTTTCAAGGCAGACGGCAATTCCCTGTATAATCTTACAGCCCCAGCAGAAGCTCTGATTTCGTCTCTGCTCAGGCGGTCCACAAGCTCTTTGGAGGCTGGAATATCTTCGACAAGTTCGTCTTTTATGCTTGCGAACGCGCGATGACCTTTCAGGACCCCAATGCCTATGCCCTTCAAGAACTGTTCGTCAGCTCTCGCAAGCTGACCTGCCACGAGCGGGACCGGATCTTGCCAGAAGTGTTGCGCAAATTCATTGCCACCATTATGTAACCATCTCGACATGAAGTCGAGGCTTGTCTCAAGAGCCGATATTGCTTTTGAAGGCACGTCTTCGGTCTTCTTCCCTGGCATGATCGTGTTTCGCTCGTTCTCAGACGCTTTCGTCTGCTCCTGTGTCCGTGTTAACTCGCTCGCCCTCCGTCGCACATATTGATCATTCATAATCTTGGCTTCGAGCATAGGATCAATTTCTGGCGTGTCTTTATTGAACTCTTCATCAAGCTTTTGCCTGGCAGCAGCCTTTTTGGCATTGTTACCTTTCGTACGACCCATGGAGGCGCGAACGTCGTCGGCAGTCAAAAAGTCCAGATCATCTTCTGGAAGCTGTTTCAGAACGTCTGAAGTTGATCCTGGGGGGTTGCTGAGTGTATCGGGATCGGTCTGGCCAAATTTGAGGTCCCTGATGCTGGAGATATCGAGCTTAGTGTTCGTGAAACCTTCAAGTTTCTTGTCTGCGTCTTTTCGTGATGGTAGCACCCAGTCATCTGTGCAGATCCTCGGGTATGGAGAGAATCGAGACATTGATGGATCCTCAGCACTTTCTGGTGTCTCTGCAACATTGGCAAGAGCTCCACGTGCCTTTGCGTCGTCGCAAGTCTCTGCTACGCTGCTCTCGAAATGCTCAACCTCTTTCCTTCCCAGGCGGGAGTTCGGCAAACCATGGAAATCTATAACAGTTTTGCCAGTGCCTGATTCTAAAGATGCACGCTTAGATCTGACTGCAGGTTGCGGATCATGCCCAATTTTAGGATCGTTCTCGGTCAGAGATTTATACTTGGCCGCGACATCAACGACGGGGACATTGGTCTGCCTCCTCATTTTCATAGCAAAATCTAGCGCTGCTCTACGCTCCAGCGAAGTCTGTCGCCAATCTTTGCTGCTTGATTGACTAGACGAAGCAGGAGATGCTGCCTGGGTCTTGTTCGCGAGGAACTCTTCAATAAAGGAAGTTTCTCGGGCTGTTGCATCTTTGTTCGGTTGTACCTTTCCTTCGGACTCAGGCTCTAGCTTGGGAGCCTCCTTAGGAGACGGACTGATGTCGGCCTCAGGCGTTTTTGCAGGAGTGTGCTCCTGCGGCACTGGTTCTTCCGGGGTATGTCTGTCTTTGCGAAGACCCTGGATTATATCCTCGTGTAGGGTAGCTGGCTTGTTCAATGCGTTCACTGGCGGTTCGCGTGGCCTCCGAGGGTCCGATGGACTCTCTACACCATCGTTCCAAAAATCCTTCTCAAACCTGCGACTCCTGTACGAGGGACTTCTATGCAAAGGCTGCCGGAAGATGCTCTCGGGTTCTTTCGCGCCAACCTCCTCGGCAGGATCAATCTTCACCTTCTTTGGGTATACGTCTTCACCATTCTCTTTCTTCGCTTCTTTGTCCTGACCACGCAAGCCCATATCCTCCAACATCCATTTCGGAAACGTCTTCTCCACCCACTCTAACCCCTTCCTATGCATCTCCCTTTGCTTCTCGAAGTACCGTCCCAGCCCGCGTCCCCTCAGCATATCCTCGCTAGCACCAAAGAGCGCACTGTACGGATCCGCTTCGATCCGCTTCCTCCATCGCTGAAGATGCCGTTGACGCATTCGCTCGAGATCTGACATGCCATCAGGCTTCTCGTCACCATGTTTGTCCCGCTCGTCGTTGTGTTGAGCGGAGGTTGGGCTGGACTTGGAGAAGCAGCGAGCGGAACGGATGAACGTTGTGGAGCGGCAGGTGGAACGGCGGGTGGGGGTGCGAGACCAGAGGATGGGGTCGCGGTGTAACATGTTGGAGGTTATCAAACGGGTGAGTGGATCAGTGTCTACTGAGAGTGTGCATGGGAGCGCACAGGTGGCGTCCAAGAGCTCGTTTGAGGGCGTTGCAGGCCGAAGGTATCTCAGACGTCTACATCAGCTAGTGAGGGCTAATTTCCAAAGCAAATCAATCGACAGCCTCGTTCGGATGTATCCAATCGTATTGAATCGTGAATTGCGTTACGTGCTTTCGGGTCTCGCTCTCGTTGTCGCCTTGTAGAGCGCAAGCGGCGTCAAATAACAGCTACCCAATCAAGGGACATATACACAAAATTTCACAAAGGACTCGTTCGCGCCTCGGGACACCATCATCAGAGACAGTTCATGAACAAAGTGAAGAAGCATACGACACGATTCCGCCTCTCCGCATCGCCGTGTCGGAGGTAAGCTTGACGCCGATGCACCTATCATCGCTCGCGGGGTACATGCATGACAGCCACCTGATCACGTATTCCGCGCCCCATGTTTCCGATCGACCTGCCAAACCCAGCTTCACATTACACCCATGTACTAGTCGATTCCGTCAATCTCTCTCTAAGATATGGGGTAGGGGACGATTTTCATCGTCAGGAGGAAGCTCACGAGCCGTTAAGCTTTCCCCACATCGCGATAAGGCGATAAGGCACGACTGGCCCGAGCTCCACGACCCAAACAATGATCCGCCGTCGCCGTCGCCGTGAAGTAGAAGCTTGCGTCAGGGTACTAGTCCTAGATGCCACACGGTATGCTGCCTGTCTGCTGTCTATGATGACCTGCCTCTCATGAATTTAGGTCGTTGTCCGCCCTTGATACAGGCTGTAGCTCGTAGACATATCCACAGCATTGATGACGTCGGCTTTGAGAAGACGTCAAGCGGAGTCCTCTGCGATATTTACCCAAGCACTACGGCAGACGTAGCTCGGTCTATCCGGAACAATAGACATCATGTTCAAGCATCTCAAGATCCGTCCAGACCGAGAAGTGGTTGCACATTGGCAGCAACGCAACGTAACGCTGTGTGCACGCGTGCATGAACACAATGATGTCACTCTCATAACCTACAGCCTACAGATGCTTCACTCTCCCTTCCCATATCAACCCAAATCCAGCCCAAGCTCGGGCAAGTAACGCCGATACGCCACGCCAAGTGCATTGAAAATGCCCAAAAGTATCATACAAGCACCTATGCGAAACCCAACACCACCATATACACCACCCACAACACATAGCCTCACGTCACTGACCTCTAGTCATTCTTGCCCAAGCCAGTTCCGCCCAATATCCCGTCCTTCTCTCCAAGCTGGAAGTACCCGCCTGTTCTCCGCTTTCTCTTGGCAAGGTACGATGCAGCGATGCCGACGACGGCCAGACCGAGTGCGAAGATGGGGTGATCGGAGCCAAAGCGGCGGATCGAGTGGAAGAAGGACATGAAGGTTCCGGAGGTGGATTTCGGGCTGATGGTAGACGGGTTCTTGGTTACTTCTTTGACGGTGTCGAGAATGGAGGAACGACTGGGACGGATGAATTCGCCGTTAATGCTGACGTCCCAATAGCGATTGTTCTGAGTGTCAAGTTAGCCAAATGCTGGGAGGCCTCTCAAAGAGCAACTTACGTCTTCGTCATTGATGACGACCCTCTCCCCATCTTTCACGTCAATGCCGAATGTCGTGCGAATCCAGCGTTCCCAGAATACACCATCCACCCAAGCGAACCCAACTTGTTTACGCTTGATATCGTTCATGTCGATGCGGGTACCCTTGGCATCACGCAGAGCTCGCTGATCTCCCTTGTCTTCAGCTTCTTCAATGCGCAGCTGCTTTGCGTCTCGGAGTTCTTGGCGTTCGAGCTGGTACGTCTGGTCTTCTTTATCGATCCATTCAAGGGCGGCATTCTTGAGTTCGCGCCTAGCGGCCTCGAATTCAGCCTTGTTCTCCCTATCGAGTATCGCAAGTACGACCATTTTTCCGTCCATAATCTCACGAGCATTTTCACCCTTGAGTTCTGGGACAATGGGGATCCAGACTGACTTCATCCAGGACAACATTTTCTGTGTGTCGCGCATCTCCTTTGGCGTACGACGGTCGTAGTATGTCGGCTTACCATCCCTGGAGACCATCATACGCGGCCAGGTGGAGATCTTGAAACGGTCGAACATAGCCTGATCGTTGGTCTTGACAAGCCTCGCCTTACCGACCAAGCTCAGAGTGAGTCGATCAAGCGCCTGAAAGTCTTCCGAAGTTGTCGCATGATCGTAGAAATACACGAAGATGACCTCCTCGGTCTTCTCCATCTCTTTGAAAGCTGCAAGGTCTACGTCCTGGACTCCTTCACCCACCGCGACGGCCTTGTTAGCATAATCGAGGAAATCACCCAGCCCGCGCATACCGTTGTACTCGGTACGCTCGCCTCCACGGAAGAAGAGGATGGTGGGATATCCCTTGACGCCAGCATCCTTGCAAAGCCTATTGTTCGCGTCGCAGTCAACCTCTCCAATGTTGAGTTTGCCCTGCATCTCACGAGCCATCTGCGCCCACATAGGAGCCATTGCCTGGCAGTGGTGGCACCAAGGCGCGTAGAATTTGATGAACCAGGGGTCAGAAGTAGTTGTTACTAAGTCTTGGAAAGTCTCTGGGTTGAGAGCGACTGAGATACCTGAGGGATTCTGGGTAGAAGTGGGCTTCGCAGACGTGGGCTTGGCCACCTTAGGAGGGTCGCTTGTTCTAGAGGGTGCTGCAATTGTTGTTTCCTTTGCGGCCTCGACTCCCTGATCATTATCCTTTGCCTCAACTTCTGTCTCCGGTCCGGTCTCGACAGAGTTCGCGCCAACTTTTGGCAGCTTTGGTCCACCTTGCTTGCGGGAGCCTGGTTTTATTGTTTCCAAGATCTCTTCCACCCAGCCGCTCATGTCTTTGAGTGACTGTTCGCCAATCTTCTTCGCGACTTCCTTTCCATCCTTGTATTGTACGATCGAAGGGTAATTTTGTATATCGTGGTCCCCGCATGTGTCCCTGTATGCCAAACAGTCGACCTTTGCGAACTTGAAATCGTACCATCGAGTGAACGAGTTAAGGCCGTCTTCGTCGCTCTCTTGCGATGTGGTGATGGGCTTGGAGGTGTAGTAGAATTCGTATAATGTTTGATATACGGGCTTGAAGCGCATGCAATGCGGGCACGCGGGTGAGTAATATTCGACGATCCTGGAATAGTCAGTGGTTGTAAGAGCCCATGGACCCGATTCTCGTACCAGTTTCCATGGCTGATTTCCTTGTCTACGTCCGTACCGAGCTCGTTCATTGGTGGCACTGTCTGGCCATTGAATATAGTATCGGGCACGATCTCTTCTTCCCAGTCATCGTCTGCTTTGGTAGAGTCGCCCTTTGCGGGAGCGCGCGGTTCTAGGGCGAGCGATGTGGCAATGGTCGCCAGCGAAAGGAGGGAGAATAATACGGAGCGCATCGCGGCGAGTGCGTCCTGTCCGCGACAGGCTGGCCTCTTGATCTAAGATCAGGGCTGATCAGGGCCGATCGCAGCGTTGGTATATCTGCGATGGAGCGCAGGGCGACTGCACTGTTGATAAACGTGTCCCTGGCGGCGTTCGTTTGTCAGGGACTGGGAGGGGCTCGGGCTGATGCGCTACAGAAGTACTGAATGTCCACAGGAGTGCCTGAGCGAGCGACAGGGATCTGCTTCCCCGGGGCTTGGCGAATCGCAACTTCCCTTAACGGCATCATTAACTTTGCCCATCCATTGCAACCAGACCCCGCACCGGACCACCACAATAACCATGAGAGCAGCTGCACGGCTACTCGCCGCCGTTAGGCAAGGAAAATATCTCGAGCCCGGCACGCCGACCGGCCTCACAGGCCTACTCACCCACCCGTCGCCGCGTTCGTCGCTCCTCTACCACTACACCGCGACCCTCGACAAGCTTCAGCAGATCCCAGAGTCCTCCATCTACCGCCAGTCTACCGAAGCGCTCACGAAGCATCGCCTGAAGATCATCGAGGAGGCGACACCCGTAGGATGGGCGCAATGGCAGGAGACTATCCGGAGTAAAATTCACGACGATCCGTCCGCATTCGAGTTCACGGAAACCTCGCAAGGAACCGTTGCCAAACCGCCAAAGTACCAAGAGATTGACCCTAGGACAATTCACGCGGAGTGGGACGGAGAGGCTCTGGTTAACTTCCCGCCAGGCATGCGCACTCAAGCCCAGCGAACATCTCACGTGAAAGCATTCAAGGGCGATGTGAATTACAACCCTGAGAGGACAATTTCCCCGATCAAGCTCCCTCCGGAGCCGCAGTACACTGTGGAGGCGTAGGTACATATGTCTCAATTGATGATAGTCACTCACGTGGATAGGATATCCGAACTCGAGAGCAGGCTTGGCGGCGGTCTGATTGAGGAGGTCATTCAGGTTGCAGAGGGCGAGCACCAACTCGTGGATGAGATGATCAAGGCGAAGGTGTAAGTCTCAAACGTGACAGCGTCTCTATAAGACATGTGTTAATGAAACCTACAGCTGGGAGCCGCTTGAGGAGCCGGCACCTGAGGGCCAATGGAAATTCTTCGAGCGTGGATTCAGTGGCCATACTAAGACTCAGCACCCGTGAACTGTGGTTTCAGACAGGGAAAGGCATGTAAATAGCGAGTGAGATGACAATGTACCAAGTAGCACAACGTTTACTTCATTATCTTGGTTTTAATGTGCTATGCCTGTACCCGCTTGATGCTGTTGCAGTCAAGATCCATAAGACATACTAGGAATGCACCTAGGCGGAGTGAACCCACATGACTTGAGCTGTTTGGGTACACCATGCTCAGTTGATGATATTGCAATCAACAGTTGAGAAATATACGAAGCATGCGCCTAGGCGAAGACGGTGGGACCCCGGGCCGTCTTGAGCTATTTGGGGTAACCATTCGCCGTAGATATTGTTGCAAGTAACAGTCGAAAGATATACCAAGTATGCGCCCAGACGAAGGCGGGGAGATGCCACGTTGGAGGAGCTGTGTGGGTCTGATATCGCGAAATGTTGGGCTTGCTCTGAGCCTTCACGCGTAACCGACGTGTCGGTCGGCGAGCTCTACTGCTTCGGAACATGGGATGATACTACAGTGAAGACGAGTCGAGGGAAGCACCAAGAATGTACCTGGGAGGTGTGATGCCTCGTGTCAGAATTAAGGACAGCCATCAGCCTGTGAGGTGTTAACGAAACGTTAGCAAATGTAGGATTATGAATCCTATGTAGGCGACCCCATCTATCATGATGACTGTCGAATATTTCCCTACAACACTGGTAGGCTGGCTTTCAAGTCTACGCGGGGATCCTCTTGAGCTATTGGAGTTTGAGCGACAAGCTGACGGATACTGCATTTTCTTGAGCTGTTAGGATGTTGAGCTGTTAGGATGTTGAGCTGTTAGGATGTGGAGATATGACATGAACTGGGCTTTCAATCTGTACGCGCACTCGGCGCACCGATCGCAGAGTTTTATATTTTTCCATGGTGGACAAGACTCGTGAGACACGCGTTGAGCAAGTTGAAGCTTGAGTCGCGACATAGGGTTATTGCTATGAACCGCTTAGGTGCAAAAACCGTCACGATCGAGAAGATCATCACAATATCGCTGACACCAGTTCTTGGGCCTCTTGGCCGTTTCAAGGTCGATCTCGGACGCGCGGACCAGCATTGGCTGAACGTTCTCGACCCGAGAAACACGCGCAGGCGGCGCATGGTTTTGCAGTCCCGAGAGCTGAGAGGACTGAGGAGCGCCACGTTGTTTCGACGTCCATGTCCGTATCTGATTGTACTGGTATGTGAGGTTGATTGGAGCGCGCAATGTTGGCGACGAGTTTGCGACTGTTGACCGCTGGCACACGAGGATTGGCTGTTCAGTGGAAGCCAAGTACTCAACGGTCACATGTTCCTGGCGTCACACGCATCAGTCAGTTGAGTGAATTGCGTGAGCCAATCCTTGGCGACTTGGGCGACCGTTATGGTATACGGGTCCGAGACGAGGTGCACTGCTGCAGGGTGCAATCCTTCATCTGTGGGCTCCGCTCGAGAAGGAAAAGCGACCAGCACACTAGCCGCCAAGTCACCAGAGGCGTTCGTTAGACTTCACCAACTGCAGAGGGATCGGCCAACTGCATCTGGCGAGTCGCTAGCAGCGCTAACGTGTGCATGCGATTCCAAGTGCAATGCGCTCCTGCCTAACGTGGCGTTCATACACAGTGATGGCAGTTGGGCAGTCCTCATGAATGATTGTTGGCGACTCCGAGGAAATCACGAACAGCTTCCGGTGAAAGACCGCCCGGCTAAGCTGCAGGTTTGATGCACGACATCAGTCGCGCGCTCGCGGATCCTTCCTACTGAGGCTCCGCGGCCAGGCGTACGAGACGGCGAGTGGGACTTGAGCTTAATTGCACTGCATTTTTACCTAAGAAGCGCCGGCGGTCGATGTGAAAACACCATCAGGGTTTGGACTCGAAGCCTGGTCCTGACGACGACGACGGGTGACGTTCGCCCCGGTGCGCCAGTGGCTCGCCGCTGGGCATTCTGCGTGGGCTAAGCGAGAAGCAGGATAGCAAAAGCGGATGATTCGAGCAGGAGAGCAACGCCGAGCAGATTAGTCTTGGTGTTGATGATCGCTATGAAAATCAAGTTCGTCTCGAGCGGAAGATTTTTCTTCCCGCGTGGCCCGACGTTGTGCTCGAGATTGGTGCGGTGTTCGCTCGGGTTTTTTTGCGCAACGTAGTACAGCGAAGGACGAGTGCCACAGGAGTCTCGAGTGATGAGTCGCGGCCGGCGGTGTGTAGAGTGTATAGTGCGCGGTGAGACAGACAGGTATTACTGCTGCAAAGCATGTCCTGACGCGGGCGTTGCTCGCCTCCCGCGAGCGTCACCACGTCGACGCTCGTCGGATGTGTCACTTTTTGGAGTCGGCTAGGGGCGGGATGCTGTTTTGGGACCCCGGCACCCAAACCGGCATCGTCGAGCGGCGGACGCGCCGAGTACGTAAGCTGATTTTTCTTGCTCACCATTGTGGCCAGTATCGTGCCTGTGGCGGACCAGCGACGGCGCGCGAAACCAGCGACTTTGCCCTGCAGCCGCGCTGGTTTCGTTTGCCAGAGCGGCCTTCTTCCATGCAGCCTTCTCGAAGCGGCGAGCATGCGACGCCGAGCTGGTGTGGTCCGACCTGGCGTCGGCCGTTGTGACGAAGGCCGGGGTGACCCCAACCACCCTGCTGCATCGTCCCCGGGATGCCGTCATCGACGTTGGGAGCTCCCAGCACCACCCAGCACCACCCAGCACCAGCGCGGACCGTGGCAGCGCGCTGGCGAACCACCGTTTGCCTGGGCGCAGCGCATGAGGAGGCTTTCACGGCGAGCGTCCTCGAGGCGGCCGACGGCGCAGGTGAGGCTCACCGAGGCTGCTTGGCGCGGAAGTCGGCCGGCACTGCAGGCGTTTCAGCGGCGGGAATAAAACCCTGCAAGCCACAGCCGCTATCTGAGGGCTTTGCTGTCGCTCGGAGCCAGAAGCGCCTGCTGCGGCAACCGATGCGAGGCGCCCCGATGGGATGATAAAGCACGGAAGCAGAGCATGGCCCAGGCGAAACGCGTTTCCAGCAGCAAAGAAAGGTACGCGTCGAGGCGCGGCATCGGAGATGGGAGACGGGCCAAGGCGCGCGCGATAGGCTCGCAGGCGGCGGCGTCATGCTGCAGCGCGGGCAGAGGTTGCATCGCGCCGGGGAGGCCAGACGGTCACGTGCGGCGCTCGCTCAGGGCACCCCCATGGATGCGCGCCGGGACGCCCACGGTACTCGCAGATAGTGTGGAACCTGTTGGGGGACGCGCTGGGCGGCCGTATGTAGAGGCAGCACGTCGCGCGAGCTTGCCGCGCACCGCAGCGCAGAACAGCCATTGTCGAGCAGACAGCACACGCCCAGTCGACCAGACCCCCTGTCGCGCCCTCTGCTAACGCCCTCGCGCCGGCTCAGGCCACCGCTGCTTTACCGCTTCAGGCTCTGCTCGTTAGCTGCTACGTCGCCGGCCAGCACCGGCGTCTTTGTGCAGCTTCGCAGCAGGGAAAGCAAGGCGTGCGCGGCGGAATCGGAGACAGCGCCTTCCCTAGGTCACAAATTTTTCCAGCACGACTGCTCCGCGTCAGTACCACTGCCCTCCGCCAAACATCTCCCAGCCAGCCCACCCTCCGTCATCCACCATTATACGCGCACGCGTGCCATTTTTCGCCGTCGTTCCTGGCTGCCTCGTGCAAGCGCTCCACTTGGTCGTCCGGCTGAGGCTGAAGCGGTGGGCCCTGCGATCTGCACACCTGCCCTGGTCGCCGCGTGAAATTGCCGGCGCCAGCCAAACTTCATCAATAGCACGGCTCACTATTGCTTGTCGCTCTGCCACCCACCCACCAGCAAGTCAGCAGCAGCCCACGCCGTGTCCCGCGCTCCAGACTCCATCTCATCTCTCTCCACCGCTGCTCCATCCAGCAAGCAATCCACCGCGGCTGCCCCTCGACTCTCATCGCGCATTCCCGCCTCCATCCCAAGAGAGACCCACCCGGCTCCGCAAGCTCCTTCGAGGCCCGTCGTTCCCCAACGCCAAAGAGTAGTCCTTGTGCCGCCGACGCGTCCTGTCTGCGCCTGTCCCACCACCCTCGCAAGGCCACTCCCTCGAATGGTCCAGCGGCCCGCACCACTAATTGGTCGCGTCTCCCCCTTCCTCCACCGTAATACACAGCTATCATGGACGACCGCTTCCGCCAACCTGGCAACGCCCAGTACCCATCTCTAGGCCAGTCCTACAATGGCACTCAGCAGAACACCCTGCCGCCGCTGGGCAGCGCCCAGCAGTATCCCTCCATGTACAATCACCACAACAGCAACCCGCAGACGCCAATCACGCCTCACACGCCTGTCACCACTTCCGCGAGCTCAGGCGCCTCCATCCCGCCCATCGCACCCCAGCATCCACCTCTGCGCCCGCTCCAGCCATCGCCCTCGTACCTGCTCACCACCTCGTCGTACTCCCAGGCACCTCTCCTTCCCACATCAGGCGCGCACTCCAACGCCCTGGGCCAGAACCCCCTCACTGCCGGGCTGCAAGATGTACGTGCTGGTGGTATGGCCATGGGACATCCTGCACTCTACCCTCACCCACCAGTCCTCTCCAACCAAGACTCTGAGCCTGTACACGTTGTCGGGCAGCAAGGACGTCGCGGCGTGCTGCCCACCCATCCTGGCCGCCCCAGCCCCGCTGTCGGTAAGACCATCACGAACCCGACCAAGAACGCCGAGGGAAAGTACGAGTGCCCTCACTGCAACAAGACATACCTTCACCTGAAGCATCTCAAGCGCCATCTTCTGCGACGTGAGTCCACCCCGAGATGACGCGTCATCTACCATTGCTAACGATTTTAGACACGGGTGAGCGGCCATATCAGTGCCATCTGTGCAAGGACACATTTTCGCGCAGCGACATCCTGAAGCGCCACTTCCAAAAGTGCTCGATTCGTCGCGGTAACCCTACCGGTGCGAGCCATCTGCAAAATGCGCAGTCCCACCTGCAAAAGAACCGACAGCCGAGCAGCGCAGAGGCCAACTCGTATCTCAACCACATGGGCACGTCTATGCCTTACTCAGACAACGCTTATGGCAGTACGACGCTTGGCAACATGCAGCCCATGGCCTCGATGCAGACTGACGGATATGGCGATGGCCTTCCCCCCATGAATTCGCATCAATCCATGTCTGCGAGAACTTCCAGGTCCAACAGTCTTATTCGCCCCGGCAGCGGAGTCGAAGAGAACCGCAGAAGCATGTCCGCTCTTGACATGGGACATGCGCGTCTCAACTTCAACGACTTTCGCTCAACCAACGGTATGACGAACAACATCTCGCACGATATGAGCCCCTATGGTAACCAACAAAGCCAGCCTGCGACGGCCGTTACCAATGGTCAACCACACTACAGCTATGATAGTGCCATGGGACACCAGGAAATCACCCCGACTAGCATGTCCGTGAAGCAGGAAGAAGCGGACCCCGCCTCCTACGGACGCCCCAATCTGCCCAGTGTCAACGGTCTCGCCAATGGTCAGGACCGTTCAGCGCATTGGAACGGGTCGTTCAGTGCTAATGGTGACGGCCAACCCCAGGATAACTTCCTCATGAACTCAAGTATGGCGAGTGGTCCACACCCCACTAAAGCGGGAGGTGTTCTGACTGTCAACAACTTCTAGACCCTAGATGATACCCAGTGTGATGCAATGCTTGGTGGACTGTACTCGGATTCTGGATTTGCTGCTTCCGACTCTGTTCTTGCCAATTGGGATTTTGGTCCAATCGACCCGCTGCGTAGAAAGGCGACCGTCTTAGTGGCTTTTTGCTTTCCTGAACCTTCTAAGTTGATTCCCGGATCAAATGCCGCTCATGGCTACGAAGCACTCAAGGGATTGTTAACGGCGGATAACTTGAAGCACTTTCTCGAGCTGTACAAACATTATCAAAACCATTGGCCAATGATCCATTCTTCCCTCGATTTATTTAATGCGTACGACGGCCTCATTCTCAGCATGGTCTGCATTGGAGCGGTGTATTCGGAGAGGATAGGTGTAAAAGAGGTTCGCTGGTTGATGGAATTGGTGAGAGCATCGGTATTCAGGTCCTCACGGCTGTACAAGGGGGCCTCTGAAAGAGCTAGGGATGTAGAAAAAAGCGTGCCACTTTCTGGTGATATTCAAGAGGTCCAGGCTTTGGTGCATATTCATTCGTTGTTCGTGTGGCATGGTAATCAGAAGCAGAGGCAGCAGGCTCGGGAGGAATTCTGGATCCTTGCTAGCATCGTACAGCAGCTGGGGTTGTTGCGAACTTTCCCCAGTGGGCATTCGAACGCGAGCGCACTCCATCAGCCTGGACCGATCAATGTGAGCGATGTCACCACCTGGTCCTGGGAAGAGTGGCTGGAGCAGGAGACACGGATACGTGTGATGTATCTTGTGTTCCTAATCGATGCTTCTCTTGCCATATTCTTCAACGCCCAGCCACAATTCGACATCTACGACATTCAGCTTCCTTTGCCAGCTGATGATGCGGCCTGGGATGCCAAAACTGCGCAGATCTGTGCAAATGCACTAGGCCTCCAAGGTGAAATAGCACAAGTGCAGAACCATGCCGGAAGTCGACGCGCGAAACAGCTCATCATGTCGGAAGTCCTCCTTTTGCTTCATCAAGGAAGTAACCTGCCTCACCGAGCCACGAATGTCTACTCCAAATTCGTTCTGATACATGCCATCCACATCCAGATTTTTATGCTTCAACGTCAGCTATCTAGCTCCTCCCGACTGTCGTCCAGCGGCGCCAGCACGCCTCAATCGTACCACGACGAGACAACTAGTGGCGGCAGCAGCGGTGCTGTTACTCCGACCGATGGTAATGGTGCTCAATACCCACAATTTCAGGGTATGCTACGCAGTACTATGTGCGCTCTTATGCTTTGGAAGAAGCAGTGGGACTCAGACATGCAGCTTCAGTATGGTACCAAGCAAAGGCCTCTCGGCTTTTGCCGGGACGGAATCCACTATTACTTCCTGGCTAAAATCTTTCTTCAAAATTCTCGTCGCGAGGACTGGACAGCCACACCAGACGCTCGGTTCCAACAAGTCTTCAACCAGCTCAAGTACATTCGGACACATGTGGCGTCCGATTCAACTTCCAAAAACCTGGATATCGGTAGCGTTACAACGATCAACGACGATTATGGCCTGGCAGATCTCACATTAAACATGAAGCTTCTGTTTACACCTGTTTTCGATACCCTGACAAGTTGAAGATGGCATTCGAGCTTCTCGACAACGATTCCAACAGCATTTCCGCACCACATACCCGAACACAATAATCCCCGTCTTCCAGAGGCGGTTTCACAAACCTCGCGTCCTGTTACGATCCACAAGCATTGCATCTACCATCACACACTACACGGACCAAATCTTATTGGGCTTTAGCTGGGTTTTCCAGCAAGTCTGCATTACACATAGGCGTTTTTAGAGTTTCAAAATTTCCGGAAATCATTTCTCAGAGAGCGCCTCAAAGCGCCTCATCGAGCATAACGACAAGGTGGTTTGCGTTTGCATTTACGACCATGTTGCTTTTAGCAATGAGCAAAAAGCATAGATGTTCTCCTCACGGCGTGCATTTTCACGGCGCAAAACAGGGGTCTACTCAATTTGCAACGGCAAACTAGACGCGACGGAGACATGAGTTTGAATTTTCAACCAAAAAGAAAGAGAAAGGTATCAATGTTGTGGGGTGTGCGCATTTTTGGTCAAATTGGCTGGCTTGCTCCAGCCCACCTGTCTGTTCTTGTATATTTGGCCCAACAACCCTGGTTTTTGGGGCTTTTTTTGCAATTCATGGTTGAGTCGCGCGAGCAAAGTACCGAATAGAAATAGATAAACCATAGCTCGGCAAGCGCAGCCGGAAGAAAAGTAGGAATGAAACACTTTGAACACCGAATATATTCTCCACAGCTAAATGCATGCCATTGTCACACACATCCACACTCGGTTGGCGAATCCGTCGACAAATCGAGCACAACGAAGTCGTAAAGGGAGACATGGATCACATCGGAATGCGAGTTCCAGAAAGGTGATGAAGCGGAGGGTTGGCGATCGCTTCGACATGGGCTTCAGGTAAAATTGCCATGCACACCCAGCTACTTCCACTGTGATTGCTTGTATTGATCAAATTCCGAGTCAGTCTCCAGCTTCAACACTCAAAGAATGGGTTGAGGTTCGGACCGTGTTTGAAGTGCAGTTTCAGCCTGCCACTGCCTGCCAAACCTCACACACTTGCTTTAGAGTTTGCGCACCGGCTAAAATGTGGTCTGTGGTCGATTGCGTCTCGCCTCCTGCGGTCCCAAGCCCCATCATCAATGCGCGTGCCCAGCGTCCCGGAGCCGCAAAATGGACGTCATGTGACTCACCGAACTGCTTCACGCGTTTCTTCATGAGGGTAGTGCGGGGCACAGGCAGTGCATGTACCTTGCGAGTGGGTGACAGGACTGGGGTAGACAAAGGTTCCCTGCGGTCCGCGTGGTTTCATAGCTGTCGTGTGCGTGTGCGCTAGGCTACCCGCGTATATCATGCCGATGAGGTTGTCAAAGGCGAACTGGGTGTGCTACTCTTGCGAACGCTCGGAGATCGTCGCGTACCTTCGTCTCCAACTTAGATTAGGGGAGTAGCATATCTTCGTTCACCAAGTTTTGTCGGTCGCGAGCTATGCCATGTTCGACAACAGCGTGTTGATGAGTAGCCTGTGGCATGCAAAGGCCATGCAGGTGATGCAGGACCGCTGTGCATGATGGGTGTGGCGAGCCTGCCTGCAGGGGCATAGGGGGTCGTATTTCATCCGTGGAGCGCTGCGAGGGAAATCTGGGGAAGCCTAAAAGGATAATGCGTGCCCAGCTGGCTGAGGCGTTCAGGCACGCTCTTTGAACCTCTTTCCTGTCGCTCTTGGAATTTCACCTTCTTTTGCGTGTGTGCGTGCTTGAAGCGGAAGCTGAAAGCTTACGGGCACACAACTTATGTTTCTCTGAGACAGTGTCTTGGAGCTGGTTCTATTCTTATTGAAATGTATCTGAGACCGGGGACGGTCGTAGTGGTGGTGGGGGTGACGTTAACGAGCTTGTCGACGATCATTGTGTTGTTAAGGTATGTCGACAACAACAGTAATATGTGGTCGACCTCTTGACTGATCCGGTGAACAGATACTACTGCCGTTGGTATCGTATGGGCGTCATCGGAGCCACTGACCATCTGATGTTCATCGCTTTGGTCAGTCCAAGATATTCGATGGACAAGACAGACACTTACACAGCATAGCTACTCACCTGGGGCAACACTGTTGTCAACTACTACCAAGATCAAACAAGCAGCAAATTTAAACCTAGCTTCTTCCGCATGCCTGTAAGACCTCGTCCGCATATCTGCCGACGCTTAATGCTCATGTTGGCGTAGGAGAAAAGACCGCAGATAGAAGTTGCCCTTCGAGGCACATTACTCGGATGGTATATCTACCGCATGATATACGGCGTCGCCCTTTGCTTCGTCAAGCTGTCTATCCTCTTCTTCTACCGCGCCATCGCCTCCCATCGCGCCTTTCGCCGCACCGTCTACGGCACCATCGTCTTCGTTATCGCCTACACGTTCGCCACCACCCTCGCCGCTGCCTTTCAGTGCGAGAATCCAGCCCAGAGCTTCGATGTCACAGGCTACCTCTCACAGTTCGACGGCGACCCCAACACTAAGAAGCCGCATTTCAAATGCTACGACCCTACACGCCTCTGGCTTTTCACGAGCGCAGTCAACCTCTTCACCGACGTCCTCATCTTACTACTACCTATCCCAACGCTGTTAGGTCTTCGGGTCCCCATGAACAAGCGCCTCGCCCTCGTAGGTATTTTCTCCGTCGGCATTATGGCCATCGTCGCCAGCTGCGTACGCATGTGGGTCATGGCGCTCTGGGCCGAATCCCCGCAGAACAGCGCTCTCTTCGGCTCCGATCTGCTCCTATGGGGCCAGGTCGAGGTCAACAGCGGCATCGTGTCTGCCTCTGTGCCCTTCCTGCGCCTGTTCTTCCGCGGTCGCGAGCGCGACCCGGACGAGAAACCCATTGCCAGGCGCAAGGTCAGGGAGATTAGCCCGCCAAACGTGGCATACCAAGGTGGCGGAAAGCCGTTGAGGATACAGAGCGTGGAGTTCTTCGAACAGGAGAGGGCGAGGAAGGGGGATGAGGAGGCGGGGAATGGGAGTTGGAGTCCTGACAGTCCTGAGTGGGGAGGGTTCATCACCGTGCCAGCGAGTCTGAGTAGTGGGAGTCGGGGGAGTGCGATGCTGGAGACACCTGTGAAGGCGCACACGACGGTTTAGGGAGTGGCAAGGAAGAAGAAAATGCATTTACTCCGGAAGTAATATAATGTGTAGTGGAGTTGGTGCAGTAGCTGGCTACTGTGTCGCTGCCTGTGTGTCGATTGAAAACATGGTATGTCCGCCTCTTGTACTTGGTTCACTGCTACATGGACATCCGGAACTGAACTTTCCTAGGAAGAGGCCGAGGATTGATCCGGATTCGAGACTGGATGGCTGGAACATGAGCTGAGATTTACCAAGGTCTGAGCGAGGCTACCTTGAGAATGTTTGATCTTTGTTGCGCCGAAAGGATACTCTGTACATTATGTCGATGTGATCTAAATATACTACAATGCATTCAGTGATGGGACAGAGAGGGCGAGGCTTCTGAAGGGGCGATCACTTGATGGTGCATATTAGGCTAACCGAGCCCCAGCTGTCAAACTCCCGCACCATGCACATGTGCCCAGGTGGCTCCCGATAGACCATCTCGAACGTCCACGGCGCTCCGGACGCTCTACGTTGGAAAATAGCAGCACGAGTCACCGTACCAGGCCACATGTGGGGAGGCGCCAACAGCTCGCCCAGATTCGCGTCTGTGCTGCGCCGCAGCGATCACGCTCGCCATCCACCCAGCATCCGGCCCCAAGCGCCGACCTGCATCCTGCATTCCGCCCTCACTGATCTATCTTCAACTCAAGTGAATAGCGTCTTTCACTCCCTTACCTCTATCTTTTTGTACAGCAGAATTACCCCGCCCCTTCATGTTGTGACGCGCAGCTAACTCCACAACCGTGGCTTCCTCACGCTTCTCTCGCCTGTTCCTGGTCGCGGTCGCCCTCTTCATCTCCTTCTCCGCAATCCTGGCGACTCTCCGCTTTGGCGTCCGCGCTCCCTCCATCCTCAACTACCTCAGACCCGCCAGGAACCCTTTCCAGTCGCAGTCTCAGCGCCCGCTCACCAACAGCAGCATGGCGCCCGCCATCTACAAGAAGCCCCCGCAGCTGCCGCCCAAGTTCACGGCCACGCCCGACAGCTTGGTCAAGGATACAAAGGCCTTGGTATGTTCATTCGCTCATTACAACCCCCGCTTGTGCATTTACTCGTATCTGTGAATGATGCGCGAGGTGTAGCACTCTAGTCACTGAGCTGACGTCGCCAAGATTGACAGGTCGCGGAAAATACAGGATGGTCTTGTGAAGGACGTAACGACCGCGAGCGCCAACTTCAAGAATGTCCTCCTTCCCGTAGCGCTCGACGACAACAAGATGGCCATCGAGTCCCACATCATCGGCTTCTACCAAGCCGTGTCCACGGATAAAGCCCTCCGCGATGCGTCGACCGAGGCAGAGAAGTTGCTGGACGATTTCAGTATCGAATCTAGCATGCGCGAGGACGTCTTCAGGCTCATCGACGCCGTCCTACAGAAGAAGGAGTCCCTGGATGCGGAGTCGCAGCGACTGCTCGAGAAAGACCACAAGTCATACATCCGGAACGGCCTCAACCTACCTGCGGGTCCAAAGCGCGACCGCTTTAAGGAGATCAAACAGCGGCTGAGCGCTATCAGCATCGAGTTCCAGAAGAATCTCAACGAGGAACAGGGTGGCATTTGGTTCACCAGAGAAGAGCTGGACGGTGTGCCCGATGATGTTGTGGACGGATTGAAGGTTGGCGAGGGCGAGACCAAGGGCAAGCTTTGGCTGACGTTCAAATACCCGGATCTGTTCCCCACGTTGAAGTACGCCACCAATGCGGAAACGCGCAAGCGTGTCTTTGTCGAGAACGAAAACAAATGCAATGACAACGTGCCTTTGTTCCGCGAGGCTATTCTCCTCCGGGATGAAGCCGCCCGCCTCCTTGGATACAACAATCATGCCGAGTTCCGGATAGAAGACAAGATGGCTAAGACGCCCAAGACAGTCGATGATTTCTTGGGAGACTTGCGCACGCGCCTTGCACCTGGCGGTCAGACGGAGATCAAGAAGCTATTGGAGCTGAAGCAGGAAGACCTCAAGGCGCGGAGTCTAGGTGATGATAACTCCAAGTACTTCCTCTGGGATCACCGCTACTACGACCGATTGATGCTGGAGAGGGATTTCCAGCTCGACCAGCAGGTTATTGCCGAGTACTTCCCTCTTCAAACCACCATCCAGGGTATGCTGAAGATTTTCGAAGAGCTCTTTGGTTTGGCATTCGTCGAAATTACTGGCGAGGACCGTACCGCACTGGCCGATGGAGGAAAGGGCTCGGATATTGTCTGGCACGAAGACGTTCAAGTCTTCAGCGTGTGGGATGATGAAGGCGAAGGCGCCGGCTTCGTTGGCTATCTCTACTTGGATCTTTTCCCCCGTGACGGCAAGTACGGTCATGCGGCGAACTTCAACCTACAGCCCGGTTACATTGACGAGAATGGCAAACGACGCTACCCTGCCACGGCTCTTGTATGCAACTTCTCAAAGCCGACACCGAAGAAGCCATCGCTGCTCAAACACGACGAGGTAGTCACGCTTTTCCATGAGCTCGGTCACGGTATTCACGACCTTGTCTCGAAGACCACCTACTCGCGCTTTCACGGCACGAATACGGTTCGCGACTTTGTGGAAGCGCCCAGTCAAATGTTGGAGAACTGGTGCTGGACGCCTTCGCAACTGCGGTCTCTATCACATCATTACTCGCATCTCTCCCCTGAATACGAGGCTGCATACAAAGAAGCATCAGGTGCAGACAAGAAGCCCGCTGATCAGATTCCCAATTCACTCATCGCGAACTTGATCAACACAAAGCATGTCAATGATGCGCTGTTCAACCTGAGGCAGCTCCACTTCGGCATGTTTGATATGACTGTTCACGAGCCAAAGAGCCACGAAGACATTGAGAAATTGGATATAACGAGTACCTACAACAGGCTTAGGCACGAGATCTCACAACTTAATGGACCTGAGGCCCTTGGTGGCGACTGGACCTGGGGCAACGGACAGGCTACGTTCGGTCACCTGATTGGCGGTTATGACGCTGGGTAAGTTGAACTCCGGGTGTCCGACCACCACAACCACAAGCTAATATATGTGGTAGTTATTACGGTTATCTTTCATCGCAGGTCTATTCTACAGATATGTTCTACTCGGTCTTTAAGGAGGATCCGATGAACGGCAAGGAAGGTCGACGGTACAGGCACACTGTCCTCGAGCGCGGTGGTAGCAAGGAGGAGATGGATATCTTGGAGGAATTCTTAGGACGCAAGCCGAGTACTGAGGCTTTCTACAAGGAGCTCGGCATCTCGAAATAGAGGTGCGGGTTTAGAGGAGGCGATGATATACCACACTAGCTTGCATTGTGGCAGCTAGGCCATCAGATCTTGAAAATGAATTCGTTCCCGAGTTGCAATGATGCAGGGAGCGAACACTCGAGTCTCAGAACGTGGATGACATGTAACCTGTCAATAGTACATGCGTGCTCTCAACGTCAACATGAGGTACTGACAGTGCATTATGGGATGTTTTGCTGGTGGCCGCATTGCGGCAACAATCCAGAGGTCGTTTATGCTCAGATGACAGAGTCTAGGCTACGCACTGTCTTGACTGCGAACGTGATGTTCCCCCGTAGTTGACAATTAATAGTGGGACTACTCCGAGACGCCCGCGGAGGGGTACACGGATCCCTGTTGCCCCACTATGAACAACACTTATCTTCCTGCGCTGCACCAGATTGTTGTAACTTTCTTGACACACAAAAGCCTATGCGCAAACTGCTGCTCAGGACCGCAATCGCACGCACGCCTGGACCCTGCTCCCCACCATCGCGAGCGTCCCACATCACGGACGCATTCCGCCTCTACACCCATCACTCCTGCACGACCCCAACATCCACCATGGCCGACATCACCCTCTCTAGCCTCTCTTATATATCCCGCGAAGAGCTCGCCGAGCAACTACGTAATTCGTCCTCCGCATCGTTCCTCCCCTCCAACCTCGCCATCATCGACGTACGAGACAGCGACCACATCGGCGGGCACATCCGAGGCAGCACATGGGTCCCTTCTAACGAGCTGGACTACAAGACCCCTGAACTCGTGCGGAGTCTCAGGGACAAGGATATGGTGGTGTTTCATTGTGCGTTGAGTCAGCAAAGGGGGCCGAGCGCGGCATTGAGGTATCTGAGGGAGAAGAGGAGGTTAGATCCGGGGAGTAGGAGTGAGGCGAAGAATGGGGCGGAGGTCAGGGAGGGCGGAAAAGAGAAAGAGGGGAGGGGAAGGCGCAAAAGGTACTGGTGCTGAGGGGTGGGTTTACTCAGTGGCAGGAGAAGTATGGGCCGGATAAACAGTTGACGGAGGCGTGGCAGAAGGATATTTGGGAGTTTGGGTATTGAAAGGAGAGGAGAGGAGCAAGACCACTGGTCGAGAGCAGCACCGTGCGATTTGACTTGGGTGCATATTCAAGATAAGGCGGAGGTCGAAGCATAGGGCGGAGACGTGACAGCCCATGATGTTCCTGGTCAATGTTTGGAACGATGTCAAACCCAACATGACGTTGACGATAGCCACTTTGGTCGAAAAGTCTCGGTACCGCAACCATGGGTACCACCATACAGCAATCCAACATCAACAATACAATTTTTGCCAAAAGGCAACACCAAAACGTCTCAGTACTTTCCAATTCAGATTCGTCCAGCCACAGTCGCCTCAAAATACCAGACCACACTACAGCACCGCGAGATCACCCTTTATTCCACCGCTTACCTAGAGATGGCGGCGAAAAGGTACATGACTTCTGCGAGGTAGAGGGAGACGATGGGGGCTTAAGTGGGACGAGTAGTTCCTGCCGGGGAAGTGAGATCGACTGGTTGATTTGGTGTAGTGGCGAAGGGGCGTGGTGGAAGGTCTATTGATATGGAAAATGAATAGGAGGGTGATGGTGTTGGGGCTCGACGTGATGATTGCGCAGGCCATTCCGAAGTTTGAAGACGATACAGCACGACGATGATGGAAGCGCGGTCGTGAATCGGAAAATCGCATCTACATTTATCAATGCCGCCACCACAAACATGCAGCAAGGTTACCATCACTGCCTTATCATCAGTGCAATAGACTCCTATCCACCCCCCAATGACAACCACGCACATACCAAACGCCGTCTGTTACAATCATGCCTCTCCAAAACCAGCACTCATACATTGCGCAGCGGCCCTACAGACGCCTACCACGCGATCTGTTCCCCGCAGTTTCACGCTCCATCATTTCCAGCAGCGCGTCTTCGCACTTGTCATCAATCCTCGCACCACTGACTCCTCCAAACCAACGTTTACCACAAACCCCCCTACAAGACCGCCCGCTTCAGCCCCTACCAACACTCCACAAGCATCTCCGCTACCTCTCAGCCCTCCCAATAACACCAACGACCCTACCACTCCAAGCGACCTTCCCTTGTGCCGCGCACCGCTGCGCGACTATCTTCTTCCGTCGGAACCCCAAGTCCAGCGCCGGCATGCTGTGCCGCAAGCATGAGCGGCTTCTCCACGAGAGCTGCACTATCATGCATGCGAGCTGGTTCCAAGATGGAGAGACTGCGATGGGTTTGACGCCGGTGCTGTACGTAATGTGGCAGGGGAGGATGTTGAAAGCGAGGGAGAGCGGGAAGAAAGTGGGACCGGGGAGGGATTGTGTGTTTGTGCATCAATCTGGTGTGCATGAGACACATATCTTATAGATTATCTACCGCCTTCCACTTCTCCACTAACTCCTTCCTCTTCCGCTGCACAGGCCATACATGCGCCCCCAGCATCTTCTCAAACACACCCAGCAAACACCCGCGCTCGCGCTCATCCGTGAAGTAATCCCCATACAGCGAGATGGCCATGGTCGCTGAGACCAGTGCAGGCTTACAAGCCGGGTTGCTAAACGCAATACCACATAGCTTGAGAATAATTCCGCGGACGAGAGCCTCCGCCTTGCGCTGCATAGCACGCGTGACCGCAGGGGTGGATGGCGTGTTACTAGAGGGCTTTTCGGCGACGAGTATCATGCGTGCCAGCTCTAAATGCTGGACCGACACAATTTGCGCGTCGGACGCGTACCAGATTGAGGGGAACGCTTCATTTTGGGCCGGGTCGGCGGCGCGGGAGTAGATGGGCATCAAGTCGGAGGCATAGCGGTCCTTGAAGTGTTGCTGCTCTACATGTAATCTGACTGTGTTATATTAGCTTCAACAAGGAAGTAGAGAAGCTTGGATTAGTATACTCCACTCTTCATCAGTCTTTGCTCCCCAATTCCATCTCGTGACCTCTGCAGCATGCATTACCAGTCTATTTGCTGTCGACACAGGGCCGAAATGATACTTGTCGAACATCATCTTGGGCGCTTCCTCGCGCATGAAAGACTCATATACTTCTTGTCTGACGGCGATCCAGAATGCGGCGTGCGCTAGTGTTCTATTCGCGAAAGTCGGCAACGATGCGCAGGTGTCTATGATGCCTTGCGTGACGGCAAGGAAGTTCGCTCGCTGTTCCACAGCACTGGTTTCTGGGGTTCGTATGTTACCGGTGGTTTCGGCCTCTTCATACATCTCTTCGTACTGACGCAGGATCACGGCGGCTGCGATGATGTTCTCCTGATATGCTTCGTCTGTAGCGTTGTGGAATTCGAACAGGAAGGGTATGCATTTTAGCATATATTCAACTGCAGTCGTGGTATCTAACGTAGAGAGGAGACTGTCCTGGTAGCATATCCCTTCAGGATTTCTGTATTTTGGGTCGTGGGCTAATCGTCGTGCCGCGACTGCGCATATCGCGTGAAGAAGTGGCGGACATTGCAACGCACGCTTGGGTACAAGGAGCTGAAAAAGTCGACGGTCGTCATTGGTATCGAACTGTCCCTTGCTTAACTCCTGTATTGCGATCAGTTCAGACAAGCATACCAGTTGTGCTATCTCTTCGATGTAGTAGCGGAGAAGACACGCCTCGAGAACATCGGAAAGCGGTTCAATTGAGATGCCAACGAATTGTGCTGGTGTGTTGATGTTATTGCTGTCGAACGTGGTTGCAGGAGAAAGACTTGAAGCACTGGGCTCGTGTGGACCAAACTGAGTACCAGGTAGTGGCGAATGAACGTCTAATTCCTCAGACTCTTCCGCTGTTACGGTAGAGATCATCTGCAGAGCCATACTGTAATGCACGCTGGCACTTGAGCCAGTCGCTACGACAGCAGCTTCTTCAGCATCGTTGACATCGTTAGAGTCATCGATGTTGTCAGCGTGACATCTGGATCGTTTCGGAGGACGTATTTGATGGCCTGAACACATGTCGTCGCCCATGATCGACTCTGCATCTGCTGAGCGGCCGAGTTCAAAGGATCTCGATGTTTCCGCACGCACGTCGTTTATAATACCAGAGTCTCTCGTTTTTGCACTTTCGGTTCCTTGTGTATCAAATTGTACTGTGACCCCATCAGTTCAAGTACGTCAATAGGAAGGAGTGGTGTGTAAGTAATACGGTGCATAGATCCTGTATCAACCCAGTGCTGATCTTTCTTGAAGTCGGCATCGTATTTAGCTGCAGACCCCTGGCGAAAGACGCCTTTTACACGCGTGCACTCGAGGCCTTTGGTCTCGCATCTTCTACATTTGGGTGTCTTGTCGTCGCCTCGTAAGGAAGATTAGCTGTGTCTCAGAGCGCTCTGGGAAGAAGTTACATTTTATGTGTCTACCTGTACCAGAAGTCAAGCATAAGTTTACTGTCGTCTATCTCACATTTTCAACTCAGTCCTCACCTTTACAATTCAAGCAGGCATCAACCGACTTCTTGGACATGGTTTGTCAGGATCAAGGGACGCGTGTCGTGCCCGCGGTGTTCACAGTGTGGCAGATGGGGGAAGTCCTCCGCTAGGGTGGCGCGGGGCATGACAAAATCGTAGTTTTCCCCGCACCTTCCTAGTACCATGCGCAACTGAAATCGGAGGCTGTGCAGCCGCATCAAATGCTTTCATATTCAATTCCATGCTCATGCCACTCGCTTACCCTGCTCATCAAATCTGGACACATTTCCAGAGCTCAGTGCGTCCTGCAGCGCCCTACCAATCTCCATAACTCGGATTCCCTTCTCAAGCGGCAAGGGGACAGGCTCATCCTTCAGCACCGCATTGACAAATTCATTGGCCTCGAGTGCAAAGGCATCCTCGAACCTTTGCCAGTATTCCGGCTGGACCTCATGTCGCATCCCAAGCTTATCTGCTAGAACAACATTATTCTGTGCAGGCACAACATTGACCATGATCTTGCCTTCGGTTCCGGTGATCTCAGTACAGACATCGTGTCCATGAGCCTGGGTTCTCGAGCAGTAGAAGTATGCCATCTTTCCGCCGTAGAACTCGACGACACCAACCGCGTTATCGACATCGCCGTACTGAGCTAGCTCGGGGTGGTGCTTCAGAGTGCCTGTGGCCCAGCATGCCTTGGGGACTGGGTCTGCAAGATACCAGAGGGAGAGGTCAATGTCGTGGATCGCACAGTCGACGAAGATGCCACCGTTGCGTGACGCATACTTTACGAAAAAGCCTGTGGTGTCGCGGAGGTCGCAGGTGTTGGATCGCACGAGGAAGGGCTGGCCTATTGCACCTTGGTCCAGGACTTTGATGGCGGCATCGCGGTAGGAAGCATCGAATCTTCTGCTGAAACCGGCCATAACCTTGAGCTCTGGATGCTTCTTTGCAGCATCGACGACTGATTGTGCCTATCAAGTGTCAGTTGAGAAGGCGTAGCTAAGCTGAAAGATGTACTTCTTCCAATTCTGTGCTCAGGGGCTTCTCGCAAAGAACATGTATGCTCTTGCTCACGGCAGCCAGTGTCTGGCTGGCATGGACATCGGTCGAAGTAGAGATCCACACAGCGTCTAGACCGGCGTGTTGGAGCATCTTGTCGTAGGCATCGTAGACGGCGATACCAAACTCTTTGTATTCGGTGTTGTCGGTTGCCCATTGGATCTCACGAGGCTCGGTGCTGCACACGGCAACGACCCGAGCGCGTGCGACACGGTTGATCAGGGTGTGAACATGGCGTTTGCCCTGCAGTCTGGATGAGAATCATGTTGACGAATGCGAGCAAGAGGAGTCGGGTACCATTCGACCAAGTCCCACGACGGCGATGTTGAGTTGCTTTGCTTCGGTCATGGTTGTGATTTCGTTGGCGACAACAAGGAGAGAGGAGTGTGGTGGTGCTGAATTCGCAGGAGCGTACGGCGCGGATCTTTATACATTGCGCCGCTCCTATGAGTTCTCCGCATCGTCAAGAGGACTGCTAGACGTAGTAATCATTTGGAGATGCATACCAGACAGGAAATCACGGCGTTCGGGGGCGGGAGAGCATGGCGGCGGAGCCCCTTCCCAAAGCGGAGGCGCCAGTGAGAGGCAGGTGCAGAAGGCGGAGCTCCTGCCTGATGCAGCGTCCAAGCGGAGGGGGCAAGCGCGACCCGCTTTTAATCTAGCGCACCTTGCGAGAGGTAAGGTGAGAAACCCGTGTCTCGCTCCCATGTCACCACAGCGCACGCGGCGAAGGCTCGAACAAGATGGCAGGAACAGATAGCATATGGAACAGAAAGAGAGACCTTGTGTACTTGGCCTTCTTCTTGACGCACATACCCGTCATGCTTGGTGAGTGCGGCTGAGCGAGACAAAAAGGAGGTTTTGCTTGCATCTGCCCTATCTGCAGACGAGATGCTTCCCGAGATACTACACTGTACGCAAGCTAATAGGAACCCAGCGTTCGATCTTACCTCTTACTACCCGGTTGCTGTTAAGCCAAGCTGGATGGCCGACGTCCGCGGCTGGTACGTCGCTACCTATGGCGACCGATTCTTCTACAACCCTCCGTAAGCGAGTCCCAATCTGATCTTATGATTCAACCCACCTTGGCTAACAGATGCAGTCCCTGGTTCTCCACCTTCACCTTGCTGGAGCTGATTTACCACCTGCCATTCAGTTTCTGGGCTATACCTGCATTGATCAGAAATGACCCGCGTTTACCCCTGGCATTGCTTGTCTTCGCCCTTGAAACCAGCGTTACTACTGTGACATGTTTGGCAGAGATGCTGAGCTGGGAAGAACTGACATCTGCGCAGCGAGGCGCGCAGGGTTTGGGTGGAATGGCAAGTCTCCCATCACAAAGTGGATGCGTGTTTCCTGCCAAGCAAAAGAAAGACCATCTTTATCTAGTCACGACATGAAAAAGACTCTCTTCTTTGCTTAGCTAAGACACGAGCCAATGTACCATCCCCACTTCTTTGAAACATACACTGACTTTGTACCTTCGGGTTTGGCAGTATGGGGCTTATCTGGCCGTCGGTAAGTCCTTAACCTTTCGGTCATAGTCTGGATAATACATGAGCGATACTCACTGCAGTTCAGGCGTATTCATGGCGGTAGACTGTTATGCACGTCTCGACCGGATACTGAGCCAACAAAAGGGTATCACGCCTGTCACCAAGAAGAGATTGTAGGAGGTCTCGGCCTACTGGCCTTCCAGCAGCAGCATGTGCATTCATAACAAACTGGCCAGTTAGGATGCTACTGCTCAAGTGTGCTCTGTACGAATGTGTGGGAAGAACGCGTGGGGCCTTCGGATGTCATCTTTCCTACGCAGAGATTCGCCTTTTTGTTTCCTATACTAGTTCTCACACCTTACCAGCCGCCTTCTCCGTCTCCAAATGAACAGCCTGCGCGTTGGTCTTGGTGCTCTTCTTCACGCTACGCGTACTCAGCGCGCTTGCAATGGCACATATGCCAAACGCAATGGCTACTAGATACACCACCCTAAATGCTCCTACATACGACGTCTTGACAGCCAGCATTGCCGCTTGGATAGTCTCGGGGCTGATACCGGACACCTGGGCGTATGCAGCCGGCGTGTGTTCAACGCCGTAGCATTTAGCAACGCAGAGAACGACCCCGAAAACCCAGTATCGTCCACTATGCGTTGCAGTGTCGGGCTTATATTGGCAGCGTACCGCGAGGTGTAGATAGAGACATAGATACTCGTCGCTACAGCGCCTCCAATAAGCCGGAATGTAGAAATCAACCCAACAGCGACACCGATGTCGGTTTGATCATCGAGCCCCAGACTGACCATGCCGAAGCTGAGCGGGCTTGGCGGTAGATTGCATGCCGCGACGATGACTACGGTAGCAATGGCTTGTGCTTTGTCATTGATCCCGATGCTGGCCATGGACCCGATGAGCGCAGTTTGGACTGTGATGAAGCCTGTAAGCTGCCATCGTTCGTGGCCTAGAATGGGCATCAAGCTGACGCAGTACCATCCAGCGATGATGGTGCCGAAGGAGACCATATTGGCATATACGCCTCGGATGATAGTGTCGTTGGAATTGAGAAAGAGAAGTGTCGACTGCCGCGGCCAGAGGACGTTCATCGAATAATAGAGCATACCAGCGACGAAACAGACAACGAGGAGAGCTGTAAAGTCCCGCCAATTCTTGAACAGTTTGGGAGGGAGTATCGGGTATTCCAAGGTGGCGTATATCTCCCAGAAACCTAGGCCGACAAAACATGCAAACGCAATCATGATAGGTGCGACGACGTACGCACTGGACCAGGGATACGTGACGCCTCCCTGCATAGCATTAGCGTCCAAAGAGTTCGACATCCCGAGAAACCTAGAGAACTTGCCCAGTTCAGGCCTAGTAGCAACAACAGGCATCCCGCAGTGAACAACCACAACCCAACGTGATCCATTTCCTTGACCAGCTGCCACTGTCCCTTCCCATCGTCCTCATGCTTCGTCTCAAAAGTAGGCGGCTTGTAGAAAAACCACAGCATCACGGCGGTCGCCGTCTCGAAAGCGAAGCAAAACCAGTAGCAAGCCCGCCAGCCGATCTCCGTATACGCTACGAACGCATACGCAATCAGCGGCCCAAAACTACTGACATGATTTGCGAAGATCATAACGCCGAGCGTAGCGAAGCGATATCGATTCGGCACCAGCTCCTGCGCACATGCGAAACACATCTCCTGGAAGCCACCGCCAAAGCCGAACAATACGCCCGAGACGATCATTTGCGTGATGGATTGGCCTGTCGCTCCGACAAGGGCACCTATGGCAGCGGATATGGCACCTGTGAGGAGAAACCAGCGGCGACCGAAGATGTCCGCAAGGCGGCCACCGACGGTCACGATGATGGCGGCTCCGAGGTTCCAGCAGACGGTTATCCAGGGGTATTTTGGATCGGGGCCTAGGTCTGCGTTGATGTAGGCGAGAATGGCAGCTGGCATGATGAGTGTGAACAAGTACGATTCGTACATCATGATGAGGGACTGCGGAAGATGTCAGTCAATTTTCGTCCAGTTGAGCAAGCAAAAGCGTACAAAGATGGCCATCTTCGTTTTGAACGTGATATGAGGGCGTTCTTCAACTTCACCAATGGGTGGTGTCGAGACCTTCGCGTGATTGCTCGACTCGGAAGCCTTTGGGATCGTATCGACCTTCTCAAGCCTCATCTTCTCGTCAGCGACTAACATCCTCGTTATTCCGTCGTAGGTCCGCAACGAACAAAGTCTGATCGAGAGGCGCGTAGTAGGGATTGGTAGAGAGGAAGACCGTTCAACATCCCCGCAGCAAAGAATCATTTTTGCTGGCGAAACCGGCGATCAGGGCGTCAGACCATCCCACCGGTGCCGCTCATGCATGCAAGCCATCAACCTATCCTAGAAATGCGAGAGACCTGTTCCGGCAAGCCGTGAAACCTAAGCGATCGCTAGTCAGGTATAGGTTCCTACAAGGCAGCCACCATGTAAAGTAAACTGAAAGCACGAGCAGGTAGTCGTGACGCAGAAGTTCAGGTCTCTTGAGGAGCGTGTGGACTGGATCACTAGATATTCGCATTCGACTCGGGCTTTCAACAATCACAGTCAGACTTTGTTCAGATCCAATCATGACATCTCGACTTGTGGACACGTTCGCTTACGAGTCAACGCCTTGCGCCCGTCAACATGTCGCTTTGTGGCACAGTGCGTCCTGAGTAACGAGCAGCATGGGCCCAAGACGCTACCATTGGTTTCTGAGAGAAGTTTCCGAAGGCTATTCTTAAATGGGAAGGAAAGGGGGGGGTAGCAATGAGAGTCACTCGCGATAAGGTAAATTATGCCCCAAAACCACATGCACGTTCAGCTGGAGTATGTAACATATAATACGATGCATCATTGTCTCCGGAAGTGGAGCTGCCTGTCACCCCCGCATTCCGGAACTTTGCGTCGCGTTGCTGACTCGTGGGGCATCTTACTCCGAGTCTGTGAAGAAGGCCAGATCGAGAATGGCTAGATGCCGTCGTGGAAAATGCGGAGGCGGGGAGGATAAATGGTGTAGTGGCGGAAAAGTGATGCCGAACCGGGTGGTGAATCATTAGCGAGTTGCGGGGAAACATTTAGCGACGCTCAGCCCACTCACGCGTTGTAGTCAGGACGGAACATGCTTGAGGGTATCAATTCATCAGTCGCACCGTCGTAATTGCATAGCCGGCTCCGCCGAGGCTCTGCTTAAGGCTTACGACACCACAACCTACTTGCACGCAGCTTCGCACTTATAGTGGTGAGCGAGACCTCTGCCGCCTCGTCAGCATCTTCACCTCCATCCAATGCCGAGCTCTGCCTTCGCAACGACGCATGGCTTCCTCTCCTTTGGCCCCTATTTTTGCTTTCTATTCCGCCTCTTTGCCCACTCTGCCTCCTTATTTGAGGCTCTGATAAACTCATCCTCTTACTATGGAGTACGCATAGACCCTTGCTAGGTCCTCTATACTTCGCGTGCAGCGGACACAGTGGGCTAGTTGGCAGATGTTCCGGAATGAGCCACTCCAGCTTGGCTAACTCCTCCACGCCGCACGTTGCAGGGTTTTTGGAACTCATCAGGTCGGTGCCCGCACGGCCCCAGTTCACATCTGTGAGATAGTGTGGAGGCGTGACCGGGGTGCATGTTTCACCAGTGGGTGTTGGTATAGTAGGAAAAGGAGGATGGTTAGAGGGTTCAACCTGTGAGTCAGACATAGGATCTCGGGGAGAGTCTTCGGATGGCGAATTGTTTTGCTGGAGGTCGGTAAGCTGTGACATAAGTAGTGCGTCCGAGTCCCAAACACCACCTGGCGAAGCCGGAGATTTGTGCGTGTGTACACCTTGGTGGTCAAAAAAGAAATCGGCGAGTTTGCCCTTGACCTCACCGTTCGCATCGAACATTGGCGGTGTTGGAACACGGTGGAGTCCTGGAGGTACGAATGACGGCGGTACTGGCATCTTCTCTATGACCCTCAAGTCAGGGATTACCACTGATTGTTTGCGGCGCCCGTGCGATTTGTCTCGTCTTGTAGAAGAATTTGCCGCCATTGATTGTCGTTCTGGTCGCTTGAGCTTCAGGAAACGCGAGAATGCAAAGGGCGATTGTGCTCGTTCGGATCGTGGAGTTGCGCTTAAGTCATTAGACGAACCCCAACGAAATCGATGAGAGCGTGAACGTGTCCCGGCCTCCTTCAGCACCTGTTCGAGTCGTGTGTTGTCACCCAGAAATGGTCGGCTACTGGACTCATGCGAGTTCCCGGGCTCTTCATCGCTCGACCTCGTCGCTTTTTTGGGATTGCCCCACCGGATCCGACTAAGTATAAGTCCCTTAGGAGCTTTGATTGTGGGGGTTCCCAACCGAGGTGTTTGTAAGGGGGTGTTGGGATTGCTCTTGGTGGACAATATTGGCTCATCGCCTTCGGTGATTATAACAGGTGCTGTCTTCGGACCTTGGCTATTCCACTTTAGAGGCTTATCTTCAATCCAAGGCGTTTTGGGACTGCGAGGTCGAGAAGGTATCAAGCTCGAGGATTCAGCAACTCGCATGCGACTTCGGGGTGGAAGATTAGGTAGCTTGAAGTTGAGTTGCATAACTTCCTTCTGCGCCAATTGCCTGCGATCCTTGAGTGTCATTTTTGCTGGCAAGATGGGCTTCGGAGCTGGCATCTCCACTCTGTCCGACGTGCTCTCGGGCAATCGATGAACCGTGGGATTCGTTTTCGTCAAGTCCAGCTGACCTTCCGACTCGCCTTTCTTCTCCGCTGGATGGAACATGCGCATATCTGGGACATGTCTTATCATGCCTCTCGCCAATTCGCTAATCGAAGATCTGTTGGTATCTGTCCGTGATGGAGTAGGGAGTGATGAAGATCCAGAGAGGTCTTTCGTAGAAGTCCGGGACAGAGGTTCCATCTTGGAACCTCTCGGCCAGCCATCCTCCCAAACGCCGGCCTTGGAATCCGTTTTAGAGAGTTCTTCGAGTGTTGGTGGAGTACGAGGCGTGGGCGGCGAGCGAGGACATGAGGGGGGCTTGTGTGGCTCTTCGACATGTCCTACTTCCCAAGCAAACCCTTCCCGCCTATCCTCAACTCGCGGTGATGAACCTTGTCATAGCGTAATCAGCTTGTTAAGCGCATATCGATGAGCCCTGCATCAACTTACCACCACCAGGTGTCAACGCCGTATTGTGTAAAGCATCCGCATGCTCTTTCAACGATGTGTAGTGTCTAGTGATGCCCTGCCTTGGTGTAGCTGCCCGACGGATGTCATTGTCATCGAGGGACTGTGCGTCTGTTTGTGGTACCACGAGATGTTTGAAAACGCCAGGGCGACTGGACTCAACCTCTGCGCAGTTTGCAGACGAACTCGCCGACATGCACGTCTGTAGGCGAGATGTTACCGCAATACGCTGCAGGCGCTTGTTTCCGCTCGATTTGGTACGATGAAGGGACGAGAGACGGGTGGAGGAAGGATTGTCATAGGAAAACGGCGATGGTAATACGGATGCGGATGCACCGCCAACAAGACAGGACACGGCCGTTCTGCAAGTCAAATGAAGAGATTGCGCTAAAGTTCAGGGAAGCTGTGAGCGGCCACGGCCCCAAAGAGGAAGGAGCCATGCATGATATGTTCTAGAACGGACAGCCCACCTTCCAAAAACCGCGAAGCAGACTGATCAAGTCCGACATACAAAAGATAAATCTCAACGCCGCGTAATGCAACCCCGGCACCCAAGCCTGATACCAAACCCAAGCCACATACATCCGAGAAGTGCCCCAATCATTCATTCGTGATATAATCATGATACAGCTTCGCTACCTATGCGTAGCGGACGTGTTAGTTGGGATAATCATGACAGTACTCGTACCGTCAACAAATCTTGTGCGGAACAGGCGGTTCGCATTGTCAAACATGCCGTCCTTGAGACTGACGATGATGAATTGTGAGCCTGTGAAGCGCTCTTTGATAATACGACCAATGTTCTGTGTATGCGACGGATCCAATGCCGAGTCGACCTCATCTAGGATGTACATGGGCGCTGGCTTATATTGAAGTAGCGCCAGGATGAGCGCGAGTGCTGCCAAGGAACTATCACATGTTAGATCACTACATTTCCCTGATGCATGACGGACTTACCGTTGACCACCACTCAACTCGGTCAAAGACTGCTTCCAAACTTTGCCCAGCATGACCTTGATATCGAGACCCTCTGAAACAGACTTCCCTTCCAACGGGTCCAGCTTGGCGAAGGCACCCGGCAAAAGGTCGTTGAAGATGTTACCGAAGTAGCCGTTGACCTTAGCCCACGTCTCCTCGAGTTTATCATGCTTGTACCTGTCTAGCTTCTTTATCGTCTCCTCGATCTTCTGCTTGTCCTTGATGACGATGGACATGTTCTTTTTCAAGCTCACTTCCTTCTTCTCGACGCTATCGATCATCGCCATGACCTTGGGATTGATCTTGTTCTTCATACCACGCAATCGCTCATCCATTGTCTTCCGTCGGTTCTTGCAGTCGGACATGTTCTGCCCTCTGAAATCATATACGGTGCCGGACCGTCCAAACAGCTCGCTTTCCTTCTCAATCCAGTCGTGCTCTTTTTCGAGCGCTTGAACCCTGCCCGTCGCCTCGTCGCGTTCCTTATCGAAGCGCTCGATATCGTGACCCAGCTTCTTCTTCTCCAGGTCTGCCTCCGTGATCGACGCATTCTTGATCTTGATCGCTTCCTCTAGTGCTCGCAGTTCGTCATCGAAGCTTGTAAGCTTCTTTTGTTCGTCCGCAAGGTTGGCTTGGGCTACGTCATGGTCGTGTTGTACTCTAGCTTGCTCTGCAACAAGAGCATCAATCTCCTCTTGCGAGTTGCTTAATGTCGTTTGGGCCTCCTCCAACTGCTCCTTTGCCGCTGCAAGGTCTCCCGCAACGTGATCAACTACAACCTTGGCTTCTCGAGTCTCGGCTTGAAGCGGCTTGAGAGAAGCGCTGTTCTTGACCAAAGCCTTTTTGAGTTTGTCGAGCGAAGATTGCAACTCCGCGAGCTTGCTGCCTTTGTTGCTGTTGAATTCCTTCATGTCTTTGTCGATCCGCCTGATGTCTTTTGAGGCTTCGTCTTGCTTAGACTTGGCGGCTTTAATGCTTTCTTTAAGCTGGACAATGGATTGCTTCATCTCTTCAACAGCCTGGATGATCGATGAAGATGAGTTCCCACTAATCTGGTTTTCTGTAAGCTGAATTGCATGCGTCTTGAGATCGAGCTCCTGCTTCAATCGCTTGGCGCCATCAAGCTTCTCCTTTCCCCTGGCCATAGTCGCTTGGAGTTCAGCAAGTTGCTGCTCCTGGGCTTTGAGTTCACTAGTGATCTGGTTGAACTTCTGCAAAGTCACCAGAACGCCGCTCGACTGAGGTGCGCTCCCTCCGGATAGCGTTCCCTGAGGGTCGTACACGTCGCCTTCCAAAGTAACGCTCCTGGTCCGCGAGCTACCGAAAGCGACGACCTTAGCTGTTGCAGCATCTTCACAAATAAACGTGTTCCCGAAAACAAATTCCATGGCCACGGAAACCTCATCGTCATAACCTATCAGAGACAAGGCCAAGTTGGCTTTGCCAGGGGCTTCATGCTGAGCAACACCAATCTTCTCGGCAGAGGCCTTGAAAGCCTTTACCTTGTTCAGTGGTATAATTGTGTAGCGCTTCTTGAGCCTGCCATTCTGGATCAATTGTTTGCTTGTCTCTGCTGTGTCGACGACCACATTGTAAAGCCGGCCACCAGCGCAGATTTCCAGAGCAGTTCCAGCACGGGTGTGGTTCTCATTGAGCGTAAAAAGCTGCGCGACCAAGCCCTTGACGCGTGATCGATCAAAATTTGGTGAGGGATTGTCGTAGCTGAAGTCTATATTGGCGACCTTCCTCTTCAGAGCATCAGCTTCACGTCGCAATTCCTGTATTCGTGCATGCAGATGCGATTCCTGCTGGTAGAGTCCTGCTTCCTGGCCAGGGACGAAGCCCAATCTCGACAGCTCCGCTTCCAACTTTTGAGCTTGAATTTTTTGAGCTTCTAACTCCTTCAGCAACCCGGAGTTTTGCTCTTTAGCCTTTTTAGCTTTCGGCTCGTCCTCCTTGATTTGCTTCTCTAGGTGCGCAATCTTAAGCTTGCTTTGTTCTTGTTCGGTTGCAGCTGCGCTTTCTCTGTTTCTGGCTTCTTGAAGCTTGCCTTGGTACCCGCTCTCTTGGCCTTCTTTTGACGCCACACCAGTTTGGAGCGTTTGCAGTAGCTCTTCTTTCTCGCTGACATCCGCGGTCTGCTTCGTCAACTCCTCATGGGCCGCGCTGTACTTCTGCTCCAGCTTCTCGTGGGCCTTGGCCTTTTCCTGCAGTTGTCTCTCCAGGTCTTTGACACTCTCCTCGATGGTCCGCATGCGATCGACTTCCTCCGATATGCCGGATTTCTTGAGATCGAGGACAGTTGTTAACCGCACCAGTTCGTGAGAATGGTTCTTGACCTCCTCATCCAGTGCTTGAAATTGTCCACCTTTGCGGAGTTCCTTTTCGCGCGTCGCTTTCACTTTCTTGATGTCCTCCTGGATGTATTCGATCTCCCCCTTCATCCGCGCGGCCGATTGATCCAGAAAGTCTGCGCGCTGCTTCTTCGCTTCAAGATCGTCTACAGACTGACGCAGCCTCTCCTTGTATCTTAAGTAGTCATGAGCGACGACAAGGCGCGTCAATCGTTCGAGGTCGCCTTGTGTCTGTTGGAAGTCTAGAAAGGCGCGCTTCTCCTGGCGCAGTTTGTCGAGCTTAGGTCCAATCTCGTCGTTCAGGAGTCCGTTGAGCTCCTGAACTTTCAGTTCCTTTTTCGTCAGGGTTCTGAGCGCCTTATCTCGTCTGTCGTCGTACATTCGTGTTCCGGCGGCCTCCTCCAAGAGCGACAGTATCTCCTTCGGTTTCATGCTCAACACTTTTGTAATGTATCCCTGTTGAATCAGGAAGTTGGGGTTGTTGATGTTGAGCTGGACAGATTGAAATAGGTTGTGAACCTGTTGTTGCTGCGCGCGCATTCCGTTGACAAGATATTTGCTAGTCCCGCCAATTACAATTGTCCTCGTTACTGAGATTCTGTCGTGAGTCTCGAAACTGACGGGGCTGTTCGCTTTATCACGGTTGTCGAATACGATTGTAACGCTCGCTTTCGTGACACCGGCCTGTCCACGCTTGTATATAAGGTCCTGCATGCGACCGTCAGCATACCACTCATCTCTGACCGCGCGTGCTCGTCCCGCACCTGGAGATTTGACGCTCGCACAGAGGTCAGGTTCGTGAGGCCAAGCACGAAACATATTGAATCGAGTATGTTGGACTTTCCGGAGCCATTCAGCCCGGTAATGGCGTTGAAACTGCTGTCCCTGCTTGCTGTGAGCGCTTGCCAGCTTCGCGTTTGGGTTGGCCCTCCAATACCAATCCTTGATAACGGTACGGACCGCGTACGACTTGTAGCCCTGGAAGCGGTTTAGTAGTGGCCGCTTGAGTATCGAGGCATACGCACGTCTATCACCAGCTCCACGATCTTCATGGTGGTGGCATGTGCTGTTGTTTAGGCGGATGTAGGTGGGCTGTTTGTTTGTTGTTGCGCGCTTTCCTTTTCGGGCACACAATCTTGGCGACGCCAAATCACGTGCGCATGGATCCACCTGGGCACCTGCACACACGCGTCTTTATAATAATTGAACGAATTTGACCCCGAAGACCTGATAGCACGTCAATTCCAACGCCCACACACTGCAGAGCACTAGACGATTCCGACGCTAACTGAGAGATGACATGTTCTGCGACATGGTGGCGTAAACGTACCATACATGTAGGTATCTAATCGCCTCGACTCGGGTCGCGTATCAAGGTAGCCTCAGTTGTGCCACTGTCGTCGATTCCGTCCTTAAAGGAGCAACCACGCTAGAAGAGACCAGGACAGTATTTGCCGTCGCAAATCGTGCGACCACGAACGCGGCTCGGACAAGACTTGTCATGATGGGTTCCTATGGTAGCTCGCCGTTTGCAAGCAGTCCTCCCAGTTGCTAAACCGTGCATGTAATCTATACCACAACCTTGACTGACATCCACCTCAACTTTTGCTCGAATCATCCGACCCTTCCGTCTCGCACAGACCTCACGCTTGTTCTTCCACTCTGCTGTCTTACAAATTGTCATACTTGCCATTGTTGCTGTGAAGCTCCAATGAGCGTATTTCCATCGCATCGCTTCCCTCGCCTTCCCCAGTGGCATTGCTCGGATTGACTTGACTGTCTCAAAACTCATCGTCGGGTTTCACGACCGTTGACCACATCAAGTTACGCACTTAGACGAAGGCCAACGCCTCGATTACGATTTGGCTTTTCCGCCCTGTACGAAAAACCTGCCCCAAAACTTACCAGAAAAGGACTCAATCGTTCTTGGGGCCGCCAAGATAATGTGTTACTTTTAATTCGGTATATTTGGGCTGATACCGTCCAGATGTTCCATCAACTTGACCACGCCTGACTGAGCTTGCTCGAAGAAATTGTGTTGTCTCATGTCTTTCGAGGAAAAGTCTTTTCATCGCAGTTAAACAGCCACGTGAGCTTGATGAGAAGATTGGCATAGAAAGATTCTGCGCCAGGCAAGAGATATGACGTACGGTACAGGAGTGGTGAGAACGAACAGATGATGGGGTATCGGTGCTTTTCACAAGTCTTGCGGCCATCATCCATGGATGAACATCGCGCGAAAAAAAGCTTATTACTGTTAGTATGGATATAACTCGCTAATCTAGTAGAGGTAACATGGGGATGGAAAACTGTTAACCATTGTTGCGTGTCCAATGGAGCCTGTTGGATAGTAATAAGTCTCCACTTGGACAGTACCAGTCCCCGCTTTTCTATGTATCTTCCATGGGTGGCCGCAAACCTTATGAAAACAAACAATAATACATGTAAGATGGTGTCAAGCTGTCTGGGTCTCTGTAGTGTATATTCGCAAGATAAGGAAAGCTGTTGAAGTCTGTATACAACTTTAGTGTGTGAGGCGTGGATGATGTGCAACTAGTGGGGCGTCTACCCGTTTGTGGGCCTAGTGCGACGACTGTGCCCCCGCATGCGGCTTAGTTACGCGGCCCACCAGTGCAATTTGTAGACAACCCTTCATGTTTGCATTGTGCAGGCTGAACAGCTGATCCTACATTGATCCCATGGTCGATTGGGTCGATGACATCCGGAACAGACTATCCTGCTGCACATTGCGCATTGTCCTACCAAGTCCAGTCCGTCACAGAGGATGTGACCTCTGGGAGTCCTCGTTTCTTGAAGACGCTGCTTGGAGAAATTCCCTTTCCCCTTGAACCATTGACTGTCAGCTCACGGGCCCGATCTTGCCTAAGCATCCTAAGCTTCCAACCGAAACTCGCCACCAGATGCTTGTCACACCAATTCTGAGCTTGGGCGACGATGAATTACCTAGCGGGGGTGGTCCGAACGACTACCGAACAGGAAGCTGGATTTAACCGGCCGCCAATCACAAGTATCATTACCCTATCTCTGATTTGCGCAATTCGATCGGTGTATGTCGCACTTTGAATCCGAAGTGTTTAAATGCGGTTATGCATCGTTGCGATGTGATGTCGTTGGGCATCAACCCAAGCTACGCTGGCTTCGGGAAGCTACCCTCTGTTCAGAACTCACTACGCGGGTTCGTGCCCGAGCACGCATTATGGTATCTCTACTGAACCGTTTGAGGGGACGCCCGAGCGAGGACGACGTCGCCCCTCAACGCGCCAACACAACCGCTACCGAGACCAGTAACGCTTCAGAGCCAGTGGGCGACGAGAAAGGTAAACCTGCCATGGCCGAACTCGGAAAATCACACGATCCTGAGAAGCCGCCCTACGAGGTCGACACTTCTGGGGAAACGCCAGTCATCGATGTTGACGCTGAGGATGAGGCTGATCTACCCGAGGACCTTCGAGAGCTGCCCAAGATCGTACGGTCCATCGTCAGTCTCGAAGACGACTCGAATGCACCAACCATTACCTTTCGCTACTTCCTTCTATGCTTCCTCTTTGTGCCGCCTGGTGCCGTCCTCTTTCAAATGGGAATTTTTAGAACCACGGCCTCCGCGTATCCAGTGCTCTTCGTGCAGATCGGTAGGTTCCATACCATTTACATTGTTTTGCTCTCACAAAGATAGCCTCACATTATGTCGGACACTGGCTTGCGGACATCCTGCCTAAGAAGACTGTCCGGGTTCCATTGACGAAGTGGGGCTTCAGCTTGAACCCCGGTCCTTGGAGCGCAAAAGGTACAGTCTAGTGTTAAGACGCAATTAGTCGGCACTGACCCGCGCAGAAAACGTCCTTGTCACGGTTACTGCCGCTTCTGGGGCAACCTCGAATGCGGCATGGTCCAGTATCTCGTTAGCTCAGCTGTACTATGACACCAACATTCCGGCGGTGGCATGCATCTTTTTTATGTGGGCTATTGTGTACATTGGTTACGCTATGGTGAGTCGCGTGTACGACCAAATAACACCTTTCCTGTGGTTGACCATCTTAGGCTGCATTGGCTCGACAGTTTCTCCTCTACGACCCCATATACGTGTAGGTACAAATGGACAAAGTGCTCTTCCTCTCACACTAACGTTCTGTCAGCTGGCCTTACTCTTTGATGCAAACTGCTGTCTTCGAAACTCTCCACAAATCCGTACGAGATTCGTGGATTGCTCGAAAGCAGAAGTATGTGTTCTTCGGCGCTTTTGTCTTCATGACACTATGGGAATTCTTACCAGAATACGCTTTTCCTATGCTCTCATCGCTGTCCTTCCTGTGTTGGGTAGCTCCGCGAAATGTTGTGGCTAACTTCATCGGTGCCGGCATAGGTGGCATGGGCTTTCTGAATCTTACTTTGGACTGGGCGAACATCAGCAATCAAACGCTGATTAGCCCCATGATTGTTCCTTATTGGACGACCGTGGTATTGACGGTCGCTTTCATCTTCAACTGCTGGATTTTAATACCAGCGGCCAAGTGGGGTAACCTCAGCAACTGGCAGAATGATCAGCTCATGTCAAATCGGCTGTTCCTCGAGAATGGAACGCGATATCCTGTGACGGCTCTGATTACCCCGGACCTAAAATTCAACGAGACCGCGTATCAAGAACATGGGCCGATCTATGTCGGGACACAGCAGCTATGGAGTATGTTCTTCGATTACTCCTCCTACGTTAGTGCCTTGACATGGATGGCATTGTTCGGATATCCTAAGATCAAAGAGACGGTCCAGTTGCTTCGGAAACGAGCCAAAGACAGAGGAAAACGTAGCGTGAACGACTTCTACTCTGACCGCCTGAACATACTCATGCGGTCCTATAGAGAAGTTCCACTTTGGTGGTACGCAATTCCGGGGTACAAAGTGGGTGTTCATGCTGGGCGATTGTCTAAGACTCCGAGCTTTACACCTCTAAGTCTGAGAGCGTCAGACATTAGCAGCGGGCCAGAACACCTACTTCACCCACTTCCCTAATTTGTGAATATTACACTGACTTTGTTCCCTCACCTTTAGGTATATCGCTTTGTTCGTTGCCTCCTTCGTCACCATTACCACAATAATAGGGTGTGGGTACTTCTTCATTCCTGTTTGGACCTTCTTCGTTGCCATATTTACCTCTGGGACTATGATCATTCCGTTCGCTTGGCTCTATTCCTTCTCCAGTTTTCAAGTGCCCATCGGCTCATTCAATGAGCTCCTATACGGCTACATGGTACACGCCACGAATGGCAACAAGCACCCTGCTGGAGCTACAGCATATGGATCTATCGCCGGCGACATCTGGTATCGCGCTCAGTATATGCTGCAAGACCAAAAGATCGGGCACTACATGCACGTACCGCCGCGCGCAATCTTCCTTAGTCAGATCTTCGGCGAGTTCCTAGGCGTTCCAATAAACTACGGCATCATCCAGTGGATATTAAAGACAAAGCGCGACTTCCTGCTAGGCGATAAGATTGACCCCTTGCACCAATGGACTGGTCAGTCTCTCTCTAATTATAACACGTTAGGCGTTCAATATGTGCTAGTAGGTCCCAAACGACTATTTTCACAGCACATGTACAGTATTCTACCATACGCCTTCTTGTATGGTGCTCTAACCCCGTTCCTGCTATTTGCGCTGCACAAAGCTTTCCCAAAGTCGAAGCTCAAGTTCCATCTCTGTAAGCTCCCACCAGTGTTGCGCCTAAATCAGATACAGCCTGTTAACGTTAGCAGGGAACGTTACAATTTTCGGAACTGGAATGTCCCAGTTCTATGGCAATCTCTCGACCGGTTACATTTCACGCTTCATTGTCGGCTACGTCTGCATGTATTGGTTTTATCGTCACCGGTTCCAGACCTGGAAACGCTACAACTATCTTTTAGCCGCCGCCTTTGATGCAGGTTTTAATATTGCGATGCTGCTTATCTTCGTCATTTTCAGCAGTGGAAAGGTCATCAACATGCCTTATTGGTGGGGCAATAACGAAACCAGCGTCGAGAGGTGCTTCGCTCTGGAGTAGGGGCACAGTCGGAAGCCGAAAGTTCGGTACGGAGCCACCAACAGAAGTGCAGTATTGTCATACTGATTAGCGCAGCTATCTCGGGAAAGGATTCGATCTGTGGTAGAGCTTAAAGGTGGCAACAGATCGATTATTTGGAGATTCGGACCTTCTTTCAGCCCGCATAATGCACATGAACATCAAATCGTGCGATATGCGCATTTAAATTGCACACAATTTTGCACTTGTCCTGCACTGTTGCCTTGACTTGCACCAAGGCACAGCCCTCCGCTGACATACGCGAGCCACTCTTTAGATTCCTACATTATAGTGCAGTCGTGCCGTCCTGTCCCCGGGGGTTTCTTAATTTACTTAACTTACTATTCGATAAAGCGTAACATTTACTACCTTCAATCATTCGGTTCGCTGCCATTGATCAAACATAAACTGGATGGCTTCCGACAAGAACGGGGAAGATGCAAAAGCAGACAACGACATCGTGAACGCCTTCAGGCTTGACACTGACCCCGTGTTTCAGAAGGACAGGAATATTAGGTGCGCTTCTGATACTGGACAGTGGTTCTTCCATCATCCAGAGTACGAAGCCTTCCGAGATACCCACGGGCTACAGCTGCTACTCGTAACTGCTGAGGCAGGCGGTATGTCATAACAATGCGAAGACGATGAGTTTTCGGAACCCGCTAAACACAGATAGGAGGCAAATCTACCGTCATGAGGACTTTCGTAGATCGTCTGCAAGCATCTGACGATCGGCCTGTTGTGGCGTACTTCTTCTTCAAAGACGATGATGATCAGCTCCGGAGCTATGAAGACGCGCTCAGTTCAATGATCAACCAGCTGTTCGTGCAAGAGCGCGGCCTGATCAGACACGCCAGGGACTTGTACAAACAATACGGCTATGGAATACGATATCGGACCAAAGATCTGTGGAACATCCTCCTAGCGGCTGCTACCGAGACACACCGGGGATTAATTTGCATTTTAGATGCGGTCGATGAGTGCGCACCAGCTGGCAGAAGACAGCTAGTGTCTGATATGGCGGTCGCGTTCGAATCAGGAGTCAAAACCACCTCCACTGAGCTGAAGTTCGTGGTGACTTCGCGTCCCTACCAGGACGAAAACCGTTCTTATATACATCTGATCGCATCTGACACTATCCGGCATCTGGCAGGCGAAGATGCAAAACTCCAGTCGGACATTCAGGCGATTATACGCATCAAAGCAGAAGAACTAGCCAAGAAGCACCGGCTAACACAGAACACGCTGAACATTCTGGTCCAAACTATCTCAAGTCAAAACCAGCAGACAAGATCTTTCCTCGCCGTTCGGATGGCTTTCGAACTTCTAGATTCACACGACTTGATGCAAGAGGGTGCTGATGAAGACATAATCCGCGCGATTCTCGCAGATATACCACACACACTCGGCGACCAGTTCGATAAGATGCTTAACAGGACCCCCGACAAAGAGCACGCTCGCCGATTGTTTTGTGTCATTATAGCTGCCAGAAAGACGCTCAATATTTCAGAGCTCAAAGTTATTTATGCTTTGACACAGCCAAGAGACATGGCCTCCGGGTCTCCACGCTCCTATGACGATCTACAGATTCCAATGATCGATGAAGAATTCAAACGCCTCGTCCGAGCTCGATGCGGCCTTTTCGTGACTTTCGTGAAGAGCTCGGTCCATCTTTTCCATCAGACAGCGCGAGAATACCTCATGGCGGATCCGGTCCCGACTAGTACGGGTCCGTCAGATGATTCAAAAACGCCAACTATGTCTGAATTACATACAGCGCCGAACATGAATCAGCAACAGACTTGGAAAGGTTGCATTACCAAGGCGGATGCTAATCTTGTCATGCTAACTGTATGCACGGATCTGTTCAGCTTCTACTTACCAAGATCGTGGGTCCTCAGTGTGTGAGTAATTGTCCTAGTTCATACGTGATATTTTGCTTAATATGCAACAGCTTCGACAGTCTAAATGCTGGCAATGGCTTCGATCATGACATAAAAGCATTGCTCCTGAAGAAACCGGTCCTCCAGTATGCATCGTTCAACTGGTACGAGCATGCTATGCTGGGGGGCGACAATGCTCTGGCTGCTCTAATGAGTCCACGCTATGCTCCAGTCCTTGATGTCAGCAAGACTTCATTCTGGGTGTGGTTTCTGGTCCTTGCAGATTACTTATGTTCAAATCGCGCGAAACCTGAGTCACTCATATCTAGTGTCTGGGAGGATGACTACAAGAATCACCGGCTATCAGCGATGTATGGGGCGGTTCTTCGAGAGGGATGCTTGACAAAACTATTCGATATGGATCACACGATGCATGCCTTACTCGATGATCCTTCCCTTGCCTTATCAAAGGCTACGTATGTCAACGGTTCTCACTTGATATATTTGCGCTCACGAATACATAGCCCCCACACCAAAGGCCCGATTTGGACAGTCGGAGATGGCTACGATCTGATCGACCGATTCCATTTGGCTTATGGCGAGTATGAGTACACGAGCTTTTCAAGAGCAGCACAATGCGTTGAATCTGGGCTAGTCGAGCGAAGTGCGTTCCTCACTGCTGATACGCCCATACCTACGATGATATGGACCTGCATCAGCGTCGGGGCACCGAATGCTCTAAAGGGAATCTTATCTACGGCCAAAGACATGGACTGGCTTCATCAAGTGCCTGAGCATACTATGTATCGAAGAATTCTTTGGCATGGATCGTGCAGTGCTACTGGAGAAGACCTTAGAAAATATCGGGAACAGGGATGGACCGAGGCCTGGCCACCAGCTTTCTTCGTCCTCTTGAGGGCTACATTCGACCACCCAAATGCGGAAGTATTTGGCGTTTTGGCAGACTGGCTAGTATCATCGGATCATGCGAAAGACTACGCACAGCAACTATGGCAGGTAGGCGGTTTTCTGGAGCATTCTCTCTGCCGACGCCTCGTCAATGCTGGCGCTCCGATCGACGGGAAATGTCGGGACGATGGTATCACCGCTCTGCAAGTTGTTTCCGCTCTTTGGGAGCATGATACTGTGGACACGTTGATCGAGTTGGGTGCAGATCCAACAAAACAGACCGCAAATGGACTTACCGCTCTTCAAGCGTTTCTGTGTGGTCCTGAGAATATTCTCAAGGATGAGCGATTCTCGGTCAGCTCTAGGACGGAATTTAAGGACCTACCACTACGAGAGCAGCAAAGACGTCGAAAGTCTCGCATATCATTAACACTTCGAGCGCTCTGTCGAGCGCTGCCTACGCAGTCTCCCTTGGTCCGGACGAATGCTACCGGGAAGTATCCCCTGATGCTTGCAGTACAAGGCTCTCAAACAGCAACCCAAGGCTTGATCAGGGCAGGTGCAGATGTCGAACAAGCGGATCGCTGGGGGCGGACTGCTTTGATGCACTTCTTCTGTGGTTCCTTCACTGGCCGTTCGGCTAAAACCCTGAAGCATATATTAGATGCTGGGGCTGATAGCTCCGCATCTGACGCAGCTGGACATACGGTGTTGCATTATTGGGTACGCCAGGTGTTTGCCATGGACCTAGCTAGTCTCTATCCTGGGTTCAATCGGTTTAACAAAAGCTTCGAAGCATTGACGAAAACTGGGGCACTTTCGGACGACGATGCTCTGATTCGAGCATTGGTTCCACTAGAATTTCCTTTGGCTGCAGCTGTTCGCCTAGGGAACACCAAGTTGTGCTGGGCGCTTTGCATGGCAGGGGCTAGTCCTGACAAACATGGCCTGACAACGAAGACCCGTCTTCCCGAGAGTAACGGAAGCGTGGCAATGTACTTAGAGGATTTGAGTTGGAAGCCTCTCCTGATCGCACTGATGCACAAAGCCTACACTACTGCCGCGATAGTCATGGCATACGGCGCAAATGTTACGTTCAAGACCCCTTCACGAAAGAGAACAAAGTACAACAAGCATAGAGTAAAGGACTGCGGAACTACCGCGCTGCATGTTGCAGTCCGAAGTCAATCGAAGGACTACGGTGGTTCTAGCATTGCATTGAGCACCGGGCGCTACTCAGGCTGCACATTCCTTGCCGTTGGGAACCCGGAGTTCAAGGTATCAAAGGAATCTCCAGATGTGCTAATGCTGAAACTTTCAGTCAACAATTGGAAGAAGGGTGACTGGTACAAGAAGAGATTCAAGGATGATAGCTCCGATGTATGTCGCCTTATTAAATGCAGCTTAACGATAATCTTGCACTAGCTAACAATAAGCAGTCAGAATATGAGGTACCGAAAAACCGAACCCACAACGACAATACAGGAGATAAGTTGCTGCCATATGACAAGCTCTCCGAATTTATGTTGCAAAGTGTACACGCAAAGCTCGACGACCCGCTCTACTTGCAGATCATAGATCCGAGACTGACACGCGAGCAACGCCAGTATGCTCTCGTCGAGCTCTTGCTCAAAAAGGGCGCCCCAATCAATGCAAAGACACAAGAAGGCAGGACTCCCCTTCATATAATCAAATCCAACCCAAGTCTCGCCCGGCTGCTTCTCTTGTACGGCGCAGACCCCAACGTAGCAACAACAGACGGATTGACGCCCCTCATGCAAGCAGCAGCACAAGGTGATCGCGAACTTGTAGAGATTCTCTTGGCCGCTGGTGCCGACGCGGATGCCCAGCTCAACATCCCGCCTTTGATAGAGCGCAAGTGCTCTTCATTCATTGAGCGAAACAAGTGGACATTCCACCAATGCGATGCACCTCTTACAGCTCTAGCGGTCGCTGCAGAGCGCGGACACTACGAGGTGGTTGAACTTCTGCTCAAGTACGGTGCGGATCCAAACAAACCGATCGAGCATCACGCGCACGGTCGACTACCGTCGAAACGGGACAAGCGGCGTGAAGCACGACACTATGGAGAGTCTGATTCTTCAGATTCAGAAGTGGAGCCTGAGGAGTGGAAGGGATATATCAGCGTTGGGACTGCGTTTTCGTGGGCTAGAGATCAGGTGCGCGAGCTATTACTCCGAAATGGTGCTGATCCAGCGAGAGAGGAGCCTTTAAGAGAGTGACTGCGCTGTGATCGAGAAGAGAAAGGAGAGAGGTTTGTTTGAAGATTCTGACAATGAGTGGCCTGCGCAGAGTGAGGGATCTGATTCTGACTCGAAGTTGAGAAGGCATAGATATGGCAGCAGAAGGGTGGTCAAGTGGGACGGGGATACTGATGACAGCGACTGAGAGACCTTGATACTATAATTCTTGATGCAGATACTATACAGTTCATTTTCCCCCCTCAAACTTACACTTTAGACTAACGCGATATGCATGTAACTTCATCCAAGAAATGCTCTATTCAAACTATCGCAAGCCACCATAGGACTGGTGGAGATCGAGGCTGAGTGCCAGAGACATGTCAAGTTTATTTTCATTAGCAATCGCAGTTTTAGCTACTGCAGATTTTGTCTCAACATCAATAGTTATGACTGTCTTGTCCGCATTTGCTTTTCAAAATACGCGGTGAAGAACGGCTCATAATGGTGACTTGCACCTCAGCTACAGCAGCGAGGCCATTTGCTTCCTTATGTAACACTGCGTTCCACGAGGTTAAATGAGTTGAGCTTCGTAGAAGCAGGCTTGACACCATGAGGCAGAGCGATGTGACCAGTGGAGTCGACGGCGCGTTGGCGAAGGTCATTCACACAGTTCTCCAGTATCCATATGACATACCAAAGCGCGGCTGAAGCTGCGTACAATGGCCCAATAGTGGAGGATCGGACATCATGGTACGGCGCAGCTTGACCAGGATAGTCTGGCCCCATGGTTCCAACAGCTGAGTAGGACTTGCAATATGGCACCGTTTTGAAGGGACCGATAGTCCACACGGGTTGGGGCGACGGGAACAAGTCTCACCTCATACAACTCTGCCATAATAGCCCTCTCTAAAGGGAGCTCTCAAGGTCCAAACCCCAGACGAGTAGTTGCAAAAGAGGTTCCCCACGGGTGAAGTGAATGGCGAACGGGCGAGTATACTATTCCCGAGACTGCCTGAGCTTCTCTTATGCAACAAATAAAGTCCAATGCTCGCGCATCCCATGGTTTCTGAATTTCTAAGGTGGAGCTACTGGATTGCCACTGAGGTCACAGACTTCGTTTAGCCTCAGAGGTAACTTCCACTGGATTTGAGGTTCCCAGAACGTGATTTGATATTTCCTTCAGATAGAGACTTTGCAAAAAATGGCTCTACGCAGGCTGTTCAGATGTTACGTGCGTAACATAGATACTCGGATATCAACCGTCCTTTCAGGTTGCGAGGTCTGGAATTACCGGATGCGAATGTCAAGCTTCTCGTGGCCCAGACCGTGACAAAAATTGCTTCACAGTCGTCCCACTGGCTGATTTCCACAATATCTTTGTGTAGATTCAAATCTTACATCGCTCCTACTTCGCTGCCGTTCACATCCTCATCTAGCATGTCGTTAAGCATGATTTTTAGGACGAATGTCTGGAAAAAGAGCCAAGTACCCAGCCAGGGCTTGTCACAAGGACTAGGCGTCCACGCGAAACATCCAAGCTTGTCAATGTCCGCCACGAACCGTCCTTTACTGGCTTTCAAGATGTTCCGGAGCTGCGTGGTTACGTGTCTACGTCGTAGATGGATTTATTACTTACGTCTACTCGACCGTGTCGTGCGGGTGCGATATTTCAAACATCAAGGTGCTATGGATCATTCACTTGTTGTTCCATGCTCCTGCTCACTAGCTAGCTATCGATGTGTTGTTGGACGTGGGGCTTTCTCACAAGATTGTTTACACTAGTGTAGGCGCCAAAGAAGGCTAACGCAATCTAGATTAGTGACAGCTTGCGCTTTCCCTCCGCGGGTCTTCCTTTCCAGTATACCAACCACAGGAGATACAAACAGCAGCAGTATCAGCAATCTCACTTTACGACACTCCATGGCTTGAGTGCATGCATTGACTCATCCTTGCAGCTTGCCAGCCATTCAGCGGCACTCGACTTGTTTCCCGTTGCCCACTGCATTCGCTCGGTACGGTAACGGCGAAGGTGGTAATCTGCTCAGCTTTGATACCTACCACGGTCCAAAGTGAGAGAGATTCGAGCCCAGCAAGCAGGTATCGCGCGTGCGCGTGCTCATCTGTACTTTAAGCGCTCAAATTCTCGATCGCAGCCCACTCGCTCAACTGCCACTCTGCCAGGCTTACTTCGCTGTACCTTCACATCGCTTCCGATTACTTTTACCGCCATGGCACTACGCAATGCTACTGGCCGGTCCGGCGATCAGCCGTCTATCATCGACTTCTATAACCCTCACGTTAACGGCAAAGATGCACATGGTCGTACGCGTGAGCAAATGCTCAAGTGGAGTGAGTAAAGCTTCACCATGTCAAGTTTTGAGTGACGTGCTAATCTACACCAGAACATGACAAGCTAGAGCGATGCCATGATTACATCCAGATTCTCTTCCCTCTTCCAGAAGGCTCCATGTTCAGCTACAACGCCCCAATCATCGATGAGGAGACGTTGGAAGCCTTCCGCTCGAGCGTCGTTCTACAGACGACCTTGTCTCAAGTTTTCGTTACAATCTTGAATTTCTATGGCTTCGAGGCTACGGACGGTTCAAAAAGATTACTAGGGAAAGTCACAGTGGCTAAACCCCACATGACTCAGGCTGAGCCGGAGAAAGGAAAAGGAAAAGCTACGGAGGTCGAAGGTGAGTCAGACGCAATACCCTGCATTGTTCCAGGTCAGGCACCGTCAATGGCGATTACATCCTCGCTTAATTCCACTGACTGTACCGCCAATACAGAGCAAGCCGAGGACCGCAAAGACAATGCTAGGCCCGCCGCATCCGCCAATGCTAACGACTCTGCTGCACCGCGCTCCAATAGAAAGGAGCTCGAGGCATTGGAAGCCTTTTTTGGAGGCCATGAGTTTTACGTCATACGTGGACCGGACTTTGCGGAGCGCTCCAAGAATTGGTGTGTTCGCATGGACCACAACCACCTCCGCATCACGCGTATTCTGCGCTGCTTGCGTGTGCTGGGTCTGCAGCTCCAGTGCGAGGCGTTCTACAAGGCGCTCACGGATGTGTACGACGACCCTAAGATCAATATCAGCGAGCGCTCAATGACGTTCTGGATGAGGGCGGTCTGTGAGCCGTTGCATATCGCGCCCGATGGCACAGAATGCAAGTGGCTGCGCAAGTGGCAGGAGACTAAACAGACACATGTTTAGGTACGTAATCGATGCGTGTCTTCCTGTGAATAATAGCTATCAACTTACTATGCGCTCAGGATCCACTTGAGGCCTCTCATGCGGACCTGTCACGACCGAATAGCGTAAAGCGGAATGGTATAGGGCCCAATGGCAAGCACATATCTTGATGCCATGCGTTCCAAGGTGGAGAAGAAGATACTGGCGTTGTCCCATCCGCTTTCCTTTGGAGAGATCGAGTGATTTGATCAGGAGCTCAGCTTCATTGGCTACTCCGAAATCCTGTGGCATTCACACCATATAAACAGCTTGCTTCCTTCATCTTAATAGTATTGCTTCTCTGCGGGTACCTCCCGAGTAGGAGCTTGGAATATGCTCGGCCCGGGCGTTGCCAAACTCGGGGTCATCACGGGTTAGACCTACTACTGTGCCCGGACATTCGCCGTTCATCACTCAACGTGCGAGGACACAAATGTTTTCTTGTTCCGGCAGATTGCATTCCATATATATACACACGCGGCCCTTGCTGCCTGTTCGTTCCCTTTGTTCGCTTAGAACTCTGAGATCATATCTCCTCGCCTCTTGCCGCGCATATCCCACTTGCCCTAACCTTCTGTTAGCTCGTTCCCATTGCAGTTTGCCAACAAAACTCACATCAGTCATGTATCCAGCGGTACCAAGCATAGCCGGCACAACGATAACGTATGCGAAGGTGATCCAGGCGGTCCGGGGCGTCCAGCGGAAGTACTTGTGTCGGTTCACCGTCATTTCTGTCTAGCGTCAGCGTGCTTGCCTCGTCCACCATTCACTACTAGATGGTCGAAGGCGAAAGGAAGATCGGAGGGTATCGCCGGGTATCGTACGGTTCCATTTGACGAGGGCCGGGTCCATGTGGACCGCTGCGACGGAGGTTAGCATGGCGAGCCATTGCGCGGTGGGGAGAGCGAACGGGCGCACCTGGGGGGTTGTGGGGACCAAATCCCGCCATTTTGAAGGTCTAGAAGGCGGTAATTCGGGTGTGGAGGGTCGTCGCGTGGTTGCGAAGAGAAGCTTGGTCGTCGTGGTTGCGAGCGACGACGAGGTCGACGAACGAGTGTGACTAAGCTGGAGGCTTGGCAATTGATGCCTCAAACCAACGTTGAATGTTCCAAGGTTGGTTCAAGCTCAGGTGTCAATGGATGATACCGACGATGAGCGTCAACATGGTCAAGCTCGGTGAGCTTCAACTCCGCAAAGTCAAGGGAGATATGTGATTTTCGTGGGCGCCACTTCGCGGTGCAGGATACCTTGCGTCCATTCAATGTGCCATCGAAAGCGGCGCGATCAGTCACCTTCCGCGTCAACATGTCTGCAGGCACGCGGAGATGTTACAATTCAGCGTCATTTGTGCCTTCGCACGTGGGCCGGCCCTCAAGTTTTCAAAATGGCTCCTAACGTTCTCAGTCTCACTGCATCTCCGCGAGGCTGCTGCTGCATGTCGGCGTTACCTTCGTACGAGCCGATGTCCGCACATTCCCCCGTTTTGATCCGCGCAGCGACTCTTCGGAGCTCGATCAAGGTCGCGAATCGCTTCCTGCCGGTCATCCGATGCTGCCAAAAACAGTTGCAGGGTCAGCGTAGCCGTGTGCGAAGTGTCCGACATGTTGTAGACAATGTCTCCGCCTCGCCGTTCCACGAGCCCTACAAAAAGTAGCGCGTCGGCCGACCATCTAGGATCGCCCACCAATCCCTCCCTTTCCACTTCTACTCCCAGTACCTCTGACTGCTGTTTAACCGACCCAACAGCAACAATCGCTTCGCTCTCCGCGACAAACATGTCCACAGTAGCTAAGGCTGGTCAAGGCGCCAAATTGACGGTGCACTGGTAAGCCCAGCCGGTTGCTCGCGCCATAATCGTGCAAGTACAAGCGCCGTGACCCGAGAGCCGCATTCGCAACCCCAACATCTTCAGCTCCGCATCGTAGACTGATAATGACACAGGCTGAATGAATCTCGGGGCCAACGCATTGTTTGGCTGCTCGAAGAACTCAACCTCGATTATGATATCAAAATCTATTTCAGGCAAAACAAGCGTTCGCCTCCAGAGCTGAAGCAGGTTCACCCTCTCGGCAAGTCACCAGTAATTACTATCGAAGCACCGAGGTTGGAAAAACCATTGGTCCTAGCAGAGTCTGCCGCGATAGTCGAATATGTCTCGGACCACTTCGGGCCACAGCTAATCCCAAGACGTTATCCGGACGGAAGTGATGGTCTCATCGGCGCGGAAACCAAAGAATGGTTGCGGTTTCGTGTAAGTGCGATCTCTTTTGCTATCGGTCCGCTCGCCTTGAAAAGTTCCAAACCTGCACATCTTCAATATCTAATAATGGGTATTCCTCGACCACGACAAGAGCAAGATTCAGATATCTTGCTTGAACGCTGCAAAGCGCGTGGTGCTTGATTCAAAAGCAGTGGCACTCTTCGTCATGTGTCTGGTGAAGGAGGTGAATGAATGAGCGGTCAAGCTTGGCCCCGGGCATAACGGCCATGTTCTTGCAACCCTTCGTATGAGTCGCATGGTTAATCTTGTGTTAGTTTTTGATGCATTATGCCGAAGGCTCCCTCATGCCCGTTCTACTTACCGGGCTCCTTACGCACAACATACGCTCGGCTCCTGTACCTTTCTTCCTCAAGTTCATCACCAAGAACATCGCCGACATGGTCGACAATAAATATACACTCGCAGAACTCAAGCTGAACCTTGATTACTTGGAGGCTCTTCTCGCCGAATCTCCCGATGACGAATTTCTCTGCGGACCGAACCTCACGGGAGCTGACTTCATGATGATTTTCGTTTTGGAAGCAGCGGTGTTATTCAAAACACTGAACGAGACCAGCTATCCAAGGCTGTATAGCTACGTCCGCCGCATCCAGAAGCGGGATGCCTACAAACGGGCGGGCGATAAGGTTTCGGAGGCCAGTGGCGTAAAGTACGTACCTTTCTCGGAAACCAAGCTCGCGTAGGGAAGACGGTTCGTGCGCTTTGAGTCGCAGTTCGCTCTCAGTCGACGGCCGTTTCGCGGCACGTCACAGCTCCAGCTTTTCCGTAGATGCTGCGTAAATGTACCTGGATCAAGGATCACCTGTAGCTCGACAGTAGCGTAAAATACCCAAGTCGGTGCTCGCGCTTTCAAGCTCCCTGACCGCCGTGTTGATGCCTGTCGCTCCCGAGGCTTGCCAGCATTGCACTCACGTCAGCGATGAGGCATAAGGCAAGCTTCCAGATGTCAGCCTCAGCCCTCGAGGTCTCATCCTGAACGTTCGTCCCCATATCCGGGAGCTCCTTGGCGCGATGTCAAGCTTTGCACCCGTTGCTTCGCCCGAAGACGCCCTCGTCCGACTGTACCGCAGATGCATAGGAGCTTGTATATATGGTCGTGGAGATGCGCGGAACATGCAAGCCACGTCCAGACGACAGCCGCTACGACCTCGACGCGCCTGGTTCACACTTCGGCCCCTCGCCAATCCATCAATTGCTCCTTGGGGCCGATTACATACGCCGCGCCCTTCTTGACTAAAGCACCAGGCTAAGCCATTTTGAGCACGCGTTCCGAAAGCTGTACACGCGAAACTTATTCATCATTCCATCAGCATCCCTCCAGGAGAATTCCTCTGCACTGCTCGCAGTCTCCTCGTCCGTCGCTGCGACTGCGCAGGCAGGCCTTCACAGGCGATCCGTTCCTATGCCTGAACAGCAGCGCGGTCGCACATCCTCTCGAGACTTTGCATTCCAAAGCACTGACCAACCCTTTGCCCACCCGTTCGGTGGAGCAGAGGGAGCTCCAGCTCCCCAGCAAGCCTTCTCCGCGCAACCACACCAGCGTTATGAGACATACCCAGCTACACATGGTTCAGTTGCGCCGACAACGCTCACTCAAGGCGCCCCAGTGGATCAAACATTGAGCTACTCGGAATTTGGCGCGCCACAGGGCTCCGCGCCGACCCCAGGAGCTCCAGCACAGTTCCCTGGCGGCTACGGCTTCAGCCCTGGTGGGCCGTTGGCATGGGATTGGGGAAATGCGATTGACTTTACCGACTATACCCCTCATTACGAACCGCAGGGCGAACTTGCCCAAGAGCTCCAGGCCCAGCAGGCGCCAAAGACCGATTTCAGCATCCCGCTCCCAATCACCAACACCGACACAGCTCGCCAGCCTCCGCCACAAACCTCTGCGCACCCTGTAGTCGTTCAGGATCCACTTCCACCACCTCCGAGACCAGCCCAGCGACTTTCCGTCCAAACGGGCATGAAGAGAAAGGCGGACTCGGAGCCCAATACTGGCATTCCAGAAGCTGTAAATGGGCCGACCGAGGACAAGTCGTCCAAGCGACAGAACAAGTCGCGAGCCTCGTCTATAGCCTCCGCGGCTTCTCCAGTCGTGACAACCGCCACCGCGCCCGAACCGCGCGCACCTGTATCTTTGTCCGCATCCATGACCGCACCGGCGGCCCTCGAAAGCACCGCTCAGCTAAACAATGAGGCACAGAAACGTAAGGAGCCAAGCAAGGGCACTGGACCGCAGGGGCGCGTCATTGACGTCTCGACACCCCGGCGCGTCGTGGAATCGCGTGGGGGAGCGGACATACTGCCTTCGGGTAAGGTATTTCCAATACAGATCGGCTCGGAGCTTTTCAGGCTCTCTGGAGCGTCCATATCGTCGGATGGTGAGTACAACGCTGACTCCCTATCAAAGCTAAGTACAAGCTGACTATGCAAGAGCGCCCTCGTACTTCTCCCATTTCTTTGGAGAGCAGATTCACAGCAATTCAGGTCGCGCTGGGGACATAAGGACATTGTACATCGACCGCGACCCTGACACGTTCCGCGACATTGCCCTGCATCTACAAGGGTACCATATCAGCCCCCGCGATGGTGAGCACTTCGTGCGATTGTTCGCCGATGCGCAGTTCTACTCACGTAAGCCTGACGATGTCCTCGACTCCGCTCGCCGATTTGACTGACTCCGCGCAGTGCCTCGACTTACAAAGCAGTTGTTTAGCACCGACATCTTCATTCGCATCGGCGGCGTTCCCTTCCAGATTCCACGTGATTTATTCTCATCGCCCGGCGACAGTCCCAATTATTTCTCACTCGGCTTCGCGCAATTCTTCTCCACGCCCTCGGAAGTCTTTCCTGGGCTTGATCGCAATGCGCTACTTCGTCCACCCTCCATTTCGCCGCCTTCGGTGCCCAATCGAAGTGGAGAGACATTTGGCGAGCTAGTCAAAATGCTTCAAGGATATCCTGTGGAAATTCGCAACGATGCACATAGATCGCAGCTTCTGAGGGATGCACGATACTTCCATCTGAGAGGGCTCGAGCAGAGACTCATACCCTGCGAAATTTCCTATAATGCCCAGAGAGGTCAATCCGAAATTTTGATTAGGTTAGAAGACTTACGACAATCTGGGGTTTCGTTCAGGCCAGATATGCCAGCGAGCAACCCAGACTCCGGTTCTGGCTCCAACGCTCCTTCGCAGCTGGGCGTATCGCCTGCTCCGTCCAGCAAGCCGACAAGCCCATCGCCCTCACTCAGTAGCGCCCGCTTCAAAACCGGCACAGTCTCGTACGCGCGGCCATACACAGACGATCATGCCAGTACGAACATCCTTATCCTCGAACTATCGTCCAACGAATCCACCACACTGCACCTCCCTGTAGACCCTCCACGGCCGACATCTTCCTCGAAGTCATTTACCCTCAACTTGAGAGCCACCTTTCATGGAAGCACGCTCGCCCGTATTACGTCGCTGTTCTCGGTCATAGCGTCAAAAATGGGATTGCCTGCGACGCAGCCGCTTGGTCTCATGATGATGCAATCCGGTGGTGGCGTGGCCGCACAGCCTGTCTCGCCCGCCAACTCGGGCGTGAGCGAGCGCCGTGTGCGCGTCCGGCTAGACCCAGAGTGCTACCTGGAAATTGACAACGCACCTGCCGAGCTAGCGCTTGATGGGGACACAGGTCGCGTGGGCATACGGCGCAACGATGGCGAGCGCTACAAGCGCATCAAGATGTCAGAGGACAGCGCACACTACGAGACGTCCGCAGAGTCTGGTGTCGATGATTGGATCTGGGGCGGAGCAAGAGACAGTGAGACCATTATCAAAGATGGAGAGCAACTAGAGGAATCCATCGTACTCAAGAGAGCGCATTGGAAGATACGAGTGGAGAACGTGGATGGGGAAGCTACGAAGATGAACGTTGTGTTATTCGGCGTTAGGATCGAGGGGTACAGTGGGGAGAAGGGGCGAAATCAGGGACGCGGGTTCTTGGGCAGTTGATTGTGAGCTTAGCTAGCGAAGCGATTTGTTTCGATTGAAATTTTGCATACCAGACTGCGTGGACATAGCTTGATGTTCACGCCTCGTACTGCAATAAGCTTTTACTACTTGTTCGATAGCCTTTTGTGAATTTCATCATATCGACCAGCACTGAGAAATCATGACAGAGTCCTCGTATGTATAATCAGGCTCTTTAATATGAAAAGGTAGATGTTGCTATCGAAAAGGAAGTAAAGCGAACTGAAAACCCATACCAGCCCCTCACACCTCTCGCGTCCTTTCACTAGCGCTGTATACGGCTCCGTATAATGTCATCTCCAAGCCTTCCAAAAACCCTCTACATAATAGCACACTACCCCGAGCTTAGCTACAGTCACAGCCGTGTTATCCATCCAGGACCTTTCCCTGTGGCATCCCTTCTCCTGGTTACCACCCGGTCCGGGATCGTTCACATCCAGGTTCTGTGTAATATACTGGAGAGGCGCGCGGGCTACTATAGTAGTTGTTTCTATGGGTCGTCAGTGTGAAATCTCGGGAGAGGGTGATGGGGTAGGGGAACTTACTGTCGGTGAGCGTAAGGGAGGGCCTGAGGGCGATGGAGCGAGCGTCCGGGTTGGTGATGGGTGTCGCGACGAGGGGCGCAAAGAGCGCGATAAGATGTAAGAGTGTAAGCAACATGACTATTATCGTACGATCTGTGTTTAAAGATGAAGGTTAGATCCGACGGGGCTGGACATTGGGTGGGGTTGTACTTGCCTAATATATGCGGTACTGCGGCAAATTGCAGATGCAGGCTTAGGCATGATGCTGCTATATATTCGTAATTCTAAGTCATATAGACGTCTTTCTGTTGGCGGTAATGGAGGTCGTGCCAATTAGGATTGTTCTCTTGTACAATGAGGCCTGCGGGACGACGCGCTTTGTTGCTCGCTCGTCACTTCAACCCTTAATGCCATTGTTATGCAATCAGAACATAGAAGTTGGGATGCCGATAGGCAGATCATTTGTATTGCCATTCGTATTTTTCTTGGGCTACACTGCAGATATCTGCCACATCATGCTTTGACTTGGACATCCTGTCATCCACGCGCAGGTGTAGGTCATGGTGCAGAAGGCGGCGGTCGTGGTTTCCACAGAGATAGCTTTTCCGGCTTCTCCACAGAAAATCTTCAGAGGACTGTAGTCTCAGAACGATATTGATGAGGCATACCTACGTAGCCAACGTTGGTATGAGACCCACACATCTGCGCACTTGCTATCATAATGGCTTACTGGACCATCTCCGTACCTACCCAGTTCAGCCACTAGATCATGATATAGCCCTTCTCCTGAAACGTCGTACTGCTACTAGGAAATCTTTTGCGTGTTCTTTTCCAGTTGATGGAATGGCCATATTCGCGGCATTCGCGAAGCCATTCCATCCAACCTTCGGTACTCGCGAACTCGTGCGACAATCGGCAAAGGCACTTCCAGATCTCTTACACATGCCAAGGATACGTGACTAACCAAGGACCACAGGTAGCTCGATAGTCAGCTTCCGCTCGAGCACATGCCTTTCTCCCCTTTCAGACTTTGCTCTGCAATCTCTATGCGGAGCGCAACCCATGTATAGCGTGCGCCTCTTTAAGCAACACGTCGTTTGAGTAAGTAACGAAGATGTTGACGTAACAGCATAGCTAACCATGTCCTGTCACGCACGACAAGCCTTGCCGGAGTCGTCTTCGTAATCCGTATCGGATAGCTCGAACGACCTAGATCAAGCCGGGTACTGTACGCCCTCCGATCCACGGCTCACTGCGCAAGGCTAACGCCGTCGGGTGTGTCACATAGTGAGCCTGGCGAAGCCCAAATTTAGATGCACTTCGTCTCACAATGTTCAAGTGTACGCTGAAAATTGTATGGCAGGGACATGGCACGTTCGAGGTCCTCAGTAAGGGACCGTCGGTCAGCCTCACATCGGATATGCTACAAGGTTCCCTGGTACGGTCAACCCGCTACTGGCCGCATCATGGCTAGACAGCGCCCAATCTTGAGAGGTTTATCGAGGAAAAGCCTCATTATGATGCGAGTCTGTAGATCTATTGAGCCCAGGACGATGTTGTAAGTGTACTCAGGTCCCTCGAACGGAGTATAGCGCAAAATAGAGTGTGAGCTTCTCCTCGGGAAAGATTACGCGAAGTATATATCTAGACTGGTATACAGACGGCATCGAGGTCTTGGTGCAGAGCCTATAGGAGTGTACTTCCTTAAAGCAGAGCAGTAGTTTCACCCATCTGCACACCTCGTTTACAAGAATACCATTAGGCAAGTGATCGAGACCTTTGATTTCGTTTAGTGCCAAGCGTGACTGCAGAAGACAGACACTGTGCACACTTGCGCCTGCACAATTGACGCAATAGTCGACACGGCCATGTGAATCAACAACAAATGCTACCACAGCTTCGATTGAGTCATTTCCATGGACGTCCATCTTAAGAATGACGTCTGGTGCTTCTGGTTGGTCGCCTATTTCTTGTTTCGTTCCGATGTAGATTTGACAGTATCCCCATCCATGTTTGCGCACTGGTGACCACGCTCTTGGGTGCAGCTTCAGTCAAAGAGAACAACCTTGAAAGGCTTCCCTCCCCATGCCTCTTACCTGTAAAATTGAGACATGCCGGTGCTGTTTCATACAGTTTATACACAGGTAGGAACGACTTACTCCGACCATAAGTACTACACCATCACGCTGTGTCATATTGATCATGCTGGACAATCAAATATGGTAGGTGACCCAGATGTTATCGCGAGAGATCAGATATATAGAAGAGCTACTTGATCCGTTAAAGCAATCAAGGACTCCTGTGAGATTTCGGATTTAGTAAGATGCTTGAACGTAGGGCAGACGCCATAAGCCCTATCCGGATCGATCCGTGAAATTGTGAGACCATGCGAGACTGTGTGAGCTGCGGCTTGCATCTCCAAAGAACACAAACATTGGACTCGAAACGCAGCAGTGGTATATGACATCTACTGTACGGCCTAGCTGTCTGGGACGGGTCAATATGATCGTACACCAAGTGTCGTCAGATTTTGATGATCTCGAAGTCTTTAGAACGTCTCTTCCTCTTAGTGCCTTGGCAAGTCATTGCGTAGGACGGAATGCACTTATCCCTTCTCCTCGGCCAGGAAACGAATGCTATCACCCAATTCTCAATCAGCCACTACCATAGTGTGTCACCACCATATGACCCTTGGTCCACCTCTCAGATTGCTTTCTCATGTGTTTACGCCTCTATCTGTGCGATACTTTCACGCATTCCTGCCGCCATAATCCCTTGTTCATTTGCGTATTGCAGCTTCCATCAAGGCTATCCATCCTTTCCCGAGTCATTTAAACCATCTTAGAGCATGTTCTTGCCCAATATGTATGGATCACTAGCACCGCTGGCGTTGGATATGCCGCTGATCCCGTTCATGATCTCTTCGCGTGTGAAAGGCATGCTAAGGTCCGTCACGCCTTCAGCCTTTCCCCAGTATTCTTCACCCCTACATACCTCGCATAGAAGCGTTCCGAAGCGGGCAACTCCTTTCTCCCTCACATCTTTGAGGCAAGCATAATGATACCATTGGACGGAACACTCTGGGTTCCTGCACTGTACTATCCGGACTGTGCCTGTCTTTGCAGGTCGTTTGCACGAGCAGATCGCTTGGCTGGGGTGAGGGTAGAGGTCTTTAGGGGTTATCTCAAATCCTGGAGTAGGCCTGGCGGGGACTGGAGAGGTGGACTCCTTCTGAGCTGGCCAGGTATAGTTGCCATGTGCAACAGTATTGCGGGGCGTCTGATGAGTGGATTCCTCGACATCTGTCGCTGGTTCTATAGCCTCGGTACTCGCCGGTAGCTGAATCGACAGGCTACTTTGAACTCGACCGATAATGTTCAGATTGCAATCTAGTTTACCTCCAAAGCAAGGCTGATTGCCATCATAGATCTCCCCATTTGTGCTACCTTCCGTCTCCGTTTGCGAGTCGTATTCACAGTGCGTTACAGGACGCTCTGAACGGATGGGCCCATAGTCTGCCATTGGTGCCGCTTCGAAGGAAATGCCCGGCTGGTGTTGATACTCTTGAGCAGGTCCCAGTGGGAAGCCAGCAAATGCAACCGAGTACTTCTCTTCTTTAGACATCGTAAATGTATCTTGAAAAGGTACGTCAGCTGGAGGATCCATCCTGTGTCGCGTGAACGAAAGGGTATTTTGTTCGTTGACAGTTGGTTGAATGGGCCCGTTGGACGATGGTGGTGTCACCGCGGCAAGTGCATTGATCGACGTCCACCCGGTGTTTCTTGTAGGCTGGCGCTTTTGCGGGGCAAACTTATAAGTTTGATCAACGGCACGAAGAGTGATTTGAAATGCTGGGCTAGAATTGTTATACTCTTGGTCGGGTAACGGATCGCGCCATATGTCAAACTTATTAGAGCGAGGTCTACCCCGAAGTTCGAACGTCCCGTCCATGTAAGGGACCATCTGCTATACATTAGCATGTCTAACCCCGATCGACCTTAAGCATAGCACCTACAGTCTCGTACTCGGCTGGCGGCTTTAGTGGTGTAATGGACTCTTCCGAAGTCGAAGAGTCTGACTCGCTTAGCAGATCTTCCTCACTCGCGTCGTTGTCGTCGTTGTCGTCAGACTTGGTGAGCGGCCAAGGCGGAGGTACATCAGCATGGACGATGTTCGGATCTTGTTTCATGATATACCAGACCTCGTTGCGTTCGTTTGCAATGAACAACAAACACTCGAGGCAAAACCTCAAAGGGTTGCGCGGAACGAAATTGCTGTTGGCGAGCGAGAACTTGTGTAGCAACGATTTGTTTCGGCGATACAAGGTGAACCAGAGAGATGTAACGTCAAGAACGGGATCCAATGTCATCCAATCAACCAGTGGCTCGAACGTAACCTCGTTTTCAGAGTAAGGCTGCTCAAGCTTCTCATGGATGTGCTGACAGAGTGCGGAATGACAAGGTCGCATTGATCGAGGCTGAAGGACAAATACCGAATTTACTACACGAATTAGCAGTTGATCATGTACACGTTGACGTGCACTTACTTTTGGAAAAGGCTTTGGCAATATATCGCACAGAATTTGCTGCAATGATACATTCCTCTGTGATTTCACCATCAACACTATTGGTAGCTATTGCTACCATCTGTGGAGCTCGCACCACACTTTTCCCTGCAACTTGGCAAGGTGTTGAGAGGACACTTGCTCCACAGGGACGGCATTTCCGAACTCATCTTGGATAAGCTCGCGGGGAAGTAAGGTTTCCAGACGCTGTCGCATGGCCTGCATAGCTTGCTGGCCTTCAGTTGGCATTGTATAATGTCCTGCATAGTGTGTTACACTGGTGTGATAAACCTTGTCGGCGGAGGTGTCGACGTGCAGTTGGTTGTTCAGATCTGCTACAGATTCCGCCTCGCCAGTGCTAAGGATTTCGTGTGTCGTAGAGTCGCTTCTCGGTCCGCTGTTCATAGAACTACTCGTAGATGTCCAGGTCGGGCTCCAATTGCTCATACCGCCTGTCTCATGGCTGCCGGTTGGTTCTGGAAGGCTGTGGGGCGACGGCGGCGACTCTGCGAAATGTTGATTCTGTTGTTCCATACTCGCCCTGCTTCGTTTACAAGGTCAGCTAGAACTCTTCAATGGAGCAATCGTATAGACGGGGCCACGACGTGGTGTGATGCAAGGCGTAGCTCCAGAAAAGAAACGAGGCCAGCGCGACTGTCAACTGTAATTACGATAGAGGAGAGACAGGTGAGCTTGCCAAGACTCTGGGAGCTCACGGTGACCGGGCAACGGTCCGAGTCAAAGTGAATAGCAAACGCAGCCAGTGCCCCACTTTTCCTTAGGCGCACTTTAGACATACACGTATAGTACAGACATATGCTTACGTCCGCACCTCCTGATGTTCTCCGTAGGTAATTGAGGGCCCTGATGCTGGAGATCACCAGAGTCTCTAAAAGCGTCGAAGTCTGGAACAGTTGGTATGTCAACAACGAGAATCAAGGACTTTCACGGATAACGGCAATATGCAGAAAAGCGATATGTTGTCTCAATTTTGTAGACTTGATATCGAATTCACCATGCACAATGCCCACCATCGATACGCAGATCCTGTCACAGAAGATCAGTCACGAGACAGAATCCAAAGGAGTACTCTGTGATAGATTAAACTTACTGCTCCAGTCATGTAGCTCGATCCATCACCCAGCAAGAACAGTACTGCTGCCCTGTACTCCTCCACCTGGCTGATCCTGCCCAGCATGTTTTGTTCCGCCCAATCGTCTACCAATCCAGTCACCTGTGCCTCTTTAGTCAAGGCGGTCTCAATGTGACCTGGACTGATCGTGTTGACCCTGATCGGGAGGTTAACCTTCCTCTCCGGGTGTCCTGCAGGGTAGTACGCGAAGGTATTTTGAGGATGCCCCCATTCGCCGGCGAGCGACCGCGCTAGCTGATGTAATGCAGATTTGGAGGTATTGTAGGCTGCGCTGTTGATACCCTTTGTCACTGTTAGTCAGACGATCAGTGCCTCGAGGTGACTCGTACTTTGTTGCTGTTCCAGCCACTCATGCTGGCGATCAAAACAACACTCCCAGCCAGATTAGCGCGATGCAGTTCCTTACCTACAGCTTGTGCCATGAGAAATGTCCCTGCGATATTCACATCAATGACCTTGCGGAAAGCATCGATAGGGTATGACGTCGCATCAAATACACCTGAGATGCCTGTGCACGCGACTAGGCCACGCAATGGATGTCGAATTTGTTCTCGGATGGTGTCGAAGACTGGTGGAATAGCATCCGCTTCGGTAACGTTAAGCTGGTGATACCAGGCTTTGGTGCCATTTGCTGCAGCCGTAGCCTTAATGTTGTCTACACCTGCATTAGGGATGCGGTCGGCGAGGCGTGGGGTCCTATGATGTACTCCATTGGTCCCTCGCGGCTCTTGATGGCAAATCGATGAAAACCACGTCGCCGCCGCTTTCCAAGATCGCTTTGCCAACTGTAGAGCCCACGGCGCCAAGGCCGCCAGAGACTATATGACCTTATCAACAACAGTCGAGCATTGGGACATGAACTTTCACTAACTCACGATGGTCCTCCCATGCAACCTAAAGAGGTCCTTTGTCGGGAGCTCAGTTGGCGCTGGATGTGTCATTGCGGTCAATATGAAAGAGGAATGTATCTGGACATGTCATGTTGAACGTCGACGCATTTTTCAATCTAAATAGTCTATCTATCGAGCTGACATGGGTGATCGGGGCGGAGTCGGATTCGGTAAGAGATGGTGCGGGGACGGGAGCGACGTCATTAGTCTCAACGGTTGTGAACCTGCCAGCTGCTTTTGTGCAACTTCCTTCGCAAACTTACTGCCCACGCGTAGACCCTGCTTATGCATTATTGTGTGGAAGCATGACCGTTCCAAGATCAGACTATGTTACTATGTGTTAGTTCTACCCCTCAATCACCTTGACCAGATTGATGCGTGAATGTGATTGTGGTATGGCATCAGAAAGCACCCATATCACACAATCCAAGTTTTGGACTTGATTCTCTCATTCGCAGCATATGTTACATCCTTTGACTCAACAAGAAACACTAAAGAAATTCTAGTCTAGCTTGATACAAAGATGCGCAAGTACACTACACTTTTATGCCTTGGGCTCGACAGCTTGCGGGTAGTAGAAGAGCTGTTTGGGGTCATACTTCGCCTTGAGACTTTGAAGCTTGGGCAGGTGCTCGCCGTAGTACTGCTGCTCAGCCTCTTGACGTGGGAGCCTCGCATCTGCGTAGTTGATGTACGCGCCCCAGTCAGACCTTGGGATGGTGTCAGTGACAGCGTCGACCCAGCCGTCGAGGAAGCCGAAAGAGGTGGCAGGGTAGGTCTCGTTGTTCTCGTAACGGTCGTAGAACTGGATGATGTAAAGCTTGTCACGGTGGGGGTAGGATGTGGCGTCCTGGGGCACCTTGGTGATCTGTGAGTTCTTGCCGCCGTGCATGTCGAGCTGGAAGAACCAGAAGCGGTCAACGACCTTGTTGGCGACGTCGAAGTAGTAATCGACGAAAGCCTGGGCGGAGGTCCCGTTCAAGCCCTTGAGGGTCAAGCTCTTGGCGTAAAAGTTCTCCTGAGGGCTGGGGTGGATCCAATCAACCTCGTCGTAGTTGGAGTAAGAAATCACGGCCTGGATCCAGTTGAGAGTCACCGGCTCAGAGACGTTGTATCCCTTGGGGAGCGTGTCCAGGAGAGGTTGAAAAGCCTTCTGCCACTGTGCGGGAGTACCATAGTAGAGACCCTCAATACCGGGCTGGCCCTTGCTGTAGTCCCCGATACGGAAGTTGACTTCGCGGGGCTGGATGTTCTTGGCGTACTTCTCGACAGCCTCCAGACCGGCAACAGCGGTGTCCTTAGTCCATCCAAGAGAGAGTCCGAATTTAGTAAGGGTCTTGGGTGCTTCAAAAGTGCTTAGCTTCCACGAAGCAACAATGCCGAAGTTCGAGCCCGCCCCCTTGATTCCCCAGAAAAGGTCAGCATTTGAGGAGCTGGAAGCCTCCTTCACGCTTCCGTCAGCCAAAACAACGGTAACGCTCTGGACGGAATCCAAAGCAAGACCGTGCATGTGGGAGCTGAATCCGAAACCTCCGTGGAGGAAATGGCCGGAAACACCGACACTGTAAGTCGTTAAACAAGTGATACTCCAAGATCTGAGACTCGCAACTTACCCAGGGCAAGTGCCATGAGCGATGGCACGTCCGTACTGCTCGTACAACACGGTTGCTACGTGGCCAAGCCTGGCTCCAGGCTGCACAGTCGCGAGGTTCTTCTCTGCGTCATAAGTGACGTTGTACATCTGGTCGAGCTCAACAACCAAGTGGCCGTTCTCTCCACCAAACCCGAAAGATGCGTAACTGTGGCCACCTGACTTGGCGGAAACCTTGATGCCGAGCTTCCTTCCGCACTTCACAGAGTCCTGGATGTGCTTGGTAGTGGTTGGGACCGAGATGGCGGTGGGTAGGTAGGGCAGACGGATGTTGAAAGGTGCAACATCTTCGTTCCAGCCCTCCGAGCCCTTGACGTCGATTGGGACAGCAGCATCAGTAAGACACTTGTCGATGACAGCCTTGGCAACGAGCGCTTCTGCCGTGGAGGCAACCAAGCCAACAAGAAGAGTAGAGGTGACACGCATGCTGGGCAACAAAGTAAAGACAGTGGCCTGCGGACGAACAAACGAATTCGGAGGGACAGGGTAACTTTATATCCTTGCGCTGACTTACGCATCTTGTCGATATACGTACTGTCACCAGCCTAAGCGACCACTGGCCTGGATTTGTGATTATCAGGTGCACGACTAGGGAGAACAAGCCACACTTTCTGCCAAGGGCTTTGCAATATATCAGCAAGTAAGCGGAAGAGCAGTGGTTGGCCAAGGGATCCGGACCGGTTCTGCCTACAGTAAGGTGAGCAGTGACCTTCAGTGCATCGTAGGAATGCGTTTCTTCGTGTTCGTGTCTGGAACGAGGATTTTCGTTTCTAGCAGCAAGCGTTGAATCCTGCGGAGCGGTCGTTGGACCTCGCTACCGGAATAGTGCACCATCTAGAATAAATCCACGTGCGTTAAATTGTAAGATCTCGCGTGCAGGATAAGGGACGCATCGCATTGGAAGCTTCGCCGGCCCGCTGTTCCTGGTGCCTGGATGACAAGCCGGTTAAAAGCACAACGTCCCTGGGCGCCACCGGCAGGCCCATTTTCTCCTGTTGTTTACCATTTTGCTGCTCAGCTACGCAGCTAAGCACGCGGCGTAGTCGAGTATAACCACGTCGCAGGTACGATACGCCGCACACACGCAGTAGCTCTCCAAGAGCACGTTTTCGTGAGGCTTCCCGGCAGCTAAATCAGCGCAACGCTTTGCGGAGATGGTTCCTTCGTGTGGGGTGTCGGCCTTGGCTTCGACGGCTCAGTGGGGTAAGCACCTCATTCGGCCCCAATACAGTCTAACTCGACCTCAATCTGGGGGTTCACCTCACCGCCCGGACAAACTCCTGCCAACAGGTGGGCCGGTTCGACGGGCCTTCTGATGCTACAGCATTCTCACGAGGATTTCGCAATTTTAGTGTCGAGTTCCCAAGGCCTTGATGATGGCTGAGTCGAATTGGTGGTCAGCTGCTGGCGTAAGATGAGCCCCTTCATTCACAAGGCGGGAAGCAATACCGGGTGTGCGGAAGCGGCTGCCCGCAGAGAAATCTCGATGCCAATGAGACCTCTCCTGTGGGCCCCAACGTGGTCGCTAGGTAAGCCGTCAGCGCGTTAAAGCTGATGCTAGTAAAACGTGTAGGATCGTCTACGGGTTCTTCGGAGCGGTGGAACGCATACGGTCGTACATACGCGCCTGAAGTTTCGCCTCTCTAGGATCCAAGGCCGGTGCTTTTGTCCGCAGGCGTATTCTTCACTCTTGGCCCTGACGCCTCGAGAACATGCCAAATACTCAAGCTTCAATCTCACATGTTCTTTGCTCGGTTTCTGGAAGGTAACTTTGTTGGATGCGAATACTTCAACAGCTTCTGCCTGCAGTCTATTCGGTTCTAGCGTGTTCAGCCTTGCGAATCTTCCTTGGCCCTGCTTTGTTCCGGCAGACCTTCAATGCCGTCACTAAGTGAAACACTCACGTTAGCATGGGTTGTCTGAATCTGAACCAAACCGAGCCTAGATAGCAAACGCTCTTTTCACAACGTCAGACTACCACCGTGACGAGGTGTGACATGGCTTCATCCGTGCTCTGCTCGTCACCACGCCTGTGGTAGAGAAGCTTTCTACCGTTGACTTATTCGCAGTAGACAGGAATTGCTCTTTGGTAATGTTGCAATGGTATGCGTTCCAGGAGTCCCATTGGAGAACATGAGTGCGGGCATGAGAGGCGCATGTAGGCCCGTTGCATGCACAGACAACTGTTTCTTCATCGGCATGCGGGGTACATTGTACAGCGTGTGTAACCGCAGAGAAGGAGAGACTTTCCACGACCAAAGCGAGCTTCCGGAACAGACAACCTGGCGAGAGACTTGGCCCTACGTTTGATTCGGATGTTGATGAGCGAAGCGACGTGGTGTCGGTTAGCGTGTCGTGAGTGGACTCGCGGCTCGTGCCCAGGCGCGTCCCAAGACGACCGCGCGAAAAAAGTTCAGGGAGGCAGGCGCGTCCCGAGCTCCTGCCGTGCACTCCACAATGGCGTCGCTCCTTAGGAATGTCCACGAGTACTTCGCTCCACCACCACCAACAATCATGGAGACTATCAAAGAGAACCTCCCAGCGTCGCCAAAACACCCCTATTTCCCCGCTGAGTCCACAATCGCTGGCTACCTTGCCAATGAATACAACACCCTCGAGCTCGTTTCGCTGTTCGCGGCTGGATGCACCGTCATCTTCAGCTTGACCTACTTGACGGTGAAGAAAGTGCGCCCGACTCTGCCACTGTCCGATCTCGTCGTCATTCTCTGGTTCACGCTCTGCGGCTTCATCCACCTTTTCTTCGAGGGTTACTACGCCTACAACTTCCGAACAATAGGGGGACACCAAGATCTGTTCGGCCAGCTATGGAAGGAATACTCGCTCTCCGACTCGCGGTACCTCACCGCCGACAGCGCATTTGTGCTCTGCATGGAAAGCATCACGGCGGTAATTGCTGCCCACTGATTTTGAAAGACGACTGTTGACAACTCAGGCTGCCTGGGGGCCGCTCTCCTTTCTCACGGCTGCCCTCATCGCCGTCGACCACCCGCTCCGTCACTCGTTCCAGATCATCGTGTCGCTCGGCCAGCTCTACGGAGACGTCTTGTACTACGCGACAAGCTTGTTCGACGAGGCGATGCTGGGTCTCACGTACTCGAGGCCCGAGGCAGCGTACTACTGGGGATACTTTGTCTTGATGAACGCCTTCTGGATCGTCATACCCTTCATCTTGATCTGCAAGAGCGTCAGTGCCTGCTCGAGGGCCTTCGCGGCGCTCAACACGGCAGAGAAGCTGCTCAATGGAGGTGTGCAGAACGGCAGCGCGAAGAAGCAACAGTAGAACATTGCTCTTACAGCGTCCGGCCTCGGGAAGACGAGGATACACGATCGCGGTCCGATGGCATGAAATCGCCGTACTGATACTGGGTTGTACCATGTCAGCTTGAAGAGGAGGCTGGGGCGGCGGGCATCGTTGTAGGCTACGGCAGTGGCATTGTGAATGCGGAACATTGATACCCACACCAGAGCAAGCTCACAAGCTATTAGACTAGATATATTTGTATTAATTCTACCGACTTCGATTCATCGGCTCTGCGTCTTCGTGCGTGCATACAGATCGTCATCATGGGCGTCTCCGGCAAGTGGAGGGCAGCCGGACAAGGGTGTTGGGGCGTGTGGAACCACGCGGAGGTACGAGCATAACCCAGAGGCTGGGAGCGATTACTAGCAGACGTCAAGCATTCGATGATATGCTTACTGGCGAACGCACGCGCAATCAAGCACTTGCGAAACATGATCCAAGGTGGCTGTCAAGATCGATCTGCTTGGTGCGACCGGGGTCCTCGAATCCATTCGCTTCTAGCCGGTTTGTTTGGGAGCGGATCTTGGATGCAGGCCCGCGAAGCGCATGCACGACCATCAACCTCACCGACTGCTTCCGCTGCACGACTTGACGCCCTTCGTTTTCTTACGCCGTCGCTCGCTCGTCTTACAATAATTCTCGGACTTTGCGCACGCTTCAGGGAGGTGTATTCGCTGTAGTGCGGGGAGTAAGCTCTCTATCAGCAGCCACTGTTGACGTCCTGGGCGAGCAGCTGTGATCCACCAAAACAACAGACCCGCACCCGCACGTCTCCATCACCCGACCGCCGACTCTGTCCCATGTTCAGTCGAACACTCTACATGTTTGTCGCGTGCGCTACAACGTACACGTAAATCATTTTGCCCAAAGAACCATGTCACAGCCAAGGGTTGAACAAACAGCACTACGATGAAAGGTGCTGATTTCGGCAAGGCCATTGGTATAGACAGGCCAGCCAACGTAAAAGACAAAATAAAAAAATGGCAGTTCGAGCTCAATGCAGAGCCCGAGAACGCCCCAGATGCCGCGTCCGACACGGCGCAACCCAAAGCTCCGCCGTCACCCAAGCCGCCCTCGACGCCAAAAGCGAAAGCCCTCGAAGAGAAACCGAGTACGAAGCCTGCGCACACACCTACAAAGTCGGTAGAGGCCACTCCGGAGCGTCCGAGAAGCGCGAAGAAACCCCAGCCTGTCCACAATCCCCTCGACGAAGATGTTCAGGTAGCGACTGCGCCTAAGAAGCGTGTCGTGAGCGATTCGCACTGGCGTAATAAGACATCACCGCCCAAGAACCCGACAAATAAGCCTTCGCCCAAACAGCTGCCCACCGCCTGGGTACGCCCAGCTGCGCGCAAAGCCTTAGAAAAGGCAGAAGAAGAGGCAAAGAAGAAGGAAGAAGAGAAGGAGAAACAAAAGCCTAAAGTCTCGAGTCCACCATTAGCCCCCAATCCGCTTCTCATATTCACGCCCAATCTTACGCCCCAAGCACAACGAGCACGAGCTCAGCGACAGAGGAGATTGTCGCGCCCGACCAGCGCCGGCAACGATGAGCGACCGACAAGCAGCGGGTCTGGAAACGGGAAGAACGCAAAGAGCGGAGATGAGGGGGCGGTATCGCAGGCTTCGCCTTCGCCGGAGAAGGAGAAGACAGAGATGATACGGGTGCGACGGCGACCACGCGCGCGGACATCTCCTCGAGGGTCGTTGTCCGCCGGCGAGGTCACGCCTGTGAAGATACGTTCATTCCAGAGATCGGAGACGGCGCTCAGCGAAGACCAAGCAAATCTGATCACAGTCGAATACGAACCGAGCGAATCCGAAGCGGCGGTCCGCGATGCGATCCGAGAGAGAAGGCGAAAGAGCAAGAGGAGGCCGCGCAGCGATATATCAGGAGACTCTTCACCCGACATCAGAGTCACAGATGACAGACGGAAAGCCCATCGGCGATCGTATCAGAAGGATGAACAGGATATCACACCTAAACCCGCCGAACCTGTTGCACCAGCAACATCTCCACAGAAGTTGGGAAGCCGCCTCGAGATGTGGTTGCAAACGACCCCTGATCCATTCGACGATAAAGATTCTCAGCATCGGCGGAAATCGAAGGAGTCCATATCCACATTAGAACTACCTCCAGCTGGTGTCAAGTCGGATGTAAGCGCATCTATTGATGCCAAAGAACCCCCCCTTGAAGATGAACGGCCGCGTACAAGTGAGAGCCAGCGTCGGAGGAGGAAGAAGAGGAGCTCCACAATGCCCGTAGAAGTGACAGAGAGAGAAGGATCATCTGTGGTGTCTTCAACCGAGTCTAAAGAATTACCAAGTGCAAAGGCCGACGAGGGCACACCCACGCCAACTCTCAAGCGTCGTGGTGCAAGACGAAACCAACAGTCGCCCACGAAAGAACGCGTAATGTCACTTCCCGCTCGCGACATACTGGATAAAGACGAGGAAGCTGCATCGGCTGCTCCATCCTCTTCCGTGGACTCACAGGCGCTGGACCTTGATAAGATAACTCTGGGTGCGCCATATGAAAGTCAGGCTATGCGACGGCTGTTTCCTTCGACAGGAAAGCGACTTTCCACAATCGTGTCTATGGATACGTCCGCGACGAACAATCAGCGAGCTGCACCATCGGAAGGTGCAGATACTGAGATGACAGAGACCTCAGTCGGCAAAAGCAATGCCATTAAAGACGTAGCTGCGTCAGAAGTAGGATCGCAGCTTCGTACAGAGACTTCAACCATTGTCAGCCGCAAGAGCACAAAGCGCAGTAGACTTGCGAGCCATGCCGACTTGATCTCGGTACTTTCCATGCCCAAGGCAGGCACGAGGAGTATCGTGTCCGCGCGAAGCATCAGAACAAACAGGAGCCGCTTAGCTACTGCCACACTCGGCGATATCATGAACGAGCTTGCTTCGGACGAAAGCAAATACATGCGAGAGCTCCGCACGCTGGTCGATGGTGTCATTCCTGTCCTTCTCAGCTGCGTTCTGTCTAAATCCGACTCCGCCGTTGCTGCAGGGCTATTTAGCAAGACATCGAACACAGATGCAAGCAACGTTACGAAGCCTATTGTCGATATGGGAGTTTCCCTCGAGCGCTTAAAGACGCTGCATAAACGGATTCCGAAGGAAGACTCGGACTCGTTCCTATCATGGACACAAAGTGCACAACGAGTGTATAGTGACTACATAGCCGCATGGCGCCTTGGATTCCAGGACGTTGTTATTAGCCTCGCCTCGGCTGACGAGGAGCCTTTCAAGCCAGCGAGAGTCGTGGATGGACCGGATGATGGAGCACCGTGGGATGAAGGAATGCCCCGCAACGCAGAAGGCTATGTAGTCAACGGTGATGGCGAGCGTGTCGACGTTGCATATATGCTCAAACGCCCCTTGGTTCGATTGAAGTATCTAGTCAAGAGCATCAAGGTTAGTTGACACTGGATGATCGAGGTGTGTTGATCACTAAACTTTGATAGGGCATCAACCATCTGAAGCCGACGGAACGATCGGAGAAGATGATGAACGTTTTCCAGGACCTCGTCACCGTCGCTCGAAAACGCTCGAACGATGAACACGCGCGCCTCGAAGACGAAGCTGCCGCGAATATTGACCCTACACGCTCGCGCGATCCTCGCAGTCTCGCGCCTCTTGCAGGTGTCCGTGTTGACCGGAATCGGTGTGTCCGTGCTCGAGATCATTTTGATCTACACCTGTATCATTCGAGTGGACAAGAGGTCAACTGCCGTGTTGAGGTACTGCTACGTGATGATGCCCCAGGCTATGGCAACAGTGGAGATCTTTTGATTTGCGAAGTGGGCAACGCGGAACGCTGGCTTCTGTTACCCCCTATTCAACTGAGCCGCATCTCTGCTCGCAATGGGGATCGTGAGGGCGAGATCATTGTAATGATTCGAGGATACCACGCTGATGGCAATGAGTGGAGTGAAGTAATGTCTTTGACAATAGATGACGAGCAAGCTGGCTTCGAGTGGGTACAGATGCTGGGACTTGTCCCAGTCCCTCCTCAGCTGTCCGAAGTCGTGCGAGACCAACCACTTCAGAAAGCGCCACGGCCGACAAGTAGCCACGCCTCTTCCTCCCTAGTCTCGACAGCCACTGGATCAACTCCGCCACATAAAAGCCGCACCCCCAGTCCGCATGAGATTGAGATACCTATCGGCGAGCAGGCTCTCGTTACGTCAAAACGATGGAGTTTTGATACACCAGATCGGAAGCGGCACTCACGGACTGTGTCCCCGATCACCCCGCCGAGCAGCGATGTCATTGCTGGTGCTCAATCCAGCCCGGTATCACCACGGTTGCCTTTGGAAGCTCGGGCAAGTGGCGCAGAAGCCTCATCTCCTCGACCAGAAGATGTTGACCAATGTGAACGTACGCCAAGAAGCCTGAACGATGCTATGCGACTTGCCGAGAATAGCTCTCCGTCAAGCTTGAAGCGCACCAAAGCTCACAGGCGCTCGAAGACTATGTCTTCACCCTCTACATCTCGGCCTTCGAGACAGATCACGCTAGACGATCCCATTGAGGAGGAAACGGTGCAATATGTGAAGCCTCCTAGAAAGATGTCTAAGCGCCGGCAATCTGAGCAGCCACAATCGACAACTTCGTCAATGTTGTCTCAGTCAAGCAAGGGCTTCAGCGTCTGGCTGCCTACATCATCCGAAATCGATCAAGACTACTCGGACAATTCCGAGGAAGATGACCGTTCCGATATTTCTGTAGACGACGACCATGAACCTCCTGTGCGGCCTCTTGTGCATCGACGCGCATCTTCGGTGCCAACATTGGACATGCCCACCATTCCAAGACTGCGCAAGTCTAGCGGGCCGTCTACTCATATAAAGTCTGAAGAGCGGAGCAAGATGCCGGATTCGCCCGCGTCCGCACCTTCGAATGTCGAAAATGTGCGAGAAACAATCGATGAAGACCTTACGCCTGCAGAAGCGGAGGACGAGCCCCCTCCGCCACCACCGCATCGTTCCCAAACTCCGACGACACCCGTCACTCTGAAAGGATCTAGCACTCCGGTATTCACACCCATTCTTTCGGGCTTCAGGAACAAGCGGCGTTCGTCTTCACCTCTCAAGCACGAGTATGAGCCATCGACCTGTTCAGAATCGTCAAGCGAAAGCGAGGAAGAATTGTCTGAAATTGAAGAGTCGGCAACTTCAGAGTCTTCCGAGGATGAGCTTGAAGACGACGTTCCCACGCCGCTGATGCCGCTAAGTCAATTACCTCAACCCAAGCAGTTCCCCAAGGTGTCGCCTCCCGGTTCGATTTACACGCTTCCGAATGGGACCATCACACCTTCCCAGTCAGCATCGAACACTCCATACAGAAATGTTCCACAAGGATCTGGTCAAGCCTCTAAGGCTGTCGCGTCCATCTTCACGTGGTCGGACGCAGGTCGATGGGACAGCTTGCATCCCGACGAGTGCAGCATTGTAGTTATCCCCGGAAAGATTGAGGTTCATGAGATTTCGGCGACGCATTCGAAGCCCTTCGTGGCGGACGGCGATGAAATCATCTCAATAGAAACCACAGTTCCCCTTATTGCGGTCGAGCTGACGCCGCTGGTACCGCTCCGCAAATCCACGGCCATTGATATCTCTATCCGTTCCCCGCCTACGGCCGAATCACGCATAAAGAGCGGTAACAACATCATGTTGCGAAGTCGAAACGCACAAGAGTGCGCACAGCTTTACGCAATGATTAATCACTCACGTATCAACAATCCAACGTACATTGCCCTTCAGAACGCACGAGGTCCATACGGGCAGTCAAGCTGGGCCGAAGTCATGGAACGCCAGAACGCAGCGCGCCCCAATCCCGGCGAGAAAACCAGCTTTTGGACCGGCACCCTTGGTCGCCGCAGCTCCTATCGCAAGACAACCACACGCGCGGCTTCTATATCCGCAGCCACCGAGTCTTCCGTCGGCACAATGAACACTGCGCTGCGCAGTGCGCTCGGCCGCTTTAGCTTCGGCAAGAATGGGCGCTTCAACATCAGAGGCTCGACACTAGGATCCCGCAGTATCAATAGCTTCGACAGTGGCTCTAGTGGCTCAGGTTCAAGGCCGGGCTCAGGCTCGAGCATACCCAATCCCGGCCGCGCACCCGGCGCACCGGCAGGCATAACAAACACCAAGGTGCGCCTCTACGAGCGCGAGTCCCTCACCAAATGGCGCGACATGGGGGGCGCTCGCCTCGCTATCATGCTGCCGTCTCTCGACCCGTTGTCCTCCCCTTCGAATCCGCTCTCCCGCAGCCCAGGTATGCGCAAACCTAGTGAAGAGAAGCGCATTGTCGTCACCGGCAAGAAGGATCAGACTACGTTGCTGGATGTTACGCTCAGTGAGAGCTGCTTCGAGCGCGTAGCGAGGAGCGGTATCGCGGTCAGTGTGTGGGAGGATATTGTGGGCGCTGATGGGGTGGCGGGTAGGGCGGCGAATACGGGGGTGTGATGGGGAGTCGGGCGCGAGTGTTCATGGTGCAGATGAAGAATGAGAGGGAATGCGCGTTTTGCTTTAGTTTGTTGGGGAAGATGAGGTATTAGCCTCTGGACCATGAAGGGGATGAGGGGGAAGAACGTGAGGTGGCCAGTGGGGATAGAAAGATTTTGTCTTTCGGTGTGCAATCTTATGGTGGATATACCTCTGGACTTTGAGTCTGGTTCTCTTATGTATGCATTAGTGGGCAGCGATGGCGCTTTTTGTTGGGGGTCTGAGTCTGTTGAGCGCTTTTGTGATTATGTCTTGCGAAGATGCGAGCACGATACCGATACATATTGCACATATTCATCTCTTATCTGTCGAGGTTGGGGTACGTAAGGCGGTATCTTGTGCATACGGAGTATACTGGGGTGGAGTTGTGAGGATAAATGAATGAAGTCACGTGGATTATGAAGGGGCGTGTTGGCCGTGTTGTGCGAGATGATGGGTGCCATTCGATGCTTTTCGCGCATATGAGAAGGCTGGTCAACTAGCGTATCATTCGGTTGTGTCCGTGGCTGAGCATCGTGCTGTAGTGCAGAATCCTCGAAGCGTATATAAGCATGCATCGAGGATCTTTTGTCTGGCCTTGTGGTGTCTAAACGGAGTTCACAGACATGGCATCATTGCGGTTGGATATCTTGCATACGTCAGTCTAGGACACCTACGTGGGTCCGTAGTTTCTCTCGCAAGCTCTCAAGCTCCCTAGCAAGCGCACTCGGTCCGGATTGTTTCTCGAAAACAATTCACCTGTTCGCACCATGTGAGAGGCTGTGGGCTGCTCTTCACGATTTCGATGGAGTGCCTGATTGCGATAAAATTATTGCAGGGTATTGTGATATCTCTCTCAGTCTTGTGGTACCTGAAGCGATTCACGTGAAGGTCGCATGTGGAGAGGGGATGCTGGTGACTAACAGGACGGGACGGACGTGTCCATGTGGATTCTCGCATTGTCTCAAAGCACAAGCGGTTTGGTAGCTGGGCAGTTGCTCGGGGAGATCTTGACAAAAGACGATGGAACAACGGTTGTGTGGAATCCCAGGCTCAAATTTCTCCCGGAACAGCCAATGGGGGCGGCATAAAAGACCGCTTCTTTTTTTCTTCACACTCTTGCACGATCGCAACTCGGGAGACTGAGACCGGCTACCGACCATGTCAATGTGTAGTGTCTGCAGTGTCTAAGAGTTTGAGAGCAACTATAGGAGTCATCTGACAGAATCTGCTGCTCTTCAGAGAGCAAGCCAGCGTGTATATATGGGTGGTCGTTCTCTCACAAATGTCGAAGCAGAGATATGCATAGGTTTCTACCGCGCAAGGCCAAACAGTACACAGACAACCCCTGTGAAAGATGCATAGAAGCCGGTCGCTCCCGTAGATGTCGTTCTCTACATTTCTCTCAATTCGTCGAATAGCGGACTAAGAAGAGCAAGTTGGTGCTGTCGATATGTGATACTTCTGGAGCCTAAGATAATGACAGCAATAGAAGATGGCGCTCTGCTCTGGGATCGACTTGCTGTTGTTCGATTTTCAGAAGGAAATCCGTGTTCCATGAGCGGTACTCTGCATTCCTACTTCCAGGCGGCTGCGATGGTGGGACCAAATTGGGCTATCGTAAGAACACAGGGCGGGTTTCGAGGCACCCAGAAACACCTGGCTCAAGACCTGAATGTTCTCCTCTGGCACAAAGAGAAACGTCACCATCACTCCATGTGCAGAGGTACACAACCTCTTTACGCACTTCAGCATTGTCCGTCTTTCTTTCGAGTTTTGTTTCCCCGCGAGCGATAACAGAATACTGGAAAAGAGCCATAGAGGTTTCGCAGCAACGATCGGACACCAAAGCGGACGAAGGCTCCCTAGATGTACGAGCAGCTACGAGCCAGCGAGGAAGAGCTAGGAGGCCCAGCGTGCCCCTGAGATAGCAACCATGGTTAACAAAATCCATCGTTCCACCATTATCCCTTTGCCGTCCACAACAACGAACAGAATACACCGGTACACCCCCGGACAAGCAGCGGGCTTTCGGCATTTCATTGAAATCCGTCGTAATCTTCCAGAATAGGATTCGCCAAACAGTGGGCCCTGCGTCCGCGCATGGACCTCACAGCCCAGTTGTGGCACGTGATTTTACGAGCAGACCAATCGCCAGCGAGAGCGGACGAGGGAGGCTAACCTAGGGTGGAAATGTACGAGCATCGCCAAAATGTACGAGCGGCGCTAAGGTTTGCAACCGTGCAGTTGTCTACCGGTCAGATACCAAACCGCCAGATTGGTGGGGCTGTAGGCTGGTCGAACATGCATTGTCATGGGGCCTAGAGTCATGTATAAAGATCTGGGGCGCCCTCGTCCTGGTGTGAGGATTCTGCTTCGCAAACCGTCCATTCGAAAAGGAGACATCTTGTGATGTTCGCAGACCAACCGTTATTCACTCGCTGAACGTTGACCGATATCCTTGACACTACCACTTCAGCACTATTACACCGCGTACACCCGAACCGTCCCGATCATTGTCCTCTCCATTCATCTTTTATACTCGCCGTATACACAAACCATAATGGCACCTACCCTGTTCCTCGAGGCAGTACACTCGCTGGCCAAGCGTGGTGATGACGACATTGCAGGCATTCCCAAGTGGGCTTTGGTCTTCCTCATCATGATCGGTGGCGGCGTGCTCGTCGTCATCGTCTATGGCCTCGCCAGGTTTATGTTCCCTGAGAAGGAGAACATGAAGCCAGTGGGGGCGGAACAGGCCGACTATATGCGCGAAGTCAGAGCGAGGAATCTGAACAACCTGTTGGCACAGTCTGTGCCCAGAAGCCACGGCCCTTCTAGACTTCGACAGTCAAACACTAGGTACGACTTGGGGGGAACCAAAACCAATCGCCAGGCTGGACAGGCGACTGATGCGTTGAACAGTTACGCCGAAGGATCCACGAGATAATCGCGATCTCAACTGTGAAGATCCATACGGAGCATCGACACAGGATCGACATGACCCGCACTGCATGCATGAACAATTGCTGGATACAGGGATACAGTCATGGCGTACCGGTTCTTTGGGAACATATATCCATACTAGGGCGTGGGTCGGAGTTTGCCTTCCAAGCATCATATACAGGTACAGAGGGAACAGGAAATAAAGGACTCGCGGTAACGGCCATGGTCGCACAGAAGATGGAGATGCGCTTAGGGCGTCTCGATGCCAACACCATGGCCTTATAGAGCACCCGTAGATCGATGGAAAGGGTTGGAATACAATGACGAGCATGGGCTGTTCTTTTTTCATCACGAAGCTGCTCTGTTCAACGTTCATTCCGTTGTACTTGTGACCCTCGGTTTATGTCCGTGTGTCGAATAGAGCGGACCCAAATCAACACCAACAACTTCGGCAGGCCACTCGATTAAGCTTCGCATATGCTCCCCCAAAACAAGGGCAGCAGCGGATACTATATTTGGAGCGAGGTCCTTTAACCAGAAAACATCTTCGACTTTGTCGGGCAGTATTGCATAATGCGCGAGGAGTACCCAGGCCTCGGGTTGGCGTGCTTCCACGAATTCCACAAAGGCCAGAGGTAGTTGAATGGGCCAAGTCAACACCGAAGTCCAATCGACAAGCTTCCCATAGCGCGTTTGTTTTGCCTTGTCAGTAACAGTGAGCTGCGAGACACGCGCGAAGTTATCCCGCAGGTCCTTCAGAACCTGTCTCAGAGTGTCGAACCGGTACTCATATGGTCGATCCGACCTCGTCCACATGTTTTCTATGTCCCTGAGCCGCTTATCATCCTCAATTGCCTCGGGTGTGGCTGGTACAGGATACGGCCACCAATCGCGTTCTGCGACGTCCTTGAGCACCCCGTTCACGATCAGGTTCCAGCAAGGCACTAATATGACAAGTACACCTCGAAGTAAACGCAGTACCTTTGAAGTAGTGGCTACAAGGGATTGGATGGTCGCATCTGAATTCAGTCCTTGTCCGCTATCATGGAGTGGATGTAGAAGCGTGTAGAAGTCCTCCGCCGTTGTAAAAAGAACCCATGCGGTAGCAGTGACGGAGAAAGCTAACAATGACTCCGCATTTGCTTCTGTAACGCTCGCCACAGTATCGCGGTACTTGTTAAGTCCCATGTTCATCTGGTACGTTGCAATATCTCGGAAGTGCTGCTTCTCTTTTTCCGTCTCCGTGTATTGGGAAACATGAAGAGCGGAGATGGCGATTGTCCCCTGCAGGACGAATAAATGTTTCGCTGTAAGCTGGGGAACAGCTGCACACCAAGCCGCTCTAGCAGCATCATTATGGGTGATGGTGGAGCTGGTCTCCCCTGCAAAATGCTGCAATAGATGTCGAAAACGCGGCCGCAAAACTTCTGGAAAATGAACGAGCAGCTCGTGTTGAGGCAGATAATCCAAGAAGATGGGAGATGAAATGGACGCGATGGATCCCTCCGAGCTGCTCAAAGGTTTGTTTGTTTGTGAAGACCTTTCAAAAAAAGAACGAGGAATTGGATCGTAGGTGCGAAAGCTGCACTCGAGTCTACGCCTCGTACATTTTTCACAGTCAGGACGACCTTCGTCACACTGTGTGTGTCAGAAACTGCATCGCTCTGAACAGGTGGTTGCGATTGCATAGGAGGTGTCGTCTACCTCGAAGAGAACGTGGTCTGACCTTGACACGACGCTTCCTACACTGGGCGCATCCTCGCTTGCTTTGGGTACGAGGCTTCTTCGTTGACATTGATTTTGCGGCTCTGCGTATCGGATGATGAGTGAGACGGAAAAAATCAGTGGAAGAGAACGAAATGGGGGTTCCTGCAGTCTAGGCCACAACAGGCAAGTTCGCTCCTACCTGGATCACGGTGCCGTTCCCTTCGTGGTGTACCACCTTCATGATAAAATCGCATCAACGCCACTCAGATCTATCAATGCCTTGCCCTTTGCGAATGCCTGTAAACATCTACTCCCCCAGCCGCCTCCCACCTTGGTTCCAAGCCAAGATCGACACTGGACGCGCGAGGAGCTCCCCGCATTTTATCCATGATATCCCGTCCTGTGCCTCTTCGACTCCCTGCAACGATGCACGCGCCCCACTCACCATTCTCTCCGCATGCGCCGGCTTCCCTGATTCTCTCTGATCGGGCGAGCGCCGGTTCCGTTCGCGCCAAGCGGCATCATCCAGCTTCCCGTTTGGCGCTGGTTTGCTGAGGCGTGCCCTGAATGACGTCGATCCGAAGCTACTTTCGCGCTCACTTGTGAATAGTCTCGCCGTTACATTCGGTACCTCGCCTTGGTATTCATGATCAATTGCGGGGTATAGTGATGTTGCATGGATGGCAAACAAACGACTGATTACGGCCGCGACTAGGCGCGTGCTTGCACAAAAGCCCAGAATATCGTCACCACGCATCGTTCGTTCCTCTGCCAACATCCTCCCCTTACTCTTCGTACTCTGCGCGAGCTGCTGGCTCTCCATCAAGATGCGCCGTCTCGCCTTCTTTGCTTCGGCTGCGATACCGCTACTTGCAGCTGCAGAATGTCCTGACTACTCCGATTACTCCAAGGTGGTGCACGAACCGTTAAGCTCGGGAAAATACAAGCTTGCCTATCAGAGGCCCTCTGAAGACTGCCGGACCTTCAAGTCTCAGGGTGTCGAAGACACGCTGACTCGCTTCGAGAGCATTATCAAAGACCCTGACCTGTACCGCCTCTTCCAGAACGCGTATCCCAATAGCTTGGACACGGCCGTGAAATGGAAGGGCGTCGCAGCGGACAATGGGGAGGAGGAACTCACTTTCCTGATCACGGGCGACATCAATGCCATGTGGCTGCGTGACTCGTCGAATCAAATGCAAAGCTATCTGCCATTGTTGAACGCGAGCAGTGACCCCAATTCCCTCGCGAGTCTATACAGAGGTGTCATCAATCTGCAGGCAAGATATCTGCTCACGTCGCCCTACTGCAACTCGTTCCAACCCCCAGTGGAGAGCAACATCCCGCCAGCCGAAAACCCGTCGGCGAGCAATGACGTTGTTGTACCGGCATACAGTAACCAGTCAGTCTTCGAGTGCAAGTACGAGCTCGATTCGTTGGCTGCCTTCCTTGAAGTCTCTACAAACTATTACAATGCCACCGGAGACGCAGAGTTCTTTGGGAAGTTTCATTGGGTGGAAGCGATCGAGGCGGTTCTCAAGGTTGCGGAGGAGATGACAACGCCCACATACGGCGAAGACGGGAGGGTGCTGGACAGTCCGTATAAGTTCAATCGCGACACGGACCGTGCAACAGAAACCTTTGCCAACGACGGCATCGGCAACCCCGTAGCAAACGGCACCGGACTGATCAGGAGCGGTTTCCGCCCTAGCGATGATTCTACCATCTATCAGTTCTACATCCCCGCCAACATGATGTTCAGCGCCTATCTCAAATCAGCTGCCGAGATTATGAGCAGGATTGACAGCGGAAAGTCAGCATCTCTTGTTACACAGATGTCGGAGCTCTCAAGCTCGATTCAGGAAGCTATTGAGACCTATGCCACGGTCACCCACCCGAAATACGGAAAGATCTATGCGTTTGAGATTGACGGCTTTGGCTCTCAGAACATCATGGACGATGCAAACATTCCATCGCTTCTCTCCGCTCCCTTCAACACGTACCCAGTCAACGAGGAGACGTACGGCAACACGCGGGAGCTCGTGCTCAGCGCGTCGAACCCATACTTTATGCGCGGACCTGTGATGAACGCAGTAGGCGGACCGCACCAAGGACCTGGGATGGCGTGGCCCATGGCTTCGATTGTCAGAATCCTGACGACTGACGATGACGACGAGATCGTAAGGGAGCTGGAGCAGATTGTGAGTAGCACGGCGGGACTCGGACTGGTACACGAGAGCATCAACAGCTTCAACGAGACAGATTGGACACGTCAATGGTTCAGCTGGGCAAATGGCTTGTTTGGGCAAATGATTCTGGATTTGGAGGACAGGAAGCCGGATCTATTGAGCACGAGCTTCCAGTGAGGCAAGCGTGCGAGGTGACGTTGTACCACGCAAGGTCAACATGGTTACTTAGCTAATGGTATACATGTAACCCTGCTGGGCCCTACTATCAGAGTTGCCTGGCGGTTCCCCGTGGTGTCGGAGGCGGAGGGAGGACAGGCAAGGTTGTCTAGCACGTTCACTCGCTCCACGCACACGTGCCTGCTCAGTATAGCCTGGCGGGAGGGCACGACTGGATGCTTGGACAAGTATGATGCAGGGCAATGTCGTGTCAATATGCTACATGGAGGGTTGGCGGGAAACTCTGCCAAGCATGTACGGCGTCAACATGGACCTCAACATGGGCCTCCAGGACGGGTCGCCTACCATGCAGTTTGGATAGCAGATCAAGTCGATTGAAGGTTGTGATTGAGGATGCGACGGACGAGCATGGGACGAAGGAAAGTGCGGCGACATGCGACGCTGTGGTACCTTGTGCTCGTCGGAATCCTCCTTCGCCTTCTCTAGTGTGCCAGTTTGGCCGATGAGCACCGAGCGTCCACCACCAACAGACTATGGTATGCTGGTCCAGGACGACAGCTGAGGGTACGAGTTGCCTCTTGAGGGCAGCAGGTGCACGTTTTGTCATGGGGCTTTCTGCAACTGCGGGCGTTTGAGTGGTCTTGAGCAGGAAAGCCGTGCAACAGCCATCAAGACGTAGGCAGGCCATTTCCGATGCGCGGGCGGTGTGTCAAGCAAATGAAGGTCCCCCTCGGGGTTCAAGCTTGGAAGGCAGGAGGACGTGCATGACGGTGTAGCTTGATGAAGCTTGGAAGGCAGGAGGACGTGCATGAACCTGTAGCTTGATGGAGGCAGCAGGACAGGTGCGAGCCATGACGACAGGACGACGGCGTGGCTCCGCTGCGCTCCACAGCCCGAAATAAGTGCGCCTTGCTCGATCGACTGTTTGCTGGCGCGTGTTTCTTTGGCGGCTCTTGGACGCAGCGCTTACGACAGGTTCCGGGTCGTCGTGCAGCCACAGCAACTGGACGGTCGGTGATGGGGCTGGCTGGCTGGCGGGCCAGGGCCAGGGAAGGCGAGCCAGGGAAGGCGCGCCAGACGTCGTCGCTACGCAACCAGCACCGCTGCTCTCTTCCACTGTCCACACCTCGTGGGACGACGTCTTCTCTTCAGCCCATGCAGACCATCCGATGCTGCCTGCTTCGGCGCGACGGTGAGATGCAGGCGGGCTGGCCCCCTCGTGCACCTCTCCATGGACAGCGTCTTGCTCCGTTCCGTCTGCCTGTCCCCGCTCCCATAGACTTCCTCGTCTCTCATCAAATCAAACCTCGTCTGTCATCAAAGCAAACCCGTCTCTCATCAAATCAAACCTACCTGTGACTGGTGCTCCACCAAAGATGAATGGCGCACGCCGTGGCTTCCCGACACACTAACAACTAGGGACATGGACGGCGCCTGCCAACCAAAACAACCTTCCACAACCTCATGTCCAGCCTTCTTTCTGCTCCTCCTTTCTACACTCCGCTACACGCCATCTACCGTTTTTTGGACAGCCGCCCAGCCCTCAAGTTTCGTGCACACCCATTCCGACCACGACTCTGCGCGCTGCAGTAAGCGCTGAGGCTGCTTTCTCCTTTCGTCCAACATCCCCAGCGCCAATTGGACCAATCTCAACCTCGACTATTTGCGGCGCATATCCCACGCCGCAGCCTTGTGCATCAAACATCTTGCTCTAGACAACTGCATCTCTCCGAGTGGGCCCGAATTCCAGCCTGCATTCATCTTATCGACAAGGCTCTCAAACGTGCCCCTGTTCGTTTCAAGTGCCTGAACCAAGCGCCCCGGCGCACCGGCACCCCATCTTCGTCTGGCACACCACCTCTACTCAGCTAGTACGCCTCTTGGACCAATCACGTCGCATTGCTGAGTTGCATACCCTCTTCGACCATCAAGTTGCCGCGTAATTATTCAGTGTTATTTTCTCGCCCGCACCGTACATTCTCTCCAGGTTGGTCTGCAGCCGCCTCTAAACAAGTTGCTCAACTAACACGAATGCAGCAGGGTCTGCAATATGACCTTCTAATTTGGACCTCTGTCAAAGCGGTTTCATGCTACGCAGACCGCGGTTGGCCTGCTAGAATTCAAACAAGACACTGCCCCCATCCCGCATCCTTCTCGCTTCAAGGCCCTGGGCTACCCAGCATCATGGGCTCCACGACACTCTTTACCTTCCTGTTGTATGTCGATCCCTCCCTCTGCCTTATATCCTACTGTCGCGCTGACTTTTATCTAGTGAGCATCCTACTCGGGTTCAGAGTGTTGAGTTGCTCGGGTCTTGGGATAACTTTTCCAAACCATACCAGTTACAACGTGACCGACGAAGGGGTCACGGCATCTGGGCAGGCTGTTTTACCTTCGACAACATCATTTGCGACGGCGACCTGAACAACGTGGGTCAAGGTCGAAGCGGTGCTCTCCAAATGGGCGGAACCTACTGGTACTACGTGAGTACATCATGTCCCCATAACACGTGCTCGACGATTCAATCAGTCTACTCTTCCTTTCGACCATCATGTATCAGTAATGTAACCTTCACTGACCTGGTCCAGTACAGCGTGGACGGCGTCGAGGAACGCCATAATCCTGCCGAACCATCGACGACTGCGTGCCCTTTGCTTCCCGGTCAACGACTGAACCTTCTCGAGGTCCCTCGGGAGTCAGAAACCCGCCACATTATGGGAGACGCAGATGTCTTCACCCGTAACCCTAAAGACAAGTTCCTTACGCCAGTCCCGCCTGTCCCACAGAAAACACTTCCACCTCCTCGGCTAGGGGACCTTTGCAGCGAACCGTATCGTGTCCCCACCGTCTCGCTCACTACCCCAAGATCCGCTACCTATCCCTACACAACCCCAGCATACTCACCCGGACCCGCACGACATGCACGAAGTGCATCCACTACACCTGCGTTGTCTCCGACAGCCCTGTTCACGGACTTTAGGGGATTGAAGGAAAAGTTTGCGCAGAAGAGGTCAGCTTCGCATGCAAGGGCAGGATCGAGGAACATCCGTGGTCTGGAGATAGGAGCGCCTACTTTGATCAGCACCACCGCCGACGGAGTCAATCTCGTGCCATTGTTGTCGCTTCAAGGGACTCCAATACCTCCGCCCTCACCAACTCCCAAGACGTCAAAGTCCCTTTCCTCTCCCTCCGTTGCGCCACACACAGCTGCTTCCTTGCCAGCCTCTGTGATGGAGAAGCTGCGCGAATTCTCACCTCTTGGCTCGCACCCAATAGACCCAGCAAATGATCTTGTTTCATCATCATTATCTGCCAGCGAATTTGCTCACGACACGCGGCCGCGCTCACGATCAGACGTTGCCCCAACCACATCAGGCTCGCTCTGTGCGCCGATCAGCATTGTTCGAGCAAACTCGACCGACACGAGGCGAACGAATCTCTTCTGCAACGAGCCGTGGATTTCATCACCGAGACTCCCACGACAGCATGAGATAGATCCTGACGCAGCAGCCGAGGATCCTCTTGTGCTTCAAAGGCCACCTGTAGCCCTCGAGCCTCCTTCTGTAGATGCACGCCCAACCTCAAGCCACGGCGGTGATCGCAGTTCTCGCTTGCGTAACTCGGCAATGTCCACAAACAAGGAACTACCTCCTCTGCCACGTTATCTCGTTCCCGCTCCACTGTACGCATGCAACAGTGCAGATTCTAGCCCAAAGATGGAGGACGCGCCCGAAGAGCACGAGTATCAGGAAATCCAGGTCGACGATGCCCGGTTCCAGATGCTGTCGGGGCCTAAGGAGGGACATTTCTCAACATGGGGCGCTGAGTCGGGCACGTTCAGCTCACCGACATCCGACGAAGATGACGTTTATTCGCCCACTTTCAGCTCCTTGACCAGCGACTGTAGTGAGACCGGTTCCCCGCGGCGATTCTCGCGTTTCTCTATTAGCGATTACATACACAGCCCCGATCGCGGCTCTGCATTCGTAGGAGGGAACTTTGAGAAGAACGAGCAGGATGGGCCCACGGCCAATGGCGACGTCTCTGCCATGCTCCCAAAGCTAGAGAAGCTCCACCTTTCATCGTTCGGACCCAGTCTCTTCGATCTCGACATTCAACACGCAGAATCCGCGCCCCGTAGGCAAGCGGCATGCTTCGGACTAGGTTTCCAGGGCTATAAGCTACCAGAAGACGAAGCCGCGTCCAAGGTGAACGTAACCAAGACTTCGCTCCACTCTCATCTTGCGATACACCACGACCGCGGCACCTCCACCAGCCGTAACGAAAAGATTGTCAATGACTTTGGCTTCATTTGCGGTACCGTTAATTGAAAGCGCTTGGATCGCTGCCTTCGCTTCACAGTACATGATCGACTTTACATTTCCTCTGTTTTAGATTTTTTGGTATACCCATTTCCGCCTCGCAGCTTTTGCGAGCGACAACCTTTTCCGACCTCTACAGCGAGCTTTCTACCTACGCTGCATATCCGTGATTTCAGCCTTCGATTCAACTTTCACATTTTACACACTGCAGCAATGCTTCATTTAGCGATGGCGTTTGATTTTTGGGACAATTCCCCAACAATGACTTTTACTCACCATGTCAAGAGCATGATATTGCGTTGGTCGGCGATCGACAGCATAGGTGGTTGGGACATATAAGGCCAATAAGACGATGTGTTATCCTGTGGATCGATAGCGAAGCAGTTGATTGTGGACGAAGCGCCTATGGAGATACTTTGCAGTTTATATAGTAGCGCAAGGGTCTACCAATACGAAATCGTACATGAACGTCATGGGCATGATGTGACGAACATTTGAAGCCTGCACGAGTAGCCAAGCATTGATGCCTACGCCTAAGTTGTGTGCCCTCGTCGATTGCAGCCTTGCACCCATGCTTGGCTGCGCCACGCACGGCGAACCTACGGATTTTTGCCGACAAAGAGATGTTTCCGAACCGCTTGCACGGATCGACCTGTACTCTCCAGATCGGCATACTCTCCTTTGAAAGAACTAGATCCTGGATACTCTTTTCCCAGTATCCGGATCGGTTTCAGCTCTCGATTATGAAGCGCAGCTTCAGCAACTATCTCGAAGAACTAGACGCCAAGGAGCGCAAAAGCGTAGCCAGACAACAAAACGTACATGATCGAGAAGACGACTTCAGCTACGGCACAAGCTCCGAAAGAAGACCCATCAGTACGGACATGGGAAGAGACAATCAAGATGGATTCGCCGGTGTGCGTCGTCATGCGAACAACGAACGTCCATCGGGACAGGGAGACAAAGTAGAAAAGGCGTTGCTCGAGAAAATTGAACAGAACATTGCAGTGATGAACGGGGGATTGGCCCCGAGAACTGATACAGAAGAAGGTGCGAAGTGTCCTGGGCCAGACAGTGCTGACGACGCGCCGCTATCAGCGACGTCGTCACCTTGTCTTCAGAGGTCTGTGGACAAGGAGACAAACGCAGAGGAAACAGTTCGTTCTCCGAATGAGGCTACCACTGGTGGACCTTCGAATGAGACGGAGAGCGATGACACCGAACCTATTGACTGGGATAGTGTACCAATCACTCAAGCAATATGCTGTAGATGGCCAGAGAACGTGTGGACCGAAGAATTGGAGAGAGAGATGACGGAGGCGACGTTGTTGCCGTTGCCGGACGAGGATGAAGATGATGGAAGCAGAATGGATGGGGCGACGTGGGTATTTAAGAGGGCAGGGCACGGGATATGACATGCATTGGAAGTTGACGTATATTGGAAGTTTGGCCGCGTAAAGATCATCCTCAGAGTTCGGTGGAGTAGAGTAGGGGGTTCGATGCGATTTGACAGCATAGACAATAGAAGAAACGTAGTGAGTTTTGAGTGTTGCAGTAAGCGCTCGAAGTCACCGTCAAATTGCATGTTCAATAATTTTGGTTTCCGCTCAGTCTATGCTATATCCCACGCACAGTGAATGCGAACCCACCCTCGTCTCGGCTAAGCCAACAACTAAGCCATCACAGTGACAAATAGGCCTATACGATCTCATAGACGTCCGCGACCGACCTGACGTCGGTGGTGAAGTTGATGTCTTGGTTCATGGAGAGGAGCGTTACGGATGCAACCTGCACGACCATTAGCATTTGATTCTGAAAGGATAAGGAAACTTACGCTAACGTCCACGAAAGGAGTGGCCTTGCTGAAGCGTACCCTCATGGGGAAGAACTCAGCCTCGCTCTCGGCCTGAGCCTCAAACTCAAAGCTGCCAGAGCTGTGTTCTTCATCCACCCCACCAATGTTCCATTCTAGGCTGTCGCCGCTGACTTCGTATACAGCGTCGAAGGATGAGACATTAGGTTCGTCGGTCTGGAAAGGAATGGTGATGCTGACGTCCTTCAATGCGTCGCCACCAGCCAACTCGTATTCCACGGTGATGTTGAACATCTTGCCCGAGTCCTCCACCCAGACACGGAACGTGATCGGTGGATCCGATACATCTTCTGCCTTGGGCGCAAGTTTCCATTTCATGACACCAATGCCCATGTTCGATGGGAAGCCCTTACTGGTGTCAGCAAGCTGGATGATCTGGCCGTTGCGGAAAGCAGCCTTGTCAACTTTTGGATGTGTCATCAACTGTGCGCCTCGGGTGTCGCCGGCTTGGAGGTCTAGCTTAACCTGCGTAAGGGCCGGGTCGGTGATCTTGAGTTGCATTTCTCCTTTGACCTCGAACGACTTCAGCAGACCTTCACGGTCCAAGCGGGCTGAGATGGACTCATTAGTGGTGATGTGAACAGCTTCGCGGTCTGTAGAGGTGGATTGGCGGGCGCTCGCAGGCGCGGCGGCGGGGGCGGAGGTCTTGGGCGAGGCAACTAGAGGTTCGCTTTCGGGGGGCAGATCGCCGGCGACTTGTTCGAAAATGTTGGAAGTAGTCTTCTTCTTCCCGAGCTGCATGCCCTTCTTGCCAAGTGCCAGTGGCTTGCTGACCTTCTTCTCGGCTTCATACGAGTCGTATGTGTCGGGGACAGTGGCAGGCGTGGTGGGCGTATACGAGGGGTACTGAGGTGTACGAGGAGCGCTGCCCATGCCACCCATGCTTCCCATGCCTCCACCCATACCGCGCGATGACCTCGACATCTCCTTGCGCTGCATTTCGAGCTGCTTGGCACGGCGTTTGCGCTCCTCGGTAGCCTCCAGTTCCTTGTTCCGTGCAATGATCTCCTGGATCCTCTCCTCGTGACTCTCCATCTCCAAGAACGTCTTGATCTGGGACAGAGTCAAGTTCTCCCTATAACCTAGCGTGACAATCTCATCGAAAGCGCCCAACAGCTCGAAAGCATTCTTCAAGATCTCGCGCTCGTCCAGCGACTTGCATATTGAGGATACGACCTGGGCAAAGAGGTGGAGAGAGTTAATGTCCTGCAGGATATTGGACTGTAGGTTGGTGATGAGCACCATGTACAGCTCGTCGAGCGGCTGGTATACGTAGCGCACATTGTCCTGCTCTACGGTGGTGTGCTGGGAGGCGCCGTCGGCGAGCTTTGGGAACGAGGCGAGGAGGGCTTCAATGCGCGAGCGCTGCATTTCGCGGAACTGGCGGGAGAGGACAGCCTTCCCGCCACGGGTGCATATCGACGCTGCGAGGACGACCTGTAATAATCATAAGCTGTGGTGAGCGGACATGCCATGGAATTGGGCCATGATACCATGTTGTCACAGGATTAGCAGCTTGCCTAGACACGTCTCAAGCTAGTCGTAGTGGTTGCCCCGGAGGTTGTGCACACTTTCGGTCGCAAAGCTTCGGCGGTCTATGTATGGAGGGGGATGTTGTCCACAATGGAAATTGAAAGCCCCAAATTGACACTCGCGTGGGGGAGTAATGCCGGTGACGGATGCAAAGCGTAGGAGAAGGATGTCTTCCGTGTATTGTAAACGAAGCAGGGCTACTGTATCCCTCGCACTCGAGTTGCTGGCTCGCTGTACCAATGGAGGTCCGCGATGTCCAGGTGTTACTTTGGTCACGTGCTAACGCCTGCCTGTGCTAAACCGTTTCCGCGCTCGAGACTGCCGCACTTAAGCTGCCCTTTGACCCAAGCCTTTTTCTCCTCGACACCCTCGTCCTTTGCCTGACTACCACGACCACGCTCGCAGCTCTCTTCGTAGCGGCTTCGCCTCTCACCCGCATTCAGCCTCGACTTCATAGACTCGCGGCCTTGCGGCGCGCTCTGACGACTTCCGCCTGCGTTGGCTTCGACACTTGTAACTCGATCTTGGCGCGACCTTTGTCTCGGTCCGTCTGCTCTTGATAGAGCCCTCCATCAATACAGAGCCGTCCCACATTATAGCCACATCATTTAACAAGACGCCCACAGCGCGATGTTGCTCTAGAACACGGCACAAGTTTGGCCGATCTCACAGACCCCACATCACACGCGTTCGCCTCTTGCCCGCTGCGACACGCATTCACGCCACACCTTCGTAAGAAACGTTCGCAGCTTCGTTGGCCTCTTTGACATGTCTACCGCTGCATTATCAGCTCCTCATTTGGAGGTTACCGCATCCGATACCATGGACCTTCATTCTGATGACGGCCTCGGCTTCGGTCACGGCGATGTCGACATCGACCTGGACTTGCGTTCTACAGGCGGTGTCGACGATGACGAATCACTTGACGATGCTGGAACTGATGCCGGCCAGGATGTACAAACCGTCTCGGGAGATCAGGACGACTTCATGGCAGACAACGAGGATATCATTGAAGAGGATGTCGTTGATGAAGATGTAGAGTTGAATTTGCAGCCGCACTCAGCTGACCATATCACCGCGCTTGAGCAGCCCCTGCCCCAGGAAGATGATGCAGAAGAAGATCTGATCGATTACTCGGATGAAGAGGACACAGCCGCAGACGGGACCCCCGTCGCCGCAAACGCACCGCAAGCTGATAATCACGATGACTCTGTCATTGCTGAAGTGGGTGCAGACACTGCCGCTGTCGATGAAGCGTCTGGCCCCGGCGATTATGCTGGAGAGGATGAGACCGGGTCACACCTTGCCACAGTCTCGCATGATGGTCAGAACGATTTGTCTCTCGCGCAAGAACAAGAACCGTACACGTTGCAGCAGCATGGGACAGCTTCCACTCAGCAAGACGACGAATCGAAAAATGAGAATCATAATGACTTCGAAACTTCGGCCCAGGAGACGCAAAGCCAAGTACGAGGAGCAAGTGAACCTGCCGTTTTCTCGACTGCTACCGGCGTTGGGGAATCTTCCTTCGCGCAAGGTGGGCAAGATGGTGAAGGTTCCAATTTCCACCCAGTCAACGTCAACTTCAACGGAAAAGATTACTGGTTATTCCAGCATCATGATTATGAAGGCAGTGGGGATTATCTCCTTGATGACGCTTCATTTTTGGAACAGCCTCTCCATGCCGTCATCAATGCATGTCGGGAAGCTCTCAGTGCTCTTGACGTGATCGTTCCCAGTGATCTGGAGCTCGGCTTCCGCCTCGACAGCCTCCACCATGTCGAGTTATATGAAGAACATTCAACGTGTGCATTCTTCAGCTTGAACGATATACTTCGTGTGTATCTGCAACTCTATGCTCACGACGGAATCACTGACCCTGAGTACTTCTGCATCACCCTCTTGTCTCGCCCACGAGTTTCATCCCTTCTTGCCGAGCTCTCTAGAGCCGCTACGGAAGGCATTGGCTATTCAGGCTTGGACAATGTCATCGCCTCTGGACAGAGTCTTTTCAGTATCCACAACTCACATAGTCCTACTGAACATAGTTCTGGGGAATGGGAAGAGGGTGACGTGCAAGAAGTGTCGAAAGCGCAGGCTCACCTTGATGGTGGTAAGCAAGATGAATACGAAGAAGATCATCATGAGGGTCACGAGGGAGACAATGTCCAAGCGCCATATGATGAAGAGCATGGCGATGAGGGGTGGCATCACGAGACCAATAATGAGGACCAGCCTGAGCGTGAGAATGCAGCTGAGGTTTCTGAAGAGAAAGAAACAGCAGCTGTCTCAGCAAGCGACAATGCTGATGCTGAAAATGCGATAGCGAGTACGAACGAGCATGTGGAGCGATCCATCGTCGACACTGCTGCTTCAGAGCAGAACGTCCAGGATCCTCAGGATGATTTCATCGATTATAGTGACGATGAGGACAGTAAGGGCGCACCTGGCAACCAAATCCAGACGAGCCGAGTTTCGTCGGCTTCTGCAACGGTCCAGGGTGATGAAGCCTCTCAGACACAGGACTATGCTGAGGACGTAGCTCAAGATGAGCAGCAGAGCAAGCATGATGACGAAGCTACGCATATTGGACAAGCAGGCTTTGGTGCTGATGTCTTTGCTAAATATGAAGGCAACGATTACTCTTATGGAGGGCAAGCTTCTGGAGGAGGTTATGAAGAAGAGTATGGGCAGGATTACAACGAGGGTCAAGAGCTTGAGAGCTACCCAGCGTACGACGACGCTCAGGCGATGGTTGAACACACTAACCCCCTCGGTGATCTCGAACAGCAGCCTGTAGATCATGCTGATGACCTCCAAATCTTTGTGGGGTCGAACGTCGGCGAGCCTGACGTTGTAGACGATACCTTCGACGGAACAAACGACTTTTTGGAGTTTGATGACACAATTGCGGCACCACAACAAACAGTGGACAATGAAGCCGCAGAGGACGAGATAGACTACTCTGACGAGGAGGACGGCGCGGTCAGTCAAGCTCCGGTTGCCGCATCTGCGGCTGCAGACTCCGTTGTCGCTTCGTCTACCGGACCTCAAAATTTGTCTCCACAAGGACAGAAGAGAACAATCGACGAGGTTGGTAATGGTGCAGTGGACGGCATCACATCAATAGGTATGCTTCCGCGTAGGCGCCCAACGTTGTAGTATCATACTGACCAATGAAACTTAGATGCAAAGCGACCTCGAGTATAGACTCCCGCCGTCCTTCTTGGCAGCGGATTCGACGTGAACGTGCGCTAACCCTAGGACATCACGATACAACACCTAGCTTCGGCCAAACGAACTTCTGACGTAGACAACTCTGGAAACCGATCTCACATGTACCTTGACATCTCCACTGGATACTAACAGCAGGTATATGTAGCAAGTGTAAGCCTCGTTTACTGGCGCGGATGACCGGCTTCAGTTGCTGCAATCACATGCAGAAGGTATGTAAGACATTCTACTAACGACGTGCCTGCGACTATTTCGCGCGAAACGAAGCCTCCAAAAACTATACCTATCACTGGTTCGTCTGACGTGTTTTTCTCTTGGGTACGGGGAGGGAGGAGATGGCGGAGAGGGATCGGATCCGGTTATGATTTTGTTTTCGGCATCCGGAGTTTGGCGCAACGGAAACATGGCACAAGACGGAACAGAGGGTTGATCGTCACACGGCGTTTAATACCCAATTTGACCGCATGGGATTCAGGAATCGGGCGTTCACAGCATCATGTTCTTCTGCGACCGCATGCGCGCCCCATTTCCGAACTAAACAGCAGAGCAAGAGAGAAGGATGCTTGCGCGTCAGCTTCAGAGCTTTGAGGAATCGATAAGCAGTAGCGGACGGAGTGGACTCTCCTGTACTGGTTCGGCTTTAGTCAGCTACTCAGCCCCAGACGCCACAATAGTTTTTCTCCACAATCACCTTTTGCATGCGTGCCTTGATTCACCCCGTGAGTGCTGAAAATGGCAGGCCCTGGCAACGTCCAAGCACGTCGTGAGTCTGCCAACGTGTACTTGGCGTCACGGAGTGGACGGGCTACTGGTCAGAAGCAGTCGTGCCAGGCCCGAGGCCGCGTGTTTCGCAACCTGAGGCGGGCTGGATGCTCCATCTGCTCCACCGTTCGAAAATAGCGAGCCCGCTAGAAGGTGCCCCTGCGCAGGCCCGTAATCGACAGCTAGCCGTCCCAAAGCGTCCACCTCCACGCCACCCAAGCCCTGCCGTTGAACGACATCGCGCACGCCGCACAAATCTGCCGTCGTCCTCCCTTGCCTGCAACCCCCTCCGCGCCTTCATCCGCATCGCCGCCTACCCGCCTGCCGCTCGTTCATACAGGCTGCCCTCGCCCTTCGTTGCATCTGGCCACACAGCGTTTGGTGAAACGCGCAGCGATTTGGGCCTGCAGTCTGCCGAGGGCGTGACCGTGCTGCCGAGAACAAGTGAGGAACAGGAGCCACATTGTACTTGTGCCCTCCGTGTCTTCGTTGCTCTGGAGAACAGTGCGTGCGCGTGCCTGTCGCATCCATCTTCACTCCACCCTCTTCCGCCGAGGCCCAGCACCGTTGACCGCCTGCACCTTTGCGCGCCCACCGATAGTCCCAGAACACAGCTTGCCCTCGCCGCTACCACGCCTACAACGCACCGCGACCGACTGCATTCGTATCTGGGAATAGGCCACTAGAGGGTCTGGGAACCCTTGGGCGCCATCATGGTCGAAGACAAGTATGTGCCGGAGCCGAGACGCTGCGCGCGAGGCATGAGTGATGCTCATTGTGGACAGATACGTTGGCCTGATACTGGCTGTATCATCTTCGCTTGCCATTGGTAAATAACCCTCTACCGCGTATCTGTCTTACTTTGCTAACATGTTGCGACCAGGTACGAGTTTCGTTATCACGAAGAAGGTTCGTCGCCGCACCCTTCTCCGCTTCAAATCGTCTAGCCACCGCCTCGGGTCGCGACCTGCAAGAACATTGGCTAATGCTATGCCCCTAGGGTCTGAATGCCTCCGCTGAGAAACATGGCTTTGATGGAGACGGTTTCTCATACTTGCAAAACCCCACCTGGTGGGCCGGTATTGTCACGAGTGAGTGAAAACGCGACTCCGAGGTGCACCGTGGTCTGACGTTGCGCAGTGGTTCTGGGAGAGATATTCAACTTCGCTGCATACGCGTTTGCGCCCGCGATCCTGGTGACTCCGCTCGGTGCTCTGTCGGTACTGATTGGGTTCGTAGAAGATGTGCTGTATAAGAGGGAGCTTTGCTAACACGAATACAGCGCCGTCTTGGGGTCCTATTTCCTTCAAGAATACCTGGGCGTACTCGGCAAGATTGGTTGCGCGATTTGTCTGATAGGATCCGTCATCATTGTGCTCCATGCGCCGCCGGACGAGGAAGTCGAGTCTGTCGATAAGATCCTCGACTATGCGATACAGCCGGGTACGACATGGTACTCTTGTATGTATGGCATATTGCTGACTAGGCAATGCAGGCTTCCTGATTTACTGCGTCTTTGTCGCCGCCTTCTCCATCTTCATGATCTACAACATCGCACCAAAATACGGCAGAAGAAATCCGCTCATCTACCTCTCCATCTGCTCGACGACCGGCTCGGTATCGATTATGGCCATCAAAGCATTCGGCATTGCGCTCAAAATGACATTTGCTGGGAACAACCAGTTCACACACCCTTCTACTTATGTCTTCATAATTATTACCGTCGGCTGCATTTTGACGCAGATGAACTACTTCAATAAGGCTCTCAGCCAGTTCTCAACCAACATGTACGGAGCCCAAAGCACGGCATAATGGACATGGAGCTGACAGACACTAGTGTTAACCCGCTTTACTACGTTACCTTTACCACCTGCACGCTCGTTGCTTCCTTCCTGCTCTTCCGCGGTTTCAACACCACCTCCGCCGTAAACACCATTTCGCTTCTCTGCGGCTTCCTCGTCATCTTCTCGGGCGTCTATCTCCTCAATCTCTCGCGCGATGATCCGGACGGCAACCGTGCTCTGGGCAATAATTTCAGCGATGGTGTGCCTACAGATGGCATCTCAGGCTTCCCCACAAGGCGAAGCATGCAGCTGCGACGCAGTACCGATTCTAATTTCCGGAGCCCTGCGCTTCCCTTCTTGGGCGGCCATGGGAACGGGAGCCGGCAAAGCCTAGGAGAGAGGAGAGCCATGATGCACGATTACGATATCGAGAACAACCATTTTGAGCTGGGTGACCTGGCAAGTGATGAGGACGAGACAGGTGGACGCAAGAGGACGAGCTTTGACGAAGAAGATGATGTTGGCTTGAACGGACGCCGACCGAGCGGCAGTGTGAGAGCCAAGAAAGAATCTGTACGACCGAATGGGAAGGGCCAGGCTCGGTAGCAATTGCGAAGAAACGACGCAAAAACCCGCATAATTAACGAGCCTCACCGCGCGTCACTAAGAGATGCGCATGTATATATGGGATGACATGAGATTCCGATTAGTATGCGGCATGGGTTGGGAGTTAACCGCTCGGCTGGCTGCGCGGTCGCGTCAACCAGGTTTTATCTGCTTAGGCCGCGTGTGCATTTACATGGAGATGGACACTGTTGTATGGGTTTCGGGGCGTTAGGCATATGGAGCATAAGCTGGATTGGCATGGTGGGTTAGGCATGTCTCCGAGCTTCGCTTGTCTGTATTTGTACGTTGGGACGGTATACCCCAGGACGGGTAGTAGGCCTACGCAGTGGCGCTTTCGTCCGCGCTGTTATGAACGCCTGATCATTTGCAACTGGCAAACGTCAAGCACTGTGAAGTCCAGACCGCTATACTACGTGCTGAGCTCGGTGGATGTGGAAACGAAGGCCCTTCCACAGTTGTGCTCACCGCCAATATCCACGAGTCGTTCTACGCGTCCGCGTTGCAGTTCACGTTGCTTGCAGTGCTCCAGCGCCGGCGCGCAACACGACACCGCGATCGCACTAGCCAAATCCAGTACGATCGCGCCTGCCTTCAACCCACCGACGTCAAAACACCAACACTTAATCACGGCCGTTCAGGCCGCCTTTCGGGCACGCAAACACAATAGCCACCATGGACGCTCCAGTAGGGCCCAAGTTACTCCAGCAAGCAGAGAAGATTCTCCTGCATCCTATCCACCCGCAATTAATTTCGTATTGCCCGACTATGGATCTCATCGCCCTCGTGACCGATGAAGAGAATTTGGACGTGTATCGAGTGAACGGGCAAAAGGCGTTCGGAGTGAAGCGAAAGAGCGACGATATCACCGTCGAGACGCTGAAGTGGCAATGGAACGGCGCAGGGTTGGCAGTTGCGTGGAGCGACGGATGTGTGGATGTCTTGGGGGTGGAGACAGGGAAGGTGGTACATGGGAATGTCAAGCTGCCTGCAACCAAAGGTGGAGAACAGAGCCGAGTCAGCTTCATCGGCTGGGGAATCAACTTCATCGATGCCAACAGGGTCAAGAGGAGGACCGGGGAGTCCAAGAATGGCAAAGGCCAAACCAAAAAGGATGCCATCGATCTCGGTGTCCCGACGACCGAACACTGGGATGCATTCAAAGATGACACGAATCTCGAGGACTTTGTGCAGCGCCAACCGGATTTCGCAAGCCTGGATATCGCGCCAGATCTTCCTGATCAATTCGCCATGATAGATACCGAGACATTGCTCCCAAAACTCCCCGTCATACCGCTGCCACCTGCGAATCCGATGATGCGTTTTATGCGTCAACCGGTGGATGCAGGTGCCTTCAGCTCGCAAGCTGAAGTCGACGGCTTGTTGCACTCGCAGCATCTAAGAGATCACAATAGTGTGGATATGTTCCTTAGATGCACGGAGGAGGGTAGTGTGCATCCGAGCATCTACGATTCGATGGAGGCGGTTGATGTCAGGCTCCCAACAGCTTGGGGTGTGCAAAGTAAAGTGGTGATGAGCGCGAGCCATCCGTATGCTTGCACGTACTCGCTGCTCATGGAAATCAGGTCACCAACAAACACCCAGAAGAAGCTCGCATGGGTCCCACTAACGCTCGGGTTCATTCCCTCGGCGGGAATCTACCTCCACCTCATCGCGGCTAAAACTGCGCAGCTTCAGAATCTCCTCTCTTACCTCTCGCATACACTGAGTCGTATCCACACATACTTCAAACAAACCCAGGATCTACCTGGAAAATTCATGAACAACATCAGTGAGACGCTGGAAGAACACAGAGAAGGAACTTTGATACAGAACTTGTATCATCTCGCCTGCACCGGACACTGTCCTCGTCTCATCCACGAATGGCTGGTCGACGAGCTCGCTGAGCAAGGCCATAAACGCTGGGACAATGCTGTGACATCCGGTCTTGCCACTGTCATCCAACTTCTACACGAGAATTTCCTTCCAGCTCTGGACCGCTGCTCGATCATCATATCGCGTTTAAAGGGTCTTGCCGAGTTTCATGATCGAGACTGGATCTTTAGCGGACCGATTACAGCCTTCACCGCGCTCGTCGATGTATTGGGAACGCTGAGGCTCCTAGCGAACACGACGTTGCTGTATGCCGCTGACGAGAAGCGGCACTTTACCAGCTTCAGCAAATGGCTGAGATATAGCATCGACTTCGAAGCCACAGAGCCAGGGAGCCACTCACGCACAGAGATGGAATTGCAGCCTCCTGGTGTCGACATCGGCATCGTGCTCGAATATATCCAATACGGAATGTCGAACTCTGATCTGAAACCTTACCTCACAGGTTCCAAGGAGATTCCTGGAGAGGCAAGCGGCTACGAAGATGCACTCAAGGCGATTGAGCTTCTACGACGGGGCGGTAAGTACAAAGCGGAAGCGCTGTGCTTGGAGAAAGTACTCTTGCAGTTTGGCGACGGCGTGCGAGGTCTGCTAAAGCAAGTGAGTTACTGGCAGGAGAACAACATCAGCATGGACAGTGGGATCGTGCTGGAGCAGAGTGATATTGGCGCGCCGCTGGACATGCGCGTGGTATCGGAGGTACGCTATCCCACTCCACATCCAAGTTTCAATAATTCGTTGACCAACACACAGCCAAACACGGACACACTATCCACATACATCGCCGTCCCCACTGCCACTATTCCAACCACATCCCTCAGTCTCTACCGCCTTATTCACGAACCCCGAATATCCACCCTCCCATCCTCCCTCCGCGCCGCCTCCGTAACAACTCTCAAAGTCGAAGCATACCTCATTCTTGACGCAAAATTCGCAGATGATGCGAGCCTCCTGCTCCTCCTGCAATCCATAGGTAGCCCCAAGACATGCTCCATAGTGTCTTTCGCATATGGACCGTTCGGTGACGAAGCTTCCGCCAAAGGCGATCAGAACATCGCATACACAGCCCTTGACACGAAAACAATACAATCCACACTGCTACCCGGTGGTCGCGCTCTCCCCGCTTCTGCGCGCCAGACCGTTGACCTCACGGCGGAGATGATTTTGAAGCATACACGGCATGTGTTTGAACGCAGATTTACGCCCCTGAGGTTGATCGTCAATGGGAGGAAGGGAAGGAGGGTGGTGGTTGTGTTGGGGAGCGATAGGAAGCATTATCGGGTCTTGGATTTGGATTTTAATGAGAAAAGAGGAGTGGAACGAGAAGAGGAAGTAAGTAGTGGGGAGGATAGTGATGTTGAGATGGCTGGAACCTAGGTCTGAGCAATAGAGGGCATTATCTTAGCGATAGAATTTATAGGCGAAGCACTGAAAGATGAAGTTGCGTCGGTAACTTTCGTAGAGGTACATTGAAAAACTTGTTTGCCTCGGACCACGGTGTGTGCGGCTATCCGTGCGCGTCCATGATATCACTCCTTTACCAAGTGGATGTGCAAGAGACAGTAAATCGTAATGAAATCACATTTCCAAGATACAGCCTATGCTTTTCCGGATTCGCATTTCCCTAGGGTCCTAGCATGCACGCAAGCAGGCAGAGGCCTAGCTTGCCCAGAAAGTTCATAACGCCCGGCCACCCGCATTTCGAATGGTGATGAGAATAACCGACCGCTTTGTTGAGCCACACCGACGCCCGTAGTACCACCCCGTTATCATCAATTCCTCTAGTCCTTGGTCTTCTGGGTACCACGGAGCAGACCCGTCCTCCTGGCGGCGATGAGACCGGCCTTTTGACCTTGTGCGGCCTCGCGGGAGATGGTAGAGGCTTTACCGATATGCTGGTGGTTACCACCACCGTGAGGATGGTCGACGGGGTTCATGGCAACACCACGAGTCTTGGGCCATGAGTTGCGCTTAGCAGCGAACTATTGCAAAGTTAGTCACTGCGCAAAACGTCCAGAAAGCACTCGACATACCTTGTGCTTAGCCCGGGAGGCCTTGAGGAGGGGCTTGTCTGTTCGGCCACCACCGGCAACAATACCAACCATACCACGGCACTGGCTGGAGAGGACCTTCTTAGCACCTGAGGGGAGCTTGACACGAGTCTTGCCATCATCGGGATTGTGGCCAATGACGGTCACATAGTTACCAGAGGTACGGCCGAGCGCACCACGGTCAGCGGCCTTCTCCTCGACGTTGGTAAGGACGGTACCCTCGGGGACGGAGTAGAGCGGGAGGACGTTGCCGACGGTAAGAGCGGCATGCTTGCCGGCGTAGATGAACTTTGCGCTGTCAGCCTTGATGTTCCTCCCAATCCGATACGGTCCGAACTCACCTGGCCAGTATACATGCCCTCGTTGGCAATGAAGGTCTGGGTATCGTGCTTGAACCGGTACGGCTAAAGATTTTGTAAGCGGATGGATGCAGTGCGGTTCGAGAGGAGGTATCGTACGTTGCGGAAGACGACCTTGGCGAGAGGAGCACCTGTTCAATTTTGTCAGCGCACATCATGAGGTTTGAGCTCCAATCCAAGTACTTACCACGGCCAGAGTCGTGGACAATCTCCTTCACGACGCCCCGAATGTATCCATTGCGCTCGGCCTGTGCCAATTAGCAGTCATCCTTCGGTGGTTGGGGTCTTCGCAGTCGTGCGGGCGGCGGTATGGACGTACGAAGTCGAGAGTGCGGAACTGGGCAGGCGCCTTGTTCAAGCGGGTGTTGGCGGTGAAGATAGAGCCGCGACCCTTACGCTGGTTCCTGATAACCCTACCCATAGCGACGGTGTTGTGTGGTAGAGGGAGTTGCTGTCGACAAGAGAGGTCGCGGCGGGAGAGTTGGGTTTGGGTGTGCGCTTCTCGAAATTCTTCGCTTCTCGGGCCAATCAGCACGGCCAATCTTGGCGCGCTAAACCTTCGGCCAAAACGAACTCGATCTTCTCCACCACTGATGGAGTGAGAATATGATCGTTAGGGCGCGATAAGTGTAAGTAGCGATCGAGGGCTGCATCTTCTTTAAAGGCTGCCGACAAATGCATACTGATGCGAATTTATTGCACCACAGTGTCAACCTACGAGATCCATCGGCAGTTGCGTAACGGTCCTTTACTCGATGTCAAACTTATGACGGTGATTAGGTTCACTTCTGCAAGCCACCATAGGAATGCTAGCTGTGCCAGAGCGAATGCCTCGAAGGCCTCCCAATGAGTACCAAGATACGATTTTCGATAGAAACCCCTACCACTATTTGTACACTGTTATTCATAGATAACCTGAATACGCCGACGAGACAGTGTAGAACGCCAGACCGGGTATATCCGTGCGAGAGAAAAAAGCAAAGACCTCGCCATATCCTGTAGAAACGTGAAAGAGCGCAAGATGCAACTTCTGTCACTGTAACTTAGCCGGACAACTTCGTCTCAACGCTCGCAAAGACGCAGCCGCTTCAGGATCGTAACACAACTGTCGACATCTGTACAATCAGTCAACACACCGTCACCAGACACTTTAGGAAGCAGGGCCAACTACTAACTAGCAGTCGCCTCTTCGTAAGTAAGTCGGTCATCTGCACGCACAGTGCCCGTGAATCTACCCGTTCCACCGGGCAGCAGGCCATCAAACTGCGGTGCTTTCGCCAAATCTGCGTCTTTCCAGCCTGCCTCCAGGTTCCACGCTGCATACAACGTGGCCAGCTCCTCAGCACTTGATTCTTGTACAATCTCGCCGAGTAGAGGCCACTTCGCACTCAGCATGGATGGCAAAAGCGTCTGGGCGCGTTTGGTGAAGACAGGGTCGGTGCGTCGTCTACCAGCTCCATTGAGATCTTCAAGGTTGCCCTGCTCGAACGACGAGTACGGCAGACGTGCATATCCACAGGAAACAAACTCTATACTCTTCAGGGAGGTGGTTCGTTCTTCGTCTGCTTGGGAATGTTCGGAACCAAAATCCTTGAGATTTGGGCCCGGCGTGATAACGTCAATAACATCTACCCACGAACCCTCCCGCGGTCGAGTCGTTAAAAGGGTTTGGTTGTTTGTAGCGGACGGTGCACCAGCAGCGGCCACAGGCGCTTGCGGCACAGGCTGTCCCTGCACCTGACCATGATTCTGGAGAATCTGCTGTATAGTATTCATTAGAGGGGGTTGAACATGGAGCTGGTTAGCGTTCCCATTGTTCCCATTGTTTAGCTGTCCTGGACCATGTGTTGCAAGGTGCTGCAATTGAGCCTGAAGCGCATGCATCTGAACTGGGTTACCGCCGGGTACGTTCTGCAATTGGTGTAGCTGGATTTGCAACAACTGGAACTGGGCTTGGAAAAATTGCAATGGGTTCAGCACATTGTGTTGCTGTCCTTGACCATTGCCTTGCACTCCCAAAGCATGTGCATGCAATGCTTGAGCTTGTGCAAGTCCTGGTACCCAAGGGTTCCCGCCGAGGTTGTTGGCTTGTTGTGCAGCTACAGCTATGTTCTGTTGGGGTCTCAATACACCAGTCAGAGAGACTGAATCGAGTACTAGGTGCTTCAAGTTGAGATTGTCGTGTATTCTGACAAACTCTTGTACAAGAAGCGGTGTGACCCAGCAATTCTTGAGAGTGAGGCGCTCCACATAGGGAAACTGCACCAGTGCCATCCGTAGCGCTGCGGCAGTCTGGTTCGTAATCATGTCGGTACCAAGCAATGGGGCAGGCTGAAGCAGCTTATTTCTGGCATGCACGCCCTCGGCATGCTCGCCACCAGTTGCCCATCCGATGGTCAGGGTGTGGACCTTGGGCCGATCGTTGACTATCCGCTTCAACAGTGCTATTAATGAGTCAATCTCGGAAGAAGGATTGATCTTAGGAGTATCCACAACCCCTGCATCGTCTTTTGTGATGGCTCGCCAGCACGGTAAGACCATCAAAGTGACCTTCTCTAGATTTGGCAACGCGGACCAGAAGTCTTGTCGATTGAGCAAAGAGATGTACCGGTCGGACAAACGTGAGATATTCAGAGTGTGGACTAGATGGAATGTCTTAGGGTTGTCGATGATTGAGAGCATATATGATGATATAAAGGCTCTTTGGGCCCATTCTGTTTCCATTAACCACTCTTTCTGCGCTTTTGTAAGGGTAGAGGGAATGACTGGACTGATAAGCTGCCCGGCATCTATTGGTTGGATCTTGGAAGTGTAGAGGATTCCGGAGCTTGAAGGTGCCTGAGGTGCCACGAATCGGTCCAGTACCTCAGGGTCATCGAAAGACATCGGCACTAGTAGGTCCGTTGTGTCATGCGGGAGTGCCTCAAAAACGATGCGAGGCTCAACGTATGGTATCTCAGGCTGCTGCTCCAAGGCTAGATCGGCGACTTGAGTGTCAGACGGAGGTCGGATTGCCTCGAGCTTGTATAATGTCGCCAGACTCAGATCGCTCTCTGCCGCTGCGTGACAAGCTTCGATATGCTCCCACAGCTCCCGCTGTGCGTATGTGCGACGATCAGGGATTTCTTTAAGTGTCCCAAACACTTCAGGAAGCCGCTCAAGAATGCGGGCACGGATCGATCGATCAGGTCCATTTAGCCAGCCAAGACCAGCATCGACGGAAAGTGCTAACTCTTGAACTTTGGCAAGCTCAGAAAAGGCGGTCTTCATACGGGGAGTCTCATCAGCCTAAGGAGGACAGACAAGTTAGCGCAGACATCTTTTACGCACACGGGTGTTACATACCGCTGACTCTAGACCCGCAACGTCTTCAAAACGTCTATACTCCACAAAAGGCCAGTGGAACGTGCCCCAGAAGCTCTCATGCTGCTCCGTGAGGATTTTCGAGGGTGGCTTTGCTAGGGCGACCTCGCTAACCTCAAAACTCATGCCATACCTTATGATATGTGCTCCAAAGCCGCGGAAGACGTCCAGACCGTGGCCATTATAAACATCATCGCCGTTAGCGTTCTTCCAATGGAAGTTGGAAGTACCTGCTTTCTTCTTGCCCTTGATATCTAAATCTTGCTCTTGTCCTAACATACCATAGATTTCTGTGTTGAACGGGACCACCACGGTTTTGAACAAGGCTTGCGAGACATTCTGGTTCAATTCGCGACTGACTAAGCGCAATGACTTGATGTCGTCGCGGTTGAGGTAGCTTGCGATCATCTCGACTAATTCCACAGGGAGCAGCCAGCGCGGTCGGCCAGATGATGTGTGCCGCGGATGTGTTGTAGTCACGTCGGCAGACTGATGGGTCTTCAATAGTTTTGCTGGGCGCCGACGTGGTTTAGGACCTGGCTGTTTTTTCAGTGCTCTGTCGACACGATGATATCGCGCCGGTAATTTGCTAGAATCTCGCAGTTCAGGCCAGACATCGTTTGCCAGTGGATCAGCAGACGTATTCCGGTACATCATGACAGCAACAGCCTCCTGACTGCTTAACGTGGCCACGACATCCTTACTGTCGAGACTCTCAAACTTTTCTTTCGCATGTTTCGGTTTTGAGGGTTCAAACTTCCCTTTCCTCATCGCGTCGTCCACCGAAGAGTGTGACAGGGCTCTGTGTAGATTAATCCTCCTCCAAACATTCGGGGTTGCGTCAAGATTGTCATGGAGCTCTGCGTCTATCCCTATTTCGTGCCAGCCTTCGCTAGCAGGATCCCTCGTAAACATGGGTTGCGCCTCGAAGTCCTCGAGGTCGGCAGCGTCAAGTGTGACTGAGAAAGAAGCCTGTGGAGGTGCAAGCGCAATTGTAGGGCGATGCTGCGAAGGAAGTAGTTGAAAGCTACTTGAGGGACCGCCTTGGCCTTCATCACTCGTTGGGTAGTCGGCAGCGTCTATGCCCGCAAAAAGAGAAGGCTGCAGATTGTTCTCGAAATACTCGCTACTCAGACGAGCCTGATCTTCTGGCACGGAGCTAGCTCGGCCCCTGCGGCGATTGTTCTTGTTGTTGAGACGTCTGAAGGTGCGGTCCCGGAATGCCGTGCTGCTACTTCGATTTGATGGTTCGCGCGTGAGAGGAGGGCTGGCAAGGACGTGAGAACCGGCGTCGTCGTAGGCGTTTGTGGGGTCTTGCGGGTGAAAGCGTGCACTGCGGTCGGGCTTAGAGCCTGCCGCTGAGTATTGTGCATGCTGGAAGAGAGTCAGTACAATAGTGATATAGCAAGTTATTAGCCTTCACATGGGAACGGAACGCACCGAGCTGGAACTGGCCGAGTAAGAGCCATTGTTGTCGGGCGAGTCGCTAGATTGTCCTCCCTGTGCATGCGCGCGGTATGAACGCGTGAAGTAGTTGTGCGAGCTCTCCATGTCTTCCGGAAACATGCGTCGTCGTGCGCGTTGGAGCTCGAAAGCCTACCTCAGCCCGTCTCCGGAGGACTACCTCCAGCCTGCAGCATGGAGCTTCTCCTGGGACAGCTCAGCGCGGAGCAGTGCATGGGTCCAACGGACGTGTTGCAGTGCTACAGCACATTAAAGTGGGCTGGCGATGGAGGGGAAGGGTGGGTGTGGTGTTTGGTGTTTTTGCTGGCGGGACATTGCAAACAACTCGGGCGTCATGCTTTGGGGCCCCGCCCAAAGTTGCAGGCGCGTTGCGCCCTGGGCTCGCATGTTTGCGCCACTGCTCAGTACTCAACATGCCCTGCTCGTCAGTCGTAGGCACGCTTGCTGCCGGCTGCTCAATCGCTTGCTAGCTATTGTAGCCACGTTTGCACCGTCTATCCGCCGTGTTCATTTCAGGTAGCCACTGCATGCTTGTCATGTTGCTAGTGTATTGCGTGGGTCATTGGACTTCATCGACACTCACCCTTCACAGTCGAGTGACCCTTCCACCGTTATTCGCAGCCACCTACACTGTAATTATTTCCGCATTGCTAGATCCCTAGCATTCCTCCTACCGCAGCACGTGCCTATCACCAGCGCGATCTCGCAAACATACTCCCTATCCCGTCCCACCAAGGCGACCCCTACCTATTCGAATGCCCGCATTTACCTTCTTTCACCGACCTCCACAAAGGCGTCTCACGAGTATGCAAAAAACTGCGGCAAGAAAGCGTGGCTTACCTCGCTTGCCGGCTCAAGTCGAGCTGTCACGCCGCTGCAGACACTGGCCCTGACCATATACATCTTGATGACGTCCATCATAGCTCCCTCAAGACACGTTTAGCGCTGTAAGGCAGCGAAGGAAAAGATTCAAGGGTCCGCAAATCATCGTGTGAATGACTTTACCCTGACGTCAAGAGTGTGCTAGCAGACAGCTCATAAAGAGGAGAAAGCTCACGCACACACGACACAGCTAGACAACTCTGAAAGTGCCCTGCTATCCAAACTCTCGAGGTCTCGCTCTATTTGCAACCACCTCCCATCTTTGTACATCGCGAACAGGTCTACTATGAGCGCAAACGACGCAGCAGTTGCCGGCCAGCACGGCGAATTCCGTTCCAGAGTAGCTCCCAGCGAGCCTCTCCAGAGTGGTGGTGTAAGTTCACGCTCTCTAAATCTCACATTGTGCCCTCGCCCTAGATCTAACAAGCTCCCAGCACCAACCTGGCAAGCTCGTCGGCAACGACGCCGTGCCTGAATTCAGCACACAAACACTGCCCGCTGGAACGGCTCCTGCCTCATCAACTTACACCCCTAACCCCGACCTGAACAACCAGAAGATGTACCAAGACGCGTCTTCTACCATCGGAGGCGCAACCTCTGCCGACGTGCATACTGGTCTTGGGCATCCAGGCTCAGGTCAGACGTCGTCAGAGTTGCATGGTACCGGAAAGAGAGACCGGACGGGTCTGACGGGTACGACGTCGACAATGGAGACCAACGACAAGGTTACCGGGAGGGACCCAAAATTCGCCAACCAGAGAAATCTGGAAGAGGACGTGCCTGCTGGACAGAGGGGTAACGTTGGAGGACCGCCAGCGCAGGAGAGAGAGCCCGAGACTGCGAATACAGTTGCGAGGGAGAGCGCATCCTAAACGATCATTTATAGTTCGTGATGATTCTCTAGTAAATTGAATATGGCTAGCACGACCGAACATGTTGAAGGTTCCCTTGATTCTCTCGTTGCTCAAGGCCAAACATGTTCAGGGTGGATTCGAAGAGCTAAATATAAATGACGTTGGATGATTCGGAGAGTCTCATGTTGTGAACGACTACAGTGGCTGCAGGGTCCCTGTTTGAACTGGCTGCCGCAGACTCCGAGTTTCCCCTGCATCCACAGTGGACCGAGCAGGTCAATGTTGATAGAGACTCGATCATAGTGGAATTGTTCCACATGCGGTATTCCTCATAATATCGTGATGTGGATAGTAAAGACGGCGACAGCGACATCAGGTGCAACAGGTCTCGTTGCATGTTTCAAACGCTATCAATCACTCAGAAGAGAAGGAAACAGACAAGCCGTGAGGGGTTGGAGGGGCATTCACTCGCACGTTCTAACCGGATCTGGTCTAGAAGGGCCGCAGTGTTTTCTAGTGACGTATGCGCAGCAGCTCCGCTTGGCAACCTCCACCACCAACAGTCGCCGTGAACATGCAGGTGCCCTGCTTGCTTCCGATCTATCTCTGTACAGAACGCCACTCACACAGCGGTTTTGCGCCACCAAGTTTGCCCTGTCCTACCGCGTGTCACCAGCCGAGCCAGCACCACCATCTCCGGCTTGAGTGATTGCTCTGATTAGCAGCCGGCGGAAGCCTGCTAGCATACTAGACCGCTTGCCTCGTCGAATTGTGGACTTGACCCCAGTCATCGTCGCTTCCGCATCTATTGCCCTGGGAAGCTGCATCTGAAAGGCCTGCTAGTGCCCGCAAGCCGGCCACGATTGCTCGTCTGGGCCCTATTTGAGTGTTGCTTGACCCGCCGTCTCTGCTCCCTTCACGGAGCACTGATTCCTAACCTCTATTCCTTGCATATGGTCCATCTCTAGGCGACTTCCACCATGTCGAACAAACCAATCTTTTGCGCTACCCATCCGAGAGCTTGCTCTACGGCCTTTGAGCGCGTGCGTATACCTAACGTACAATCTTTCGGTGTTTAGGAAGCTCACATTCACTAGGTGTTCATGACCCGCCGGGACACGCTTCAGACCGTTCACGAGCCTTTCGGTGACGCCTTCTACTTCGGCCCTGAGAGGCTTCACCATCGCTATGAAAATGACCCCGAAGAGAGGACGAACAGTGGGTTTAGCGATAGCACCTACCGCACTATCTTCGACAACATTGCGCGCGATGGCTCAGAGGTCCGCTGCTCCCCTTCTGCCGTCCCGCTTTCTTTTTTTCAAATGTTTGCTTTTCATCATTCTCGTTCTTCCATACACTCCAATCCAGCTTGGCTTTACATCACCTCTCGACCATTCGTCGCTTTCCTCTTCCCCATAGGCCCTTGGCCTACTTCCCGGCGCGTTCGCGATTTTCGTGGCTATTTGACGTCAGCTACGAGCGAGTTGAATCGCAGGTTAAGTGCGTCTCCGACATTTGTACACCATAATGAAACCCCCACCAGTTTCCCTTTTCATAATCACACGGTCGTCCCATTCTCCTAATATCATTTTCACTTTATATCTCTCAAAACTCTCCTCTAGCTCTGACACATTGTCGATCTGACGCATCCGCTTACCGTCGGAAGCGTCCGATCTGGCAACATTCCACCATTCACAACACCCTATTATATTAGTTTCCCACCACCACCACAACAACACACTTTTCACGTATATCTTGAGAAATGGCGCGTACTCACGGATACCACAGGGTAAACGCGTCTTCATTAAAGACATGGCTTACTACTGGATGCCACCTGACAACGAACCCCCCAAGATTGCACCCTCTCTCATCAACTACAAGCGAGGAGTCGGAACGAACACGACTGAGCTCTCGCCTGTCACGACGAGGTCCGACAAGGCCGGGAAGCCCTACCCATACCCGACTGAAGGCGAGCCCGGGAACCCGACCGTTCTCCCCAAAGACCTGCTGTCTCAATTCCACTTCACCTTCCTGATCCGGCACCCTAAGCACAGCATTCCGAGCTATCAGCGCTGCACTACGGATCCGTTGGATAAAGTAACAGGCTGGAACTACGTCAACACTAATGAAGCGGGTTATGCTGAGCTCCGCCGTCTCTTCGACTACCTCCGCCAGGAAGGTATTGTCGGACCGCGTATGGCTGGGCAAAGCACAAATGGCACAGATGGCGAGGACGGAAACAACGACTCCGGCATTGAGATCTGTGTACTAGATGCGGACGATGTTCTCGACAACCCTTCGGCGATGATCGAGGCCTACTGCAAGTCTACAGGCATCAAGTACGAACCGGAGATGCTTAAGTGGGAGGAAGAATTCCACCAGAAATACGCTAAAGAAGTATTCGAGAAGTGGAGAGGCTGGCATGATGATGCTATTAATAGCTCAGAGCTCAAGGCCAGGGCTCATGTAAGTTGAGACGACAGCATGCCACGCTTTGTGCAAGTTGACTGATACTGCGACAGAAGAAAGCCCCCAAGACCGACGAGCAGCTCTACGCCGAATGGACAGAGAAGTTTGGCGAGAAGGCGGCCACGTGGATCCGGGATACGGTGAAGAAGAATGAGGCGGACTACGAATACTTGAAGCAGTTTGCCATCAAGCCCAACTAGTCGTCGGCGCCACTACGGTACGAGACTCCACAGCAGAGATTAGCCAGGAACCGCCACTTTTCATCGGATGAGTTGTAAGACGGATGTTTCGTAGACCCGAGGAGGAACTGTAAGGCCACCGTTCGATGCTTTCTCTGGGCACTCTTTCAAAGACAGGAACAGGAAGAAAATAAGTGAGTTAAAAGTACAAAAGAAAACAAAAGGACCGTCATGAACGAACCATGTCACGTATTGATAGGATTTTTTCAGAATTCTTACCATTGTGCTCTTGTATGCTCTGCAGTATCTTCGTGTTCGTGTTCGTGGTCGCTCTGTTCGTTATAGAAACAGTGCACTTTTTTAAGCTTACATTTTAGTTCCACTTCGTTGCCTGTTATTCCCCGCACTATTCACTTACCCGTACAAACGCCACGCACGGTACATCATACAGCTCTTCTTAGATAAAAGGATTGAATCCAGGCGTAGTCGTTATGCATCATACGATCGTCAACTTCTCACTTTCGTACTACTACTCGCTTGATGGATGTTGTTGAAAGCAAAAATTGTATGTCCATTGTATCTGCTCTTTCGATTTTTTAGTTTTTTTTTCATCTCGAACAAGTCACCATATCGTTACGCGCTCTCTTTGCGACTCTGTGTAGCAGGGAAGACTCAGCACATAATCCGGACAATAGAAGGCACTTCCTTCGAATACGATTCTGTGATTGAACAGTGTACCTTTGCTGGTTTTGTCATATCAGCGTTAGTAACTCAACTAGTGTATGCTAATCAATATCCTCACGTCCTGATTCTGGTCGTGGAACGCTGCGCCGCACCTAGACACACCAGTGGCGAAGGTCGGGGGCGGAGTGTGCTCATCCATGACAACGCTGGGGCCAGCGGCACGAAACGGGTGAGCTCCTGTTCTAGCTTCATCAGCTTCCGGTGAAGCACAGCGGCATTTGCTCGGGTCGTAACAAAGGTCGGGGCCAAGTCCGTTTCATGTGGCAGTACCCGCATCTCGCTCACCTCGCAGCTGAGGCACGGCGCTTATTCACAGATCCGAGCAATAGCGGCGTAGTATATACTGCCAATATTGATATCGGCTACTCGAGCATTGCGGCGCTCAGATGACATGTATGCTACTCCACTGCTACGCGACACAGCGCGCAGTCTCCAAACAAAAACAGAGGTATATCCAACGCATACGCAGATGTGCAAGGCCGTCCAGACATGGGAGAATTAGCCAAAGCGGGAAATTCGCCGCCCCAGAAATACACTGCAAAGAAAATAGATGGCAAGTCGCTGCCGTGCGAGTCATGCCGCTGGCCGCAGAACGCCGGGAACCCATCCTCCGTGAACACCTTCGCTGTTGAAAATGCGTTGCAAAAGTGCGGATGAAACAGTGAGCTGAATTATACAAAGAACGAAGAGGCAGAGGATCGGGCTATTGGCCTAGTCCCATTTCGATCTCTCTTCGCCGCTCCTCTCGGCTCATTGCTCGCGAGTGGTTACTTCGCGCGCCGATGCTGGCTGGTCGATTCGTTGTGCGCCCTCTGTCCTGCCATCGCTCCCAGGCTTGCGTCTCGCCTAGACTATCTGGCCTGCTCTGCGATCTTGCGCGATTCCAGTCTGCGTGCGATACAGGTGGAGTTCCCACTAGCTCCTGGCTATTCAAAATTCGTTCCCTTTCCTCGTGGTCTTCGGGCAGATCAATCCTGAAAGTCGCAGAACTAGCGTCTGGGCTCGTTCCTTGGTCTTGCTTCATGAGTAACAAGGCCATTTGTTGGTTGATCCTATCTTCGTCGGATAGCGGAATCTCAGGCGGTGCGGAAGGCGATCGCGCGGCGGCAGGGTACATGTTTTGGACGAAGTTGTTGTAATAACCTGGCTCATTGTAAAGGTTGTGAGAGCGGCTGGAACCCTGCTCGCGGAGCTTAACGATGCGGCGGTGCGTCCACAGAAGCAGCATGCCGTAGAGGAAGGTGGAGGTGGTGGATATTACGGTGCCGGATATAGCAGCAGTTCCCCAATCGTAGGCTTTTGATACGAGGAAGTTGTAGGCTATGGTCAGGAGGCCGACCGCAGAAGAAGTTAGAGCAGGTCTGTTGCGAATGAGGTTAGTGAGATGAGCATGTGGAGCTGGAAATGGTGGCATACAGGAAGATGGCTTCGGCTTGGAAGATCTCGTTGCGACAGGCAAAGCAGAGTAGCGCAGTGAACGAGTAGCCGGCCGTGAGGAGTGCGACGACGAAGACGTTAAGTACTGCTTGGCTGATCCTGAGCTGTGGTTCATTTGCGTAGAGTCCCGGCAGGATGAGGTATCTAGAAGACGTGGTTGGCTTGCATTCTCACGGGTTTCTCCAGTTGAAGGCCATCTTACCCGCACAGGATCATCCACGACGCGGCAAGCGCAATGAAGCGCCAATACCAAGCCTCCTTGCCGCCATTCGCGCTGTTTTTGCCGTCCAAGTGTATGTACCGCTTCGATCCGGAGCGCCAGGGCATTGGAGCGGTCGAGGGGTGGGATGGTGGTCGAATGATGTTTGCGAACGGTGCTGCTCAGGCGCGAGGAGGCCGCGAACCCCTCATGCACCGGCGGCGTATGCCGTGGGACAAACGAGTGTCGGGGAGCGAGAGCAGGTGTAGCACTGGAAGCTGGCTGCAGCCCTGTATATGGCGAAGTCGCCGCGCAATTGAGCCTAACGAGTGTGAGGGCTCCCAGGGCTGTGGATCGCTTCGTTACGGGAGGGATGCGGCCGAGGCGTGCGTCCGGACGGCACAGCAAAACGGCGTGCGAATGCAAATCGCGGCGGCAGGGTGGTGGACGGCAGCGGTCGGGGAGAGAGGGGAGAGAGCGAGGGTAGGGGGAGCAAGGCGGATATCAGGCAACGGCTGCGGTGGAGGACAGCGAGGCGGAGAGAGGCACATCCTGGTCCACAGCCACGAGCTTGGTGCTGAGCGGCGCTGACCACCAGCCCCGACCAGCCTTTCAATTCGATAGCCCAGCCGTGCGTGCGAGTCCGATGCCACCACTCCTGTCCTCTACCTTCTATACTTCGAGCCTTCATAGGGCTACCACAGGCCAGCGTGCGGCTGCGCTGCCGGACGCTACTGTGCCTTAGCCCATCTCTCCCCATTACGCCGTGACGTACGCTGTGTACGCTGTTCCACCACCACCCTTTTCTTGCCATCACCGGCGCAGCTTGAATTTCCGATGTGTTTCACCCCGACATCGTTTCGACATCGCTAGTCCTGCCCCGATCCGCTCTCCATCCGAACTGCCGGCCTGAAGGTGATTGCGCCCCAAGCAGGAAGTCCTCGCCGCCATGGAGGCCAAAGGATTCATCCCCCATGTTGCCTGTGCGCAGTCGGCCATTGCACCTCAACGGCCACCATGTCCCTACCGATATTCCTTCTCCTGCGCGCAGTGCACTGCCTCGCAACATCCAAGTCGCAGTGGGACACCAATACTACCTACATGCTTGGAACGTGGTTTACACTGCAGGATATGCGCAATGCTCTCCCATCTCCACTATCGTCGACTCAACATACCCAGGTTGCTAAATGCATCCACAGCACCATTGCATATACTTACTTACTCTGCCCGAATTCGAATGCTAATTCTACCCATCTATCTCCATCTCGGAAGTCGTCCCTCGTAGCCTAGCAGAAGAAATTGTGCGTCAATGCGCGAAGGGCGATCACCTTCGTCGAGGTCAACATTGATTCCCCCAGCTGACGTGGGTTGGCGATGAAGAAAATCGTGACCGTCTTCGGTCACCAGCTTATGCCAATCGTGGTAAATCACTGAAGCGGATTTCCAGTCTGGGTATGTAGTAATGCGCCTCAGGAACCCGCGTATGGTTAGGGAAGCACATGTCAGAGCCCCTGTGGGGTCATCTCCCACTGTCTGTAGATCGACATCGACTATAGATGTAAGAGTATCTCGCTTATCAATATGGTCAAACTTTATGGTACGGTTGGCCGATAGCCATGACCATGATGGCGCCACCCATATGGTCTGCTTCGAAGCACCCGGTAGCGGTCGTTGTCTCTTACTGAACGTAGTCCTCCACAGGAGGCCTGAATACCAGTGCCCAGCCACAATGCAGACTCCACGTCAAGAATCCTTTTCGGAAGATATTCGCCGACACCCCGACTACACTCGGTTTCAGCCCTGCGCATTCCTCCTGCTATTTAATCGTCTGCGAGGAATCGGCCCGCATTGTAATCAGAGAACATCCCCGCACACACGACGTTGACGATGCCCAGAATCGATTTCGTTCTTTACGTATTACTTTACTTTTCATACATTATACATGCGTGACTAAGGACTACGCAACAACTACCTACGCTCACAATACCTCCAAGGGCGCGTGGCTCACAAACCACGTCCCATTGTTTGTGTCGATGGTAGCATTAGTTTGCACAGTCTTTCCGCCTTTCAGACTTCCACTCTCCACCACCCCTCCACCAACAGGTCGCTGCAGCTTGTTCGCGCCCGCCTTGACTGTGAAGTTCGCAATCGGAATCTCCCAGCCATTGCGCTGCACCACGGTCGGCAAGCCAAAGAAGTTTGCTACAACTTCTTCACCGCTGATGTGCAACTCGTAGTATCCACGATAGTACAGATCTTGCCACTGCAGTTCGTCGTTGGAGTTCTGCAAAATAGAGGAGTAGTTGTTGGCTGTCGAGAGCGAAATGTTGGCGCCATAGGGGCAAGGAGAGGTCACGGCAGTGCCTGCAAATTCGACACCGATAGCACCCTCACCAGTCTCTTTATCGTAGGGCTTCTCGTCGAGCCAGGCAAGGTCGGAGACCCACGATGCGTGGCTGTCACCGGCGAGGAAGATGTTGTTACCGATGTTGTTGCTGTACAGGTGGTTGAGCGTGCGGTTTTTGTTCGACATGTAGCCATCCCAGGAATCATAATTGAGCGGATTCTCGTCGCCGAAAGCAGCGGACTCGTTGATGCGGCTGAAAACGATCTGAGATCCGATCACACGCCATGTAGCACCTCTCTGCGCGGACTTGGATAGCTGTCCGTAAAACCAGTTTTCTTGACGACTGCCCATGAGAGAACGTCCTGCATCGTTGGAGATGTCGTGGACGTAGTCGGTGTTCCAGTACAGGTCCGTGATAGAACGGTCGTAATTACGTGTATCCAACATGACAAGGTCAAGCAGCTTTCCAATGCTGAAGCTGCGCCAGATGCGGAGGTTGTCGTCCATCTCCACCTGGCGGATGGGCATCCACTCGAAATATGCACGAACAGCGTTCATCTTACGCTGATCCACCGAGACGCCACCGTCTTGGACGAAAGAAGACTCGGTGTTGTTGAGCTCAGAAGAGCCATCGCGGTACGTGTTGTCTGCCACCTCATGGTCGTCCCAGACATTAATCCAGGGGAACTGCTGGTGGCTAGCGACGAGATCAATATCGGTGCGGTAGGTTGCGAGACGCTTCCTGTAGTCGTATAGCGAGAAGATCTCCTTATCAGGCTGCGGTACGCGGCCAATGCTTTGGCCCCAGCCGTAGTCACCGTTCTTATATTCGTAGATGTAATCGCCAAGATGCACGACATAGTCGATGGAGTCTTTGCGCACCGGGTTACCGTACGCGTTGAAGAATCCGAATGGGTAATTGGAGCACGAGTAGATTGCAAGGCCGACCTTGGTCACGTCGTCGTCGGCATTGGGCGTAGTCTTGGTCCTCCCGACAGGGCTCGTGTTATTGGAGTTACACACGTTGAACTGGTAATAGTAGTTTGTGTAGGCTTCGAGATTCTTGGCTTCGACCTGATTGGACGTCAGCAACGAGCAAACGGGTGACCAGCTTCTCGTACCTTGACCGTGTAGTCAACGTCGGAAGAAGTGTAGACCTTGCCAGAATCTACAACGTCTCCAAGCTGCTTGTCTGTGGAGACCTTGTACTCTAGGCACACAGGCGCCTTGGACACGGAGACAAACTTCTCGTCGTCGTGATCGTACAGCTGAACGTATCCAGAGACGGTGACATTGGATCTGTCGTTGTCGCTCGTAGGACTGATACGCGTCCAAAGAATGACGCTGTTCGGGTAGGGATCGCCAGAAGCAACACCGTGGGTGAAGTTCAAGTGAGACGGGTTCCAAGAGGTCTGGTAGTCGTTTCGCTTGACGACCTTGTGGATGGCAATACCCAGCGAAGGATGGTGTTCCGAAGGTGACCGGTAGTTGATGTTCTTGGTCCAGCTCGCGCCGACGAGGGAGGCGGCGAGCGAGGTTGCAAGCAGTTGAAGCTTCATCTTGACGATTAGCTGGCGAAAGGCACGGGTTGGGCAGCCTGGGGCTACGATGCCTTTATGTACCTTGCAAGTAAGCTCCTGGAGCCCTCAGCGCTACTTTGTGCCTCTCCGTGTCGACGTCGTCATGGTCTGCAGGCACCGTCCCGCAAGCCTGAGATGTCCCAATCATGGTTGCGGTACGGAGCATGCCCTGGAGGAGCTTGCATGGCCCCGGTCGTTGGTGCGCGATGCTTTCGCGTGCTTGATCGCGGGCGAGCTGCCGGCGTCATCAGCAAGACCATCGCAATCTTGATTCGCTGGAAACAGCCCTTGACCGGCCGCTGCGTGCTCCCACGGGCCGATGCGATTGGAGGTCCTGGCCGTCGTCTTCGGGAGGGTCGAGGCTCGGTGGGAGCTTGTGCACGCCAGCGCTGGAAAGGGAAGGTCCGCACCCGCGTCACGTGGCTGGACGCTGGCGGGGACGGCACTGTCTTTGCATGGCCGCGTCTGCTGTGCCAAGACGACGGCCACTCTTCGGAGCGCAATCAGACACATTCAGGTGCTGAGCGTCGCTGGTGAGGCGAGTACGAAGGCGCGGGGGCGGGGTAGCTCCTACCATGACGCCACTGCACCCCATGTAGCAAGCAAACCTCACCCCTCCTACTAGTAAACTCGGTCCACTTCAACACACTCTCCAGCACCCATACACCCGCTAACCACCTCTCCGTCCACTTCAACACGCTCTCCAGTACCCATACATCCAACAGCGACAATGCCCGACGCGCGCATCCCCACGTCGACCTCCGTCAGCGAATCCGCCGTCATCGAAGCCCCATTCAGCGCCGTCTGGCACCTCATCAAGCTGCAGGACTTCTCCAAATTCTGGAGCAAGCTAGACAAGAGCGACGTTGTCAAGACTTCCTCGCCCGAGACCGATGTCGTCAGGTGGTCCTTCCAGGATGGCACCGTGCTCGAGGTGAAGCAGGAGGAGCACTCGGTCTGTCAATGCCCATGCCTTTCTCGCTCGCAGCACACGCTGAAGCAACCCGCTAATATCGTCATCGCAGAGCATCGATCACTACATCACCTACTCGGTCATCTCGAGCCAGCCCGCGCTGAGCTACACCAGCGTCGTGAGCACCATCCGCGCCTACCCCGTCACGTCGGGCAAGCACGAGGGGCACACCTTCATCACCTGGACGGGAAACTTCTCCAGCGATGCCGATGCCGGTACGTCCCCTTGCCTGCACATTTTCCAACCCAATTGCGGTGCAAGCAGATCTGACAACCTGCAGGTGTGATCGAGGACGCCAAGTTCAAGCGCCGCGAAGCTCTCGCCGACCTCGCCAAGGCTGCCGCTAAATAAAGAATCCGACGAAACATGTGTGAGCCGGTGCTAAGTAGCTCCCGGCTATGCAATAGATTGGGCCATGTGGTCATGTATTCGAATAGGGAGACCATCCGCACAATGGGGTTGGTAGAATAAAAGATTACAGAAAAACAGAAAAGAGGAATAAGAATAACCATGGAATCTTCATGACAGAGCGCGACGGTTGTATGTTGGACAGGCTATGACTTTTCCTCACGACATGGTGCAAATCGTAATACGAACGAGCAGTCTATCACGATGATATCATGGCCATTGTGTAAAGAACCTTCCAATGCAATCAAGAAACTCGTACCAGGTGCACAAGTGCTGAATGAAATTGACGTCGCTCATCGCCGCCAAGTCCTCCCTCTTTTGAATTTAATCCCAAACAAACCCAACGCAGAAAGGGTATCTACCGCGAGACTGCCCGAACGCCAAACCCAAAGTGGGAACATCTCAATCAAAGACGAAAGCATATGTACACCCACGTCAAGTAAACGGACGACGACACTCAAACACCGCTCCAGTTCATATCCCCACCCTGTTGCTGTTGCTGTTGTTGTCCTTGCTGCTGCATAGCAGCTCTCGCTTGCGCCTGTCGCATCATCATCATTTGCTGCATTTGTTGCTGGTTCATCCCTTGCATGTTACCCATGTTCATCCCTTGCATCCCTTGCATACCCTGCATGCCCATGTTGCCTTGGCTCATCGCCTGCATGTTCGCCATGTTCATCCCGTTCATACTCCCCATGTTGCCCATGTTGTTGACATTGAAACCAGCCGGCATGTTGTTCATATTCATCTGACCACCCTGCTGCATCGCCTGCTGTCGCATCTGCATGATTTGGTTCTGTCGCTGCTGCTGAGCGCGTTGCTGTTGAAGCATCTGCTGGTATTGTTGCATTTGAACCGAAGCCTGTGGGTTGCCACCACCTTGCATATTCATTTGATTAGGCAGGCCTTGCATGTTCATCTGGCCAGCCTGCGCCATTGCCTGTTGCTGTGCTGCTTGTTGCTGTTGTTGCTGCTGTGCCTCTCTTTGCCTTATGGCTGCTTCCATTTGATTCATCTGTGCTAGGTGTTGTTGTGGGACGTTCTGGCCGAAGGTCTGTATGAGCTGCTGCTTGCGTGACATGTACTGCTGACGAAGTTGCTGTAGGTTCATGTTAGCAAGCTGTGTTGCACCAGCGTTCGGAGTTCCAGCCTGAGGCATTCCCTGTGGTGACATGTTGGCGGCCATGCGCTGTTGTTGTTGCTGTTGCAATTGTTGATAGAATCTCGATGCTAGCATTTGCCTATAATGCTGAGGATTCTGACCTTGAGGGACACCATTGGCCTGAATTTGCATGTTTGCGCGTTGTATGGCCGCCTGCTGGATTTGTTGTTGATTGCTGGGGGACATATTTGCCTGCTGCATGCCTTGAGCCCGCAGTTGGTTCTGCATGTTCTGATTCTGAAGGAACTGCATTTGTTCGGGAGTCATGTTCTGCCCGGGCTGGGGTGTGTGCATCATGATTGGCGTAGCACCTGGCACTGGGATGTTCGGACTTCCTTGGTTGTTCATCCGAGGCGTTGGCGTAGAAGATATGTTTCGGGCCGGCATAGCGGAGTTCATGACCGGGGTTCCTTGCACAATCTGTGGCGTTCCAGTGCGACTCAAGTTCTGGTGCTGCTGGCTAGCGGTACGCGCCATGGCGTTCGGATGATGTGATATAGCAGAAGGAGGTCGAGCAGGACTGCCAGCGGCGTGATTTGAAGACGTAGCAACCATCGGCGTACCACCCATCGGGTGCGTGGCATGTACTTGGTGGAGCGGTGATGCCGCAGCAGCCATAGGTGTCTGCTGGCGAACAACAGGAGACGAGAATTGCGGCTGAGTTGCGGATAATGGGGTCTGGGACACCTGGGCATTCGCATTAGCCATTTGCATCGCGAGAGCTTGCTGTTGCTGCTGTTGCTGCTGGTGCTGTTGTTGTTGTTGCTGACGTGCCATGGCTTCCTGCTTCTTTTGCAGCATAACAGAGGCAGCACTCTGCTCTGCTTGTTGGTTGGCTTCAATCTCGCGACGCTTAGCTGCTTCTGCGTCTACCTGTGCTTGTCTCTTAGCTTGCGCTTGTCTCGCCTCCTCTTCCTTCTTCCTACGTTCAGCTTCTTCATGATTCGTCTTGATGGCCGCCAAGGTCTTGAAGCGGGAGAACGTTTGCTGGTTGGCGCCCGCGCGAACGGCATGCTGGCTCTCGTCTCCGCCTGCTGCTGCCGCGGTGTTGCTGGCTTGATGCTCGTCACCTGCAAGCATGAAACGCTGGATATCTGCGGCCTCGGCTTCATCCGCGGCCAACTCGGCGGTAGTCCGTTTGCGTGTCTTTCGCATAGGTGGTGAATGTTGGTTATTCGGATGAGTGTTAGCATCCATGAGCGCGAGAGTCTCCCTGAAAGTCTTTGTCGGTTCCAGATACAACTTGGGACAAGTCTCGCTGAGCACGGCAGACTCGAACTCATGCAAATTGTTCTCATCTAGGATCATCTTCTGTCTTTTAGGACTTCGGCCTGCGGCTAACGCACTGGGTGTAGGAGGGACGGCTGTCAAGGGAGTAGGCGGGTTGCCAGCAGCGCGCGCAGCCGCCTGGTTACGGCGAAGGGTTGCTACGTCTGGAAGGGGCGTATTGGCAAGCTGTGTAATATCGGCGAGTTGAGACTGGGGCGTTGGAAATAACACGACGGTCGTAACTTTCGCCTTATTCGCCTGTTTCTGCGACGCTGCCTGGCCAGGTGCCGGCATATTCTCCTTATCCACGTCCTTGTCCGCTTTCGCCGCGGCGCCCGCATCCTGTCCGTCTGCTTGCTCAGATATAGCATTCGCTTCCACTGCAGGATGTAGAGCGTGCGGAGAGGGGGTGATGAAGTTGTTGTAGTTGTGGATCGAGAAGGGGTCTGCACCAGAACCCTCGGTGGAGCTGTTCGTGTCGTCCTTAGCTTTGATGCCCGAATTACGAAAATTGTGTAGCTCGACGATGAGACAGCTATCGTAGAATTGGACTCCCATGGCATGGAGCTCTTCAAGCATGTTATGCGGCACCGTCTTCTGTTTGAGATGATCCAGAAGCTCGCGCATGGGAGAGGCGTACGAAAGCGTCTCTTGGGAGTCATTGAGCCGAAAGTGACTTTGATAGAGATAGATGCGCAGCGAGGGTGGGCGGCCGTTGAACGTCTTGAGGATACTGTCTGGACGGTTGACATGGCGCTGGATGTTCTCCTTGGGCGCGCCGTTCTCCATGCTGGGCTTGGCTACGACTTTGGGGCGCTGGGTCTCGCGGCGCTGGCGGAGCGCCTGGGAAGGACGGACAGCAGCAACTACGGCCGACATGGCGGTGAGGGACGGCTCTTTGAGAGCAATGCGCTTTGTGGGACGTGCAAGTGCGAATGGCGCACGCGAAGCTAGAGCGGTGACGACCGCGCGAAGTGGAGGGATCGTATGTGGGGTGCCGGCGCGAGAGGATCAGAGGCGCCTCGGGTAGTCCCGCGGCGACCTGGGAGCTTGTGATGGATGGCGAGGGAGCAGTATCAACGAGTGGCGCAAATGTGGACGCGCGATGATGCTGGCGGCCTCCGCATGTTGCTGGGAGGGTTGAGCAGTTGTACGGCCTTCACGTCCGACGTTTGCGCCAGGCTCAACCTTTGGCTTGGCGAACTAATGTGTCACGTGATGACTTTCCAGTGCAGATGCCCTGTCTGAGCACGACGAAGTCCGAAGCCCACTGGGACACCTCGAGTGCTCGCTTCCCGCCTGAAATTCGGTATCCCTACGACATATCACCCGAAGGCTCGTCCAATTGCATACCTGTAATCTGCAAGTGGAAGGCACACCCTTCTGGCGTTCTTCCTGGGGAGGCAGTCAGCATCATTACGCCATGGCAATTACCTGCAGACAGAGTACAAGCACCTCTACCCGGCTCTTCCCCGCTTGTCACTGAAGTCCAAGTGTCAGTCGATGAAACGCACGATACCGCTGTAGGTATCGGTGTTGATTTGATAATTGAAGCATGTCTCTAAAATGCACTTTCCCTTTGGTAAGTTTTGAATTAACTCGACTTCCTTCATACTATACAATTCTGTTCACCCCTCTACTAATTCTTCTGTCAAGATCAGTTTGGAAAATGGTGTGGCAGTGTACTAATCAAATCAGATCTTTGGGATCTTTACGTTGGCCCCGTTGCGACAATTTTGGTCAATACCACTGTTCAGTCCCATCTCGTCAAGCTCACTGAGTCCTCCGCCTACAATGTACTACCCTTTGTTCCCACTGGACAGCAATACCGCTTTAATTACAGAATAAGAGCTCCAAAATCCCCAAATATTTATGATACGGCGTTGCTGGTGCCGCATATCATATCGAAGGCGGAGCGAAAGCAGATGGCCAATCTTCTAACATTGAGGCGTTCTGTATCGTCGTGTACCGAGCGATGTTGTGACTAAGGAGCGGGAGATGTTGCGAACAATAACTACTACTCGTACAAAGAAGTTGCGTTTCTCAGACTAGCGACGAGGAGCAATCTTTCAAAGCATTAGAACTGTACTTCCGATAACCTTTCCAAGAGACAACGCACGCATAGCAGCGCTCTAACTGAACGCGTACTCATTCTCCCTCTCTTTGAGCTGCAATCTCCCTTTTGGCTCTGGACATATCAACGAATAGGTTACGACGATGTAATTGAAATCTGTCTCGAATACGGCATGATTCCTCATGTAATTTCACCGAATACGCACGCATCGTATTCAAGCTATATATCACACAAAAGTACACTAAAGGTTTAAAAGTAACGAGCACATCACCTTCTACGGCTTTTACAATCTACCCAAGAATTACTCCAAGGAAACCGACATTCCAGATGTCCGGCTAAAGTTCTACTGCGGACACCATGCTCTCCTTGCACATGCTGCGGCGTATCACGTTAGCAAGTCTTTCAACTCGTCACTAAGCATTGCGCTGAAGCACAACGGTAGGTACAAGATTCAGCGAACGAACAGGTCGAAGACGCAACTGCTGTAGGGCGGGTATAGAACTTTAAAAAATCCTAGTTCTCGGATTTCGTTTTCCCTACTGGCGACTACCCGCGCTACCTGAGAGAATACGTGGGGATATTCATAGACCCCTTCACTGGATGAACAGAAGGCTCAGATCAACAGAATGTCGAACATTTACGTACATGATGCTTATACCAGCGACTTCATAATGGCACCCCACAGCGTGATCTAGGCGTGCACGAAGAATGAGAGTCACCGACTGTTCCCTTCGTGCTACAATTCCAAGGTGTGACGAAGATTTATGTGAATGATTACTGGCTTGTCAGCCCTGCGACGGATCCTGGGACGCCGTGGCTGAATAGGCTACGGATTGGGTGCCGATATTCTGGCACTACATGCAAAATAGGTGGAAGCCGAGGGTAAGTATATACTTGCATACAACACATGGCTAGCATCGGTGCTTGGCTCATACACGTGGATTCTTACACTTCATGTCGCCGGGCGGCGTCGCTGTAACAGACTCTGGTATAAATGAACTCTACGAGGCCCTTCGCAAAGACCTACTCTCCATTGTCGCAGATCCGCCCCACTCCGCCTACTACCGTGACTACCTCGAGGCTATCTTTATAGCCTTTCCCGAGGGTGTAGACTTGGTGGCACCTTGGCATGGAGCATTTACGACAACTTTCGACTGGAGCCAGGGCTACTCGGTCAAGTTTGGCATTCAGGCACGTTTCGATGTAGAGATAAAAGACAGCCATGTTGATAGTCGTAGTAGGTCACACCGTAAGACGTACCCAAGAAGATCACATCCCGCCGGCGGACACACCGATCGTTGCAATGCCTTTACCGCAGCATAAACACTTGGGCATGATCCAGGAATGGTGCCCACTTCACCGCCGGCCGACTGCCGGTGCTACCACCCACCCTGCTGGACCTAGAGCTGTCGCATCACACGCTCCTGTGCACCATCTAGTCGCTTCTCCAAAGCACGCCTGTCTATCAAGAATATACCGACGAGTGTTCCTTTTACCCCAGCCGCATGCCCGTTCCTGTCCCGGCCATACCGCCTTCCTTCGTCTACTACTGTAGCGTCGCTAACGCAGTATTGAGACGATGATACTGATGACCCTGTTGATGAGTTGGCGACATCGCCCTATCCGCCTCCTTTGGCGGCATACTATGGGTGTCCATGATTTTCATGCTTACAATTGTTGTTTTGGCGGTGTACTTCGTGTGTATGATCATTATGGATTTGGCTGTGTACCTGTAGTGGGTTGGACGTGTGGAGGATTAAGGACGGGGTTTGGATGGCTCGTAAGCAATATGGATAAGAGATGGGTGGTAAGAAGGATCGAGTAAGATCGTTTAGAAAAAAGGAATGTGTGCAGCCAAGAGGGATCAGATGATGAAAGGAGCTTGAATGACTGGTTGCTGCGCTACACTACACCAACCTTTCCTGGGGGAGCACGAGAATGCGACAGCATCGTTGACAGCTGCTCAAAGCCTAGGATAGACTCTAGTCTAAGGACCATGAGTAGAACACACTTCTATTCCGCGTCGGCGACGCGAGTACAGTCTTAGAGTGGCATCCCAAAGCAGGGGCGCTGCCACTAGACGATGTAGAAACTACGAACGATACCCACGTACCACAAGATAAACACGTCTACACGTAGGCTGGGAGTTTAGGAATTAGGCCCCCAGCTGTGCCCAACGTTTGTTGGAATAGGTGCAGCTGGAAGCCCGTTAATGGGTTGGGCCACTCGCGAACTGATTAAAGGGCGTGCATTGTGGCCCAAATGCAATATGTACATGAGTGAATTAACTCGATTCTCTTCACAGTTCGTCACATCTTGTTGAAAACGTTGGTCCCTGAGATGAACTCCTCTGTGTTCTCCCGCCGTCTCTGTTCTACCTCCAGGTCTTCGTCATCGTCCCTCAGACTCTCCAGCAGTACACTAGCTTCGGCCTCGGCGCCCGCCATCAAGTCGAAGCTCTCTCCACTTTCGCTGCCGTTCTTCTCAAACACGTCTACGCCGCCATCGTACCACCGTGCCTGCTCGCCTACCCAGTCCACGCCGCCCGTATGCCGCTGCCGTCGCACGACTTCCTTCTCTTCAAGCGGGAATGCGGCGAGTTCGGTCTTAGGTGGTAAGATGGTGCGGCGATGCCATGCGCCAAGGAACATGCCATCGGGGTCGACCTCATTGCGGACGCGGAGATACTCATCCAGATCGTTTCCGTACACCTTGGAGAGGTACGTGTGATCTACGGACTGGAAGTTCTTTGCCCAGTGCGGGCGGCCATTGTACTCTTTCATGAGGTGCTCGAAGGCCTGGTAGTAGCGCTCGCGGCAGGGCGGATCCTGGTTGTAGGGGCGGTAGAGGGTGGCGTTGAGATACAAGGACGGTTCCTTGGGGCAGGAAGTGTCAAGGAAAGGACGAGGTTGTCGGTTTACGGTGTTGGCTATACGAACTTCGATGGGCGAGTGGACATAGAGGCCTTTGGGACTGAAAGGGATGGCGGATCCGCGCTCGTCGCCATGGAGCCAATTGGTGAGGCGCGTCAGGGCTTCGGGGCCCTTGGCGAGAGGGATGCTCCACTCATTAACGAATTGTGAGTACAAGCAGTTCATAAGCAGACCGGTGCGCTGTTCCTCAACAGCGCTAATGGTAGCTCCGTCCTTGAAGCCATACTGCATACCGAAGACGAACCACTCGACCCAAGGCAAGAAGCGGGGCACATATTGCGAGACCCAGAGGAGGATATGGTATGTGTGAAAGCCTACGCTGCCGCCGTACCAGTTGTATGCAGGCTTCACGTGAGGCTTGTCGGTCTTGTTCGCCTTCCACACAATGGCGCGTTTCATGTAAGGAAGCCACCAGACACGCACGAATTCATGAGACGTCCACAAGTCCTTGTCCCAAAGCGAGAGCACTTGGTCGATGGGGAGTATCGTCTGGGCCCACTCGATGTCGCCGTGCTCGGACAGCCCGTACTCTATCTCAACGATGACGCCCAACGCGCCGAGGGAGACGAGGGCGGCGCGGAACAGGTCAGGGGACTGCGAAGCCGAGCACTTGACCGACTGTCCATTGCCGAGCACAATTTTTAGACTGCGAACGTTGTCGGATAGCAGGCCATGTTTCATAGAGCTGCCGTGGGTGGCGGTCCCGATAGCGCCTGCCAGCGACTGCACGTCGATAGAGCCCAGCGAGGGCATCGTCAGGCCATGCTCTCTTGCCGCCAGATTCAGGTTGTGCATGCGTATGCCCGCCTGCACCGTGATGGTCTTGCGTTCCTTGTTCACGTCCAGCACCTTCCCAAAATCATCCAGGTTCACCATCCACGCCGAGGTGCAGGTAATATCCGACGGCGAATGGCCGCATCCAACCGTCACGATGCGGCGTCGCATGCGGCGGGCGAGGGTGACGATCTTCTGGACTTCGGCAACGCTCTGGGGCCGCAGGTAGAGCTCCGGGCGCGAGTGGAAGGTGCGCGCCCATGTGTGGTGGATGTGCGACTGCGAGGCGCGGAAGGCCACGTCGGGATCGAGCCGCCCGAGTTCGATGAGGAAATTGGGCGGCATGCTGAGCGCTGCCAGCTGCGAGTGTGCCATGTTCGCGGCGCTCACAGGTCGGTGTCGGTGTGGAGCAGCGCCGAGGGTGTCTGCTCTGGATGAGTGCTGTGTATGACGTTGTGTGTGACCCCGCGAATCGCGCGTGCTGTCCCTCTCTGCGTGCTGGGCTGTCGGCGGGAGCGCAGCAGCATACATGCGCGGGCGCTGCGCATGGCACGAGAACCTGCGCCTGAAGCGCCGCCCATGGTGTGACGCTAAAGCAAACGTCCAGGACGGAGGGGCTTCTGGGCAGCGGTGAAGGTGGAGCCTCGTCTTTATCCCGACTGGCTAGCGCCCGAGGTCCACTCGATGCCGTCGCACTTGGTTTGGGCGTGTGTAGGAGAGAGAGCGTGAGAATGAGAGCGAGCGAAAAAACATCCAGGCCATCTGTTTCGTCACCGACTGGGGTTGGACGGCATCAATTGATTCTGTCGTTGTCATGCTCCCTGGGTTGTCGTGCTAGCATCGTCAAGTGTGCACGTCTCTGGCATCATAGAGAACCGTGCAAAAGGCAGTCTCTTCCCCTTCAGTACCAGCATCTGTTGGCGTGTCTTGCTTTGGGCGGAACGTGCAAAAAGGTACGAGGAACGAGGCACGGTATACACAGTACATCCACAGCTAGCTAAAATCCGTCTACCGAACAGGTGGGAAGCGTCAACAAGGGACCTGTATCACGTGCCGTCATCTTGCCCCGGCCATAGCGGCTATCTCTCTCTCGATGGCTGAACCCAGCGAGTCGGTAGTCCCGGCCTTGCCGCCCATGTCCGGTGTAAGTACATGGGCTTCTTGCCTTGCCAAAACGTCTTCGATAGCCTTCAGCACACCTGCAGCAGCCTCCTTGAACCCAAAGTGCTCTAGCATCATCTGTCCGGCCCAGATGGTGCCAACCGGATTTGCGATGCCCTTGCCAACAATGTCTGGAGCGCTGCCATGTACAGGCTCAAACAGACTGGGGAACCTTCCTTCGGGATTCAGATTCGCTGAAGGTGCGATACCTATCGTCCCCGTACACGCAGGGCCTAGGTCGCTCAATATGTCCCCGAACAGATTGCTGCCGACGATGACATCGAACTGTTCGGGTCGAAGGACCAGCCAGGCCGTCAAGATGTCGATGTGGAATTTGTCCATCTTCACATCTCCGTAGCCTTTGAGTAGCTCTTGCAGCCTATCATCCCAGTACGGCATTGTGATGCTGATCCCATTGCTCTTCGTCGCACTCGTCAAGTGTTTCTTTGGTCGGCTGTTGGCGAGCTCGAGCGCGTACTTCAGCACGCGATCGACGCCTACACGCGTCATGATGGTCTCTTGCACGACGACTTCCCGATCTGTGCCCTCGAACATCTTCCCGCCAACCGAGCTGTACTCGCCCTCTGTATTTTCTCTAACAACCCAAAAGTCAATGTCTCCAGCTTTCTTGTTCGCCAGTGGGCTCTTCACCCCCGGCATCAACCGGCACGGCCTCAAGCTGATATATTGGTCGAATTCTCTGCGGAACTTGAGCAGACTTCCCCATAGGCTCACGTGGTCCGGGACGAGATCCGGCATGCCCACAGCCCCAAAGTAAATGGCATCGAAACTCGATAGTATGTCTTTCCAGTCGTCCGGCATCATTTGGCCATGCTTGAGGTAGTAGTCGCAGCTCGCAAAGTCGAAATCGGTAAACTCCAGCGAGAGGCTATAGGCCGAAGCTGCGGCCTTGAGGCAGCGCACACCTATTGGCATGACCTCGATACCGATGCCATCGCCTGGAATGACGGCTATTTTCAGTGACTGTTTTGACATTGTGAGAACGGAAGAGTGAGCAGCTGCCAGGTAAAGAAGGAGCCTGATGCGTCCTAGAGGTCGCAAAGGTGGAAGTTCTCAATATACGTTTCGAGCGGATCGTGCTATGTAGCTTGTTGGTGATAAAGTAGCAACCAAAAGCTGAGCGGACATTCAATGTCCGCGGGGAACAATTGCCCGCATCGCTTCTTCGGATCGGAACACCGCTTCGGCTGTCCTCAGCGTCTCTATATGACCCACCCTTCTCCTGAGACCTGGACTGCTTAGGGAGTGTCGGGCCTGTGCGCCCCCTTCTGAATCAAAGTAACTTAGCTGCAGTTTCTCGAAGACTTGTGCAGCATCGTACTTCTTTGAAATGCAACTAACTTCTTGTAGTTTCACAGTGTTACTTCGCCCAACTAAACCCGCATCGTACATGAAAGATATAATCTTGGCGACATCTAGGTTAGTAGATAGCCTAGTTGTAGCAGACTTATAGACAGCATTAAGAGCAGCCGGGAAGCTATTATTAGCGTAGATGGGTGTCCCTCCCACGTGTTGTCTGGAGGAATAGGCATAGAGCTGGAGGTTTGTGCCGATGCCAAAGTTATTACCTCCCCCTATGCGCTGTCAGTACTGCGGTCTGCGGTCTGCGTTCACGTCGCCAGCTTCTCCTGCCGTCCAGGGCCCAGCAAAAAGATCTGAATACTGTGTTGCGGTGGCGTTCATGATTTTGTCAGAAGTAGTGACGCCTCATAATTTTCTACATTGTCACAAGCCTAGCTGACCTGTTAGAGAAGGAACTAATGCAATTCTGCAGTGTGGTACCGGTATCTCTAATACGATGCTGTCCTTCGCCACGAGCGAAAGAATTACTGACTCGAACAGCCTTCTATTGCAATATTTGCTCATGGCTTTCCCGAGGTTCGCACCGTCTTCTGGATTGGGCGAGAGACAGCGAGTGAGGGAAGTCAGCAGGTCTCGAGGAATATCTGGTAGCTCTGTTTCCACCATTCTTCGAGCAGCCTAGCATACTGCATGTAGGGGGTGGCCTGCATCATCTGTCCGAAAGGTCTTGCTGAAAAATTTGTCTAGCGTATTATCAGAGGTTGATATGGAATGCCTCGAAGATGATCACGCGTTAGGCTCATCGTTTTTGACTCGTTAGCAAGCTTGCAGACATATACTTCTACTTTCCATGTAGCGTTGTCGCCTGTAACCGCTGCTTTTGCCACTCTTAGTCACGGTCACAGACGATCGGTAAGCCATCATCCAACTTCCAGGAAATTAAACCATGGAAAAGAGGATAGGCTAACGATAGGTCGACTCGAAATCTGTAAACTGTAACCTGCGTCGGTCAAACAACACTCTAAGGAAGATACCCTAGGATGACGAAGCAGATCACGGCCGGGAATGCCTGCCGAGGGTGCGTGGCATGTTATCGTAAGACTAGCAGTACCTGTGACGAGCGGACCATTGAATCCATACGCTCAGTCACCTTGACACGTTTATTGCTCGGCATTGCATTCCTTGTGTCGCCAGAACTGGCTTGCTTAAAATGAGTGTAGTTACAAAACAGATTTAAACACAAATCCTCGCGCAAAATACTGTTGCACAGAGATCCTGACGCTGGATCGGACCACGCGAGCTCAATCATGCGACATCAAAATCAGATAAACTAAGCCACCGTCTACTCAGACTGATTATATGCTCTACCACAACCAAATATCATCAGCGTCCTTGACGAGCTTGCTCTTCTTGCTTTTATTGCTCTTCTCACTGGCTTCGCGCTTTTTCCACAGCCAGATGTCGTCAGAATCCTTCTCAAGCTTTCCAGCCTCACGCTTCTTCCAAAGCCAGATATCATCAGAATCTTTGGCGAGATTGGCGCGCTTGATGGTCGCTTCTTGTCCCCGCTTCCATAGCCAGACATCGTCGGAATCATCGGCTCGCTTCCACAGCCAAACGTCATCAGAATCCTTCTGAAGCTGGGCGGCTTCACGCTTCTTCCACAGCCATATGTCATCAGAGTCCTTCTCAAGCTGAGCCCGAGTAGCGACATCCACGGGCTCCGGCTCTAGCCTTGTTAGCGTGGTGTGTTGCAACACTCAAGCCGGACACTTACTTGGTTCCGCAACGGGAGAGGCGCTAGCAAACGCAAGCAGAGGCACAACGACAGCAAGTTGTTTGAACTGCATATTGAAAGACTGTGGAAGTGCTGTATCTGTGGGAAGAAGACAGTAGAGATGGAATGACAAGCACAAGTGTTGGTGTTTGGGCGTCCAACTGGACCTTGAAGTAGTGATGGATGGCCCTCAATAACCGAAGTAACCAGAGAAGATCACTGATAACTCGTCACCCCGCATCAGCAGGATGAAGCTAAGGTGTGCCCACGATCGAAACGAAGAACGATGTGCATATGACGACCTTCTTCACCTGCCGCAGTCAGCATAGTCTACCTAGGTAACGTCAGACAATCCTTTGAAACAAGGGAAGTGACACTCCACCACAAAATAGTTTGTTGATGTTTGGCTTCAATATGAGCACTCGTACGGTAGCGACATGTAAAGAGCTTATGCACACAAACTGATAAGCTCCGACGCGACTCTTGTCTAGCCAAATCCCCCATGGAGGGATGCCACAAGTCACTCGTTGTCATCGTTATCTAGCTATGATAGGAAGGTCACGCGTTTTCATGTACATATTGTAGACCAGCTTCAACAGATATCGTGCCAACACCGCTGTTCCCCGCTCCATATGTGTCACGTAGACAGCACAATGATGTTTGAGTTGCAGATCCCGGGTCGCCTGAAGCATTGTTTAGGAAGGTTGCTCGGTTGTTGTCGGTTTCAGTATACTCGTCCAAGCATGGCCAAGAAGCTAGCGGGACAATCAAGCGTATGCTTACACTGGTGTAGTCACTGTTGTCTTTCTTGTTTCTTCGTTACCGAACCACCCGTTCCACCCCTGTGATCAGGTCGAACCTTGCGCGCGCACTTCTTATGTCCATCCCACAGTAGCACAATTCATTCCGTCTCTTACTGTTTCTCTACCTTTTGCGTTCTCTACTTTGTGCGATAAATCTATGATGGCCTTTTCAGAGAAAGATGCTACACCGGCGTATTCGCCCATACAAGACGACCAGTCCTCTGACTCTGCCAGGGAGTCAGATGAGCTCCTGCATAATGGCTATCCCACAGCAAGACCTCACAGGGCCTCACGCAGGAGGCAAGCCTTCATCGTCATCGGTGGCCTTGTCGCTTTACTTGCGTACTCGATCCTCCTAACTACAGCCACTTCGATGTGGTGGAAGAAGCAACAGATTCACGGCGCCAACGTGATCGATAGTAGGTTCTACGTACATTCCAACGTTATCACAAACATCTCATAAGGATACCATAGCTCCGATAAGAGGATACGTCGAGTATGAGCCAACCTATTTTAAAATGACCGAGACATCAAAGGACTACGGGTTGGTTGGACAGCCGAGCGAGGAGCTCGACAAGAATTGGAGCAAGATCATGCAATATTTCTACGCAGAAATACCAAAGGAGTACATGCAAAAACTCGGACGCGAGCAAGAGGGTATCCGCTTGCCCAACGGGAATTACCTAGCCAATTACGCTTTTATCCATCAATTACACTGTTTGGTATTAATTTCTCCCTCCTCTGATGAGTATCAACTGACGCGACTTCCAGAAACGTCTATACCAGTCGTACTTCCCTGACTATTACTGGCCTGATATGACAGAGGAGGAGACAGAGCTACAGCACGAACACAGCCGTAAGTGATCTGGGCTAGTTATCCATCTTGTACCAGCACCGTCCTGACCGATAACTGGCATAGTGCACTGCCTGCAGATGCTTGTCGAGCAGGTCATGTGCAAAGCTGACGAAACACCTCTCACCATGTATTGGTTCAACGAAAGTATCCTTCCCGGTGGTAACCGGACCATCGCGCATGAGTGTGTCAACTGGGATCGGCTACTGGAAGGCATGGAAATAAACAAGGTCGATCCGTTCACACCGGGCCTGCTTGTGCATCCGAAATTTGGTCCTGTTCTGCCGAATGGTAGGCAGACACACCTGGACAACAGGATTGGGTACGTCAAGCACGCGACCCCTCTTGATAGGACCCAGTGGCCATAGGAACACTATTGTGGGGCGATATGGGAGCAAATAGACGCTAGGATAACTAGAAGTGGGTTCGACTTGAGTGCCTATCGCGCGAATAATTATCCTAGTTGGCTTCGTGACAACCAGGATGGTCTGCAACCGAGTGTTACAAGAGCATGTAACTGCTCTTTCTGTGTATTACCCGATGCAGATCTGCTGGTGTCATGCATGCGAGTCAGCCCATACGTACGAGAAGTTAAGGCTTAGCAAGCTTATCTAGTTTAAGTGTTCTGGTGGAAAGATCTAGCGAGCAACAGGTATAAAATACCAAGATTCCTTCGCTGCCAGCGAATCAGATCGCGAGAGACTATTAACCCTGCGATCCTACGACTGCACGCGGAACAAAATCGGACAAGTGCCGTAAGCTTTGACATGTAACGACAGCGCTAAATTTAGCGCTGAGCATATCCAACCACGAGACCATAAAAATTGGCCTGACAGCATCTTGCTGGCCCAGACTAATTCAGTGCTTTCGTTACATGCAAAAGTCTATCGGTACGTTCATATCTGTCCAAGTAGCACCGCCTACGACGATGGTGCAGCTTGACAATGCTATTTTCCGCCGTGGATCATCCATGCTTTGTGATCTTATTGTGCGACCTGAGCAATTTTAAGAAGTAACATTCAGTGAGCCTTTTGTCATAGGACATCAGCCATCTTACTTGTCGATCTTGATGAATTTTACAAGGATCAGAGGGGCGCTGCAAGTGTCTGGCAATATGTGCAGCGGATTGAGGCATGCGATGCCAATCACGTAGCCCGGCCTTCCAAGTAACTCGCGTCGCTCCACTGTCATGGTTCGCTTTAATACCCCACCGTGATCATGTTGCAGAATTGGGTCCGTCGATATCTTCTATCGAGTTGCCCTATCCGACGACTTCCATTGTTCAGCAGCAAGTTTGCAAAGTAAATTAGTAGAGGTCTTGACATAATGTCAGTGAGTATAATCTGGCTTTCTCGTTGGTACACTAGAATACTCCGACGTTCTATACGACTTAGAGAGCCTGGGCGAAGCAGTAGGTATCGAGGCACTGTGGAGTCTCCGCCAGCGACCGCATGAAGAACCTTTTGTTTGCAAATGGTACGCACTAAATCATGGGCGACTAAGTATGTACACGGAATCTCGATAGAATACCCATCTCCATATATGATATCTAGTTAATGTATAGCATAGCTATTGCACTCCTTTTGCCCTTCCAAACCAGGGGTTGCGTCTTAACCATTACCCTTTTCTGCAGCAGGCAGGCAGCACCTGACCTCATCACAGGATGGTCTCTGGGGATACATTGGAGCTTTGAGTGCCCGCCCTGTCCTGAATACGGGGCGGTAATTTGGAAGGATCGCGAAACGCGGCCGTTATCTCCAATTTCTCCAGTTCTCGCACGACTGCTTCGAGTTGACGTGTAGCGCGTACTCGCTCGGGCAAGACATTGCACGAGATGCTACCACCATGCATATGTACCCGTGTAACGCTAGGTGAAGACGTAGGCGTATCACTTGCAGTAACTACTGCTGGGCTCGCAATGGTGTCTTTGAGGGACGTGAGTAAAGATAAAGTAGGTCCATCAGGTACGTCTTGTTTTGAGTGCTCATGTAGTGACTGGCTACGGGCCGAGAACTCCGGGTTTTGATTATGTGGAAATAGTGGTGACATAACATAGACGTATGGGATGGCTACTGCGTCTCGTCTTTCGAAGAATAACGGAATGGGGCTCACAGGCTTGAGCGGTGTTGGTGCCACGGGCTGCGGCCTGTCCCCAGTAGAGCTGGCACGCGCACGATGCTCGAGTGCATTAAAGGCGCGTCTTACACTTGCTGATGCAGCTCTCGGTCGGCGTAGAGAGAAGTAGTCCCCGGCCGTACTAGCTTCATCTCCCGTACCATCGAAAAGCTTTGCTACCGGGTTGTGACTTCGTATGAGGATCGACTTGTTACTCTCCTTCTGGTTCAAGTCTTTCGCTGGATTCGGATCATGTCTTGAGTTCGAGGAGCGTAGGAGTTCGGTGTACTTATCGTCAGTCTTCTTGTGGGTTCCTTTCCTGCTAGCTGAGGTAGGAGTGATTAGCTGATCAGGGACCAAGTGGCTGTGAGTCGTCGAACGTGTGGTGAGCGCGAAGTCATTAGTCGTAGGAAGAGTAAGGTGAGGGAGGTCGTAGTCAGTCCAGGGCGCGACTTCTGTGATCGACGGGCGACTTTTTGAGGTACTTGCAATCGATCCTGTGCCCCTACATCCCGGTGGCGTATGAACCGGAGGTGGATCGCTGCGTGATGTCTCGACCCGTGCCAAGGATGGCATAGCGGCTGGTAATGATATGTTAGTGGGGCTAATCGTACGTTCTTCGGTAGCTGTGGTTAGCGCATCTCCAGACACATCCTTTGACGTGCCCGAAGACTCCCCGCCTGGTACCGCTGTAAGCGTAGGTGCTCGGGATGCGGCTGGGGAAGTCTTAAACAATGAAGATCTTCCCGACGGTGCAGGAACCGGCGGAGGAATCACCGGTGCGACCTTGACGGGTACAGGGAATATTTTATGTGCAACATTCGAAGTAGCGATCGTTTTATTACGAAGGTGCCGATGAATCTTGCGCAATCGTTTGAACTCGGAGTAATCGTCAAGCTCAGACGCGGTCGGGGACTTGCCCACTTGGTCTATAGCAATAGGATCGCCTATGGCGGCAAGAAGAGATGATCAGTGTGCGCTTCGTATGTGCACGTGTGGCTACTCACATCTCTCAAGATGAACATGGTAATGCATTTCACCTAGTCGAACCTTCTGCCCAGCGTTGGAGGAAGATGTCTTCGGCTGATGAATGGCCCATCCAGTTACACGGTACCTGTGGGTTGGTCAGAAGACGGTGCTGAGGGGTGTGGCACACTAACAGTCCCTCGTATCTCACGCCGGCCTTGGGCCCCCACATGCTACTGGCACTGTGACTTCGCAAAACGCGAAGCGGCTCCCTACTTCTCGGTGTAGCAGCTGTGAGATGGAATTTGCCTCGGTCGTCCTTGCTGCAGCGGTATGTCAATGTCGATTCGCTCGGTGCATCAAGCTCGCCTCCTTCGATAATCACAATCGCATATGCTCCGTGTTTGTCACAGCAGATACCGCCGTCGATTGTGTCAACATCGATTATTCCGGCGTGGCAGGCGAATAGAGTGTTGATCCACCACCTGACATTGCATAAGCTTTGACGGACAAAGGTCAAAAGAAGGCTCCTCAGTCATACGAGCCAGGGTTGAAACCCAGGCTGCCACGTCGACGTGCCCTTTTTGGTGATATCCTGTCGGGACAAGTGTTTTGCCAGCGTTTGAGCAAAGCCTAGAGACAGTTAGTGGCTGTACGTTGAATAGTGAGACAGGTAGTGACCAACAAGCTTCGAGGTCTCTTCGATGGAGGCAATACCCTCGAGACGCCCGCCTCTACCGTAAAGGAAAGGATGTAGATCTCCAAGACGCCCGTATTTGGTTGTCCATAGGTCGATGAGTTCATCACAGTCGTCCGCTAACCGTCCGGGCCACCTCGTGGCTAATCCAGAAATTTCCATGACAGCTCTATGAATCCCGGTAGCACGCAAATCGAGAGCGGTGACGTCGGAGGATGTCTTGAGCGCCTGGAAAACGTCGTGTAAAGTCAATACGTCGTCAGCTCGAAGCTGCTCAGGACCATCCCGAGCAACGAGCGGGTCAAGCTCATCACGGATCCAGTGCGAGACCTGTCGCAATCTTGGGCGAGAGAGGTCAGACATCGGAAGGGTGGCGGTCGCCATCAGATTGGGTAGAAGGGTACGTGCTAATCCAAAGCGTCTCACTGAGATGTATTTCACGAAGCTCTGAATGATGATGTTGCTGTTAGACAATGTCTAGCTCGTATGAAAGCAGTCCAAAGTAACTCCCCTTGGCGGTCCCTGGGGTGGTCGTGGCTACTCTGAGTCGCTGTGATTGGAAACCAATGATCGGAGGGGGTGGGAAGGGACTCGTGCGTGAACGGCGGCACCGAACGTTCCTGCCACGAGGTACATCCAATCAACGTACAATGCTGCACCGTTGTTTGTGTACGCCTCTTTCTTTTGCCCCACTTGATCTGATGATGGCGATTGCTATAGAGGCTGCCTAGTTTGCTTGATTATCATTGACAAATGGAAGCGTTCCCTCTGCATGACCTCACCCAGTTGCTCAGCCTCTGCACCTTCACTCATCCACTGTCGCCGTGCATCCTCGTCTCCCCTTCTTCCTAGGGCGCTTGAAGGCAGTGGAAGCTTGCTGCTGCATTGGGGCCTTGATGATCTCGTCGCCATCGCTGAATCCTTGCCACTCGTCCTCTTCAGCATCCTCAACGGCATCATTGCTCGATATATTACTGTCAAACCCGAACTCGGCATTGCGAATGAAAGCAGCGACGAAGAAGCCCATCGTGCCTTCCTCAGTGCCTTTCTCGCAGCGTATACAAGCGTTGCATACAGCTTTTTTCTGCAGGTGGTCCAAATCGACCCTTGGATCCAATTTCTCAGGTTCTAAGAAGCCTCTCTGCGTCCAATCCTTCATGCCTTGCACCTGTAAATTCCTGGGCAGGATCCTCCAGCCTCGCACGCTTGCAATTTCCGACACCAGAGCTTGAAACACGACGCCTTCATTTTCTTCGAAATGAACTGAGCAAGTAGAGTAAGTGATCTTACGTGCTTTAGGGAAACGCATCGCATGCGTGAGAATGCGAAGTTGGAAAGTCGATAGAGCGGTAAGTCTCTCAGCCAGCTGACCTTCAACAGGCGTTTCTTCCGGTATTACGTCGTCCAGGCCCATATGCAACGTTGTGCTGTTGTTGGATTGAGTCATGGTGTGGTCTCTCTTCCGCTTCTTGTCCCTCTTGCATGTAACGACAGATGCACCCATAGCTTGGTCCGGCAAATGCATCATGATTGAGTCGTCTCTGCCGACTATGCCGCTCCCGGAACAGCTTGGGTCAAGCAAAATCGCACCGACGTCTGCAAATTCTTCAGAGTCGGGGTTCGCAGCTAGAAAATCTGCGCCTGGCTTGATCGTTACAACCGAGTCTGCTGAAGCGCGCTTGACCAATTTTTGCAGGGTCGCAGCTCTGATTTGGTCTCTCTCGTAAGCAAACACCTTTTGTCGCTTCGCATGCATATTCCTCTCGGCTACTATCGCGGCCAAGTGCGTTGTTTTGTTCCCTGGTGCAGCACATCCGTCTATCACATCCCCATCGTCCGGTCGCACGTCCAGGAGATAAGCCGGAAAGCAAGACGCTTTGTCTTGAAATATGATCGCTCCATTTGCGTACGCTTCGGACTTGCTAAGATCGACCTTGGGTGGAAGGGCGAGCAAATTAGGAATGTGGGGATCCTCAAAGTATTTCTTCACCGACGCGGATGCCCACTGGACTTCTTGGACGTTGCTGGCCTTCTCATAACCAGCAAAGGTTGTGGCCAGTTGCTCTGACATGCTCGTCTGGAGCGTGTTCACGCGCACCCACCGCGGGTGCCTGTGTGCCTTCTTCTTCGACAGCTCATCGACTTCCTCCAGCTCTCCCTCTTCGACAGCCTGTCGCAGCGCATCCAGTGTTGCATGACCGTGACGTATTCGCGCTTTTGTGAATTCGGCGCTTAAGCGGGCTTTGTGTCTCAAGATGGCGAGCTTCAGGACGTGGTTCGCGTGGGCAGCCACACCGCACTTAGCCAGCAGCAGGTCATGTGTGAGGAGCAGCGCGAGGGTTGGGGTGAGCTATATGCGATCAGCATGTTTCCGATTGACAGCGCATGCGAACCACTTACCTTCTTCTCCTCGGCCAATAGCCCGCACCTCTCGATAACATCCTTCAGTATCAAGGACCATTTCGATGCTTCGCTGATCAAAGCGAAAAGTTGCGCGGACGAAGTCTTCAGGTCCTTGTTCCTGTATATTCGCGATTTGAGGGAACCGCCGGCGCTGTCGGGGTTGGCGAGGACAGCGGCGGCTTCGTAGTAGAGCGACATTGGGCGCAGAATTGGCCATGATTTCTTGGTGTTAGACTTTTGGACCTCGGCAAGTGTGGGGCTTCGAGCTAGGCCACCTCGGGACAACCAGATATACATTTACTGCTCCCTCATTACATGGTGCACAGTACAAGGCTATCCAGAAATACACAAGCAACCACTGTTATCACACTTCGCGCCATTTCCTAATTGGTTATCCCATATTCTCGAAGTAGAGACCCAAACAGGAACACAACTCGACTTTAGGGCTCGTGATCATGTAACATTGCGGATTGCTCCCAGTATACTCATCAATGGCGATACCGGCTTTGCGCAAGATGAAAAAAAACTCCCAACGCTCGAAGAAATAGGGGTATATCGTCTCATCGTCATGCACGTTTGCCAATCTCACCCATGTCCTCTTGTCCCAAAGATACGACCTACCTCTTAAGTGGCGGCCTAGCCTCCTTATTCCACTGTACTCTCGAACATAACCATTCCACCGCCTCCTTCACGCCCGTCCCGGTCAGCGCGCTACACGGTAACACCCTACTGTCCCTCACATTTCCGCCCTTCTCCCCTTCGAACACCTTCCTCACAAACCCCTCCTTGATCCTCACGACCTCGACACAATCCTCCCTGTCCTGCTTGTTCGCTAGCACCAGTATGGGTACACCCGAAGTCTCCTCATTTGACAGAATTGACTCCAGCACCAGCCGGCATTCTTCCAGTCGGCCCTGGTCATCGTTGATACCGCCGCTGCCCATCTCGGCGAGACTGGCGTTGCCCACGTCGGAGCTGTCGATTACAAAGACAATCGCGTGGCACGAACTGTAGTAGCTTTGCCAGAGACCGCGCAGGCTATGTTGTCCGCCGACGTCCCATATTTTGAGGTAGATCGGAGGGTTTGGCGGCGGGAGGGAGATTGTCGCGACGTTCTGACCAACGGTGGGGACCGTCTTAAGGTTCGGGTTTAGCGACGTGTAGGTGCCTTTCACCTGTTCGAGGAGGGTCGTCTTGCCGGCATTGTCAAGGCCAAGGAGCAGGATTGAGTACTCTATGCTTGCAGTGAGCTTGAGCTTACGCCTGGCCATGGGCCAAACCGTACGTACCTTCTTTGCTGGTCGCGTGCAGGTAGATGGATTTGAAGAGATGGTACATTGTAGTGGCAGGAAGAAAGCGCTCGGTTCACACTGGCACGCTATCGACATTTGGAGGTTGCGTCGAGCACCGTTCGCTCGGAGTTAACCGGCACTAAATTCACCGTCTGTGCGCTAAGCCTGAAGAATCATGTCCAGCAATGTTCTTATCGCAAAACTAATCCACCCCTCCTAAGGCTCCACCTTGGGTAAGAATTCCTCACTAGAATTTATATAACGTATATTACACTAGTTAATATGGTAAAACCCTACTAAAACATATTATTAATATACTCTACTAGTAAACCTAATAAACTAGTAAACCTAATTATTATAGGTAAAGCCCTATAAAGAAACTTAGTTCTAGACCTTATTATATAAACCCTATAATTAGTAAAGGTTTAGAAAAATATATAAGCTACTTTAAGAAACTATTTATTACGGCTATTACGCCATAATAGAATTACGGGACTTATATTAGTAATAGTAGCAACTAATTAGATTATATAGGGGAAGAATATAATTATAGGTTAGATACTAAGTATAATATAAATACGTAAAGAGTTACGTAATTAGATCTATAGATCTATAGATACTAAGAATATAGAGCTATAGAGCTAGAATCTATAGATCTATAAGAATCTATAGATAGAGCCTATAGAGCTATTATTAAATAGTAGTATATAGAAATAATAGATTACTATAGAGTAAGCCTTTATTATTAATCTATAATATAGTTCTCTATATCTAGTTTCCTTATAGAAGATTACTATTAAGTCTTTAGTAATATATTTTTATAATAGTATTTAATTAACGTTTATACTATATAGGAATAGAATTATAAGATACTACTAGAAGAAGGCATAAAACTATAACTAGAATAGCTAAGACTAATATCTATAGATTAGGAATAGGAACTAAGGGAGTACTTATAGAAAAACCTAGTAAAAGGTTATATCTAAGATAGTTAGAGCCCTATAATGTTCCCTATCCTATAGGTACCTAAGAAGAACGGTAAGCTACAACTCTATATAGACTATAGGTAGCTAAATAATACTACTATTAAGAACTAGTACCCTCTACTACTAATAATAGAGCTAATAGATAGGCTCTATAGGACTAAATAGTTTACTAAATTTAATATACGTAATAGTTATTATTATATATAGATAGCTAAAGGCTATAAATAAAAGACTATATTTAGGACCTAGTTTAGTCTCTATAAATATATAGTTATACTTTTTAGACTAATAAACGCGCCTATAATATTTTAGGCTATAGTAAATAAGGCGCTATATAAATACTTAGATATATTCTATATAGCCTACTTTAATAACGTACTTATCTATTCTAGTAGGACGCTAGAAGAATATATAGAATATATAAAGAAGGTACTTAAGAAAATAAAGGAGTATAAGTTACTCCTATACCTAGATAAATGCGAGTTTTACGTTATAAAAATAGAGTATCTAGAATTTATTATCTTAAGGGAAGGAGTGTCTATAGACCCTAAGAAAATAGCTACTATATAGGAATAGCTAGTTCCTAAGTTAGTAAAGGATATTTAGTCCTTTCTAGGGTTTACTAACTTCTACTAGAAGTTTATTAAGGATTATTCTAAAATAACAGTACTACTAACTAATCTTATAAAAAAAAAGAATAATAAGGCTATCTAGCTAATTACTAGAAGGCCTCTAGAGGTATTTAAGAGGCTAAAAGAAATATTCCTTATAGTACCTCTACTTTAGATATTTAACCTAAGGAAACCTATAAGGGTAGAAATAGATGCATCTAACTATATAATAGGAGTAATCCTCTTATAGCTAGATAGGGATAAGAAGTAGAGACTAGTATTCTACTATTTATAAAAGTTCTTAGGAGTAGAACTTAATTATAATATCTATAATAAAGAACTACTAAGGGTAGTAGATGCCTTTAAGTAGTAGGAAGCCTAACTTATAGGAGTATGCTTTAAGACTAAGGTATAGATAGACTACTAAAACCTTACTAGCTTTATATTAACTAAGAAACTTAACTAATAATAAGTATAATAGGCAGAATTCTTAGTAAACTTTAATTTTACTATTTACTATTAACCTAGAACGCTTAATAGTGCTACAGACGCCTTAAGTAGAAAATTAGACCTAATAGAAAATAAATCTAACCTCTATAACGCTATACTACGGGTGCGTAAGGATAGGACGCTAGAGTATAACTAACTAAAAATTAAAGCTTAAGCAGCCTCTTTCTAGTACATAGGACTAGAGGTATATAATTTATAAGACTACTCCTAACTCTCTAGGGAATAAAGAGAAGAGTATAATCTATTCTAAAATAGTTTTAATAAAACCTAGAGGGACCACTAATAAAGGATAATTATTAGAGACTAATATACACCTATTTTAATTAGGAAGCTATATAAATCTAGGGAATAGGGACACCTAGGTATTAAAGAAATAACGCATTATATTACAAATAAATACGCTATCCTAAAACTTAAGCAAAAAGTTATAAAGGAAATAAGCAACTATTTAGTATATTATAAGAATAAGCCTAAGAGATATAAGCCTTATAGACTCCTATAACTACTACTACTAGTAGAAAGGCTATAGCAAAGTGTAATAATAGATTTTATAGTAAAACTCCTAAGATTACCATAACTAGGAACAAAATATATATATAATACTATTATAGTTATAGTAGATTAGCTTATAAAAGCCACTAAGTTTAGGCTAATAGAAGAGTCTATGTTAGTAGAGGAACTAGTATATAAGGTGGATAATACGCTATTTATAGAATATAGCCTACCTAAAGAATTTATTATAGACTATAATAAACTCTTTATATCTAAATACTAGGATACGTTTACCGCAACACTAGAAATATATAGAAAACTCTTAATAAGTTTCTACCCCTAGATAGACAGATAGACAGAATAAATAAACTAGATACTAGAATAGTACCTTTAATTCTACGTTAATAAATAGTAGAATAACTAGGTAGATGTTAAATCCAGAAAGGGTAGCTAATCCTAAATAGGTTAGGGTTGGTTCTTAGGTAAGACTTACGGAGGGAAGGAGAAAGGGGTTCTTATTAATATAGAAGTATCTTATAAAGTATAATAAGTTAATAAGGAGGGCCTAAGTAAATCTAAATAATAGATTAAAACTTAGGTTAAATATAAGTATAAAGGTTTATCCTTATATTCCTATATAGGGATCCTACTTAGTTACTTAGGAGCCCTAAATAACTAAGTAGGTTACGTAATAACTCTTAGCTACTTAGTTATTTAGGAACCCTAAGTAGCTAAGTAAGTTACGTAACTACTATCTAAGTAACTTAGTGCGTCTTTATCTTATTATAATTCTAGTTATCGCATCTTCTACCTTTATAAGCGCCCAAACTTCCCCACTATTATCTGGTTCGTAACAGTAGAACTCTTACTAACGGCATAATTAGTATATAATAGCTCTAAGTTAGGTATAATAGGGTACTTCCTACACTATACTAACTATAGATATAAACTAGTCTATTACTAGAATCTAAGAGATATAGAAAGTCTTTCTATAGGAGCTTATAATAAAGCTTAGAAAATAAGGGAACTTTATAAAATCCTATATAAAAGAATTACGCAAAAATCCCTCTTAGTATCTAAAAACGTAGATAGATAAAGGATTAAGGGACTAACCTTTAAGAAGGGGGATAAAGTTTTCCTATTATAAAAAAATCTAAAAACTAAAAGATAAAGTAAAAAACTAAATTACCTATAGGTAGGCCCCTTTAAAATATAAGAAGTTAGAGGACTAGTTATAAATAAATTACTTCTACTTATAGGTACTAAAGTATATAATACCTTTTATAAAAACCTCCTAGAACTAGCACCGCTAGATACTCTAATTAAGACCTAGCTAGAACTAGAAGACAATAAGTATAAAGTTAAGGATATTAAGAACCTAAAAATAGTTAAAGGTTAGTAGAGATACCTAGTTAAATAGAAAGGATAGCTAAAATAGTATAATATATAGGAGCTAATAAGAAACCTTATAAACTATAAGGAATTACTAGAGGACTTCTACTAGGAAAGGGGATACCCTTAGAAAGGTTATACGCTAGTATAGTAGAAACTAGGTTAAGAAAAGTAGTAGTAAAAGCTAAAAGATTAAAAGAAGGGTTAGCCTATAGCTAGATAAGATTAGTAAATAAAGGTAAAAATAGTAATAGTATATAAGTACTACTAGAAGCCCTACCCTCTACTAAACCCTTCTCTTATAACTAATCTATTACGTTAGTAACCTAGAGATTATAATAAGTAAAAGAACGTTTCTTTACCTTAACCTTAGCTAACTTTAGTTTAAGGTAGGTAGTTTTAGTATATACCTAAAGAAGAGCTAGCTACTTCTACTCCTTCTCTTTATAGACTAAGGCCTAATTATCCTTAGGGACCTATAAGCTATAATTAGCATAAGCTAAGATATAACTAGTATATTAACCTAAGGTTATATCTATAAAATAGTAGAGTTTCTACTTCTAATAATACTTATAACTAAGTAACATCTTAAGGCTTTAGAATTTAACTTTTAGTATATAAGTATAACGTTTCTAAACTAATAAGTAAGGAGCTTTAGGCATGTTTAGGATAGAAAGGGAAATCTAGGTTAGGGTATAACCTAAGTAGGTAAGAGGGCTAGCGCACCTTTATATATCTAATAGGCGCTAATAGGCTAGCTACACTATAGAAAGCTAGACTAGGGTATTAGAATAATACTCCTAAGGGGGGGGATAATATTATAATTATAGTAGGACTAAGTAAGGCGAGTAGGGAGGATTATACTTAGGATATTAATAATAGAGGTAAGCTAGATTAAGCCCTATAGGCTAGCTAGATAGGTAGCTTATATTATCTATTATATAATAAGGTCTAGTATAAGTAGGAAACCCTAGGGACCTTAGGAGGTCCTAGGACCTTAGAGTTAGGGTAGGATCTCCTAGATAATAAAGAATAGTATATAGTCTAAAGGGACT